CCACAACCTGGACACCACAACCTGGACACCACAACCTGGACACCACAACCTGGACACCACAACCTGGACACCACAACCTGGACACCACAACCTGGGCACCACACTTCAAGTACCATAACCTGTACAAAGTCTTTGCCGAAATCTGTTCACAGCGAATATTAATGCAATGTCGTTTCGCGCTCGGAGGAGACCTCACGAAAATCAAACACAATACTCACGCAGCGAATCCTTTTTACACGGGATACATACAGACCTCTTTTTGAGCACTCTATACCTACCAACTCAACTACTGAATGGATGACTGGTCACCCGCTGCCATTATCGGGCTTGTTACCCTCCTCTTCAATTTACCGCCTACCATCTATGCCTGCTACCAGCTCATCGAGTTACTCCGGAGATCCTATGCAGACTGCAAAAATCAACACAATTTCAGTAGCAACTGACATGGCTATTCCCCCCGCCCGGTAATACCTCAACGGCTCTGAAATCATAAATCTGTAGCTTACGATAACCCTAACCAGTATTCAATCTATTGGCCTGAGTCTCGCAGAAATCGACTCGCGGAGTTGACTTCGCTATTCTGGTACACTCGAGTTGTTCATAGCCCACTCCAAGAGGGTCAAGTGTTGCAATCTGGAAAAAAGAAAAGGGGTTGAAAGGATCCAGAGTCCACGAAGGAGGGCCACACTGAAGAAGGACAATAGTGTTACATAAGGCTGATCATTCACGCTGCAAATCTTATGAGATCTATTTAAACCCGCACTGCACGTTCGTGTCTCCACAATTTTCGCGCTTGTCTCGTACCTCAAATTCCAAGCCCCTCAATTGGATATCATTGTTGCGTATTTCCATCTCGTATGCGAAGTTCTATCTTCCTCCGTCAGCTCACAAATCAACGCTCAAGTAGACGCCAGACTCACTACCCATGCTTGTTAATCGGGTCATGTAGACCTTCGCGTGGCTCGCTCCTACTGTGATATTCAGGAGTCTGGTCGGACTGCGCGTTATGAGAGTCGTGGATGGGATAGCTGGGAGCTTGGGTGTTCAAGCTTGCAGGAGTCACAGTCGCGCTGGACACACCACATCGAACAAGACCCAGAGCTGCGGCGATAATGACGGCTGCTCTCATTGCTCGCTACTAGGTAGGAATTGGTGTAAAGGCACTTTGGTTTGAAATGTATGTCAAAAACTGTGGTGAAGCCCATGGCATTTTATGCGTGTCTATACAACAGAAATGTACCATGCAAGACCGGATACCCCGAAATCGACCCAAGCGTACCAAAGAAGGCAGATAGTGTACACCGCAGCAGCTGTAGAATTTCACTACTGGGAAACGGTACCATGAGTCGTACGGACAAATGAGATGTTATGCACAGATCTTTTTGTGCTTGATGGAAGGTCACAGTGACCTATGGGTATCTACCGCTAGAGACAATCAACCATTTCATTGGGTGTGAACAAAGTAGAATAAAGCATGATCTACAAACTACATATGCATGTTGGGCTGAGCCTTCTTCTGAAGGTATTGCCACCATCTAACGCCGCTATGGCGGCGGTGTAGGCAGAACCGCTGCGGAAACAGCGACTGCGAAGCCAGATCCTATCGCTCTGCACAGACCTCCCACGCTGCTGGGTCGTAAAACTACCAAAGCTACTGCAGATACGCCAGGGAGTCGGCATATCCGATGCTATCCATGTCTATCAAAGACACAAACCATACCCGACTGCACGCAAACGGTTCTGTTCCCATCACAGAGCAACAACCCGGCCGCATGATTGTATGAGCGTTAACCAATCACTTCCGAGAACGACCGTGGAGCGAGGCTGTGGAGGAGCGGCAAACTTAGCCGGGATGCCTTACATCTGTGGCGAACACTCCACTTCCCGGAACCAGCAAAACCACACGCACATCAACGAACTGATACATGCGTAGCCTTGGGCTCGGGCTCGCTCTGTCTCGGTGTCCGAATGCAAGGCTGACTTCGAATGTTTAACGTTGTCTCGTAGACAAATGAAAGAACGCCCAGCGCTAATACTCTGGAAGACAAACAATCATACCCCATCGTTCGCTGCGAAACTCCCAACGCCATAGCACCTTCCTTTGAAACCCATCTTAGTGAAACCCACGCCCTCAAACATCGGTTCCCTTCCACCGCACATGCCTACACCCATCCTCCCCGATCCCATCTGCACTCTTCCCCTCTTTCCCTTTCGCTCCCTCATCTGCCACGTTCTCTGTCGACCAACTTCCAGAAGACCCATTCGTGCCCATCATGCCCTTTTCCGTGGCGTCTATGATGGCTTGTGGGATGAATGATGCAGCGGCTGCTCAGGTATCAGTGTCATAGCACCATATAGTATTGGAAAGATAGATGTACGTGGTTCTTGTGAGGAAGACATCTTATCCTTCCCGACTTCACTCTGGCTCGAGGGTTCCGGCACGCGCGCGAGTAGTGTGTCCATAGCTTTTAGTGGGACTGTACGTATTCGACGTGAACAAACACGTAAGCAAAAAGTAGGTGAGTCGTTATGCGGTTTCGTCCTTACTTAGACAATTAGGTATGAGTAGTTTCAGAAAGTAAAAGACCCTCCTCCCCATACGCTACATATACACTTCCGAAACCCGTGCGTAGCCGTCACCGTAAATCCCGCACTCGGGTAGAACACTCGTCCGCGTATGCTTACCATGACGTAGGCCAGAAACGCGGGGTCCAATGTCCAAGGTCTCCAAGCGGCTGTGCCGTCTCCCACTAGGATCGATGACAAGTGATTGTGTACGTGTTGGCGCATTTAACACGGGATTTGAGCTTGGCCAAGCTGCACGAAGATAGGAACGGGGGATGCTGGAACGTATGCCGTCAGTGATGCGCAAACTAGCGCGCGGGAGCGGGAAAAGCAATGCGTCGATAAGATGCCGTCACTGTATCGCGCGTGCTTTGACATGGAAAGAACGAACGTTGGGAGTGCTGTGTGATGGAAGATAGGATGTAAAGGTTCATCTATTCATTCAGTCATAGGTATCGTGCAGCCTCCTTATCGGCGCCAATGTAGGATCTCAAGTCTTCAGCCGTGAGCTCTCGATCGAGTCGCATCTTTCAATCTCACGTCTTCCTATGCGCATGTAGACGTTCCGAGGCCACGAAAGCGCACGCTCACTCCAGCGCCACGATGCCACGCCTTGGTCGTGACGCAAAACATCACATCCACCCCATGGCCGGCTACGCAGCGGCGTCAGAGGTCGCGCTCGTCGCCGTGGCTCCAGAGCCGGTCAACGCAGACGACGGTGCGCCAGTCCTGCCCCTCTGTGTGTCCGCTGCATCTCCACCCCGGAGTACCCTCTCCAGCTCGCGGATTCTCCTCTTCAACACCTCGTTCTCGCGCTTTGCCTCCTCGAGCTCTTGTCTGTAGTGTGCGACTTCCTCGTATCGCGGTGTGCTGACTACGCTTGCGCTCCTTGCCTGCTGGGCAGCTGAAGGGTCGCTCGTGGCGGGTTGTGAGGACACAGAGTAGCGGTGGTGCGGGATGGAAGCTGTAGCAGGATTAAGTGGAATGCCGTAGGGAACGCCTGTGCTGGTGCGTGAGACACTTGAAGAGCTGCGGTGACGGCGCGCGGAGGTGGGGTGCGTAGCTCCGACTATATCGTGGTCGACATGCACACCTGAAGTGACACTTGACGCCGTGGAGGCTACTGATGCGGAGTGGGCGCGTAGAGCCGAGAGCTCACGAGTTAGGCGGTTTACGACAGCTTCTTGTTCCTTTTCCAGCTCGAGGTGTAGCTCAGCCGCCGTGAGTGGGCGTGGGTGGCGGATGGGTACGCCAGCTGCGTCGAAGCTGGGGATATTGCCCGCGAAGCCTGGGCTCAGAGGCGCGGCATGTGCATGATGGGTGGTCGCCACGGGAATAGTGCCACCCGGTGAGGCGAGTGGTAATGGTGGAGGACTCATGGGGTCTAATCGTGGGTTGTGTCAGTGGAGTACAGATGTAGACAATGAGTGGGACCGCGATGGTTGTCGTTATCGATAGCTTCGATGCAAACCGCGCGCTTGTTTCGCGTAGCCGTAGCTGGTATACACTGTACGAGGCCAAGGCCTGGATACTTTGTATGCTGCGGCACACCGTGTCTGCTCTGGAAGTCGATAGCGAACGCAGCTGGGCCAAAGCGTTGAGAACGACCTCGACTAGCGCTGTGCGACGCACCGTGCCGTAAGAGGGTAGACCAAGATGTATACTTACATATCTGCGAAGCACGCCGCGAGGCTGTTGCGGACGACTGCCGCGAAGCCTGCGCCGAAGTAGCAGAGCTCGCAGCTTGCGCGGCTCCCGGCGTAGGGTTCGACGTCGGGCCCCTCGGCGAGACGGGCACTGAGTTGAGATCAGGCATCGCACTGGCTTTGCTCGTCTCGTGCCTCGTTGCGCGTAATATTATTGCGTTAGGAATCCCAGGTTTGTTGAACTTCTGATGGATGCAACGAGGGGCAAGCGTGTGGGGAGAGACGAAAGGCAGCTGCGACACCACGGTAGAGAGGGAAGGTGCGATATGCCGTCTTTACATGTCTGCTGATGGTTGTTTTGGCGACGAGGTATTCTGCTCGCCCTGGGTCGATGTACGGGTCTGGCGTGTGGCCTGTCAAGCGGTAGGGATTGTTTGGACGTGCGGCGCTTTGTTGTAGTCGATGTGCAGGGCTGTTGCCAGAGTAGGCCCGCCGTTGGCCCGTCTCCTCAATCTACGGCTCTCATTTCCAGGCCTCGTACAGTCATACAATGTAAACACCCAAACTTGGATTTTTTTGCAAGCATAACCATGCGCATTATCTTATACTACATATTCCCCGCATGAGACTCGACGGCTTCCGGTCGAGTAGCCAGTACAAGACTACAGGAGTGAAGGACTTAGAGCCATGCTTGCTGAACATTTGGAACTTCTTCAATTCTTAGCGCAAACAATTGCCCCCTCTAGGTATTAGGAGCGTCTATGACCTTTCACTTCCCTTTCACTCGCACCTTGCCCGGACCATGACAGGTCCTTGTCCTTCTTGTCATGGCGCTCCAAATCGTTATAGCCCTGAGCTAGACAACCTCACGCCGGCCGTGGGTTACGTCCCTCATGTCCCAAGTCATGCTTTTAACACATCCCTAAAACCCCGCCCAAACTCCAAGCCGCAATGCGTTAGAAGTAGTTGATAGATGCGCCCTTCGCCGGGAAATCCTCCTAATATGTCCTAGCCAGGTTGCGCAGGTACCAGTCGACAAGCTTGCGACCCACCTTTGCCTCAGAGACGTGAATGAGGTCCTGGTTTCTGTTAGCAAAGTAGTCAAGGTAATTATGAAATTGGTACATACCCCTTCCATAGCGTAGTCAAGGTCGCTGCTGTGCGCAACATCGCCCTCCAACAGACCACCCTCGCTCCACCTCAGTTGTCGGTTCCTCTGTTTGTTGACAAGCAACCAGCACCTCAACTTCTCAGGCTCGACCTCAAGGAAACCAGCAAGCTTCTTCAAGTCCATCGTGGAGTATAGCTTGAGGTAGCTCTTGACAGTAGGCGACATCATGGTGTTCTTGACCTCATCCATGAAGATACCGAGGTAGTGCTCGACAGGGTCGACGTTGATCTCCGGGTTGTCAAAGTCTGGCGGCGTAGGGTTGATGAACTTGGGGCACGCGGATCGGAAGAGCTCTTCAAAGAGCGGCAGGTTCTCAGGACCACCGCGCTGTAGCCTGTTGAACTGCTCTCCGTACTTCTCGCGAAGCGCCGTATGGATGGTGTCGTCCAGGCGGGTAGGGTGGAAGGCAACGCAGATCATGATCAGGGCATACATCTGGTCATTCTTCTTCGTGATCGAGTCGTACTGCGCATTCTTCTGAAAGTTCTTCGTCCGTGACACGTAGACGAGGATGTGGCTGAACATGCGGATGGCATCGGCATAGCGGCGCATCATCATATAAGAGAAACCAACATAGTAGTAGGTGGTGAACTGAGCAGCCATGACGCGGGGGAACATGGACTTCTTGTTGAGTTCGATGTCGTCGAGCGTCTTGAGTGCCAGACTGAAGTCTCCCAGCAGGCAGTGCACGCGCAGGAGACCGATGACGGAAAAGTATCCGAGCATCTGGTAAAGTGGCCTTGAGCCGTACTCTCCGGCATATTGTTTCGCGTCTTCTCCTCGCTTGACAGCGTTCAGCTGCTCGCTGATTTGTGATCGCTGAATGAGCGAGTATAGGACGTTAAGCACACTGTAGCATCCCCACGTGTTGGGGTTCTCGCGCAGAAGCTGAATCTCCTCCGGGTTCTCGTGCTTGAAGGCGACCTTCTGGCGATAGCCGCAAAAGCTGTTGAACTGGTAAATGAACTCGTCGATCACGTCCCAGGCCCACGAAGACTGTTCCATGCGTTAGCCACGTTCCATGTTACAGAGAAAATCTCCTCACGTTGGGGGCGTCAATGTCGACTGGTCCGTCCGAGTTCAGGATGAAGTGGAACAAGTTGCAGTAGTTGTCGTAGCTCGCAAACTTGGTCTCGAGTGTGGCTTGGAACTCGAGAGGTGTCGCTGCGGCTGCAAGCTGTGCCTGGATATCTCCACCGCTGCCCATGGACGGTACCCGGTCCAGGTCGTCCATTCCATCGTACTGAGCCGCCTCGCGGTACTCGTTCGCCATGACTTCCTCCTCTGCGTCAGACATGTTGCCGGTGCGCGCGCGGTGTCGTTGTCCTGATGGTTCGGGGGCACGCGTTCTCGCAGCTTCAAAATCGCACTTCGGCCGGCGATCCACGTGGCTTTTGGGGGAGAAATCGGCGGTAGTTGACGGCGGCGTTGTCGTGAATTTCGAATGCGGGCCAAATCTGAATTCGCTTGTGGGTGGCACTAGCCACAGCCCCTGCGCCACAAGAGGGGCACGAACAGCCGTTGCGACTTCCCCGTCCGTATTGCTCAACGATCAACAGCTCTCTCTTGGCATTTGTCGATGGGACAAGCTCAGCATCACAGCCACAAAGCCAGCATCGAATCAAGTGAAGCGGCTGACATGCGGACGACGCCGCAATCATGCTTGCCAACGGCGACCGACTGTCGACGAACATTTATAAATTGTCACAGCTGCCGTCATCTCTTTTCATCATCAGCCCTATCCAGTCTTGAATCAACATGGCTTATGTTACGCTTCTTTACCTCACGCGCAAGCCAAGTCTTACGCCCGAGCAGTTCTAAGACTATCACGAAAATACTCACCTTCCGTTCATCAAGTCCGTCTTGGGGCAATTGGCACCTTTGAGGCACCGCCGCTGGTGCCTCGCTCGCGCCGAGATCAAGGACTCTGGCTATCCATCACCAATGCTTACAAGAAAACCAGAAGGCTTTGATTACGACTGCATTACAGAGGTATCATTTGAGAGCGAGGAACCAATCCATGAGTTCAACACAATGTACACGCATCCAGAGGTCATAGCGGAGTTTGCAGAAGATGAGGAGCGGTTTACAGTCAAGGAGAATATGAAAGCTATCGTCATCGGAGAGGTCAGAGAGAGCTCCCCTCGAAACGATTATTGAGCGCGCAAAGAGGTCAAAAGAGGAATCCATCTGTGGTTTTTGAATTACGACACTGCGTCTGGGACAATCACTAGTCGTGTGAATGTGAAGAGTTCACATACTACATTCATGGATCCAATCGGAGCACCATCTCCTGTGCACGAAGATCTAGTCGCATCATCTGAACCTGTGGCGCATCACGAAATCTCCGTCGTTTCCTAGATGATTTCTCTAAGGCGGCTCCATCTGTAAACGAGATTTGATATCGCAATGGTGTATCATTAGTGGTGGACGCCTACCGGTCTCTGATTGGCGGATTTCCAAATTTCCCATCCCGCAACTTCTCCCCGCATACGCTTGCCCCCTTCCCCAGATCACACCCGCGCTCCAAACTCCACACAGCTAGACATCTACGCGTAATGGCTTCTTTCACCGAGGCAAAGCTTGTTCGTTCTACAGCCGATCCGCTGGACTGTGTTCTAGCTCGGTTGCCACCGCCAGAACCTGGTTCAAGGGCCCATGCGAGCTCATCTAAATATCCGCGGGTCTGGATGAGAAGAGTATATTAAGCCAGGGGTCCTCGCAGTTATTTGAGCAGGGCCAGCGACCTCAAAATCAAAATGCCTTCGATATCGACATCATTGTCGTGGCTCTCCGTCTTCGGCTTGCTGTTCAGTCCACAGAGCTGCCTGGCTCTGAGCAAAAAAGACCGACTAGCATGTCAAAGAGCAACGCATGACCCGCTCAAAGGCTGTCCAAAGCATACATTGCTTGTTGATGCAGAGTCTGCCAATGCAACTGCAAAGAAAAACGTCTTTTCGAGCATCCAATCGGCTGTCCTGTCTCTCCCCCACGACAACTCAACCCAGTACATCTTGATCCTGCCGGGTCAATATACTGAGCAGGTCAATGTCACACGACCCGGCCCACTGTATCTCTTGGGTCAGACGAGCGACGCGGCGAGTCTAGCAAAGAACACCGTCGAGGTTGTTTGGCATAACGCAACCGGTACGGCCACTACCGGTTCTTACGATAATGCGTGGACCTCGACTTTGACGATTGCGCCGACTTTCAACTCGTCCACGACCGGTGCAGGACCAACGGGTAACCATGTACCGGATGACACACCGTTTGGCAACTTCGATTTCCGCGCATACAACCTCAATTTCACCAACGACTATCTACCGTACTCTGCTGGACCTTCGCTTGCACTATCGACTTCCTACGCAAACACCGGATTCTACCACTGCTCGTTCAAGTCCTACCAGGATACCATTTACGTTGGCAAGCTTGCGAACAGCTACATGTCCAAGTGCGAGATCGCCGGACAGACCGACTTCCTCTACGGCTTCGGCACCCTCTGGATCGAAGATTCTGATTTGCTCATGCGCAGCTGCGGCGGCGGCATCACTGCATGGAAGGGTACCAACACCACATATGAGAACAAGTTCGGCGTGTACATCCACCAGTCAAACGTTGTGGCGGCCAACTCTTCCATCGCTCCGGCCATGGTTGGAAAGTGTGCGCTCGGTCGTCCGTGGAATGCGCAGCACCGTTCCATTTTCGCGAACACGTACCTTGATGCTTCGATCAAGCCGAGTGGGTACATTGCCTGGGGTACCACTGATCCAAGGGTCAATAACTACACGTTGATGGCGGAGTATAAGACATATGGCCCCGGCTGGAACCAAACTGGCAGGATCGACGGTAACGTCACACATATCCTGACTGAGAAGCAGTGGCAGCCGTACTCTAGTCCTTCGAAGGTGTTTCAGTTCTTTAAGAGCGGTAAGACAGGGAACTCTGCTTGGGTGGATTGGAATGCTTGATTGTCATCATGGCATAGTTAAATTCGGCTCGAGACTTTAGCTATATGGCTTTTCCCAATGCAACTGAACTTCTCTGACTGTACCTTGACTGAACCACTCTATCTATGGTCCCTTGTCTGATCTGTGGAGTTACGACGATTGGTGATTCGTATGCCAACTATGTAATCTTCAGGCATGTCACAACAGTGCGCGATGTTCAAGAACGATGAAGAGCATCATCGACACTCCAAATTTCCAGCTCGACAAGGTACTCAGCACCATACCTGGTGTTGCCACACACCCAGGACGGCTCCACTCTCACCATGTCGATATCTTCATTCTGCTTTGTTCTGATTCCGTCCACGCACCGCACCGCTCATGATCGTCTTAGATGGAGGCTTCGGTTTCCCGCACCCCACCACGCTGCTCTCCTCCATGGGGCCATAAGTGTACTCATTTGTGTGCTGTGACTATCATCTGAGAGGGAATGAAAGAGCCTATAATATGGTAAATTTGAAGTCGCTGGTGGGAACATAGTGTTTGATGAGTTGTGGCCCACATCAGCTCTGCTCAAATTCACTTTTGCTCAGTATCATTGACGAGTGTTACAAGCATCGAGTGTGTAAGCACAGCGGCCACACTCTCCAGACGCAATTCGTGTCCGCAGCATTTTGAGGAGCGCTCTCTCAGATCTGCACATGCAGCGATCTCTGGACCCTCTTAGCGCTGAAGCGGGTGAGCACCAAGTGCTCCATGTTGAACTTCATTGGGGATTTTGGCAGCTTTTTGAATTGCACGATGAAGTATCGGTGAAGAATCTGGGCATGCGACGGATGTTCATCTCGCTACACGAAAACTTCACAAACATGTTCAGGATGAAATTCACCTTTTGGTGTATGACCAACCGACGGAAATGTTGCCCATAGCTGGTCTAAGAATTGGTTTTAGTGCATCCTTCGATCGAGTTATGAAGTGCGGAGAAAAATTCGGAGTAAGCAATACGGTTTTATACTGCAGTAGGCATTGAGCTTTCGGCTGTGTATCTTAATCGACAGCTACTTGACAACATGGCTATCTGCTGCCATTCCTTTTGCATTCCATCGATACCTGAAGCTATTCCATAACTTGTACAAACCGGTGTTTTCAGCCGAGCAACCGGCTCTTATGTAGGGCGAAGAAGAGATCTTTGGCTATGTGATAAGCACTTGTGCAAGAGAAATCATGAAGGTTCAAGAAGCTGGGTCTGAAACGACAGCTTCTCAGTGGTGTATGTATCTGAGATCCGTCCGTCCACCTCCAAGAACCCATAATGAACATATCCGGCAATATTTTGTGCAATATTTTGTGCATCAATAGTACAAAATGCCATTCTCCAGCCATGGACGTGTAAATCAGATGATTCAAGACACGACACCATGATGCTCTCAGTGCTTTCTCTTAGAGCGATGTAGTCCGGCTCAGATAGGTCTTGTTTCTAGTGCAATCTGAAAGATGGAATGTTGCTGCAGCTCCAGAGAGTATTAGCGCGGCATGTATTTCCAAGAGTACATGGATTTTCATGCCATACTAGTTTGTGTCGATAGAGAGACACTGCCGAAGACGTGGATATCTTCATGGGCGGATTTTGAGTGGCGCAGTCCCCATGAAGACATTGTGCCGGCTTTTGCGCACATGGCATGTTCCAGCGCGATATTTTCGTGAAGTGCTGCCCAGAACAGACTCCACCGATCATTGTGTTCGTAGTTGTGGTTCTTCTGCCGGAGGAGATACATTTATGACATTGGTATCACTTTGATGACCACGAAGGCAGCAAGAACGTGTAATGGTAGAATGCGCCTTTTAAATATCTGAGTTTCGAACAGACACGGAGCTCCCCATGCGTGCTACTTTTTCAACCTTTGATTCCAATCGAATGGTATTGCAGTGTGAAGATCAAAATACCAGACTGCCTGCGGAACGATTCCTTTTATACATTTGTTGCAACCATCGGAACAAAGATAGGTTGAGCTAGAGGGCGATGCTCTCCATCACCACTGCACTGCGATGGACTGAGCTGCTCAGGTGCAGAGATGCGATCCCATTTGCTTTGTTCCTCTAGCAACCATCAGTCCCTTCGATCTGGGCAGCCCAATCTTCTGATGATATGGCTCATCTGAACTCATCTTGAACGATCTCCTTTCATATATAAGGTCTCCTGAAGTATCTAAGCCAGCTTCGGCGTCATAAACTTGACTCAATTCACCTTTTTTGTGTAATGACATGAGATTGTCAAAATATCTACGAGATGTGTACGCTCTGGACATATATAGAAGTAGAAGTATTGGATCGCTGTATTTCCCTCTCATTGTGCTTTAACATTCCAGCTAGATTAGACACATGAATCGATCTGGAGCATTTCACCCAAACTTGCTTAGAACAGCATCGGCCCCTTCCCACTCTTTCCAGATGAGCTGCTCCTTTGCCTCGCTCCTGACCGTGAACTCTATTTTGCTTTCCTTCGGACCCGTCAGAACCGCATCTTTGAATCCAGTCTCGACGTTCGTGTCTAACGTGGTCCCAGCTTCCGGCCTATAATTCACATGCACGCATTAGTCCTCGTCCCCAGAGCAGCTGTATCGCATGGTCTTACCGCATATCAAAAGCCCAAAGCAGCTTCGCCATCGTCAACAACAAGTTCCTCTCTGCCATCTCTTGGCCAGCACAGACTCTCCTTCCCGCACCGAACGCATACGATCGTCTCCTAGAAGAATCGTCGGTGGAGACGAATACAGAATCAGAGCTGTATCCAGGCAGCGGGGAGCTGGATTCTTCTACCAGCCAGCGTGTAGGGTCGAACGCGTCGGGGTTGGGAAAGTCTTCTTCGTTGTGGTTGATTGCCCAGGTGTTCATCAGCGCTGTGGTGCCAGCTGGGATGAAGTAGCCTTCGTAGATGTCGTCTTTGCTTGTAGCGTGCGGGAGGCTGAGGGGAAAGCTGGGGCGCCAGCGGAGGACCTGGTGGTATTAGTCGTACTTTCCACCTGTACTTAGTTCATCTCTACTCACCTCCCACAAGATTGCCTGGAGGTACGGCACTTTCACCGCCTCGATATCCGTCGGTATCTGATCTCCAAACACCCCATCGACCTCTTCCTGTGCCCTCCTCTGCACATCGGGATGCGCCGCCACCGCCAATATGAAAATCAGCGAAGCCACCGCCGTTGTATCCGCCCCCGCTTCAATCAAAAATCCCGCAATATACACCAGCTCAATATCCGTAAATCCCTCCTTCTCCCTCCTCTCCAACAGTTTCGCCAAGAAACTCTCCTTCGCCCTCCCCTCCCCAACACCCTTCCTTCCCCGCTCAAATAACTCCTTATAATACCCTCTTTGAGCCACCGCCAGCCTCGCACTCCTCTTTCTCCACCCTGGCCACGGCGTCAACACACTTGGCACATACCTCAGCCACGGAAACACATCCAGCGGCGGCATTGCCCCCATATCCAGGATCCCTGCCCACTCATCCTGGATCTCGAAGAACCGATCCGTCATCTCCCTCGTGCCGCGCACGCCATACACGCTCTCGAGAATGACCGCACAAAACGCGCGCAGCACGTGTTTCTCAAACGCCGCGGGCTCCTGCAGAATCTCAAAGACCATCTGCGTGGACTCGGCCTGCTGAATCGGCCGCACCTTTTCCAGCTCCTCGTCCTTCAGGAAAGATACGAGGGCTGCGCGGCCGCGGCGCCAGTTGCGGTCGTGCGGCATGAAAGCGACGTGGTAGGGCCCCGGGACGACGTAGTCGACCATGGGAATGTACGGACGGGAAGAGTAGATTGCGCCGCGCTGGTCGAAGAGGTCGCGCACGGCGCGCCAGGTGTTGAGCACGACGACGGGTTGACGGCCGAAGCGGAGGCCGAGGATGGGCGCGGAGTAGTCGCGGGACCATTTTGTAAAGGCGAGGAAGGGCTTGGTAAGGGGGAGTTGGTGGAGATTGCCCAGGAGAGGAAGAGGGTTGGGACCTGGGGGAAAAGGCAGTTTGTTAGAGGGGCGGCGGGTGAAGCTGAGAAGGGTGGAGGAGAGGAGGAGCAGAATGCTGAGGACTGTTATCGAGGCGAAAGGGTTGGATGTAATGGTTGTGACGACTTCGTTGGTTTGGATGCTAAGAGAGGTTAGAGACGAGGGGTCTGACGTGCAACAGAGGTCTTCTTACTCCATGGTTGGCAAGCGTAGGGAATCACTTATCGCTCTACAACTGCAAAGAGCTTAGCAAAATATCAGACGCTTTTGGTTCTCTTTCCTCGATCAAGCATCTCCACAACTCACCAAGTTCCCCAATAAAACGTTCAAAGCCCATCCACTCACCGAGCAATTCTGTCAAACACAACTCGCAGCACCACCCCTCAACCCAACCCAGTATTTATCTCCATCCCCCCTCCCGCCCAGAAACCAAGAGCGCGCGCCCATGTGTCTGTGTGCGACGCACCCCAAGCTGTCGAGCACCGCACTTAACAAGGCTGCATCCACCGATCAGGCTCCACCGCACCAATCACAACGCCCGCCATCATACCGTAAGCACCAACTCCCGGCCTTATACCCCCATCCAGCACACCTTGGCGCTGACCTTACATCTCCCTGCAGCCGCACCTCTACACCGCGGGGGCCGGTGCGGTACTCTGTTTCGCTGCGTCGTTCAGACCTTACATTTGTCAGCGTAACGTGCGCCCCTCTTGCATGTAGGTCGCCGGGCATTCATATAAACGCAAACGAAGGGACAGGCCGTCAATCAAACCAAACACATAAAAAACGTAGCTTCGCTATCGATAGCTATATAAGATCCCCTTGTCGGGTCTATAGATGCCATAAATGCTGCCAAAACGGCCAAAACACACCCGTGTGCTCCTGCACAGGGGCCCAACGCCAAACTCCGCCCATGCTGGATGATATAGTGTATCTACAAAGGACAGCGGCAGTGCTAATGCATAAGGCGCTCGGCCGCACGGTCCAGGATCTCCGCTGTCTTCTTGATCTGCGCCTCTGTCTCCTTCCAGTCCTTCGTTTCGTCGAGGGTATGCCGCTCGATGGCGTCGCGGATGAAGGGGAAGGTGTAGGACGTGTCACTGGCGTCGTAGCGCGAGGGACCGAAAATGATGTGCTTGAATTGCGTGCGGCCAGGTAGCTGTTGTTGCTATTAGCATTTCACTCCCGGTGTGAAGAAGTGGCAAAGTAGGACTTACACCATGCTCCTGCTCTCCATCCACGTTTCCACGCTGCACATCCAACAGATCCGACTCGAAGCCCGCCATCCGCGCATTGTGCGCCACCCGCTGCACGGTCAGGCCCTGCGTCTCGAAGCCGCCCGTGCCGACGATCTGGTTGTACCACGCCGTCTCCCACTGCTCGAACTCTTGCGCTTTGCCGCCGACGTTGGCGAGAGCATCGACTAGCGGCTGGAACATGCCAATGTCGAAGTCGCCGCCTTGCTTCTCTGTCCATTCGATGAGCTTTTGACCCTCTTCTTGGAGGGAAGTAGCGTAGTCGTCGACCTTAAGCGGCATGAGGGGCTCCTGGGCAAGCTCGAGGATGATCAGGACCCAGATCTGTGTGAGGAGATTGTGGTATACGAAATCTGGATCGACGTGCTGAGACATCCATTCGAAGGTCTCGTAGCAGCTGTGCGCCATGTCGCCGTGCTCAGGACCTGAGAAGCCGAAGTTTAGAGACGAGCAGCCGGCTAGGTCTTGGAAGGCCACGTAGTCACTGTCCACGCCTAAACCACCAAACTTGTCGCCATGATGATGTTGCCAGAGCTTGAGGAGGGTGACGTTTTTGTGCGGATCCGAGATACGGTCTAGCACACGATTCCAGGCATGTTTGAAGATGGGAGATCCATTGGCCCACAGCTTGTCGCCCGTTACGCCGACATCGACGTTCAGGTATGCGATGGCGTTTGCGCGGAGTTCCTCCAAGTTGGCTTCTACGTGCTCAGTCGATCCAATCATGTTGTACTCCTCGGCATCCCAAGATGCGAATTCGATGGTGCGAAGCGGACGCCAGCCTTGCATGCGCAGCTCGCCTAGGACACGTGCGACCTCGAGCATAACAGCTGTTCCAGATCCTGGGTCTGCGGCACCAAAACACCACGAGTCGCGGTGGCTGCCGACGATGATCTTCTTGGCTTTGTCTTCTGAGCCGAGAAAGGAGCCGAACACGTTCGTGATTCGCTGCCTGTCCACCTCTTCCTGGTTGTTCTGAAGGTTAACCTTGGGTGACTTCTCAGGATGGCCAGACCACCACTTCTCGCCCACGTCTGGAACTCCGCCGATCCAGTGCTCGAAGTTTCCTTCCGGGGCTATTTCTTCACCTATGCCTTGCAGTGACTGAAGGAGTTTCTGCGCTTGATCCCAGGAAATTGGTATGCTGGGGATGGTAGGTAACGCGGGGTTTTTATCCTTGGGCATGCGCTTTTGATCCTTTGTGCTGGGTAGTCCCGGCGTGAGTGGGTCGCCTATGATCATGTTGGACATGGCTACGGAGCCTCTCTGCACACTGCCTGCTGGTCTCCACCGGCCCTCTGGCCACGCCTTGCCTTTCTTGAAACCGTCCTCGGCGGGGTCTGAGTACATGATGACACCGGCTACTCCTGCATTTTGCGCTGCTTTTACTTTCATAGCCCTGTCCGATTGAGAACCATAATATCGCATCAGAACGACCGCCCCTTGGACATCGATCCCGCTGTCCCATAACGTCTTGAAGTCTTTCTTATCGCCGAAGTTGACGTAGATCAGCGGTCCCGTAACATTGCCAGAAGCTGAATATCCATGGAACGCCTTTGTCTGCGCCCGCGGGGGATTATACGCCTCCCTCTCTTCCAACTGAGCCTCCCACTGCTTCTCTTTCGGTTCTACGATGGCAACCCGGCGGCCCTTTTCTGTTGGATAGTTCAAGTACACGAAGTACTCGTCGTGGGTATATGTGTCCATGTGCGCCTCCTTGAACTGCGCCTCTATCCATTGTCCCAGTATGTAGCTCCCCTCTGTGCCAGCCACGTGGTCGTAGGACGTAACGTATCTGAGGTTTTCTCGCAGCCTAGGGGTCTCCACATTTTGCAGCGCGAACTGGCGCACCCACTCGGGGTTGAAGGGAGCGCCGTAACCCGCGCCACCCATGGGCACCACCTCGCTCACGACCAATAGATATACCAGCGCCACGATTACTATAAGACCACACAATCTTGCCATGACGGACCATCCTGGCCTGTACTCGACCGGTATCGTAGGCAGCCTCGACGTGAGGGAGTGGAACAGAGCAGCAGGCGAAGACGGCCACGGTATCCGCGGGAGGTGGAAACTGGACAGCGAGTTGGTGATGCTGTAGAAGCGCTTCGAGAACCGGCCTCGAGAGCGATTCCTCCGTGCGCGCCCCTCGTCGGCGCTCTCCGGGTCCAGGATCTCCATCTCCTCCATCGTCTCCCTCAGCTCTGCCTCCTCGTCGGCGTCCACGGGACTCCCGAGCCCGCTGTCGCCATCGTCGTCGTCGTCGACCGACTGCACCGACGGCGGGTGGTAGTAGCCATTGCGGCGGCGCGAGCTCGACTGCACATTGGGGCCTGCGGGCAGGTCGTGGCCCAGCAGCGTCTGCCGCTCCGCATCGTCCGAGGCTTCTTGGGGCCCGCGGCGCGAGTACTGTGTGTTGGAGGAGGACGTCGCCTCTTCGTAGGTGGGGATCGGGGGCTCTTCGCGGATCTCGTAGAGGTGCTTCTCGTCGGCCATGGCCTCTCAGCGGCGGATCGGACGGATCCCGGAAGCGTGCGCGGCGAGGGTCGCAGCGCCGGCGATAGGGGGTGTGGCTCGATTACTAAGGATATGGTGGTGTACTACCGAATGCGCATATACATGATGAATAACAAAAAGAGAGCGACGAGGGTCGGGAGGAGAGAAAGTTGCTGTGGCTGCTGTCGCAGGAGGTGGTGTGTCTGGAGATAGTGGTGGTGGCTCGGGACCAAGTCCGCCGAGGCTTGGAACCTGGCGGGCGCGACGAAACACTTGCTCTCCTCTACGACACTTGTCCATGCACTACTTGCGGGGGAAAACTCAAATCTGTTTGGGACATATACAGATTGGCTAAATATTTACAGCACCGAAACTTATCGTCTCAGCATGCGCGCAGCCCGTCCCTCGGGCTTGTACAATCTACATACAGCAGTAGTACCAGGCTCTCGGTACCCTCTACATGTTCCGACCACCCGTCACCATGATCGTCTGCCCAGTGACATAGCTCATCAGCGGGCTCGCCAGCGCAAGCACAGCGCTCGCTGCCTCGGTCGCATTGCCTGGCCTCCGCAGCGGGATGTCCAAGTGCTGCTCTCCTGCGCTGGGTCCAGCCGCCTTCTGCGCCCCTGGTATGCCCAGCGCAACCTTTGTGCCATCGGGGGTCGTGATGAATGCACCCGCCTCCTTCGCCGCCGTCAACCGGGTGAGAATGTGTCCAAAGGCGACCGTGTTCGCCCGCACACCGAAAGCTGGGCCCCACCTACACAAGTTAGTGTCACCTTACGCATCGGGGAAGAGCGACATACTCCTTTGCGACCGTCTTCGTCAGACCCGTCACACCCGCCTTCGCAAGCGCGTAGTTGATCTGTCCTGCATTTCCATGCACACCCGAGGTACTCGAGATGTTGATGATGTTCCTGGGCTCGCCATCCTTGACTCGGAAGTACGGCGCCGCGGCCCTGATAATCTTGAAAGGCGCAGTGCCGTGTACATCGACGATGGTGTGCCACTGTTTGTCCGTCATCTTGTGGATCACACCGTCCCAGGTGTAGCCAGCGTTGTTAACAATGATGTGAATCTTGCCGCCGCCGAACTCTGCGGCTTTCTTGATGAGGTCCGCAATGTATGCGTCGTCGAGGACATCGCCGGCGACCGCGATGGCTGCGCCGCCGCTCTGGTTGATCTCGTCCGCTACAGACTGTGCTTTCTCTACTACCTGTTAGCTGGTGACCCAGTCAAGCCTGCGTGCAACATACTCGCATCCACGTCCGCAACGACGACCTTGGCGCCCTCGTTTGCGAACAACCTCGCTGCTTCAGCGCCAATGCCTTGTCCGGAACCTGTAATAATAGCTGTCTGGCCAGCCAACATACCCTTAGGGTAGTTGAGATGGCCTGCGATCTGATTAACACGAGCAGACATTTTGGTTAGGAGCTATGAATTGAAGACAGTGGATCACGACTAAGGTGCAGAGGTGTTCGGCTTATAGCGACTACAAGCTCAAGATCATCAAATGCGGAGGGGTTTAACCGATGGATCAGATATCCGCTGCGCGCCCGCATGGGCCGAGGTTCATCTTGGAGGGGACGCTAGACCAATATCAGGGTAGTTAAAACCGAGGGAACTACTCGTCGACGTATGTAAAGTCGCAAAGAATTACTCGTGCCACATATTGGCCACGCTCTCGCGAGAGAGACAAGGAAGCAGCGACGTATATATATAGAGCGGATAAGCATTTATCCAGTCCACGCACTGGCAACCAGATAGGCAGTAGCTTTTGACGCGACCCATAGAAACGGGTGCGTCAATGACGTACAGGTCCTCTCAAATGCTATTTGCAATGATTCGCAAATATATAGCTATATGAATGTGTTTACACAGTACTCCTCGCACCCTGCAGTAAATCTCAAGACATATAGCATTCCAATTCTTCACAATGACCAAAATCTTCATGTACAGTGCCATACCCAATAGGAAAGTGGAATAGTACTGACGACCACAGCACGGGAGCCACCGGCTACATTGGCGGCGACACGCTGTACGAGCTGTACAACAAGTACCCAGACTACGAATACACGGCCCTCGTCCGCACAGAAGAGAAGGGAAAGCAGGTCACATCGAAATTCCCGAAGGTGCGGATTGTGCAAGGCGACAATGACTCCACCGATCTGCTGAAGGAAGAAAGTGCGAAGGCAAACATTGTAATCCGTAAGTCTTCATTCTTACAATAGCCCGAGTATACTCAACTTGAATTCCTTCTCCGGCTACTCGATGCCAGAGACAAACTCGATTGCGACGAGGGCTACATATGTATCACCGTCTCCCACTCCCATTCCATGCTCCATGTTGCCACAATGCTTCTCTACCATGCATACCTTGGATCCACACTAACCCCCTACAGATACAGCAGACGCCTCGGACAACGTCAATGCCGCCAACGCCATCGCCGCCGGCCTAACCTCCGGGCACTCCTCCTCTAACCCGGGCTACTGGCTGCACACCGGCGGCACCGGCATTCTGACGTACTTCGACTCTCGCGACGGCAAGCTCGGCGAGAACTCGGACAAGGTCTTCAACGACCTCGAAGGTGTCGACGAGCTCATCAGCCTGCCCAGCGAAGCCTTCCACAGGAACATCGATGAAATCGTGATTAACTGCGGGAGGAACGAGGGGGACAAGGTGAAGACGGCGGTCGTGTGTCCGCCGACGATATACGGTATGTTTATTGATGCTACTCGTCAAAGTCTTCTCCACCACAACAAGGGACGGCTAACTGACGGACACAACCAGGCGAGGGACGCGGCCCCTCGCTCACCCGTGGCCGCCAAGTCTACGAGCTCGCCAAACTGACCCTCCAGCGCGGCAAGGGGCCCACCATCGGCCACGGCAAAGCCCGCTGGAACAACGTCCACGTGCACGATCTCGCGCGGGCCTTTGTGCTGCTCGTCGACGCCGCGGTGGCGGGCAGGACGGATGACGGCCTCTGGGGCGAACAGGGGTACTACTTCACCGAGAACGGGGAGCACTACTGGGCTGAGCTGAGTGCGCGCATCGCCGAGTCGGCGAAGAAGCAGGGTTTCATCCAGTCGGCGGAGACGGAGGCGCTGGATGAAGAGACGGCGAAGAAGGTCGCTGGGTTTGAGAGTATTAGCTGGGGTTTGAACTCGCGGGGGGAGGCGAGGCGGTTGAAGAAGTTGCTGGGGTGGAAGCCCGTCGAGAGGAGCATTGAGGATGAGGTGGACACCATTGTTCAGAACGAGCATGACAGGCTGCAGAAGGAGTGAGAGTGGGGTGGTGGGTGTAGATATGTAGGTGCTATCTAGGATGAACAAGCTACTCGACGACCTTGCTAGACGTAAGTTTTGACCATGTGAGCTACTTTGCAGGATTTTCTTGTCTACCTAAGAGTATACATGCAGGCATTCTAACTGGGTGTCCGATCAACTTCCTCAATGCGTACTGCACGTATGTTTCCATACCTAGCAGGCGAAGCTGCGGCGTAGAGCTACGGCAGAAATGGAACGTGCCGAGTGAAGCAATCAAGAAGCGTCGTGATTTAAAGGCACGTGGATGTCTTACTGTGAAACCATGGGGATGAAACCAATAACTAAGTGTTGGTAGCCTATGTTCTGGATTTGTCACAAGATTAGTTGCTCTTTCGTCTCTATCCAGATAAATATCAACGATTCGGCGTCAGATCACGATACAGGTCTGTCGTCGCTATGCTTAGGAAGTGAGAAACTCGTTGTTTAAGTAGGTAGGCCGCAACCTCAACTCATATTATAGAACTATAAAATTACTGCCGTTACTATTATATTTCATCGAATTATTGCTTGGGTGAGTGGCGGGTTACCATCACTACGCTCTCCTGCTTCGGCCCTACTCAGACTTTGCCTCAAGTTTTGCTGAAAGGGACAAGCGCAGCGAAGATGAGAACGAGAATTAAGGTCTATCTAGGTCTAAGGCCTACTGAGGGGTTGCGTGTATGACTGACTGCATGCCTCGGCTAGTTTCTCGCGACATCCACCGCTCATGTACACGAGTACTTCGTGCAAACCTAGGGCTTTGAGGTCCCACTAACACTGGTCCGCGAGGCCTTCTCTCCCCCCTCCATGGCTTGCTCATTATCTGTGGCCGTAATTGAGCTCTGTCGCTCGCTCTCTAATACCTTGCCTGTAGATGCGTCCGAACGAGAATTGGAACCGACATCGGAGTTATGCATCAACTTCCTATTGTCGCGAGGATGGTTCAAGCGCAGAGGTGATTGTCCCCGACCCTGATAGCCTTGCACCTGCGAGAAACCAAATAGTCCGTTCAATGCCACGTGAAGTTCTGTGTCAGAACGCTTCGTGGGACAAGAACCCTGAGGATCTGTGCCACAGCGCTGGGGGGCGCTGAAGGTATCCGATCGAGTAACCTGGGGGTCTGTGCCAGCACGTCTTGGTGAGTCAAAAGTATCTGCTCGAGTGATTTCTGTTTCAGTGGAGGAGCAACAAGCTGTTGTGGTTAGTGAAAAGCGTCATGCACGAATGTCTTGCGTGACGTGTTTCAGGGCCTGGTTATCATATCATATGGACCCATACCATGTAAGGATTCCGATGAAGGCTCTGCTAGCTTGGTTGTATCTTGTGACTCGAGATAGTCTTTGCTGTTACGGAAAATTGCATCCGCAGCGATCACGCCGGAAGCCAATGACCATAACGGATAGCGAAGAAGAAGGGTAGCAGCGTCATGGTTATCCTTCTGACGCTCGGTCGATGGAACGGTCAGTTTAATCCTGTCTGGGACAGATCTTGAGTGAACTGCAGACAGATCGTGGTCCAGGCAATTCCTCATGTTCCAGTGACTTGGTTCATCTGATTTGGGATGTCCATCATATTGGGCTGTTGGATAGTCTCTTGGATTAGCAATAAAGAATCAAACAAGCTGGAAATAGCGATGTGAAAGAAAGGAGGTATCATTGTGTCGTGTCACGACGCTGGTAGCATCATGAATCGTCGTAAGGCTACGAGTGTGTCATGTGCGCCCCTATCTCCTCAGTCCAATCTCACCATCATTATCCCGTGGATCAACCCCATTTCCAGCATTCGCCGAGTGAGCACCTATGTTTGTGCTTCCGGTGGCGTTGGTGGCGCGGTTGTCGAGGTCCGAATCAAATCGCGGGTCGAGCTTGTTGCCTAAGTTGGTTCCATGGGGGCCATAGTTGGTTGAACCAAGAGTTGCGGATTCGCCTTGAGCATATCGGTTCACACGCTCGCGATCGGTGTCTTTCGGTGTGACGCCCGCTCCAGTTCCGTGGTAGTGGCCGTGCTCAAACTCATCGACCCCGCGTACGGCGATATTTTGCTGACGCTGCGCAGATTCATGGTCCCCAGTAGCTGAGTCGACTGCTGCATTGACATTTCCACGGATCGCTTCTCCGGTGCCCTTAGGTATGTCAGTATCGTGAAAGACAGTATGAGAAAAATGACAACCTGAACATACGTGAACCATTCCGACGCCTTTCTTTATAGCTGCGCCGAGCCCCTCACCAGTATGTGTTCCTGTCATATTGGATGTTTTGTGGGAGCGGTGTTTGTCAGGTTGTGAAGTTGGGCGATAGTGATATATGGAGGGTTAGAAGGAGGACAGATTGCTTGGGTGGGTCTTTCGGTTTTTATTGAGAAGCATGGAGTACTCCAGGTGACCCAGGTGTGACGAAAGAGACGCGCTCGGATCCTGCTATCCGCGGCGAACAGAGCATGAAGTCGCGACTTCCTGCCAGGGCGCAGTGACATCATCCGGCCAATCCCGGTGTTACCGAGTACATTGGGCATCACAGCCATATCAAACAGGCAACAACAGCACGATCGAAGACAATCAAACGTATTTAACAGTTGCATTTCAAGTGTACTCGACTCCATTAGCACTAAATGCCCAGCAGCATACTTGATGCTTTTGATATCCTAAAATCTCATCCAGTCATAAGTTCATACACCAGTCCTGACCTTTTAATACCACAACCCACGCAAAACTCTTCTTTCAACGAAAATACATCTACAACTTTCCAGCGGTGTAGAAGTCATCAAGTGCGACCTCGACACGCTTGGTCATGGTCTTCTCACCCTCACGTACCCAGACACGGGGGTCGTAGTACTTCTTGTTGGGCTTGTCCTCGCCATCAGGGTTGCCGACCTGGGTCTTGAGGTAGCCCTCCTTGCTCTTGAAATAGTCGCGGAAACCGTTGCTGTACGCCCACTGCAAGTCAGTGTCAAGGTTAACCTTGACAACACCATACGAGATAGCCTCGCGGAAGTCATCGACGGAGCTGCCAGAGCCACCGTGGAAGACGAGGAAGACGGGCTTGTCCTCCTTAGCCTTGGTCTGCTCCTTGACGTAGTCCTGGTGCTTCTTGAGGAGTACGGGCTGGAGCTTGACGTTTCCGGGCTTGTAGACACCGTGGACGTTTCCGAAGCCTGCGGCGATGGAGAAGTACGGGGAGATGGGAGAGAGAGTCTTGTAGATCTCGTAGATGTCTTCGGGCTGGGTGTAAAGCGAGTTGTTGTCAACATCCTCGTTGTTGACACCATCCTCCTCACCACCGGTGATGCCGATCTCCATCTCGAGCCACTGCTTCATGGGCGCAGCACGCTTGAGGTACTTGGCGGTGGTCTGGATGTTCCAGTCTACGGGCTCCTCAGACAGATCGATCATGTGCGAAGAGAAGAGGGGCTCGTTGTGCTCCTTGAAGTAGGCCTCATCGGCGTCGAGCATGCCATCGAGCCAAGGCAGGAGCTTCTTGGCGCAGTGGTCGGTGTGGCTGAGGATGTGTTAGGTTTTGCTGGCTTATCGCTTTTCAATTGGTGACTTACAGAACGACGGGAATGCCGTAAGCGGGAGCGATTGAGCGGATGTAGTGGGCGGCTGCGACGGCACCGGCAATGGATGCGGCCTGGTCCTTGTTGTCTACGCCCTTTCCGGCGAAGAAAGCGGCACCACCTTGCGAGGTCTGGAGGATGATGGGGCTCTTCTTGTCGCGAGCAGCCTCAAGAGATGCGACAACGGTGGAGCTGGACGTGACGTTGATGGCGGGGATGGCGTACTGGTTCTCCTTTGCGTGCTGGAACAGCTTGAGAACATCGTCACCAGTGATGACGCCGGACTTGCGGGAGAGAACGCTGACGGGGTCAGTACAGAATCAAATGTGGCATTTGCGCGCTGAGCTCGGTAGAGATGAACGAAGCCAATGTTGCCATTGTGCAGTCGGCGCGTCCTCAATCGCCGATGGCGCTCTCACGCCACGCTCGGCGGGGGAGGGGCATTGACTTACTCTTGGGCACCCATTATGATTGTAGTTGTGTGGTTGGTTCGTGGATGTAAGTGGCTGTGGAATGTTGTGTCAGAAAAGTCGGAGGCAGAGGATATAAAGGGAGGGAGCTCTGATGTAATTGCTTGATCCACTGGTGTTGAGCTGAGGTGGGGTTCACCTTCGCAGTTTCCTTGCGAACCCCACCAAGCCGATGCCGCCGGCGCAACCAAAAGCAACACGCACCCTGGCAACGAATCACGAGACAAGGCAGGCTTACCTGATAAGAGAGAGTGGGTAGGCAATTGAAAAGTCTGAAGCAGCTGTGACGTGGGTTGAGCTTGAATTTAGGGCCTGAGAGTCTCTGCCTTCACGGCCGCGCTGTTTGTCGTCTCCCGGCGAGAAGCTCGGCTCAACTCCTGCACGCGCGCCTTCGCCCGATTCTCTCCGTGTGTAGACGGCTGTGCTTTCGAGGCGCACGCAAGGCGATTGGTGGCCTTCATGCCTCTCTACCTCCATCCGTGCCCGTGTTCGAATAATCTAGAATGTCAATGGCTCTGCCGTGCTGTCGAATCTCATCACGCGTGAGCATCACGATACATCCATGAGCCAATTGGCACGCGTCCCTGCCGGTTCGCGAAGGCTGTCGTGCTCCGAACGGCGCCTCACGTCTCGCCCATTAGCCCGAAACAAGAACCTGTCGGCATTGACATGTTTTGTACAGTGTATGTTTACAGCGAACGGAGACATGTCCGCACCCTCGGCCCCGCGCGGTCCCCGTCTCCCTATTGTACATGTGCAATGTCCCCATGAAGACAAGTGACGGGACGACATTCGGATGAGTCCAACACTCTCAGAACGATCCATCAGCCCAACATTGTTATCATACACCATCTCTTCAGCACCAGGCATTGCGTCTGGCCGTCTGCTAGATATGTAATACAGCTCGCTACTCCTTCGCCCGAATCCGAACTTGTCTTGTCAACGGCTGCGCGGCGCCAGGCACTCCGATCTCCACCTTGAACATGCCCAATTGCTTCACCTTGGAGGTATCGCCTTCTTCGTGGCCACTCACAAAGTGGACGTCGTTTTCTGCGAGGATGACACGGGCTGCCTCGTCATTGTGTGCAAGTGCGGACTTGATCGTCGCGACGATGTCTGCAGTCGATACGGACCCGTAGATGGCGTTTTCAAGGGGCTTGGGCTTGCTTGCTGACATGGCGAAGTTCAGGATGTCTGCTGCATTGGAAGCACCGTAGCGCTTCGTTTCTGTCTTCTCTTGCTCAATGAGCTGTCGTGCGAAGTCGATCGTGGGGGGTACGAAGGTATCGATGAGTTCCATGGATCGCTCAGCCTGGCTTCTGTCAGAATGCGTTCCCAGGGAGACTGAGTGAAGTCCATACACTCAGCTGCTCGATCTCAATCGGCCGCACATAGTGCTGCCGTGGCCTCGACACCTCGACCTCTTCCTCTGCTTCCTCCAATGTTGCCTTGACTCCGAAAGTAGCATCGCGGTTCATATCCACATCCTGGGCCTTCAATTGCTTCAGCTGCACGGCTGGTACATAGTCGGCTACGCGCGCGGGAAACCACTTATTGCGCATGAGGGCAGGGTTAATGGGAACGTACGATCCTGTCCAGCATGGTTAGTAGTTGCCAGGCAGCGCTCTCAGCAATCGTACCGGCGCGCCCGAACCGCGGGATATCCTCTCGCAGCTTGACGACGATGTTGCGCTCCGCCTCCTTCGCTGCCTTCGAGATGTTGCGCGTCTGCTGCTGCTGGCCCCATTGATCCAGCCCCCGCCGCGTCACCCTTCGTATGCATGACGTGCACTGTGGCAGCAGCGACGGTCTGATTGTAGATGCCATGGGGCGTTGTGGTGCTGTGGACGCGCTGATGACCAGAAAAAGTGCAGCCAAGCTTAGAATTCGGGATACCTTGCGAAGCGGAACACAGCGCGATGCACCCTAGCACGTGTCTAGCCGGTGTGGGCCTAGTCGGCAGACTTCACGAAACAAACGGCAAAGGCTACGATGGCTTACAGCGGCCTACTGCGAGAGAGAGACTTTACCATGGCAATCCGGGGTAAGGTAGTCTTGTCTGCTACCCGCGCCTTCCCTCAAAGCCCAGCAACGCCGCCGTCAGCGCCTGCTCCCCCTCCATCTTGAGGCAGTTAGCGAAATCGGGCCTACGTGATTGCCGCGGCCCACCGGAGGAGGGACCTGCGATTGCCATAGTCTTTCGCCCGTTGCTGGACTCACGGTCGCCTTTGCTGCAGAACCGCGCCGCCATGCCCGAAAAGCCGCTGACCGTGGCGACCTACGCTGCCGGAGCCTCCCTCGCTGCTATCACGCTCGTCTACGTCTTTGGACCCACCTTCTTTCTCGACGACGAAGCGTCGAGCGCGCGCAAGAAGGGCATTGTGGGCCTGAGCAATACCGCCAACGACTGCTTTATCAACTCGATCCTCCAAGCCCTCGCCGGCCTCCCCGATTTGCGCATATACCTCATTCGCGAGTTGCACCGGCGGAAGCTTGACGGCCCAGAACTCTACCATGTCGACCCGGAGAAACTAGCTCTCGAGAGGAGAGCCACAAAGCCATGGAAGCTGGAGGGATTGCAAAAGGGCTTGGTAACGCATGCCCTGAAGGAGGTTCTGGACAGCCTCAACGAGCGCCCCATCTACAAGAAGACGATATCCCCACAGCCCTTCATCCGGGCGCTGGAGCACGCTTTTGGCACGCGCATAAGCAGACAGCAGCAGGACGCCCAGGAGTTCCTTCAGATCGTGACGGAGCGCCTTTGCGACGAGTACCATGCCGGGACAAAGGCGCGACGGAAAGCACAGACGACCGACTTATCCAACGACAATGATACTGCGTCGGAGAGGCTGGAGATTGCCGATCAGTTTGATATTGCTCCGCCCAAAGATGATGCCGCTGCAGAGCAGGACACGGACAATGACGACTCGTCAACTGCTGAAGAGGGTTTCCCTTTCGAAGGTAAAATTGAATCGCAGATCGAATGTCTAACCTGCGGTTTCAAACCCAAGCCATCATCGTCCGCTTTCGTCACGTTAACACTTAGCGTACCCCAGACATCTTCGACATCACTAAATAAATGTCTCGACGGCGTTTTCAAGGTAGAGCACATCGACGATTTCAAATGCGAGTATTGCCGCTTAGATCACGCGATCCAAAGTAAAACCAAGGAGTTAGCACGGGCGTCTGCCCCTGAGATCCAGCGCGCTTTGCAATCGGACATTGACAAACTAAAAGAAGCGCTGGAGAGCGATCCCGAAAAGCCGCCAGAGGGCGTGGAGCTGCCGGACTCGAGCCTGGCTCCTAAACGTCGAATTGCTCGCCACATGTACATCTCATCGTTCCCTAAAGTTCTCGCTCTGCATCTTTCACGTTCTGTCTTCGCGATCGGCACCGTTTCTACAAAAAATCTTGCAAAAGTAAACTTTCCCGAATCTCTACCACTAGGAGGCATTCTCAATCGCAAGAACTATCGCCTGCTAGGGATGGTTAGCCACAAAGGCACACATAATAGCGGGCACTATGAGTCGTTCCGCCGCCAAGTCCAGCCTATACCGTTTTCTACTCCGCATTCGTTCGGTACCGAAGGAGTGTATAGCATGCAGGGCACTCCAAATCCGTCGGCAGTACAGAGTCCGCGCTTATCGGCTGTCCACCTTCCCAACGATACCGGTCGTGGATCACCTTTCCCTGCAACACCGACTCTAGATTCACCCTCAACAAGGTCCCTTTCCTCACAATCGCGGTCCTCAAATCTTTCGCCTTCGACAGCACCTACTTCCACGCCGCGTGAAGATTCTTCCCCAAACGCTTCTTCATCTCCCACATCAGCCTCAACAACGCGACCAAAAAGCTTGAAGTCGTTCAAAGGATCGCTCAGGGAAAAGGCATCCGATGCAAATCCACTTAGAAAGAGATCGAAACGGGCCAACAATCGCTGGTGGCGCATAAGCGACGAAAAGGTAAAGGAAAGTAAGACGAGCGAAGTTCTAGGCATGCAAAAGGAGGTCTACCTGCTTTTCTACGAGCTTGACAGAAGGAGTGAAGAATAACGACATTCAGCCTGCATGGCATGATCTTTTTGCAACATTCAGCACACGGCTCGGGAGCGGAGTTTGGCGGCATCTTGGCTTGGTCGGCAGTAGTAGGGATTCCTCAGCACTCTGCATTTCTGTGTATATACCAACGTAGAAGTAGATCTCCCGGATCGCTCAGGCATGTGTGCCCTCTATAAATTTAGTATTGGATTGGCTGCTAGCGATTTATCAGCATAGCCGTGATTGGTCGATATCCTCGAGCTTATAGGAAGCACTCGAGCGATCATACAACCCCACCTCCGCCGTATACGCCTTCGCATATGTGATGCAACGTCCACAGGAAGCTGAAGTTACACTAGGGTCGCAGTAGCAGCACGCCGCAGCATTGAGTGTGATCTGTTCAGCCTACGTGCCCTCGTATCGATCTGTAGTGGACGGCTGCCTAATATAAAGTACACTATACCAGGATCGTTCTTGCCTTCGACATTTGGATATTGCAACCGGATCACCCTCGCCGAAGCACAAATCCATCGCCTCTACCGCACCCCTGTACTATCCAAACTCCATCCCGGACACCCACCATGCCACCCGCGGCCACCACGGCCTCACCCCCCTCCGCCTTCGACCAAGACGTCTTCCTCAAAGCCCCCGGTACCCAGCTCTTCCTCAACCCGCCGCGGATCCTGATCATAGGCGCCGGGTCCCGCGGCTCCGCGTACGCCAGAGCAGCCCTCGCGAGCACCAACAGCATCGTCGCTGCCATCGCGGAGCCTGTTGCGTACAAGCGCACCGAGTTTGGGCGGAAGTACGTGTGGGGTGGGGGCGAGCCGGAGGTGGGACAGCAGTTTGAGGGGTGGAGGGAGTGGAGGGCGTATGAGGAGGACAGAAGGGGAAGGGAGAGGGATGGGTGAGTTTACTCCTTCTTTTTTCTTCTGTTGTGTGATTATGATTGTGGTGCTTTGAGGTATTGACACAGACAGCGAGCAGGTAGAACCCGGGATCGATGCGGTGTTTGTGTGTGTGCTGGATGAGATGCATGAGGAGGTTGTGTGTGGGATTGCAGGGCTCGGCGTGCATATCTGCTGTGAGAAGCCGTTGGCTACACGGTTGCAGAGTTGTGTGAATATCTACAAGGCACTGGAGAGTGCGAAGCGAGATGGAGAGGGAGAAAGGAAAGAGACCATCTTTGGGATTTGCCATGTTCTGAGGTATAGTCCGCACAACATGATGTTGAGGAATTTGGTGCTGGCGAAGGACGTTATTGGCGATGTGCTGAGTATTGAGCATGTGGAGCCGGTCGGATGGTGGCACTTTTCGCATGTGAGTGTTGTGTGGGTTGCGTTGCGTTGCTGTGGGAGCTGACAACGAACAGAGCTATGTGCGAGGCAACTGGAGGAAAGAGTCGAAGACAGCGCCGTCGCTTCTGACGAAGTCGTGCCATGACATCGACTTCATACTTTGGATGCTCTGCTCCCCACCGCCGAAAGCTGGCGTGGAGCCGCATCTTCCGTCACATGTGATGTCTACCGGCTCTAGGAAGTTTTTCAGGAAAGAGCGAAAGCCAAAAGCGGCTGGAGATGCGACGAACTGTCTCTCTTGCCCTCACGAGAAAGACTGCCTCTACAGCGCGCCCAAGATCTACCACGAAAGGCACCTGCAGCAAGGCAACACGGACTGGCCTGTCAAGATAGTAAATCCAGAGATCGAGGAAGTTTACAGAACAGCTGGGGTATCAGCGGCTACGAAGCAATTGTTCAAGGATCTTGGTGAAAATTACATGGCGGACACCCCAGTCTCTGAAGTCGAAGCCAGGCCATGGTTTGGCCGATGTGTTTGGGAAGCAGACAACGACGTCTGCGATGACCAGTGTGTAACCATCACTTGGGATGATGATCCACTCCTCTCGGAAGACGATGGTCGGCCGATCCTGAAAGGACGAGGAGCAAAGACGGCACAATTTCACATGGTCGCCTTTACGGAGAAGATATGCGAGAGACGAGGCAGAATATACGGCACACTTGGCGAGATCGAGTACGACAGCACGACCATCAAAGTGCACAACTTTGCGACTGGCAAGACCGAAGTCCACAAACCGCATCTCGCAGCCGGCGGCCACGGAGGAGGTGACGAAGGCCTAGCGCGCCAATTTCTCATGGCCGCGGAAGCAGTCGATTCCAAGCGCATGTCTGCGGCAGACGCCCAGCGCGAGTTCCTCGGCTGCGACCTCGAGGAGGCGTTCAGAAGTCATGCAATGGTGTTTGCGGCTGAAGACGCCCGGACGAAGCGGCAAGTGGTCGACTGGAAAAAGTGGTGGGCAGACCAGGTGGAAGCGCAATTACACGGATCGTAGTACGAAGCGCCGACCGGCGACGGACGGCGGCTTCCGTAGACGATGAAGCTGGGCGCGTACGAACGCATGGACGACTTGAGGCTCTGTCGAAACCGCGATGATGCCAGTGTCACTCCCCCGCGATGCGTCGTTCATCTGAGCAGGTTCGCGAAGCGTTCCGTTTCTGGGCAATTAGCTGTATTTTCTGCTCCCGCTTCGGAAAGTAAGCATCCGGTTCGAGGTTATTTTGGGATATAAGTGGCATTGTATGACACCTAATATAGCCACTTCGGGACTTTGGGCGCTTAACCAGGGTGGTTTGACCGTGACACATGGCACCATGAGGCTCAACAGAGGATAATGCAAGCCTTCCTGGATGCGGACGACAGCCCTACAGTCAATGAGAGCGTCTCCGGGTGCAACGTCTGGTCAAGTGTCGGCGCTTCGTGGTCATTGTCGAGTGAGCCAATGGCGAGCGCTAACATGCCGTGGACCGCGAGAGACAAGACGGGAGTGTGACCGGAACAGTGACCCCAGCGCGCAAACTGACGTTCGATCGGTCCCGAGAGTTGGCGTGAGCATAGGGCGAGTACGGTCAGCGCATCGATGGCGCTGGCCCGACGCCGGGGCGGGCGCAAAGGCGGTGGGCGATGCCTGAGACCCGGAAAAGCACGAGTAAACACAAACGCGTGCACGACGCGTTCTCTCGTGAGCGATTTTCGAGCGTGTTATAGTCGTGAAGTGCGCACTTGGTCGCCTTCTGTGAGTCACAAATGTCGGTATGCAGGCTGGCCTTGGTGTACGGGAGAAACGAAACTTTGCAGTGTCGTGGACCAATCGCTAGGCTGGAGAGCGATGACTCTTCACAGGTGCATGCGAGTCCCTGGGCATCGGGCCAGACACGTCGGTGCATGACTTTTGCGGGGACACTGCCGAAGCGGTGTAAACTTGTCTGTGCAGCGGTATTGAAGCGGTGCAATTGGAGGAAGGCTGTTTCTGTGCATTACACGGTGTAAGGTTGGCCGGATCTGTCGGTCTGTCGCCCCACGCTGCGGGGGCCGAGCCGAGCGCTAAAGCTCATCCACAGCATCCAACCACGACATCTCAGTTGGACGTGCAGCTGTAACTGCCGCTCGCGCCTATACCCTTCCTCTCGAGGTAGCACTACACTCTTGCGAACGGCGCCGCTTCTGCCCGGTTTCAACTTAGCCAACCGCCCCGTTATGCAGCGCGTCGCCGTGCTCTTCCTCTTTGGTATAGACGCTTCTGCACCTCTGTCCCCCCGGGCCACTGAGCGTCGAGGACTCCTACAGCCTTGCCGGATGCAGGATGCATGGAAGCAAGAATAGTAGTAGCGTTCGAGTAGACCTGTTCAGTGCGTGTACTCGCCCACGAGCCGCTTGTTTCACGCTCCACGTAGACACGCTGATACAACCGCTCTACCGCTGTATACCTCAAGGCCGGGCCTTGGGAACTCGATGAGATCGTGTTTCAGAATGTTTTAGCGCTAGGCCGCGCTTGGGCTGCGCGTTCGTGGGCCAGTCGTTGCAAGAACTTCGTCCCAGGAAGAATAAGTACCCAGGGCGCTGCCGCACAACCACAGTTCACTCCAGCATTCATCATCGACTGCCTACGAGTTCTTCGAGTCTCTTTTCGTTCCGTTTCTCTTGTGTCTTAGACCCACCGGAGCTGGCTCTCCATTTTAATTCCTATTCATAATTGTTTGTTCTTTGAGACCAAGACGTAAGTCATTGGATATTGACTGTCTCTCTTCGAGCGGATTCTTATTGCGTGCAGTCCGGTAGTCAACCCACCTTCACAATGTTCCACCGACAGACAACACCACCGACCACTAGCTTCAGCTTCATGCCGGGCAGTGTTGGCTCGGTTTCTGACTGCACCTACTACTCGCAAAACGCCTCGCCTGCTGGATCTGTCATCACAGCAAACACCACTCCGCCACGGTCACCAGTGAGACAGCATGGTCCACTTCTTCTCCCCAAGGTCCGGACCCAGGATCAGATTGCCGAGCCCACTGGCGGCCCCGTCAGACATCGCCGGACGACGTCCACCACCAGCAGCATTGGGGGCTATGGCTCCGCATACAGCCCCTACTCTCGCCCTAGCTCTATGATCCGCCGTGGTTCCAGTCCTTTCAACCACCATGCCAACAGCGCTGTTGGCTCACCGGTTTCAACGGCCTCATACGACCTCGGCCTCGCCACTTCTACCCTTAACTCTCCCATTGCTTTCCCCCGGGAATCCCGCCGAGCTTCCTACGCGGCGCATGGCCGATCGCGATCTGCCAGCGTAGTTCCCCGTCACGCGCGCTCTGGGTCCGCCGGAAGCATCGACGAGTCGCTCATCACTCGCTATGGCTTCCCCACCTACCGCAACATGCCTTCCTACGTCACTTCTTCAGGGGTCTCTCAGCCAACCATGATCACGGCCATGCCAACTACTACCTACAGCGAGCCCCAGGAGGTTACTTACACCACCACGACAACCCAGGACTACACCTTTACCGACTTCGAACCCGCGCCAGCAGTCCAGTACCCCTTCAACACCGAAGTCAACTTCGATAGCTTCCCTCCTCTGCCCACATCTTCGCTCCTGGAGTACCTCAGCGCGTCCAACCCCTCGCCCGCTCTGGTGAACCGCGTCGCCAGCGTGCCCCGCGGCACCAACACGCACTTCTGGTGGGACGTCCGCAACCTGCGCTCCTGGGAGGACTTCAACATCTCGACCGTGACCTCGCTGCCCTCGGTCCTGCCCCTCCTCGAAGTCCCTGTGACGTCGACCTTCCTTCCGGAGCCGTCGCGCCAAAGCCTCCAACCGGAGAACCAGTCCGCCCTCCACGACATCTACGCAAACTACTACGCGACCAAGATCAACGCCGCGCTCAAGGTCGCCCAGGGCTCCACACACATGGTGATGCGCCCGCTGAAGTCGCACCCGGGCCTGCGCCCGCAGCCCGACTTCGTGTCGTCGTATCCGTCCGACTACGAGAAGACCATCTACGGGGACGCGCGCGGCCGCGTGGTCGGGCTCGTCAAGTGCTACGACCAGTGGAACACGGGGATGCGCGGGGAGAGCCCGCCGAAGCAGGTGCTGTATCTGCAGGGCCTGGCGCATCTGCAGCGCGTGATGCGCGAGCACGGGTGCCGCTACGGGTTCATCATGACGGAGATTGAGCTTCTGTGCGTGCGGGCGGGCGGGCCGTCCAACGCCAACATGGTCGACCCGACCACGGTCAACGCGCAGACGGGCGTGCCCATCTTTGGGTTCCTCGAGACCAGCGCGCCGATCCGGCTGTCGACGACGGGGTTCGCGGCCGATGGGGAGATGCAGATGACGGCGCCCCTTGCGCTGTGGTATCTCCACATGCTGGCCAAGGAGAACCCGTTTGAGGGCATGGGGACCTGGCGCATGGATGTCGGCGGCCCTGCTGCCTTGACCAGGCAGAATTGCCTCGAGAAGGACGCGTGGGTGCCGAAGCCGCAGCTTGGTGAAAAGCGGGAGGCGAAGAGGGTGCGGGGGTGGGTGTTTCCCGAGGAGCCGTTGAGCAAGCGGGAGTGTGGACGCGGGAAGAGGAAGGGTAATGCTTAGACTAGGATGGGTTTGTCTGGCTGCCATGTGCTGGTTGCATGGTTGACTGCATTCTTTTCGTGTCTCGGAGTTTCATGTCCGAGACGGATTTTGGTTTTGGGGTTGGATTGGTTATCATGATGGGATGTGGTTATGATGCATTGGATGGCGTCTTTGCTTGCATTTTAGGAGTACCCATATGGCCTAGCTGCCTGTCGTTCCAGACATTAATCGTATTGTTCACATGAAATGACGACTCTCTTCCTACTCGAAGCAATTTTGTGAGAAACCCGAAGATTCGGTCTGGACGACACGAACGACATGATAGCTGCAGTCCTGGTAGCCAGTGGTTGGAGTGAGGGAGCTTGGGGTGGCGTGGCGAGCGTTGCGACGCTGCACGACGCGTGCGATACGATTGGCTGCTGTCACTTGATGGGTTTGTGTGTGCCATTGCAGTGCAACATGCAGGTCCAGGTAAGCAAACGCATGCTGAGGCGTCTCAGAACATGTACCAGGCTTGGTTCAATGGCCGCTGAAAGCCTGGTGCATTGAGCGTAAACTGTCTACTAACATTCACATTCGAACGATCAAGCCATCATTTTGTGCATTTGGATGATACAATGCAGGGTTTTTGATGCTGCAGACTTGGTAGATGATTTCATCCCGTGCCTGATAAGTGGCCCAGATTTGGATTCTGACGGTCGGGTCATGCAACAGGCATGCTACGTTGGCATTTTTGTATGTTGGTTATCGTTGTGTGAAGGCGTGAGATATCGTGGTCATGCTGTTGAGGTTTCGCCACCAAAGGGCCATTGCCGCGCGAAAGGGCAAGTCAAAGCAGAGGGCCGCGAGAGAACATGATACGCACTTCCCGAGGAGAGGAGTAAATCTCCTTTTCCATGTCTCCTTGTTGCCATTCGCGCGGTCGACAAAACATGACGGGTGGTGCCGGGGCTCGTTGCCCGAAGATAGGTGGTGCCCGACGGGGAGTCGTGATCGGAGGTCAGTGAGCTAAGCCTCATCAGGTCGCTTTTACCCTCGCGGCCCCGCTGCCGCTCAAGCTGGAAGCCCGATCCTGTCCTCTCCGAGGTAAACAACAACTGAAGCCATGTCCCACAGCGCAGTGCTGCTCGCATAGAAGCGACGGTTACGTGAAAATAACGGTGGTGTGCAAATGGGAGCGTCTTGTGTGTGCGTGGCGGGGAAGCTCGCGGGGTGATTGGCCCTCGAACCACGTAGCGGCATCAGCGTAGTGCGATAAGGGACGGAACGTCATCCGAGCTCACTAGCAGGCGGATAGACGCGGTCTTGCGGGAGCGCGTGTAGGATTTTGATACAGAGCGCGCACACCGCCCACGCTCCCTTCGCTCCTCCCGTGTTGCAAGCAGACGTGTACTCATCCCATTGTTGACCTCTGTCGGCTTTCTGGGCTGCTAGCTTTGTTTGCGTCCCATTGCCGCCGTCGCGCGCTTTTGCTGTAACGGCCCGAGAAGACAGGTAGGTTCCCCGAGCAAGACTTTTGCCAGCCGCGCCTCCACGCTGTTCCAGTGGCAGAATTGACCTGGCTCCAGGAACTCCGTGGTCCAGCTTCGAATTGGTGGCATTGAGCCCCTACAGCGGCCAGCATGCGCACCGCAGCCCTCAGAGCAGCTTCGACGCTGGCTCGAGCCACCCGCTCGCCGCGCGTGGGCTACTGCGCCCAGAGCCGCGTGCTGAGGCTCTTCTCGACGTCGCCCGCTCCTCGCAATGCCGCCTTGAGCCCTACCGCCGCGCGAGACTTCAAGGCGACCGGCCCCGAGGACGTCCTGGAGTCGAAGCAGGACCCTTCACAGTCAGTCTTGGCCTTCACCGACGTCGACACCTTCCCCCGCAGACATATTGGCCCGTCTGCATCGTCTGTGCAAGAGATGCTTGCGGCGCTTGACCCGCCCGTTGCCACCCTGGATGATTTCGTCAGGCAGGTTGTCCCGGAGAGCATCCTCTCTGAACGTTCCCTCGAGATTGGTTCCATCCATGACGGGGTCAGTTCTGACCAAAGTCCCAAAGCAACCCAAGGAGCTTGGAACGAAAACGGAGTCCCCGAAAGCATTTTCCTTAGGCAAGGCAAAAAGATATTCGATGCGAATCAGCCTGGCGTGAGCTACATTGGACAAGGATACTATGGCACAAAGGTTCCGGAAGTCATCAAGCGAAATGTTTTGGAAAACCCAGCGTGGTATACCAGCTATACGCCCTACCAGCCAGAGATCAGCCAGGGTCGTCTGGAGTCACTGCTCAACTTCCAGACCATGGTAACCGACCTCACCGGCCTGTCCATCGCAAATGCTTCTGTGCTCGACGAACCGACCGCCGCCGCCGAAGCCATGACCTTGTCGTTGGGGCAACTTCCGGCCTCGCGTCAGAAGCGCCAGAACAAGACCCTTTTCGTTTCCGACCGCTGCCATCCCCAGACCATCGAGGTGCTTCGTTCCCGAGCCGATGGTTTTGGTATCAAGATTGAGACGGGAAATGTGTTGGCCAACAACTGCGCGAGGGTCGGAGAGCTTGGTGATGATCTCGTGGGTGTCCTTGCGCAATACCCAGACACCGAAGGCGCTGTCGAGGACTTCCGTGAGCTGGCAGACAAGGTGCACAAGCATGGCGCTCTCTTCAGTGTGGCCACGGATCTGCTTGCTCTTACCCAACTAACTCCCCCCGGAGAGTTTGGCGCCGATATTGCCTTTGGAAACGCACAGCGCTTTGGTGTGCCTTTTGGATTCGGTGGCCCCCACGCGGCCTTCTTTGCTACCTCCGACAAGATCAAGCGTAAGATGCCAGGACGTATCATTGGTCTCTCCAAGGACAGGCTTGGTAACCCGGCGGCGAGATTGGCGCTGCAGACACGCGAGCAACACATCCGTCGCGAAAAGGCGACTAGCAACATTTGCACTGCCCAAGCTTTGTTAGCAAATATGAGTGCCATGTACGCAGTATATCACGGCCCGGAGGGATTGAAGAACATTGCGAGACAGGTCGTTGCCATGACTCGGAGTACGCAGCAAGCCATAATACACTATGGCTTCAAGACTGGACAGAGGGGCAACCTGAATGACGCACCTGCGGCGTTTGACACCTTTGTGGTCGCTACTGGAGACAAGACCCGCCAAATCCTCAAGATGGCTCACGCCCATGGTGACTGGGTCCGCAAGCTCGACGATCAACATATTGCACTTTCATTCGGCGAAACTTCCATCAGCAGAGAGGTTAAGCGTCTGCTAAGCCATTTCCGTAAAGCTGCTGACGAGGAGCCCCCCACGAGAAAGAACATCATTGCACAGGTTGCTGTCGACCCTCCGACCGGTTTCCGACGTACAAGCGAGTTCCTTACCCACCCAGTCTTCAACTCGCACCATTCCGAGACAGAGTTGCTACGCTACATCCACCACTTGCAGTCAAAGGACCTCTCCCTGGTACACTCCATGATCCCGTTAGGATCGTGCACCATGAAACTGAACGCGACTGCTGAAATGGCGCCGGTATCATGGACCAAAGTGAACAACATGCACCCGTTCATGCCGCTGGACGCGACTGAAGGCTATCAGACCATGATCAAGCAATTGGAAGGGGATCTCGCCAATATAACAGGCTTCCATTCCGTATCGCTTCAGCCCAATTCCGGAGCCCAGGGAGAGTTCGCAGGATTGCGCGTCATCCGCAAATACCAGGAGCAGCAGCCCGGCCAGAAGCGTGACATCTGCTTGATCCCCAAGTCTGCGCATGGCACTAACCCGGCCAGTGCCGCGATGGCAGGCATGCGGGTTGTAACGATCAACTGTGATACGGTCACTGGCAACCTTGATATGGCCGATCTTGAGGCCAAGTGCAAGAAGCATGCGGAAGAGCTCGGCGCAATTATGATCACCTACCCCAGCACATTCGGTGTTTTCGAGCCCCAGATCAAAGAGGTCTGCGACATGATCCACCAATATGGCGGCCAGGTGTATATGGACGGCGCCAACATGAATGCCCAAATCGGTCTCTGCTCACCCGGCGAAATCGGCGCCGACGTATGCCATCTCAACCTCCACAAGACGTTCTGTATTCCCCACGGCGGCGGTGGCCCCGGTGTCGGTCCCATCGGCGTCAAAGAACACCTTACGCCCTTCCTCCCCGGCCATCTGCGGAATGAAACCGGCGGCGACAAGGCCATCTACCCTGTCAGCGGCGCTCCTTGGGGCAGCGCCAGCATCCTCCCCATCAGCTGGGCCTACATCAAGATGATGGGCTCCGTCGGCCTCACCCAAGCCACCAAAATCACGCTCCTCAACGCAAATTACATCCTCGCGCGCCTCAAGCCGCACTACCCCATCGTCTACACCAATGATAAGGGCCGCTGTGCGCACGAGTTCATCCTCGATATTCGCAAGTTCAAGGAAACCGCCGGCATCGAAGCCATCGACGTCGCCAAGCGCCTCCAAGACTACGGCTTCCACGCGCCCACCATGTCCTGGCCTGTCCCCAACACCCTCATGATCGAGCCCACCGAGAGCGAGAGTAAGCAGGAGCTCGACCGCTTCTGCAACGCACTCATCAGCATCCGCAAAGAGATTGCGGCTGTTGAGAACGGCAAGATGCCCCGCGACGGCAACGTCCTCAAGATGGCGCCACACAGCCAGCTCGATCTGCTGACGGGCGAGTGGGACCGCCCGTACACCCGCGAGCAGGCCGCGTATCCGCTGCCGTACCTCAAGGAGAAGAAGTTCTGGCCGGCCGTCACCAGAGTCGACGATGGTACGTAACCTCCCCAATCTAGCCCAACACCGAGAGTCGCATAGAAATGCTAACGTAATGACAGTCTGGGGCGACTCCAACCTCTTCTGCTCGTGCGCACCCCCCAGTGACGGCGAGGAGGACATCAACAAAGCCATTGACGCGCCGCAGCCGACGTAGTCTCCCATCCCTCCTTCTCCTTCTCTTCCTTCCTACCTTCCCCCCGGATCCGCTTCAACCTGATCCGGACCCGATCTGACTGATATACCTGTACATATGTGCTTCTGTTCTGGGCATTTGCATTACATTACGGAAATGTACTCTTCAACAGCGCTGGCGTTTGGGGTCTGTCGCATCAACCGGGCGGTGTACCCGAGCCTTCCTCATCGTTTTCAACACGTGGGGTGACTGGTGGCATTTATCGATAGACAAAACATTTGGTTCGACTGTTCACCGCTCATTGGATCGTGATGCTTCTTCTCACACTGACATTGTGTACGCATCTCAGGCAATGGCAGGGGAACGATATGCAACGCTAATTCCATCTACATCAAGTCATCTAACGAGCCCCCACCCCCGCTGAAGCTCCATCTACCCATTCATCAAAGTACAATCTGCTTTATCGCCTGCCAAAGCTTGTGCACCAACGGCCTGACCCTCTCCTCGTCCCCTTGCTCATTCTCTCCCTGCGCTCCATCCTCACCTCCCTCCTCCCTCTGCTCCAAAATCACACTCCACTCCGCCACCGTCCCCCCCGCAAGCGCCGTCGCATTCGCCAAGTTCCCACGAATACCGAGATGCACAAACCGCCCGCTCCACACGCGTTCCTCCCCCAACAGCGTGACATTAGTCTGGTTTCCCTTGACGGGCTCAATCACCGTCGCGCGCTCCGGATTCCACGGCTCGCTGACCTGCACAATCGCATGCGTGACGTATCTTACATCGCCGAGATCCTCATCAGCGAAGCCATCCTCCTTGGTCGGGACCGAGGAGTTGGAGACCAGGACCTCGAAGTACACGGGCGGCTGCGCGCCCCAGTCGAACAGGATGTGTGCGATGGGCCCAAAAGTCGTGGCCTGGGTGTCGACGGTGAGGTAGCTCACGCGCGTGGGGTTTTCAGGCTGCCACTTGGTTGAAGACGCGCCGTCGACAGCGGCGATAGGGAACTGGCCAGGCAGACTGACGGAGTAGGGGTTCGGGACGACGGGCCTGCACTGGAGGATGTTGCCGGCTGCTGTGAGCGTCTGGCCGAGCATACGGTTCGGCAGGACGAGTGCCTCGTCGGGTTTGAGCGTGTAAGAGCCGCGACGCGTTCCTAGGGTTACGGGAATGCTGGATGCGTACGCGGGGTTTGCGGTGTCGAGGATCTTCTCGGGCAGGCGGGAGAGTGTGGTGTGGGTGGCGTTGGAGGTGGCGTTGATGCCGTACCCTTGCCAGTAGAATGTGCGGTAGTTCAGATAGGGTATCTGGGGTGGAAGAGAAGGGTCGACGTCGAGCTTGTCAACGAACATGCGGAGACCGAGGTACCCGAAGATACCAATGCGGTTTGCGCCACCCATGCCAGTGAGGAAAGGGAAACCAGGATGTGTGCCACCGTTCAATATGACGTTGTCAACCATTTGCTCGGAGTATTGGAACCATGGAGCTCGAGCATACGGTTGCGAGGAGTAATGGTTGTACGTGTAGCTCGAACATCCTGACGGCGATATCTCGTTAGCGACAATGCTGAAGGTAGCGTAAGTCATACCAGGCCCGTCCGGCGATTGTTTGTTTGCGTAGTAGTCAAGATCTGTAAGACTGTAGGGATTCTCATAATTGAGTATGTCGTCGATCAAAACAACATCCGCCTGTTTGACGACTATTGATCCGTTCATAGAACCATACTCCATTATAATACCAGCCTCCTCATGGACGGGCAGACGCATCTGTGCAGAGATGTTGTTCCAAGTTTCATTCTGGGGTAGGCCAAACAAGCTGTTGAATTCATTTGTTTCGTTCAGAGTCCGTTGAATCAGTGCCGATGTGAAGCCAACGTTGTTGACATTGTTTGCATATTCGTCTGGATCGGTGGCATTCATCAGCTCGTAGTATCCTGAAGTTTCGTTGTAATCGACCAGCTCGCTATAAAAATAGGCAATATCATTCGCGATCGGAAGGAACGTCTCGTTGAACTGTTTGGCATCTCCAGTTGCAATCCATTGGTTGCGGAAGGCTATAGCGATATCTCCATTGATATGGTATTCGTAGTCGAAGCATGGCCCGCCTAAGATGAGGGCACAAAGTCAGTGTGAGTTAAGACAGGGTGGCGCACCGAAAGGTAAAGGCAAGAGACATCAACATTGTACCCGGTGGTTTACTTACTGGCTGTGCAGTTACCAATTCTCCCACTGGTCCACGGAAAAACACATCCACCTGTGAACCTGCCTGTCTGGTTCTTTGAGGAGGCAAAAGCAGTCTTAACATTGTCTTTTGCCTGCGGATACATTTCAACGCGATAGTTGACGATATTTTCAATGTGCTGAGGATGAGATAGCTGCAAACCCAGTGCCATCCATGTCTCGGCGTCCCAAAATATTAACCCGCCGTAGCAATCGGATCCGAGGCCGCATACAGGTATGCTATGGATGTTTAGGCGAGGATTGTATCCCGCTGCGGCGAGCGCATTTGGACCAATCGTGTTCTGAAGAATCATAAACGGATTGGTGACAGACGTAATTTGCAGTTCTCGGATGCGCGGGTCTTCAGGTAGGGTGCCATCAGGATTGTTGTACCTAAGGTACAGGGAAAAATCAGTGTAAGTTGAGACAGGATGGTACATGTCTCTGCTAAGCGATAAAGGCAAAGAGGCACAAACTGTGTACACGATGGGTTACTCACCTGTCCACGGAATCATCTGTCATGATAGATTGCCATTCCTCGATATGTGAGTGTTCGAGGTTCCTGAACCCTGCGTAAGCTCCTGAAAGCGACGCCTCCATCGCAATTGTCTTCGGATCCTCAAATGCATCCGAAGAAGCTACTCCGACGTATTTGCTAATAAACGAGATATGACCGCGCTCCAGCTCCACATGAACTGACTGTCCTATGGACGATATGTGCATGCTACTGAAAATGTCGTCGTCGACATCCGATCGCGTATCGAGTGTTTCATACAGATCACATTGCAGCGTCGAAACGACGTACGCTATGACATTGGTGACATTGTGCGGCCTAACCGCAGACCAGATGGTAGGTGAATCTTCTTCATAGCCTTTGTCCACGAAGTCGGCGCGGACGGCGCTGATGCCGTCGATGACATCGTACACGGTGACGTTAACATCGCGATTTGGTTCGAGTCTGACCTGGACGGCAGCCAGGTTGATGTGGAGCTTGTGTACAAACATTTCGTACCGAACGTTGATAAAGGTATCAGGGTCGTTCGTAGGGTACCAGTCGAACTGCCAGTGTAGGATGCCACTCTTCATATCGAGTCTTGTCGAGAATCTGTCAATCTCATCCCGGCTCGTAGAAGCGTTGAGAATAGCGCCATTGACTTCCACGATCAGTCCCGCCCAGTGTGGGATGCCACTCAAGAAGCTATCCCCGCCGTATTGGGTCAGCCAGGGATAGTTTGTTCCTCCGTCCTTGTCATCAATATCGTAGAATCCAGCTATTGTCGCAAATGTCTGTCGTATGTTGAAAAGCGGCCAGCCATTGTAATTGTTCGTGAAGGCATCAGGCGTGTCGACTTCAAAAAACGGACCGAGAGCCGCAAGATTGATGCCTAGGTAGCCATTTGCAAGTGACATCCGAGATTGATAATGGCCTTGATCAAGTTGCTTGGACGTGATCATCCATAGGTCGTCGTTCCATTCGACGTTGTCAACATTGGCTATTTTCTGTGTCGACGCCGCGAATGGCATGAGTGCCGACAGTAAGAAAGGTCGTATCTGCATGCCTATGGAAAGCGATGTTAGTCCAGAAAGGAAAGCTCAAGTCAAGCAAGCGAATGTTTCAGGGCCCAAACAATATTCTTCGCAGATTTAGCTCTAGACGTGGCTTAAAAATACAAAACGAAGAGTAGCGAGAGGAGCTTGCATCGGAAAAGATGAACGCGCTGGAGGTTGAATGTCGGCACAGTAAAGACTGGGACAGGGAAGCTTGACAGTCGCTCAGAACGAGGGAGCGGTGAGGTGTCAGTCTGCCGCCTGTCAATTGTTCCTGTTGGAATAAGACTATCCAGGCAGCTTCCTGTTTGGTGCGGTGGCAATTGCGCGCCTTGAAGAGTGAAGTCACGTAACAACAACTAAAGGAGCGCAGCTGAGAAAGAGCCTCATCCATCCAGGGTACAGATGAGCGTGTGACCCTTGCGCTCTTGGCTCGCATTACCGCGGAGCACAACCTGGCCGTTGGGGCGCTGGGACCGAGCGTCTGGTTCGATCTGCACCGATAACATGGGCTAAGCGAGCACACTCTGTGGACTGCGGTAAGCATCTGGAAAGATTGACACGAAAATGATGCACGAACATGCCATGGATTCGTGCAACGAGAGTGCTGGGTCGCAGCGCTACCCTCGGTAATTCGGTGCACTGGAGCGATACGATGACGTCATATAGGACCCTGGCGAATTCCCTCAGCCAGGAACTCAAACCCAGCGGCCCGGCCCGTCTTTCGTTCGCAAAGCACACGGAGGCCAGTCTTGTATCCCTTCGCAGCAATTCAACTGCAGCACGTAGAATTGAAGCAAAAAGAGGTAACGTGTACACATTCACAAGGTGTGACTAGATACTCGCCCTTCTGGGCGCCATGGTCCTCCTCAGATTCTTCTCCTTTTCTGTCTCCTCGCTGACGGGCAGCACGCCCTTCTCCCTCAACCCAGCCAAATACTCCTTCCCGTACCGGTATCCGACCTGGTATATCTCGTCGAACTTCGCAAAGTCCAGCGTGCCGTAGGGGTCGATTGGCGGTCGCATGTACCTGCAACCAGGCGTATTCTTCGCCCTCTCCAAGGCATCGTAAGAAGATACGTAGGCGAGGCGCGATTGGATCTCGGATAGCGTGGGTGGATTGGGGTAGGAGCTGAAGGGATTCCAGCGGTTAACCAACGCCCAGAAACCAGATAGCGAGTCGCCGAAAGACTGGGGCGTGTCCTCATCGAGAGAGCCGACGTCGACCGCGAAGATGACATCTGCTCCCAAGGACTTCATGTGCGTGACCGTCAAGTTGTCAATATACCCGCCATCGAGCAGCATGTTGTCGTTGTCGCAAAGTGGTGGGAGAAGCCCTGCTAGAGACATGGACGCCCGCACGTAGCGCCAAACGTAGCCACTGGTGTGTACTTCAGAGCGACTTTTGCTGATGTTGGTTGTGTTGCAGTAATACTCCAGCCAGAAGTCTTCGATCTGCGAGTTACCAAAGGTCTTGAAAATGCCACGGTTGAATTCGTGTCCGGTCGTGTACGATGCACTACCGTCTTTAGTACTCGTGATCGTGAGCAAGGTCAACCGAGACTTACGATGGATACGTGAGGTCCAGAGCAAACCTCCACATGCTGCCCATACGACTAGCGAACTTCTTGGCCCTCCCATACATTGGAACGACGTCGGCATCCCAAGCGTACAAGGCCCCGATGAAGGCCCCGATGGACGTTCCACCCACAATGTCAATAGGTATGCCGGCTTCTTCAAGCGCGCGGATGATGCCAATTTGTGATATGCCTCGCGCACCACCTCCGCCCAGAACTAGCCCCACAGACTTGCCGCATAATCTCCTCGCCAGACGATGGAAATCGCCCTTGAACGGGGTATCCGCCGAGTAGAGTGGCGTCTGACGAACCCTTCGCGATGTGTATTTCTGGATCTCTGCCTGTAGCACTTGTACGCGATGCTTCAGAGCAGTGCCAAACCGACGGCCGATAGGGTTTACTGGCTCAGCATTTGTACGGAAAGGCATCTGCACGTGGTGATGACTGCCGTTCACCCACGGACGGTTGCGAAGCCACTTCCGCGTAAGCCCTGAAGGACAGTACCTCTCGGAATGTAGCAAGACGAGTTCCTTCCGGGCAGTGGTCTTGGTCGTGAGGAGAAAGCGCTCGTACTCTCCGATGGTAGGAGAACCCTCTGCTAGGCCAACCAACAGGATGCAATCAGCCTGGCTTATGCATGTCTGCGTCCACGGAGATTTCACTGGCGTGTCTGCGACGTATAGGACTAAACCATACTTCTCTTCCAAGTCAGCCAGGTATTGTGACACCTTCAATTTGCCCATGCGATTGAAAGCATGGCGACCCAGGTGATTCAGAATAGCAGCCTGATTGAGTGACACTACTCCATTTGGAGTGCCAATTTGATTCAGAGCTGTCATCAGCCGGCTGGCAAATTCCACTACCGGAACTCCAGCTGTCACGGGGAGTATAGTGACCGTGCGAAGATTGACTGTTGATGAGACCTTGCTCCGAGTAGCCGTCGAACGAAGCTCTTTGCTTTGCTCATGCAGAGGGTCCTCCATCAATGATCGCATACGAGAAGCGATGATCTTGGATATCTTGATGGTGATTCCAGGGTGCTCTAAAGCGAGACTGTTGAACAGCGTCTTGGGGAATTTCGCCACTTCCGTATCGCGTATAGCGTGCAGAGACCCGGGGCGTGTCGACTCGGTAAGCACCTCGAGCTCTCCAACACTGTCGCCTTGTCCATATTCGCCGATGACCTTCATGTTGTTGTTTGCGCCATCCTGGATCGCTCGAAGACGGCCATTGAGGACAATATAGATGGCGTCGCTTTCGTCTCCTTGATTATAGATCACTTGGCCAGAGTTCACTTGGACCCACTCCAAAGCAAAGTCGATGTGTAAGATCAGTCTGGGAAGCAGAGTCGTTAATCGCTTAGCCATAGTCAACAAGACTACCGGGTACCGATCGACAATTCGCTCAATGGATGCTCGGGGCAAGAATCCAACGTAGACATCCGTCTTTGCTGTGACATCCACAAAGGATCTGTAAGAGGAGACAGTCCCGAGATAGCCCGCGAGGCCACCTGGTTTAGTGAGGAAAAGAGATTTTCTTGACTTCTTCCTCTTTCCTTGTTCAGGAAGGTTCAAGTAAGACGACGAAGCGGTGTTTGTCGACCGTTTGAGTGTCGGTCCTCCAAAGAGTTCAGCCTCAGTTGTTCCCGGAGCCGAAGGGAGAGTGCCAAGTATGTTTGGTTCCTGGTGGTCTTCCCCGATGGGGACGCTGACATCAAGAAATCCGTCGATGACATAGTAGAGACCTGGATTCCTCTCACCCTGTTCCACGAGCACAGCACCTTTGGGAAAGTACACGATTTCAACGTCATTGACAATCTCTTCTAGAAGATTGTGGCCCGTGACGCTCATGGTAGACTGTCCAGAGGCCGAGACCATCGACTCAGTATCACCATCACGAGACGCTTCATACGGGTCGATGAAACCAAATGCGTTACTAAAGACGGCTTTCTGTCGCTTCGCATCGAAAGATACAAGACGTGGTGACTGTTCGACCGACGTAGATTTTGGTATGGGGTTGTCGAGGTCAGTCAATCCGATCGCTTTGAACATGCAATCAAGCACAGACTCTCTAAACACAGTAGCTTCGTCAATGGATTCTTGGCGATGCAGCACAGCTGGCCTGGCTAATGGTGAAGCGAAAGGATTGAAAGAACCTGCGTCGAGCGGGGTTTTTGCATCCCGCCGATCCTGGTGTACCGGCTGCGAGAAGCTGTATCGCCCGGTTCTCCCAGTACCACGGGGGATATGAGAATTTGTTAGCAGGTCGCCCGCACTGACCCTATCCGGGCCACCAGCAGACTCGGCGGACTGTGCCGTTCTGGGAAGGTTTTCGGCACTGATGTCTACAGACGATCCGCGAATCGCGGCGAGTCGAGCATGCCCAGCTGTACCCTTCCTAAAAGCTGAATTTGATCTTCGTCGTCGACCGGCACCAGGATTGTGGAGTGCTATCCCTTTCATTTCTTCTTCTGGTCCAGTGCGTTCTGTCTCTTTGGCAAACCTGTCCTTCAATCTCTGTAAAGCCGAATCGCGCAAGAAGCCAGGCAAGTCATACGTAGTGTAAGTATTCATTAGTTTCTCAGTGCGTAGAACCTCGCTCGTCAGGCCCAAGTACGCGTGACCAGTTGCGAGCGTAACTCGCTGCAACCGAGTCAAAATCACCTGCACAATGTGCGCTGTTGCTTTCGGATAGACGCGGGTCAGGCGACGGAATGCTGTTGCGGGGATGATTGCAATAGTAGTATCCTCTTTCGCTCTTGCAACGATATCAGGATGAGCCGATTTGGCCTTTGACTTGGAGCGGGAATGAGACGATTGCTTGTCTTTTCTGCTATCGTGAGCATGCCCATTGGCAGCGCTGGGGTCTAATGAGAATGGAGGAACACTTTGAAGACGGCCGCTAGCGGTGGGGCTTGCTATACTCGAAGCTCTGCGGTGACCCAGCCCGCCTGGAGGCGTCCCTGGCAAATCTGCCGGAGTATGGGGTCGCGAATCGTCGAATGCAAAACTGCTGTTTCTAGAGAGGGAAGTACGCACTGGCCTCTCGAGCGGCGTTGCTGGAACGCTCGAATCAACACCGTCTTCCGAATCTTCGTGGCGTAATTTGACATCTTCAGTGAACAGAGACAATATGGAGAAGAGCGAGGACATGGGTGCGCCGTTCTTGACTTCGGTGAGAAGCTGATAGCCTTGCCGATCTCTGTGTGCTCCACTTGGCATGTCCTCGTCATCGTCTGAATCTGCACTGTCTCGATTCGATTTGACAAAGATCTGGACCAGTCCATCCACCACCAGACAGAAGCCCTTCTCTTCCTCCAGCAGAATGGTCTCGCCTGCAATCAGTTTCCTGGTCTGCATTGTCCGCGTGAGTTCGTGGAACACGGGTCGCTCCAGGTAGCCAAAGACTTTGATGGCGCTGAGGAACTCGTCCAAGTAATTGGACAGCCCTCTCTTAGAGTCGCCTTCTTGAGTGTCAGGGAACACTTCGACTTGGGGCTCGTCACGTTGTGGTTCAGGCGGCAGCCTCGTGTACATGGTCATGAAACGGTATCTGACCAGGTAGCTTACGGTGGACACGACGAGGACAGCTATGAGCATTCTGCCGTGAGTCAGCTGTGCTCCCTCACTGCGTCTGCCGGAGTAGCTTACAAAGTAGTGAAGTTCATAGTGAATGTCAGGCTCATAGAGAATAGCGTGAACAGCCATGTTGGCAAGGTGATGGTGGTAAAGGTGATGATCCAGTACAAGGCGCCCGGCAGCACCCTCAGGATGCGGAGGATAACGCGCGCGAGCAGGCCAAAGGTCGAAGAGGGCGTTGGGCTCTCGGCACCCTTGACTGCAGCTGTCTGCAAGGCGTCTGCTGCACTAGCAATCGTGGACGACACGCTGCTACTGGCGGAGCTCGCAGCAAAGCCCATGGCTGCGGCGCTGGACATGGTAGCGGACTGCGGAGGGACGGCAACGCCCAAACCAGACTGGGCCTCTCACGGGGGGCCGTGAGCAAGTGATGGAGTCGACGGCAGCCGCGGAGAAGCGTGCATAGGCATACGAGGCATGGTGGGCAGCGAAGGTGCGCCGGGCAAGGAATCTGGGTAGCGGGGACATGGACAAGGTCACTTCTTGGCGCGACTCCAACCGTTCGCCGCGGCCCATCCTCACACGCGTTCCTCGAAAACGCGCTTCACACCGCGCAGCCCATTGGCCCACGATGCCGCCCTTCAAAGATGAGCAGATAATTGTATGACCTGCGTCGCCTGTCGTGCAGTTTGCGCAGCGCTAATTCTCCCGCGCAGATAATCGCGCCTGGCTCCGAGACGACGGTCGCGCAGCTGGGCCTGCCCGAGAGCTTCACGCCCGCCCGCCTGCGCGTGCGCTCGCGCATGTTCCCCGCCGAGAAGCCAGGGGAATGGGAGCCGTACAAGATCCGCCGCCGGAACGAAAAGCCCGACGCACCAGCCGCCGCGCCGCAGGACGGGGCCCCAGAGGGCTCCGAGAGCAAAACAACCGGCGCCGAAGACGACGTCGTCTATGAAGAAGACCGTGTGTCCGAGGAGGGCGCTGTCTGGCCCATACAGGAGGGCAAGATTGTCGACTGGTCGTGCTTCTTCGCCCTCATCACTCACGTATACAACGCGCTCAACCCGCCGTTTCATACGCCGATACTCCTCATCGCGCAGCCCGTCTGGACGCCCAAGGAGCACGAGAAACTCACGCAGTTCTTCTTCGAAAAGTTCAAGACGCCCGCCTTTGGGCTTATGGACGCAGCGCTCGCGTCCAGCTGGGCATATGGTGTACACACGGCCACTGTTGTAGATGTGGGCAAGGACAAGGTCGATGTCACCGCCATCAGCGAATTCATACCACACGTGCAAGGACGCACCTCGTCTTTGGCCGGCTGCGGCGGAGAGGCCCTCACACAGAGTCTCTTCGCGAAGCTCGCATCGAGGAGCTGGAGCCGGGAGATGTGCGAGCAGCTGAAGAAGAGTCCCATTTGCGAAATTCTCCCGGTTGGGACCCCCTTGCCAGGCACCAAAGAAGCGAGCGAGGAGGAGACCATAACAAACCCCGCGGCCGCTGCGTCGACAGGTGCACCAGGCTCAGGCCCTGCCGCTGCTGCCTCGATCGGCACTATCCCACGAGGCCCAGGCGCAGACACCGAGGTCGGTGATAACGACGCCGACGAAGAGGGCGTTTTGGACGTAGCGAGCATCGTCACTGGAGGCAAGATGGAAGAGTACCTAGCCAAGAAGGAGAGAGAGAAGCAAGAGAAAGCCAATGCGAAGAAAAAGGGTGGCGCAGATGCTGCCGCCGCTGCGAACGCAAACAAACCGGTCAGGCTCCCTAACTCGAGGCGCGAGAGGGCGACATTCTTCTACGAAGACCACCGCTTGCTTGACAATCTCAAAAATATGAACCTGGGAAGTGAAAGATTAGCAGAAATGCAAGTTCAGCTGGACGAGGGTCCGCAAAGGCAAGGCGAAGGCGCGAACGGCGAAGCAACTTCGGCTGCGGAAGCCAATGGTAGTGCTGATGCAGGAAACACGAATGGCCGGTCGGGGCCAATTAGGAGAGAGCTTGAAGTTGGCACAGAGCGTTTCATGGCAGCTAGCAACGGTGTGTTGGAAAGAATAGCAGATGCTGTGCACCGGACTATATCGTCCGTGGATGAAGTGAACAAGCGCAGCGAGCTCTGGGATTCCTTGATCATTTGCGGTAACGGATCAAGAGTTCGAGGTAAGCCAAGTTTCATGAACCAATCTGATCGTTGTCCACTGACTCCATGCAGGCTTCAAGGAGGCTCTCCTCTCTGCTATTCAATCGAAATACCTCATCTCACCTTCCTCGGCTACGATGTTCACCTCCGAAATCCCTTCCAACATCTCTACACCTGCTGGTACCGGCGCCAACACACCCCAACCGCAGCTCGGACCCCACGGCGGCGCTCCCTCGCACGTGAACCCTCTACTCTACGCCGCCACTACCGCCCAAACACAGCACCTCATGCCTCACAACCCCACCTCCCATCTTCCAGGTCTATCGCACAATGCGCACTCCTCGCATGGCCAGACTCCCACCTCCATCAAACTAGTGAAGCCACCGGAGTACTTCCCGGAATGGAAGGACGTCGGCTTTGACGAGTCTGCATTCTTGGGCGCCCAGGTTGCTGCCAAAGTCATTTTCGTTGTGGACCAGGGACAGAGCAAGGGCTACATGACAAGGCCAGATTACAACGAGCAAGGGCCCAATGGGATTCACGATTACGCGTTGTGAGCCCTTTCATTGTCGTGCTGAGGTTGGAGTTTGGCGGGCTGGATATCCTTGACTGGCTTTGGGTCTTTAGCAAATGGAGAGATTAGCTTCTCCGCGGGGCGTTCGATCACGTATTCTGTAGAGAAAAAAAATTCGGCGTTTCTCGAAAGTTTACTTGGATAATAGAGCCCTGCATGCATACGTCCCAGTCCATGCATGTATTTTAGTGAATGTGCAGCGCGGCGGAGGTTATCTCTCGCCTGTCGGCGACCGCCGGCACATGCCTTAGCCACGTGCTTCCACATTCCGGATCCGGCAACACGCTAGCCCAATCCCCTCGCAGTTCCAAAAGCAACTCCACCAAAGAGCCACAGGCAAGCCGCGGCGCGCGGCTGCATAGATAAACCTCCCACTTCGCTTTACACGTTCGTTCTGTTTGGCCTTTTCGAGTCGGCGCGCAGATGTGATACCCTGAATTTCCTCCTCAGCCTAACTTTCATTTCGCGAAGGTTCTTTTCTAACACCAGGAAAACTTGTACATCTAGGAGGTTATCTGTCGGAATGGCGGCTTCTGTGCCCGTGGAGAAGACGATATATCTAGGGGCTTTTGCGCACTGTGTTGCGCTTGCGGAGTTGGAGATTGTGGAGAAGGGAGCTATTGGTGTGGATGAGCATGGTGTGATAGGATTTATTGAGAAAGAAGTGGATGTGGAAGATGTGAGAAAGAGACATGAGGGGTGGAATGATGCGAAGGTTGTGAGCGTGAAGGATGGGTTCTTCTTTCCGGGGTTCATTGGTAAGTATATTTTCTTTTCGAGGAGTTTCCAAAGAGTTGGACTTGAACCAGAAAGCCACCGTAAACCGATGCTCGATTTTCCTCCGCAACCTCACCCCTTTCCTAGTCTGATATGGGATCAAGCTGACACTCCCAGACACACATACACACGCACCGCAACATCCCAATACTGGCCTGTTCGGTAAGACTACCCTACTGGACTGGCTCGACAAATACACCTTCCCTATGGAATCCTCCTTTTCCTCTCTGGACAAAGCATCCCGAATCTACACCAACTTCGTCTCCCGCACCCTTTCCCATGGAACCACAACATGCGCCTATTACGCAACACGGCACGTTGAAGCCACCAACCTTCTCGCTGACATCTGCCTTGCGCGCGGCCAACGCGCCCTCGTCGGCCGCGTCTGCATGGACACCCTAAGCCCAGAGTACTACCGCGACGAGAGCGTTGAGAGCGCCGTCCGAGACTCCAAAGCCTGCATCGACTACGTCCGCAGCATCGACGCAGAAGGATCCATCGTGCGGCCCATAATCACCCCGCGGTTTGCCCCAAGCTGCACTGCACCGTGTCTAGCGGGGCTAGGCAAGCTGGCCCACGAAGCAGACGCCTTCGTCCAAACACACGTCTCGGAGAACACTTCAGAAATCGCGCTCGTGGAGGAGCTGTTCCCAGATTCGAAGTCCTACACGCACGTCTACGACGAGGCGTCGCTCCTCACGCCGAAGACAATTCTCGCGCACGCTATCCATCTCTCGACTGAGGAGCGGAAACTGGTCAAGGAGCGTGGCAGCAAAATAAGCCATTGTCCGGCATCCAACACCGCGCTGACGAGCGGTTGTTGTCCCGTGCGGGAACTTCTCGATGAAGGGATTACGATAGGGCTAGGCACGGATGTGAGTGGTGGGTTCTCGCCGTCCATTCTTGAAGAGGCGCGGCATGCTATTTGGACGTCAAGGTTTGTCGCTATGGGGACGCCGGCGGCCGCGGCTTCGTCTCTCAATAACGCTGCCAAGTTGTCTACTGCAGAAGCGCTGTATCTCGCGACTCGCGGCGGAGCTGCGGTCGTTGGACTAGAAGATAAAGTCGGAGGGTTCGAAGTTGGCAAGGAGTTCGATGCGCAGATGATACGACTGGGCAGCGTTCCAGAAGAGGGAGACAAAGAGGGTGTGTTTGGGGAGGATGGTGCTGGTGGACCGGTCGATCTGTTCGGGTTTGAAAGTGCAGAGGAGAAACTGGAGAAATGGATGTACAGTGGAGACGATAGGAACTGTGTTGCTGTATGGGTTAGGGGGAGGTTGGTACACAAGACAACGAGGTACACGGCTTAGATGATGGAATGCATATAGACTACAGCTTGGCCGTTCATTCGGGAGGTTCGATTAGAGTTAACGAAAGTATGAGTTCCCCATTGATTAAATTGCCGCTTGTAAACTGCACGCGAAAAAGACGTACAGGTTACTCTACTCCGACCAACCGAAAACCGCACCACCTAAGTCTTTGCATTCGTACGAAGAAGACAATTGCGTGAGCCGCTGACGTTAATATGAAACGCCAAGTATACGTCCAAACAATGCCCAGAAATCCTCTAAGCGATGGAACCATATTTCACCGAAGTGTGGCTGGTACGATAATACGATATGTCTTCCCCACCACCGACTAGCAAGCGTCCCGGCAGTCGCGAATGAAGATATATTAACTTAATGAGTATTGCCTAGGTTACCATACCAAGAATAAGAGACATCCAGCAAGATAAAAATACACTGCAATATCAATTCTACATCTAGTCAGCTTCTTGTGTCATGGATTTTGATGTCCAATTCTTAGTGAACTCTAGCCACTGTTCAGTAAACAGCCGCCGCCGCACGTCTCCTATACAGCGATAACGCCGCAGCAATGAACGCCGCAAGCGGCTTGGCCTACCAAACGAGAACCCTCCCTCATCTAAACGTCGACGCCATACCATTTTCAAAGATCTGCGAACATAGTGTCGTGTAGGCGCGCTGGGCAGGATCGGGGATCATCTTTCCACCTGTACTTAAAAGGATAAGAATCATGGTGATGCACCATTGCTCATGTCTTCCATTGATTTCTGTCTACCTTCAGACCTTCACATTCGTTAGATCCAGGTGATCTTTGTCTCTTTCTAACCAATACATTCGCTTTTGACATCGTTACCCAAAGATCTCTCTGTTCAAAATGAAGTTCACTCAAGTCCAACTCGCAGCCCTCGTGGCTAGCGTTGCCTCTGCGCAAACTCTCAACATTCCCACTCCGGCTGGGAGCGTTGTTTCGCTCCCTGAGCCTTCTGTCATCACTGGCAACGAAGACTTTGGCAACAAGGAGTTTGATCGTGGTCAGCCGTGTGATTCCGATGAGGACACCGGAAGTGACAATGCTGTTTTTATTCTCGAAGACGGTGCAAGCATATCCAACGTGATCATCGGCGCAGACTCCCTCGAAGGCGTGCACTGCAAGGGTATGGTACTCCCCCAAACATGATCCACTATTGCTAACATGCACCCGAGGCTCTTGCACACTCACCAATGTCTGGTTCCGCGACGTCTGCGAAGACGCTATCTCTATCCTCGGCACCGGCGACGCTACCATCGTTGGCGGCGGAGCCCAAGAAGCCAAAGACAAAGTCGTCCAGCACAACGGCGTCGGCACTGTCACCATCAAGGACTTCACAATCGTCAACGCGGGCAAGCTCTACCGCAGCTGCGGCGACTGCACGGACAACGAAGCCAAGTCCCCCCGCAAGGTCATTGTCGAGAACGTCCGCGCCTACGGCGTCACCAGCGACTTGATTGGCATCAACTCGAACTTCGGTGACACTGCTTCGATCACTGGGTCATGCGGTACCACTAAGACGGTTTGCCGGGAGTACAAGGGAGTCAACAAGGGCGACGGCGACAGCGAGAAGCTTGATACGAAGGACAGCTGTGGCGGGGACCAAGGCAAGCTGGAGAAATTGCCTGAGTGCGGTGCTGATGATGCGCTGCCCGAGACCGAAGCTCCCAGTGTGACAGCTGTTCCTTCTACTTCTGCTTCCGCAGCCCCTATCGAGGAGACACCGGAGGAGACTGCTGTGTCTTCTCCTACGGACGCTGAGGATGTGCCTGTGGAGACTGAGGCACCCACTGGTGACGAGGACGAGGAGCCCATCGCTACTGCTGTCCCCGAAGTCACCGCTGCGCCTACAACCCTGGTTACCAAGACTAAGACGGCTAAGCCCGCAGCAACTGGTGGATCGTCCAGCGGGAGCGTTGCCAGGTGGGGACAGTGCGGTGGGATGGGTTACGCTGGCACGACTGCTTGCGCAGACGGTGCGGAGTGTACTGAGATGAACCCTTACTACTCGCAGTGCTTGTAGAAGGCTATCGCCGAGTGACTTCTAGGGGGATTCCGGTGCGAAGGGTGCCTGTAGCGTTTGAGCTTCTTCACATGTACATATTATTCTCATTCCACCTTGTTCAACTTCCAAGATAAACAGCATTTCCGAGAACGCAATCGAAAGCTATTCATCGCCACTTCGAGAAAAATTATCAAGCTCTCTGCGCCGTCCCATTCTACCATAGGTACCACATAACCTTATTACCACCTTACACACGCCGAGGCCAAACCACGTATAATCGTATAGTCGTATAATCGTACATAGGATGGCGGGAACAAGGGTTGTAAACCTTCGGTGCGCCCACATGAAACTTGCCCTCTGGCACGATTGCAGTTTCACAAAACCGCATGTCGAATGTCGCGATAGGCCTGATGCAGGCATGTAAGCGAAAGGCTCCATCACTATGCATTGTCGCAACACCGAATGTAGTGTTCACATCTATCTCTATATGTTCTCAAGATAAAGAAGATTTTCGCAAAGGTGTGTTGGTAGTGTCGGTCGAGTGTAGAAGTGTGTAGGGCAACGCAACGAGGCTAAGGTATTCCTGCAGCGTCTCCGAACTCCTAAAAAAGTTAGCTCATTTGCGTGATCTCCTTATAGTGCGTCTCAACGAGCGCCTTGCACGCGGCTACCAGCCGCTCCTCGCAATCATCTCACTTGGTTTCGAATCCACATATAAATGCCTAGTAAGGAAATGTGGTGTACGATGCTCCTTCATCGGCATCCACCGCTTCTTCCTTCCTTTCGCAACTTTCCATTCTTTTGGCTGGTCCATCCATTCATTTGCACCTTGCAATTCTTCTGAATATACTTACTTTTATATACCCTTTTTCGATTTGATTGTTGAAGACAAGCACAATGAAGTTCTCCATCCTTCTCATGATCGCGGCGACGGCTTCGGCGGCAGTCGTTGCGCCCAGGCATCACAAAGGACGAAAAGGCGGGAATGCCGCAGCCCAGCAGGGTCAGGCAGCGCAGACTGGGAACGGAGCCACGCAGAATGCACAGACGGGCGGTCAGGCGACTTCTGGCGGGAACAACAACCAAGCCGCAACAGGCGGCGGTGCCCTTGCGAGGGGCGCAACCACCATCGTCTTGAAGGAGACGCAAGGAGTCCCGGGCAACGAATGTATCACCTTCCGCAACAATGGTGAAATGGTCGATGCCGCCTGCGTCAACACCGCAGCTGATCGCCAACTTCAAGCCTCCACCGTTAACGGCCAGCCTGTGCTCGCAGTGCAGCGATCTTTCACCGCAGGCTTCCGTCCGGACCTTGTCGGCGTAGATGCATGCGTTGGAAACAACGGCACGACGTTCCTCGCGCTGCCCTGCAATAGTGCCAGCCTGGATCCCGTTACTTTCTCGAACAACAACTTGGTTGCTGCCAGTGGGGCGTGCCAGAGCGGCCATGATGGTGCTGCACAGATAACAGTGGACCAGTCGGGTCAGAATTGCGCTGAGTTGACGAGCACCGAGACGGCGGCTACTCCTCCTTAGAAGAGAATTGGAAAGGAAGTATTGGGATCAGATCGGTGGGCGCTCGATGTAAGATTGCGTCACATATATTGCGCTTGCTAGCATAAGATTAAAACCAAGCTCTGCTATGATGTTTCTTCATTTCTCGTACCTGCTCGGCCATATCAATTTACATTCGAAGCTTTGTGACAAAGCCTTATCAAAACGTCTAAAAAGTCTTCGCCATTGAAGCTCAAGGCGAATAAACCAATCAGACCAAACCTGCATACCGCCAAGGCGATTGATGAAATTGGGTATAGATCTAATTGAGAAAGGAATCATGGGTACCCCAAACGCTTGATAGCCTTGGAATAACCCAGGTAAGAGTAGCGTGTCTCATTACGCGCTAAAGCCAATCGATGCACGTGGAAAACATGCTCACCTGCATCACCAACGACAGCAAAACCAACACAAACATGCTCACCAGCATCGCACCCATGCAATCACAAAAGGCCAAGCTCAGTTCCCGCTCATTGCGGGGTAACGTAGTCCCACTTTTCCAACGTCTTCGAAAGACCCAAGGCCACGCCAACAAGCTCTGAAGGCGTGGCACATAAATTCGAGTAACATATGGAACTTCATGGGCGGCTAGGCGCTCGAAACCAGAGACAGTGATCTCTAGATACATTAATAAAACACAAACGCCCGAACCTCAATACTCTGCCTCGGAATCCCCGAGCCGCGCGCACCCAGATCAAACGAACAGTGCGGTACAGCAAGCTCCTGGCCCTTCTCCGAATCATATGCCTGGAATATTGCAATCTCACAGTCCAGCTGGTCTGGCACCCAGTACCACTTGTGGTCTGGGTTGTAGTGGACCTGGAAGACCTCGTTGGCGACGGTTGGAAAGACCTCGTCGACCACATAGAGATCTTTCTCGCGATCGACGGAGCGAGGATCGAGATAGGCCATGGGAAAGTCGCGACAGGGGCCCGTGAGGGGTTTCCAGATGCTGTGGAAGTGTGAGCAGGTATCTAGTATGCCGGCAACGTGAGCAGGTGAGCGTACTTGATGACTTGATACCGCGACTTCTTCACCTTCTCCTTGTCCCCGCCAAAATACTGCTCTAAACGGCCATCCAACTCTCCCGTGGTGTAGTCTGCGTCAATTCAGCGTGCTGCGACTTACAAAGGGTACAGGTCATGGCTGCTTACCGATGTGCGCGCTCAAACTCGGCTGCGCCTGATCCTCATTCTCCTCCCCTTTGTTCCTCTGCGGAAAGCTCACCGCCCTCTTCCTCAGCATCCAGTCGAAAATCGTAATATCCTTCGCGCCCAGCGCTTTGCACAAGCTACGGTGTAGTTCTGGCAGGTACACGCTTTCTATCCACGCGTCGTCGTCGAATAATTCTGGGTTCATGCCTTCGCTGTTGATATTGGCAATCCTCATCCCGTTTTCCGAGTAGCTGAGGGGAGATCTGCGCAGGTCGTGCATTTTTATGTTTTTGTAGGGCTCGATTTTGAAGTTGTTCTGTGGGAAGCCTGGGGGCGCGGCATAGTGGAGGATGTAGCCTTTTTCGTCGGGGGGAGTGGTGGGGTCTTTGACAATGTAGCGGACTGAGGCCAGGATATTATCCGCCATCGCGGAGGATCAAGTTCTGCGATGGTAATGAGATTTGGGAAGAGAAAATTGCAAAGCGGCAAGCTAACGAGGGATATTGCGACGAGCATTTTGTGTTGCGGTACTCATCGATTCGTATCATGGGTGAGGGGTAGTGAATGTTCGTTACGGCTTGCCAGCCAAGCCCCAGGGTCTGCATTAGAATACGTGAGCACATTCGAGGGCGTTGCAGATACTCTTGGCTGCATCGTTACGCGTACGCGTCGGCCTCGTGATGAGCATCGTACACTCAAGCTTGGATGATGCCATCTGCAATGGGACTTTACAACACCAATCAGTGCTGTTTAATACATAATAGTAGTGCATCTGAGCAACTTTTAGATGGTCCTTGAGATCAGTGTTTGGTCCGATTCAATCTCAAAATCGGTCCTTTTTCTCCCTTCGTATGCGAGCATGGTGGTGGGTACGGACGCATGTGGCGCATCGATATTGATGTCGATGCTCTTTAGAGTACATCCAGCGATCACAAATCATCATCGTGAACAAGACAGGTTTCATGTGCTGGCTGTGTGCGCACATTAGAGAAAGAAGATGCAGCATCCCTACCAAAATGCCACACTTGACATCTGCCGATTGAGTCGAAATGTTGATCAGCACAGGAGAGTCGACACAAAGTCTCCGGGTGCTACAATACAAATAGACCATTCCAAACGACCTCACTCTGGCCAACACTATCCGACAACTACTCATACAACCCTACAATCCCAGTCACCCTTTTGAACAAAATGGCACCCACCCAACCCTGGTAGGCTTCCTATATCTCAAATCCGTCTTTTCACCCACTAACAAGTCCACAGGAAGTCCGTCTGGCCCCCGGCCGAGAAGGTTGCCGACCAAGCCGATGTCATCCCCGAGGGCATCTCCGCTGAGGAGGTCACCAACCAGCGTGCATATGGCAGCCACGCTTCGAACACCAAGGGCCGCATTGTGCACCTCAAGAACTGTGAGTCATCATTCGAGATATGGTGGACTGGACAAAACTGACGTGATCAAAAGGAAAAGGATTGGAAGGAACCTGTCCCGAGTGGGGGCGATCGTACTGTTCAAGGAGAGACACGGAGGAAGGGACTCAGAATATCTAGCTATCCTTGACAACAATCAACTTGAGTCTCATACTTATACATGTGTCTGTATATCTACATGCTCACTGTAAATCACTGCCCTTTTCCTTCCCGAACTCTCTGCCAAACCTCCCTCGCAAAAGCCCCCATCAACTCCCCACTGGTCGGATCTCCGGGCGGAAACATCGAACTCCCATACCACCCCGCAATCCCAACGTCCCTGTTCACAAACCACAAACAATTGCACGAGCCACCCCACGTCATTGTCCCCTTCGTCCTTCCCAAATCCGGATTATCCTCAGTGACAAGCAGTCCGCCCAGCCCATGATTGATTGCAGTCGCCGGTAACTCACCCGTAAGCGCACCAGTCATACCTTTGAAGACGGGCGAAGCTTGTCGCAGAGAATCAAGCGGCTTCGATCCTTCGCCGAACTGCGCGCTGAAGAGCAAGTCCAAGGTCTGCGCTGTCAGAAGCTTGGGCGTCGGCGAAATCAGGTCGGCGAGTACGCGCACGAAGTTCGCAGAGGAGCAGTACACGCCTCCACTCCCCCTTTCACTCTTCATCTCCGTCGGCGGATACTTGAACGGTGCCTACGTTCTCATCAGCACCTTCCAATTCCACTCAACCCACATACAAAAATCGCAACTCACCAGATCCCCATCCTCGCTCCGTGTGACAACCTCCACAACCTCATCCTCGAGCTCTTTCCGACAAAAACCCGCGCGGTAGTCACACCCTAGCACATCCCACACCTCCTTTCGCATAACAACTCCCAGCCCCTCCCCACAAGTCCTTTCAATGAGGAGGCCAACCCAATCCAACCCCCCACCATACGCCCACCCCTCCCCAGGATCAAATAACCCCGGCGCACTCACTGCCTCGGGCAACCCCGCACTCAGCGCCGCGCAGGGCTCGCCCCTACTCCGCCGCCACGCCTGCAGCTGCGGACTCAAGATGTCGAAGCCGGAGCCGCTCGCGTGGGTCAGCAGTGCGCGGAGGGTGATGGGTTTGCTGCGCTGCTCGAAAGTCAAAGGAGCGCCGGGAGCGGATGTGATGATGGGCTGAGCGGCGAGCTCGGGGAGATGCTCATCAATTAGGGTAGTTGAGTCGAGGGAGAGGAGGGGCGGTGAGGCCTGGACGAGGCGGAGGGCGGTGAGGGTGGTGAGGAGCTTGGTGCAGGAGGAGAGGGTGAGGATGGAGAGAGGAGTGATGGGTTGGGCGGTGGGGGAGAGGGAAGTGTGGCCTGAGGCGTGGGAGAGGAGGGTGTCGCCTGGGGAATGGGTTAGATGGCAGTGGAGGAAGTGTGGGCTGGAATACCAGTTCGATTCATGGCCATACAGACAACCCCGAGCACTTTTCTGTTGGTACCACTCGCCGCCTCGTCCAGTCTTTGCTCGAAGATTGCCATTGTTACGGATCCGAGTATCGCGTCTGTTGGTTTAGCCCGTTTACTGCTTGGAGGAATATCTGACCCTGTAGCGGTATCTCGCTGCATGTGCGTCATTCGCGAGCCATGCCTCGTTCTTAAATGCTCCTCGTCGTCAGGTTCCTCATGTTTAGACTACACCGTTTGGGGCAAAAATATGTCCGAAAACGAGAAGTACGAAGACGGGAAGTCGGGATATTCGCCCCGCCGAACATGACCTCCGCTGTACCGATCGCGTGGTTTGAACCAGTGCCTTTAAAGAAGCCCATAGTGAAATTTTAAACATAATCTGGTGCTTGGTTATTTTGTGAGACCACCATCACTTTCGCACGTTCATACGTGGATGACTTGAAGACAATTGACTTTCATTTTCATGTGCCAGCAAAAAACCACCCACAAACACGCCACCAGGCACTAGTGTACACACCAATCGTATTAGAAGAAGACAAAATCAACGGAGCCTATCTTTTCAAGTCTGCGCGCGAGCCCTCCCAAAGAGCATACACACGCGCAACTTCGCTGCGGAATATTTTTGGAAACCATAATATCTCCAGACCTAGAGGAGCACACCCAGAACAGGAATTGAGTGCTTATTGTCTCGTAGAAGCCATAGTGCCCAAAGGTCCAAGATCGTACAAAATTCCATGATAGGGCACCTCTGACAAGTGTAGGAAAAACACCGATCGACTGAGATACCATCCTAAAAACGCGTGCCGGTGAACTTCGTCATGTTACGTGAGCTCATTTTCCCGGGCTGGCGGGTTATGACTATACTTCCATCTGGCCGAACGCATCGGTGAAGGGATGTAGCACCCCCTCATCCTTGATCGATCTGACTCCTAGTAGCGGCCGCGAGGAGGATAGTCGCCCTCGTAGGGAGGACGGCCACCGGCAGGGGAACGGGGTCGTCCGCTGCCACCACGAGGAGACGGTGGGCGAGCTTCGTAAGGAGGACGCCCACCATGACCATTCATGTATGGGTCATCATAGCGGCGCGGAGGGGGTCCACCACGAGAATCGTACGGGTCTGCGTCATAGCGAGGACGGGGAGCGCTGAAATCATCAGCGGGGCCTCGGCGAGGAGGCGAACGCCCATACCTATCGCGACTATCATAGAAGTCACGTGGCGGAGGAGTGCGACGGCGGTAGTCATCACGACGCGGGCTGTAGCCGCGCGGCGGTCCTCGACGGTCATAGTAATCGTCATACGGCGCCGGTGGGTAACCACGACGGCCCATAGGAGAGCGCGAACGGTACCTGTCACGGCCGCGGTCGTCGGGCCCACCTGGGCCACCACCGTAGGGTGCGCGAGGCTTGAACGGAGGAGGCGGGGGCGGGTCAGACACGTCCTGAGTGCATTTGACCTCTTGTCCCTTGAACTCACGACGGTCGAGCTTCTCGACGGCTGTCTGGAGATCGGTAGCCGTTTCATACTCGACAAATCTGCCTCGGTTAGAAGCGAAGCCTTCGCTGGGTTGTAGTAGGCTTACCCAGTGCCGTCACGTTCGCGGCCAACTTCGGAATAGACGACGTCCAGTCCAGACTGACGGGCAAAGTCTTTGAGATCCTGTAGACGCGAGGTTAAAGGGAGTCCAAATCCAGAGACGCAGGAACGGGGAGCACGCTGAACAAAGCCTTTCCAGATTGCGGATATACGGCGCTAACCGGAAAGACAGGAAATCCAAGAATCGGGGTATCTAACCTGCCAGCTGGTCTCCACGGGAAGATTGGCAATCCTCATCCTGAACGGAGTACGGCGAGGGCGCGGAGCGGCGCGCTCGTTGGGGGTGAAGTTTTCGTTGCGACGAGATCCCCGCGCGAACTGGACGATGAGGCGCTCGCCCATAAAGTCGGATCCATCTATGACAGTCAGGTGGTGCATTGGGTGTCAGCGGCTTCTGTACATACGGAAGGCTGGCGCAAATTAGCACGGATCTATGGGAGGCAGAGTGACGTCGCTTACCAGGGACAACGTCGCGCGCGTCCATCGCGTCCTTGTACTCGATGAAGCCGAAGCCATTCATGAGCTTGATCTCGGTGATCTCGCCAGTGCCATGGGTCTGGAAATGGGCCTCGACGTCGGCCTTGGTGGCATTGCGCGGGAGGTTGCCCAAGTAGAGGCGGGTGCTAGACACCTCGGTCATGGCGGCTTTGTGCGGTCCTTGTCAGCGGGAACCTAGCCTGGAGCTGGAAGTGAGCGAGAGGTGCAGAATGGAAGGAGCCTGTGCAGAATACAATCGGGGACTCAGGGCCAAGCGGGATGGGGCTGCGACAGTGAAAGATGCGAAAGCAAGCGGGCTGGCCAGACTGCGCGGAGGCAGGTTCCCAGGAAGACGCGCGAGTCGAACATGGTAGAGAGCAGCGGCGTGTCGTACCTTGGAGAGCAACTGATGGCCTGGGTGGAAAGGTTGCGACCTGTAGAAATGGGCAGGCGACACGGGAGAAGCCTTGTGCGGGGGGGCCCAGATAAGTCTGCGCGTGTTAACGGGCAGAACGAGACCAGGCAGGACCAGCAACGGGGTGGTAGAGATGAGGCGGGTGGCGGGGGTCGATGGTTCGCTTTGCGCGGCCGATGAAGAGTCGGGCGGTGCAGGCGCGGCGTTGACCGGTTGAGTGAAGCGATCAAAACCCCAGACTTGGCACACGTCACGTGGACAAGCTAGCAAAGGCGGCGAGATGCTGAGAGACTTTTGTGCAGACCGGCGGCAGCGACATGTAAATACAAGTGCACAATACATGTATCCCGGGGAGCTTCGAACAATGGCCACGTCTGCTTCTCTCGCGCCATTGGCAGGCTGTGCACACCGGGCTGGCTTTGGGCATCAAAGTACGCTTCACTGCTCAGCCCGTCTGGGATGCCGGGGTCAACTCAGCGGCTCTAGTGGGTGCGGACCAGCTCAGCAATACTGGCAGAGCGCATATGCAACGAAACGCTTTGGATGGAGGTCTGACCGGTGGTAGCCGAATATATGCATTGATCGGTGGCCTCGCCGGACAATTGATCCGGGATCCAGATACAGCCCACCGTAGAATTTCTGATCCATGCCTAGTGTACAGGGTCTCACTTGAACAACAGGTATACCAATAACTCCGTGTACTTCCAAAGCCAAGAATGCAGTGCAGGAGAAGTCTCTCAACTTAGGTCAATACATACTTGGGGCCCTCGCCGCCTTGAGGAGTGGCCCAGTTGATGTCCTGATCCGGTACTTTGATGTCACATGTCTTGCAGTGTACGCAGCTGCATATTGTTAGCCTTGCGATGCACACAGCGCGGGGTTGTGGACTTACTTTTGGGCGTTGATCTGAAACCTGACGCCCAACTCCTTGCTGTCGTCCTCGACATACTCGTATACTCCAGCGGGGCAGAAACGGTTCTCGACGCCCTTGTACTTGGGCCACTCCTTTTGAGCATGCGCATCCCAGTCCTTGACTTGCAGATGGACAGGCTGGTCTTCCTCGTGATTGGTGCCGCTGCGACTGACACTTGTCAAGATGTCGAAGCTGATCTTACCATCTGGCTTAGGGTACTCGATCTTCTGGCACTCGTCCGCGGTCTTAGTGGCGGCATGGTCGGGTTTCCCGTGTTTCAGTGTCCAGGGCGTCTTCCCTCGGAAGACGTATGCCTCCAGACCCGAGTATGCAATTCCGCCATAGAACCCAAGCTTATGGAAAGACGGTCGCATGTTACGCACCTGCTTCAACTCTGACCAGATGGTCGAATTGCGCAACTTGTCCTCGTAATCGTACAGGAACACAGAGCCCTCTGGGTTGCCCTGCAAAGCGTCCCATGTAGCTTCGGCTGCAAGCATGCCAGACCGCATCGCCGTGTGGGTGCCTTTGATCTTGGGTACGTTCAAGAACCCGGCGGTATCGCCAATCAAAGCGCCACCAGGGAATGCGCATTTGGGTATTGACTGAAAGCCACCCTCTACAAGTGTCCTAGCTCCGTACGATATGCACTTGCCCCCCTCAAGAAAATCGCGGTAGTAGGGGTGCTGCTTCATTTTCTGGAACTCGCCATAGGGCGCCAGCCATGGATTGGGGTAGTCCAGTCCTGTTACCAAGCCAATGCTCACCATGTTGTCTCCAAAGTGATACATCCAGCCCCCACCATAGGTATCCTTGGGCAGAGGGTATCCCATCGAGTGCGCTACCAAGCCCGATTGGAATTTCTCTGGTTGAATTTCCCAGACTTCCTTGATACCAAGTGCGTATGTCTGGTGCTGGCTGTCGCGTCTTAAATCGTACTTCTTAATGACTTGCTTTGAAAGACTGCCGTGGCAGCCCTCACCGAGCAATGTCACACGAGCGTGAAATTCCATACCACGTTCGAACGAGTCCTTCGGGTTGCCGTCCCTGCCAACGCCGAGGTCATTTGTTGCGACACCCTTGACGACACCTTCGTGGTCGTACAAGATCTCCGAGGCCGCGAAGCCAGGATATACCTCCACGCCAACCTCTTCCGCCCGCTCGCCAAGCCATTTCACCAACTGGTTCAGGCTTATTATGTAGTTGCCGTGGTTGTTCATCTGCGGAGGCTTTGGCATCCAGATCGAGCCGGTCTTGGTAAGGAAGCGCATGCGGTCTTCCTTGGCCGGTGTGATGTGCTCGTAGCGGTTGGGGTTGTCCTCTGACTTCCAGTCGGGAAGAAGCTCATCGAGTGCAGACGGCTCGATGACATTGCCAGAGACAATGTGGTCGCCCAGCTCTCCAGCCTTCTCGAGAACCAGCACCCGAAAGTCTTCGTTGCCGGCCTCGTTGGCCAGTTGCTTGAGCTTGATAGCAGCCGACAACCCTGCAGGCCCGCCACCAACAATACAAACATCGACCTCGTCTGCTTCGCGTTCAATCTGCTGTGGGTCGTCATCGCGGACCTGGGCGAAGCGAGTGCGAGCGGTAGAGGACATGGCCCTTCTTTGGCCAGCAATACGCAGCGCAGGACGGTACGCCCCCCCGAATGAATGTGTTCGCTGCGCGGTGCAAAACGTTCGAGGCGCAAACTTCGCAGCGCGTGGTGACGGGAGGAGGCGTCGAGGCAGCGACGCTGCGAGTGACCGGGAAGCCATTGGAGCAGGTGCGGTGAGGGTGCAGGCGGCGGCGGAAGAAAGAAAGGACATAGAAGCCCGCAACCCCATTCTTGGATTCACAGAGCGCTGGCCATTCATGACGCTGTTCCCGGCTTCGGTTGCTGCTCCGCAGACCGAGGTTGCGCTAACCGGAAAATGGATCGCTGGTTATAAACCGACAATACGCGCATCTTCACTGGCCAGTTTGTCCGTTCGTCCTCAAGAGACCCTCCTTTGAAAGGACGCTTTTGTGAAGACAGCACCTTCCCCTTCAGCGACGCAGATGCTGCTCTCGTCCAGGTTGCTGCAGGACCACAAGCCAAAGCCTACCCCCATCTTTCGGCGGGCTTTCGCGGTTTCGCCGACATGGTATGCTTTCACCGATGACGGAAGGTGGAACAACCTATTACGTCCCAGGAAGACTCTATAGCAAGTTGTTGGAAGCGTGGGATGTATAGTTGCTATTTGCTTTTCTCTGATCGAGTGCCGCCAGCAGCAGAATCTCTGAGCGAGCGCTGTCTCAGAGTCTTGGCTGTCGGGTTTCAGTCTTGGCTCCTGTTACTGACGTGCACACGCTTCGCATCGCTTCCTCCCGGTCGCGACCCTGGGGGCTATTATAACTGGGTCAGTCCTCTCTGCCGTTTACTGTCGAGACGTGACAGAAGAGACGACCACCTATCAAATCACCTAGCCCGCCTCCGGGGACTGATCGAGCCCAGAACATCGGCGTGAAATGAAACCCAGCCTGGGGCAAACACCCGCACTGACGGCTGTTGATGCTGGATCATCGTTGTTCTGCATGTTTGTTCAAAATGACAAATTCCTGCGCTTCACCAAAAGCGACGCGTACGCGTTCGAAGCGTTCAAAGCTCTGAAAAAGTTGCAGCATCACACCAACACGGATCTCGCATACGCCTTCTTTGCCTCATACGAACGCACCTTCCCACGATCAGAATGTCATCTCACGTGTGCGCACCCTGGTGGTTGATCTGAGGCTCCAAGTCGTGACGTTCTTCCTGGGCTGGGGCTACCCTGAAACCGGGTAAGCTTCAAAACCCCCTGATCCGCTGGGTGCCTCAGTCACATCAAACTCATGCGTTTGAACAAGCTTTTTCGCTCGTTCCCCCGCATCCTGGCCTGTCTGTTACAAGATCTCCGACAGCAGACGTTGGGGCTACAGTTTGACATCGCTCGACCGTATTGGCCCGCTTAGCTCCCGACAGCTTTAATGGCCGTGCATGGCGCTGGCCCAGTGCCATCCAATGCTCTTTGCACGTTATTTCGTGCGATCTCCTATCATCGCCCACATGTTCGATGCCTAGGCTAAGCTTTCGTTCCTGTAAGAGAAAACTGGGGGTCTTGGAGGTGACTTCCCTTGCGAGCCTAGAACCTCGAGGCTTCTCAGGCATGGAGTGTTAGATGCACACGGGATGTGCCCAAACGAGGATCTGGTTGCTTGTCTTGGCCGAACATGACATCGGTTTGCTTCTAAATATGCACACCAGGTCAAAGCGGCTCGAGGGTATATATCTCATAGCCAACCATCCCACTAACAAATCCTCACTCCAACTTCACGCCCAGTCCAGTCCTTCAGTTCTTCCGTGCAGGGCACTTTTCATTACATTCCTTTCTTCGAGAGCTGAGCTCACCATTCATTTTCATTAACTTCCAGTTGCTTGCTTTATCAACCCTCTTTGAATTACTTTCTTCATCATGAAGACCTCAATCCCTCTCCTAACTCTCCTTTCCGCGGCTCTCGTTACCGCAGCTCCGGCTCCCTTTGTGAAGCCTGGGCCTGTTGTCACAACCGGTACCGAGGATCTCGCTATCTCACAGCCCAACATTGGTCGCCGCGAGGTCGTTGCGGACTTCGAAAAGCGAACACTCCAGCTTCGAGATGCTCTCATGATGGCACGTAACAAGGCCGACAACGCCGACGCCCAAGTTGCTGGCCAGGACAACCAAGCTGCAGCAGATGCCGCCAATCAGGGCGCCGCAGATGGACAAGCTCAGGCCGGTCAAGGCAACGGAAAGAAGAACAAGCAAAACCAGCAAGCTCAGCAGGCCGCTGCAGGCCAACAAGCTGCTGCAGGCCAACAAGCTGCTGCAGGCCAACAAGCTGCTACAGGCGCCGCAGGAAATGCCACCGACATCGCTGGAAACGCTGGTACGTAACGCCTGGGTGCATGGTCAACATGCTATCAAACCTCACTTCTCTGGCATTAACTAACTTCACACCTTGTAGGCAACGGCAAGAAGAACAACAAGGGAAAGAAGAACAAGAATAACAACAACGCTGCAGCAGCAAACCAGGCTGCCGCCGGGCAAGCTGCTGCGGGAGCTGCTGCGGGAACCGCGGGAAACGCAACTGCTGTTGCTGGAAATGGCAAAGCCAACGGAAAGAAGGGTAACAAGAACAAGGGCAACGCAGCTGCGGGTCAAGCTGCCGCAGGCCAAGCTGCTGCCGGAGCTGCTGCTGGAGCCGCGGGAAACGCAACTGCTGTTGCTGGAAATGGCAAAGCCAACGGAAAGAAGGGTAACAAGAACAAGGGCAACGCAGCTGCGGGCCAAGCTGCCGCAGATCAAGCTGCTGCCGGAGCTGCTGCTGGAGCTGCTGCTGGAGCCGCAGGAAACGCAACTGCTGTTGCTGGAAACGGCAAAGCCAATGGAAAGAAGGGCAAGAAGGGCAAGAACAACGGTAACGCCGCCAATGCTGCTGCTGGAAACGCCACTGCCATCGCTGGAGGTGCCACTCTCGCCAACGGCACCGCAGCAGCCGGCAACGGAACTGCAAACAACGGCAACGGCAAGAAGAACAACGGCAAAGGCAAGAAGGGCAAGAACAACGGTAACGGCGCGAACGCGCAGGCCAACGCTGGAGGCGCGACTGCTCTCGAGGAGGCGCTCGCCGCTCTCCAGGGCGCTGGTGGTGCTGGCGGTGCCGGTGGTGCCAACGACATCATCTCTCAGCTCACCAGCGCTCTCTCTGGCATCCTTGGAGGCGGTGCCGCGGGTGCTGGGGCCGGAGCCGGAGCTGGTGCTGCAGCGAGCCAGAAAGGCGGCCAGTCTGCTGCCGGCGCTCAGGGTGCTGGTGGTCTTCTCCAGCTTGCCGGCCTGAACGTCGCTGGTGTGGGCAAGGCCAGGAACTAAAGATTCTCCCTGGCTTGACCACTGGTAGAGTCGAGCGCGGGCACTCAATGTATGCACGGGAGCGTTACTGATACATATCTTCTTTGGGGGTTTGAGATTTGGGCTTGGAGATGGATCTTTTGGATGGGCTGGATATGGGAGGCAAACGGATCCCTGGATGGGCCGTGGAATACCAGCTACAACTACAACTACAAATAGCCTGTTGTATAGAAAATGTCAGTCGATCTGACGGTAATGAACATACTACCACTACCACCTATTGTCTTCGATGCTCCAGTGTGACAGGTAGAGAAGTCTGGCGGCTTAGATGATGTCATCGGACTCTCGTGATATCAGACACAAGGTGCCTCAGAAAAAGAAGGCAGCGCCTGAGGTGTCGTGAGCTCCGCGCTTGCAGAACTGGACCACTGGTATTGACACGGCATATGAGCGTGCCTAACGCAGGGTGAAACTTGGGGACGGGAGAGATGCGCCAAACAGGTCAATGCCGTCCGATCAGCGATTCGCGCCCGCGGCCAAGTCATACTGTTTCATCTTGGCTTTAAGCATTGCATTTACCTGCCTGCTTGGATATTACTTCCGGGGATGCGGGGGGGTCTAGGCTTGGTTCGTAGGTCGTACCGAAGTGAGGAGGAACAGTCATGGATTGATGGTGCATCGGACGGCCTGTATATAGAGACATGACAGAAGTACGAGTGAACTGAGTCACCCGGATATACATAATGTGTAGGTAGAATGCTTTCAGACTTTGCCGTCCCCAGTCAACCTTCTCCCGTCCGGTTTGCGCCCGACTTCTGGAAGCAAGGTAGGTCTTACCCCCTGCACCGACTTGTGCATGTAGTGAGTTCTGACACGCGTATTCCGACTCCGAATTGTCCCCGCTTCAACTGCCATCTTTGAAATCGTTTCCGCCGCCGGTGATGCCATCTTGCGCGAGACGTATCATAGCATTCGTACATGTATGAACCCAACAGCTCAGGTGTGCTCTCATTTCCAAGGGAAGCCAGCTATTTCGAAAATACCTAAGGAGATGGTTTGGACGAATATCACCGATACCGATAACTGAAGAGATGGTCTCTAGAGCTTCTGTCTCTATTGGCCTAATTGTCGCAGCCGTCTTTAAGAATGATACTATAATCTCGAAAGCCGCGTCGGTTTCAATCGTAACATGTCTAGTTGACACTGATCGCGATATATGAGATGATCGTCTTCCGGCCATACCATCAAGCCCTAATTGTCACTCCGAGCAAAACTTGTCATTGGACGACCGAGTCTGTCTCAGCGATCATATCGATAATAGCGTAGGGTAAGTACATAGTGCTGCGCAATAATGATGTCATGTCGGGGAATGGCGAAGGCGCCTCAGCTATGCTCCCGGAAATGAGCGTGGACGCAACATGAACAAGTTGACGCGCTAGTTTAGTATAGCCCGGTTGCAGTACTAATGCTTTTACACCATCGGAAGATATCCCGAGTAAAGCGTATATGTTGTCTCGAGGATCACTGGCTTCACTGTTTCCAAATTTTCGGAGAAGAGTAAGGAGGTCAGGCTGAAGGCTCCACCAGGTAACGTTCCTCAGAGGACAGGGCATGTTATCGAGAACAGCTTGGCAGAGTGGACTTGGTTTTATATCCCTCATGATCGGCGCCGCAGCGAATATATGTGAGCTGGCAACGTTGTCTCCAGCACAAACGATCGCTTCCGTCGCGTTTGCCACCTCTTGCGATATCCAGACCCTCCTAAACCAAGCTGTTCCCATAAGCTCTGTAAGCCCTATCTTGACTTCTCGTTCTGTGTGCTTCGTCCAGTCAAGCTGTAATTCTCTCCACATCTTCAGCCAAGTATGCTCATATAGTGGCCATTCGCTACAAGACTGCTGGTCGTACAGTCGCTCTAGTCTTTCTAGAGTATTGAAAGCTGATCGATGTAGGATGTATTTTCACCAAGCCAGAATATGACTCGCTCCGCGCAAGAGTATATGTTGCACATTTGCGAGACCTGATGACCTCTTTCTTGAAGGTTATTTTGGTCAATGCATACCGCATCAACCCACATGATTCTGTCTGCGTCGTCTTGGCGCAGATATCGCAACGCAATGTACAAGTTCGTGGTGATGTTCAGGCGCTTGCCATTTAACTGGATCGAGACTCGGTGTCTCCAGACTGCCCTAAACATTGGACAATGCTTCGAAGGGAATGATGTCATCGTTATCGAGGTAGGCTACGAAAATTTCGCTTTCGATTGCTTTTTTGTCACATCCTCGGTATAGACGTAAGAGTCGGAAAGAGCGTGATCTAAGGTCCAAAGGCTCGTATTGGAAAGATTACATACTGGATGGTTCTGGATGGTTCTGTTGCCTTCCTTGAATATACGCTGATCTGACATGCGCGAATATTTGGGCTATTGAGAAGGCATAGGCATGATGGTGGGCTCTCCAAGGCGAGGCAGGTGCGACCAGGCTGAGTTGCGCATGTCCTCCATCCCAGCTCCGCCACACTCAACAACAACCCTTCTCCAATCAAATATTTAAGCCTTTATATCTATATATATATTGTAAGCTGCATTAATTCCTAACGACTGATTGATCGGCGTCCATTTCTTTACCTCAAGCGTATGGTTGGAATGCAGTGTGCATACGATGGGTAGTTCCTTCATCTGGATTCGTAAAGCTCAGAATCGATCGGTATGCCTGGGGCGAGCCTTTACCGCCTCACTCAAAGGGCGGAAATAAGCTCAATTCTGCCTACCTGGGTCAATTTCATGCATCCATCTTATCCTTCCTCGTCCCTGACGCGCGTTATCGAGGCAACTATATCCCATCATTCCTTTCCCTAGCACCGCAGACCCTGAAGCCTAAACCGGTCAATCTCAGGAACCTCAATTCCCTCGTTCTCCGCAAACTCCGTCCAGTTCAGCCAGGGATCGCACCACTTCTTCGTAGACACCGCGACGTACTTATACGTCCTCCTAGCTCCATTTCCCTTATCCCTATTCTTCTTTCTAACCACGAGCTCCGGATAATTAATAGGTGGAGGCGCCTCCGCACTCCCCTTGAGACAGCGCGTCAAACACTCGATAAACCACGATGGAACATACGCTCCGTTGATCTCAACCTCTTCTACCCCACTCAGTGCAGTCAAGCCCTCTAGTCCGAAGATGTAGTTCTTCTGGTTTCCATCGGCGGAGCGCATAGCGGCATCGGGTATACCTATGACTCGCGGCATCATAGGGACAAGACCACCATTACGACTTCGGTAGAGTGACGTGGCAAACCAGTCGACCTTCAGCCTCTTCAACAAGGACTTGTGCTCCGAGTCGTGCGAGTATTTTTGCAATTCCTGCATGAACTGATGAAGACGTTCTCGGTGGCGTGTAATGGCGAGATGAGAGCCATCGTTCACATCGATGAGTAGTGTAATGAGCCGGAGTTCGCGAAGGAGGTGCTTCCTGGCGGGGTCGGCGAAGAGGCCGAACACCTTGGACTCGTCGTACTTTTTTGCGACTGCGTTTATGTTGAAGTTAAATGTGTTCTTTCCATATAAAACCGCTATTTTTTTAGTCAGTCGTCGTATAGAAAGGGGACCTTGGTGAAATCTGATATTGTGTTTGAGGAGAAGACTTACCACGTGCTTCATTGCAGATAAACTTGTTGAGGAGAAAAACATTGAGCACGACGGGGGGAAATCGCTGTTCACATGATACAACGCGAGTGCGAGGTCCTTTGAACCCCTGTATTTCTACTTTCCGTCTAACCCAACGTGAATACACAACCCCATTCTTGTCTCTCGCCGTGACGAGCCCTGGGACGCGTCGACCATTGGCATTAAGGAGATTTCTGTAGCCGTAGAAAATTTCATAGCAGCTGGGTATCAGCTCGAGGTAGACCTGGTTGCGGATCTCCGAGGGCAGCTTCAAGAACGGGAATATGTCTTTCTTTTCCAATCGAGGCTCGGGTCCGGGTTCCTGCGTCAAGTCGATGACAACTCGCGTGCTATCGCTCGGCTCATCGTCATCAATGACAACTACATCATCGGAATGGGGGTCTGGTAAATCGACCAGCCCCGTAGAATAGCAGCAGGATGCCGAAATTCTAGAGGAGTCCTCATTGGAACGCTCTCCACTCGTCGTCAAATTAGGTACGTCGTTCTGCGCAAATGTGCCATTCGAAGCGTTGAGAAGATTCCTGACTCTCGGGTCTGGCTGCATATGGGCATTGTCGCCGTGTATCGTCCCCGCATGAGGCCGTTTGCGCACTCTTGACAATGCAGAAGTGGTGGCCTTCTTTTTGGATGTAGACTTACGCGTTGGAGCCATTGTCGTGAAGCGATAAGCTTTACATGTGAATATGAACGTGCAGGAGGAACAGAGAGTAATATGCAATGATTTTGGTCGTGGTTTGGGTGGAAGTGAGAAGTGGACGGGCGGTAGGCTAAGTATGTAGAGGATACAGTGTATGCGCCCCGCGCTAAGACGCCACCCTTGTACCACGATGGGAACTAGGCAACCATAGGCAGACAATACGCACACGTGCGAGGCTGTGTAATACTGTTTGTTTGCCTGAGGTAACGAGAATGGAAAGCAACAAAAATTGTGAGTGATTAGCAGAAATGAAGGAAGAGCTGGGAGATGACAGAGCTGTTCTTCAATCAGAGATAATCCCAATGGGCAGGCTTCGTGGTACAACTTCCCGTGTTGAACGTGCTGTTATTAAAAATCCATGCAAAGCACAGCTCACAAATCCTCCTTTCTGCTCCGGATTTTCGTACTAAGCCTGGTGCCTCAGTCAGAGGGCGCAGCCTCGCTCCTACAATACAAGTTCCAGAATGGCGTTTTTGATAGTAAGCCTCGAAGGTAGACATGGAACTTGTGCATTGCAGTGATGGAAAAAGACATCTATTGATATGACTGGATCGTCTGCACATGACTACGGAAAACAGGCTCACACTATGACAGAATCAAAGGATGCCACTGACTTCCGTGACCCGCGCCTAAACAATGACGCCCCGCACCCCCAACCCCTTCCCCTCGTCTACTTCCTGACCCGTTCCTCCCAAAAACGCACCCTCGACATGCACAAAGCTCGCCGGAATTGGCGCACTGACCCTTCCCCTCACCTTACCCGGTGTTCGCCTCACATTCAACTCATTCTTCCTCGTCGCATCAATCTTCTCGGTTTTCCCTGCCGCAATCCCAAATCGTTCGCTTGGTGGGAACTTCGGCGGTAATGGAGCTAAACGCGACGGCATGTACGAATCTGTTAGAGGAGAAGTAGGTTGGGTCTGGGAGAGGCGGACATTCGTAGGCTGGAAGGTTTGTGCATGTGTAACGGGCGTCCCTGCACGGCTACTATTCTTCGAAGACATGGACCTCCATGATGAGGTGTCGAGACGAGCGGGTGCAGGAGGGCTGAGGAGCACCGTCTCGCTGGTCCTGCGCTGAGATATCGGGCGCTTTCCTAGTGTATTGAGTTCTGTTCCGGCACTTGGGCCGTCGGGGTTTCTACCGATGCTGCGGTGTTGCGAAGATGGAGATCTAGCGATGGTGTTGGTGCGGAAGATGAAGGGGAATTTAGGGGAAGGGCGTGGTTGGTATTTGTCGGCGTCCTCAAGAGGTGTGAGTTGCGGGGTGGGCGGGCGGCCGGCCGTGGTGAACGGCGCGGTGGTAAAGGCGGCGGAAGAGGGCGAGCCAGGCTTGGAGCATGGTGGCGCGGAATAGGAGGATGAAGATGGATATGCCGATGAGCTGTTAAGGTATGAGAAGGGTGTTGTTGATACAGCATGTGTGGGACTGTACTTACAGAAGCCAAAATCAATGACACCAGCACGGTTACTTGATCCACAGTAAAGTCTTGAACGTACTTATTACACCCCTGCTTGTTGCCCATACTCGGGACCTGGCAGATGATCCAAGTCTTCAAGGTCATGATGTTGTTCGGGTCGTTGAACAGGCGTCCTAGCTTCCCATCCTGCGTCCAGAACACGACGAAGAAGCTGATACTGCCGATGATCACGAATACACTAACCAGGATGTTGCGCCACTGCGAAAGGAAGAGTCTCCTCACGTTACCCCAGGATTCGGTTGTCCGCCTCAGGTGACCTCTTTCGAAGGAGTCGATTGCCGACTCGCGCCGCATACGTCGCAGAGACCGAACGTACACGTAGAAGCCGTACCCCGAGATGAATATCTGCAGAAGAGAGGCCAAGATCGCGAAAAAGATGAGCCAGATCCAGAATGTCACGATAGCATGCTCATGACTGGGCAGGCATGTTTGACCAATGCGATAACTCAGTCCCGTTACGGAGAGCACCGCGATCAACGAGACGAAAGGCATCGCTATTCCAAATATGATGCTGCCCCACATGAACCTCGTTCCCGGATCTTTGTCCCAGAAGATCCGGATGTGCAACCATAGACTCCGGAGGAAGACCCAGACGACGCTGCCCACGCCGCCGAGGACCATAAAAGAACCTGTCCAGGCGCATGACTGGGATGTGTGCATGTCGTGCGGTGTGATAATATCGAAGCACACGTTCGGATCTATCGTAACTGGAATGGCGAAGGATAGTGAAATGAAGACGACCGAGAAAAGGAGGCCAATGGAAAGGTAGTGGCGGTGTGTTGCTTCCGGGGGAAGAACGGCGAAAGATAGCATGAGGAAAAGGCATAGGGTCACGGAGAGGACGGAGAGGTAGTTTGGGATACGGAGATGGTCTTCCCAATCTGCGGTGTTTGTCAACTATTGTTGCGCGTTTTACAGGTAGCGTGAATGTACTTGGTTTATAGAGCCAGTCCTGGATAGGACATGGAAAGCAGCACGTCGTTCCATCTTCGAAAGATCCAAGGCTGCAGTACCGGCCAGCAGTATCTACGAACTATTAGAATATACAGTGGCAATCAAAGCATACGTACAGCCGCCTGACTTTGACAATGCTGCTACGTCAAGCAAAGGTCCCGTGCAACTAACGTTCGTCTGATTCGCGAAGTGCCCTAGCAGCATGGTGGACGTTTTGTAGCCCCAGACACAGTGTGATTGTACAGAATACTAGAATACATGGATTTACCATTCTCGGCATGTCTGAGGTTCTGAGGTTTGATATTAGTGACCCTGGTCTTTGTTTTGCCACATAACAACCCCCGTACTAGTGTACTATCTATCTAGCGTGTAGTTGAGATATGGGGAGCATGTTTCCTTTATTGGGCCAGAGTAAGTGGCGTTCCTACCGGCGGTTGAGCCTCGTGCTAGGTAGCCATGGTCTAGTTCGGCGAAAGGTGGCTAAGACAGACAAAGGAGAAGTGGACGCACCGAACGACGGCATGACCCGGAACAGAGACAATTTAACGTTTAAAGGGGACTAATCCACAGGAGAATAGAGAAAACGCTACGCCAAATACTTAGTGTGGGAGGAGCAAAACAGCGTGCAGCGTGTCTTCCAATGATAATCCTACATACGCCATCCCATGACACGCCTTGGTATCTTACGCTAAACAAACTCCCCTCTCGTGATTGATCCGAATCAAACCGGAACGCCTGAGAACCCTATCTTGAGTTTTGGCCTGGCACCGTCGACCGATTCTGACTGGAATTGATCCCTCCACCAGGTCTCGTCCTGCTTTGCTTGGATGTAAGTGTCGCGTGCTTCCGGTGCCATTGACTGGACATCTTCTTCTTCCAAATCAGGCAATCCGTTATTTCCAACGTCGAGGAAGTCCGCATCTGGTCCTGGCAATCCTAAGCTCGTATATGGCGGCTTCTGAACAAACGTGTCGACGACAAAGTAGTGCTTGCGGACAAGCGGAGGCACATCGCTCTCCTCTTGTGGCACCTCTTCCCACTTCGCGTGAGTCGGCTGTGTGGTCCTCGGATAGGTCATGAGGTTGGTATGCGGGTCGTATATGCCTTGATTTAAGTTTGCCCTTCGCAAGGCGGAGAGATTCGCATTGAAGCGGCTTTAAGGAGTTAGCGGTTGGGATCTCTGTGCGAGAGGTAGGCTCTCTCCTTACCTAGAGGAACTCGCGTGCTCGAACTGCCAATTTGCAGATGTGATATTAACCTTCCGCTTACCAGGCAATGGTTTGCCATTGGCCAAGGGTACGCTGGGGACTCCAGTGTGATAGACGCTACTGGCACCGTGCCAAGCGACATACTGGTTTTTGTTGTAGGGTTCGCCAGGTGGTGGCAGTTTATCGTGCGGTTCCGCTAGCTCGCCTTCGACATCACCCCTCTCGCGCGCTGCGGTCTCATAGTAATCGTCGATGACCTTCTTGCCTCCGATGATGATGCGCGCCCCGAACTCGCGGAACACTGAGCGAGCCGTGACCACACCAATGGCTCGACCCTTGTATGAGTGAGGGATAATTTCGCGATCAATCAGGTCCCGCTTCTCTGTGTCGTCGATGATGATTTTGTAGAGCTGCATGTGCTTGGTGAAGAACAGATAACTGTCTCGGAAACCACAGCATCGCGCTGGCTCGGTGGACAACATATAAAGTCTATCTCCACGACCACTGATTGTGAAGACGCGCACACGATAGTCTCGGCCGTCCTGCAGATTTCCGAGCTTATCGACTTTCTTCTCGCCCTCAGGGTCTTCCGGTAGGTCCACCTCATCATTCACAACGTCCATCATTGTGCCCTCCTTGTCGATAGCCACACGCGTTGCCTGTACTGGACCGCCCTTGGGACGCCCGCGGAAGCCCCCACCCGCTGGTCGGCCACGCTTGCGCTTGACAGGAGTGCCGGATTGAGAGCCATCGTCGGGTATGACATTCCAATCCGGCGGGCGATTCTTGGGTGGGCGACCAAGGCGCTTCTTGCGTGGCACTTGCACAACAGGCGTAGCGGAGCGTTCTGAGGCTGCCTTTTCTTCCTCTTCGGATTCTTGCGCAGGCGTGCCAACGTCCTCCTCATCAGCGGGGGTTTCGGCGCGATCCTCGGCGGCCGCATCGACCACTTCCATTTCGTCGTCGTCGTCAAAGGTGATTGGTGTCGCGGGCGTGCTGCGACGAGCGGCTGCGCGGGACGGTCGACCGCGCGCCATGGTGTCGAGTCACTCTTGGCAGTTGAGGGTAAGTCGAGTGATTGCGACGCGGCTGCAGGGAATGTATAAGTGAGAGAACGCGCAATGGGTGACGGTGAAGGTCGATCGGGATGCGCGCGCAAGCTAGGAGCGCAACGCGCCGTTTCTCAAGCTCGGACCACCAACGGCAAAGTCGTCACGTGAACGTCCTCTCCACCCACAAGCTGGATTTGCCAACTGCACCAGGAAAGGTTCTAGAGTAGCAAGGAAAAGATGGTTTTGGCCGTTTCTCAATATGATTAGCGGATGGACTGACCTGTGTTTTAGTAATGAGTAGGCAGTACATTCGAGGGAAGGCACGAGCAAGGAAGTAAGGAATTGCGACGACATGGCGAAGCTGTAGCTGCTTCCTATACTCCTTACTAGCTTGGGAACCTTCCTCTTTCATCTTCCGAAGATAATAGCGACAGCTGCAAGAGCAGTTGGTTTGGTGTCAAACACAGGCGGTCCGACACCCAAAGTCCTGCATGCTTCCGCCAGCCTCGTGCCATCCCATCGCCCGCATATGCCAACACCCGCCGGCTCGACAGGCACGAACTGACACAAGATGACGCTCAAGAGTCTTGCCGTCCGGACCAAGAAGAGTCTCTCCGGACTCTATTCTTCCCACAAAGAGAGCACTCAAGTCCCTTCCAGGTACCACATGATCCTCCATCGTATAACACGAAGACAACTTACACTTTCGAATCTAGCCCAGGAACTCCGGCCAACAAACAGATAACTCCTCCAAAGGCCGCGTCCTCCACCGTGGAGGAATTCGGTCTCCTGCGCAGTGACGACAATATATCCCCTGGCCGAGACAGCCCCTCAAGATGCCACCGTCTTCTGGGCTCGTTGCGAAGCATGAAGTCTTTACGAACTCTGCGTTCAAGTCAAAGCAGCTGCAAGAAGAGCGAGGATGAGCCACCTGTCAAAACCGAAACTCCACATACGCCAGTCAAGGAGACTCCCTCCGTCTCTCTCAACTTCGAAGCGTCTCCAGCTAATGTGCCCATGTTCGGACCTATGACGCGTACAATCTCATGCTCCTCCAGCCTGCGAGTCCACCACTCATCGCCCATCACTGTCCCTATACTGATTCGCGAAAACACTCCAATATCCCTAGGCACCCCCTCCGGTCTGGGAACGTTTCCGGTTGGTACTGTCCCAGACACGCCCGCCCCGTTACAGTGCGCATCTGTACAGGAGGCCATCATCAGCAACGCCAAGAAAGGAAGCACTGGTTCCGCTTCTCCAGATGACGATCTCGAAATCGAGCCACTTCCCACCCCCATGCCCGGTACCAATCTTCCTCTCGAGGACATGGCACCTCCAGGTATCATGATCACGTCGCCTTCAGCACCATCCATGCAAGGACATGATGCGCCAGGCTATTTTGACAGCGTCCTTGTCCCCGATGAGAACGACTATGAGCGCACCAAGACTTTGGACACTGAGAGCGGGTTTCCAATCTTTGAAGAAATACCCACTGGTGCTGTGGAGACCAACATTCCGAATCTCTATGACGCTACTATGCTGGTTCATGCTACGATACCAGAGGTTGAGCCAGCTTCTTTCGACCAGTCTTTCCCAATCGCACCATTGGTCGACTCTCTCGCTACCTGTGCTTCAAAATCTCCTTCTAGCTCAAACGACTATGGTGAAAGTGTCGCATACATCGTGTATGATGGCGCTTCCGAAGCGGGACAGAAGCGAAAAAAATGCCCTGGCCATTGGGGTCGCCTAACCAGCCAGTGCTCTGGCCATCCACGCTACGATGGCAAGGGCTATGGCCGTAGGGAGGCAACCTCGAGCTCTCACTACTGGACTGACAGCACTGAACCTACGACCGCCGACCCGACTGAGCTTACCCAGTACACTAACCATGAGGAAGCGGTCGCTGAGGCCAAGCTGAGGACCGCAATCGAGGAGCTTGACGCTGCTACGCTCCCTGCCAGGCCAAAGTCGCCTGTAGACGATAAGAGGGCTCTTCAGGGCATCATTCGCTCTTATGGTCACCTCCGCGAGGGGACGGATGATGCTACGGGTGGTGTCTTGCTTGCAGAAGGGCCGGAGGGTATTACGCAGGAAATTAAGGATGAGGTTGAGACGTCGATTCGTGTCATGAACAGGAGCCTGGGGGGATAATCGGGAAATAGCGAAGGACACAAGGGTCGAGACTTGGGTTTGGATAATGGCATTAATGGTCGCGGTGGTGGTAGTGAGGTATCTTGGTTAGATCCGATATTCTTTCTGAGCGCATGAGCTTCTTCCGCTTTGGTACAACAGAAGTAGTAATATCTTTTCTCTGCTCGCACGTAGATTGTAACGGTTTCCTGTGCGCAGTGTATCTTCAAACGCTTTGCCAGATACTCAACCCAGAGCACACCATCCTGGGATCTGGCATTGGTTGGCACCGCTCACGCACACCCTTACCAAGAGATCTTCCATTGAGCTCTCCACATCTCAATATGTACAACGGGTATATTCCTCGCAGCTGCATGAAAAGAGTTGCACGCCCGCCTCAAGTGGCATGCTGCGCGCAAAAGTCACGCCACCGTCCAGTCCAGTTTGGGTCACGCGTCGTGGGCGGAAGCGAATCGCGCCTCCTCTGTGCTCCTGGCCCGCCGTACCAACGGTAAAACTCGTACGATGCGTGCTGCACACGTCTGGGTGCGCGTTCGAAGAACGCAGAACGGCGCACGAGATCAGACGATATTTGCGTAGGGTAGCCTCATGTCCATGATGGCGGCGTTGCGGGCGCGGTTGTTATAAAAGTTGCAGTGGTGGGTGTGGGTGGTGCGTTCCCTCATTGCCCCGCCGCGCGACGACGACGACTACTACGAAATACCGAGTCACGGTTCATGATGAGCACGAAAAGTGAGAAGGAATGTGAGGGCGACACGGTGATTCTGGGCGCGGGAATCATTGGGCTCGCAACGGCGTATTATCTTTCGAGGTCTGGGGGAACGAGGCCGGAGAGTATACATGTTATCGACTCTAGTGCGGAGCTGTTCCAGTGCGCGTCGGGGTTTGCGGGGGGTTTTTTGGCCAAGGACTGTAAGTGTCAAACTTGATGCTGGTTCTATGGGACGGATTCCTGATCGAGGCAATAGGGTTCGCGCCGTCGAGTGCTTCGCTTGGTGCACTGTCATTTAGGCTTCACCAGGAGCTCGCCAATGCTCACGATGGACGGAAGACGTGGGGGTATGCTCCCAGCACGGGTGTCTCGCTGAGCTCGATTGAGGATAGCGAGTCTGCTGTTGGAGGGAGTGGAGAGGATTGGTTGGCGGATGGGACGAGTCGGGCGCAGGCGACGAAGTCCGAGAAGAGTTTGGGTGCGAGGGGGCCGGTATGGTTGAAGGTAAAGGAGGGCTTGGAGGTCATCAGTCAAGAGGACACAGTGGCGCAGATGTGAGTGAACGTGTGTGAATGAAGGAGGGAACTGAGCTAAAATTGTGGCAGAGATCCGTTAAGATTCTGCCAGTGGCTACTGGCGAGGTGTTTGGAGAAGGGAGTGCAGTTGCATTATCCTGCGCGAGCCATATCCGTCTCGAGAGATGCGGAAAACCAGTTGAATGGTGTCAGGATAAGCCAAAGCGGCACAGAGACGGAGTGTATGTATCGCGCTCCTTTGGATTGGCATATGCTAATAGGCACAGTGCCGTGCACACGGCTCGTCATCACCTCTGGCGCCTGGTCCCCTCGCGTTTTCTCCACCCTCTTCCCCAAATCTACAACCCGAATACCGATCTCATCTCTCGCTGGCCATTCCCTCCTGGTACGCAACCACCACCACTCTCCAGAAAATGCAGACACCGAAGTCTGCCATGCCCTGTTCGCAACCGACGACGTCGGCTTCTCCCCAGAGCTATTCTCACGGGTAGGGGGAGAACTATACCTTGCCGGTCTGAACAGCACAACGATACCTTTACCAGAGCAATCTTCGGATGTCAAAGTCAAGCCCGATGCAATTGAGAAGATGAAGAAGTGCGCTGCCGGGATGATAGCGGCGGTGGATGGGAAGGATATGGAGGTTCTGAGGGAAGCTCTAGTAAGTTTAACAGATCCTCGAATTTCAGAGAAGCCTGTGTTAACTGGATGTCAGTGCTTCAGGCCTGTAACAGCAAGCGGACGCCCACTCGTATGCCGTATCCCAGATGCCAAACTCGGCGGTGGACTGAAGACGCTCAAAAGCGGCGACGGTGGTGTGTTTCTCGCAGCCGGCCACGGTGCCTGGGGCATTTGCCAGGCACCTGCAACGGGTCTGGTGATGGCGGAGCTGATAGAGGGCCGTCCCACATCGGCGAACATCTCTGCGATGGTGTTGCCGTCGTGAGGGATTTTAACAGCACGCTATGGAGCATCTAGTCAATGGCTAAGGACCGAACGAATTCTCTCTTCAAGGAAAGGCCTTCGATCTCCCTTCAGGCTTCCTCTGCGCTATAGAATTAGGCATATAGACATTATTTCCTCAACCACCCGCCTTGGTGGATACTTTATCCACTTCAGATCGTGATGCCACAACACCCACGGCACAACAGTCACGCGAGTCCACCCGCGCCCCACCATGAATCCCTCCTACCCAGATGTGGCACCCAGATCGCGATGTTCGTTCTGCAATTCGCGGTCACTTTCGCGGGAGCTTTGTGGGTCGCCTTTGCATACGGTTCTCAAATGTCATAGTGACGTCAGATCCATCCACTCGCAACAGGCGCTATAAGAGAGCTCGAAGAAATGCTCAGTAGCAGCAACATTAATTATTTTACGACCGTCAATCACCTCACGAACTTCACCCTTTCAAATCTAAACTCACATACCAATCTGTCATCATGCCTCGCAACGGAGACGGATCCTCGGACAACGGCCCCATCGACGCGGGCGAGATTGTGCATGGCGCTTCCGGAGACGTACGCTTCCCTCCCTTTCCTTCCCTTGCCTGTCAAACTGACCCGACCCACAGGCCACCCTCCAGCACACGCAGAAGGTCGCGCCCATGCCTGAAGGCGAGAAGGGCGCCGCCATAGATGGCATGAACGCATCCGGTGGCGGTTCCGCAGGTACCAGCCAGGGCGCCCACGCCCAGGACAGCAACAAGCCCCCCGTCGTCGACCAGGCCACCAAGTCGTAAACACTTCGACTTATACCCACACAGGCGTGGGCACAGGAATGGCATGACGGACATGACGAGCCTTTGCACGCAGCAGCGTGCAAGTAAGGCTAGGCTTCTCTACTGAAGAGGGATGGACGACGCAGCGAGGCTACCTCGCACGTGTGGACCTGGAACGGACATGCGAGGCGAGGGGATACGTACTGCTACCTACGAATCAATGATTGAATCCAAATGTTTCTCAACCCCACGATGATCTCAGCTGCTATTTTCGTGTGATGTGGTGGGACGCTGCCATTCAGCGAGTAAGCGTCGATGTGCGGTCGTGGGCGGTGAAGGATCCGAGTTGCTGACGCGAGAACGAGGGGGACTACACTTCAACAAGCGAACTTGCACGGAGATCCCCACATCAGCTGAGAAAAGCCTCGTATGCAGGAGGATGCGAACGGAGCGTGTTAGCATTGCGGGCTGGTCGGAGGCGAGAACCACGTTGCCTGAAATAGACCTGAATAGCGAGACAAAGGGAACCACTGCGAAGGTGTATAGTATGGGGGATGGGATTCACAGAAACAATAAGGCAGTAGAGTCAATATAGATGATGTGAAATGTGGTTGATTTGCTATATATGAAAGACCCAGCTCTTGGTCCTTTCCAGCTCGACCATCACGTCCATCGTAACTGTTGTACAGTAGAGCACACGTCAACGTTAGAAGCCCAGAACCGGTCATGACCCAACGCTATTTAGTAACCGAAAACCCCCCTTCCTCAATGCCAAAGACTCTTTACGCCGACCGTGTGTTTGTCTAGACCGAAGTGACCGTGAACGCCTTTTCATGCCGCCATCTAGGCTGGCTCGCCGCGCGCCCTTCAATGACCGAGCGACCTTCCCGATGTTAGCACTACGCTGCGAGAGCCCCGTCGCTAGCAGTGGCTGCGCCAGAGGCTGTCTGCAAGTCATAGTGCTTTGCATCAAGGTGGTCAGAAAGGTCAAAGTCGGGAGTGTGGTGGCCGTCGAAGAGGACGGGCGTGAAGAAGGGATCGCTGTCAACAAGGCCCGTAGTAGTTCCCAACTCGGTGTTCTGGAACTGGTCGAAGTCGAAGAGGTCGTCAATAGGCTTGTTGTCCATGGAAGTGTGAGGTTGAAAAGCGAGAGGAAAGCCCATATCGCCAGCGAGGTTGTCGTTGAAGTCGACCGACACTGCAGGTCGCACAATATCTCTGCAGGATATCGTGTCTGGTCGAAGTCAACGGCGGCCTCGCTGAAGTTGGGCGTCTCGGGGGCGCACGACGAATCGCGCGGGGAGTCGAAGCTGTCCATGGTCATGGAGACGGGGCTGGGGAATCCAGTCGACGAGGTGGTCTTGGCTGGGTTGATGGTGTCTGGGCTGGTGAAGGCGCTGTACTCGGAGACGGAGGTGTTGTCGAGGTCGAGGTCGATGTTGGCCTCAGGGACTTCGCCGGGGTACTTCTGGCGGTAGGCCTTGAGCTCGGTGGTCATGGCGGCGATCTGGCGCTGGGCGGCGATGAGGTCTGCCTCCATCTGGTCCTTTTCGGCCTGGAGGAGCTCATACTCTTGCCGCTTGCGCTCGCGCGAGTTGTGGGCGGCCAGGCGATTTCGCTTGACACGCTCAATGCGGCGCTGCTCCTTCTCGTCCTCGGTCTTGGCCCGCTTGCGCGGCGGCAGGTTTGTCTTGGGCTCTGGGAGCACCTGCCCCCACGACTTTCGCTTCTTAGCCGCCTTGCCCTCTTGAGAGGTGGGGGCTGGGCTCGAAGCCGACGCGGTCGAGGGCGGCGCGGCTGATGTGAAGGGGGTCTGATGGAGGTCCTCCATCTTGATTGTGGTGGTGGGGTCCACGGTGGGTGGGGTGAGCTGGGCCATTATGGCAGCGGCGTCCATAGCGATGTTGTGCGAAAGCTCAGAAGAAGTAGAGTAAGAGAAGTCCATCCCCGTCTGTTAGTGTGTAGTCGATGCGTGGTGAGTGCTAGTGCATCTAGGCAGAGGGGAGGGAAAGTCGAGGATGATAAGCCGTGGGAGCGAGTTGACACGGTGGCCTTTATGTTAGGCGACAGGCCGTGGAGCGGCAGGGGCGCAGCGGCGCTTTGTCCCTTGCGGTAAGGACGTTAATCTAAATTAGGGCAGCGCACCTTCCCCGATCGTGCACGGGCATGCGACCTGATCTTCGCGCTGTAACGCACGTTGCCTCCGCTTAGAGTGCTGCAGCGACCCTGGCATTGCTCCTCGTTCCGTCAATATTGCCTGTGAGTACTGGATAAACTGCCTCCGTATATCTCGTCAATACAGAAACGACGCTACACGGTGCAATCACGGGGGCGAATTCCTGGCCCTCAACCACCAGCCGCCGCGTACCTTTACCGTGGAGGCGACGAAACCGCCCCACACTCCCTTGACAGCCGGGCCAACAGCGTTTCACACTCGGGGACCGCGTCGTAGCTTCGCCCAAGGAGGCAGTTCCAGCACGTCCCCAGGGGTGTTTCTGGTACATTCCCGCAAGACTGCCCCAGCTACGCCTCGTCGTGGTGGGTCACTGTTGAGATACTGCTGTTTTGTTTCGACTCTCCCACACTGTAGGCTTTGCAGTGTCGTCCAGGGGCTCCAGCAGGTACTCCACCCCGGAGGCTGAGCTGAACAAGAATAGTGCGCCATCATCGATACCCACCTTGTCAGCACTCAGTGACGCGAGGCGCTGCTGAGGGATCCACTGGTGGCGTACGAGTGCACGAAACACGGCTCCGTGCGAGTCTGACGACGGTCCGCTACCTCTAGTCTGAGGACGCCCCCCCACGTACCAGCGTTCGGCGACACCCAACAGTCGCGACTCTGAACCCACCCCCTTCGCTGTGTGAATCGTGAAGTAATCTGGCACTTGAGCCGCCTTGCAGGCCACGCGCACAAACACGCTCAAAATTCATATGCACTCTGTGAATGCCCGCCTCGGCTCTGCGCTCGCGTGCATGGAAGCAGAGCGGGAAGCCTTCTCGAACCCTCCATACCCCATACTCTTCATCTATTTCTCCGGGGCCTCAATATCCCCGCATACCCGTCCAATATACAACACCGGCTCTGCATAATTCCAAGCCGAACAAAGGGTACGTGCTACGGTACAAGACCGGGAGATTTGCGCTTTTTCTGGGGTAATAACCCTGTCGAGAGAGCACGAGGCCAGGCACAGAATAATAACCTGCCCTTTATCGTGCCGCCACACCGCAGCCGTCGCATCAGCATAATTATGGGTGTTTGGCAATTCTGCGTTCGAGAAGCAGCTTCGCAATTCAGTCTAGGCTCGCTATGCGGTTTGTGAGTTACAGCGCCCGCAACCTCCGGGCGGCTTGTCGAATTTCCGCGAGGAGGACCCTGAAATGCGGCGACCCTGGCTGGAATAGGCAGCTGTGCACCGTTATCGAGCAGTCTTAGCCCACCACTCAAGACCCAGGTGGGCCTCTGTATCCGTTCAAATCTACGGGTCGCCATCGCATCCGGGTCGTTCTGTGTCGTACATCGAAAGTGTGTTTCTCATGTACGAGTCACTCATGTTCTGGTGCCCCTGGACTAAACGCTATCGAAACGAACGCGCGTTCGGCGAGGCAGCACTTTTCGGACCTATAGTACGACTCCGAATCCGGCTGCCTGAATTCCTCTCCAACATCACGACCAAAATCTTCATTCATTATGAACTTCAGACGCAAAGGCAATGCTCAAGAGAACAGATTGCAACTTTGTGATGACGACTGCTCGTCGTCTAGGCTTACAGAATCCAGATGTCGGCACGCGCTGCCGCCTCAACGAAGAGTATGACTCCGAATGAATCGTTAGAGGCGATTTCAATCGCGAGTTAATTGCATGTGAAAGAGCTATGGATGAGTTTTGCTGAGCGACGGGTCGCACAGAGATTGAGTTGTCGTCATTAGGCGGCCGATCTGCTTCCTTCTGTTTCTCGCCCAAGACCGAGTTCGAGACACGGACGCCGCCTCACTGCGGTAAAACGTATCCAACTCAATCTTGCAATCCAGCTTGTAAACTACGTCAGGGAGAGCTAACAGATGATTTTGAACCTGCAATCAGGTTTTTGAAAGAAACTGCCTCATTCCGACATGCGAGGGCCAGAGCAGGCGGTGAAGAGTTCGAAACGGGGATGTGAGCTGGTATTTTCATGACTGGACTTCGCTCCACCATTTCAGATCAATAAGTCGTGTAACAATGATCCCATGAGCAAACCCGTCTCCCACCAACAGCACATGCGAATAGATATAGGACCCTATTCCGCAGACCATGTTCTCGGACATGCAATGATCGAAACCATCTACCTTACGTTTACAGCTTTCCATTGCAGCTTTTAAACATAGGATCGACATTAAGCGTATTTAATGGAATGATTCACCTTTCGTTACACCTTTCCCTTCCTTTGCTGTCCAACGCGACTTATGTCGCATAGCCGAGTTTCTCTCTTCTTGCCTCTCGTCGCATTCTCTCTCCACAACGTAGATAATCCTCGGGTTTGTTTCTTCTCTTTGCATCCTCCTCTTGTTTATTTGCACTACAAGTACCCGTCAATTCCATTCCCCCCCATCAGATTGAACAGGACGCGTGGTCCAGTGGTAAAGATGCCTATACATAGCAATCATCCCTGCGTCGCGGAGAGATCCGCAGGGTAGCGACTCCTATGAAGTCGGACTTTGAGTGTCGCCATTGGCCCTCATAGCCTGACACTGGCGGGCGACCCCCCGTCCGGGCCGTCTGGAAGTGGCTGGGACGATCGTGGTGTTGTGGGAGGGCTCGGTTCGAATTCGAACGTGCTTGATTTCTGCTCTCTGCGCTCTTTACGGGATTTTGGATGCGCATTGGAGCAGTAATGAGGAACGGGACAGGTTTCTGGTCGGGGGAAACCTAGCAATTGTCGGCAAAGGAGTAGACTAGAGCAGAAACGAAAGTGTTTTGTGTTGTGTAGGTTCGGGTGCTTCTTTTGCTACAGCATTGTACGCGTTGAATAGTTATTTAAGGTATTCCCTCCCTCCCTAGGTGCTTCTCGAATTTTTAGTCCATGTCGTCCCAGCCGTTCCTGTGTCTTACGCGCGCCCGCTCTTTGTTGCAGGCGTGGCTGCCACGAGCCGCGGCGCGCAGGGTTCATTCCGATAGCCGAGCTTTAACCCCAATCCCAACATCAACAGAGGTCATCCAATCACCCATCTCTAGACGCTTTACACTCGATTCCCTTCTTCTGATTGCCTTATATGGCTTGATATAACGGCATTTTCCCTGCGAGTGTCCTACTACTGCCTGCTCAAGCTTTCGCGATGAGCTCTTTCCGAGCGCTGCTTCGCGCAGACACACGGTAGGTCATGCGACACCCCATCTTGCCCCTCAGCCAAGAGACGGGACACCAACGCAAGGTGGAATCTCGACAAATGCTATAGCGAATTGCGTATGATTTCCAACCACCGTTGCATGCGCATACCGTGGTTACGTCCGAGCAGACATCTTGACAGTGTCTGCCCTTGTACACTACATCTCGGAATATTTTGTTATATAGCACAACTGCTCTGGTCTAGACCAATCGCTTACGCTCATTGACTGATCAGCATTCTAGGCTAAGCAGTCTGCGCCCTCGAGCTTCATCACGCCCCCCGAGATCTAACCCTACAGCTATCCCGCATTGCCTTCGCTTCAATTCTTCTGTCTCTGCACAAACAGCACCGAGTACTTCACCCGAAAGCACGCCAGCTATCGAAAATGCCCATCGCTCTCTCATTGAATCTGATATTCATCAGTTCTTAGACCCCGAGGTAATCCATGACTATAAGACAGAGAACAAGTCAACCAATGCAAACTATCAGCGCCTCCGGCAGCTTTCTGATGAAGTCCTTCAAAATCAAAAGGACGTCAATTTGCTGCAAGGTCAGATCCACCGCCTAAGGCGAGGCTTGAGAGCAACTCAGAAAGTGGTTGAAGGTGGACCTTGGTTAATTCTCAAGAACTGGAACTTCAATCCACATCCAGGAAAGGAGGAGGTCACCTTTGAGAATGGCTTCCTTCGTGTGGGACAGCGTAAAATGTGAGCAATTTCGCATCGTCGCTAAGGGACAAGATGGCTAACTTGACAAGCCCGAATATGTGGCTGAGGTCTGTATTCAATTTGACACAAACCCGCGTGGTTGTACTGAAATAGACAGGGACAATTGTCAGTGCAGCAGCTGCATACATGGCGACACAAAACAGAGGCTTCTCGATACATTTTCGGTATTATATGCGACTTGCGGTTGCTGCGTTTTGCTGAACGAGCCCAGATCCCAGAAAACATATCCATCAAAACCTGTGCCGAGTTCAGGACATACATGGACGTTACATGTAGGACCCACCAGCATTGGAAGCTCATCCCCGTCCATAACTGACAGTCTACAGGGAGCGATGGTCACCGTAGCCAGTATGATAAAGAATTGCTTAATGCAGCCGTACGGGATCCTAGGTCAAGAGCGGAAGTACGCCAAGGCTACCCGGACCGGTGAGACATACTCCTTCACCCCCAGCAATAGTGTCGGCCCTAATCCACAGACGCAGAATCTTCACTTGGGGCAGTGAGATAGCAAACAACAAACCGACTCAGCCTTGGCTCAAGCCGGGAGTCTCCACCACCACGTTTTCCGCCGAAGGCTGCAAAACAGACGACGACCTCATTCTCCACGTCCTCCACAAAATCGTACGTACATCCTCTCCGCCCTTCGAATCACCGCATGCTAACCACATCCAGCGCCGTTACGGCTTCTGCTACATAAGTAACGTTGACGCCACCCCGGAAGCCACAGAAAACCTCCTCCAGCGCATCGCCTTCATCCGCGAGACGCACTACGGAGGGTTCTACGACTTCACCGCCGACCTCGCAAAGGCAGACACCGCATACACTAACATCGCGCTTCCCGCGCACACCGACAACACGTACTTCAGTGACCCGGCGGGGCTCCAGGCGTTCCACCTCCTCTCGCACACCGAGGGCGAAGGTGGCGCGTCACTCCTCGTGGACGGCTTCAAAGCCGCTGAAACGCTGCTTGCGGAGGATAAGGACGCGTACCACGTACTAGCTACGGTGAATGTGCACGCCCACGCCTCGGGCAACGCTGGCATCTCCATCCAGCCGTACCGCGGATTCCCCGTCCTCGAGCACGACGTCGATACTGGGAATCTGCTGCGCGTCCGGTGGAACACGTCTGACCGCGCGGGCATCGAACTGCCCGTCGAAGACGTAGACAAGTGGTACGCAGCGGCCCGCAAGTTCGATGCTATTTTGAAGAGGAAGGAGAACGAGTACTGGGAGCAGCTGCAGCCAGGGACGGTGTTGGTTTTTGACAACTGGCGGGTGCTGCATGGGCGGAGTGAGTTTACGGGGAAGAGGAGGATTTGCGGGGCGTACATCAATAGGGATGATTGGATTAGTCGATGGAAGATGCTGCATTTTGGGAAGGAGGAGGTGCTGGGTAAGTTGGCAACTAGCTAAGTAAAAGCGGGAGCACGACTGTGGGGTTTTGTGTGTATACGAGCGGGTAACGAGACGGAAGAAATGTTGATACACCTGACTGGTTTGGCCCTTACTTTATGTACAGCTGCCACTGCGCGACTCGACTCAAAGAAACGTTTGAATTTGCCTTTGGTTTCCCCTTCTACGACCTCTGCCTCTCCTGCTCCAGCTCCAGCTCGGCCTGGCGGTAGTACTTGGCCGTGTCGACGCCGTGGTACGGGTGGTGCACAAAGTTGGGCCACGGGATGACATGGCTGAAGACACCGGCATACCGCGAGTTCCGGTGGGCGACGCCCTGCATGTGCTCGGTGAGCTCGCTCTTGCCGTACAGCGGCTCGCCCTTCTTGACCTTGGCGACCATCTCGCGCATGTCCATGTCGATCTCGCGGCGGTTCTCGCGGGCGCCGTAGAAGCGGGACGTCGTCCGGGAGTAGGCAAAGAGGAAGGCGCCCGTGAGGCCGACTGCACACGACATGCGCATCACGGGCGCGAAGCCGCCCTTGCCCACGAACGAGGGCGACACGCGCTCCCAGTAGAGCATCAGGCCGGGGGAGAGGGCGCCGACGGCGGCGCCCGTGAGCCAGTCGGACGGGCGCGTGTATCGTATGACGCGGGAGAAGTGGCTGGGGTGCGTTAGTACTGGCAACTGCGGTTGCGGGCGGGGGCAGCGTACGGGTCATTGTCGATGAGCTGCGTGCTGTTAGCGGCATATCCCCCATTGCGGGCGGTGCAGGCGCCAATTGCTTACAGGATACTCGCCGGTGGGGATCTTGTCCGGGACGACGGGCTGGCCGATGGTGGTCTCGGCTGTGGACGACATGGCGGCGGGGTGGGGAGGAGGGCAGAGCTGCGTCGACGTCGATGTGCACTTCGCTGAGGTTCAACGGCGGGTGTGGTCCGAGCGCCGTCTCGCGCATCACTGCTGCTAAACTTCTTGCTAGGCGCGTGCAGGGCATGCGACAACAATGCGTGCGCCCGCTCAGCATTGCGCCCTCCCGACCTGACGATTGACCATCCAGCAAGCGAGGAGCAGATATGGCCGACTCCAAGGCGCACAATGCCGAGAACAGCGCACCTGCGCTCGACGCCAGCGCCCGCCCGACCGTCGCAGACCTCCAGGGCGACAACCACTTCGCGCAGGTAGCGAGGAAGCACTGGCTCACCGCGAAGAAGCCCCCGAAAGCGCGCCCCGAGGTCATCAAGCAGGAGCTGTGGGACGAGCTGGAAAAGCTCGACTTTGCCTACTCGTCGCTGCTGGTCCTGGAGAACCTGCAGCTGCTGGAGCGATATCTCTGGCCGGCCTTCAGCGACGATGCGTCCAACTACCACGCCCTGCTGGTGGCGCTCATGGTCAACGTCAAGAGGAGGGAGAACCTGCCGTCGTGGGGTAAGACTGCTTCTTTGGCGGCGAATGCGACAGCTGTACTGACAAGTGCAGAACACTTTACCACCAAGCCCGCTGAGTTTTCCTCGTTCTTCCGCCGCATACTCTCCATGACCGTGGACCGATCGCAGCCCATAAAGATTCGCACGCAGCTGCTGTCCTTCGTTATCGGCGCGTTCCAGTCGCTGGACAGTGGCCTGGTGCGCAAAGAGTGCGCGCCGCTGGTCAACATAGCAATATGGCAGAACCTGCACTCGGACGCCGCGAGGGAGCGCCAGTTCGAGCACCACCAGATGCTGCGGAAGGCGTGGCGGGCGGCACACAAGCGCTTCGATGCTGCAGACGAGGCTTTGCAGGCTAGGCTACGGTTCGAGCGCTCGTGGCTGTATACCTTGATACTGGACTTCCTGGATCGCCTGTACAACAGTACAACGCGCCAGGAGATCCAAGATAACCTGGCCTACTGCGAGCGGTTTGTGGAGCTGCTTACGGATCTGCAAAGCCAGCTGCCTACGCGGAGATACGTCAATACGTTGATAAAAGACCTAAACCTGCTGCCCGCAATCCGATTAGCCCCCATGTACACGGACGAGGAGAATGGTCTGTTCCGCGACCTTTTCAACTTGCTGAGCCATTTCACATACTTTCCCATCGAGGACCAGACGGGCAGACAGCTATCAAAGCTGGAGTACGATCAAGAGCACTACGATGTGCTTGCGAGGCTGCAGCGAGTCGCGACTGCGACCTTCCAGGAGAAGCTACAGCTTCTGACGCTGGCCAACTACGGGAGCTTAGGCAACCGAGACGAACTCCAGGGGCACGTTCAGACACTTGAAGATGCAGAGCTTGTGCATCTATGTTCGTTGATGGGCCTGCGGACAGAGTACCCGAAGTCCTCATTCCTTGTACTTGACCGGTTATTTTTCACTGAGACGCTGCTCTCTGTTGTGGAGCATAGGTCAACGTTCAAAGACGTCGTGCGCGACCTGCCAGTTCTACCGACCGAAGATGTACTGTTCGAGACCAGCTTCCTTAGAAACGAAGCGTACGACGGATCACGGCCACTGGCTATACCCAAACTCAATCTGCAGTATCTCACAATGGGCGACTTCCTCTGGAGATCGTTCGTTTTGTACCGAGCGGAATCTTTCTACGGTATCCGGAAAGACATGGAAGACGTTGTCAAACGCGTGCAACCTCGCGGCAAGGGTGCCGCCACCAAATTTGGCGGCTTCTCGCGGATGTCCTTGCCTATATCAAACCCTGGCATTGTAGACGTAGCGCCTTCAAAGGTGGGCGATCAGCACCCTGCCTATGTACGCTCGGAGATCATACTCGACGTCAGCCGCCTCCAACACCCAGTACGAAAAGAATGGGAATCGCTACGACCAGACGACGTTGTGTTCCTGCTTGCCGTAGAAGGACCAGATGACCAGTCTATGCGCAATGGCAACGGTCGGCAAAACGCGGACCACCAGGGCATCCACAAGCTGAGATGTGCTGAGGTGGTACAGATCCAAGACGAGAACGGTCGTCCTCTCCGCGAGAGCGCCAACGATGACGGTTTCCGCCGGGTTCGTACGCGCAGACTAGTTGTCAACATCGACGCAAAGCAGTACCAGGAGGACATGGACCGTGTTGCACAAGGGAGACCCAACATCTACGAGCAGATCAACTTGGTCGTGCGTAGGCGCGGTCGAGAGAACAATTTCCGTCCCATCCTCGAATCAATTCGCCGCCTTACGCTCTCGGATATTCCTGCACCCTCATGGCTCCAGGAAGTTTTCCTAGGCTATGGTGACCCTGCATCAGCATCTCACAGACGTTTACCGAATCGCTTGGGGTCTATAGACTTCCGTGATACCTTCCTCGATTGGCAGCACCTGATCGAATCATGGCCTGGCAAGTCCGTCGAGCCCCACGAGAGTGCACAATCCTCCTTCGGGCCACCCTACGTCGTCCAGTTCCCCGCATCCGCTGAGCCCGAACCGGCAACCGCGCGGACCTCGAAGAAGCGGCGACGCGACGAAAGCGAGGTCGCACAGCCCGTGCAAGAAGATGCGTCTCTGCACGTCTCTACATACAAGCCGCCAAACATGGGCCCCTACCCTACAGACGCTCCCAAACTAAACAGCGTGAGGTTTACTCCTGCTCAGATTGAAGCAATCACTTCTGGCACGCAGCCTGGTCTGACTGTTGTGGTCGGACCACCAGGTACCGGCAAGACAGACGTGGCCACTCAAATTATCTCGAATATATATCACAACTTCCCGGAGCAGCGGACGCTGCTCGTCGCACACAGCAATCAGGCGCTGAACCAGCTCTTCCAGAAGATTGTGGCGCTCGACATTGATGAGCGTCATCTCCTACGTCTGGGACATGGCGAGGAGGATCTCGAGACAGAGGCAAGCTACAGCAAGCATGGCCGTGTGGAGTCTTTTCTCGAGAGGGGAGCGTATTACCTCGCTGAAGTAGATCGCCTGGCGAAGAACTTCAATGCGCCTGGTGCTCATAGTAGCTCATGTGAGACTGCAGATTACTTCAATCTGGTGTACGTGAAGCCAGCTTGGACGCAATACTGGGACCAAGTTTCGTCCCCAGATTGCAGTGTCGAGCAGATTATCTCAGAGTTTCCTTTCAAAAATTACTTCAACAATGCACCACAGCCACTGTTCCCGGCAGCAGCTGACCGCGAGCAGATCCTCGACATCGCACACGGTTGCTACCGCCATGTCGAGAAGATCTTCACAGAGCTCGAGGACATCCGTCCCTTCGAGATTCTGCGGAATCCCCGCGACAAAGCAAACTACCTCTTGGTGAAGGAAGCGCGCATCGTCGCGATGACCTCGACGCACGCTGCGATGCGGAGGCAGGAGATTGCCTCGCTGGGCTTCCACTACGACAATGTCATCATGGAGGAAGCCGCCCAGATCACCGAGATCGAGAACTTCATCCCGCTCGCGCTGCAGAACCCGCAGAACAACGAGCTTCCTCTCCAGCGCATCGTCCTTGTCGGCGACCATCTCCAGAACTCCCCCGTCATCCAGAACCTTGCGTTCAGGCAGTATGCGAATCTCGAGCAGTCTATGTTCCTACGGCTCGTTAGACTGGGTGTGCCCACCATCATGCTCGACCAGCAAGGCCGCGCACGACCCGGCATAGCAGAGCTGTACAAGTGGCGGTATCCTAAATTGGGCAATCTGCCGTCCGTCCTCACAAGTCCGCAGTTCACGACCGCGAATCCGGGCTTCAAATTCGACTACCAGTTCATCGACGTGCCGGACTACAAGGACAAGGGCGAGAGCGAGCCCACGCCGCATTTTATACAGAATTTGGGCGAGGCTGAGTACGCCGTCGCCCTGTTCATGTACATGCGGCTGTTGGGCTACCCAGCGCATAAGATCTCTATCCTGACGACGTACGCTGGGCAACGCGCGCTCATCAAGGATGTCCTGGCGCATCGCTGCAAGGGGAATCGGCTGTTTGGGCTGCCCCGGATTGTTGCTACGGTGGACAAGTACCAGGGCGAGCAGAACGATTGTAAGTTCCATTCCCTTTTCAATTCAAAACACTGTATTTAACACCACCCCAGACATCATCCTCTCTCTCGTCCGCACCCGCTCCATCGGGTACCTCCGCGACATCCGACGCCTCACCGTCGCGCTCTCCCGCGCACGCCTCGGCCTTTTCATCCTTGGGCGCGCCGCCGTCTTTGAATCCTGCTTCGAGCTCAAGCCCGCGTTTGATATTCTGCTCTCCCGGCCGACGAAACTCACTCTTGTCACGGACGAGATTTTCGACGCGTCATTCGCGCGGCAAATGGATGGCAAGATTGAAGAAGGGAGAGAAGCGGTAATGGAAGGTGTCGAGCACCTGGGCCAGTATGTCTTCGAGATGACGAAGGCGAAGGTGGAGGCGTTGAAGAACGGGAGTGGAGAGTTGGTGGTCGCGAATGGGGAGGGGATGGTGGTTGATGGGGATGACGAAGTGGATCGTGAGGAGGATGTTGTTGTTAGGGATGAGCACGTTTATGCGGGCGAGGATGATGAGGATGGTGTGCAGGAGGGGTCGTAGGGTGGCTCTGCGATGGAACACCGTTCGGAGAGCGTAAGGGCCAAGGAGGAGTCGACACTTGGGTGAGTAGGTTGTTTGCATGGGGTTTCCGGCGCGTGTGCATGCATGTGGGTAGGTGTATAGTTGGGTTGATTTGTATTATGTAGATACCAGTACGAATAGAGCATGTCTTATGCAGGGCGCCCAGTTACCTGAGCCGCTAAGAATAATTCGCGTAGTTGAATTCGTCCGCCCTACCCTCCACCCTCCACGGCTCCGTTCTGCAGGTTCAACCAGTCTCGCATTCGATCTCATATTCATCACTCGTCACACTACAACGCCGGCTGGCGCCTTTGGCAATTGCGCCTGTTCACCGCTGCCATCTGTGCAAGAGACTGCCGTCCTCTTCTTTGTGCATGATGATAGACCTCGACGAATGCAGCCATGAAGAAGACCCGTCACGCAGAGATGTGCGGCATGTGGCTCCATCTTCTTTGTATTTCGTCCATTCAACATGTCCTACTCTGGGACCATTGGACGGCACCGCCAACGACGTCGTCCCTTTGTCTCCAGCGTAGCATAAGTACACCTCCAAACGTGCCCCTCACAACGCTGCGTCGCTTTGACCATAATCTGATCCAAATACTGTATCAAGATGGCTATCAGAGTTGCTGCAACCACAGAGCGCAAAACTCTCGCCAAGAAGTTGGATACAAAGCAGGGGGAGAAGTATCCAGCACGCCCACTGCACAGCCCTAATACACGGACTCACATCAACAACGTTGCGAAGGAGAAGGATGCGTTTCACGAGGCGTTTAACACACCGCCCCCGGAGCTCCCGGCGAAGAAGAAAGCCGTAAGAAGACAACTAACGTCCCCCCCTACGTGACGGAAAACCCCCCGTGCAGACATAGAAAACTTTCAAGAATGATTAATCACCCACCACACAATTGCTGAAAGCCATGCTTGAGCTATGAGCGTAATTCATATAGTAAACCCGAAATATCGGCTTGCAGCCTAGAATTACAACGCATCTACGGTGCTATTAATCATTACTTGCATCTGTCTGCAACACTATGAACGTCTCACCCCTACTACACTGCGATAGCACTAATATTACTTTCCTTTAGAGCCTTTCGGCTACTATAACAATGATTTTAAGGGTAGCTAACGTATTCTGTACTTCTTAAACCGCTATTATACAGATTTGTAAAGGTCCTCCATTAGAGAGCATACTATCTTCTTAGCGTAGGCTATCCTGAGGGCGCTTACTCAGTAATTTATTCCTGCTTAGAAACTTAATACTAACTCCAATAATCTAGTTCTCTCCGCAAGTTAGGATTCAATGACATAAGCCGGCCACACTAGTAGAGCAAGCCAGGCCCATGGCTAGTCCATCTCTGGCGCTGCTAATGGCTTAGGCATATTGCACTTTCGTCAATTACTTTGTTTCGGTATTGCTTGCAAGATAGCCTACATTAAGGATTAGTACTGTGCTAAAGGCTCTTAACAACATTAAGGTGATAGGAGTCACCTCACCGGTTAGCCTACGCCACAATGCAGCCTGGCGGGTAGTGCGTATAACCACGACTATGCCGTCTTATCACCTTTTGTCCTTCGACGCCCTATTCTATTTCATTAACTTCTAGGTTTCTTGCGCCGACCAATATACTAAATGAATCTAATGAGCCACACGTGTCGCGCGTGCCATAAGATGGCATTCAACCTATAGTTATGGCTCTTATACGCCTCTTGCAGCGTAAACTAGATAGCGGCATCGTCTTCCACAAAATGACTAATAGCGATGTTCCCGCATACGCAATACTTTCACATACTTGGGGAGAGGAGGAGGTCATTTTCTAAGACATAAAAGGCGGCGCGGACATGAGCAAGGCTACTAGTAAGGCTGGATGGAAGAAGATATAGTTCTGCGCGAGGTAGGCCGCGGCTAATAGACTATAGTACTTCTAGATAGACACCTACTACATTAATAAGACGAACGCGGTTGAGCTTAGCGCGGCGATCAACTCTATATTTTAATGGTATTAAGACGCCGCGCGCTGCTACGTCTACCTTCCTAATGTTTCTAAAGCTGATAGTATGGACGATGAAAGCGCATAGAAAGAGGCACTTAGGAAGAGCTAATAGTTTACTTAAGGTTAGACGCTTCAAGAGCTCATCGCACCAAAGCTAGTTGACTTCTTTAGCTTAGAGGGTGCGCGACTTAGGAGTAAGTCATTACTAGAGTTTAAGATACATGAGATTACTAGTATTACAAAGATTACTCTCCAAGGCGATGCACTGTTAAGTTTTAGCATTAAGGAGTAGAGGTCCTAGGCAGAGCGCCGTAGTACTATAATTGAAGAGGATGAAGTCTACTATTTATTTGGGATTTTCAATATTTCTATGGCGCTGATCTATAGAGAAGGAAGGGACCGAGTATACCAGCAGCTAGAGGAAGAGATTCATAAGTTATATAAGGGTGAGTGGACCTCTGCCTAGGTGTGCTAATTGAAGCAATAGACTAACTGGTATAGGTGTTAATTCCAAATAATATGCCGTTGGGCTTAACCTCGCATTAATCCCTGAAGCCGCATAATTTGTGGCTAGAGAGTAGGAGCTGTTAAAGATACATGAGCTGCTCTATGGCTATAGTAGCTGAGTGGTAGTCGTTCTTCACAGCTTAGGAGGGATAGGAAAGACTTAACTAGTAGTTGAATACGTTAGATGGTATAAGGAGAAACACACGGCGATCTTCTAGCTAAATGCGAATAATAAGGATTCCCTCTAGCTTAGCTTCCGCAGCATCGCGCAGTAAGTCCTATAATCTCACCCCTTGAATAAAGTGCTCGGCAGCGTGGACTTAGAAGGAGACCTTAATTGGGTAGTTGTTGCAACCAAAGCCTAGCTTAATCTCTATAGAAATGCACGTTGGCTCTTAATTTACAATAATTACGATAACCCTTAAATTTTAAATAAATCCAACCGTTTGACAGTCGATATACGTTAATATCTACCAGAAAGTGACCAAGGATCTATTATTATTACGACACGCTCAGTGAGAGTCACTTAAGGTCGCCGTCTCTATGTTCAGAAACTAACCGGCCTAGAGGACGGCCTTAAGATCTTGGCGAACACGTCTGGAAGGGAAGGTATCACAAACGGTTTGTTAGAACAATGCAAAATAAGTGACATGGAGCTAACAGGACAGATTCTGGTGCAAGAGAACTCGTCTCGAAGCTTGATGGCCTGCCTCTGGCTCTTGCCACGGCTGGGGCTTACCTCGAGCATGTGACCGACAGCTTCGCGGAGTATCTCCGGCTGTACGAGGAATCATGGGTAGACCTCCAGGCAACGAGTCCAACGCTAAGCTCATACGAAGACCGGTCGCTATACACAACATGGCAGGTCACGTTTGATCTAATACGAAAGCAGAATGCGGCGTCAGCCCAGTTGCTCAAGCTGTGGGCCTATTTCGATAAGCAAGACATGTAGTTTGAACTTATTCGACATGTACGCTCCACGGACGATGAGTGGATACAGAAGCTCACTCAGAATAAAGTAAGCTTTAATGAGGCAGTGCGATTGCTTTGCGAATACGGCCTGGCTCACCCAGAGCCTTCCCTTGGCCAACCGTCTGGGTCCGGAGGGTACGGAGTGCATAGCTGTGTGCACTCATGGACGATATCTGTCTTGAACGGCGGGTGGGACGACGGCCTCGCGCGGCTAGCTCTGACTTGTGTAGCATCTGAAGTTCCTAACACGGATGTAGACAAGTGGTGGCTCCTTCAGCAGAGGCTCCTTCAACATGTGGCAAGACATAGATGGTTTATCATGAACAGTAATATGGATTTTGGGGGCATGGAATGGACATTGCACAAACTAGGCATGCTATACGCCGCCCAAGGCAAGCTGGCGGAGGCAGAGGCCATGTACAGTCGGGCGCTGCAAGGCAAAGAGGAGGCACTCGGACCGAAGCACACATCGACCCTCGATACGGTCAACAACCTAGGCAACCTCTACGCCGACCAAGGCAAGCTGGCGGAGGCAGAGGCCATGTTTAGTCGGGCGCTGCAAGGCAAAGAGGAGGCACTCGGGCGCTCTAGCAGGTAGAGCAGGAGGACGGTGTAGGACAACTACGAGCACCACCAACATGCAGTAACTGTTATGAGCAAGGCCACAGAAGGACTCAGTGTACCTAAGGATCGTAGCTATCATATGAATTTATCTATAGAAATTTTTACAATCGCGTTGTTTAGCCATCGCGTAGGAAGCTGCATCGATTCTGGTGGGGTGGCCAGCTTACTGATCCGACACGTTAAGTTATAATAACCTGATTACGTAGCTGGTTTGTAATGACTCGGTTCGGGAATCGCCTCACCGAAGTACCACCCACCATTGTGACTGGGCCTAGATCTGCCCGCTACAACGCTACCATGTACATAGTAAAATTAGCTATTAAATGCTTAGGCTTTAAAGACTGACCCAATGAAATTTCTTAGTGTAGGTAAGGGCCGTCAACTTATTAAATGCAATTTGAGCAGTGCGTGTTGATATGCTTAACAAAATGCTAAGATACATTTTACGCCAGAACTTAGCCGCGTGCACGTAATTTTTGTACGCAAAGTGTTTTCTCTAGAGAGTAGGAGCTATAGTGCGCGATAGGCAGTAGCGAATTAATTATTATGGCACTCACATCCAAATGTGAACACTTCAAGCTGAGGTACCTCGCTTAATTTTCTCCACGGTGGGTTTTCCTGAATCTACGGGATAGACGTTAAGACGCTTGTGACGAAGGTCACCAAGCCGACCACGAAGGAAGTCACCTAGGCCCTTGGGAAGAAAGTCAGCATGGAACCCGCGGAAGTCATGAGCAAAATTTCCAAGAGGAGAATGCCTGCGGAGCATGCGGCAGAATTCGAAGCGTTCGTCGACAATTTACCCAACCTACCATCCCCTAGCAGCGAATATCGACACACCCTGTATGCAAAGCACTTGCCCCAGTGGCATGGTATCAAGGACTGGGAATTCGCCCCACTCCGCCAGGCAGCAGTTGACTACAGAAAAGACGGCAAGTGGGATGCCGACTGGAAGAAGCTGCTCCTCCATGAGTTCTACGCCAGAGAAATCAGATACATCAAGAAAGACCCAGACTTCATCAATGCGCGGTATGGCGGCCAAGGGTACGAGGGCCTATATAAGGACTGGACATACCAGTGGTCTGGCGGGTCTTGGCAGCCAAGACATGAGGAGCCGATTATTCGCCATGATCAGATTAAGGAAAAGGCTGGGGGTGTAGGCTGACGAGAAAATCGAAGAGAATCCTGGCGAGCGTAAGCGGCAGGTAGCTCTGTGACCCCAGCCTCAAACAAACCACCGTCGCGCCGCATAAGCACTACATGCGTGCAGCAACTTATGTACGCAAGATCCTTCCTCATTCCCCCTCGAAGGAAGTTCTCAATCTCACCTCCAGAATGGCCTCCTCGAAGCCAAAACCCGACCCGCTCTCCATCCAGCGCGGCGACTACGCCCGCACGCTCGCCGGCCCCCTCCTCCTAGGTCTCGGCCGCATGGTCTCAATACCCTTGCAACACTGGCTCCTCACCGCGCACCCGCTCTCGCACTTTGGCATCCCGCGCCCACCCTCTGATGGCGTGCTCGAATTACCGCTCGTAGGCGCCCAGCCCCAGCTCTCCACCATCTTCCTCGGCATGACCGCGACCCTGATCCTCAAGCAAAACGCGTGGATCTGGGGTTACTGCGCTGAGCGCATCACGGTGCCGTTTGCGTTCTTTGGGGTCGTCGTGCCGGCTATGTATGAGTGTCTTTCCGCGCTAGTATTCTCTTATGCTTCTTCGAATCCGCTCTGGCGGAAGGAGTTTTTGTACGTCGGCGCCGCGGTGCATTTCTTTGCTGCGGCAGTGGAGCTGGGCAGCGAGCTTGCGAGGGCGAGGTTCAAGGGGAGGATTGAGAATAGGGGGAGGTTGTATAAAGGGGGTGCCTGGGGGTTGGTCAGGCATCCGAATTATGCGGCGAATGTGGTCTATGGGGCTGCGTATGGGTTCGCGGCCGGGGGACCGGTGTATGCGCTTTTCAGTGAGTCGTGCTCTCTCTGGTTATAGCGGTGGTGCTAATGGTGTGCGCAGCGGGTGCATTCTACTGGAGCAATCTGACAGGCAATGCGACTCCCGCAAAGGAAAATTATCTTGCGGAAAGGTATCCAGAAGAGTGGGAACAGTACAAGAAGGACGTTCCGTGGAAGATGTTTCTAGGTATCTTCTAAGATGCCGAGGACGTCGGCTTCTGTACCCGGCGTTGAAGCTTGCTATGCAATCTCACGATGCTGCTCAATGTCTGGTCCCACGTAGTTGCTATCATGACGAGATATCACTGCGGAGATGGTCACCAAGCCTGGGGGACGCTATCGGAGCAGAAAGTGACGTGGTCGATTGTTTGGCAAGTCAATTAAGCTTGGAATCATTTACCGGGGAGCCCTGCCGAGCTGCGATGGGAAGACAAGCCTGCAGGACGGCATCTATCTAAAGAGTAAAGTAGTGGTCAGACCGAGTTAGCGCGGGAGATTAGAGAGGTACATGGGTACGTCCTGCGAGTATAGAGTGAATCGTTGTAAAAGTCTAGATGCCTTGGTGTCACGGGAATGAAAATAATGCTCTTGCGCTCTGAGACGAAACACACGAGTAGAGAGTGTGAGCTGCAGTTTTGTAGTTGTTCTACAAGTCTTTTTTACATCATCACTTTCGACGCAGTGTCATGCAATTGTCGATTGTTCCTAAGTAGACCAAAGGTTTGGGTCATTCTCCCTGCTAGCGATACTGGTAGGCAACAGTGCCACCCCTGGCGTAGTAGCGCATCCTTCCGCAACACGAGATTTCGTCGATACTCGATCCCATTCGCGCTCCTACACCTTTAACAATTCAATCCAATTCCAAACCCAAGATGACTTCGAGTAAAAAGCGTAAAGCATCGAAATCCAGTCCGGCCGGCACCAAGAAAGTCAAGAGCCAGCCCACAACATCTACACTCACGGATCCTCCAGCACCTCGCCTCAAGCATCAGCATCTGCACCACAAAGCCATCTCCCTCTACAACAAAAATGCTCAAACACCTCTGCTTAGCCTACCTCGCGAAATCAGAGATCAAATCTGGATGTACTTATACGGCAACCTGGTCTTGCACCCTACAGACAAATACAGCACAAATTCAGCGCGCCGCAACGTGCACCCTCTGACCTTCAGCATCTGTGACGCGCCGCACACACCGAAAACCCTGTACGAGCTTTCACTGCAAGGCGCATCGTCTGATCCCAGCACGCCCCTACCTTCCAAGTATTTGAGTAATGGAGAAGATGGAGCAAGCACGTGGGCAGCACCAGAGCTTCAGAGTCACGACTTCTGCGCTAAGAGCTGGCAGCGTGGTACTGCGCACCATCGCCACCTTCCCACTGATGAGGTGCTCAAAGTGCCAATCGTTTGCCGCCAGATGTGGAATGAGATGTCGGACACGGTGTACGAAACGTGCACATTTGGATTTACCAGCTCGGATGACTTCTTCAATTTTCTCTCGTGTCGCAAGGCGGGACTTGAACGCGTACGGAAGGTCATGCTGGCGCCCGAGATAAAAACCTATTATTCCAACTGCCTGGACGTGTCGGACCTGACGTGGTGGAGCTTAAAGCGGCTGAAGGGGGTAAGAAGCTTGGATCTATGGGTTGTGTGGCAAATAGACATGGACTACACGCGCGGGGAGGGCGTGGATACGTGGTCGATGGAGAAGAAGGGTGGTGAGCTAGATGCGCGGGGGAGGAAACTACAAAGTCTGGTGAAGCAACTAGGAAGATGGGATCTGAAATGCGACTCAACAAGAGTACTTGTAGATGTGAGAGGTCATGGGAGTGATGTATCTTTGTGGGCTCAGCGCTGTATACCTGTAGCTGAGAGAGTGCAATTGGCAAGGCAGGTCAAGGCGGGCTTGCTTAGACAAAGGCCGAGGAGATGCAATGAACACAAGTGTACGTCGAAGTTGTAGTATGCTAGAGGCATGCTGACGCCCTGGCAGCGCAACATGTAGGTGTAACTCATAGCGAAAATTTCTTTCCAACCAAGATTACCCACAGATGTCCATGGCATATCCACGTAACAATGATGCATTCTCTTCCACCATCCATACTGGCGGACGTGCCCCACGTGAATTGGTCAACTCACGAGATTACTCTGCGAGGTTGTCTGGTGTTCCATCGCCCGCTGTGTGCATGGTCGAGATCTTGCGTGGAGATTGATGAGCGACAAGCAAGAAGCTGAAAGCGCAGCTGAACGTGCCGATTTGAAAATTGTATGGCGACCAGTTGGTGTGTTGTCACTTGGTAAGTGCGCTGGCTCGTGCAGGCATATGCTCTCAGAATCAACCTTGGTATCTGTAGTGCGACCATATCGAGCAATCGGGTTGAAGGCCGCTCAGGCACGTCCCTATGCGTACCAACATGTAACCCGGAAATGCACTGAGCACTCTAGCAACTGTAATTCTGATACTCGAGCATGTGATAACTTGGTCTACCACCCAAGTCTATCTTTACGACATAAGACAGTATGGCCAACGTTCACGATTTTGCAAAAGGTGACCGGAGACGCTGTCTTCCGCCGAATCTAAGCCTGAGCGGGCCTGTGCACTGGGTGGCCATGCCTGATCCACAGGCTATGGATAGATCGCTACCCAGCTATAGTAGCTTCCCGGACACTCTGCGTTTTGGCGTGATCTCGCAATTGCGTTTACTTGCCGTGTAACCGTGACCCTGCGCGTCTCTAACCACCCTATGTTGTGCAACACTGATAGTCGTGTGGAGACCTATATTCGCTCAACAGAAAAGCATGAGTTGAACAGTGATAATTTCAGTGCTATTTAAACTAACGGTACTACTCATTGAGACATATTGCTTTGATCGAGAATAGCTGCGCGACTTCGGAAGAAGCTAATCGATTTGTTTACGTCGCGCGTGACGGAGCAACAACAAGGTTGTCGCTTGCCACATACATGCAGCATATGGCCAGGGTGCCCCGCCACTGTGGCACAAGGCTGTGAAAATGAGCTGTCACTTTGACCATCCCTCTCACCTTACTGGACCGTGAGCGGCAAAATCGAAAGCGGTGAATGGAATCTGCACGTGGCCGGCAGCGCTCTCCTCAAACAGGTTGTTTAGTGCCATGGTCCGCACCCCGATACCGTGGGTGTTCTCTGCGCTATCAATACAACAACATCTGCGCCCCTCCCAAGTTCGCCCTCTTGTAAACACGATATTTGTCAAGTTGTAAACAGTGACTCTGGTAGACGACACCAGGCCAGGCACCAAACAACCAGCAATCGATGCGACCAAAGTCGAGCCTGTGACCCCGCTCCTTTCGAAGCTATTTCCACGATGGATGGTAATGGCACAGCGTAAGTGACCAAGCCAACTGCTGTCTATTGTTCCTTATCTTTTCTGGCGTTTGCTTGTACTCGTCCCTTGTCTCCCGCCAGGAACCATGCACTGAGCGAGTTTGGTCGCTCTTTCCACGTTCTCATTGCGTTACTACCGCCTGCTGCACCTCGCAAGTAGGTCATTCGGAGCATCAGGCAGAACATCGTAAGTGACAGGGAATGTTTTCGTGTTTCATTTCTGTAGAAACCCCTCTGAAGTAGTTGTCCACTCCAGAATAGGGAACAGCTGACAACAAACAGCCCTGGAGCCATAATGGGCGAGCCCACGTCCGATTGCAACAATGCCAGCGAAATGGATACTTATGTAGCAAATTTGCTAAAAGAAGTGGCGAGGTTGAGCAAGGACAAGGCAGCTGCTCTCCAAGAAGTTGCTGACATCCAAAAGGAGCACGCAGCTACCACGACAAGATACAAAGACATACACGCCAGGCTGACCCAAGCCGAAGAGGCGCGCCTAGGTTTGCATCGATCTGTTCACAATCGCATCGCAGAGAAAAACGAGGTCATTGCAATGAATAATACCTTGACGAAGAAGAATGCCGACCTGATGAAAATCCATGCCGACCTAAGCCACGAGAGTGCCCAAGTGAAGAGCGAGAACGCCGAAATGGTTTCTGCTCTCCAAAGGCGCGACGCTTTCATCGCGCAGCTCCGGACCCAGGTTGCCTCTGCGGAAGAGATACATGACGTGGAGCAGAAGCAGCACGAAGCGGTCAAGGTGGAGCGGGATCGGCTTCAAAAGCAGGTTGAAGACATGTGTCAGACCCAACGCAGGGACAGCCATCGTGACAGGGGTAGATCCAAGCCCCGTTCGAGAAGTCCGCGGAGATCGCCTAGTCCAGACTACCGCCATTCGAGGTACCGAAAGCGAAGTAGAGGCCGATCAGACTATGCTGGGCGTGAGTACCATCGGTACGAGCACTACAACTCCCGATATGACGATCCATCTACACACACTCGTCGCAGAGAGCGCAATCGCTCAGCGTCGCAAGAGCTCTATCCTCCAGCTCCTCATGAGTCCAACCGACTACCTTCACCACGCAAAACACCAGATAAACCTTCCGCTCCCAGCGACAAGGCTCCGCATGACCTTACAGACCCACCGAATACTGGTCGTATACCCAAAGCTCCAAAGGCGCAAATTCTCTTCTCTATGCGACAACTCAACAAGAAATCGCCACCGAAGTCATCGAAGTGGTCGAAGGATGTAAAAAGGAGCGATCATTGCGACCCTGACTGAGAAAGGCCAACCGACCGAACCAAAGCGATTACAGTCATACATCGCACCGGGGAACTGCCAAGTATCACCCATCCTAGTGATATACTGGACTCGGGGGCATTTTATGTGGTATTGCATGACATGGTTCCAATTCTCCAGGGTCGGAAAAGCTTGTTACGGCTGCCGTATACTTGCGAGGAATCTTGCTTGAATAAAAGGATTACACCATCTTGTGAAATTTTGAGTTGCGAGTCATTCCGGACAGTCTGGAACATGCGTGTTACTGGACCCATCGACAAGTATTTCTTCCTGACTCCTGCGGCTTGAGGTTCTTGTATCCAGTGCTGCCAGGAAAAGCTTTCGCTCAACCTGCACTTCTTTTCATGTCTCTGATAGCACCATACCCTTCTATGAAATCACGGTATGCCCTCTGCCGGTAATATTCCCAGTCCAATCTTTTTGCATCCAATCAAAATGCGCCACTTTGACCCCCATGCGTGGTTTGCTTGGCCCGTCGTTGAAGATATGCAGTATTGCAAACAGTGCGAGGAAACCGACCAGCATCGGCGCGAGGATCCATATTGTGATGTAAATGAGTATTGTCGTGGCGACATTCCACGCTCGCGGTCTTGGTGGGGTGGTTGTTGATTTAGACTTCCGCTGCTTGAGTGTGAACATGGCTACGGTGGCGACGCCGAACTGGGATCCAAGTGCAACTCGACTCTTCGACCTGAGTTGTCCTTCTGATGTGTGCGAGTGGAGTCGAGTTTCGGAACCATGGGTATCAGATGTATCCAAGGCTGTCGGTCCTCCGAAGGATCCGTTCGCTACGCCCGGCAAAGAACCCCGGGAGTGTAAGCGGAACACACAGCCACGATCTCGCAACGGAATCGTTTCTCTGGTTGGGAGTTGATTGTGCACAGGCTTTATACTGCACTGCATTGCGGCACAACACCTACGCGAAAAGGTAAACCCCGAGAAGTTCAGCAGCATGGAAGCGAGACAGGGTACTGATTGGACAATTCGAGCTTATACCAGTAAGCCCGGCTAGACAGACGTCCTCGCAAGATATTGCTTGATCCCGGTCTGTATCAGGAAATTTCCGATGGGGGCTGGAACCGTACTAGATCGGAAGCGCAACTATGACGTTACTCCTCCTGGGGTAACACGGGGTATTGAAATTCTCGGATTGGCATTTTGGGTGTGGGTGAGTGCGTCGATATGGCCATGGCGGCGTTCCCATTCGGGTAGCCTGGAGCATCTCAGTCTCGATTTATGCTCGTGGAGCGCAGCCGGTGGTATTGGGACGAAAGTTTGAGTACTGGAGCCTGACACACATCTACTTCAGAGCATAGGTCCGATAGTGCTATTGATGTATCCGAGGAGCCAAAGCAGGCAACCGTCCTAGTCGTAGAAAATCATCGCTCATTGGGAAGTGCAACGGCGAGAGCGATATTTTCGGATAGGTATAGGAACCTCACGCCACAAACAACTGGAAAGGATTCATTTCAAGGTATTGTTCTCTACGGCTCTCCTGATCTCATGGCTCTAGGACCAAACCGCACTGTCTTTTGTGTGCCTCAGCCAGTCCTAGGCACTGGCTGCCCTTTTCCAGTGTGATCTCCTTGGTATGGTTGACGATCTCATCTGGACTCTTGTCGTTCGTTCTTAAGTCTTTCCACTTCATTACCAACCATCCTGGCTGCCAAAATTGACCTCGACTGAACTGACTATCTCGTCCATCTCAGATCCACACTTGTTTGATCTCAGGAACTCCATCAGTAAGAGCTCATTTTCTTTCTCTCCCAGTCGCTGCTCCTTATCTTTCAGTTGCATCTCTTTATTGCGGACTTTGTATTGGAGGCGAAAGAGGGAGTCTCGGAAGTTCACGACATGTGTCTCGACACCATCTCACGACTCTTGAGGTGCAACGGCAGTCTTGATCTCAGATGGAGGCTTAATCTCAGTGCAATATGGGCAAAGATCAGCTGAGTCGGTGTTATCCTGGCAGGCAAAGCGCACTGAGTGGTACATACGATACGGTGGGATCTCGAAGTCGCTGCAGAGAACGAAGGTGACAAGCTGCGAATGCATTTTGTGAAGCTTGTCCATCACATCAACTCGCATCTCTCGAAGCTCCATCATCTTCATATTGTTCTTGGTGATCTCGGTGGGTGTCCATCCTGCTCTCGCAAGCCCTCGGGAAAGTTCCCATTGGGTCTTTGCGGGTTCTGCGGGCTCGGCTTTGGCATCAAATGGCTCGACGGATCTCACTGTAAGATCGACTAGGTCCATGTCAGCATTGTAGGAAGAACGCAATGAGTGGAACTTATGCCGTGGCTGCGTCTTACCGTAAGGTTCTCGAATAGCGTTGCGAGCTCATTATACTGAATGATGGGGTTTTGCGGTAAGATCTTGGCTCTCCTGCTGACCGGCTTGAAGGATCTTGCAGTAGGGTCAATTGGCTTATTGTTAGCATTGTAGCGAGAGCGTAATGTAGGGTTACGTACGCTGCAGATGCCCCTTACTAACAAGGCTCGCCTCAAATGCGGTGTCTGCCGTGACGGGGCACTTCACAGCAGTCTTGTCACTCATGCTGGTCTCAAGACTCTGCAAAGTGAGATCTTAAAAGCTTTCTGGAGAGGAGTGGAGAGAAGAAAGTAAGGTTGCGGCGGGTGGGACAAATTTTATAACGGGAGAAAAGGCGCGTCTCCTACGCTAGCGCGAATGTGAGGGAAGATGCGGTCACTGGAGGACGCGCCCTCACCTTCACCGCGCTCTGCAAACACTTACAAAGAACAGAAAGCCAGTGTCTATCGTTTCTTGGTTGCATGTGTTCTGGACAATGGCCTGTACTGGGAAGTCGTCACCATGCGTGTTGGAGGTGAAGCTGATGGAGAAGACGACAGTCTGGTGAGTGAGGCGCAGGCGTCGCAGCCGTACATCCCATAAAGAGCGGGAAGAAGAATCTTGCGTGTCATTTGAAGGCGCCATGGATCATAGCCAGTATGCTTCCATAAGGAGCTCGTCGACTTGTCAAAGAGGAAGCTAGCGAGGCAAGGACGGCTCCATGAGTGGGAGACGGCATGGCCATTAGAATGGATTGGCTGGATGCGAGATTCCATCTCTTGCCTTTGACTTCCCGATATTGATCCTTCTTCGCATCATCCTGCGGAGTGCCTCCCGTCCACAAATGTCACGAGTGATTCCTAAAGTAGAACGCACCGAGCACATACAACACTGCCCCGCGGACATTCGACGTCCCTTCTTGTCGATTTCACCTAAACATCTCTCCTTTGAGATTCAGCTGGCCGGCACTGCTCAGACAGCGAGTCGATGTTTCAAAACATACCCACGGTGAACACGCAAGACGGCCGCAAGTGCCCGAGGTCGTTTTGGACAGCCACTCAAGCTACATGTGGACACGGGAGCATCAGTCAGGACCAATTGGCAACCTGTCTCCATTTACCGTTGACGGCCAGTGTTTGTAGATGCAAAGTTGGAGCCTCGGTCTGATTCTACGTCGACGCGGGAGCCTACGTACCTGCTCCTATCAATCTGGTGTCCATTTTCGATGGACTTTGCATCCCTGAAACGCTTGCCCGTCACCATTGATGCAATTGGCCTTGCCTGCTTCGATTGGCCAGTTGACACATATGCACAGCGTCGCTTGAGGTTTGACCCGACGTCGCCTATCTAGCGGCGCTCGTTTGGACGGCAACTCGGAGACTCCGAGTACCACACTCGACAGGCATCACACGACGTATTACCTCATGGAATTGCTCGGTCTGAGGTCAATTGCCATCGCAATTCGTCTGGAAGGCCACGACCACACTCGCAAAAGGCCACCGTTGTGAGCAGTACATGGCACTGAGGGGTCGTCGGTTTCGAATCTTGTCGCCGATGCAATTGGCTACAAACAAACCACAGGGCAGAAACAACGGCATACCGAGGACACGGGATACCCTGGCCGCGAGCGAGTATCTGTGGAGAGGCTGCACTGCCATGGTCGGGATACCCTCGTCGCACGCGCCACAGCCGCCTCTTTGCAGCTAGCAGCGCCGACTCAAGCGCGCTAATACCGCCTAAACTCTGGCACCGAACGGCGACCACCCTTGCGCCGTGCACCGAGGTAGCCATGTGGCTCTTGACCACCGCAACCGCAGAAGAAGCCCGCGCGAAAAGCGGTCTCAACTGGAGCGAGTGGGCTAGGTTCTACGTACGTTGTCTCTTTCGCCCGGGAATGGCACCGTTCCCCCCTGCCGCAGAGCCTCAGCGGCGCCGGCTCGGTCCCCGTCCCCGTTAGTCGTGATCGTCTACAAAATGGCAAGGCACTGACCCGCCGGGGATTCACAGGCATTCGCCAAAGAAGAGGCTAGACGGCTGGCTTCCGAGCACCCCGAGTGGAACTGGACCAATGTGCCCCAGTACGAGAAGAGCAGAGTCCGCGACAGCATCAACGGCCAACTGCGCCGCGAGGGCATCTCGCCGCTCGGCGAAGACATCATACGATGGCGCATGTCGATATGTATACGCGACGTGAAGCAGTGGGCAGGTGAGTCACCGCTCCCGCGCCGTCAGCCTCCTAAGCTTATACTGACACCACGCAGTCAACAAGACGTGTATGCCGAAGCGCAATTCCACGGCCGCCGGCGCCGCGGGCTCGGCCTACCACCAAGTGCCTCCTTCAAGACCCTACGACCCCGTCCGCGACTTCTGACGCTTCCCCGCGCCGCGGCTCTCAAGACTCTGGCGTCTGCTGCCTATGAGCCGGCCGCCGCGGCCTCCGGTACATACTGTTCGTTGCCAGTTGTAAGGCTGCTTCCGCAAGGCGCCTATGCAACATAGCACGGGAAGGACGGGCACCCGATACTCCTCAGTATCGCAGACCTCGCCCTTCCACAGGCTCGGGAAATGTCTCTCCTTCAGACCTTTTCCTTGCCTTTAATGCCCTGTACGACTTTCACGGTGGATTCTACGCGTTTGGACATGGTAACGGCCGCTTTTTCACAATGGCACGCGAGCTGGACGTCCCTCTTTTGCATTTTTTCACACTGTATTCCCTTCTTTCAACGTCAATGTGGGCAGTATCTCGAACACATCACTCGTCTGTTTTCGGTTAGAACCAACACACCCTCTGACACTACCACCCGCACTTCAGCAGTCACAGCGAAGAATTTCAACCGGGTAAGCATGCATGCTACCTTATCTCTACTCCCAGAACCGCACTTCGGTCAATTTTTCCACCTCCTGATCCAGTAATTGGGCGAGGCCTTTGGTCGCCCGCCAACTTGAACAGCACCCAAAACAATGCTCAACACAGTCGCAGCTTTCGCCGCCTCAGAATTGAGCGCATCTTTTTTGCCTCGGTCCTCCCCTCTCACTCTAATTACCCCTCTCGCTTTGTGTTACTGCTATCAGCTTGAGCTGAGTGACATGCTGGTGGCCTTAAAGAGGGGCATGTCAGACTTTACTTCGCCAAGGGCACTGCATATGATGACGCCGCAAAGACACACCATCACGCCCCACCTCCGAGTTCACATGCGCTGGAGTTGTTGGGCACCACTGCGTCGATACGAGCTTGTTGAGCTTGTTTGTACGTCGTGGACATGGTCATTGGCGATGCGTGTGCGTCACTGCTGAGGAGTGTGCTGCGAAAGTGCGAGGAGGTGGAAGAGGCGTGGTCACCTGAGATTGGAAGGATCTCAGGTCTACCATGATGCAATATGGGCTAATGATTCAAGTGTTCACTTGGTCGCCTCGTTGCGTATCCACCGGAATGCGGCCGCAGCTTCCCAGCTAAACTGTCGTCGCGAAGTGGACAAAGCATTTTTTGAACGATCTAGTAATTGATGTAGATCCGCCCTTCATACGGATGCAGCCTCTCTTGACTTGACTCCGGATATGAGCTCAGTAAGAGCTTCAGATCACCCACTTCTGGAAGCGGCTGTTGTTCTTCAGTGAAATTCGCCGCTACCAGCGCAGTCTTCTCCCGATACTGCTTCTTGTACATGAAGGTGTTTAGATTATCCGCATCCAGCAGCTCAAACGCACCGTAGACGAACACATCCTTGTGGTCCTTGCGTAACCGTAATAGCAATTTCCAAAAAGACAATACACTATTCGTGTCCTGCTCCTGGACTTCGACGTTGATCTCCCGATACAGATCATGCGCGCGCATCCACGGCCGGCCGTTCGAGAAGCCACCATTAGCAGTTGAGTTCCACTGAAACGGCAAGCGCGCATGATCTCTAGCCATGAGCTGCAGACCACGCATGATCCTTTCTCTGCGCGTGGGATCCGTTCCGTCCTCTGATAGTCGCACCGCTTCCTTCCAGTAGTTCTGCGACTCGACGTCTTTGTACTCTTCGATCTCCCACTCCCTTGGGGCATTCACCATGCCAATTTCCTGTCCCTGGTACAGAAACAGCGTGCCTGTCTGCGCAGCAAAGCACACCGCCAACATCTTCGCGCTCTTCTCCCGCCACTCGGGCACGTCGCTGCCGTACCGCGAGACGCTTCTCCCGTTGTCGTGGTTCTCGCAGAAGACCGTCGTCCACCCGTCCGTGCCTTCAATGAACGTCTGCCACTTCTCCACAATGCGCTTCAGTTGGGGGAGCTTCCATGCCGTGCCGGCGTACTTGTTGTCTGACCCTGGCGGCCCCTGCCCCAGATGTGTAATGTCGAACTGAAACACCATATCCAGTTGTTTCGCTTTTGCGCTCACATAGCACAGCACGCCTCCAGGCTCCGGCGTCATCGAAAGCTCGCCCACCGTGACTACAGGTAGCCCATCGAATGTACTGTACTTCGACAAGACCTCCCCATTCATCTCCCGAATGAACTCATGTATCCGAGGGCCATTGCACCAAAACTGCGCCGCGGGCTGGACGTCGCTTCCCGGCTCTGTAATCGGCGCGTCGCTGAAGTCCACGTATTTGGAGTACTTATTCACGGTGTCGACTCGGAACCCATCAATCCCCTTGTCTAGCCAGAACCGCATCGCAGAATCATATATCGCACGTCGGCAGTCCTCGTTCTCCCAGTTCAGATCCGGTTGACTTTCGTCGTACAAATGCAGATAGTACTCCTGCGTTTCCTCATCCCAGGTCCACGTGGAGCCGGCGAAGTAGCTGCGCCAATTGGTAGGCGGGCGCCGGTTGCCAGCCTCGTCGTACCGCGCGGGCCGCCAGAAGTACCAGTCGCGCTTTGGATTACTCTTTGAGCTGCGAGACTCGCGGAACCACGCATGTTGCGAAGAGGTGTGATTTACAACGAGGTCGAGGATAAGCTTCATGCCATGCGCGTGGCAAGCTTTAATCAGCGCCTCTACGTCTTCCACCGTACCGTACGGCGCGTAGACTTTCTCGTAACTTCCACCAATATGTGTTAGTCGCAGAGGTTCTTCGTGTAGTAATGGTCTGGCTCGAACTTACTCGCTTATATCGTACCCCATGTCCACCTGGGGGGAGTCGAACATGGGAGACAGCCATACTGCGTCTACGCCTAATTTGGTCAGATGGGGGCGTTGGGGAGGGGAAGAAGACATGCCTAGCGAAGCAATGTAGGCAATTTTCTCGAGGATGCCGGGGAGGTCCCCCCACCCATCGCCATTGCTGTCTTTGAACGACGCAGGGTAGATCTGGTAGAAGGTTGCTTCTTTCCACCAGACCCGATCATGGCCTTGCGACATTGCGGGAGTAAGTGGATGCACGGTCAATTTTGGCTTGGCCGCGGGTTTGAGCTACTAGAGGAAGTACTGTCAGGAAGCAAATCTCACGAGGTATACGGTAACAAGTCCGGGCCCGCGTCATCCTGAGAGTAGCAGTTCCGACTGTGAGGGAGAGGTACGGTTGTTGCTCTCGGGCCGACGACGAGCCAATGGGCAGGGAGACATCTTATACCGTGGTCAGCTAGCCTACGATCCCACTTGGCAGTGACAACAATGCCTTCACATTCAGCCTCTCGGCCTTTTGCATGCAAAGCTCGAATCTTCTGAGGTGAGCGTCTTGAAGTGGGACTCTGGAAGCAAGTCGAACTGGACAACGTCTCACATAAGAAGAGTTCAAGATTGCCCTGGAACTTGAGTGACTTGAAGCAAGGCAATGGCAAGAATCCTGGAGTTGACGGGCTGCATGCACCCCCGCAATCCACACTGCACCCCGGCCATCACGCCCCGAACAGGAAAGCTTTCATCTCAACCAGCTCTGCATCCCCAGATCGCCTCGTCCGCATATAACTCTTGTCGCGCCATGATCTCCACAGCTCGACTGTCCTCCTTCCAACCTCCGCCATGGCAACAGAAAAAGACCACGTTCAGGCTGTAGAAGCTGGCGACCAGCACGCCACCGCAGCACCTAGTAAATCCGCCCAACATGCCGCCGCCGACGAGAAATCCATGTCCCTCCTGCAGTCCATCAGACTGTATCCGAAGGCGGTGGGCTGGTCCGTGGTTCTCTCCAGCGCACTCATCATGGAGGGGTACGACCTCGCGCTGCTGGGGAGTTTATATGGAAGTCCGCAGTTCAATCGGAAGTATGGGAGGCTGAATGTGGAGACGGGGAAGTGGAGTGTGCCGGCGAATTGGCAGAGTGCGTTGTAAGTGTCCATAACATATCATACGGTGATTTGGTGCCACTGGTCTTGCACGTGTACCACACCAGCTGGATGACTTTTATGCCTCCCCTCCCAAGCGCGAAAGGCGGACGTGGAACTCGTGCTGATGGGGATGAGGTGGTAGATCCAACGGCGCGCGCGCAGGCGAAGTCGTCGGCCTCGTCCTCAACGGCTTCGTCAGCGAGCGCTTCGGGTACCGCAAGACGATGCTCGGCGCGCTCGTCTCCATGACGGCGTTCATCTTCGTGCTGTTCTTCGCACCCAACATCCGCATCCTCGTGCTCGGCGAGGTGCTCTGCGGCATCCCCTGGGGCATGTTCCAGACGCTTACGACGCAGTACGCCAGCGAGGTCAGTCCGGTGCAGCTAAGGCCGATTCTGACGACGTTTGTGAATATGTGAGTCATTGTGAGAGGGAGCGGGAGGGAGGAGCGGACAAGGCTAAAGGAAGGCAGGTGCTGGGTCATGGGTCAATTCATTGCCGCGGGCGTGAACCGAGGGTGCGTGACGCGCGAGGATGAGTGGGCGTATAGGATCCCGTTCGCGATACAGTGGATCTGGCCGGTTCCTATCATGATCGGTGTAGCGCTCGCGCCGGAGAGCCCGTGGTGGCATGTGAGGAGAGGTGGGTAAACGGCTGGGTGCAACGTGGCTGTGGCTTTCCCGCAGATCGAGGCTTCTTTCCTGCTTTCTGCCCATCCTGTCTCGACACATGCTGACTTTCCACCTAGGAGACCGCGAGGGCGCGCGCAAGGCACTGCTGAGGCTCACGTCGCCCGAGAAAGATGCCAGCTTCAACCCGGACGACACAATCGCCATGATCGAGCACACCAACGACATGGAGAAGGAGATGTCGGCCGGCACGCGCTGGGGCGACTTGTTCCGTGGCGCAGACCGGCGGCGGACAGAGATTGTGTGCTTCACGTGGATCGCGCAGACCATCTGCGGGCAGAACATCATGGGATACTTGTGCGTGTGCACCTCCCGATACCTCGTCGCCTCCCTCAATGCTGACCCCCCGACAGCGCCTACTTCATGCAAAAAGCGGGCCTCCCCACCGTCCACTCCTTCAACCTCTCGCTGACGTCCCTCGCGCTCGGCCTCCTCGGCACCGCCGCCTCGTGGGCCCTGATGCAGCGCCTGGGCCGGCGCACAATCCACCTCGTCGGGTCGTCCACGCTCTTCACGCTCCTGGTCATTGTCGGCGCGTGTTCCTTCTCGCACGCCAAGGCGGCGAACTGGGCCATCGGCGGCCTCCTCATCGCCTTCGTCTTCGTGTACGACCTCACCATCGGACCCGTCACGTACGCGCTCATCTCGGAACTTTCCTCGACGAGGCTGAAGGCCAAGACGATTGTGCTGGCCAGGGCGCTGTACAATGTGTCGAACATTGTGGTGAATGTGCTGACCAACTATCAGCTGGGAGAGCAGAACTGGGATTGGGGTGCGCGGACGGCGTTTTTCTGGGCGGGGACGTGTGGGTGCGTGGTGGCTTGGGCGTGGTTCAGGCTGCCGGAGCCGAGGGGGAGGACGTATGGGGAGCTGGATGTGCTGTTTGAGAGGGGGGTTGGGGCGAGGCATTTTTCGGACGTCGTGGTGGATCCGTTTGTGAGAGGAGCCAGGGAGACGACGCGGGTGGGAGCGAAGGAGCAGGGCGGTGTGTTGTAAAGGAAGTGCTGGAGCGGGGACCTGTGGTACCTCTGGATGGGTAATGCAGAAGACGAGGGTGGCCATTACACGTAGCCAATGCGCCTGGGGTGCTTGAAGGTGTCGGTGTGGATTCGCAATGCTATCCGGGTATCTATCCCAACCAGTCCTAACGCCTTCGCTGTGCATCAATCCAAGTCCCAAAGCGCTCTTCTCGCTCACGCAGAGCCCATGACCAGCCACCCGTTCTCATAGACGGGGTTCGCAGGTGCCGCGCAGCCAGGACAGCTCGCGTGGTCGCAGTCGGACGGCTTCGTGACATCGTACTCGTCCCAGGTGACGGCGTCGTCCTCGTCGTCGTCTGCCATGGCCACATCGTCGTCCTTGCTCGTCTCATCCTGCGCCTTGACTTCAACGTCTGCAGCTGGCACCGCCTCGATCCGCGCCTCCGCTTCCCCAGCCCTGGGACTCGCGTCCTTCTTCGCCTCGTCCTTCGCCTCTCCAATCTTGCGAAAGCGGCTCCCGCCCGTCGCCGCCGCGGGCGCGCCGCCAACCTTCCTGAAGCGCGGCCCCAGCCCCTTCTTCGCAGCGTCACCGCCCGGCTGCGGTAGACTGCGCATGTCGAGGGGGCCCTTGGAGCGGGGCGCATCCGAGGCGCTTGCGTCGGTCAGCTTCTTCATCTCGGCGAGGCGCTGGCGGTGGTTGTGGTCGTAGGAGCGGAGGTGGTTCTCATAGTCGGTCTGGCGCGGGTAGCCTTTGTCGCAGATGGCGCAGTTGAAGAGGTTGACGGCGTTGGGGAGGGGGGCGTTGCGCGGCGGCATGGTGGCGGCGGCGGTTTGTGCAAGCGGACGTGGATGCTGAGTCTGGAAGCTGTGTCACGCTCCGGAGGATGCGCGGTGTGCGGCGAGGCAGTGGTGCGAGGACCACGGGTGTGTTGTAGCGCCCGCAGCTCATGAGGCTCCGCAGTCCCAGCCGCGGCACAAGACCCTGGTCCCCTGCGCCCTCGCCCAGGCCTGCGCCGAATCAACGTCATCCTCTTCTGCAACATTTGCCGGCAGCATCTCCTCGCACACGCGACCGCCGACCATGGCCAACCACGCGCCGGACATGCCGCCTGTCGCCGACGACGACGACGCCGGCGTCATGGGCCTCACCCACGTCGACCCCTCGCCCGTCGACGAGACGCCCGTCGAGTACAAGGAAGGCTACTTCCCGCCTGCGCAGGCCGCGCGCGCGACCACGCTGGGCCTGGGGCACCACGGGCCTGCATACTACCGTGCGTCTGCTGCATGCACACGCCGACTTGGACTGCAATGCTAACCCGGCCAGTAACCCGCATCCAGCGATACTCGTCCTACGCCTTCACCGTCTTCGCCGCGCTGCACCTCACCAACACGTCCCTCGTCCCGCTCCTCGCGCGCTCCGTCCCAGAAGCCAACCGCTACCTGCTGCTCACCCGGCCGTACTACCAGTCCGCCGTCGCCGAGCCGCTGCTCGTCGCGCTGCCCCTCGCCGCCCACGTCGCGTCGGGCGTCGCCCTGCGCTTCTACCGCCGCCGCCAGGCCCTCGAGCGCTACGGCGCCGAGACGCACACCGACAGGAAGACGATCCCGTGGCCGAGCCTCAGCGGGACGAGCGCGCTGGGCTACGCCCTCGTGCCGCTCGCGGGCTTCCACGTGTGGACGGCGCGCATCCTCCCGCCGTACATGCACGGCGACAACAGCATGATCTCGCTGTCGTACATCAGCCACGGCTTCGCGCTGCACCCGCTCGTGTCCTTTGGCGGCTTCATCGCCTTGGTGAGCGTCGGGACGTGGCACTTTGCGTGGGGGTGGGCCAAGTGGCTGGGATACACGCCCGCGCAGGCCTCGCCCACCGAGTCGCGGCGCCACCTCACCAGGAAGCGGCGCTGGTATGCCATCAACGGCGTCTCGCTCGCGCTGACGGGGCTCTGGCTGGCGGGCAGCCTGGGCATCGTGGGGCGGGGCGGGAAGACGGGCGGCTGGATCGGCCGCGAGTTTGACGAGCTGTACAATGCGATGCCGTTGATCAGATGGTAGATGGATGCGAAGGACGCGGCGACGATACCCCACGTACATACTGCTTGCATTATAGATTCGTCTCCTCACCTCAGCCTGTACTGACTCCGTATTCTCTACGCTGCGAGTCCACACGAGGACGTAGACGACGTGGTCTGCCCTCACCACCCCAGGTTCTCCTGGTCCACAAAATCATACACAAACACCCTCTCCAACAACGGGTCCGTCTCATTCTTCAGCTTGTCATGTCCCTCCGCCTTGTCAAACTCCAGTCTCGCCGCCTCGCTCTGCGCTCACACATCAGCCTTGCCCTTTCCCCACCGCCACCCATGGCACGAGGGCAGACGTCGACCTACCTTGAACCTCACCACAAACCCCGTATCCCACCCCTTGTCCCTCTGCACGCCCGTCAGATTCAGCGGCGTATCCAGCGGCCGTCCGCCCCGTGGCTTCTCCGCCAGCAGATGCGCGTACTCGTCGTACAGGGCGAGAACTGCACCTCGTCGTCAGCCCTTCCGTCACGTTTCCCAGCCGCCTTGTCTGCTCCCGCTGCACACGCTCAAACCGTGCACGGCGAGAGGGAGACGCGACGTGCAGACTCACACGCCCCCGTCCGCGCCCCAATGTCCCCGGCAGCCACCCAGTCCCGGAACTTGAAGCACGCAATCCGCGTCACCGTCACGCACTTCGCGGCTTCGGCGTCCTCGCCCATGGCCATAGCAACAGCAATGACACACGCCCAAAATGGCGCCGATGGGAGGTACATCAATCGGTCGCGCGTCTGATGGTCTCGTAGTCGAGTCCAGCGCACTCCAAACTTCACTCATCCCCCACCCCCCCCCCAAAAAAGGGGTGCGCTTACCCTCCCTCCTACGTACACAGCACCATGCGTACGTAGCACGAAACGTACGTAGCCGTTGTCGTGGCCGTTGTCGGGTCGTACACGGCGACGGTCAGACAGGGTGGAGATCCGGCCCGGTTCGGTTCGGTTGGTCGTACTGTATACACGACGCGACATTCTGCACGCAATGCAACGCGAAGAATGCGGCATCGCTGGGGCATGGCATTCCCGCCGGCAGGGCCGCAGTCTAGACTGCTTCTGCAAGCCGTCGCCTGGTGTCACTGCTGATCCATGGATCCACACTGGCCCGACGTTGGACAACGTTACATGCACCCATCCGAACGCGGTCATGAAGCTGCAATGTATTTATTGTCTTGTCATATCAAGTTATGTCCAGTGGCTGGCTGCACCGAGCCCAGAGAGTCCGCCATACACAACCCGTGTACATGTCCCGTCAGAGCCGAAATGTGTCTACGCCCTAATCGCCGGCCTCGACAGAGCCGAAATGTACCGTAGAATACTGTGACCACCGCCCAATTGATCGAAAGACACGCAGATAACACTGAAACAGATTTTGGGCAGGGGAAACAAACGCACGTGTTAACATACATACCTTGTCTCTGCGCATGCGGAGAAGCTCAAAGTCTGGGAGAGACAAGACATGAACCACCTCAACGTCGAAACGCGCTCATGGGTCGCTTGACCATCGGAGGCTTAACGACTGCCGTCCTCGGTGCCAGCTTCGGCTGAGGAAAAAACTTGTGAGACAGGGCTTCTTTGGGTTGCATGCGCTTTTCAGGGTTGAAGTTCAAGCATGCACCCAACAAATCGACAAAGTCGTTAAGTTCTCTCTCAGGCGGCAGGTTGTCTTGGGACATGCCGCGAGTGGCATCGTTGATGCGGCTCTTCAGATCTCGAGGCACCTTCTTCTGTTGCTCGATTTTACGCACGGTGACCTGGTAGGAGTTAGCAATGGACCGTGATCTACCCCGTACTTCACATACCTTGCCTTGCTGATCGACTTCCTGGCTGATGAATTTTAGCGGTGGCCCAGCCTCGAAATGCTCCAGGACGTTCTGCAAAAGGCCCTTCTTGAGCAGTTTCTCAGTCGGCCATCCGAGACAGTCCATAAAGGCCTTGATCATCTGGTTATTTGTGCGACCTGTGAACAAGATCTTGCCCGTCCAGAGCTCGTAGATGGTGCAGCCAACGGCCCACATATCGATGCCGTACCCAATGTCTAGTCCAAGAATGATTTCTGGAGCACGGTAAAAGCGACTAACAAGATACTCTGTTCGTTCCATGACATCCCTCTTATCAACCGCTGTGCCAAAATCGCAGAGCTTGATTGTCTTCATGTCTGGTGAGACCAGGATATTGTCGGGCTTCAAATCGCAATGGACGACCTGGCAACTCACAAGATGCTGCAGCCCGACAAACATCTGCCGCGAATACGACCGAACAGCCTGCAGTGAAAGTCCGTGGCCGTTCGTGTTCTCCTTGAGGAGATCCCGCAAGTTCTTCGACATGTGCTCGAACACCGCGCAAAGATGACCCTTGTGGTCAAAAGAGCTCAGCAAACGGATGACATGGCGCTTGTCCTGCGGATCCGCGTCATTGACCTTGCGAACAAAGTCCATCTCTTTCTGACTAGCCTTCCGCATGAGGTCGTTCCTGCGAATCATCTTGATGGCAACTAATTTGTGAGTGTTGTTCTCGTCTTGGATCGAAATGTCTTCGGCTTGCGCGACGTTGGCAAAAACACCTCGACCGAGGTTCTTGATCATCCGATAGCGACCACCGTTGACGAGCTCATTCGCAATGAGTTTGTAATAACCTTCCGCGTCGTCCCAATTATCGAGAAGCTTCTCGTCCAACACCGTGCCCTTTGCAGCGTCCGCCGCCTGCTCTGCCACTTCTGCTTCGGTTTCTTCTTCATCCTCGTCTTCATCGAAATCAAACATGTCGAAATCCTTCTTCTGCTTCTTAACAGGGCCTACTTTTTCGGCGGGCAGAGTGGAGAGAGCCTTCGGGTCAGTTTCGTTGTAAGCGTCCGAGGGAAGTTCTGCTTGGCGAGCCTTTCGGGCGGCCCGATCGCGGTCGTCGAGCATGTCCTTGGTCGGATCGTAATCTGCGGCGGAGGGGCTATTTGCTGAAGGACTGTTTCCCTCGCTGATAGCCCCTGGTTTGTCTAGAACCATGACATCAGGCGATGCAGGAACAGAGTCTAGGTCGCCTGTTCGAGGAGAGCCCACTGGTGATACCGGGCTCCCGAATGACGCCAAAGGTGATGCAACATTGGGAGTCGTACTTTCGGAAGCATTAGCAAGAAGCGCTTGATGAAGTAAATTGTCCTTTGCCTTATCCTTCTCGGAGGCTGCTCGTATAGCTGCCCACCTGCGGCGTTTCTCCTCGCGGGTCTCTTGCGCTGGCGCTTGCTCCTGTACAGCGGGCTCGAAGGACAAGTCGGCCTCTTCCGGTGCTTGCGTCCTGTGTGGCTCAATTAGCAAATGCCGACCCTTTGAGAGCGCAAAGACTGACATTTGAACATCACCATCTATGCTGATCTGAGACGTAGATGTGGTTCGTGATTTGTTCGAAGCAGCCGAGACTTGCCCATTTCTGCCCACTCCGTTTGAGCCTTGCAGGTCGCGCTTGGTGTGACTGCGACTGTCGAGCCGCGAATTCCCTAATGGCCGCAAGTGGTCACGGAAGTCAGGAATAGTAGGAGGGTGCTCGGTCTCGTATGACAGGGGCTTAGGCTTCCGGTCGTTGAAAGGACCACCTTGTGCCGTCCGAGAATCGTTGTAAGGTGCATCGGGCCTATGGTCATTGTGCCTGCTGCGATCAGTGTGAGGGCGCTTGTCGGGCCGTCCTCCGCGCGGCGGCGAGGCCTTGCGTTTGTTGTGTGACCGAGGGTCGTGATTTCGGCTGCCTCCGTTGCCCTTTGCGGCGCGAAACGGGGATGGCGATCTGGAGATCTGGCGCGTGTCGCGCTTAGCTCGGTATGGCGAAGGTGAACGGTCACGCTTCCTGCGATATGGCGATGGGGATCGACTTGGTCCTCGACGATAGCTGCGGCCTTTGCTGGTTAGCAACAAAGTCGTAGACACGCTGTATTTGAAGCACACACCATAGTCATCCGCCGCTCCGTCTCCTCCAAATGCCCTGCTAGAGCCGTTAATCGTACGTTCGCGGGACTGGCTGATGCTGTTTGCCTTCTGCTGGTGTTCGACTTCGCCTTCCGACGAGCTCGCGCGCGAGGCCATGGCGCCGTCGGCTGCTTCGAGCTCCTACAGGCGGATGGTTTGGGTATGGTGCGTCAGCTTGCTTCTTCCTGTGAGAACAATTGAGTGCCTTTGTCACTGACTGTGTGTCCCGAGCTGGAGTGTTCCCAACCTGCCCGTTGTGGTGCGGGTGCTGGAGGGGACACGCAGAGAGGAGACAAGAGCGAGTCGCGACCTGGCTCTCTGCACGCTGAAAGTGGACAGGAGTAAATGGTACAAGTGAACACGTACGGTGGGTGCGATCGTGGTGGGGAAGTCGCGGTCGCGAACTTTGGGGATGACGTGAAGGGTTTGAGACTAGCGTCAGACAGCCAAGACTAAGCGCCGTCACGTGCACTAACGTTCACTGTCACCAGTGCACGAAACATCAGACTTGCGCATCACGTCCATTCCAAGGGAGATGAGTCATATCGGAGAATACGTGCTGAGTCTTCGCGAGCGGACTGTCTACGCCTGCGACCGTGCCCGGTCTTCCTCGGTACCTGACCATAGGAGTACCCTCTATTGCCAATGTGGAGCAAACTTCACTTGCATCTGATCGAATTGCGAGCGTATCGCTGTGTTACATACGGATGGCCGAGGCGAAGTTCCCGCTGGACCCTTAGAGATCATGTTCAGAGCACAACGTCAATACGAAGCGAGGTGGTACAGTGGAACACCGACCCCTAGGCCAGGTGGCACAGTTGACCAACCGCAACGACATGTCAACCTCAAAGACAAAGTGGGAACAATCTCGATCATGTTCTGTGACACTGTGGACGGCGGAGATAGGCGCGTGCCCAGCCCTCGACAGCATCAACAATGAAGAAGCTTCAAGTTCCCCAGAACTACGTGTACCTGCAAAAGCATTTCCGTGACTCTACGTTTTAGGTTTCACGCGCATGGCCGTTTATCACTAATGCGTGCTCGATCCCCGGACATTGCCGCCAATCTTGCAAGTCCTTGGAAGGCTAAAGATCGTGGTCTGGGCCGGGTGATCGTCAAACCTAAAACTTCCTTGGGTATCCCGACTGTACGGCTTCACGTCGCACGCTAATGCCCGAGCAGCCATTATGAATCGTTCATGTAGACTCAATGTTTGCCATTCAGGCATTTGCGGGTCTTCAAAAGCAGCAGTAGCTGCTGACTGCAGGGGGTATTCGGCCCTGAACTCAAGAGGATGTAATTTGGGCGGTACGGGAACATACGGAAGTGTAATATTGGGTTTCAAGTATGAAGATCTGATAGCAAGGTGGTGCTCGACTCAGCCTTGCCCAGCCTTTCCGAATATTGTCGGTGTAGTGGATGCGAAGGAACACAGACCCTGCCACACCCGAAGCGTGCAGCGGAACGTGCCGCGGGAAAGTCGAAGTTGTCCAACGCTCTGTTTCGGATCAGGGTCAGATATTGGCGAAGCGACGATCAAGGTTGCCCAACAGCGCCCAATTTACTTGGAATTGTGCAAGATCGTCCCGAGAATGGCTTAGTAGCGTCGCGTTCCTATCTTGAGGCGACAAAAAAAAGAGAGAGAGAGAGAGTTGCCGAGGTTACGTCGGCAATGCTCCCGCTATACGCGAGTGTGGCCCAAGTGGATTTCATGCAAGGTATCTGGGACGCTGCTGCTACGGGTGGCGAGATAAACTTCGACCGGCTCGTCAAGCAGAGTACTCGCGTCTATCTGCAGATCTGCGGCCTCCCGTGAACTTGTTTACTGCCTTAACCTGCATAGAGGGCCCTAGATTCTGCGCATAGCCGAAGTAAAAGCTAGCGGTCTCCGGAAGTCAACGGTATCCTGCCTTGTCGATCATTGTTTGGACGAATCGTGAGTGCCGGAATTTGGACGAGCCGTCTTTGTTGGCTGGAGTCCTTGCCGAATATACATAAGTTTCTTGTATAGCCGTTACCAATACATCAAGAAGGACGGGAAAGTGTGTACGCAGTCCACTCGACGTGCATTGTCGTACGATGTTGTAGAGCACAGAAGGTTGGCCACATATTGAGACGGTCCGTTTAAGATACGTGAGACGGCAACTGCAGATTAAACAAGCAAGGATTATAATGCAGTCCTGGCCTTTCAGCAAGTCGTCAGGACACATACAGGAATGATCGTTGTACCTCATGAGGCTGTGTATGTCTAAGCACGAAGTATCGAATGTTTCCGCGCATTGTGGTTCCCAGGGCCCTTGAGTCAGTGACAAAAAACAAGCAGCAACATTGACACCATGCGGGATGGATGAAACGGAAGTCGCAACTAGATACGACTTTTCTCTATATTCGCTATAAGATAGAACACAATCCTCATATTAGGTTATTGGGGGACACATTTCTCCGTCTCGTGATGTGGGAAATGAGGCTGTAAAGAGTCTGACCAATCAGAACCATAGGAGATACCTCCGACGGCTATCAGAGGCTGGTTTGCTTTAAGGTACTCTTCTAACGAGGCCCAAGTAGATGTCCCCTTTTCCATTGCCGAATGCACTGTCGTAGGCTGTTCAAACTCTTCCGATCTCGTATCCACATTGAAAGAATTGCCACGAATTGCCGGACAGATCGTCGGAAGAATAATGCAGGTTGAACAAGGTTTACAGGTGGTAGAGGCCCTAACTTTCTCTCAGATCTATCGAAGTACCAGGGTACAGTTCGAGGTGTTCCGCAATATAGTTCGTTACAAATCGCGAGGCCAATTATAAGGAAACAGGACATGACAGTGGATGTGCCTGCCGTTTGCAGACAAGTGACGGGCGCGTCCTGAAGCCATGTTCCAGGGTCCAGTAGACTACCTGCATGCTAGGCTGGGATTAATGGCCATTGGGTCGCGAACGATGCCACACTAAGTAAAGCAGCAAGCGGATGAGTTCCATGTAAGAGCCAGGACGACTCCAAAAGACTGCTGCACCCGGCACATCTGAAGATGGAATCGGGCTAGCTCAACGTAGCAGGGGACCAGGGGTGAGAGGCTCTTGATCTCGCAATTCAGCTTTGGTGGTCGCACACAGGAATCTACCGGAGCACTGACCCGTCCAACCAGTCGCCCGAATCCGAAGCCTGTTCGGTAGCGAGTACCATCCGAAATGAAACCTCGAAATGTCTTTCCCTTTCAAGGCATGTGAAAGAGGACATCGAACGGACCGTGTAGTCCAGCTCGCGGATGAAGACCATGGTGGTTCTCATTTGCAAAGTGATTTCGACACGCACCATCCGAGCCCCATAGAACTAGAGAACGTCATAGGTTGCATTGAAACTTTGAAAGGTCGGAACGCAAAGACCGATGGCCAATCGTGGCATGAGAGGGGCAAGCTGAGCCGCCGGTCGGACCGAATGCACATACCGGCTCTGACCATAAACATCCGCTTAGTGGGAGACTGTGCTCGACAACAGCCCTGCTTAGTATGACGGTGTTCGTTACCAGGGCCTAGATCGCTGTTGAGTATGCGGCGCAAGGAGCCAAGCTGCAAAGGTCAAGATGGCGCTTGTCAGTTCGCCTGGCTGAGGTCAAAGCCACACTTAGCTCGAATGGCCGTTGAATCCTGCCGTCATCCTGGGAGACTCGAACGAGGCTGAACATTTACACAATCAGGAAGGGATCTTTGCACTGCTGAGCCCGTACAACTGTACTGATGAGGGCGCAAGGAGGGCAAGCACCGGGCAGGGAGGGTGCGAGACCGGAGTCGTCGAGGCCCAATCCCGTGGGGCTTGATTGCAGTTGGCGTTCGCCGTTCGATTGACATCTGCGGAGAGCGCCGGCCTGGCTTGCTACCGTCTGCTCTTCCGACTTCCCCGCGAGGTCTTTCTTTGGGCCGCTAGGCACTAGTCTCGATTTGCATCCACCTCCTCACGGTGTAAGTGAGCTGCGCATTTGAAACCCCGTTCCAGCTCAGGGCGCTTGTCAGCGGCGTAAACGCGAGGGTTGTCCGGCCTGATGGTTCCCATATGCAACGTCCCAGTAGCCGAACAGGTATAGAAGGGAAATCCCCGAAATGCAGGGTGGGCCTGTCGCACGGCATCAGTGCATGGTTTCTGCTTAGATTTCGTCGCCTAGGATCGTCATTAATATAGATCTTCATTCGAATTTCATCGGCACCGATATGATCTCGCTGATGCCTCCCGAATCGGCCAATTCGTCGCCAGGTGAGTGTTCAAGTGACGGATCGTAGGCGTGAGCCGGACTTCACTGACAAGCCAGGTGCGAGCTACTGGTATGGCAGCAGTCTGCCAAATGGCCTCTCAAACAACCTCGACGGGTCACCATCCGACTCATCGAATCCTCGGATGCTGCGGCGAGCTTCAGAGGCGGTGATACCATCCAGTGCTTTTCAGAGGTAAGGCTGCATCTCGTTGAGCTTTCGCTTGGTTGTTGTTACTGTTTCGAGGCCGAACGCGGAAGTCGCAGCCAACCTGTCTCCTGGGTATCCAGAAGACCTCGAAGGAGCCTGTCTTATATATAACGGACCCGCAATACCTTGGAAACTCTCAACCCGGAAACCGGCATCGCACCCTTGCAAACGTGGCTGTCAAGCTCCGCGGAACGAACCATCCATTCACGAGCGCAGCGACGTGAGAGACCTGGGATGCACAGAACACCAATGAACGCTCTCCCCGACCGAGGTACCGACAGCAGCGAGGTTTTTCGCATGTCTGGCGTCGTGATCTTTCCCGCGGGACGAACGCCGTCCTCTATAAAGGCGGGCGCAGCGTTTTCGGTCGAAACCTTGCGAACCCAGAGTAGCGCACTCCACACGGCGCACGAAGGACGAAGGGACTTCTTCCCGCAATGGTTCTCTGGCGCGATTGTTCGCTCTTGGCTGACAATTGTACAGTCAAGAGACAGTGCCTTGGGATGGAATAACCCCGCTCCATCTCGACACCGCTTCAATCCTCCGAGCACAGTCTGTAGCCCCTTCCGCGAATCATAAAGCCCCTCTTGCGCCGAAACAGGGCCTCGCAGGTGCATTGGGCAGCGCAAGGAATCAGCACCAGTCACCCATCTCAGGAACCTACGCCCTGCGCACACCACGTGGGAAGATCACTTCCATAGCATGCGAGAGCTGCAGAAAACGCAAGTCGAAGGTATGCTGTGCATGCCCAGTTTTCGGATTGTACGTTGATTGTTCACAGTGCGACGGAGTTCGGCCCAAATGCAACACATGCCAGACGAAGAATCTCTGTTGCGTGTACGACGTCGCTGAGGATGGGAAAACGACTACACAATTGCGAGCTCACGTCAGACGGTTGGCAAAAGAGCTCGATGACATGAAATCAATTGTATCTTTACTGGCATTGGCTTCAGATCGGAATTCTGCTGCGACATGGGCTAGTGAGCTGGAAAAGAACGGGTTTGCTCACCACTCAGCAGAAGAGATCAAAAGAGCGCTTCAGGTGAGCATAGCCAACCCGGATTTCCAAATCAGCCGTTCACGATTTGCAGGAGCCTGGTAGCCAGCCGGGACCCTTGGAGCAAGATGGTCTCGATACACCCGTGAGCGAACGGTTCCGGCGTCCGTCACATAGTATCGCCGAGTCTTCGTATGACGGATCCTCAAGGGGCGACAGGTAAGGCTACGCCCATCCAGTAGAGTCGAAAATTGCTGATGAGACGAGTAGCCGAGAGCAGAGCCAGCCTGCAATCCCGTTCCAGACCCCGGAGCACGCCGGCGATGGTGCAGGACCCTATCCATACAACGACAACAGTGACTCCAGCAAATTCAGTTTCGAATCTGCCTTGTACTGCAGGACCAAACGAGAGATGCTCGCGAATGGCTGGGACGAGGCGCAGATATTTGGGCGAAATGAAATGGATGTGGATACGCTCCTTCTAGGGTTTGCAGATCCTCAAGACAGCCTCCCAGTTCCGACTTGGGCGAGCAAGATGGTCAACAGAATGCTACCGGCAGCGCCCATGCCGGTGCGACTGGCATCTGCGAGTCTTTTGACCAAGATGATGCGAGTATGTGGACCTCGATACCCGCAGATTAGGAATTCATGTGCTAATGGTCCTAGTGGCTCATCTGGCCGAGTGTCGAGAACTTAAATGCCATGCCGGACTGGTTGATGCCTCTGGCGAGGCCAGACCCTTCGGGATACGATTTGCTCGTTGACCTGATTCCCTGGTGCGTCTCATCGTACGGTTCTGCTCGAATACCCAATACTAACTCTTCAAAAGGCCCCAACTTCGCCAATACTTATATCGACACCGGGGAGAGTTCGCTCTAGGCTCTTTCCTCGGCTTGATCGGGATCAACTGGCCGTATGCGGATGACGCGTGTCATTATTGGGAGATTGAATCGGCGTGCACAAGGCTAACTCCGTTATTTGAGACACATATCAACGACCTGGAGAGCTGGACTTTGGACGCAAAGGCTCTCGAGATCATGCCTCAGCTTGAGGGCCTGGTACCAATTACGAGGTGATTTTAATCACCATGGGATAATACACTGTGTTCGGTGGCCTTCGTCTTCGTCTCCAACCTTCCTTGTACATCCATCAGAGGGTTTTTGGTATCTTTGGCGTTATATGGGCAGCGCGATTTTTTTGGCAATAGCCAGCATGGCGGGTATTTGTGCGCGTCGCGCATCGTTCCTTTTGGAAGGTTTGGCTGTACAATAGCAGGGTCATAGTGGGTGCAAAGCAAAAGCACAATGACGGGGGGACAGAGTAATAGACAGGGACCTGACAAATGCACGTAGCCTTAACTTTGAATCGCTGGTCACAGGGGTCCCGCCTCATTTATACACATAGCGTGCAGTGGGCGTGTTTAGTACTAAGACATGACCGCTTACGGAGATACCGCGAAGTGGAGCCTTGAATTGCTAAAACCGCTAGAGAGAGCATGGGTGCACGTAGCCGCCCCCTTGCCGCGCTGCTCCACCCACTCACTTCCTACAAATCCGCCCCCCCGACACGTTGTGGATCGCGCTAGGAGCTTTCCAAATCGCAGGCATAGTGATGATCGATGTTATAGCTCGAGGTCTGGAAATTCTAGAGCCGGCATTGGCGTGGCCCTGAGGTACGGTTAGTCCGTACTAGCTGCATGAATCGGACATTTGTAACTCAAGCCTTGTCGTAGGCATCACTCTAATCATTGGTATTTCAGATCTGAAGGTGACATTCCTGGGGAAGTCTTGGAAGCCGGACTTTACAAGATCCGCAGCTGGGCGTTTTGAAGGATTTGTGGGGGGATGTCCCGCGGATGAAGCAGGTGTTCCGAGCACCTGGCAGATGGGCTCCGAGGAGCACTGTCTGATTGACCTCCCTATACGGCTAGACCTACATTTTCCCCGTATACACAAGGCCAGCGAGCTAGGAACATGCAGGCTATAAGGAGCTGCATGTTGTTGGCATGCCGCCTGCTCACACCACTCAAAGAATGATTAATGCATCGCCTCATGGTTAGGTCCAAGGCTGAAAGTATTAGTCACTCGACCTTAGCACTGGCAGCTACCACTCTAAAACCTACAACCGGTTCTCAAGTCAGTCCGAATACGCAGGGATGTTCCTGAGGGATTGATCCGATATCCGAAAGTGTAAGTGCAACGTGCCGAAGGCAAACTTCTGCGTGTTTTCAATGATCCACTTTGTTGACGAACCTCCAAATTCTTGGCCAGAAGAGTATTCAACACCAATCAGACGGCTAATCTCGTCTGCTTCTGTTCCCCTGGAGTATCATGATAGAAGGCGACGTTGGTTGTGATACACGATTCTAGACCTTGCAGGGGCAAGGATCTAGATTCATCCTTGGCAGCCTTGCGACAGAAGAGCGCACTAGGCTTACGGTATATGGTTTCACTACGGTTCTCGCGGCAGAGGGAAGAGCTCATTGCCACATAGAGGTCTATAGCGCAGTAAAAGCAACACTTTCAATAACAGCAGTAAAATGCAGTGGCAGGTAGCCGGGACGCATCTTTGACACTCGCACCTCTCTTTTTACCAATGAGGATTACCTTATGAGTGGCCTTGACCAAAAATACATGATTATAAACATGACTTAACATGGCAACTTTTAAAATATAGAAGCCTGGTTTGCCTCAATGATACTGATGCCCAAGCTCGGAACTTCAGCGCTGAGAGCGCGAAGCATATGAAGATAAGTGTCGTTACATCTTACGAAGCTGAACTCTCTGCTGGACTTTTCATGATGATCTACTATTCAGCGAGCTATTACAAAAGTCTGTTGACATACACCCAGCTGATCTATCTTTGCGAAAGCTGGTTAGATAACCTCATCAATGGTCTGGCACTTCTGCGCCACAACTATACCACGAAACTTTGTTGGCTAAGGTCATGGCTAAACGTAGATCTGTTTTGAACGCGATAAGGGGCTTATCATACGTTGTGGGTCTGATGTTCCCCGTGCATTTGAGGAAGCCACCAGATAAGCCACAGTGCCAAAGGTAGTCAGCCTCTGCTGTATGCGAAATAACACTGAGGCGCCCAATACATTAAATCATAAAAGAAGAGCTGGCGCGCGTACGCAAGAGCTGCTTGATAGGGTCAGAAATACCACAGGTAGTTAGGAATGCGTACAATCGATCCTGAAATTCTCTGGAGATGCAGCGTGTTTGTGTAATTGAATGCACCAACTCTCGACTTTCTCTTATCCGGAGGGCTTCTGTAGCTTCTTCGCATTTTGTACGTACATCTATTTCAGGTTACCTAGGTTCCGTAAATTCTTCAATGCGAGATTACAGTGAACAAAACTTATCTCGCAGCTAGCATCCAATTAGTCCGTCGATGCGCATTCATGATACAATACTGTCCTTATGTTCAATCTTGAGAATCAATTCAGCTGAGACAACACAACAATCATAGCACAGTGATGCCACCGAAACAACCGCCCTTCGAATTGTTGACCGTGACATTTTCTCGTTAGTCTCCCGGTCGGCACTACACATTTGAACACGTCCTTCTTGCAGTATACAACTGCAGCATTGCATATGTCTTTTCCAGGTTTACGTCACCATCGACAATTTCGACTTATTGAGCCGTTCAAATGTCCCGGATATTGAGACCCCATATCCCGCGATATTCTCCAGCCTCCGCCACCATCCATGATACAACCATGTCCCTCAAACGCCTGAACCGTATCTTCCCCAAATCGGCTCTCCCTCGTAGCACTCTCTCAAATTCCGGAACCACATTACATCTCTCCCACCCGCCCACTGGCCCTCTTAAAGCGTCTAATTAAACCACCACACGCAGGAAAACGCCACTCCTTAATCACGCATGCACGCACACCACCTCCACTCTTCCCACCCCATCGCACTTCACCGCACCAATGCACTGCATGTCATCTACCAGATCATCGTCACGAAAATATAATATTCTTATTCTTCGCTCCCCTGTCTCACACGCAAACAGGCAAGGAGCAAGGTATCTTAATTTCAACGCCAGCCGCACACTCTACCAAGGGAAAAGTCGCCGCGCAAGGAAGGGGAATTGAGGTGTAAAGATCCGCGGGGAAGAAGAAGAAAAAGAGGAAGAAGAGGAAAGAAGCAGTGATCCGACTGTACAATCTCGCTCGAATCTGCATGTCCACCGAAGAAAAAAGAAGCCCCTTATCCGTTACATCAAGGAACCTCGCTGAGCATGTACTGACACCGCATCAACTACAAGCCATGGAATGCTTCAACTCCATGGGAAAGCATCACCCACCCTATCCGGAAGGAACTACATACCCGTGAAGCGTCCAGTTATCACCAAACCAACCCTTCCGCCTCCACTACGATGTAACTCTTCTGATCCACAGTGCGCTCTCGCTCCCCGGATCCGCCATCTCCCTCTTTCGCCATGCTCGATGGAGCTTCAGCCCCACATCATGCTCCTCTCGCTTGATTTCCGCCAGCTCGTCCGCGAAGTCCTTCTTCCGCTGCTCCACGAGGCGCATCCGCTTGAAGTCCGTCACCATTGGGTTCGGCGGCGCCATGTTGTTCAGGTCGTTGAGAAGACGGTAGACATTGTTCCGCCGGACCTTGAGGTCTTCCATCTGCGACTCTAAGATCTCAATGTGATCAGCGGCTGCGAGCTCCGTGGGTGGCCGGGGGAGGGCTTTGTGCGTGCTAGTGGAGAAGGTGGATTCCGCCCGGGGGGATGGTGGTCCGTTGGAAATCATCGTGTTGCGTGCCGACTCCACGTTAGCGGAGTCCACAGTAGCAGTAGAAGCTATAGAGGCGAAGGATCCGACAGGCTTTCGAGCAACGGCGGAAGGTCGCTTGCGATTGAGGATGGCCGATGCAGCAGATGCCGGTTCACTAGGAACGCGGGACGTCGGTATTGGAGGCGGCGGTGAGGGTGGAGGCGAATGCTGATACGTTGTGCTACTGTTGTATGTTGTCCATGAGAAGCGACTGTCAGGTCCTTTGCTTTTACCACCTGTTGATCCCGGTGTGACTTCCGTCGCTTGCTGTGGGCCCCTTGTTGGAGTCGTCGGGTCAGGTCGTGCTTGTCCCGTTCTCACCTGGGCCTCCTCGTTCGTCGGCCCTGTCGAGACTTGTTTGTTTGTCGGTGTGACGGGGCTGTAAGTGTAAGGATTGGCAGACCCTGGATTATGCGGAGAGGTGGGTGACACGACGTCCCGGGAGAGCGAGGTTCTGGCGATTTTGAGTGGAACTATGGGCTTCATGGGTTCTTCATGCAGGTCGTCTGCGGCTGGGTTGTCTGCGACAGGCGCGGTGTCAGCTCTCTCAGGAACGCGTGCTGCGTTCGTCGTAAGCGAGTTTGATGCATCCTTATCAAACTCTTCCGCGCGGATGGCTGTTCCCGCTTTCCGCACATTCAAAGGCTTGTCGGATGGTTGGTCTTTGAATGGTTTTACAATTTCTGTGCGCCCAGTTGCCCGACTCCATGGCTCATGGCGCCTTGTGTCAACCGGTGCAGGCTTTGTCCCGTAACGATTGGCTCGTTCTGCGAGGGATTGGTTTCTACGCGAATTCCCAGTTACTTTGACATCGTATCCGGTCTCGCGAAGCCGTGCGGAAGGTGGGGATGCACCCTTCTGATAGGAACCCGGAGTGACTCGCGCCGCCTTGCCAGCATTTCCGGATGTTGGTTCGCCCGAATACTCATCCCAGAGCACTTTGCTATTTGGCGCGACTTTACCTCCCCAGAACTTTTGCGTACTCGTGGTCTCCTGGTTTTGAAGGCCGGGGGGCGCTTTGCGCATGACAGGAATATTGCTGCCGCCCCGTGGCGAAGGTCCTCCTTTTCCTCGGTTTTCATCGACGGGAGAAACGTCACGCATGGATCGGAACCTTCGAGGTTGACTGGGATTCTGTTGCTGGTACTCGTCGGGTTCTGGTGAGCTGGGCGGGGATACGTCGAAACGGGCCTCGCCTGCAGGGGTGCGCTGGTCGTGTCTCAAGCCTGGAGAAGGTTGCGAGTAAATAGAAGAAATCGTGGGTACTTGTGACGTTCTGTACTGGTGACCGAATTGCGGGGGAGGAAGATCCGCGCTTTTGAAGTAAGTAAACGATGAGTAGGCATAACAGGTAACTTACTAGGGTTGTGCGGGTGGTGCATAAAATTGGTTACTGGCATTTTGCGCTTGGGAGACGTTAGGGATGTGCCTAAGCTGATCCTCGTCGTAGGTTGTTTCAACCAGTACAGGATTCCCAATCTGTCTGTCTTTGTCGCGAAACTGTCCGTCGCGCATATGCCCCTGCAGTCGTTTCCACATGATTAACCTGGAGAATGCCGAATTAGCGGAGCTCTTGACACAAATGACAAAACCGTCGCACAACCACCACCACTGTTGGCGCCTCCACTTCCACAACCTCGACCACCGTCGGCCTCGCCACCTGTCCCCGCTACACCGCCCACGCATCCGGATATTACAATCTAAGGGCGGTGAGGATTATACATGGACTGGATTATTCCTAATCGAGAAGCGGCAGCGCTGTTCTTCAGGTCCGGTGTGCGAAGATGCCTCCTCAAACGTCCTTTTGCCCACGGCATACTTCACCTAGAGCGAGTACGGCGCGGGGCGTGCCATCTGACCTTTCCCTGTCGTTCGGAAGAGGCAGACGGCGCAGACAAAGGCAAATGGAAGTGGAATCCAGAATAGCAGGCCAAGGATCGAAACGTAGGAAACGGTTGTGTAGGTGTGTTCAGACGCACCATCCAAGTCAACCACCAACGGCAGAAGGATATGGGCGAGGATCAACGCCACGGAATATCCCACCTGCGACGATCCGGTAGCACCACTGATGCAGGCTGGACCTTGACAAGTCCCGTCGTAGAGTCAATCATGACCTGATCCATGGTCGCTGAGGGAGGGCGGATGCCAGGTAGCGACGGTTTCCGGTGTTGGTACGTTATAGGATTGTGATTCCGTAGGAGAATGGGTCGGAGAATTAAATGGTCATAAATGGCCACGTAGATGGCGGTGGTAAGGCAGGGAGAGCGGCATAGAAACAGCAGAAAACTTACGTACCGATTATAGAATTAGTTGGGAAGGTGCAACTGGATCATGGATGCGCGCTGGCAAAGGAAAAGCTGGGGAAGCCACGAGCTTGGGCAAAGGAAGGGACGCAACAGCCGCGGCAGGTGCAGATGAGCGCTGAAGGAGCGGAAGTCAATTAGGTGGCTTGAGGCGAGATTACTTGGTTGCGTTTGCGTTTGCGTTTGCGTTGCGAGGCGCAGCAACAGCAGCTCTCGTGCGCGTGTCCTTGATGACCACCCGAACCTGGAGTACGCACGCAACGTGGGCAGCGTTCGATCAAGTCGATGAAGACGAAGATGTGTTTCTCGAGCGCTGCCAGTCCCAGCGAATGAGGGCTTCTCGAGGCTGCCGAAATGAAGTGTTTCCTGTGTTTCAGGGCTGACGTCGCCGTTTCAAGTGGTGGCGGGGGCCTGCTTCCCGCGAGTGATTCGCAGGAGACAAGCCTCCTAGTCGCGCGCGCCCACCAGGATGCTCGGTAGCCTATTTATACGCTGATTGAGGGATCAGTGGTGGTGCGAGCAGCTGCCGAGAACCGCTTTGTTTAAGAAATACGGTGTGGCTTGTTGATTGTCCGCTGAGGGCGGGCGACGTCGAGCTCTTTTTCCTTTCGCCCTATCCACACCCAAGCCGTCGCGTGCTCAGGGGTGGTAAATGCAGCGCAATGCGGGCTGACTAACCCGTGCGGCAAGCATGCCCTTGGATAGTTTGGCTTGCGGGTGCCGTCCGCTGCAGTAGCGTGGCGTCAGCCTGTGGCATCATTGCACCCCACCATACATCCTCCGGCGCTCTACACTCACTTACCACAGTGTCCGTTCCCCCTGCAAATTGTACGGCACAGAGTCAACGATGGCTGACGGTAACCAAGCCCTTTCTTGAGCATCGCACCAGGCTGACACGGCTGCAGCATCTTCTCCGCCGCCCGCCGCATATGCGTAAGCGTCAACCCGGCTTCACGCGCAGTGCTTTCCGACTGACAAACCTCCAGCGCATCGCCGGTGACCCCCATCAACATCCTCCTCCTCTCGCTCTTCGTGTTCCTGGTCTACCTCCGCCTCAAACCCGCAAAGCCGCAGGTGCTTCCGCGCGCTCCGCCTCCCACCGTCTTCCGCACCTTCACCCCGCCGGACCTTTTCCCATACAATGGCTTGAACGGCATGCCTGTCTACCTCTCCGTTCGCGGACGTGTTTTCGATGTGACCTCGGGAAGGAACTTCTACGGCCCCGGCGGCCCATACGCGAACTTTGCTGGACGGGACGCCAGCCGAGGCCTGGCACACGGTAGCTTCGACGAAGACATGCTGACCAAGGACTTGGACGGTCCGCTCGATGATCTCAAGGACTTGAACGAGGAGCAGTTGGAGGCCCTCCAAGGCTGGGAGGAGCGCTTCTCGGAGAAATACCTTGTCGTTGGCAAGCTTGTTCCTGTAGGAAGTGACGAAGCCAAGGCCGCAGCAGCGCAGCAGTAGACCGTGTTCCTGGGCCTGCAGAGCTAATGCTGAAGAATCCAGGCTTGCGGAACCAGCCAGTCAACGGTAGGAGGAGGGAACTTCGTCGGACATGAAGCACACAAGCAGGATGGAAAAGGCTTGGAACGCGAAATTATGTAATCTACCCTCACGGAAGGATGCATGATTCTCTCGTGGATTGTTTAATCGTGCCTGTGTACTGACTATGGTTGGGGCGCTCCTGATTGGTTCGCTGCCATTGGCCGGCTGCCTCCTGGCCAATTGTACTTCACCAACTTTCTCCCCGATATTCGATTCGACGAGACGGAAGAAATGCCAAAACGCGTCTCAAGTTGCGCCTTGGAGCAGAAATTCATTAATGCATCTGAAATAAGTTACAGCTTCAATAGCACGCGCCATTCTCTCGCATGCGCTTTCCCGGTAAACGTAGCGCATAGGCAAGACATCGAAGGTTGTGGTCCCGCCTTGCTTGATATCGCCTAGTGCACGCTTTCTGGATGTACTGTTTGTGATCACTTAAGAGACGCGTCCTCCCTCACGTTCCGCTCTTCCATCTCTCAAATCTCCCAATTTCTCAAATACGTCAACTTTTTCTTCTGCTTGATTAGATACCTCCAATTTGAAAAATTTGGATATACTTTGAATCGCAAAACTCCACAATGGCGCCTGCTACCGCAAAGGCCACTCCCACCAAGAAGATTACCGGCGCGGGCGTCAAGAAAGCAGGACGACCCCCGGGCAAAGGCCGCAAGGGCAAAGCTAGCCAGGCAATGGCGAAGATGCAAGCCTACTGTAAGTTTCTGCGCTTTTCTCTGTTGGTGATCACGCCTTCAGATCGCGTTGCGACGCGGCACATTGTGTGACCGCAACTTCGCAATAGTCCATCTTTCGGCTGTTGTGTGCCTATCATGGGTGACATGATGTTATGATCTACAACGGAACATCTTGCAACAGTCGAATCGCGTGCTGATTTGGAGTTACAGTCAAGGAGAACCGTTCCAAGTACGAGAAACTGGACTTCAAAGAGCAGCAGAAGAAGCTCGGCGAGGAGGTACGTTCGCGACTTTCCCTCTCAATTTCTGGCTTGAGACGCGTAAAGTCCACAAGCCCATCGTCCTCACAACCTTTCGCGCCTGCGTTGTCACTCGACTCTGCCAACCCCGAATACTAACACATCCGCCCAGTGGAAGAAGAGCCCAGAGAACCCCAAGAACCAGGCCTAGGCCAACACTGCAGATCCGCTTCATTTGCGAAATGATCTGAAGACCATCGTCACCAGCATTCTCGGCTCCAACAACTGCAGCGGTGCTTAGGGCGGCGTTTCTATGCACCGTGGAAGTTTCCTCAGCCCATGCCTTACTCTCCTAACCCCATCTGACGACTTCCTATTTCCATCTTCCAGCACTTATATATTATCCAGCAGCCACCTACCGTCGGCGAAACGGCACGGTCGGGATACTTACCTCTCATCGCGCATCCCCGGGCTCCAGCACTGAACGAGGTGCATGCACGAACTCTCCATTTACGTATAAAGAATGAACCATCTACTTCAATATGGCTGTTTCATGCCTGATGTCTTTCTCCGTCGTGTACCTGCAGCTGCGCGGCGAATCGTGCGCCATTCAGGCTAATCTCTAAACAGGCTGATGCAGGCACCGCAGGCTCGTACGGGACGAGTGCGACAGGATGGATTTGGCGGGTGTAGGTATGCGCGGGTTGGGTTGACGGTGCGTGAGTGCTTGTATGCGTATCTAGGGTCTGCTGGGTGGCTACGGGTTCGCGGCATCTACGCCGCGATGCGTTGCCTGCGTCGTTGCTGACGAGAATGTTCGGAGCTCGCGGTGTCTACTGATAAGTAATAGGAAGCTGTTGTGGACATGTAATAGAGTGAACGAATGATGCACAGCCAAACGTGATGTATGTGCGCCAGCGAGGGCATGCGAACTGTCTATGCATTCTCCTGTACAGGATCAGTCAGTGTGTTTCGACTGATAGTTGAGTACGGATGATAGAGCGCCTTGGTAAGTAAGGGCAGTCTTGGTAAGCAAGATCGATGCACATGAGATTTGATACATACTTGACCTTCAACTGCATGATATAGGCCAAGTAAAACGCCAACAGTCATGCAAAGATGGTGAACATAACACCTTTACTCGAGCAATAGTTGCGTATATAGGTGGATTCGAAAGTATCATACATCATTATCTACATTAAATGCTCATCACATACTATTTACAAAGAATCTCCTCTACATCATGTCTCATTACACGTTCCTGTCTTACTCGCTTTTCTTCCATTTGACGTTTAACCAGCCTGGTACAGACCAAGCGCGACAACATGCGGATTGATCATGCTCAGGTTGAACGGCGTAAGGAACAGATCGCTATCGGTGATAGCAATGAACGCAGTGCCGTTCAACGCAGGATCACCCTCGTACACCTCGCTCGCGGGCTGGTAGGTATAGCCGGAGTTGTTGCCAGTGAGTGTCAGGGGAGTATAAGTGAGGTTGAGCTGCGCGACCCACGCAACGAACTGCGGCTGGCCGGCCGAGGTCGACGTGACGTACGAGTTGTTGGGGCCGACGGCCTGGCCGGGAACGTCCCAGGTGAGGTTGACCTGCTTTCCGGGGAAGGAGAGAGGCTCGGAGCGGTTACGCGCGATGGCAGGGCCGCAGGCGTAGCCGGTGACGTTGAGGTTGACGCAGGACTCATCAGCGGGGATGGTGCTCTTGCTTGGGTCGGCGGTGCGGTTGCCGGTCACCTCGTAGTCGGCGGTATCGTTGGGGGAGAAGCGGTTTGGGTTGGCCTGGTTGACGACGTGCAACGCAGGGAAGTTCTGCCATGCGAGGCGCGTGGTGTTCTCCGGGCAGGAGCTGATGTAAGGCGCAAGGTAGGACCACGCCCAGGACTGAGGGATACCGGTCTCGAACCAGACGGGCATGGGGTGCAGACCAAGCATCTGGCGAAAGCTCATCTGCTGGCGGGCCTCGGTGGCAATGGACTGGGAGAGGAGCTGGCCAACCTCGCGGCTGTCGAGATGGTTGATGAACCCCCATACACCAGACTCGCCCCAACGGGTGAGCTTCTGGTTGAAGTCGATAAACTCGCGAACGGTGGTGAATGGGTAGTCGTAGGTGCACTGGGGCGCAGCAGACTCGCCGAGCATGTTGCTCAGAAGAGTTGCGTGGCCACTCTCTTGGATTGCCATGAAAGCAATGTAGGAGCGGTCCTCAGCAGTGAGCCCGGCATCGAGGAAGTCCTGCTCGGAAAAGACGGCCAAACCATTGTTGAATAGGTCGAGCTCGATCCATTCCTGGTACAGGCCAAGCTGGATCGACTCATAATCGAAATCGCTATTAACCATGTAGCGGGGCTCAGTTCCATTGGTTCCGAGACCGCCAGCAGGCGTGTACGGAATGGGCGCAGGATTCTGGAGTTTGCCATCGGCGTTATAGTAGGTCGCCGTGGGGTTCGGGGGCAGAGGCGCAATGACAGTGCCGATGGTCGTAGGTGCCTGCTCAGCTCCAGTGGTGGTAGCAGTGCCGGAGAAGGGACCGTGGCTGGTGGCACCAGTCAAATCAGAACTTCTCCGCAGGGGCGCAACGGTTCCGGGTGTGGTGAGGATAGCATTAACTTGGGAATCGGGGCCAAAAGTTGTTGCCGGTGCACCAGTGTCCTGGCTGACGGTGACGGGGAAGTCAGCATCGCTGTATCCAGGCACCTGAGGTGCCGGAGCGCCGACAGCGAACGCTGACAGCAGTGTAGTAGCGTAGATGGCCTTAGTGAACATCTTCGCAATTGTCAAGTCGGATGGTGTTGCACTCGATCTGGGAGCACCATTGTTATATGCGGTCGGAGTCGACCTCCAACTGCAGGACTTTCGTCGTCAACGCGTAATGGTGGTCTAAAATCTCCTGCTAATTTAGATCCCAATAAAGAATGACTTCATGACATGCTCGAGGCGGATTAATCGGCAACAGCTTTCCGGAGACCTCAGATGGACGCCACGGCAACGGCCCTGCAGCACGGAAGGACCAGTACTCATCCGTGGAGGTGGATCGCCCGAACAAGTTACGAACGAATCAGATTCGATGCGCGTGTATTAAGGTTGGGCGGTTTGGAGCCGCTGTGGGGACGCGTGGGCGTTGCGGTCAGTATTAACGCCGTGATGTAGGCATGACAGCACGACTAGTAACATGCTCTGTGGCTAGTATCGAGGCAATAGTCTGCATATTGACCAAGTCAGTGGAGAACGTTGACAAATCAGATAATGGCAACAATGCACTCGCCACAGGCTTTGGGCTTTGTAATAATGCTTGTCCAGAGTTCCGATATGGTTTCTATGCTTAAAAAGAAGGTCCCGCGGAGGCTCGACTTGGCCAAAGACCTCTGGTACCTGAGCAGCTGTCACCCAGATAGCATAACTCGAGAAGTGCATGCCGATAAAACCAGGAATTGGACTTTTCGATATTGGAGGACTGCGCGCTGAGATCAACAAGATCTGATCATCAGCTTGCGCAGAAGTGACGTTCGGAAATCTAGCCACGCTAGACTTAGAGTATCGATGACGAAATCAGAACACGCAAACAGTTTTTGAGGGGAACGATACGAGAACCAGGGCCGCGGGGTAGTAGAGCCGTTGTGAGCTGTTGGATGTGTGACTGTGTATTCTCGCTAACTACGAAGTATGCGTGGCATTGGCCAGTTCGCGAGATTTGTCTCTCACCTACGTTACGACCGCCTTCAACGCGCGTCCAGGTCTACTTTGCGCGCGACATGGGGCCCCAGTTCTCGCGTGGAGCGACCTGGTAGCGCACGTATTTTCCTCGATCCTGGTCCTTGCCAAGTCTCTCGTCGAACTTGACGCCGAACTGGACACCCAGGTATGACGGGCCATCAGTTGACCCGCCTCTCGTTCCCGGCAAGTCACCGTTTTCCTCCGAGCTATTCGGCTCCGTGCTTCCTGTCGCAACGTTCTGACCAGGAGCCACCGGCAGGTTTGCGGCCTGTGTGTCTGCCTCCGCGGCAGCAGAGGCGGAGTCTTTCTGTTCATGTTCATTTGGTGTTTTTGTATGCGCGCTGCCTTTCGACATGATGGCGTGACCGGCGCTCGTCTGCTTAAGAGCGTTCTTCAATGGCGCCTTTTGGCGAACCCATTCGAGCATTATGTGCCAAATATCCCTCCACGATGCATCCGTCTTTATAGAACCAGGTCGACAGTGGCTCATGGTCACCCTGAACCCGGCATGCCGAAGCGCACCTCGTACGGCTGCGGTGGGTGGAGCTGAGCAGTGCACAACTCTGGACAACGAACTGGTCGTGGTGAAGAACGGGTGGCGATCCAAAACCCCTGGATCCGCTTTTGGGATCAGTGGATCTAGTTTTTCAGACTCTTTGCCTTTGCTGGCTCCGTCTTCAACACCAAAGGTTATCTCTTCTAGTGCCGTGTGGAGCATGCCCTCGATGCGGTCCATAGTGGGGTACGTCTCACGATCTGCACTCTTCAATTGTGCGAGAACGCGCTTGATGAAGTCGGGATTGTGTAGGGGACCGCCGTACATTGGACCAGACAGCTGCTATCGTTAGCAAGTACATTTAGAACTCAATCGGTACGCTCACATGTGTCTTGAACCCGCAATGCTCGCAGTGTTCATCTGCAGAAGGACCATGGGCGAAGCCATGTTTGTAGAAGGTGCTGTTGTTCTTCGCCTTCTGTTCCCTATGCCGAGCCAGAAACTGCGTCTTCCATGCACCGCAGCCGGCATCACAGTGGTATACGAGCATAGTCTTGCCAGCAAGGAACTTGACATCATTAGGGGATTTTCGCACCCTTACGAAAACTCTTATGTAGTAGTCGATGGAAAGGGAAAGGAGGGGTTCTATAGCCATGCCATACCTCCCAGCTGATTGCGCGATAGCATGCAAGATCAGCCTGAGACCACCCTCATGACAGGAATCACCGGTCAACGGTAAACCACCGTACAAAGAGAATGTCTTCTCTAGATAACCATGGGAGGCGAAAATGGCAGAGTCTGTGCATGTGACGCAAAGCAGGCCATCGTCGTTGATGGCTTGTATGGCTGAATCTATAAAGGGAGAGGCAGTTCCGTATGGGTCCAAATCGATCACATCGTATCCTTTCTTGTCACAGAAACTATACATGTAGGCGATCGCATTGCCAGTGTGTGCTTGGATCTTGCTTTCGAGCTTGTTGTGCCTGACGTTAAGCGCGATAGACTGCGTGGCCTTTTCCGACATGTCATTGGCTGTTACCGAGGTTGTGAAGGGGATCTCATTCGCATATCGCAGCGCACGAAGGCCAGTCGCAGATAGAGCGTCTAGAATGGTGAAGGGTGGTCTCCAGGTAATTTGCTCGGTGGGCTTCCCGACTTCTGTGGTGGCACTGCCTGTGTCCTCGACACCAGTCATGGCAGTATCCGCGCCCTCCTGCACGCTCTTTCTCCGCTTTGCTGCCGACTCTTCCGCATCTGCGACGGCCTCGGTGTCGCCCAGTTTTCTCTTGTTTGCCGCAGCACCGTCGGCTGGTGCCACGAAGGCCTCTGCAGTTAGCCCGTCCTGAGGCCCGCCCTTTTGTGTTTTCTTCTTCCTCTTGTCCGCTTTCTTCTTCTGCTGCTCGTGCCTTTCCTGCTTCCGCAAGATCGAGTCCTCGCCGAAGGTTTTGATCGCCAGCACGCTCAGATCGCGATTGAACTGCTGGATCGGGTTGTAAAAGACTTGCTGTTTCTGTGTATCCTCTTTGGACAGGTTCGGGTCCAATGAGGTGGGCGTGCCGTGGGGCACGAGTATATGCGCAAGTCCCTCTTTGATCGTGGTATATTCCTTCCCTTCATGCTGGACGCTCTGCCCTGCCCGAGGGGGAGCGTCAATTGATATGAACTGCGCCTCGGCCATCTTCGCAGGTATGATCCTAGGTATTTGTACGTTCGAGGGTGGGGTGATGTGTATGGCGCGTCGTAGAGGGTTATCGATGACCCATCGGCGGAAGATACGGCGGGCTGGTAGCGCACATAAGGCGGACGGCCGGGTCAGATACGCGGCCAGATTTAGCTAGCCGGTGTACACGCGCAAAGCAGACGCGTTTGGGGAAAGTTGTGGAGAGATCACAAAGATGGAGTTCGGCGCGATTGCACAGCTCCAAAACTTTTTTGGAACGAAGTTAAGCTTAAATTAAGCGTCTTGGCGCGAGAGGTTCCCAATGCCCCGCGACCCCTCCAGGTTCAGACTGGCGCGTCTAGAACCTGCATCACAGGTCTATGGCATTGCTTGCCTATCAATTGTCGAATATTAAGTTAGAGGTGTTGAGAGCGGTGCGAGTTGCATGAGTTATGGCCAATGGCTTGCCCTAAGCGACGCCTCCGGTCCGGCAATACGACGGTTGCCTGGAATAGCCCCAAAACAGCTACCGTCTGACACCCTTGAGAACGCATAAAGGCTGACAAGGACCCGTCCACTGGCCATCGTGGTGCTGCTCATTGGAGTTTTATTTTCGAAGTCAACGCCACGCTCCGAACACACTCGGCCATGGGTAAAGCGCAGCCAACGCCTGCTCCCTATCGCGACGATCCGGATGCCGTCTCGCTGCACACGACTCCTGAGGACTATGAATACGATGATGCGCCTGAAGCAGGCCTACCCCCATCATATGCGGACAGCCAAGGCTCGAGCTCTAACACCGACACTGCGCCTGTGGTGCACCACATCACTCCTCCCACGGCACGAACCGACCACTCAAAATGGTGGTCGCTCAAGAATGGGAAGCCGCAAGTGCCAGAGACGCAGACACACAGCAATCCGAGGCTCGACACCGATCCTGTCGTTCTCGAGGAGACAGTGCGCAGACTGGCCTTAGAGCCTCCGTACCCATTTGTCTATCTCATGGGAACACACAGGGAGACGGTTAAGCGTGGCGACAAGACGGAGACTAAAAATGTCACCGACTTCAGGATCGTGATAGACCTCCAGCACCACATCAGAAGAGCGGATATGACTTTGAGCACGGTCGAAAATGGCGAGAAAACGCATCGGGGGGGCATAACAAAGTGTCGCGCACCTGGACATAAGCAGGACGTCGAAGTTGGCACCCCGAAACCGGAACTTAGAGAGTGGTGCCACCGTTACTGTGCCTCGCCCAGGATGCTGAGGATTTTCCGTCTGCGCCGTGTTGTATGTATCCCAGGACACACTTATTTCGCTAAACTGATCCACATAGGTGACTGGCTTTGATGAAGAATACCTCAAGCAGCGTCTCGAAGGTCTGATCCGCGGTACCAACTACCGTGGGCACATCAGTGTGACCTTTCCAGTGGAAAATAAGAACGTCGATCTATACACATCAAACCGTATCAATCAGTGGCGCGTAACGACGTGGATCCGCTGGGTGTTTTACCTGACTTTCCTTTGGATCTTCTCTTGGCCTACGCTCTTCTTCGCTACCAAGCGCTACGCAGTTGTCAAGGCAGAATGGCCGTGGTCAACGACCGACAGCCAAGGTATCAAGCAATACTCTTCAATCAGCGAGGAGCAGTGGTTCGAGAAATGGCATGTGGGCATCAGACGCCTTGTACTCGATCGCTACCAGTGTGAGGCGAGCGAGGAAATCTTACGTGGCGTTATCGCGCGACCCGAAGACCCACCTCTCCGCACCGGCCATGAAGGGGTGGATTCGACCATCAATCTGCTTACGCAAGGCTTTCAAGTCGCTCGTGCTCTCTCGAATGGGGGCAACCTGGGACGCGGGATCCAAGGAGGCTGGGGTTATGATACATAAAGGGCTATCGAGTCGAGCACCCATTCCTATTGCAGATTTGTTAGGTATTTCATTGCTCCCATAAGAGAATGTTGGAACGGGACTAGCGATCCCCAACGCAGTCACCATTGCGGAACGTTGATAGTGAAATGTCTTGCGATGTGAAATGGTATCGCCTGTCCAGTGCTTGCTATCCGCACCCTTTCCCGTTCCTGGCAACTTTCTTTTGGTTCGAATGGGGGTTGTCCTGTCATGTCTTGAGAAATGTTCGGTTCCACAAAAGTGGCAATGCATTCGCTGGACGAGCTGCTGATCAATACCAGACAAATCGTACTCACTACGGTGACCCCACAAAAGTCCACCCCTGCTGCCTGCAGATTCTATAGGTTGACGTCTGAGTAAGCACGAACAAACTGAAAGAGTATGATATGTCCGAGGAGTGCTACATCATGTCGGTAATGGCGAGAAAATCTTATCGTTACTTTTCATCGCGCACGCCGCCCCGTCTTTACTCCCGGCGGGTTTTACATGCTCGCTGGGTCGTATGATCCTGGGGTCTCCACACTAGCGAGCTTACTACGCGGGTTGTGCCGGCTAAAAATACCTCGCCCTAGACGTCAAGGCGCAGCAACCAGCACAACATCAGCATTGAACACTAGGGCAAGACTTCTGCGAAGGTCATCCCATCATAACTCCTGCAGGCGATGATCGGATCAACGTGACATTTATTATAGCCTCAATAGCCGATAGATTAGCACCTGAGCTCCCGTAGCATGACCGTGCAACACTCAACACGTTCTCGTTGTATAATGCTGCAAGCTTTGCAGCAATTGCCGAACAAGTATCACCAAATCGTGCATGCCAATTATCAAGAGCCTCATTCAGGACATTCACGAGGAACATGCCTGTCCAATACAGCAAGATCGTTGCATCATAGGCCTCCCGCTACCCTGCGTACACACGCTAAGTGGGCCGAGCATAGAGTGGTATTGTTAGCCTCGTATGTCGGACTAGAGCGGGTAGACTAGCAGGTCACGATACTACACATCCATCCTCTGAGCCACTTTGGGCATCCACTTTATCAAATACAGCGTCACAGACCACGTGCTGTGGGTATATAAGTGGACGAAAGGGCCCGTCGAATGCATATCATCACAGCACATCACTCTACATTCAACAACGGCCACGAATCCGCCCGCCTCCAAACCTATCAATAAACGATCCCTAGAAACACCACCCCATCAACAGCATGCAGCTCATCGTCACCACCGTCCTCGCCCTCCTCGGCGCCGCTTCTGCCGCCCCAGCGCGCAACATCCAAGCCCGCGACGGCATCACCATCACCTTTTACCCGGAGGCCAACTTCGGCGGTGAACCCACCGTCGTGTCCGACGTCGTCAGCAACCAATGCCAGCAAGTGCCTGAGGGTGTCACCGTCGGTAGTGTGAAGGTGGCTTCTGGCGGGCTCTGCCGTTTGACCTAGTAAGTTCGCCCACGAGAAATTGGAATGGGGTTCTGGTTGTGTGGCAATTACTGACATGATTCTGTAGCTCCGCACCGACATGCACTCTGCACGGCGATGTGTTCGTGTTCCCGGATACGCCTGCGGAGGATTTGACGGGCGAGACTGTGACGAGCTTTCTGTGCCAAACGTGCACTGAGTGCTAAGTATGAGGAGATGAGTAGGGGATGCAATGAAAGCGCTTTAGCGATGCATTTGCTGGAGTCGACTATTTGTGGTGCGCGCAGCGGTGGTATTAATGACGCTCCTTTTACGACACACAACACTCCTTAAGATAGTAATAATAATCTAGAAATTTTGCAAGTACACGGCAACGAGCACTTCCATACTTCATTAAGCCCCATTGGACAACAATTAATAGCAGGATATTTGTACTTGTGAACATTAAGCATAGATTATCAGATTATAATTCTACGGTCGTGTTCTATAATAAGTAACTCCGGATTTGATACGCGCTACGGATTCCTTAATTGTGTTCGGCACTGTGAACTGTGTAACAACCGTCACCATATCAGGCTTTGACGCGTTCCGAAAGGAGCTTGTCAGCGCTGAGCCGCTCATGATTTCCCTCCCTCGGCACAACTGTATCCTTGTTGTTTTCCAAGAATTGTCGGAAAGTCGTGAGAGGAACTCCATGGCTCCTGACCTCGTCCATATCTGCTACCCCTTCCAAATCCTTCATAAGTTGTTGCCCAATAACAAATGGATTGCCTGCTTCCTTGTTATTCTCTTCCTCCGTGCGATAGTGCACGTCAATGGTCTTGCCAGATGCTCTCTCTATCTCGGAAATGATATCTGCCACAGTAATCTCCTCGCTTACAATGTTCACAGACCTGCCTGCGTACTGGTCAGGATGGTCGAACACGTGAGCAGTAAAAGCACCGATGTCGTCGGGATCAACAGTACATATGCGCAAGTCCGGAGTGTAGCTGTTGATAAACTTGCCGTCCGATAGGCCTGGGTACATCATGTCTAAAGTTAGGGGTAACAGTCAGTGATGTATACATTTTATCAAGGGAAAGAGGATGAGGGGAAGAGAGAGGATTAAGATAGGCCATGCGTAAGCAATGTCTAAATGAATTCAGGCATTGCTCGCAACTAGCTTTTAGAACTTGTACCCTGTTCTTACGTACCGACGACTGGCAGAGTGATGTTGGTATTGAACCATCCAGGTCGAAGAGCCGTCCAGGGAATGTCGCACTCGCTGACGAGCTTTTCGACTGCAATCTTTCCGGCGACGGAGGGCGCGATCATTGGATTGGCGAATATTTGCTCCACGTTGGGGTGACTTAAGCCGGCCTGGGTGGAGACGGCAATGTGTCGCACGCCAGCGGCTTTGGCGGCATCGAGCAGCATGCGGGCCTCGCGAGTTTCGGAATCATCTTTCCAGGTGGGCATTTGGGTGAGGAAGACGGCGTTGCAGCCTTTGATGGCAGCCTCGACTCTGGGAGAGTTCAGTAGATGTAACCATAGTAACGAGTGTTGTGATCACTTACGATGCTGCGTCATCAAGACTCCCTTTGTGCAGAGACACCGAGTCGCCAAACTTTTTAAGCGCAACGGCGCGCTCAGCAGAAGGGTCTGGCACAAAGGCATGGACGTTCCATCCTGATTTTGCGAGGTGCTTGACAACGCCCTTCCCTTGAGATCCCGTGGCTCGGATAACGAGAGCTGTCTTGGACATGGTGAAGATGGAGGTAGAGTAAATAGGTATGTAAAGCTGGTCGGTGTAGAACGACTTGGAAACCGAATCCTGGATGTCTCTCTCATGTGCTGGCGATGTCTGCTTATATTGCTTCTACGCCATGGAACTCCGCTCTCCATACTCGGGGAAATCCGCATCCTATACAAACGGTGATCCGCACTTCCGCACTTATCTATTACAAGATCCGCGGAAGCCCGCACACACACACTACACAACATATCGACAAAGTGAACGATGAACACGAGTAGTGCTCAGACCACAACATGTTGTTCTACTGGCAGCAACGATCCAGGGAGGAAGATGGAGCGAGGCTTTCCGAAGCTGATTGGTCGACATGCAGCTTACAAATGCAAGCGCTTCTCTTCCCAAAGCTTCTGGACTGAACTAACCATCGCCCGCTCCCATCTTTCCATCATGCCTCCGGATCGCGTGCGGACTTCCAATGCGCAGGGTCGTCAGAAGTCCTGTTCCGAATGCGCAAAGGCGAAGCGGAGATGCGATCTCCAACAGCCCAATTGTCTCCGCTGCACGAGGCAAAGACTAATATGCACATATCCAGCACAACCCCACACATCAGATAGTGGCAAAACAACGACTGAACCTGACCTTGAGGACGCTTCTTTGATTGAAGAACTATTCAACCCAACGTTAGAGCTGCCTTTCGATCTAGATATCCCGGATGTAGCCGCTGCGCCAGATCTAGAATTGTTGGATTCTATGCCAAACCAATCGGTGCCAATGAGTAGTTTGGAGCAAGGCGAGAATACAATTCGAGATTTTTTGGGACGCGAAGTCTCTGAAGTACCCTCCAGGATTGCAAGATATCCGTCGGCGAAGTCGATCTCGAACCTTCTCGCATCCGAGCTCTTTGAGTCGCGAGTAGGCTATTCTATGGAACTATGGAAACGAGCCCCTCGGATGATGGTTGAGGAGAAATGTACTCCGTGGAGCCACCCGAATCTGTACGAAGAATTGATGCCACGATCCATGCAAGGTCCGAATACCTGCTTCAGATATTGTTCGCTTCGGCGCACTGCTGATTGGTACAGATGCGTTCGCCGCTTGTTCACTTTACATATCCCGCACTGATGTCAACGCAAAATTTGTCCTACGACACATCACTGACAGGGCACATGAGCTCGTCGAACAGCCGATACCGACCACGCCCGCCGAAGTAATCGCCCAAGCGCAAGCAGTGCTCCTGTACCAAGTCATGCTGATCTGTAGTGATGATGTGAGCTACGCCACAAAGATATAGTTTAACGTAGGAACTCCACCACTGACAGGCTCGTAGTTCCGTTATTATCGGCAGACCCAAACCCTACTTCCACATCTCAAGGAGCTCAGTAGTTCGCTTTACTTCCTCGTAACGGAGGATCCAACCAAGGACGAAGACCACGCGGCAACTTTACCTCTTTACCCCAGCTCTGCCGCTCGTACCGCATGGCTATCATTCATCTTTAGAGAATCCTGTCGACGAACACTTCTCGCCGTCTGCCACGCTGTATCTATATGCACACTCCTCGCCGGTGACTTGGTCGCTTGCAACGATAGCTTGTCTGTAGGCAACCGTGTGACGTTATCAGCTGCACTTTGGGAGGCCAAGTCGCCGCTCGAGTTTGCAATCGCTTGGAACGAGAAGAACCACTTTCTAGTCAAGGAATTAGACTTCAGCGAAGTTCTGAGATTAGCTAATGCTAGCGATGTGGACGTTTTCGGCAGGATGCTAATGGTAGGGCTCATGGGGACTGATGATGTGAGAGGATGGCTTCATTCAAAAGGAGGAAAGCTATGAACGCAACCTTGCAAAGTATCAGGGTACCGGTCTGGTTTCAATCAATCCTCGGGTGATCAAAGGTATTTGGGGTTCACTGGTCATCTGGAAGACCCTCACGAACTATTCCTCTCACGCTCGTCCACCCTCATTGTTTCTCTTGAAATCATTTTATCCGCCCTAGAAATTTGGTGCTATATGTATCAGCTACTACATTATCTCAAGGGAGGCTAAGTACACTTGTAATTGGTTGCGGTGTCCTCACACCGACGCTTTGCCGCAGCTGGGGCCGACTTGATGTAAGAGATTTCTGGGCCACACCGGAGATCCAGAAAATGGCCTGATTCTCCTCAATGGTGTTCGAACGGTCATTTTGAGAGGGGATGGTGGTGCGAGGATGAAAATGTTGGTGGTGAAGGACAGAAGAGCTAACAGCGCGTTACCTTGGAGGCCACCACAGAAGAGGGCGGAATCATCTGATCAGCTCGAGGTAAAGATGAAGATGGATTCAAGCTTGGTGATGTGAGTCCTACCAGGATGCATTGTCATGTCCCGCTTGGATCGCACAACATCAACCAGGGCACCGAACCATGAACTACCAGCCTCCGGAAGGTCTAAGAATGCTCAGTGTAGAGATTTCCTTCCAACACATTGATGAGGTCACCCCGAGCTACTCAGCGTTTGCGCGCGCGTTAAACTAACATTGCGACTCCCACATTTGGAGCCGTTCCTGCCGCTTTTCGTTTGCGCCCGAAAACATCGCGATTTATCACTGCCGCTGCCTTCCAAGTCACAACAAACCCTTGCACCTGAGCATTTGGAACTGCTCCTTCCATCATAACGTCGCAGCAATGGCGAGCATCTATCTTGTCAACGCACTCTACAACAAGCCCAGCGCCCGGGCTACACCTGCAATGCAAGGCATGACTGAGGTCAAGCAGGAAGTGGTTGCGTCCGACGATCAGTCTGCCGTCGCGGTCAAGGAGCCTGCAACCACAACTGTTACCACCGACTCTGCGGCTGCGGCTGCGGCTGCGACTGGCATGGGCGGGCAGACAATAGGAGCCGGTCAGGCCGAGGTGAAGTCCGAGCAACGCGAGCAGCAGAAGGGAGCTGGGGACGCCATGCATCCAGCGCGCCAGCTCATGGTCGAATTTCTTGGTATGTAAGGGTATTCCACACTCCATAATGTCCAGGCTGACCAAGCTCGACAGGTCCCCTCGATGAGGAGCCAGAGCCCGTCCCGTACAGGGTCACCGGAGCGAACATGGCGCCTTTGGGCCAGACGCCTCAACACGGTCCAAAGAAGCGCGGCAAGGGCGCGATGAACAAGCATAAGCTGGTTGCGCCTAAGCCGCCCGCCTCGGGGAACATCCAAGGAGCCCGGGAGCGCGCTTCCAAGGCTGTAGCTCCATCTCCTATAGCTGCAGTGCGTTTCGGTCAGCGTGTCCTGGCCTTTAGTGGCAATCAAGTCAACGCCGAACGCGACCCTCATCGTCGTGCGCAGGCTGGAGAGGGCTACGAAGCACCAAGCTCTCCGGCTCCTGCCAGCGGTGTTCTCTTTGGTCACGCTCTCGGTATGTCAACCTCCTGGAAACCGTTTCGTAATCCTCTGACTGCATCTAGTTAAGCAAGAGGAGGCAGCTCAGGACACCTTTGTGCATCCACGACCCAATCCATTTGCACTTGCCGCTGCGACCGTCTTGTCGTCTCCCCAGCAGGCTGGGCCGGTGCCCTTCCACCCCATGGTAGGCCCGGATCAGCTGCATAGGCCTGTGAGCAGCGTCGGTGCCCCCCCGAACACCCTTGCCGTCAGGCCCAAGCAGCTCGAGTCAGACCCAGCTTCCGATCCAGAGATTCGCATCAGAGAGTTGGAGGATGAGAACCTTGGTCTGCGTCAAGCCGGTTTCTTCAAAGACCGCGAGATCAGGAAGCTCAAGGCTGAGCTACTTGAGCTGGGTATACGTCCCAGTGCGGCCCAGGATGCAGCTATTGAGGCGAGTATGAAGGGAGTCGAAGCTGGCATCAAGCGCCCGCGCTACGATGAGAACGTCGGCGGCTCTGTTATGGAGCCGTAGAATTCTTCATTCTCTCGGCATCTTCTGACTCCATGAATGGCCTGCCGCATTGCGGAAGGCGATTTCAGACTACGCTGGTCAAGCTGGTCGTGCGGGACAGTGGGAGATGATTTTTGGTTGACCAAAACGGATGATGCAATCGCGGAGCATGCATGTATACCAGGACAGAACCGGGACGCCGCGCCTTTGGAAACTCGGAGGCCACCCAACACTCGTTGGGATCAGATGATTACCATGATAGCATGCCTAATTACACGAATATTTGTGGATCGGCAGCGCATCTGGAGAACTGTGAGTGGTGTATTGCGGTAAACACTTGACTTATTACAACGTAGCTAGGTCTGAACCTCGTCTGCTTCCACGTCCACATCACATCGAAGCCAAACGTTGCCGAACACGAGTAATAACCGTGACTTATGGGAATCTTTCATCAATACACGTCCGCACGATTAGCAGTCGCGCGCTGTCGCCCGATGTACATCCCCGACGTCCGTCCCCACCAAAAGGCAACCACCACTCCTGCACACCACTGGCCACAATACTCTCCACCTCACGGAAGAATTTCAGCCAAGAAACGCCTTGCGATAAGATCGGTATTGTGATAAGAATTACTCGGACGATACGGAGTCCACCGCGAAGTGGCACAGCGATTTTTCCGGCTGGCGAAGCTTCTGAACGAGGGATGGCCCCATCTTTGTAGTCTTCGCGCGTGCTCGGGGCTGACTTCAAGGTCTTACGACGCTCAGCCCTTCGATAGGCGAGCCAATCATTAGGGACAGTTCCTTGCCAGACGCAACGCATCGGAGTAAAAACTGATCTCGTAGGGTGGTCTGCGCTTGTAAATCCTACATGCATCTAGAGCACATGAGTCTACACCAGCGGATGCGCACTCATGCGAGGGCATAATAGCTTTCTCTTCAAAATCAAGAGATGTGTTGTGGGAATCGCAGCTCTGTACACTGAGCATCTGTTAAACGTATGGGCTTCTCAGCAATTGTGGAAGCCATCGGAGCAGCGAACGATTTTTGCAGGGGCATGCACGACGCACAACATCGGACTAGACAACGTCCGATGCCTTGCCGTTGTTTCATGTTTCACGCGTAATTCTCTACCATTGCCAGCGATAGAGCGAGGCTCTTCGAAAAACCGCTACATATACGATAACAGAAACCCATGAGTCGCATCGTTAAGTTCTAAACCACCACTGCAGCGCAGACCGTCATTCGTTCTATATCCCAGAGCTATCATCCATTCATTCCAATCAAACGCCTTCAGCAATCATCAGTCTCCATTGGCATACACAATCTTCCACATCAACCGCAACAATGTCCTCCATCCCGTACGACCTCCTCCCCAGCTGCGACCCCGACTTCGCCCACATGAAGCTCAACCAAAAACAATCCTTCGTTAACCGCTTCTTCGGCATCCGCGCCTGCGACAACAAGAAAGACACCAGCCTCGCCGCCCTCTACTCCCACAACACTTCCCGTGCCTTCTCCTCCGCCACATCATCCACAAGCTCCTCGTACATCTCGCTCAACCCAAAGGCGCCCTCGAGCAGCATGCGTATCCCCATGGCCACGCCCCGCAGACCGCGCTCCAACACTGCGAACTCGTCGACCTCGGTGGCGTCGTTCGTGTCGCAGAGCTCCTTGCACAGCTGCGCTTCGTACAGCAGCCTGCGCAGCCGGTCGCCGAGTCGGGAGAGGAGGGGAGTGATAGAAGATGGGTGGACGCCTGTGGAAGAGTACTTCTAGACGCAGGACGGCCCGTCTGCGATGACCACGACTCCGACTTGGATTGCTCACGACTTTACATCCTACGCTCTCTTCCCGCTTCTTGTATATTCGACTTGCCCGCTAAGCTGTCTTTCGCTTCTTGTCTATTCTTTCTCCAACCTCCAGACACTCTTTTGCCCTTACGTTACGACCTCCAGACACTCTTTTGTCCCTACGTTACGGCCTCCAGACACTGCCTTCTTGTACATACATTCTCTCGACACAGTCACTACCGCATTTTTTGGATCTTGGAAAATCTCTCCTTTCCTTTTGGCCGCTCATTTGCACCCTCACCCTCCATCATATAGCTTTCATGTACATTCTTTCGCTTTATCCAACCGCTCATGCACACAACTTCATTCTTTCTACACTTCAAACACTCATTTTCAGCATCACCATCGGCGTCATCTCCACGCTCAATATTACGACTGCTGTTGACCAGCATCTTTGTTCTTCCTTCCAGTCACTCCTTCACACCTAAACCCTTCCTGTACATACATTTTGGACTTTCTTTTAGAGGAAGATGACTTTTATGCGTTGTCGAATACATTCTTTTCTACGATACAGATCTTCACTCGCTTTGGCTCAATATGCACGTTTATCATAGATACGGGTATATTCCAACTCACTACCATCCAAGTGGCCATCAGCCTGCCAGCTAAGAATGCCTCATCCAACACCTCACCTCACATGCAATTTCGATCCTAAATATTCCCAAACAAAAACGAAGAATACGGGCTATATACAAGGATCGGCCGCCGCCGCATTCCCAAAGCCGCAAATATATACAGTAGAAAGAATCCATCCACCCAGATAGAGTCTAGGAATGCTCTAGCCAACCAAATAATTTCTAGATCTGGTATGAAAAATATCCAATGGTGTTGGCGTAGCCAGATAGATTGGGCGTCCAGTCTGCCTTGTCCACGCCATCGACAGTGAGCATCTGCAGCGCGCCGACTTCGTTCAGCGAGTATGCGCGGACCGTCGACGAGCCTTCGATGCTGACTATGCGGTTCTGGCAGTCGCGGACCGAGTTGGTGTCCTTGCTGCACGAGTTGTTGTTGGAGATGAAGAAGGAATAGAAGCCCGCGCCGTAGAGGAGGACGTTCGACGAGTTCAGCACGCGAAGTCCAAGTGCGTCGCAACGTTGGCCAGAGGGGCAAATGATGTTGTAGTCGGGATCGTTCAGGGCACTGTTAACAGGATATGGCTGACCCTTGGCATCTGGTGTAGGCATGTAGTATGGGGTCTCGCTCTGGATGAAGCCCGCAAAGACGTCTTTTGCGTTCGCGAACTGGTATTGGTACAAAGACTGGTGCTCCACTCCGTTTCCGTAGAGCCAGATGTTGGTACCCTCGACGAGAAGACCTCGGCCGACGAAGATGGAGATCTGAGTGCTAGCAGAGTCATCTAGATCGTGGTCGGCAGTCCAAAACCAGTTGTTCTCCATGTAGACATTGGTCGCGCTTTTCGTGATGTGGACGTTGGTGTGGGCAGCCATGCAGGCATCGTTGACACTACCAACAGGACATTGAGCGACTTGGAGCTGAGTTCCCTTCGCTCCACCGATGCGGGTGTGGACATCCCAAAGACCAGAACCCTTAGTTGTGGCCAAGTTGTATTCGATCAGCTTCGCACCGGGAGTTGGCCCTTGGGTACCAATCAGAAAGTCAGATAGCTCAACGCTGCCGCTCTCGCCAGACTTGCCGATCTGGACGACCGGAACGGGATTTGTTTTGCTGTTCCAAGTACTTCCGCTTGCCAAGATGATGGGATATGTCTCGCCAACGATTTTCGTTCCCGGAGGAAGGTAGAGTGTCTTGGTGATCTTGTAATGACCATGGTCGAGGAAGAGGATCTTTCCGGAAGAAGCGACAGAGTTAATCGCGTTCTGGAGCGCAGTGGTATCGTCCGTGCTTCCGTCGCCCTTAGCCCCAGAAGTACGTGCGCTTACAAAGTTACCGACCGCGACGGTTTCATACTGAGGTTTCGACTTGGCGTAGAAGTTCTTACCATCTAGAAGGCCAGCCGGACGCACAGGAGTGATCGCACCTTGGAATTTAGCTGGGCCACCAGGGGTGTACTGGTTGCCTTGGCCCCACCCGATGATAGTCGTGGTACCGCCTGCAAGAACTGTTCCGCTGGGTCCCTTCACAGCAACGGCAACGTTATTCAGGGCGATGTTTTCCAAGATGAGCTGTCCGGCTCCGGCCGCAGTTGAGGTCCTAGTCCAAGCCTAAGTCGGATTAGTGATAGAACTTTGCTGGATGGTAGGGTACACTGACCGAGTCCACGAAAATCGGACAGTTGGTGATAGTGCTGTCAATGATGATCACTGATGCGACGTTCTGATCAGGACTGTTGTCCTTGAGGCCCTTCATCGAGAAAGCGGCGGTGCTGCAGTCGCTGATGGTAAGTCCCTTCCACAGCCAGCCCCAGTTCCAGATCTGGCTGATACCAATGACGGCATTTGAGATCTTGATGTTCTTCATGGTGAACTGCTGATTGCCGACATTAAGTCCGTACAAACCACCAACAGTCTCGATGTCAGTAAGATGCCCCCCGGAACCTGTCGTAATCAGCATATGCCGGCAGAGCAAGGTGGGGTTAGCCTACCGTTCTCGATAAAGATGCCAGCATGTACTGAGTTCGCAGCAACATTCATCTGGATCTTAACATTCTGGATGCTGGTCGCCTGAGATGCTGGCCAGTGGATACCCTGAGCGCCGCTCGTCGCTGGAATCGGGGTCAAGTCTATCACGAAGTTGCGGATCTGCCGGGCGAAGACATTGGTAGAAGTCCACCCTGGTTTTCCCGTGCCATCCTGATATGGACTGGCATCGATCAATGCTAGAGCTTGTAGATTAGGCGAGGCCTTGAGCACTGGGCGGCTGTTGGGGTTTCCGTGAAGCTGTGTCATGTAGTACATGATGATCGGCTTTCCGATGACATATGTGCCACTGGGAAAGTAGACGATGGCAGGAGTATCCGTAGAGGATTCGCATACCCACGGAGCGCAGCGGTTGCCGTCAGTTATAGCGGCATTGATGGCGGCTGAATCGTCAGTAACACCATCGCCTGTGCGCGGTCAGCTAGGTACATGTCTCGATCAGTAAACGATACGTACCCTTTGCACCGTAGTCTTTGACATTTCGAAAGACCTTGTAGCCAGCGGGGTTCGCGTTGAAGGCTGCACGGCCCTGATGCTGGATGTTTTCCAGCCAGTATGAGCTTGCCTGTCGTTCCTCGAGGGGAGCACTCGTAGCGGCGTTTGCGATGGGTGAAGCTGTTACAAGGCCCTGTCAGTTTGGAATGCTGCAAATGAAGGTAGAGGGGCACATACGTAAGGCCAGCGCAGCTGCAGGGCCTCCCGCTGCCAGCAGGCAGGAAAAGAAGGAAAGTATACGCATGATGCCAGACACAGTTGACAATGCTTGCTAAGCTGCTACAATATAGAAAATCTGTTTTCACAGAATGAGAGAAAGGAGCGTGTGGAGAGAAATAGCAGGCGATCTAAGGGACTTATATGACACATGGGGACATCTCAACTCTTGGGCAGTGACGGGGGACAAACCGAAGTGACGAATCGCCATCTCGACATGCCGCGGTCATACCTTCCGCGGAAAGTCAGAAACAACCTGGTGACTAGCCATGTCGTCCACTGGATTGATCATAACAGCGGTCATATGCACCGTGAATCCACAGTCAACATGTGCCAGCGAAGCCGCCTACGTTCGCAGCCAGGGTTCTCGATGAAAGGGAACCACGCTAGGCAAAGCATACTAATTAGACAGAGCGTCTACAACAAGTTTACTGCAGGGGACATAGAAGTCGCGCTATGAATAAGGAGAGTTGATGTCCGAAATGAACGTGTCGGACGACCAAACAGACTTCAAAGATCGCTGCCCCTAGCCTTATTTAGCCAGCTCAGGGTATAGTCACCGGGTCGGCTCGACACTTGAGCAAGTCCGTCTAACCGCCGCGCCGCGTTATTGGTAGTCGCATGTGAAGGGCACTTTTCTTCAGACAAGACGCCCAACCGCCCATCTCTTGGAAACACGGTGGCCTTTGCTTCTGAGCCCTGGCGCGATTCACCCCGAGTTGCACAAGCCTCGTGGCGCAACGGGTTTTGCGGGGTACATCAGTCAAGCGGAATACTGTCACACAGCATCTTTCGGGCGGCCCTATGACCCGGTGTTCTCGAGTCGGTTTGGCCGCGTGCTCAGAACTGCTCAGAAGTTACATTCGGGCTGCTGTATGGCTTCTATGCAGCATGGTTGTAACCAGCAGGTCTCGTGAATGATGCACCTGGCTAGCCATCGCGATGTAAGGGCATCTTGTCCGGCTTGGGGGTTGCCGTAAACGGCTATGGTTGTTTCATTCCAGATACTTTGATTCTGCCTTGTTGAACCCTGGACCTCTAAAGGGTGCGGTCTTGTCGCAAACGCGCAGGTACGCAACCCTTCAAATGTTAATTAAGTGCCGAGGAGGATCAGACTCCCGTGCAGACGTGCACTGGGGCGCTTCGCGATGTTGCAGTGCTTCGTCGATCGTGAATGGAGGAAGCAAATGCCTGTCGCACATCACAATCCGGGGGTGCGATCTGGAAACTCCTGACCGCAAAAGACTTTAGCAAGGCTGCTGGACTGCGAAACGTGGGGAGATTGCAGTGTTGATGGTTGCAGCCAGTGACAGATCGCAATATCACCTTCTTTTTATGGTCAGCGACCAATGAGATTCAAGTCCTATATGAATGAGCACCGAAAACCGGGGACATACCCATCCGCCACGGAGATGTCGCACGACGACTGCAGCTCAAATAAGACTGCCTGCTTGCACAAATTACAGGACGAAGTTACTCTAGCTCGAGGAGTTCCATACCGACAAAGCAAAGCGAAAACTTGACTTTTCTGCCGCTGCTTGAGACGTGACAATCTTTTCAGAGTTAATCTGGCCATTAGAAAACATGTAATCTGAATTCCACCTCTGGCCCATGTTCCATGGGCGACCGATCGAAAGCCTGCATGATGATGGGGCGGAAAGGCCGAAGGGATGGGCGGCAATGTACGCGCTCCACGGAAGGCCCACTTGATGTTACACTTGAGGTCAACACACCAACGCCAGGCTCGGTCCTAAGATTACTCTTTTCGACAGCAGCCGCGTCACGCGACATTCGGATGTCGCGTAGTGCCACCTCAACCAACTAAGAACCTTCAAAAAAGCAGCACGTTCCAACACCTACGGGAGGAGCAGATGGGGAAAAGGTCTACGCCGTGACGGTCAGCAAATCGTACATGTGACCCATGTAATTCATACCTGCCTTTTCGAGCAAGACCAGGAAGAGATCACATGGTCTTCATCACAGGTCCGTTGTACCTCAGCACTACATTCCATAGCTTCAACTTTTCCATAGCATCAACTGTGGGACATGTTTGCCAAAGGCAAGCTTTTGCTGACGAACATCTCGAAGGTCTTCATATCTTGCTTCTCACTTCTACAAACATGGCATCCCCAATCGTACAGACAGTTCCCTGGCCATCTTCAACCGTAGCACGAATGTATAACTTGTTTCTTTCGCGTCGGGTTAATTTGACAGTGCACAACACTGTCGCAGGCGCAGGAACAGGCTTCTTGTAAGCTGTATTGAGGTCTGGCTTGAATCAGCATCCCTGCTGGTCGCACTGCATAACGCGGGTAAGGTGAGTGCAGAACATACATGCTGTGAACGCATTCGCGCCCTCGATTGGACGCACGCCTTTTTGTTTTTTGAGATCTATGTTGAGCTGCAAGAGCATGCCCATAGACTCGTCCAGGAGGGTCACCACAAAACCCCCGTGCGCTATCTCTAGCGGTGAGAGACAGAAGTCAGCAAGGTTTCCGTGGGCCAGACATCACTCCTGGCAGAGTTACCAGAAGTCATTCACGAACTTACTAGGCCAGCCGCTTACCCCCTCCCCAATCTCGTAGATCACCCGAAGCTCATCATAGCACAACTCCCCCCCGATCGCACACTCTCTCGTAGGCCTAAATGCCGTGCACGATCTTATAGTGCGCTGCGTCCCCAGTGTCTCAGCGAACAACGCATCCTCGGTAGACGCCTTCGGCACACGGGATTGTGTCCGTGTTCGTGTCCATTCAGGCGATTCAAGGAGGGTGCGACACCAAGGGATGGCGGAGAGGCGCTGAATAGTATCCGCGCCCGAGACGCCGTCGATGTCCATGGCTATCGAGAGGTGTAGTCTTGTGATGACATCGGCAGTAGCCTGGAGGAGTGCAAGGACATCTGGTGCCGAGGTGATGGGGAGGATGGCAGCCACGAGTCAGGGAAGCGATGTTGATTGGTGTGCCTGGCGGAGTTATCGATAACATGAGCCCCACCGTGGGGTATTTCGTCCGCAATACACAGTACTACATTTCTTTCTGTTCAAGCTTGTACATCGTCTTGTGCCTGATAGATCATTGTCTGCTGCTTTGAGTTTTCGTAGTCAACATGGCCGACATCAACCTCCAAGAGGTCCATGACTTCATGATTGAGATCGCGCGCAAAGTTGGAGAGCGCATCACATCCGCAACGCCCTCCACAGGCGCCGCAGGATCCAAGAAGAATTGTACGTCTGAGATGGATGATGATCTTGGTTTCCTCAATGATAAGCTTGCCGCTTTCCATGTTAGTCGTCGACACATGACTGATGAGACCCTACCGTGGCTTCTCGAATCTGCTGTCACCATCATTATCAGAACCCGTACAATATCTTTAGACACATAGCAGCTAACCTCCTCCAGCCGTTGACCTCGTAACCGAAACCGACCAAGCTGTGGAAAAGATCATCTCCACCTCCCTCCACGAAAAATATCCCTCCTTCTCCTTCATGGGCGAAGAGACCTACAAGCCCGGCGACAAGCTCACCGACGCGCCCACATGTACGTGTTTTCCCAATACAGCCCAGGGCCCTCACGACCGCTCCAACCTCCGGTTCCGACAAACGACCTATGGAAAAGATGCTTTCTGGATCCAGAAGACTGACCCGCAAGACAGTCATACTCGACCCCATAGACGGCACGACCAACTTCGTCCACCGCCACCCCTACGTCGCCATCTCGCTCGGTCTCGCGATAAACCAAATTCCCACAATCGGCATCGTGTACAACCCCTTCACGCAGACGCGTACGTCGTCGTCCTCTTTTCCCCATCCGTTTCCCCCTCACCATAACCACTGACAACTCTTCTTCCCATCTAGTCTACTCCGGAATAAAAGGCCACGGCTCCTACCTGACGCAGTACCTGCTCACCCCGCAGGAAAAGAAACAGCGGCTGCCGCTGTACCCCCCGACCCCCCTCGAAACCCTAAACACCTGCCTCGTAGCCGTGGAATGGGGCTCCGACCGCTCCGACAACGACTTCCGCGTCAAGTCGTCCACCTTCGCCAGACTCGCCGCCGCGGACGGCGGCATGGTGCACGGGCTGCGCAGCCTCGGGTCCGCGGCGCTGAACCTGTGCGCCGTCGCCGCGGGCGAGATCGATGTGTACTGGGAGGCGGGGTGCTGGGCGTGGGATGTGTGCGCGGGGTGGGTGGTGCTGGGGGAGGCGGGGGGCAGGGTGGTGGATGCGAATCCGGGGAACTGGGAGCCGAGGGTGGACGAGAGGAGATATCTCGCTGTGAGGGGTGGGGAGGGGCAGGAGGGGTTGATTGAGGAGTTTTGGGGGTTGGTGGACGGGCGGTTTGAGGTTGGTGTTTGAAGTCAGTCAGGATGCAGGCTTCTCTGCGGTAGGGTATCGCACTATCTCCAGGCAGCGCACAGATCAGTTCGTTGATATGATTGTGTGAACGACTTTCTTGTCTTTCGTGTGTATCGTGAATGCTCGATGGGCGCCCTCGGCCTGCTATATGGCATGCAAACACTCTCTAACTCCGTAAATCCCACCAAATGCACGTTCCCATGCTCCCTTTTCGTGTAACACCGTATCCAATCCCAACCTGCTACTCCCACACGCACTTACTTCTCCTGCGCCTTGGACGAAGCATCATGCTCATCGATGTCCCGCGCCTCCCATGGATAGCAGATCCACTCATCCCCCACCGTCTCGGCAGCGAGATACCGTCCCTGCACCACATCCTCGGGCAGCACGCCCTTCTTCGCCTTGTCCTTGTTGTGCAGCACGAATATGCTGAAGCGCGTCTTCTCGCCCTCTCGGCCGAGCTTCTTCTGCGCCTCCAGCACGTCCTTCTCAAGCTCCTTGACGGCGTACTCGAGCGTCGTCCGCGTGTCGTCGACCTCGTCCACGATCAGGATGTCTTTGCCGATGAGGTTGGCCATCTCGAGCGAGGAGAGGTCGAGCCATTGTGTGCGGGTTACTTTTGTGCCGGGCTGCTCGACGGGGTCGGTGCCGAGGGTTTCGTAGAGGGAGAGGCCGATGGCTTGGATGGGGATGTTGGGAGAGCCGGGCGTCTTGAGGAAGGATCTGGTAGACGGAGATTAGATTAGGTTAGGTGGCTGCCGGGCGGAGGAGAGACAAACCGCAGGATGCGCGCGGGTACGTAGCCGCCGCCGCCGATGGCGACCATGAGCTGCGGCTTGAAGTCATCTAGGATGCGCTGGGCCGAGTTCTGGCACAGCTTGTGCACCTAGAAGCGAGGGTGTTGTCAGTCTACACGTTGCAATGCTAGGCGCATGGTAAGGTGACCAAGGATCGGATAAAAAGGAAGAATAATGAGGTGAATATAGAAGAGCAGGGCGCCGCAGAGCTGCAGATGACGCGCCGTCAGTAGAAGATGCGCTGTACCTATAATGCGCTCACTCGGCACAGCAGCCTTCCGGGCGCTGGGAAGCGCGCATATAGGTACCGCAGCAGTACTCGCAGCTGCATGCACCATGCTCGTGCGGTTTCAAGAGTGCACAATCGGAGACGGAAAGCTGCACGTACCTGGTTGTATGTTACGTAGATCTTCTCAACCATGATGTCGGAACGGCGAGGGGCAGGCGAAGAGCGCGGAAAAGGTTATGGGAGCTCTCGAAATTTTCTTGTCGGGTTTGAGAGTCAACAGGAAAAAGATTCGGAGGCTGCCGCGGTCTGGTGGACGGCCCCCCGCACCCGCCCGAAAGCGCTTAGCGCGGGGGAATTTTGTGAGGGTAACCAATGCTGTGCTAGTCTGTGCACAGCGTACGGTGCTCGTACTTGCGTTTGGCTGACCGCTACCTTCCATAAGTCTTTTAGATTGTACCAAATATGTGTAGACCAGGCAGTGGACTACCGCGTGTTACTTGTTACCGTCCAGAGTACATGATCCCCCATCTGCTCGTTCTCCAGTCCTGATTCCTCTGCTGTCCCGACGTTGGCGGTCTTCGCTTCCACCGCAAAGGAGAACACATACAGTCTCTTGAACGCCTGAACTACCGCAAATCTATCGTTGAGCAAGACCGCTATGTCTGTGCCGCCGTCCATGTCATCAAGTGAAGCGCTGTCCTGAAAACATAAAGTTCTCTTGGGGTCTTGTCCACTGCTGTGTGTGAGAAATGGCTTTTGTATCGTGGTTGCTGTGCTAGAGCAGTAACGAGAGTAGTGAGACGTCGCTAAGATATGCATCCATGAAGTAAACAGTGATGACAGTTCTCACTCTGGTAGGGGCAAACACACCTTATCCCAATGTGGTCGAAGTAAAAGCTCATGCTCTTGGTCTGTACAGTCTCACGTACATGGATCTGATAAAAGGAGTCCTTCCACCAAGCAGTTCGCACGTCTTCTGCAGAACGCGTTTGCTGCTCCGGCATGCTAAATGCTTGGATACTTTCGTCGAAGTTGAACATATGAGTAAAACCATTGTGGTTGTAGCGGCAGAATACACTAATGCGATAGCCGCCTTTTCGGTCGATAGGGTGGATGCTGGTAATCGAAGCCCCTGCTAATTCAGTGATCTCGGCCGTGAGTGGGATGACAAATTTGTTTTGTTGCACCAGTTGGCCGTCAAACGTGATGACATAGTAATCAATAGACATGCTGTCGACTTGGTGCCCACACCATCTAGCTTCGCACGTCTTTGTAGAGAAGAGGGTAAAAGTCTTGGAGCTGGGATTAGGGAGCAACTGGATGTCTAAACATTGGGGGCTATAGAGGTCAGCATGGATAAGGGAGGCATATATGGCTATCACTGATGGCAGTTCTGTCTTTGCCGGGTTTTGTTGTAGTCGCTGCATCTTGCATGGACATGGCGCCCAGACATTCCCAGGTTGCAGTTGTAGATGTTGTCGGGGCGAAAGACCCAGCAAGTGAACATACCTAGTTATAGCAGAGTCGAGCGGTGGCTGATCCAATCGCAGTGTTCTGCCCTTCTGCGAGTCCAGGTCCCACAGGTACAACTCGATGTGCTGATTCAAAATACCGCCGCAGATAAAGGTCCGCTCCCGACATCCGCGGAACTTGTTCATTGACGGCGGCAGTCGAAGTTTAGCCCTCTGCCTGGCGAAATAATCAAATATGTAGCAAGTTTGTGCTTGATTCCAGAATGCAATGAGCTCGTTAGAAGCGTAGATCCTGTCAATCAGCTCTCGACCCTCGGTTGCCATTCTCCAGTCTTCACCAGTGCGAAGATTCGTCAGACGCACCTGACGATAAGGATAAGGGACATGGATGAAAAAGTCTTCTGACAGAGCGATACGTTTAGAGGATTCAGGAGCGGGCTTTGTGGCGGCGACCTCGATAGGCCGTCCCGTTCGGAACCTGTGAATACTATGGGCTCTTTGAAGGCAGTCTTCATAGCTGGCATCTTCAAGTGGGAGTGTATTGTCGTACCATCTTCTCAAAGCGGGCTTCAACAGGTCTGTGCTTCGTAGCAGACTATACCAGCGGCGGGAGACCTAGGTCAGCAGTGTTAGCAGCGTGCAGAAGCCCAGACTAGCCGTGGACAACTACTCCAGCTGCGGTGCTGATCAAAAGCATCTCAGCCTAGGGCTGTCGCATAAACCTGGAGACAGCATGTGACTCGGCTCCGACCGGCTGAATCAAGACCCATCAATGGGCATGCAGGTACAGGTAGGCCCGCACCAGCTAGTGTTGTAGAGCACGGCGTTTGCGTTGCGCTGCACAACTTACAGTTTGGAGGCGAAACGGGGTCGAGATGTCGAGATAGGAGAAGATGTGGAATACGAGCTCGGCGGGCAAAGTTCCCACGATGTCAAAGTGGAAGGATCTGGCGTCGACCAAGGCCTGGAGCTGGCGCCACTCGTAGGGCGAGAGCTCGTGGGCAAGGGCCGCAATAGCGTGTGCGCGGGCGGTCGACGTCTGTAGGGCCCTGAAGGCGTCGACAAAGGCGGGCGTGGCCATGGCGAGGACCGGACGGCCATCAGCGCTCCGACTCGCGTCGAGGTGAATCAGTCAGTGGGCAAGCAGCGGGTGGCCCGTGCGCTAGCGAGATCGGCACAGCAGCGGACGATCGCTGCAGATGGACGAGGCACGCTGGAGAAGGTTGCGCCATGCCCTGGGCCGTCTCCGGCGCCGGGAATTCTCGCTCGTCGGCGGCGCGCGCTCGTGTTCGAGAAGGCGGCGAGCAGCAAGGGTCTCGTGCGTCCGGGTGCAAGCACCTTCCAGATGAATGCTTGGACGGCGCGCGGCATGGCGCTGCATGGCGCGCGGGGGCTGCGAGACGCGCAGAGTCAGAGTGTCGCGAGACGAGCGTCGGTGCCCTCGAGGCTGGCGGCGGTTTCAGCGGCCAGTGCTGGGCCAGGGTTGCTCGGCAGAGAGTCCCCAGGCGGACGGCTGTGGGAAACGCGACCATCCATCCGCTGCGTGGTGGAGCCCGCAACGGCAGTCAGGCCGTTCCAAGAGCAAGCGTGCGCGGGCGCTCGACGGCTTGACCCAACAGCAGGCTCGTGGGAACTGGCTCTGCACAGTTCCGTCGCCTTTTTCTAGCCCTGGGCCGCCTCACGCACCCGGCTTCCCAGCAAAGCACAGTCTGGTCCTCCTCGCAGCTCGTGCACCCGTGCAAGAGCCCCAGGACGCGCTGCCGACGTGCTCCCTCTTCCCCGGCCGCCCTGCCCTGCCAGGAGCATCATTGCGCAAGCTCCACGCCCCTCTCGTGCTGTGTGGTCTGTGCCGGCGCCGGTGCCTGCGACACTCCACCGCCGCGGGTCCCTGTGGTCGTCCCAAATCGGCCGCTCCTCCTCTCGTCTGAGCTGCACGGCGCATCGCAGCTGCCCTGCACCCAGCACCTGCAAAGGATCGCCTTCTCCTGGGTCTTCCTGGCCACATAGCCACGGCCTTGCCTGATCCGACGACCAGGCCTCTGCGCTGCTTCGACCTGCAACGCCCGCGCATCCCCCTAAAAAGAGCTGTGTCCTGCCACCACGCGGCCCGCCGCCCGCCAGAACCGTTCCGCTCCCGCCGTGAAGCTTGAGAGCTGCCGTCGCACGCCTGCCCCTAATCTGCACCCCGTGGCATGCCCGCTGCATTGAGACTGCTCTGACATCTTGAACCTCTGCCGCCGCTGGATCCTCCGCTGCGGCCGCAGTCCTCTGTCTGATCTGTGCGGGTCGACAGAGAGAGAGAGAGAGAGAGAGAGAGAGAGTGCTGCGCTGCCTCCCCTTGGTAGCCCATCATTTCCACGACAACGACTCGCACGCGCACGCCGCCGAGCGCAGCCATGGCTTCTGTCGCGGAAGCCCGCCGAAGTCCCTTCGCCGCCGACCCGCACCACCACCAAGCACTGCACAAGTCCATACCCATATTGCCCTCCTCCACCGGCTCGTCGCATCTCACGCCGCCGCGGGACCCCATGGACATCACCCCCTCCACCCTCCCCACCATGGGCCCGCCCATGCTCAACGGCCCCGTGGCCGATCGCAGCAGCGCGCATCAAGAGCAGCACACAAACGGAGACGCAGAGGCCAAGATGCCCAACGGCAATGGCAATCCTGCGCCCGTGGGAGCCGCCGCCGCTGCTCAGCAACCCAAGGTCGTGCAGACTGCCTTCATCCACAAGCTATACAAGTGAGCCTCCCCAGGCATTGCCCGCGCCTCTGCACCCCCAAGCTGACCCAACCGCAGCATGCTCGAAGACCAGAGCATCCAGCACCTTATTTCGTGGTCTAGCACCAACGAGAGCTTTGTCATGTCTCCGTCAAGCGACTTCTCCAAAGTTTTGTCGTACGTGCATCGGGAGCTTTGACCGCTTTTAATATACCTAACCGGGCTCGTAGATCGTACTTCAAGCACACTAATATTTCCTCATTCGTCCGCCAATTGAACATGTATGGCTTTCATAAAGGCGAGCACCCCCAATATTGGTACTATGGATCATGGCTGACAGCCTCCAGTGAGCGATGTGTTCCACACTGGCTCGCCCGACTCTCCTCTGTGGGAGTTCAAGCACGGCAACGGCAACTTCAAACGCGGCGATCTGGTGGGCCTGCGGGAGATCAAGCGCCGCGCCTCGAGGCACGCGCTCATCCACCGCGATTCGTTTTCCACGCCTAAAGTCCCTTCTGGTCCGCCGGCTGGTCCTCCGACCGAGTCCATGCCTGATCCCGTCGAATCACGACTCGCAGCGCTGGAACACGGCCTGTACGATATGCATGCTCGTATGCAGCGCTCAGAGGATAGCTGCGCCTACCTCAGCCAGAAGAACACCATCCTCATGGACAACATGCTCAAATGCCAGCAGGTCCGTCTCTTGGCCCGATCCGATTCGCTCCAGCTGACTTGCGAAACAGTGGAACCATGATCTGACGAATTATATCATGGCCTTAATACCAGACCCGGAGAATCAAGTGTACAAGGACGGTACGTACTTTTGCCTATACTCTATCTCAACGTCAACTGACCACTGCTAGCCTATTCGATGCAGCGCGAGATTTCCCGCCAGTCCGAAATGTTGCGCGTGCTCGAGGGCCCAGAGGAGCCCCTCTCTGCTCGACAACCGTTCTTCATGCAGCTAGACAACAGCCAAGCTCCTCTGTCCCCACGACAGATGCCGCAGGACAACGGGCCCGAATCGCGACGAGGCTCTCTGGCAGGTCTGCCTTCGCGCCAAGCACAGCCATTTAAACCTCCGGTCCCGGCACATCTCGCGATTTCTCCGCGCCGTTACGGCTCAATTGGCACGGGTAATTACTCTCCATCATCAGCCAGGACCCCAGTGACTCACCAGCCACCCCCACCGCCTCCACCGTCAATCCAGCATCCCGGCAGTACACTGGGAAGTAATCTGGGGGCTAGCTCATCCCCGCCTTACAACCTCTATAGGCGGCACACCTCGGCAGATATACGTACGCACGGCTGGCCTCCGCAACCCCCCTCGCAGTCACCATACGCGTCTGGGCAGAATTCAACTCAATGGCCCTCCTCGCCTCATCGAACGCCTATCGGAGGTGAGGACCAACAGCTCCGTAACGCTTTAGAATCCTACCAGCTACCCCGCGGACCACGCCAGCAGAACTCTCGTCAGAACACTCCTCCTCTGACGAGTGACACCACGCCCTCGACATTAAGTGCAGACAGCAGCTGGTCTCTCCCCGGCGCCCGGTACCCCTTCAAAGGCCTAGACACCCCCGGCCCACCTACGCGTCGTTCAAGCATGGCGTCGAATGTACATTCCCTCCTTAACCCTGCAGATACCCAAGAGCGAGCGGACGAAGACGACCCCGACGAAGCACGCAAGCGAAAGCGAATGCAATGATCCTACGACATATCTACCATGTAACAGTACCGCACATACGGCTTCGGCCTGCGATATCCCGCTACGTTTCCGCTATTTGCATGTTGGCGGTCATGCGGACATTTCATTTGATCTTTTCTGCCGATACTGACGTCGCGTTTCCATATATGCTTTTCGTTGTCATTTTCAAAGCTGCGTCACATGCCGCCTCGTACGGCGTGGCGGATGCGTTTCCTCGACGGAAAGAAAGTTCCTACTGTAGCAGGCTGCCCGCGCCCGGGACACATACCCTTTTCCTCCCGTATCGTATCTTCTTGTATTCCTTGGCTCGCCCATTGACCCAAAGTAACGAACTGTCGATGTCTGTTTGCGAGCATCCACTGCTGTCTAGCCTTTTCCTTCATCTTGTGTAATTGAGCCAAGTGGCGTACGCGCTGCGGGATCTTGGTCGCTTTCTGCTTGGATGGATGCATGGGCTTTGCGTATATGCATCGCCATGGGTGGTATGTAGGAAGGAAAACTTATAGGCTGAGGCGTACGCGCTTCTTCTTTGTGCTGTGCAACTACTTTGTCTCAAACACTCGGATTGTGCCTGCCTGCTTGCCTGCTCGCCTGCTCGCCGCCCATACCTCGCGTTATGCCACGGACAACATCCCTCACCAACCTGTGTAGTCGCATCCGCGCTACCTCCCATCCGAGCATTCTCCCCGAACCGAAGGATCACAATGCCGACCCGCACCAGTCGCGGGATTGGGTTTGCCATGCGACGCTCGAAATCGCATTGCTGGATGCGCCTCCGACGCGCGCCCGGGATGCTGAGTCGCATGCCGCCGAATCACACCGAGTCGGGCCGGTGGGGTCTTGGATCCTGGGGTCGATAGGCCGCGATGGGATGGGGTGGGTAGGGATGGTGTAGGGAACGGAGCGCCGAATCGGGGCGATGGCGACGAGGGAGCAAGGCCGAAGCACGTTGAGCCGGCTCGGCGAGCGCAGCGATGGCGGAGGCCACGGATCCGCGAGATCTCACGATGCAGCACGGGCGTCGGTTCGAGGGTGCTGGCTGGGTCGTCGGTTGGTGAGAGGTGGAGGGGAGGGATGGTGACGGGATGGGGGGGCTGTGCGAGGAGCGTGTGGCATGTACCTGTGGTTGCCTTTGCCCATGCGGCGCTGAAGCGGGAGGTCTGGCATGATGGCGATTCGGTGGACGTCTCCTTGGGCTTCTGGTGTGAAGGCCGGGGGGAAGGTGCGATGTGGGCATCTGGTCAATAGGTTACATCAGTTCTGCCTCTACCGGGAGACAGATTGTTGTCGTCGTATCATCATACTTATGGAAACGCTGTTGAGCACAGGGGACCGCACGAAACTTCTCTGTAGGTGTACAGAACTTAGACTTGTATGGCTCTAGGTTCTATGTCGGAAGAAGACGGATCTGCAGCGTGATGCTTGTCTCCTGAGATGGATGTTGCTCAGCACAAGTCACTTCATTTCACTTCACTTCACCAAAGTAGAGCTCCCTCTCATAGCGGCGACCTTGTATCACATTACATCGCGCGCTAAAGCAGCTTCCGCTGTCATCATCCACCGTTGCATATCCTCCAAGCATCCCAGCTGCGAAAAACACCGCCCCGTTCGCAGCCCTCAAGGCTCCTACTAGTAAAAGCGGGCCCGCAACCACCGCAGAACCATGCACCAGATAAGAAACAGAGAATCAGTGTCCCTCGTCCGTCCCGCAAGTCCATCTGTCATACCTACACCTACAACAACAAGAAGCACCAAGCGCAACAAAACAAAGGAAACGCAGTTTCGCGTGTGTGTCGTCGGACTGTACTCTCCTGGCTCGGCAGGAGGGGGTGCTATTTCTGGTATAACGCTGCAGGATGTATGAGGTATGGAGAGATGGAGCGCGCGGAAAGAGGAAACCAGATGAGGGTGAGTATTTCAACACAAAACGCCACGGAAAGGCAAAGCGCAGAGACGAGTACAGTACGATATCCAGCCGCGCCGGGGATTTAGGAGGCCAGTCTGGGGCGGGCGGCTATGAACGCCAGGAGGGGAGTCAATCCAATCCGATCAATCCGATGGGTTTTTTTTTGCGGGGGTTTTGTGTTTTGTGAGGAGAGAGTGCGCGGGCGACACCGCATTTCGTGGGCGTTGCTTGGTTGTCAGTCTGATTGCGCGCGAGAGTAGGGATGTGAGAGTGCCGTGGGGTGTGCGTGCTCGATGGCGAGGCGTGCGCGGGCGTAACCTTCAGATGGTCTTTGGGGTGCGAGCATTGCTAGGAATATCACGTTAGCGGGTGCTTTGTTATCACATGTGGATGCTCCAGTGAGGCAAAGGAAGGAGAGGCGTACCTCGCATCCACGATATCATCGACATGGTTACACATCGCGACGAACAAGTCAAAGAACAGTTTTCCCCCCATCTCCATTTCCATCTGCATGGTTCCACTACGCTTGAAGGTTTTCCGGCTACGGATGATGAGCGCGAGGTAATGAGCGCGCAGCCGCGAGTCACTGTCCGGCGTGTTCTCGTAGGCATACCGTGCGCTTCGCAGGATGGTGCCGACCTCGATCCCGCTCTGCAGGCCCTGCTTGCGCAAGGAGAGCTTCTTGAGCTCTTCGAGACCGTACCGATCTGCGGCGCAATACACGGCTGTGTCGCGGAGAATGATGTCGCCTACGCCGGCGTGAAAAAAGGTTGGCTCTACCGCGGCCACGCGGTCGCCTTTGTTTGGGTCCGGGCTTGACACTGCACCTTCGAGCATCCAGGTCTGGCGGCGCTTGTCGTGGACCAAGCGCGGGTAGTAGTCGCCCTTGTAGAGATACTCGAGAATACAGGAAAAGACTTCGGGCTCCTCCGTTGGCAGGTCGATGCGTCGGTTTGTGCTCTCGAAGAACTGGCCCCGCAACGCTTCGGCGAAGTACGGGGAGTGGCAGAGGACGTCTTCGTGTGCAGCAAACAGGCGCTGTTCCGGGCCGATGACAATCGTGACGATGGCAGAGGTGAGGCTGGGCGACACCTGCTCCATCATCGGACTGTCCATGCGGACGGACTCCATCTTGTCGACGATGCGCTGTTTCTGTCGGGAGTCATCGCGAAACGACCTCTTCGGCTGTTTGGTAATCTTGCCCGAACGGTCCTTTGAACTAGCAAAAGAGCGTTTTCCGAACATGTTGGGCGAAGAGCGGTATCGGTTCAGCGAGCGACGGAGCGAGCGACGAAGGGTATGGTAAAGAGTGGACAGGTTAGTGTGACGCAGCGTGTGAGGGAGAGCTCCGGAAGCCCTTCAGATTTAACGCGACTTTGCGGGAGAAAGTGCTGAGAAATCCGAAGTGGCTCTGTGTGTTGTCGTCACGCTTGGTGACGATAAGCACACGTTGGTTGTCGGGCTCTATGGGTCTTGTCGAGAGGCGTACGGACAGGCGGTGGGGGAATAGCCAGCCTTGTTATATACAGCGCCAAGTCAGACTCCCTGCAGCCTGTTGATAAGCGGGCAGGCAGTGCCTGCATGTTGCATGCTGCGATTCGTCAATGGCTCTACAAGTGCCGTCTGAGTGGACAACAGAGGAACACGAGGGGATTTCCTGTGGCTCTTCATTCGACCGCGTAGACAAGGTGGAAAGACTTGGAATTTGGGTTTTGGTAAGACGCGGTATCCCTGCAAACCTGCGTAGGCGACAACACAGCACGAGGGCTGACGTCGTCGGGCCTTTTCCCAGGAGCCTCCAGTGCGAACATCGGTGTTCGCAACCTTGCTGTCGAATGTTGACGCTGCTCAAATAACGATTGTACCAGAGCCATACACGCGTCAAGCTACGCGCCGTCACGCCGTGTGACCAGCAAGCGGAGCAATGGCCCATACGGAAGGGCGGCCTCCACCGGCGTTCAGCCTCGTGACTCAGAGACCAGGCGATGGACCTGAATGCATCGGAGTTCAGGCGCTGAGGCCTTGTACTGGGAGATGACAGCAAGGCTGCTAACATACATCGACGGTGTTGTGTTTCGGCAGGTGGGTGTTACTCTTCGCTGTTCTCGAGTTTCTGCCACGTCGTAGCGTAGCCATTGTCCACACCGCCCGGATTGATAAGTAGCCGAGTCTGGAGTCTGGAAGTCAGGAGAGAAGTGGAGGAAGCGTGCTGCTTAGCATATCCAGGTGTACATAGGTATAATGCGCTGGCAGCTGGTCTAGAAGGAAAGAGCGTTGGGGGACGTGGGGAGCACGTGTTGCCGCGCTGTTGCACTTGTGGCCATCATGCTTGAGGAAAGATGGTATACTAGAGTAGCGCAGTGACTCTGGGTTTGTGTTTTAAATATGTCTGATGAATGAAGCACTTGAATGGAGAGGGTGCCAGTGTAAGCTCGCGCGAGCACTGTGAGCTCAGGTAGTCCGCTAATGGCTAATTGGCTGGCGCCAGTCGTTTGCTATGTGTGACGGTGTCATAAATGGCAGCCTGGGGGAAAATTCATTCGCTGCGATCAATCAACCTAGCAACGCTGCCTAGAGGTTGCCAGCCTTTATTCAATCAACACAGACGTGGTGAGACATTTCAAGTCAAGCGCAAGGCGACAGTGCTGGGTCTGGACGTTTACGGCACATTTGACCCCACCAAGCCCACCACGGTCACTCCCGCAGCAACCTCAACACCTGCCGCGCGCGTTGCTCCTCTCCTGGACCGCTCCAGACATCTTTCACCTCACCTCCAGACTTTGCCGGCGAAGAAATTCTTGCGCACCCTGTGACTGCGGCTGAACACACAATATTAAAGCGCGCCGCCTCAGTCCATTCCGTAAACGCACCCAAACCCGAAATACGCATCCGCCACTTCGTGATCAACCGCCACAATGAGCGCCAGCGCGAAGAAGAGGATCATGAAGGTATGGCACATGGATACCCCGGAATTGGCTTGCGCATACAGAAGCTGACTGGGGTGCAGGAGTACACAGAGTGCATGAAGGAGACGCCTGCGGGCATGAAGATCAACTTCGACGAGCAGAACATGACCAAATGGGAGGTCCTGATGGATGGGCCGGAGGGCTCTGTGTATGCGGTACGTATCGGCTGCGCAGATCAGTTAGGAATGTCTGCTAATCGTGCTGCAGGGCGGCCACTTCAAGCTCGAGATCATTTTCCCCAACGAATACCCGTTCAAGCCCCCGGTCGTCAGCTTCAGGACGAAAATCTACCACCCCAACGTGAGCAACGACGACAAAGGCTCCATGTGCCTTGGCTTGCTTCGGCCCGATGAGTGGAAGCCGCCGAACAAGGTGGTTGCCGTGCTGCGCCTGATCCAGTCACTGATGGTTGAGCCCAACATCGACGATGCAATCGAGCCGTCGATTGGAAACGAATATAAGGAGAACCGCAAGGAGTTCGAGAAGAACGCCAAGGACTGGGTGAAGCGGTATGCGAAGTAAGGTCGGGAAGAGACGTCACCATGAGGAGTTGTTGTTGGTGAGCATTCTTTGTGAGGCGCGTCAGCTGGCATCTGCGCATACAAGGCGTCCGGCGAAATTTGCATTTGATGGGTCACGGCTGGCGACTGGAACGACGAGGCAAGAATATGATGTGTACAAGGAGCTTTGGCATGCCATGACCGCTGTAGCGTGAGCATCTAGGCGGAGCAATATACCGACCGAGGTGTACCTCGGGGTTAACAAAGCAACGCACGACGACGATCAAGCTCGCTATGTCGTCATGTTTGCGATGCAGCGGGTGATGGAGCGATTCGCAGACGGATGCTCCCAGGATGCTGACGGAACAGCGCCAGTGCTTAGTCGTGACATGTAGTTGGCGTTGCCGCATCTAGTTAACGGAGCAGAGCACAGCTCGCGGGGGAGGCGTGCCGCAGGCGAGCTCTCTTCGTATGCAATTTAACAGCAGCCCGGCCTGCCAGCCCGACTGTCAAGTCTTGCAAGCGGCGACTACTTGGCCGGCGCAATTTGCCGAGTCAGCTACACACGGTGGATTCCTCCTCGCGTTGGTGGTGCCCGAGCAGGATGCCAGGAGCATCGTGTGTCGTGAGCGAGACGCGGACGGGCACGCCCCTGAAACAGCGGCCACGCAATGCGTGAGCAACACCATGACTGACAGGTGCAGCGTGTCAGTTGCGGACACGGGGGCTGGCGACGCTCTGTGCTGCACCACTGTTTGCTTCTGGAGCAGCTGCGTGGGAAAGCTGGAGAAGTGCTGTGCCACTAGCAGCGGCGCGTTGGATCGCGTGGTGTTGTTTACCACACAACCGCGTCGGGCAAGGCGCCATCGTTGCAGCGGGCGCTTGTCGAAAGGAGACGACGGGACAAGATTCGAGAACGCAGCCGGCGCAGAGAGCGGCTCACTGCAGGCCCGGCCGTACACAGTCGATTGGCCGGGAGGCAGCATCGCTCCCGCGACTGTGGTCGTTGGACGGCCCCGTTGGAATGCGCTCCGCCCGAGCCCCCAAAAGTTAATACCGCTGGTGGAACCGCTTGGCTTCTCACCAACATCCTTTCCTTTCCACCCGACGATTCCTGTGCCAGCGCGGCCACGGCGCCCCTTTGCTCCGACTGCTGCGCCAGACGCCGTCGCTTTCATTCCTTACGCTTTGATTCTGTAGCCCGCGGCGCCTGCACTGCCCACGCCCATGGGCCTGCGCGCCGCCCACCTGCCCGTTTCCTCACCACCGCGCTTCGTTGGCGCTGTGCTCCACCCCATTCACACGCGAACTCTGCAGCCGTAGCTGGGCTGCACCGCACTTCCGCCTCCACCACTCCACCGCCGCCTGTCTGCACCGCCCGCCGCATCTCCGCCTGCGTGGACCCCGACATGTTGATGCACACAGACGGCACCCCCGAGACATTCTTCGCCCGGCCGAATGAGGCAATTCTCCACACCTGCTGTCACATTCTCCAGGCCTGCCGCTCGAAATGAGTGAGCCTCCACCACCGCCCACTAGCCCTCGTGCATGGGCTCCCACTGCCGACACGGGGACCAGGTCGGACACCCCTGTCAGCGTCTCGAGACAGCAGTACCAGTACCTGCCCTACCGCCCGCCAGGCTCAAACGCCGAATACACTCCGCCTGCCTCGCCGCAGCCCTCTAACCATCCATATGCCCACCAGTCTGTCCGCAAAGGCTTTGGCTCTGGACGCTCCCGCCAGCCCGCCCAGCTTCAGATGGACGTAGCTGTTGCACCCGCCTACGAACGACCTGTATATAGCCCGTCGCCTACAGCAAGCCCGCCGCTGCCACCACTGGCCTCGCCCAAGTACGCTGCTCGATCACGAACGCCGTCCCTGCTCCGCCATGCTGCCTTGTCGTCGCCTCTGAACAACGGATACCCACGGGCAGAACAGCCCCAGTCGCCGACGTTCCCTCCAGTCATGCGCCAGGTCAGCAACCAGAGCGTGACGAGCGATCCTCGATCCTTGTTCAACCCGCTTGCCAGCAACCCCGTTCACGCCAATGGGTCAGATCCCTTTGCAGACGAAGTGCCCTGGTCACGGACACAGCAGAGGAACCGTGGCATGACCACATCGACGCAAACCAGCATTGCCAGCTATCAACAAAATTACCCACCGCTGCGATCCGCCACGTCCATACCAGACTATGGTCCCATCAGAGCTAGCAATCGATCGAACCCATCCGGAGCCTACAAACCCGACCGTGGCGGGCTGAACTGGTCCCACAACGATCAGTTCCCTCCGCGTCTGCTCCGTGGCGAAGAGTCACGAGCTAGTGTTCGGTCAGGATGGACGAATGCATCCAGTTTTATGGAACAGAGTGGCACGGAACGAAGCAGTGTCGCTACAGGCAGGAGCTCTATTGTGAGCAGTGATAACAGGGCTAGCACCTATTCCAGGGACCAGTCTGAGGAGCGCGATCTATCAACCGATACCCTTCCGACCAGTATCTCGCCCGACGAGGAAGACATCATGAGCTCAGTCGAGGACGTGATTGACGCCTACTTTGACGAGCCCGAGGACATGGACTCCGAGCCTCTCCGCGGAGATAATGTTGGCGACCGTGGCTCATCGACGCAGGACTCGGACGCCGGGCACAATGATCGCTCGTCTAATTACTCGCAGGACATCAGTCGCCCAACATCATCATATGCTCCCGTTCATGAGCAGCTCGCGCACACTAATTCACACAATAGAGAGCTCTCAAAGATTACCGAGCGAAACTCACGGGGAAGCTCTCAAAACCACTCGTCGATATCTCAGCCCATACACATGAATCTCGATTCGCTCAATGCCTCGACGACCGAAGGCGCACAGGAGAATCAAACTGCTCCGAAGGATGACCAGGTCAGCTCTCACCCACCACACGCGGACCCGAGTACATTCCAGTTGGATCGCACAACGACCAACGAGGACCGTGAACGCCAATTGCAGACGATCGACATGGCCATGCAGCGGTCAAGCGAAGAATTGCCCCGACGGACGTCTACAATAGCTGCAGAACGTAGGAGCAAAATCTTGGCCCGGCCCCGCCTGTCGACCAAGGTGAGCAGCGATAACCACAAGATGCAAGAGATTCATAAAGAACTTGCCAGCCTGCCCCAAATCCCTCGGAGTAAATCGCGACTGTCGCGGCAAGACTGGGCAGAGTTCGAGGGCTACGCAAAGCGGCACTCTAGAGGACCGAGCGCTGCACTGCGTGCGCTTACTGAGGCCTCGACCACTTCTCCACCCAAAAGATCTTCCCCGTTGCCCGAGGTGGATGAAGACGAGGCCTTCCCTCGCCGCGCGTCCACGAGCATCTTTGATCGCAAGAGCACGTTATTCGACCTCAGCAGCTTCAAACCTGCGCCACCCAGCAAGTCCATGACTACCAACTTCGGCACGAACAAGCCCCATGCCAGACCTTCGGCGGGATTAAAGAAGTCAGCGGCTATAGGTGTAGAGCGAGATCGCTATGGTTTTAAGAAGGCCTCCGACAAGATCAGCGTGCAAGAATACAACGCATGGCACCCGAAGTATGAGGACTACATCACGCGCAGGTCGAACAAGTGGACCGCTTTGATGAAAAAGTCCGGACTATCGACCAAGAACCCCACGGAATTCCCAGAAGCATGCGACAAGGTCAAGCGCTACGCCCGGAAAGGCTACCCACCAGAGTGGCGCGGAGAGATGTGGTGGTTCTATTCCGGCGCACAGTACAAATCACGACAGATGGCGGGACTCTATCGGTCCCTGGTCGCTCGGGTCGAGAACGGTGAACTCAACAAAGACGATCGTGAGGCCATCGAACGGGATCTCGATAGGACGTTTCCTGATAACATCCACTTCCGACCCGATCTGAAGTCAGCGCGATTCAGCGACGGAGGTGACGATGAGCCATCGATGGTTCGAGACCTCCGCGAGGTCCTATCTGCGTTCGCCTTGCACAACCCCGGTATTGGGTATTGCCAATCCTTGAATTTCATTGCAGGACTATTGCTTCTCTTCTTGAAGCAGGATACCGAGCGAGCCTTTATCCTGCTGACAATCATCACCCAAAATCATCTTCCCGGGGCACACGCCCGGAACCTCGCCAACACCGAGGTCAACGTCTTGATGATGTTGATACGCGACTACCTACCCAAAGTTTGGGCTTCGATCAACGACACGGACATTGTCAACAGCGGCCTCGGCTCCAAAGCGCATCCCGAATCCAAGTTTCAGCGGCAGCCGACCGTCGCGCTTTCGTGCACATCCTGGTTCATGAGCGTCTTCATCGGGGTCCTTCCCATCGAGACTGTTCTCCGTGTCTGGGACGCCTTCCTCTACGAAGGCCCGCGCGCCCTGTACCGCTACGCCCTCGCCGTCTTCAAGCTTGGCGAAGGTGAGATCCGCAAGTACCGCCCCGGCGACGGCGAGCTCTTTATGGCCGTGCAGAACCTACCGCGCCGCTGCCTGGACGTAAATACTCTCCATGACATCGCATTTGTCAAGAAGGGCTTCGGCAGCCTCACGCAGAACGTCATCGACCAGAAGCGGCAGTTCTGGCGCGAGCAGAACGAGCGCTCCGCAAGCCAGCGGAAGAGGCCCGGTCCGCAGGCCATTGTCCCGCGGCCAGATACAGCGGGCGGTGACGAAGAGGGGAAGAAAGGGCTCGGTGGGCTGCGGCGCCGCGCGAGCAAGAGATTCCTGAGGAAAAGGGAAAAGACGTATATGGAGTGAAGACTGGTCAAGTTGAGAGCGGCATTGCGCTGGAGTTTTCATTCCTTGTTTATTCTTTGGGACGCATCCATTGCGCAGCTGGGACGGCCGTTTTTTTTTTGGTTGCTTACCGCTCCCGCTCCCGCTGCCTTTTTTTTTTTCTATCACTCCTCTTTTTTTTCGCTGTTCTTTTCTTTTGTTCTTGTTCGAAAAGTTAGAGACAGACGGACGTCTCGGTGATGTTGGGTGGGCGCGACTTCCTTCCTAGCATTGCACTAAAAATCTCCTTTGAGCGCGGTGGAGACGATGACATTTGGCTTCTTGTACCATAGAGTTGCATATACCCCTTGTAGCTAGCTAGCAGTGCGCGTGCGTTTTCGCATTGGCGATGAACATGTACGAATTTCACGATCATTTGTCACTCACGTGGTTCACTTTGCGTCCGGAGGTTTTTTTTTTTACTCCCACGACTTACCCTGACCTGCCCGCTTCGCACATCTATAATATCATAGCAGGACGCGCAGCACGAACGATATCACACCCCAGTCCCAGGCTTCGCAGTGTTCACATCATGATAATAGCGGGGGTGGGGCGGGTTCTCCATGCGTGCTGTGGCATTCTGGAGCGTGCGGGCGGGCAGTACGTGGCGAGTGGAGAGAGATGCTGGGATGGACTCCTGCTTGTGCAGCAAGCGTGGCCGGAGAAGCAGATGCGTGTTTGCACAGGACCCAGTACGTGCGAGGGCGCGAGTGAAGGTACCGGAGGTGGGTCGGATGATATGCGTCGTTCCTGATCAACTGGCTCGCAAGAGTCTGGCTGTATATGCGACGACGGGTGTGCAGTGAGTCAGACGAGAGAGGCATTGTGGATTCGCACGCGCGCACCGTCCCAACTTCTTCCTCTCAACAATATACAAAGACAAAAACTAGAAGCCACTTCGAGGCCCGGCTCAAAGAAACCGATGTCTCGATTTTTTGTTTGATTTTATTACTGAAACTTGGGTTAATGGGTATATATCGTGGTAAAATTGATGGTTGGATGGTTGTTCTTTCGTCGAAGACATCGCGGGGTGCGGATTCGATGATATATCTCTTTCTCGGACGGTGATGGTCGAGGGGTTAACTTGAATGCTAATACATACGAGAAAGTGGAAGGTAAAGCTAGATGTAGTATACAAGAGAGGTAACTCTAAGAAAGGCAGTGCCTTCCAAAAACCCATAGGTTCACCACCATGATGAATCTGTGACATTCGTGCTACTGTACCTCGGTATGCCATGCCACCTCAATGCCCAGCTCGTTCAATGATGTCTTCAGAGCTGCGAAATCAAACTCGTTGGAGTCCTCGTCCTCATACTCCTATAGATCATCAGTTAGTGAGTATGCAATGAAGGTGCAATAGCATCCACCTACCTCTTCTAGGTCCGAATTCGCGTCTTCATCATCGTGTTCAAGTTGTGACTCCACCACGAATCCTGCGTCCCAGTTATCTCGTACGAGGACTACTTTCCGAAGCTTCTGTACGCCTCCATCCTCCCGGCTTTCAAGTAACGCGCCAAGAATATCAGATGCGACCGACAAGCTTGCTGCTCTGATCCACAGGCTCTTCAAACGGCTGGTGAGGATGTACAGTATAGCCGGGTTCAAGTGTGGCCAGTCGAGTTCTAACCTAATCACCGAGATGCTCTTCTTAAGAAACTCATTCAACGCGTCGAGAGTGTCTTCATCGGGTGCATGTGACGAGCGGAGGGATAATGTTGAAAGGGTCTTGTGGCTGTGAAGGGAGCCGAGGATCTCCGATGTGAAGAATAGCGCCGATGACGCAGCCGAGGGCACGCGTTCGCTGATGGACAGATACGCCAATTGGTCGACTGAACGGAGAACTGATGCGTCGAATGACTGGATTTTGGACGTGAAGTTGCTGTGTTGTCCACGTGTTGGTGTTAGCAGGCCAGGCTGGGATACGATCGACATGCGCGTCAAACAAAGTCTTGACAATAGTGCGGCAGTCTCGGCGGGCTCCGTACCGCAAAAGCCATCAAAGGAGAATGCGGTCAGCGCTCTGAGGTCATTTATAACACCAAGGCTCTGGGCATGCATGTTGCCCTCTAATGCCAGGTCTCGCAGCAAAGGCCAGTGAGATGCGATCATGTGCAGCGCCTTTGCCATAAAATCTTCGTACAAGTGTGTCTGTCGGCCACTAGTCGCCCGGATGCTCAGAGTTGTGATGTTCGGAAGCTTCGTAAAAGCTTGATCGAGTCTATCGAGCTCTTCCTCGTATAGCTCCCATGTTCGAAGGCTTCTCGTTCGCCCGTGACTGTCGGCGGATCGATCAGAGACCAATAATGGTGTCAGATCCACATCCTGGAGCTCAAGAGACAGCTCATGAACGTCTTGCAGTACGTCTCGTGGTCTTCCTTCCAGCCAGTCGTTCAGAGCAGCTTGGCTCCGGAAGACGATAGGTCTTTGGTACAGGAATTTTCGTGCTTCCGTATTTATGTCGTGGCATGCCTGTAGGATTTCTGGGCCCTGTGAGGGATCTAGAAGAATGTATTTGTAGATGAGCTCTCGTAACTCCAAAGGTAGAGCAAACAAAAGAGTGTTTTCGTTGCTCATCTCGCCCACGATGATGCGTGACAGCTAAGCTGGAGTGAGTGAACTTTCAATTTTTGGATTGAGGGCATGTGAACTTACTGGAGACCAGGTCTGCATAGAGTCTTGCCGGAAGAGAGAGTGAGCAACGCTCAGTAATCGGCCTGTTCAACCTTTGCTGTTCACTTTGCCACTTAACTTCGGTCGCTTGGTTGTCTTGGTCAATCTGATATAGCAAAAGGCCATACAGGAAGATCAACTAATCCCGGTAGATCGTTTGGATCAAGACAAGTCTATGTTAAATTTACGACGTATCGAGCTATAGGGCCAGCATGGCCATTTAAAGACCGCCCGCGTTATGTGACTTGTCCCTTGAATGAGCTGGATCTTGGAAACGGCAGGGGCCATTCGTTTCCCCTGTTTTAGACCTAAATGGATATTTCCCATCACCGTCTCGTTTGTATCTGGGCCATAAGCACTGTATTGGTACTAACGGACCTGGATTGACAACGACCGGGCACAATCGGCAGCCGAAGTTGTGGCGTTTGTCATTCCGCAATGGGAGAGCGCCAGACACAGGCAGGGTTCGTCATGGTTTACAACTGTGAAATTGTGAAGTCAAAAAGGAAACAAGCATTAGAGCCTGACTTGGGCTGGCTCCCCGCTGGACGTAGGCAAGGAAACTCTGACAATAAAACAAGCCAATAAGCCAGGGGTATTGCGGCGCCATTGATGTAATTCCAGATACGCGAGCCTGACTTGATCGCGCGGAATCGCTAGGATTGGAGCGTGCGCAGAGCAGGGTGCGTTAAACGAAACCAGGCAAGGCCATTTGAGGTTCTGCAATCGAGATGGCCGGCTGGCCTTGCTCCTTGGGCATCGCGAGAGAAGAACGTCGTACGACAACGAACCATTATAGAACCACCGAGGACCACTCTGGCCGTGTTGACAGGGTCTGGAAATAATTGCTTTTGCTACTCCCAGACACTCCCTGCATGGCCCGATTCATTATATACACTAAGAAGCGATTGAGCATTTCCAAGGTTGCGGCACATCGCCGCTGTTGGTCATAGATCAGCTGGTCGGTCAACGTGAATCACTTGGTGGATCAACGATGCTCGAATCTCTGCACGTCAGCGCATTGGACCGTTTCTAGAAGAGAGTCGATGTCCATACAATCTGGAGACTCTCCGGCTGCTTGCTTCTGATACACAGCTCGATCTGAACCCGCGTCGGGCTTTGGTTGCCATCGTGGCTTCTATCTCCCTTAGGCTGAAGGGGTGGGCGCAGTGGTGAGGGACTGAAGCGAAGAGTGGCGTCGCATGGATGATCGCATTCGGAACTGCACCCTGGCAGTCGTGTAAATCGCCCGTTTGCGGTGGCTTGGGGGTAGCCGATTAGGGCGGTTGATATTCTGCCGCAATTCTAGACGTAACCCCGGAGAGTCGTACGATGCGTGACTTTGACGTATGTCGCATACTAGAGGCCTCCACCAATTGCATCTTGAGATGATAGTCCCGAAGAGGTGGACTCGTCTCGATTGCGGTGATGCTGAGGGATGTGATAACCTGTGGCTGGGATTGCATGCGGTGCAGTGTATTTACAGTGCTTTAGCGTGTGCACTAAACTTGCTCCGTCGCTGCTCCCCCATTAGACCCTCGCGGCGGGAAGCCCAAGGTGCATTTCTCGAGCTCTGCCTACATTCTCCCCTGTGATCACAGGAGCAACACGCTCTATGGGCCTTGGTGAGGCACGATGCGAAGGGTATGTTCGCGGGCGCGTGATCAGGGCCGATCATTCCCCGATACCCAGTGTCTTCTTGCGCGGTACACCATCTGACCTACCTCAAAAGCCTTGCGGTTGAGAGCAGTGCTGTTAGCAGCCACAAGTCAGCTGCTGAGTGGGCGACCCTCAGCCTGCCGACGCCACAAGCGGTAAAGACACGCGACCTGCCACATAACCGCATGGCTCTCTAGGGTCCATCTCTGTCAGCCCATTCGGGCCGCCCAATCCCGACTGGATTCCATCATGAATGGAATCAACGCAGTTTGGAATGCCAGCAAGCCGCCCTGTACATGGGCACGCAAGCCACCCATGCTGATGGTGCCTTCACACTTTGACAGGCTGTCTTTCCATGTTCGGTTCGCGCTATACTCCACAGCACCGACCGAAATAACCAACAGCTACTTTCCTGAGAACATCGCATATTTTTGTCCGGTGGAAAATAGCTATCATGTCTCGGGTTATTTGGAGGACTCATCGATAGCTGGGCATGTGGATGGCGTCGTACCATACCAACATATTTGTATAGATATGAAAGGTTTCATAGTCAACGATCCCTCAAGGCTCGCACGAACCTCCGATACACATACTGACAGGGTAAATATCCTGTATACAACTGGTCTCACGGCCTTGTCAGTTTCTCGCGATATGTTGGCCGGGCATCGTCCTCCTTTACCTATGCGGTGGTCCTTCGAACAGTCATCAAGCAAGTAAACCGATAACTGTGTATCAAACATACAGCATCAAACTGCTCAGATCCCTCGAAACAATCCAGAAGCCTTCCACAGCACGTGGCAGTACGAGACCTAACGCCTCCATATGTTCGAGCCGAGTCTGGAAGACGCCACCAGTCACACCCTGAACCAGCACACTTTTGTAGCTCCAAAGGAAAGGACCTTAGCGAGAACCGGTACTGAATTCGTTTATTACGGCTAGATAGCCATATCCTTTCGTTTATCGCAAAGACGATGTGATCTGGATTTCACCTTCAGTGAGACCTTGCTCGCACGCCGGCTTGCACACACGTGGAAAGCATGCTTCAGCTGGAGGCTTCGTCAAGAAAGTGCCGCCACTCAGTGTTCTCGAATACGATCGGACACCGTCAACCAGTAGTATTGAGCATAAGGTCTTACACTGCCCGACACGCCCTGTTCATGCGGGTGACGCTACACCTCGTGGCCGCCACCTCTGAGAGGATGATACAAGTCTTATGCTCCTTGAGACTCAGCTGGGGCTCACCTCATTTGGAAATGACTGCGAGCGATCCCAAGATCACAGCTGCGCTTACTGGCCCCGCTTGCGGAATGACGCAGACCCCGCGTCTTTCACCAGCTTGAAGCGTGTACAACGTAGAATAGAAGAAACCACCACATCGTGGAAACCTTCAAGAGGCGTGGCATGGAACGCTAGCTTGAGGCTTGATATTCTGAAGTCTAGTTTACGCAACCCGAGGACGGTCAAAATCGGGCGTAACAGTAACTCCAACCCAAGAGTGAAAGTACCACATTCAACTCGTCTTGTTTCATAATCTTGATGACCACCAGCAACGCTAGTTGCTGGTAATGAGTTCTATTAAAGCCTCGATGTTTGTTTCGTCAACAGACTCTAACCAATGATCTTCCGTCTGTCGAGGAAGTTTCTATCGCCTGCCAACCATCATAACTACAGCCAGGGTGTGCCATCCCGGCACGTGGAAGCCCGACCGTACAAGTGTACACCTCGCCAATACCTGCCTGCCAGTGCGTGTCTCAAATTGTCCACGTACGCCTATCCATACCTCGCCTAGAATTGCTCTCCATCGCCAAAATTCAGGTGAACTAGTAAGCCAGTACATGGCATCCGAATGCGCGCAGAGTCCAGCCGCAGGGCCCGACGGGAACATCCAAGTCGGTCCTTCGTCAGACGTGAGACGAGTTCGTTCAAACACATGCAACCGATACTGCAGCCTCCACGTGGTGGGCCAGCCCGTTCCGCACAAAGCCGCACGCGAGACGGGCGCGTTGGTCGCACAATCACTCTAGCCTTACCGACCCGTAGCTCTGGTTCGAGGCCTTGTAGGGACAGCCATGTAGTACAACCGCCACAAACAAAAGCCTCAATCAGGACCACTGCTTCGCAACGCCACAGGTTGCAAGTCATTACCACAACCGACAGGCGGACTCGATTACCATCACTGACTATAGCGCCACTAATAGCTCCACGATGCCCTTGTGTCCTAAGTGCTGCCGTTCTATCTTCTCTTGGAAATCATGTTTGGCCAAATGGAACAGCCTTTGTCGTACAAGCGCCACAAGCAATCCACGTGGTACAACCGCCAGTCACATCCGCTCGCAGCACATGCGGAAACCTTAAATGCAGGCGCTGCGGGATCGCCGAGTGGTTGGCTACGGCTTCTTTTGCCCAACCCAGGGATCGTACGATGTGTAGTTCGCTCCAGCGTCCTCAGTCCAAGTTCGTCGTATATGGGAAATGCTCGTACCCACCCCTCAGCACCACAAGCACGATGCCTCACCCTAGAATCGTACGATGGTCGTTCACGCCCAGCATCCTGGTTTCCAGACGCGGTTGCCATGGAATTCACACGTCCTTTTCCCGAATACGATGTTCGTAAGCGACATTGACTGCAAAGTGGTTCGCGCCGAACATATGTGATGCTCTTCCGTTCTAGCGTGTTTTCTACCAAACTCGATGTGTGTGGAGACCACACACATTCTCCCCCGGGATAGTCTTTCCCATTCACAAGCATGCGCACTCACCCTCTACCGTCGCCTTCCCGAACTACATCCGCACACAGGTGGATGGAGTGCGCTGGTACCCACCACGTTCCCGTCCCTCAGGGCTCCGCCTGCCTTTCCCAGCTGCATGGCTGCGATGCGAATTTGACTCAGCACATAGCACGGGTGCGTAATGCATTCCAGCGCGTACGCTCGCTTCGTCGTTCTCATTTCCAGTTCCGCGAGATGGACTGGTTCACGCAGAGCAGATGCCCACCGTAGTCCCGCCCTCGGTCATGCTTTCCTGGCATTGTACGGACCAGCATGTCAGGCGAACTCCACGTCACGGTAGCCCTCCATCCCTTGTCCCATGCTTGCGTCTACCCGCGCCCGGCGCTCCTCGAGACTCTGGAACCCCCTCAATGCATCCATCGCCATTGTTGCCGGGACCTTCGCCACGCCGTCTTCCTGATTCTTTTGTAGTGAATATATGCACGCGTGGTGGTAGGGGATATCTCACAGCCGCGTCGCTGCTGGACTTCCCGACAAGGAGCCATGCTACCGTGCCGTGCTGTTCACTTAGCCCCTCTAACGTCACGTCACCCTAAGGCGGAAGTAGAGCACACATAGATATATGAAACACATGATTACCGATCGTCCTCGATCCTACCTGCTCGCTCGCTTCGCTAGTCTAGTCCCGCACAGGTATGAATGGAGATGCATCTGAAGACACAGATAGTTGTACACTGGAAGCAACGGCTCCACGCTAGCTTGGTACCCACATCATCGCTCGCGAATAGAAGGTTCCTCATCTTTTGATACAAATGCTCGACTCAATCCAACTTCATCCAAAACCGCCCCCTTCCTCTGGTGTCCATAAGTCTAAAAAGGTGAACTTCATCCTGCAAGCCCCCAACCGTCCCCGAGAGCGCGCTTATACGCGCAGCAGCTTCGCGGCATACGATGTGATGAGTCCCTCGGTGGGGAAGCTCATCTCCTCGAGCTTCTGGGCGTACGGGGTGGGGACCTCAGCGCCGGTGACACGTGCAGGCGGTGCCTTGAGGTAGTCGAAGCCGTACTCGCAGGCGAGCGCCATGATCTCGGAGGCGACGCCAAAGGATGGGTAGCCGGACTCGACGACGAGGAGGTGGCCTGTCTTCTTGACCGACTTGATGATGGCTTCCACGTCGAGCGGCTTGATGCTGCGCAGGTTGATGACTTCGGCCTCGACGCCGTACTTGGACTTGAGCTGCTCGGCGGCGACAAGCGACTGCCCCACGCAGCGGGAGAGGGTGACGATGGTGAGGTCCTTGCCGGGGCGCTCAATCTTGGCTTTGCCGATCTGGAGGGGTATTAGTGGGAGAGTCGAGGGAAAGGGAGGGAGAGACGTACGGGAATGACGAAGTCGTCTTTCTGGGCGGCTTCGCTCACGGGGAAGGAAAGCCCGTAGAGGAGTCTGTGGTGTGTTAGAGAGCGCTTAGCTAGACTGCTTTCGGGGCGAGTTACTCGTTCTCCAGGACGACGACCGGGTTGGGGTCGCGGATGGCAGCCTTCAGGAGACCCTTCGCATCCTCGGCGCTGTACGGCGCGACGACCTTCAGTCCGGGAATGCTTCCGTACCACGCACTGTAGTCCTGGGAGTGCTGGGCACCGACACCGGAAGCGAAGCCGTTGGGACCGCGGAAGGTGATGTTGCAGGGCTGGATACCGCCGGACATGTAGTGCGTCTTTGCGCCCGAGTTGATTATCTGGTCAATGGCCTGCATGGCGAAGTTGAAGGTCATGAACTCGCACTGCCGTGGCCGTTAGTCGCGGGCACGCTCAAGGTCCCCAGCACGGGCGGTACTCACCACGGGATGCAGACCCGCCAGCGCAGCACCCACACAGAGACCGGCGAAGCCAGACTCGGTGATGGGGCTGTCGATTACCCTCCTCTCGCCGAAGCGGTCGAGCAGACCCTTTGTGACCTTGTATCTGTGGTCTCGTCAGCGCGAAATTCGCCGAAGCGACACCTGGGCGCCGCGCAGGGCCAGGGAGCACGCTCACAGCTTCGCACAAGCCGCGAGCATGCTCCCATAATTCCCCGACGCCCAATTGGCACGCATGGAGGGCAACGTACGCGCCGTTGTACTGCGCAACCTCCTCACCCAGCACGAAGACCTTGTCGTTTGCCTCCATCTCCTCGGCCATGGCCTCATTGAGGGCCTCTCGCACCGTCATCTCCTTGCTTCCTCCATCGGAAGCGTATCTCCTGGCGACAATAGACGGGGTGACGGCCTGGGGGCGGAACGCGGGTCGGAAAGCAGGAGCAGCTGGGCGGGCGCCGGACAGCAGGCGGGCTGCCGGGCGGAGGAGCCTGGAGGCAGCCATTGGAGCGGCGGGATGGGAGGGAGAGGTAGAAGGGAGCGAAGGCCGCGGGCGAGAGATGGCCGGTTTGGGGGGGAATGCGGGAGGTGTTGACGGAGGTCAAAAGATTTGTTCTGAGGTCGGGATCGGGTTCGATAGTTGCTGGGTCCGACCAAAGCACGCTAACAAAGCTCCAACACCCCGACTGTTGGCCGCGCTGGCTGCACGCCTGTCCCAACAACAGCGCGACAGATGACAGGTGCACCACGAGCTTGTTCTCTGTCTCTCAGTGCACCGCGGCTGGCAACCAAGACTGCAATTCTTGTTGCAGGCTTCTGTCTGTGCGCAGTCGCGACGAATTCTCAGATTGCAGGTGTGCAGATGTTTCGTAGAGCGGGTTACCGCAGGATCAGGAAGTCGCCAGAATCCACGTTTTTTGTAACAGCGGTGCATTGCGCCGGGGTACTCTATCAGCAAGTTCAAGTGCACACAGGTACCACGAAGTGCATAGTTCTCGTTCACTCTGCGCTGCGAAGAGCCCAGGTATTAGCTCTATATGCCATGCCTGTCTATGCTAACCGTCACTGCGTTGACATTACTGCAGATCGCCCTACTGATAGCCCATTATTACAACAAGATATAGTTGCAAGTGCTCAAAATTCTCTTTTTGAGATGCACCAATCCGAAAACCCGCAGACTAGAAAAGAAGAAAAGAGAAAGCGACCATCTACGCCTCCGGCTTGCGGCCAACCATCAGGTACATGGGCGTGAAGAGCTTCTGCTTGCCGCCAGCAACGAGGCAGTCGGCAGCGAGCGCAAGACTGTCGGCAGTCTTCTGAGTTCCCTTGGGCGCAATACCGACCATCTCGAGGGCACCGACGAACCTGTGGACAAAGCCACGGCCGATCTTGGTCATTCGCAGGATCGTGGGAACGTCGCCGATGGTCTGGATGTACTTCATCTGGCCAGAAAGCGGCCAGTACCACGGAGCGGGGTCCTCGTCCCGGTCGGCCAAGTCCTCGTGGTGCTCCATGACGAAGCCGGCGGCCTTCATGGCCTTGAGGGCCACCTCGATCTTCTCCATGTTCGAGATACCGTCACCAATCTCGATACCGAGACGGATTTCGCGGTGCTCGGGGTTGTCGTTGTCGTACTTGTCGGTCATGAGCCACTCGTAGACGCCAAACACACCGCCGGGCTTGAGGACGCGGAAGATCTCGCTGTAGATACCCTCGAGGGACGGTGCGTGCACGGTGGCCTCGATGGCGTAGACAGCGTCGAACGAGTTGTCAGGGAAGGACATTTGCTGTTGCAGGTCAATGCATGTACAGTGGAGGGTGTCAGGATGGAACATACCATGAAGTCGCCCTTGGTGTACTTGAGCTTGTGCGAAAGACCCTCCTTCTCAGCGTACCGAGTGGCGCGCTCGATCTGGTAGTCGTTGTTGTTCAGACCCACAACGTTGACGTTGGCGAACTTGACCATTTCTCTGGCAGGTCCTCCGACACCGCAGCCAACGTCGAGCACGCGCATGTTGTCGGTCAATCCCATCTTGTGCGCCAGGTAGTGCTCGTGGCGGGCAATGGCCTGGTAAAAGGGCTCGCCGTAGGCAAAGCGGCAGAAGTGGAAGCTCTGGCCCCAGCCGTACTCGTACAGGTCGGTCGCGAGGTTGTAGTAGTGGCGGGTGAGGGTGGCATACTCATCGCGGCGAGCCTGGATATGTTAGCAAGCCCAAGGGCAAGTGCGTGTACAAGCAGCATACCTTGCGCGTCTCCTCTGTCTCGTCGGCAGCGGCTTTGTTGTCCCAGTGCTTGAAGTACTCGTCGACAGCAGCCTGCTGGGCAGCCTTGTCCTTTTTCAACATGGCTGCCATACCGCCCTGGGCCTGGGCAGACTTGCCGTGCATGGCCTTGTTGAAGTTGGCATCGCGGGAGTGGTCCTCCTTCTCGAGCGCAACGGGAGACATGTTGAATGTATAGGCAAGGTGTTAAACCGAGACGAACAATTGGAGAAGAAAAAATTAGTGTATGGGAGGAAGCAAAGCACAATTGCCTGTGGAGTGGTAAATACAGCGCAGGGAACGGCCCTCTTAAGGAGAAAGACCCTCCTGGAGTAAAATCAACGGCCGGTATAGAATGGCCCCTGATTGGCGGGGCGCGGGATACGGTGTAAACGGCGCTAGTGTGAAATTACCACCGCCACCGGCCAAGACATCCAGTGCTCCGCTTCGTCACATCGCGAGAACAGCAACCAAGTCCAACTACGAACGCTGCTGCGCCCCGCACCGACGACGACGCTCCACATAGAAGCAGAAGCGGTCGCATCCTCCTGCAGAAGCCGTACGATCTTTCGCTCCCACGCGCGACCGCCTCTCTCACCGCGACATGCCGCCGCAAATCAAGCAGGACCTGAATCGGTCGGGCTGGGAGACGACAGACTTCCCGTCCGTGTGCGAGCGATGCCTCCCGGACAACCCGTACGTGCAGATGCTCAAGGAAGACTACGGAGCTGTAAGTACCCGCCTGCTTCTTCTGGTGTCTCCGGACCCGGCTAACAAATCTGCGCAGGAGTGCAAGATATGCACCCGTCCTTTCACGATATTTCGATGGAAAGCCGACCGCACGGCGCGCCAGAAGCGAACAAACCTCTGCCTGACATGCGCACGCCTCAAGAACTGCTGCCAGTGCTGCATGCTGGATCTGTCATTTGGACTTCCCATCGTAGTTCGTGATGCCGCGTTGAAGATGGTCGCGCCGGGTCCCCAGAGCGACATCAACAGGCAGTACTACGCGCAAGAGCACGAGAGGGAGATCGAAGAAGGCCGGGGAGCCGTCGAGGCCTACGACAAGACCGATGAGAAGGCGCGCGATCTGTTGAAGCGGTTGGCGCAAAGTGAACCCTACTACAAGAAGCAGCGGCGGCAGGAAGCGGAGGGCGAGGGTGCACAAAAGGCGCTTCCTGCGCCTGGAGGAGAGTCCAGCTCTGCGGGTGGACACACACCAGGGCCTATAAGAACGAGAGACTCGAGAGGTCCGGCCAGCGGCCGCGGTGGGATGCGACCAGGGCGCGGCGGACGCGTGGGTGGAGCACCAGCAGCACCAAGTCCCGAGGACTGGTTGCCCCCGAGAGATCCCAACGTTGCGTCACTGTTCGTGACTGGCGTCGAAGACGACCTGCCCGAGCACGAGATCCGTACACATTTTGCACAGTACGGCAAACTTCGGTCGGTCGTATGTTCACATCGCGCGCATTGTGCATACATCAACTACGTCCAGCGGAAGGATGCGGAAACCGCGGCAGAGACGCTGAAGGGCAAGGTAGTCATCAAAGGCTGCCCGATGAAGGTGACCTGGGGCAAGCCGAAGCAGCTGGATAGCCTGGATCAGAACGTCCGGATGATGTACGCGAAAGAAGGCAGGCAGGCGAGCGGCAGTGCCAGACGCGCGCAGGCGGCTATTGAGGCGGCGCCCGAGGCCAGCCTTGACAGTCTGGCAGCCATTGCGCCACCGCCAGGAGCAGACGATGAAGTCAACTATGCCAGTCTGGCTGGCAACTAAGCATGTATTACATTTGTAGCATTGGTCGGCGTTCAGGGCGGGTATCACGATTCGTATTGGACGGAGAAAAGTTCAAGCCGAGCAGCATTTGGTTCCTGCTAATGTATTCCCCTTCCCCTTCCCCTTCTTGATATCCTCGTTGTCCCCGCGCTCGGTATGCTCGTGGATATTGAGCTCTGATAGATGGCATTAGCAATTGCAATATCAACGACTGCGAAGCCGCAAGCGCTTCGGAACATACTGTAGCTGCCTTCCGTATCCATTGCCTCTCCCTGCACCACGTTCTCTCGTAGAAACTTTGCCACCTCCTCTGCGTGTGTGATTTGCTTGGAGTATTCCTCGCTGCCGGTGGCGAGCCCGCGGTTGTTCTCAAAGTTCTTGCGCACTTCAAGACGTGCGGCGGAGAGCATGCGTGTGTCTCCTGCTCCAGCTGTGAGCGTCCGATTCCATCTGCTTCAAGACTTGCGGATCCGTCACCAACCTCGGAACGCGATGCGCGTTGATCGCAAGAGATTTCTGTATGCTGCAATGGCCATCTCGTGCGACATGGGAACCGGTCCTGGAATGTGTGAGATGCTAGGGGCGATGGCGAGAAAAGTCGCGGAGGCCAATGTTCACTGACAGGGATTGCGGTCCCTGCAGCCGCGTAGTCAGCTGAGCTTCGTCGACAAGTGACGTCGCAGCCAACACTGCTTTACCTTTCTTCCCCTCACCCACGCGACGATGTTAACGCGTCCTTGACTATACTCTGGCGCCCGAGGTGCGCTGATAAACTTACACAATGGTCTCCTTCTGGCCGTTCAAGGTACGCAAAGCTTTTTACTGCGTGTCCTGTTTGTGTGCTGATGAGGCAGCAGTCCAGCGAGGACCAAGCGTACTTCGAGAAGACGCTTTCGACGCTCTCTGGGAAGATTACGAGGGCTGCTGCGAGAAATGATGCCGCGAGGCAGAGATCTAGGCGTATCCGCGTCATGTGGACGCTTTGGGCTGGCTTTGCCTACATCTTTGCGGCCCTGTTCTGGTCGCTGGTAGTGGGCTACAAGAATTGGGGACGCACAGAGTATACCGCGGTTGCTGGCGGACCGGTATTGTATGCATACTCACAATCTTCATAGCTTGGTGTTTGAGAGGCTGACCGCATCCAGGATCTACATCGTCCGCACCACGACGACCCGTTTTTACGACTGGCGCATCTCCAGCACAGAAGCCTACATCAAGAACCTCAGCAAGGAACGCGAGGCAACGATTGAGCGGCTGAAGGAATCCACCAAGTGGAATACCACGCAGCAGCTTCTCGAAAAATACGGCGGTCAACCGCAGAAACCGAAGGCACCTGCAGACAAGAAAGATGCCCCCCAGAAACCAGCTCCAGCACCTGGACCTCGCACCGGCATCGCACCCCCGCCCACGGCAAACATCCAACGCCCCTCCGACAAGCGTCCAGCAACACCACAACAACCTGTCTCGGCAACCCCTCCCCAAAACCTTTCACACCCACCCGCTCTACCCTCTTCCGAAACCCTCAGCGCTGAATTCGCTCCCAACGCATTCTCCGCCCCCGAACTCACAAGACAATACACAGCCTCCTCCGCCGCTACCTTTACGCAGTCCCACTGGTACGACCGCATCTTGGACGCGCTCCTCGGCGAAGACGAAACCCAACCGAAGAACCGCATCGCGCTTATCTGCACGGAATGCCGCCTCGTGAATGGACAGGCGCCGCCGGGCGCCCGCACGCTCGAGGATGTTGGCCGCTGGCGGTGCGGTGGGTGCAATGCGTGGAATGGGAAGGAGAAGGTGGAGGAGGTGGCCGTGGAGCGGCTTGTGCAGGAGTGGGAGAAGGAGCGCCAGGCGAAGGAGGAGGGAAAGCCGATTGAATCTTCGAAGAACCAGGAGATGGAGGATGTCATTACATTATCAGGTGGAGACGAGGGCTCGGGCGTGGATGTCGCGGACGAGTCTGTTGATGAGGCGCCTGTGCGGGAGCGCACGACGAGGAGCAAGTCCAAGGCGAAGGGGAAGAAGTGAGAGGGATAAGGGAGGTTCGAAAGAGGCCTGGTCTGGTGTGGGCTGGTTTCCTTGAAGCGATCTATCGATCGTCTATCAAAGCAGCATACACTTCTGCCAACGGCTATATTCTATCGCCTTCTCTTAAGCGTTCAACAGCATCAAATACCAGTCTCCAAACTCGATCGACCTCGCGCGTTATAACTTGTTTTCATCGCCCAAACATGACTTGGTCACATAAGCGAAGTACGATTCTCCGCTGTAAGCTGTAGTGCGGCTTATCACGCCCCACCTCGCTCTCCAGCACCCTAATTACACCAACACCACGCGGGCGCTGGACAACACCTGCGCGCCGGTATAATTTGACACCTGAATCGAAAGCTGACTCAGACCTAGCACGCAACAGGCAGCTCCGCGTGTAATGGCGTGAATATCAGCGCCGGGCGTATCGTGCGTGTGCATCCCGCGCGCCCTACAAGTACTTACATCTTGGCTGTTCGCCTGCGTCCTTGGGTGTTATCCCGTTTGCATGCATGTATCCTTATATATGATATCCCTAGAATCTTGTAACACTCAGAATCTCCAAATCACAAGCGTTAGTTCTCGAGGTTCGTTCGTTCTCCAGCAACATGATCCTCATCATCGGCGCCGGCATGGCCGGCGTAACTCTCGCGCGCTTCTTATCCAGCAGAAACATCCCCTTCCGCATCTTCGACCAGCAGGCTGAATTCAAGAACCAAGGCTTCGGGCTCACCCTGCGCGCGGACACGACGCAGAAACTACTCCCCCTGCTGGGGCTCGAAGAGCAGGAGTTCGGGACCAGCGTCGCTGTAGACCGCAGGACGGGCAGGACAAACACCTTTCTTGCAGACGTCGAGACCGGTGCGCGCTTCGCGGCGGCGAGTTTCAAGGAGGGCGCGAGCGCGAGGGATTGGCGGACGAATCGGGAGAGGTTGAGGGGTGCAATTTTGGGGGATGTAGCGGGGAGGGTGGAGTATGGGTGTAAGATGGCGTCGTTTACACGCACATCCTCTGGCGTCCGCGTGGTGTTCGAGAACGGGATGGATGTGGAGGGCACGGTGCTGGTCGCTGCGGATGGCGTGCATTCCTCGATCCGCTCCAAGCTGCTGCCGCAGTGCGTGCCACAGGACTGGGACGGTGTTATGTTGAACGGGACGTGTCGCTTTGGGGTGAAAGAGTGGAATCAGAAGATTGCGCCGCATATCGGGGATGTGGCGGTGTATCCAGGTTTTGCGGACCAGAAAGTGCTGGCGATTACTATTTACGACGCCGACTGGGATCTCGTTGAGGGGTATGTGGATGTGTCGTGGGGGTATTCAAGGCGGAGAAGGGTTGGGCACGACCCGCTGTTCGTGCGGTACGCGGACCGCAGCTTCGATAAAGCAAAGGCGCCCGAGGCATTCTGGGATGAGATTGCGGCGCTGCCGGCAGGTTTAGTGGAGCCTTTCCGTACGGTATTTGAGGGGATCAGGGAGAGAGGAGATCGGACGATTCATCATCAGCTGGTGAGCTTGCTGGTGCCGAAGGAGGATCTGCTGGAGAAGCTTCATTCTGATAGGGTCGTGTTCATTGGGGATTCGGTGCATGATTGGAGTAACCATGCGGGGACGGCCGCGAATGCGGCAATCCAGGACGCGTTGGCGCTGGGAGAGGTTCTGGACGGGAAGAAAGCGTTAGAGGCGTATTATGAGGAAAGGTATCCGGCATGGCTGGGATCGTATGACAAGAACGGAGAGGACTTTCAAGCGTTGCATAGGCCGCTTAAGGAGTGGAAGGCATTGTTGGATCATCAGAAGATGGATCGGGAGAAGGCGCAGGTGAAGAGAAATGTTGCGCAGCTTTAGAGTCACCTATTATAAACACATCATACTTGAGGTGTCGTAGGAATAAGAGCTCATCAGATGTACTTCCATACTCAAGGTATTGTAAGACGTAGGATAAAGGAACACACAATTTGTCCTGGAAGGTACGTCTTAGACAACACTTCTTCCTGCTGTTATGGTTAGGTGTCTCACATCACTGCACAGGTTCGAAATCGCTTATATCATTTTCATTCTCATTGTACGTACATCCCCAGTAACAATGCTAAACAATACAAAAACCGCTGTCAGCCTTTTAAGGAGTAAATCAGTGTCAATAAGACGGTGAGTAGCCCCGGCTTCGTCCAGCAAGATGATGCTCATGAATATCCACGACTGACGTATCCAACATTCCTGAAACCATGATACGCCGAATTGCAGAATCTTAACCCGAATCTGAGCTCTGGCTACAAGTTGACAAAACAAAGAACAATGAAAAGAATGCCGATGGCTTCCATGAATTGAACATCGCCGGTTTGCCTTACAAAAGGTGTTAGAAGACTGATGATTTGATGAATGACTGTTTGGAGATGATCCCAATTCCGAAAAGTGTCGCTATATTGTTGTACAAGTGGTGAAGTGACAGTGTAGGCGATGGCGACCCTGTCAGAAGCGAACGAGCCCCCTCCTGGCTAGTCCTTCAACTCATCATCACTGTCAGGGAGTACCATCTTTTCGAAGTCATCCTGAACGTCGTCAGGATCGGAAACGGTGGCGCGCTTGTAAAGCGGCTTGTGATAGCGAGGATCTCGAACTTTCTCGAAATCAGGGTCTAGATGACGAGGGATAGATTGTCGGCGCTCGACCTTGTTCCGAACTTCCAACTCTGCGAGGTTCTTGGGCCAGTTCTCGGCAATCTTGCGCTGTTCGAAGTAGTCGTGTGGCTGGGCACGAACTGTGCGAACTACGCGGGAAACGTTGCGGCCTACGCGGCTGGCCACGCCCACCGTCACCATTGCGGTGCTCTCGACAGCCGACATGATAGACTCGTAGTACAAGTCACGCGGTCCGTCTTGATTTTCGGTGGGCAATTGTCCGCCTGCTTGCTCTAACGGCTCTTCGGCGCCGTCCTTCACGTTCACCATGGCCCAATCATCTTCGTCAAGATCATCGTCAATGTCGACTGATTTATCCTGCATGATAGATCGGTCCTTGTTGAGGACGTAGTTACGTGGATCGCCCTTGTTGTACTGGACATCCGCCATCTTGTAGACCGGCTTCTTCTTCTCTGCCTTCCGAGCCTCGTTGAGGGACGTCTCCTCCGCCCACTGCGCAACATGCGCGGGAAGAGACTCCTTGTAGCCGAGCTTGATCGCTCCCATGGTAGCAGTAGTTGCTATGACTTTCGCAGTACCACGCGCGCCACGTCCGACCAATGTACCGACAGACCACATGGCTTTACCGACACCAGCCATACCAAGAGCGCTGCTGAAGGAAGATGCAGCGGAAGAGACGTTCTTGGTTGCTTCGATTGTGTCATACTTAGCAGCCTCGTACGTACCGGGGAAATGGTACGTCGGGTAGTCCGTCGACCCAGCATTGCCCATCTCGTAGTCGAGCATGTCCATGGACACGTCCGCGTACTCACCGTCGACGAGGTTCTCGTCGCTATCAATTGGGGACTTGGACGACTTGGGCTGAGCTGGTGCACGTGCGCTGCCACGCTTCAAGTTGCGACCAGCTTGGGCTTTCACCTGAGTGAACGTTGGCATGGGGGACGCGCCGGTGGGTGTTTCCAGCTTGGAAAGTGGAATGAACTTGGCATTGACCGTGTTTTGTGAGTACGGATGAGAAGCAATAGGCGTCTTTGGTGCAAGGGGCTGACGCGCACCCGTTGAACGCTCCCGAAGAGTCACCGTAGTAGAACCTTCAGGGATGTTCTCCTTCACGGCCGCGGCGACAGAAAGCTTCGTGGTGCGCTTTTGGACAGGCTTCTTCACAACCTCCTGAACATGGGACTCCAGGTCAGAGTCTAGCTCGATCTCCTCTAAATTATCTGCCAGCTGCTCCTCCAATGCCGAAACAGCAGGCTTAGCGACGGTAGGATCCGACACGATCACTGAGGCCTGTCGAATGTCAAAAGTTTTTGTCGTGGCGGAAACCGGATCAGCAACTGCAGGCCCCTCGAGGAGCTTCTGCGTCATGACTGGACCTCGAGACGGCGAATCTTCCCACTCGCCATCGTACTCGGGAGTCGTAACACCGTCCAACGTCTTCAACCAGTTGACTTCAGTCATGCCTGCAGACTTCTCAACAGATGAGAGTTTGACAGGCGTCTCGGACCAGACGGAGTGATTGAGATCCTTCTTGGTCGTAATCGAGAGAAAAACCGGTTTTTTCGACGCTTGTATCTCGGTAGAATTGCCATCGAAGACAGGGATAGGCGGATAGGCTTGATTTTTACCCTCCTTAACCCTAGGCTTCACAGCAGATAGACCCTTGGTCTGGGTGCCGGACCAGACGGAGTGAATGTCGTTCCTCTTTGTTGAGTCCGAGGCCGAAGAAGCAGCAGGGGAGTCTGGCAAGTTAATCAGAGGAGAATTGTCGTCGCCAACTTCGTCACCAACGTCAGGGATAGGCGAAGTGATCGTACCATCGCACTCCTGAATCATAGAGGTCGACATAACAAAGAGTTTGTATGTGAGATCGGCCTCTTTATAAGAGTCGTGCTCAGCGGTGTGCTCTGGTGGTTCGGTTGCTGAAGTTGTGCGCTTACCAGGTGAGTGGTCATTGGGTGAGCCAGGGTAAGAAGTGTCGAGTGTCTTAAGAGTAGAGGGCAGCGGCGCGGGCTCAGGGAAGACATTAGTATCAGCACCTTTCACTGTTATTCCAGCGCCCGTGCCCAAGATTTCACCTGGATTAAGGCCCGTGGTGTGGTCAAGAGGTGTCTCCTGCTTCGGGACAGCGGGCGCGGCCTGCAACGCCACCCAAGATGCATGCTTAGCATCATTATCATTCCCAGAAGCCACGTCTTTTTTCGGAGCACTAGGGAAGGCAGCAAGTCGTGCGTTAATGATCTCATCCGAAACTGGTTCCATCTCGGGCTTAGGAACTCCGTTCGGATAGAAGATGGCTTCCAACATCTCTTGGTCAGTCTTGGGTGGGTCACCCAGTCTCCATGGGCTCAGCTCTTTGACATTTCCGAGTGGGGCGCCACGATCTGCGAGTGCTCGATCCAGGCGCTCGTCGTTGGGATTATTATCATGCTCGTCCTCGAAGGGATTCATGTCGAGAGCCTTGGGACAACGTTCCTGTGAAAATCGTTTCGTCAGCGATCTACACGAGTCAAAAGAGGTTAGTATGTCTGCAAGTGTGGGATAGTAATGAAGCCTCAACATACTTAAGTGTGAAGGTTTCCTCGTTAGAAGTTAAGCAAGGTTCGAAGAAGGTTGCTCTGCCTCTGGGTCCACATTGACGATGTGCAAGCGAGCGAGCAGTGCGGCGAGAGGCTTCGACATTATAAAAGATGGGAGAGGCAAACAGCACGAGCCTTGAACGGAGAGACATAGGGTCTTGGCATTTTGTCACTCTAACTTTGATTCTCGAGGCGGTCCTGTGGCGCAGCAGATGTTGATGTGGTGTCTTTGAGTGTACGGGTAACAACCGAATACCGTACCTGGGAACTCGTGTACCGAATTGTATTGTTCGAAATGGCTATTTTATACCTAGGACGGAAAGTACTTCTCGAATTCGGACATCCTGAACAGACGCGCGGTCGCTTCGATTGTTTTCAGGAGATGCAAACATGTGGACAAAACGATGGGTTTGTACTGGTTTCACGACTTGTTATATCGTTTCTTCAGATGTTGGTATTCTAGTGTCTCTTTCTCCCCTTCAGTTTGGCAGAATGCACGTGTTTTCCGCAGGATGGCAATGAGCATGTAAGTGTCCATCACAATCACCCATTCTGTATATGTTGGAAGAAAAGGTACTGTGATAGTGAGAGCAGGATCATATATGGATTGATTTCTTTAGCCTCTGAATGTGCGCCCGATGCCGCTGACATTGTTTCCTCACGAATACTTTCACTCTATGTCCGTGCGCACCCTTGGGCCTATGGCATCCCTGCGGTGGTCGGTGAAGAAACCCCGCAGACTCAACCAGCATTGTATATACACATGAAACGCATAGTCACTCGTTCATAATCCGCTCATCTGCCCTCCGCTCGGAAGAGTAAACTGCGACTTGTTTTATCGTTGGCTATACGCCTCCTGCATACGCGCACGGATGCCGCAAGCCTGCGACAACACCATATTTACGAGCTATTCGGTCAATTAACATACAGGGACATCACCCCAGCATCTATACTCTCTTCTATCTATCTACCTTCGACTGCACATCCACACGACCAGTTCAAAGTTCGGGAGCGATGTCTTCCCCGGTCGATTACTCATTTGACGGCTTCTTGAGGCTCCTGAAGCAAGAGAATGCTCGTGAAATTTTGCTCACACTCGTTCAAAGTCCCAACTTCCAAGGCCTGAACGTTGCACCCCGTCTTGTAGCACCAGTCTCTCAGAATTTGACAGCAGATCTGAACCTGGCTCTAGCCACAGCAGCGTCTACGCCTCTTGTCCAAGCCCAGGCCGATAAGAATACACGAGACGTCTCTCAGGTTCCCGGAGCGCTGAACCTGGAGGAGATGGATGTACCTCGAGACGACGACAGCCGTCCGGATATCCAGCCTCTGAGTTCTCCAGTCCCCCAAAGCTCTACAGCCGATGCGGACTCAGCTCCATTTAATGCGGCGTCTGTGCCTCCTCAGCCCCTAGCTCATGTGCTCGCCTCAACTCTTCCTCAAACCCCAGCCAATCCGGGGCCTACACCTCTTGCCCAGGCTGCACCCACTGTGCCTACAGCGCCTCGCCCTTTTTCAGCTATCGATCGATGGGAGGAGGAGCAACGTGAATTTCGCCGCCGACAGGAGGAGGCAATCGAAATGGTGAATGATATCTCGCCGCCGCCCTCCCCAGTGTCTTCGGACTCTTCTGACGATGTTGTGTGGGACAATAGGGAAAATATGTTCGTTCCCAAATACGAGAAAGATTCGGCGAAACATCCGTTGATTTCTCTAGATCAATCGTTCACCGAGGGCCCGTTCAGACCTGCCATCGATTACGAACTGCACAAGATGCGGAAAGAAGATCGGGCTCGTGAGAAAGCTGAGCGTAAGATTCAGGAAAAGAACGATAGGGAGCGCCCCATTTTCGATTGGCTACTTATGGTTGGCAGGAAGAAAGAATCCGAGCCAGAGATACCCAATCTCGCGAGTATCAAGTCATTTATTTATGAGACTGAAGCTGTGGACAGCTTCATCAAAGAAAAGCGAAAGCGAAAGGACAAGGCCGATATAGAGGAAGCTGCCTGGAAGCCATCCATGCCGCCTTACAAGCGTCGCGCATCCCCTCCCAAAACGTCACTGGAGGCCGAAAAGAGGAATGACAATGGCATCGCAGACCAGGCTGGAGAGGGACAGGGCAATAAAGTCCCAGAAAATACTGGAAAGCAACAAGTCAAGGAGCCTCTAAGAGGGAAAGCCGATGTCGGTTCGCAGCCGGCTGAAAACAACCCCTCAATCTACATGAACATGACGCTGGAGCATGAAAAGAACGAATTGAAGCGGAAAGAGATGGATGATGGAGATGAAAACGAGTCTTCGCCACAGCCCCCCAAGAAGAGGCTGAAGAAGGTATCATTCGCTGAAACGCCCACTGAGGTGCGAACGATTCCCGAAGAAGAGGTCACTGTGGACGAAGACTCTTATCCGTGGCAGGAATCTGTAACAACTGACATCTCCCCCGAAGAGTTGTACGAGTACAGCGACGACGAGCTAGAAGCTGCGGACGGTTTGATGCAGCTCTCGCGAGAGTCAACCCTTCAGGACGTTCCATCGGAACTAGGAAACGGGGAACTTTCAGCTCCGCAAGCCCCTCAACAACCTTGGCAGCCTCCGCCCGAGGTAGAGAACCTGCGACTCCATGAGGCCAACAAGGCATATGGATTCAAGGCCACAAACATCTACCCTCCAGAGAGCGATTTGGTTAAAGTTGCTCCGCTTAGGACTCAGCCGTACGTTTTCGGGGGGGTACGCGAAGAGAACCCTCTGAAGCGTAAGGCAAAAGGGGAAGCTGGAGCCGCTCGTCCAGCAAAAGTCACAAAGACTCGTCCATGGAAGGATAAGGCCATTACCGAGCCTGTCCGCCGTTCAAGGCGAATTCAGGCGAAAGTCGGTCCCTTTGAAGATGATAGCTCAAGTGTTGTTGATGGACGAGGGGGTCCCGAATCTGCTACACCAACTCAAGCGCTTAATTCTGGCTTCGCTCCTGCCGTTGGCGCGTGTCCGCAACCTGGAACTACCCCCGAAGGCGCTTCTTCAAATCAGCAATCTGATTCGCCAAATCCAAATACCAGTTCTGAGACGGCGGGGACTCAGCAGACGACGGAACACTCGGAAGTCGTGCAGAAGCCTGACCAGCCCATGAAGCTATCTATCAAGCTTGTCAAGGCGAAGGCACGAGTGTCTGAGACTGCAGTGGTTCAACCAAGTACCGCATCTTCGATCACCGCGCGCGAAAAGCCTGGTAAGCTGGTTCTCAAGCTCAAGACCAAGACCGAGGCTGCAAGTCTACCTCCTGCTGAGGCTGCCGCCGAGGGCTCATCTACACACCACCAGTCCGGCACAACGGCCGCAGCGACTGTACCCGATCTTCTAAATTCTCAGCCGACCCCCGAACCATTGGTCACTGTGAAGCGGAGGCCTGGTAAGAAGTACCTCATGGTCAAGATTAAGGTCGGTGGCGCGAATTTGGAGCGCCTCATGCGGCAATAAAACTGGTCTCGCATACTAAGACATCCCTTATATGAACGAAATTAACGCCATATTCTCAGAGGTCAATATGGCAACGTACAAAGATTCCTCCCCAGCTAATATCCTCCAGACATTTTTTCCATAGCAACATCTACCACGGCAACATTGCCAGGAGCGATCAGATGGCGAATGGGATATTACTCTCTGCTCATATTGAGCGGAAGGTCTAGGCTTTTGAGCCTCCTTTTAGTCTCAAGATGCGAGTAAAGAGCCAACCTCCTCGTATCACCCTTCATCGAACGCAAGTTCCCAAAAAGATACACTTACATAAACAAGCCAAACCACAAATATGACTCTCTGCACGGTTGCGAGCGTGAAGTGTAGGCCAGGCCTCCTTTTAGCCTTAGGATCTCAGTAAAGAGCCGAACGCCCCTGTATCGTTTGTCGCAAGTTACCACCGGACGGAGAAGAGGCGGCATGCGCGCACCAATACCACCCTTCATACTAATCTTGAGCGTAGAGTCGAGCCTCTCCTCTTTTTCTCGAGACTGGTATAGGGTCAAGCCTTTCCGCATTGCTTTTCGTCAAACGTCGCGCCCACAAGAATGCCAAATTGACTTTTTATACGCTCTTGAACGTAAACTCGAGCTGCTCCTTTGGTCTTAAGACTGGCATGAACCGTCAAACCTTTTTGGTGGAGCTAACTCACCCTGGTGGATGTATCGATGTCTGTCTACTTGGGAGAAGGATGTAAGTTTGGAATCTTGGGTCTCGGAGAGGCATTGCGAATTGAGTTAACATCCGTCTCCTCGCGTTGCGTCCAACACTCAGTTACTTCAGACCCATTACAAACTGAGGGTTATTCTGGGAATACGGGATGAAGAGAATGAGATACTTGACACTATGCATGGTAGGCATCATCAAGTTGTTGTTTGATCTTGGGACGAGGTTTTGTCAGTCATTCCTACCGTGGGATTTTGATTGGTCGTGGGATTCGGGATTCCTGTTAATTGTTGGATTTCTCTTGTGGATTTCTGTACTGACTTCTGTACTCAAGGTGTTCGTTGCCATTTTTTGTTGTTTCATCAATAAGATCTTCCAATATGGTTCAACATTGTCCGTTCTATGAACGTTGAGTTGAATGCTAGCTATCTAATAAGATGGGTTGTTCTCCCCTCTCTGCTCTTACTTCCTAATGATATGATACATGCGACCATCATGCATACCCTCCTGTCTCTCATCGTCCTGCCTCTCGCACTCACCAGCAGCCTCCACATTCGAGCACCCAAGATATACGATGCCGTAGAAAGCGCAGTCCCAGTCACGAACCAGCCAGGGAACCTCAGGACTCCCGGCTGTGCCTGTATGCCTTTTTGATCTCTTCCCTCCCTACCCGCACGTTCAATCACTCGCTAACTTAACGCGAGTGAGATAGACGATGTCGCTGTGAGTGTGAATTAGGCGGTCGAGGTGGACGCTCGGTCCTTGACAAGAGAAACAAGGTAGTGGTGTATTGTTCTGGCGCCTAGAACAGGGGGGTCCGGATCCTGGTACTGTAATCTGGAACCCTCACTTCATATATCCGTCCGCCACTGCGTATGTCCTCTATGGCGTGCTATCCTCGTCCCCGAACGGTCAGGTTCCGATCCACTGCCTTCTTCTCTCTTCCTTGGTTCTCGCGTTTTGATCGAGAGACTTGTACGCGCTCGAGCTAGGCGGTCCCTATCAACCTGATCATTCTCATGATTGGCCCATCCATCGCATCCCTGATATGCCCCAATCACACTCAACACCTCACCCATTAGCTCAACGCCATCACCCTGGCTCGCCTCGAGACGCTGCTGCTGCGCCTTCTCCTCGGGCGTGAAAGACAGCGGGCATGGCGTGGAAGCGTAGCGCCTTGATGTCTAAGCCTGATTGAGAAACGAGAGGAACACTAAACAACCCCTCAGGAAATGGGGTGTATATTTGCGATGCGCACAACTACAAGACGTATCCGCTGTCGCCCTACTTGTATTCATCTACTCGGTACCCCTCTCCGTTCCTCTACAATCCTAGATCGCACCCAAACTCCTCACTACATCCGCATCTAACTCCCCCTTGTCACCCTTCCCCTTGCTATCATCCACCTCAGGCGCACTCGGCACCTCCACCCCGCCCAACGTCCACCGCATCCCCAGATACGCATCGCTGAGCACAACGACATCGATCTTCTTCCCCTGCGCCTCCCGCGGCAGGTTCATCTTCGCCTGCCCATGCAGCTTGGCTCCGCCAGCACCAGCGTGATTCCTCCCTGCAGCGGCACCACCGCGTCCCCCCCTACCCCTGTTGTTGGTGTGGTTCTTAGAGGGATCGTTCCACCCCACGCGCTTCAGCGCGACGATCTCGTCGGTGCCGGCGTAGGACAGGACCACGAAGAAGCCCTCCGTCTGTGGTTTCGGGTACCGCGGCGCAAAAATGCGCACGCCGCCGTTCGCCATTCTAGCAGGGTTAACCCGCGTCAACGCAACCGTGACGCCCATCGCCGTAAGTGACGCAAGCTCCAGCTTGACGACCGGCAGCCGTGCCACGGGTTCCAGGAACCTCTTTACCGCGGCGTTCGGCACGCCTGCGAAACGCGCTGCCTTTTCCAGTACAGCTGGCGGGGAAGTCGACGCTTCAACGAGCGTCTTGGGCGCGGCTTGCTTGTGCTCGAGACGCTGCTTCTCTTTCTCAGGGTCGACGCCTGGGAAGAGGGAAAGCGGGCCGTCAGTGGGCCAGCGCGCGGACTTGATGGCTTGCAGGAGCGTCGCCATCATCTCGGTGGAAGAGCGGTAGCCCAACTCCGTCAGCACATCGATGGATGCCTGCACGATACGGATGCTCTGGTCCAGCACGCTGTTTAGGTCGCCGACGTAGTCGGAGATGGGGAGGTCCACGCGCGAGAAGTGTGCTTGCAAGAGGAGGAACGCCTTGACGTGGGGGTCCCAGAGCGGGAGGTCAAAGTGCGTTTCCGCCTTTAGTGGGAGCGCTTTGGATAGCTCGCCGTTGATGAGATCTTCGTTGTGACGCACGGGGAGCTCGTCATACTCTGTTGCGTGAGAAACCCAGGCGAGAACTTCGGCGAAGGTCGCCTCCCGCTTGGCGTGCTTGACGAGGTAACGGATGGTTTTGTGGCTGAGATAGTAGTAGCTCATGATCTTGCCTAGGGGTGTGGAGTCAATGTCGCCGGTGCCGTGGAGGTCAATGCAGGAGGATTCGGAGAGCTCGGTGAGAGAGGTTTCGACGAGATTGATCATGTAGTCGTTGGCCATTGTCTGAGCGGCGATCGTGTTATGCTCCTCGGCGGAGATTTCAAGACCGTAGAAGGAGGGATTCTTGTGGAGGCGCCGGAAGAAGAAGGTCCACGTAAGATAGTCTAGGGCATCTTGTTTGGTGGCTATTGTGCCTGCGGAGATTTCGGCGCCAAGATGGTTATCCAGAACCTTGTGGAGAGAGGACTCGACTGGGAAACCTGTGTGCAGGAAATGCTTGTAGAAGTCCTTCTTTGCATCCTGTGTGAAGATTCGAGCTATACCCGAAGAATCGAACTGGGGGCGACCAGCACGACCAAGCATCTGCAGCACATCGGTAAGATCCATGTCCTTGTACCCTTCTGTTTTTGCATCGAAGAACTGTGTGCCTTTAACGACAACAAGGTGAGCGGGAAGATTGACACCCCAGGCAAGCGTACTCGTGGCGACCAGAATCTGGATTTGGTTGTTCGCGAACAACTCTTCAGAGAGCTGACGGTCGGACTCCACAAGTCCAGCGTGATGAAGACCAATTCCGAAGCCCAAAGCTTCTCGCAGCGCATCGTCCTTGACGCGGTCGAGGTTCAGCGCTAGGTCATCCTCAGACATGTGAAGGAAACGTCTCGGGTTGTCTTCCATGCCGCAGAAGTTGATAAGGTCTCTTGCAGTAAGGCGAGTCTGCCGACGGGAGGCAACAAACACAATAACGGGCTTCTCGGGTGAGTGCGCTTTGATGGCAAGGAACGTAGGGCGGTTCATCGACTGCATGAGCGGGCAGAAGCCACGCTGCTCGGGAAAGCCGTCGATGTAGATCTCCAACGGCACGGGGCGGACCGAGTGGCGGAAGTTGAACAAGCCTTCTTTGACACCAAGCCAGTTACCGAGATCAGATGCGTTCGCACAGGCAGTCGACATGCCTAAAAGACGGACTGAACCCTTGCTTTGAGAAGCGATATAGTTCATTCGAGAGACGATAATCTCGAGGATAGGGCCACGATCTCCACCAAGCAGATGGATCTCATCAATGATCACTAGGCTGACCTGTCGCACGTAGCCACGCGTTTGCCAGCTACGACTGATACCGTCCCACTTCTCAGGAGTCGTAATGATGATGTCTGCGTCCCGGATCGTGCGTGTGTCAGGTGTGTTGTCACCGGTCAGCTCGACCAGCTTTAGGCCCATCGGACCAGCGAGACGCTTGCCCCAGTCCTGAACACGTTCGCGCACGAGCGCCTTCATGGGAGCGATGTAGACGACCTTGGAACCAGGCTTCTCGCGGAAAGCCCACCACATTGCAAGTTCAGCGGCTACTGTCTTACCACTACCGGTAGGCGATCCCAGCAGGACATTTGCTGGAGTATGGTACAAGCAGTGAAATATTTGTGTCTGCATAGGATTGAAAAACTGAAACCGTTGCCCATAGACTTCCTCAAGAATGGGATTCTTCAGGACCGAGATGGGCAGAGGCTGGAGATTGAGCAGGTCTGTGTACACGCTTTCGGTATCCGGCCGGATCAGATGCTGAAAGGAGATTGGATGCACTGTCTCCGCACCAAGCCATCGATCAGATACAGCTCGCACATAGACTTGCGTTGGCAAGGGATCTGACAGCGGAATGGTGAAGTTGAGCTCGTGGTCGTCGTACAGCTTCCTGCGTGACAGGATAAAGTACTCGTAGTGGAAGATCTCAGAGGTTTCTGAGTTCTCCACCCATATCCAGAAAGATTCAGAGGATCCATGGTGGCGGTCGTTCCACTTGAACTCTGGTGTAAGCCAAAGCCTAATGCGGAGTACGTCTCGGCTCAACGGTGCGATTTCGCTTTCAATACTCAGGGTTGGGAAGTTGTCCAATAACCGACCGATGACATTGCCCATTCTCGTGTTGTGTACCAAGTCTCCAATCTCGCGTTGGTCCATGTCGCGGAGCGCCTCAATAGAGGTGTACTTCCAATCTAGTTGCCGAAGCACAGGCTGAGGCAGGTCGAATTGGTGCAGCGGATGAGAGTCCGAGCGGACTTGGTGCTCGATGGATTGACACAAACTTAGAAGCACCTGGCATTGGTAGCCCCAGCGGCGGTTGAGTGCGATCATGAAAAGTGCGCGTGCAATACGTGCGGCGTTCTGCGAGATGTAGTTGGTATCTGAGACCAGTGTAAAGTCCTCTAGCCGTGCTCGGGACACGTAGGACTGCAGCAAAACATTGGTCTTTCCATGAGGCGTGCCGACCCCGCCCTTCACTTCATGGTAGACATGTTCGTTCTCGATGAGGGAAGAGAGCTCCTTTTCTTCTGTATCCCTGGAAGTAATCTGGTCGAACTCTCCGCTCATGCTGACCATAGCGAAAGCTTCTTCCTCAGATCCATGCGGCTTCATCATGGTGTTGAAGATCTCGATACTGGTTTGCTGAACGTAGTATTGGCTTGCGATGCGACCGACGTCCTTGGAACGGAGATCTCCAGTAGTCTCGTTGAACACAATCATTTGACTCTGCTGCAAAACGCGAGCAGCATCAGTGATGAGCTTCGTGCGCCTCATAACGAGTTGTGGATCGTCTCTTATTTCGTTCCATTCGATTCCGTAGTTGAGGGGACTCTTTTGCATTCGGGCGAATAGATAGGAGTACCCGAGCCATTGCACACCTTCCTGTACCGTGGTGACCGTGCCCAGCGAGATCTCAGCGTTCAAGTTGTCCACAAGCTTCGCAGAAAACCTTGATTCGATCGGTTGTTGCTCAGTTACCGCCTTGAGGTAGTGGTCGAGCCTGTCATGCGTCGTACAGATGAAGCCAATACCAGTGTCCTGGAATTGAGGACGACCAGCACGACCAAAGATTTGAAGAACATCAAGAATGCCGAGATCCGTGAATTTACCCTCTTGCGCGTTGTATACCTGAGTGCCCTTGATGAGAACCGCAGCCGCTGGCAAGTTCACACCCCAGGCCAAGGTGGCGGTACAGCAAAGCACTTTCAGCACTCCCTCTGCGAACAGGCGTTCAATGAGGTTCCGATCGGAGCGAGGCATGCCAGCATGGTGAGTTCCCATGCCCTTGGGAAGCAGCTCGCGTAGCTCGCGACCTTTCGACTGTTTCATGTCGCGTTGCGCATTCTCGTAATTCGGGTGCGTTGTCGGGTCGAATAGATCGGAACACCCGGCGTCTACTGCCTTCTCGAACAGCATCCTTGCAGACTTGACGGTGTCCTTGCGCGAATGCACGAACACCATGACTTGGTGGCCAAGCTTGAGCATATCTGCAACCTTATCAAATGCTACCTGGTCGAGGTTTTCCCTGGATTTGACAGTACCAGCCTTGCCTTTGGCGCCGATGAAATGCTGTTCTAGGGGAACTGGACGGAACGATTGATCGAAGTAGAACATGCCGGCCATCTTGTTCACTCTAAGGAAGTCGGCGACATCGACATAATTGGGAAGCGTAGCAGACAGGCCTACGATGCGGATTAGAGATTGAGTTGCCTCCACCTGTCTCTGCGTCCTCGCCACCAGACTCTCAAGAACTGCGCCGCGCTCATCGTGCAACATGTGCACCTCGTCAATGATGAGGAGGCGGACCTTTTGCACCAGCTCTGTGTCGCCAGTGCTCTTACGCGTCACGACATCCCACTTCTCAGGGGTGGTGATAATGATTTGCGTATCCAATATCTCTGCTTTGGTAAGATGCATATCTCCAGTCAGCTCACGAGCTTTGATGCCGAGCCAAGCGAGACGCTTTCCGAGCTTCTCTGTGACTTCAGCTGCGAGTGCTTTCATCGGAGCAACGTAGATGATCTTGAAGTCTTCAGCCATAACAGTGAAGTCAGTAGCGTCAGGATTTTCAATCGGATTAGGTATGATGTTCTTGGCTACAGTATTCAAGATTGTAAGCATGGCGGCATCTGTTTTACCTGCACCTGTAGGTGCGCAGATGAGCATGTTCTCGCTGGTGTTGTAGGCAACAGGATACACCAAGCTCTGCATGCGGTTCAACGACTTGTATCCCTTGAACGTGCGCTGGCATAAACCGTCCATATCTTTGATCTCGACGAGCTTGCGACCAACGCCGAGTGTGCCAACGCGCGCGGCAGGGATGGTGTGCTCCTCGTAGGTCTTCTCGTCGACGTGGGTGCTGCCAGCTGGCAATGCGTACTTCTTGCCCAGACTGGACAGTTTGTTTCCTGCCTCATGAGCGCGGTAGACATGGGGATACTGCGGTCCTTTGCGGTCGACGGCAGCTGCCAGTCCACGATTCTTATGCTCCCAGTCCTGCTGCCTAAGAGCCTCTTCACGTTCTGCCCGGGTCTGCAAACGACCGACAACACCATTGTTCCGGGACCCATCACGCAATGACTGCGTGATCTCCTTCCGGTGGGAGATGAGGTCCGCCACCAAATCCAGCTGCTCATAGCCCACAATCTCCGCGAGCGTCATCTGCAGTTCGTCATCGTCACTATCACTCGCAAGAATAGCAGACAACTGTTCCTTCAGCGCGGTGGCGTCGAGGCCAGAGCTGCTCCGCGCAACGTCGTTGCACTTCTCCTGGAGCCAAAGCTGGTCGTGGAGCAGGCTCGTCGGCTGGGCGGTGGCGATTGGGTCGAGTTGGTCGCTGCTATATGCATCTCCATACTCGTCGCTCAGCACGTCCCAGATATCATCGCCGCTCGCAGTCCCAGAGAAGTCGTCCTCGTCGATATCGAGGTCGTCGCCGTACGCAGGCGTCGTTTTGTCGTCCGAAGGTAGGTTCAATTCCGCGATGGCCTTGCGCATCGCCTCAAGCTGCTCCAGCCATTGTGCCTGCGCACTCGCCACGGAAGGTGACATGGTAGACCGGAGTCAAAAACGTCTTCCTGCCTCTTCGCGTGTTCTTTTCTGCGGCGATCAGACACGCTGCGGCCTTCTGCGGCAGATGTTTTTTGTATGACAGGTGCAAGGGTGTGGCTGTTGCGCCTTTCCCCCGCCCCCGCGTGGCGCTGGTTACATCAGCCGCAGACTGCACATGAAACCCTATCGACAGCGCGGGCGTCATGCCCGCGGTTCTTCCACGCCGCCCAGGCACCCAGACTTCTGTACATAGCTCCGCCCGCTACACATACGCTCGCGCTCCCATACGCTATCCTCACCTTCGCAAACCCACACACCCGCCGCCATGAGCATGAAGTGCCTGTACATGGGCGTAAGACCCCCTTCACCGCCCCAGCGTGTCCGCACCACTCTGACCACCATGCCCAGGTCTGGCGCCCCAACGATGGCGGAGAGCCCGTCGAGCTGGCCCACCAGCGCGAGCTGAGCAGCTTCAACCGATTCACCCGCGGCAGCATCCAAGAGTTCGTACGTCTCCTCGATCTACCCGCCGCCGAGCCCGTGCCGCAAGCAGCGCTCTGACACAGCTACAGCTAAACCTCTTCGTCGCAACCGCAGCCAAGAAGACGCCGCCAGGCAAGCGCGTCGCCATAGAAGAGGACAAGATCCCCGGTTAGTCCCCCCAGCCCACCAACCCAAGACCCGCCCAACTGACGACCCCAGACTACCTCATCCACACATACAACAACTCGCGCGGACTCTGTGGCGTCGTCGTGACCAACAAGGAATACCCCGACTTCGTCGTAACCGGCGTGCTCAAGAAGCTCACCGACGAGTTCTCCACCAAGCACGCCGCGTCGGCCATCTCGTCTGCCACCGCGAACTCGCTGCCCTACCCCGAGCTCAAGGACTACATCACGCAGTACCAGAACCCGCAGGAGGCGGACAAGATCCTCAAGATCCAGCACGAGCTCGACACCACGAAGCAGGTGCTGCACCAGACCATGGAGAGCATGTTGGAGAGGGGTGAGAAGATGGATCAGTTGGTGGCCAAGAGCAATGATTTGAGCGCGAGTAGTAAGATGTTTTATACGCAGGCGAAGAAGCAGAATTCGTGCTGCAGCGTCATGTGAATATTGGATGAAGAGGAGAGGACGGGGGCTGCATGCATGGTGCGTGGCTTTGCTTGACTTGGCTGTTTGGCGTTACGGGGTCTTGTCTGGCAGAGAGAGAGAGAGAGAGAGAGAGAGAGAGAGAGAGAGAGAGTCATGAGGGAGATACTATCTTCATACCCTTTTATGCTTGGACCGGATCAGGACTGTATAATGCTGTTGCTGTTGCTGTTGCTCCTGAAAACGAGAATACACGTTCATACCACATCACACGCTCCACCTCACGACATCAAACGGGATATTGAAAAGATACGTGCATTGCTTGTTTGCTTGCTTGCTATAAGGGATGCCCATGTGCCCACTGGGTATCGCGCTCACGCGTTTCCCTAATGCACCAAAAACTCCAAACGACTCGACAGAAACGCCATAGGTGCATGCTATAGGAAGACCCGGTCCGTGTGCTTTTCCAACATGATATCCGCGCACGAAGCAACGGTCGTGAAATGCCCAGCCGTCTCTTTGTCGAGGCTTGGGAGGCGAGCGATTGTGTCAGAGAGGTACTCTGATCGCTCTGTGAGTCGCTCTTCGAATGATTCTCCACGGTCTTTGTGCCCTGCAACGGTGCAGCACTTGTTTTGGTAAGTGAGGTAGTGGTAGGAAGAGGGCGTCGTTCAATCTTCGAAAACGATAAACTCTGCGCCCTGGACAGTGACCTCTTCATATTCGAAGACGACAAAGCTGCCTTCGACCTCAACGTCCTCGTCGTCCTCATCTTCATCCTCATCCTCTTCTTCTTCCGAATCGTCGTCGTTGTCAAGGTCGCTGGCCACCTCGTCGCATTCTTCATCTTTATCATCAGCGCCAGGTCGGAGTGGAATAGCTTTTTGGGCATTAGTAAAGGCCTCATTGCTCTGATCTTGGCCTTCCCCATCGTCTTCCTCGTCTCCATCCTCATCATCGTTTGAAGAGGAGTACTTGCCGCCCGCTTCATAACGCGGCGACTTACGCCAAAAGTATAGCTGGTCTCGGCCCCGCTCGAAGCTAGTCTCGGGGCAGAAGACGACCGTGCATGCCTTCTTTTGGCGGGGCGACTGCATCATGCCCGGGTTGGCCTCCATGCTGTTCCAGTACATCTCCAGTGCCTCGGTGGCAGTCTTGACCTCGCTCGTAACTGGACTGGACAAAGTATTGCTATAGGCTCGCTCGTGCAGCGTGAGGTCCTCCAACAGGCCAAGCTCCTTAACGAAGGCAAGTTTGCCAGCGTACCACGCCTGTAATGCGGGGCAGTCGTTGTCAACGGCCTCCCAGCGCTGCTGCACCAGCCCGCCGGCGGCTTCGAGCGCGTCGGTAAGGACTTTCATGTACGTGACGTGCACCTCCACAGTGCAGACAGGACATCGCTCTGCCTTCTCTTTGTGCGTAGGGTGTAGCGCGTGTCCGCATACGCTGGCCTTCCCCTGTTCTTCGCCTTTGTTTGACGCGCGCTCCACGTAGTACGCGATGTCGGCGAGCGGGGTATCGGACAAGTAGCCCGAGTCGCGCTTCGCAAGCCACGACTGGAAGTCGGCGTACTCGACGGCAGTGGGAAGCTGACCCTGACTTTTGGGTGCGAGAGTTGAGGTTTGCGATTGGTAACGGCGATATTGCTTTTGCTCGCGCGGGGTGAGGATGAGGCTCGCAGGAAGCATTATGGTCGGCGCCGCTGGGCGGGGTCGCGCAATCATTTTGGCGGTTGCGGTTGACTCGACTTCGATTGTGGCTGTAGTGATTGCACAGTTGTGTGCGCGAAGAGTTTTCGTTGTGTCGCGGACAGGTGCAAGGTTGAAAAGGTGAGCGGCGGTCTGTGTGTAGCGGGCTCGCGCGCGCTCAGTCCGCAGTACACAAGCTGTTGGAGGAAACGGAGTGCTGGCGAGGGAAGATTATCTGCCAGCTGCGAGTGGGGAGAGTAAAGCCGTCGACTTGGACAACGTTGTGAAAGTCGTGCGGCTTGCGAAGGGAGAGTGAAAGTGAACGGTGCCCGCGCGAAATGGTGAATGCCATAGTATTGTTCTGTGCGTTCACTATGCGTGTCTCCTCTCTGCTGTCGAACAGAGATGGCGGAGGGTCGCGTGGTGGGGTTGAATAGCGGACTTGAGGTCAAGCGGGCTGTCAGATTGATGCTGACGCGATTGTTATGTCGCGGCGGGTGAAGAGGCGATCGGGAGCGTGATTATTCACGCGTTTATTGTTCGCTTTCGAGGCAAGGGTCTGTTTGTAGGAGAAGCTGCGTTCTCCGAGCGTGGCAATTTCGTGAATGGAAGAGGTTTCGATGGTTGTGGGGTAGATGACCTCTAGTGTCGGCGGCGGGGAGTCACGGAGCGCCTCGGCTATATTGGGTTGGTGCCTGTTAGCGTGGGCTTCAAACGTTGGGCTTCGACGTCTTTACGTCGCAGAATGAGAGCTCAATATTGGTTTCTTAAGAAATATGAGGAGGTAGATGACGCTGCCTTAGGAATCGCTAAGGTGTGTTCACAAATGACGATCAGCTGTTGTGCGTCGTTTCTAGATGCGTCTGCCTGACGTCACCATCGACTGAGGCTGCGAACGCCTCCAGGGCAGGGCTACATGCGGGCCGAGAATGCTTGCCCATTGCATGCGCGGAGTGAAGTTTCATTGTATATACTTGACGGTACTAACGAGCAAGTGCATTGTAGACTGCATCATGTCCGTTTAGTTGCAACACCTCGTAGTCTCGAATGTCAACGACCCAGCAGTAGCTCCGTTCTCAGGTCGCTCCTAGATCACGTGACTAAATCTCCTGCGTTTGGCCCACTCACAGATAAATGCACAGCACTTTACGATTGTGTAGTTAGGAGAATAGAGTCATCAAATTAGAGTCCTAAGCTTTCTTATCAAGTGCAGTAATCTTCGGTGCTAAGTAGACTCGAATTTCATCGTGTGCTTTCTGCCACACCTAGGCACGGCAAACTTATCGTTACTATAACATACATTAGCTTACGAACTCCTACGGTTGTCACAAGTGTTCCATGCATAATCATGCAGGGGCCGCCGAAGCCCTACGCACGTACGCTGGGCCCAATTTAAGCCTGGCTCGGCGCTCACGAGCCAATCTTAAAGATCTCCACCACCTTTTTCCGTTCTTTACGCGGCTCCACTCAGTTACGCTTCATAGCGCCATGTACAATGTACAATGTGCAATCCCGAGCCCAGGCTTACCCCGTCTCTCACAGCGATGATAGGGCTACAACCTTTTTTTTTGCTCTTAACCTCCAACCTACCCCGGCGTACTTCATAATGAGGGGGGACCATGGCGGAGACAGTTGTCTGCGCACCCACCATCAAATGTTCTGGACTTGAATGAAAGATGATGCATCATATCGTTAAATGCATCGCCTGACCACGTCTTAACAGAAAAGAAATGGAAAGAGCGAGGTCATCGCTATTTGTACTACCACAGAAGTTTCAACCTTCGGACTTCATGCACACTAAGCGCCAACTGGTCCTGCATTCGGGATCACGAAGCCTATCCTGGCACTCAATTAACGATCGGCTCGAGATGGGGCCAAACTGGCCCCAACCGCTGGTGTAGTTTGATGGCTCGACTGGACTGAAAAGGGGTTCGTCAGCGACATAACCATCGTCGTCCTCAACGAAGGAACTTGAATTGAATTATTATATCGTACGGTTCGTAGGGAGAGCTCAAGCTCCAAAGTGTTACAACTAGCGAATTTGGGAAAAAGGTCTAACCTCAAGTACTGATAGCTTCTACGGAAAGCGCCGTTCAACCCAGGCTAGTGCCTGCTAACATGGTAGGGTTGCCGGAAGGATTATCTTCATGCACCTCAGTCTAACAAAAGCGGCCCGGAAAACACTGCCCACACATCATGGGTCTTCTTTATCTCCACAGGTCCACGCTCCCGTGTGTCCACTCCACCCCGCATGCCGGTCCCTTCTCTTCCTTACTCTCCATTCACGCGCTCTTCCCGGACGACTACTCAGTAGAGATTCTTCATTTCTGCTGACGCCATCATCAATTGACTAAGACATACACACAGTGCATCTTTCGTGGTCTCTTAGTTATCGATCCAGTAGCTCCCTTCGTGTGACTCGAGTTGCTGCAGTCGATACCGGAAGCATGTCAGGTCCTCAGGAAATAAGAAGAGTTCGCAGGGTGGTCTCACCACATCTCGACATACGGGCAACAACCGCAAAGCCAAAGTTCTCTCAGCCTACCGATGTGATAGCTTTAACATCAACCTTCACGCCGCCGTCATCATGTTTCGAGAACCTCCTCACCATGTTACCGCCTGCCAGCTTCATATGGCACAACGAACCAGTCCCTGTGGCGAATATGACTGTCGCAGCATGTTACCCAACCGAGTTCCTGGAGTCCTACACATCCGTGGAAACCATCAATCCGGGTGGTACGACAATAGGGTCGTCAGTTGTTCCAGCAATGAGCCCCTTCGTTTGTCCTAAGAATTACTGTACTATGTTAGCAGAATCGAGGAATTATATCGCGTGTTGCCCTTCGTAAGTACACTTCACGCACAATGGTCTGAAGAATGACCGCTAACAGTTGAAAGTTCATATCAATTTCATCCTCCAGACACCACCGTGGACTCAGACCGACCTGCATATGGCGGCACCTGTTACAGCGATTTACCCGCCAAGACCAACGTCCCAGTAATCGCCTATGATGAAGACGGCGACACAGCAAGCAAAGCTTTCAGCCAGAGCGCCAGCGGCGGGCAGGCTTTCGCGCATCCCATCGACGGCTGGGCCGCTACCTCACCCACTATCATCGGCTGCCCGACGTCATCAGCATCTCTCGCATCCGACTCCGATGGCGCCGCGGCCAAGTCTTCGTCGTCGTCGTCCTCCTCCTCCTCATCATCTAGTTCACAGTCCGGCGCTGGTGTCAACAACACAAGTCCCATTCCATCCACCACAGCCTCCTCGGACGGCATCTCCACCGGCGCAATAGTCGGCGCTACAATTGGTGGCTGCGCCGCGCTCGCCCTCCTCGTCGGTCTGGTGTGGTTCCTTCTCGCGCGCCGCCGCAAGAACAACACCATCCCCAAAGACGCCCACCAGATGGCCGACGACTTCGGCGGGCCAAAGACGTACTACAGGTCCGAAGGCCCAACACAGTTCAATAGCCACGAAGTCAGTGCATATGCGCCAGAGAAGGCAGAATGGAGACCGAGCCAGCTGAACGGCGCACATGGCATATTTGAGATGCACGCTGTAAGTGCGCAGGAGCTGCCGGCGGACTATGCAGGGAAGATGGGCGATGCGAAAGTGATGGCGCATTATGCGCGGTAATGTGGCGTGGAGAGCGGTGGTATGGAATAGGAGTTCTGCTCGATTATCTCGATCACCTTGTAGCCGGCATGCTGCAAGTACAGAACCCATCGGTTGGTTTGCGTCTCTTACTGTACATTTACTTAGCGCTTTTGGTGGATACCCTTGGTCTTCTTCTCGCACCTCGTTCAAACACTTGTCGTTTTCGATTTCATCTCTCACGTTGCGGAATCTATCCGTAATATGCATTGTTCAGCCACTTCGTCGTATTGCGAGGCAACAAAGAGGGGGTCTGTCTTTGGTTCTCGAACGTTTATTTGCCGTGGAACAAGACAAAATATTTCCGCGACGGCTGGAAACGCACAAAATGTAATATTTTATTCACGCACTTTTCAAACATATTGTCGCCGCGCCTTTTAGCAAAGAAGTGTGTTCATGAAGCGGTGTGCGTTGCTCCTTCCCTGATTGTATTCGCTGCTAAGCAAGACAGCACTATGGTGGGCTTGACCGTCACACAAGAACCCAATAACCACCAGCATACCTGATCATTCGGTTCACAACTGATTTACGGAGCGTGTTCATGGGCCAGATCATCAGCTTCTGATCGGACATCATGTTGGAGCGTCTTGGCTAACAACATTGTGTTCTTAAGGTCCTCTGCATCTAGCTGCCAACTTGGAATTTGTCTCATCCCCCCACCCACCCACATTTATATATACCAGTTCTATATATGTTCGAGGGCCATCCAAAGCGAGCCCTGAGGCTACGCACACTGGCCGCAGTGAAGAAGAGCATCTCCGTCCCGTGCTTCGAAGCAGTTCATGCATTTGCTTGCCTATCTCTTTGCTTCGCTCCGCTGCCACCATCTCCCTTCTTCAGTGATCAGCCCCGGCAGTATCGAGACACAACGTCATACCACGACGCTGCTCGCATTTCAAGGCCGAATCCGAGTTCATGGCTCCATGTCCGACATTTGCTCAACAACCGAAATGTACGCAAGGATGACTGAGGTGGCTCCAAGCGCTCGTAACGTGCCTGTGAGCAACGACATCTCGCCGCTGCTCACCTTGAGCTCATCGAGCAAAAGGAACCTGAAGAGGTTTCAGAGCCTGTGCCATCGGAATTCTCGCGTCGTGAGAGAGTAAGGCATGAACAGCCGGCTCCTGGCAGCAGTGGTATGGGCGCCGTCCCCGTGATTGAGCCGACGTCTGAACCGGAACGTCCAGGAGAACGCCGATCAGCTTGTCCAGAAGAAGACCGCTCGGCATTTCAAACGCTCTGGAAGTTGACCACAAAGCTCTCACTGCGCCGCCCAGCTGCAGACGCACGGCATTCACATTATCGAATGCAAGATGCGCGCGCTTAGTTTCCAGTGCGGCCCAGCCCAACCCATTCGACATCCTCGAACCGGAAATTCGTATCTCTGCTGTCAGCAAAGAGGTCATGGCTACTACGGCTTCGTCCAGACGCGTGCGAGATATGCCTACTATAGCTATGGCTATAACTTGTCGGCCTATTCAGGGTACGCTAGTATGCCCGCCTCGCCCGCAGTGTGACCCCCGCTATGAGGATCACGGGTAGGTGCTTTGCCCTTCGCTTTGGTGCTTTGCTTGGTCCAGGGTACTGAACTCCCACTCGACCACTAGGTATTACAACGAGCCAGGCACTAGCGGCCATAGTCAGTAGACCTCTGGCTGATACAGCCACCTCTACTCCCCTTACCCAGACGTCAGCAGCCTGGACCGCGGCAATAGGAGAGTGTCTCGTACTTCAGCTCAAATTATTCACCGAACATACCGGCACCCCAATGAACTAAGCCCAGCATCGTAACCGGCGAGGGCATCGGACGGGCGTGCCTAAAGGAGGCGAGCTTTAGGATGGGCCAGGTCCAAGAATGGGCTGGTGCAGAGATACATTGTCGTCATGGCAAGCGTCTCCTTCGCCGATGGGTTTTCCCAGGTGACCCTTCAAGATTGGGAGATACTAAACCAAGACCTACTCGACAGGAACGAGAAACGCAAAGTCATTACGACTCAGCATATATACAACTACATTCACTCTGCTGGAGAGAGCATATGCTATCCTTTAACAGCAGGAGTACCAACGGTCATCTTTGCGTCATCGAGGAATATCTCATACCAATTTCTGCTCATCGTGGGTCCGGCCACTTGCAATCTCGCAACCTAAACCCGAGCAGCGACAGGCTCTACAGCAGCTCAAAACTACAATCAAGACCATCAACATATTCGTTATTGCCAAAGTACCAATCACACTCTTTCTTCTAGTGTGAAAGTCACTACATTGAAGCAGGAAATCGAAAAGCTCAACATCGAATGTCTTTTCACTACGATCAATGACACACCCGATACTTCGAGTCCTCGTATTCCGTTACATTGCACTGTACTCTACCACTACGCCTGAACAGCATTTTTTGCACCATTTAGGCATATTTAGAAACAATACAATCCCAAATCCATACGTACTGCAGCCAGGGTTTACTCGCAATACCTATAATTGATCGCCTAATTACGTGCAAACCAATCTAAATTTGCGCACGCGAACGATGCATGCTGAGATCGACAAGTAGAGTGAAAGATGCTCGATCGATTTAGCATCACTGATGTGCTCGCCCCTCTGTTAATATCATGTGAACGAGTTGAGTTGTAAAAATACAAAGTAGCGTGTGCGCCAAATGGATATATTGGAAGAGAAGTCTATGGGCATAGATCTCCCCGGGCTAGAAATAACTGCGCACATAGCACAACTCTCGCAAGAGTTGAAAATTTCAACCCTGATCTTGCTAGTGACGCGGTTTCAAGACCGATCCTTCTCTCGCGATACGGATCAACAGTCACACAAGCTCCAACTCGCTAGACGAATTCGGGCGCCCAAAAATGGCTTGCCCAAAGAAGGGGCTTCAAGCGGCGTCCCTTTGGCCGGACGGTGGCGATCTTGAGTTCATCGTATGGCAAAAGAAGCAATCCGTCAAAGTATCACCCTTGAAGAAATACATTTCCGGCGCAGAGGAGTACCATCGCTACATGAGCCGTAACCGTGCAACCTCGACGGGATCATTCAGCATCAGCAGCTTGATCGCGTTTTTCCTGCGCGCCACACTGGAGCCCAAGCAACCTGAGTGTGGCCACGAGCTTCATCCTAGCGCCGCTGTCGAAACCTTTTGCCCAGTATGCCAAGTCGACCATTGCATTGCTTTCCTCGATGCAATCAGCGAAGCGTGGGAGGCCGCGGGTGGTCCTTTCCGTGGCGACTATGAGCCGAAGTCATACTCCCATAGATACATCAACCTGAGACGTGGCTGGCGCGTAGCCCGGCTCGAGCTCATCAACCTGGTAGCGAAGCTCGAAAAGCAGGCCATCATGGAGAATCGGATGGATTTTTATACTCTGCCCGCCGAAACTTTGGACGAGCCCGACGATTCACTTCCCATAGTCTACGGCACACAAGCTGCCCTCATTAGGTATCGTCTCGCGTACAAGTATCCCGCCGTAAATGTCACCCGCCAGATCGAGGACGATTGGCACACCCCCGGCAGTAGCCTGAGGCAGAAGAAGGAGGTTCACTTTGACAAGGATCTTGTCGATGGAAGCACCCGTAAGTATGAGTCTTTCAATCGAAAGCACCCGGATTACGTCCGAGGCCCACACTCTGTCTCACCTGGCTCACAGTTCGAGAACACCACCTGTACCCACGATGTCGAGGTCCTTGTTGCGCAGTCCAAAATCTTCTTTACAAGCATGCTTGGCTTCAAGGTCTTCGCGGAGAAGCCCACGCATTGGCCGGAGTTCGAAGGCATTGCTGGATGCCATCCTCGCTGGGAAGAAATCCTCGTCAGCCTGGGAACTTACGCCTTTTGGCGAAGCCGCAGAAAGTTTGGCGAGTGGGAGAAGAAGCTGGAGTCCAGCGGGGTGGATGGGATTGCCATCGTGGAGAACCATGGCAGGATTGTGGACTTTGTGGTGTTGAAGGCGCCTAAGGAGAACTTGCACAACCCAATCAAGCGCAACGCGAATTGGGTCTCCCTTTCTGACGCTGAGTCTGAGGAGAGAACCTTCGTATCGGTTCCGGGAGTTGATAGATGAAGTTTAGACAAGAGAGTCATACAGACAGACGGCACAGCAAGATGACACAAGAAGTGGACACAGGAAGACGACACAGGAAGATGCTACAGGAAGTTGAGGTATCGAGTTACCATCCCGATGTGCAATGCGTCATGTTCATAGTCAACGTACAAGGTGTACCACATCAGCAATCGAAGCGCTACATCACCATGTCATAAGTGCATACGATGTGAAGTCCAAGTGATAGAGTGAATTTTGAAAGATGAATCGATCGGCATCTAGCGGCTGACATCAGGAAGTGCAGAACAAGCACGATTGTATCCACCATCTTTATCTACATCGTAAAAGCCCTGCTCACGCGTACGTGTTGAGGTGGTCCGCGGACCTCAACCCCTCTTCCACTAACACTGGTGGTTGTGCTCACTTGTGCTCCGCAGCAAGAATGCGGCAGATCTCCAGAGACTCGATATCAACATATACTTCCTCAAGCCTGCCACTGTCTCCCTCGCAAACACCGACTTCAGATTGGACCACAAGGCACTCAGTGTCGGGCTGTGCGGCAGGCTCCGAAGAAACGATACACTCGGAGAACACCTCTGTCATACCAGAGAATTCAAGTGGCTGGGATGATTTGTGTCAGTTTGGAAGCACAGAGTGGAGTGAACGTCGGACGCACAATGCCAGATACTTGACGCGAGTGTTTCAAAGATTGTGCGAAGACCGAGTCGGTGGATGTTGATTCTAGGTCTTTAACAGGGTTTGGTGAACCAAGAAGGTGGGCGAAGCTGATGTCGAGCGGTTTCGAGAGTGCGATGGCGGTGAGGATGCTAGCGAGGAAGAAGTATGTGGTCTTCATTCTGATCGTGCAATGGCCCGTTGAGAGAACGGAATGTGTTCTGCTGTGGCGACTGGGGTGAGGCGGAAAGCTACTGTCTCCTGCGGTAGCTCTGGGGGGACGATGAGGATTTATAACCTTCACAAGATCTGTACACTGAAATGCCCTTCATCTTCGTTATTCTTGGTAGTCTCTAATCATAGAAGTGCCTTAATCGGGATCTCCGTAGTAAGGTAAGTCATTTTGAAACAAGTGCCGCCTTCGTGCGGCGGAGTGTCTGCAGCGATAGACACTGGGCGATCGGGCTCGGAAGCTATCCCTAGCGTTAATATCTACGCGCTGATGTATCTGGTCTTAGAGAATAAGCCACGAGCTCTTGATACAGCACCAGGGCAGATCTACAGTGTGTAACACCGGGGTAGGCAATGCGTACGTTGAATGTCCTTGTCCTCAGACGTTTTTCCCAATACTGGATTTAATGCATGGGAACACTTCCATCCCTCATGTAGTTAGCTAAATCATCAAGCGAAGCACTGTCTGGTGTGTAGAGCTCCAAAAACACTGTCAGCAGAGGCAGGTTGTTTCAATTGTCCTCCCCCATGCTTGGCGCTCACCAGCAGCGCAGCCAGACGAAAATTGAGGGGCGACTAATATACATGGGCAATCATCTGTCGATATACAAATTTACACGAAACTCGGCCTCTGAATGTCTTGGTCATATTCGCGCTGACTCTATTTTCGCTCCGGACGCGTCGCGGCGCGTAGCGGTGAGATCCCTCCGCTTCCTAATTCCAACGGAGCCGCTCGGAACTTCCTCGATCCGCGCATGCCTCCCCCTGAAGAGGCCAAGCTCGCGCAAACTGTTGCTGACGGATGATAGCGAGTGATGGGATCATGGTTTGTCTAAATGTGTTAGGAAGGTCTGAAATGTCACTGGGAGCGAGCCGCGTTGCTGCCTGCAGATCTCTCGGAACTCGGCGCTCGGACATAGGTTATCAGATCATCGGCTTTATCAGATCATCAGATAAAAAGCCCGCTGCTCCACTGCCTAGCCCCCTCTCATGCTCTTGCACATATGTGTCCACCATGAATACATTCAAAACAGGTCAGCGTATTCAGCCAGATGCTGATTCTATAAGAGCTCTGCCGCCATTAGCTGAAGTTGAACTCACCACCATCCAGGATGTGCCTCAAGAGCCGATTTCAGACAAACTCAACGATCCATATCTTGTCGCCTTCTCTCCAAACGATGCTTCAAATCCCAAAAATTGGAACTCACGCAGAAAGTGGGCCGTAACCGATGTTCTCTCTGCGACTGGTTTCAATCGCATCATGGTCTCCACGATCATGGCTCCGGCACTGCCTCTAATCGCACAGGAATTCTCGATGAATTCTACTGAAACGATGATGTCCTTCTCAAGCTACGTCCTTGCCACTGCGTTCGGCCCGCTGATAATTGGCCCATTATCCGAAGTATATGGACGCTCACCTGTACTGCATGCGAGCAACATCTGGTTCCTGGTCTTCAACATTGCATGTGGTTTTGCGAACAACAAGCACGCGCTCATCGCAGGGAGGTTTCTGGCTGGACTTGGCGCAAGTAGTATATACGCCTTGAGAGGTGGAGTGCTCGGAGACATGTTCACAGCCGAACAGCGTGGAAAGTCGATTGGTGTATACCAGTTGATCCCACTTCTGGGCAAGTGCTCAGTGTTCAAGAATGTATAGCAAGGTTGCTGACTTCCTCAACAGGCGCCGCGGTCGGTCCAATCATAGGAGGCTTCATGGCCGGACGAGCGACCTGGAGGTGGATGTTCTGGTCAACATCGGCGTTCCAAGCTGTCATGGTCCTCGTTTCCTTCACGGTGTTCCGCGAAACGTACGCTCCACTTATTCTCAAGCGCCGCGCTGAGCGACTACGAAAGACGACAGGCGATCACCGATACTATACTGCACTTGAACGCATGCAAGAGAAAAAGACAGTGCGCCAAGTCATAACCCAGGCTCTGTCGCGACCACTTCGACTCATGCTGCACCATCCCGTTATACAAGTCGCTGGTCTGATCGAAGCCTTCTACTACGGCATTCTGTATCTCTTGCTTTCCAGCTTCGCAGATCTCTGGACGCAACACTACCGCATCAGTACGGAGATGAGTGGTCTGCACTACGTAGCTGTAGCAGGAGGTGAGCTCGCCGGCAGTCAACTCGGAGGGTACGTACTCGACGCTTTCCACCGACGCCTGCGAGCTCAAAATTCTGAATCCACTCCAGACCCGGAGCATCGGCTACCACTCATCTTCCCTGGTCAGCTTATCGGCTTTGTGGGACTCCTCATATATGGTTGGACGGCACAATACCGCGCCCATTGGATCGCTGTCGACATCGGTATGTTCGTGGCATTATTTGGCATGCAGATGTCAGGCATGGCGACGCATGCGTACGTTATAGATGCGTACGCAGAGCATACAAGTAGCGCGGCGTCAGCAACACAATTCTTGGAAAGCTTGACTGCTTTTCTGTTCCCACTGTTCGCACCGAGCCTATATAGATCACTGGGATATGGTTGGGGAAACACTTTGTTAGTCGGGGTCGGTTTGTTCCCCGGGTTTCCAATGGTTTATACGCTCTGGAAGTGCGGCTTGCGATGGAGAATGGTCAGTCCTTCAACAGAGTAAAACTTACTTATGAAGCCAGGACTCTACTTTGAGTAGCTCACAGTCTAGGGGCTGGTACATACGCCAGATGAGAGGTCAAATGTTTTTTTCCTGAGGACTTCTCCATGTGCTGTTTTTCACCCTAGTTTAGTTTGAAAGTCGTTGAATTTGTAGAGGTATCCTAATACATTACATACACACGAGAAGAAGAGATGACCTACTATAAAGGGGTGAGATGAACCTCGTCAAGCCAAGTCACCTTCTGCTTACTGTCGTCACCCTCGTACGTGAACTCAAAATACACAACCGCACTGACAGCGCTACTCCCCGCGGGAACAACAACGCTACCGGTACCCAGCGACGTGAAAGCGTTCGAGGCAAGCTGACCACCAATCAACCTCGTCGCGGCACGGCCTTGCAGTTGCACGTATCCGTTGACATAGGTCTTTCCGTCGTTATTGACATATTTTGCTTGCGCGCTCAGCTGGTAAGTTGTCCCAGGGCAAAGCGTTACGACCTGCATAATGCGCTGTGGCTGATTTCGAGCACTAGAGTCAGTGACTGTTGTTGAGCGGAAGACCCAAGAGCCTGCGTTTGCGCTTGATCCTGCACTAAAGCGTCCGGAATTTGAATTGCTTATGGGAGCTGCGAAGACGACCCAGTTCCCAGAAAGATCATTTTCAAAGCCGGGATTGACGACCGCGTCGGTGCGACTGCATGTTGGAGCTGTCGAGCTGGGTGTGGCGGTCACCGTGATGGGAGGCGGAGTCGCCGCGGGAATGGTTATCGTTATCGGATCTGGCCGTATTGTAGAAACTTCCGTCGTCGTTGAAATCAAGAGTTCTGTTGAGGTCGATATTGACTGCTCCGTGGTGGTTGATATCAAGACCGAGACCTCTGTTGTTGTAGTTGGTATATAATCGGTCGTGGTTGAGACCTCTGTGATCGTTGTAGGTACATAATCAGTCGTAGTTGAGAGCTCAGTTGTAGTGGATATCTCCGTCGCAACTGATACCTCAGTCGTTGTTGATATCTCCGTTAAGACCGAGACCTCTGTCATAGTTGAGAGCTCTGTGGCAGTTGAGGTTTCTGTTGTAGTCGAGAGATCTGTTAGAGTTGAAAATGCCGTGCTAGTTGAGTGCTCGGTCGTAGTTAAGGTCTCTGTAGAGAACGAAACCTGTGTCTCCGTTGAAGTTTCCGTTGAGTATTCTGTCGCTGTGGAGATCTCCGTAGATATCGATAGATCAGTCGTAGTTGAAGTCTCGGTTGAGATTAAATACTCGGTCATGGTCGAAAGTTCTGTATATGTAGATGTGACTGTATTCGCGGCTTGCGTCATGGTCGAGAACTCTGTCGAAGTGGTAGTTTTTGGATCTAGCGTGATCGTGCTGGCTTCGAGCGAGCAAGGCACTTCTTCGCCGGGCAAAGTTACAGTAGTCGGTATTGTCACAGTGGTCTCCTCTACTTCTCCAGGAAAACTGATGGTGGTAGGTATTGTCACCGTTGTGGTTGCGCCGAAGACAGTGGTTGTCGAGATACCGCTAGAAATCGTGAGGCCCGGCAAGGTAATAGTAGCCGATCTTGTTACGATCTGTGTTACCACCGAAGTCATGAGCGTGACAGTATGCGCAGAGCATGTGGACTGAGACGGGACAAGAGATGCGCTGCTAGATGGTCGCGATGAAACCACGGAGCGGAAAGTCGTGCGTGCAGGAGACGAATAGCCGCTGCAAGAGCCAAACCTGACTTGGCAGACGTTGGCGGCACAGTGGTCTTTACTCTTGCCGCACCAACTATCATCCACCATTAATTAATTGCATCAGTGTGTAGAAACTGTGGACTCACCCAGTCGAAGAACAACAGTTACCGAACTTGCTGCCTTGGCACGTGCTTCCCCCAAAATAAGGCCCGCACCGACCTTTCTGAGAGATGGGTTGCTTTGGTACGGTACAAGTGCCGTACTGGAGTTGACAGCCATTACCACAGTGGGTAGTTGTGGAACCACTGAAAGATATTAGAACCCATAACTCAACCTGGATCAGCTAGACATACCACCAACCACTCGCAGAGCAACAGTTGCCAAATTTAGACCCTATACATGTCGAACCACTGTAAATCGCTCCGCAGCGACCGGTAGTTGACACTCTGCTGGCTTCTGTGACACCTAAGAGCAGATGAATAGCAAACACTACTCCAATCTTGTATAGCATATTGAAGACGTAAGATAGAAGCACAGCGACCCCACAAAACGTATATTCTGAGCATTCGTTTCACCGACTTGTTTTATACATCCTGCCAGCGGTCTGGACAATGTTTATTTCGAGTGCCAATGCTCTCGATCGCTACCGATTAATGCAGGGCCTGGCGAGAGGCTTAAATACGATCCGGTTATCCCAGAAGGGGCATGGCTGCGTGCCCGCTAGTCGCCTTTGTTAACAAAACCTCGTATTCGATCTTCGGTTGTCGGTCGATCCGATTAGCACGAAGATCAACTCAAGGTCCCTCGGGCTTCATAGTACCGGTACGCTACAACTCAACGAATCGCAAGGCTATTTAACTAGTACCTTTGTTGTACAAGGTGGAGCTCACAAGATGTTGCGCAGTGGTTCAAGGAGGTCCATTGAGGCTGATGTGGTGGCGTAGGCTAGGTGCGGCTGGCGCATCGCAAAATCACAACTACAGCTGTAAGCGGGCAACGCCCAGGTACTAGGCTGAGCTTCACCGAAAGATGTTTCTTGATTTGGCCTGCATGCTGGACAGCTCATAGTATGCTGATCTCGAACTGACTTAGATACCTGTGAGAGTCTACCAGTGCATTACACCTTGGGTGCGCCACGCAGCTACCGAGGGTGCGGGGCCATGGGTAGTCAAGCAATGTTGAAACTCGAATAAGAATTTCGAGTACAATGCCTGATAATTTCTTCCTCAAGCATCTGTCGTATAGTACTGACGATCAAAGATGAGGGTTCACAACCAATGCTGTGGTAGGGACGAAGAGATGAAGACGCAAGTTCGCTTAGGTACTTCCAAGCGCTTGTGGGGCGGAATGATTACGTAACGCATCGCTTCTCTCAGCAACCAGTGCCGGAGTTCAAAGGATCGACTAAAGATGCATAGGCATCTCATGTTATAACCGCTGCGGTTCTTACTCGCACCAATACTCAATCCATTACAATCAACTACCAATTCAGTGGAAAGGCAGTCGCCAAGTTATGCATACTTTACCTCGAAAAGACCCTTGACTTTGCTTTGTCGACTGCGGACGGGCGTCGCTGAAATGGCGATGCCGGTGCATCGTTCCCCGGGGACATTGATCTGCAGAGATCAACTCGTTCTACTTGGAATCGGGTTTTCCTAGACCGCCACAAGCCGCCAACTACGAAACAAAGCAAGACGTTAAATGCTGAGAAGACCAACGCAGGTCCATGTCGCTGGTCCTCTAAGTTCTGCCCACATCCGCACAAAACTGGAATTAACCAACCTTGCATGCAACCCTGCTATGTCTATTGTTGTAACAGCGCGAAGTTCCTGCGTGGCGCACATCAGGTTGTAAACCATAGGTTCCTTGCTATGTTGAAAATCAGTTCGAAGGCTTCAGTCTTTGTAGCTTTGGAAGGGGGCGCCATGGCCTGCTGGCCATGTGTGCTCGTTTGAGATATTGCCTGTATCTGCCCAAGCGCCGGTTGTGTTTCTCGGACTCAGATACGGCTAGAACACATTCTGCTTCGTGCACACCTATGGAACGATATCAAAAAGGTAAGTGTTTTGCCTGGACTGCCCACTGATAAGGTTGCAGTTGGACTACTATAGTCTCGATAAACTGCCGTAACGTCCATGACTTTTCACAGACTCGCTCGCATTGCGTTTAGCCATGAGGTGTTTTCCAGTACGCTCAGCGCGTGCTCGAATCATCAAACTGTTATAAAGTGCTTGGCAGGACTTCCATAATTATGTGCAGCATTTCGGGTCTCTCGGGGGGCTGCAAGACGACTAGGTCCTTGAGATGCTCTCCCACCGATCAGGGGAATCTGATCGCAGATCTTGGAAAAGACGGAAATTCCATGCTCGGGTATCGCTTGATTCTTGTCTCGTTATATTTATCCGATCGGCGAATTCACTCGAAGGCCTAGCTGCTTTTTGCGGGGCATGCTGGGATCTACACTTCTTCTACTACACCAAGTAAGTACAGCGATTAATATTGGTAGTTGTAACAAGCACTGGGGCCAGCCAAGACGGACCACGAGAGGCAGCGCGCTTGAATTCTGGCCGCCTGCCTCAAGCAGAAGGTCAGGAGCCTCTCTCTATAGCAAGATAAGCTCTGCAAGCATTCGCCAATAAAGACTTGCGTCCAGACACCTCGGGAAATATTACAGGACCTTCATAAATGTCGCCGCTTTGGGCAGGTGATGTACTAAGCGACGGTGCCTAACTCTACGCACCAATAGCGAAGGACTCGCCCCCGGCAGATCACTGATGCCAAGACACTTGTTCCATATCTCAAACCAAAACTCATGCTATCCAAGAGAGGCTTATATTAATTATCACGAACTTGGCAGTAGTATGGCACAAGGGCACAATGCGATGTTGACGGGGTCGAAGTGCCAGGGATCTTTGGGTAGCCTTTTCCTCGACATGCCTATTCGAACCTTGATGCTCCGACAAACATGTTTCCAATGTTGTGGAACACAATATAAGCGGATTTTTAGGACCGCATGCGCCAATTAGGATCTGCATAGCCCGCGGATATCGACCTCGACACTTACATTATCGTGGATTACCAAAAGCAGAGGATGGGACCAACTTTTGTATAAAGCGACGATACTTCTGCATGCTTTATTGTTCATCAAGGTGCTCAACAGCTTCTTTGACAACTTCATTCACTACATCGGAGGTCTCACAGTCCAGTCTTTCAACATGAAGGTTATCTCATTCGCTGCTCTTCTGGCTTTGGCCAACGCCTCTGTCGTCACCAAGCGTGCCTCGCCTCTGGACGTCAAGCTTGAGCTGACCGGTAACACGAATGTTAAGGCTGCCATCACCAACACCGGCTCCGAGGCTATCAAGGTCTTCAAGACTGGTTCCATCTTCGGACAGCACGCCACCGAGAAGGCCCAGGTCTTCCAGGGCAGTGAGTTGAACCTCCACGCGAGACATACGAAATTTGATAATCTAACGCAATCTCAGGCTCCAAGGTCGATTTCGCTGGTATCAAGGTCCGCGTCACAACTGAGAACATTCCCGAGGATTCTTTCCAGGTCATCGCCCCGGGACAGACTGTTGAGACCTCCTTCGATGTAGCTGAGCTGCACGACCTCAGCTCGGGTGGTGCTTTCGACATCGCCTCGGTTGGCGCTTTCTCTACCGCTGCCATCGACTCCACGGAGATTACCGGCGCCGTTGAGTACACCAGCAACACTCTCACCGCCAACATCGATGGTGCTGAGGCTGAGAAGGTCCGCCGTGACTTCATCAAGCGATCTGCCGTGCAGTCCGACTGCACCAGCAGCAAGAGGACCTCCTCTGTCAATGCTCTCGCCAACTGTGCCACGCTCGCCCGCGCTGCTGCTTCCGCTGCTGCCTCTAACACCGCCAAGGTTCAGGAGTACTTCAAGTCGACCACTTCCAGCACCATCTCCACCCTCCAGAGTGTCTTCAACAAGGTCGCCTCCGAGTGCGCTTCTTCCACTTCCGGTGTCTCCAAGACCTACTGCACTGATGTCTACGGAAACGGTTGCTCTTCCAACGTCCTGGCTTACACCCTTCCGTCTGGAAGCTACATCGTCAACTGCCCTCTATACTTCAGCGCGCTTCCCGCTCTTACTAAGTCTTGCCACGCGCAGGACCAGGCCACCACCACTCTCCACGAGACCACCCATCTCAGTCAGATCAAGGGCACCGATGACTTGGGCTACGGCTACGCTGCTGCCACCCGTCTTTCCACCTCCTCTGCTCTCAACAACGCTGACAGCTACGCTCTATTCGCTAACGCTATCTACGCTGGCTGCTAAACGTACCGTGTGCGGGGCTGTCGGAAGTGCATGGATTGCATGATTGATGAAGGGATGAAGGAATGAATGAAGATGATTACATAGATACGTGAGAGTTTGCTTTTCTTCGTAGCTACTAGATTCTTAGTACATAAATTTGAACCATTTGTACTCGATCATATCCAGTGAAGTTGAGAGTGGCTCGATAGCGTCAATTACAGCGTCCTTCGCGTTCTTACACTTAACCAGGGAGGTAAATGGGTTTATGCACCGTATTTGCCTGTCCCTGTACTGCTGATGCATCACCTACCAAGCCCTTGGGTAGACCGTATCACGTGGTCTTCGCTAGAACAAACTGCGAATGTAATCTCCGCATCCTTAAACGCATCCACTCGAAAAGGATCCGGGCGCATTCAGTATCGATATTGCGTTGATCCTTGTGGAGTGGAGAGCATCCAGAAGGCACTCGAGGTTGCTTTCGCTCGGCGGATGATCTAACAGGGCATGGCTCGTTTATACCATGATACCACATGTTCATGTGTCCCATTATCGCATAGTCGTTCATCGACTCTTATCCACTTATTTGAATGGCAGGGACAATTTGAGAGTGCTCTGAGTAACGTCCGAGTAACGTCCTGGACACAGTGTAACGTTCTGCACCGCCCCTCCAGGAAAAGGCAGTCCAAGCAGTCCACAAACATTGGATCGTCATACTTGAGTTACTTGGGCTATATTTCCGGCAATTGCGGAAGTTTCTGGGCGCTTTGTCCCTACAAACTCGGGTCTGACTCTGCGTACGCCAAGAGTTCGTAAATCCGCAATCTGGGATTTGATTCGTGTTGAATCGCGCGCTGTTATTGGCACATGCAAGGTTTAATTTCTCGGCCAAACATTCTCCGCATAGGGTAACAAGACATCTGATCGAACCCAGAACAGCGCGAGAGATGCATTGCCATATTGGAAGTTGTTATAAGCCATAGAAGCACAATCACTGCCGTTCTCGGTATCATCGAATACGAGCGTGAGTACTTAAACATCACGCTCGACCGCCAAAAGCCATACTATCTCATCACGAGGGCCTCCTGCTTTACAAAAACTCCAGAGACTCCCTAAAGTGAACAACGAGAACACGATGCATTTCCAGATTGTTGCCCTTCTCGTTTCCATCGCCTCTGCGGCAGTCGCGGCACCTGCTGCCTGCGCTGAGCCTCCCAAGGAAGTCTGTCGGGCTATTTGCTATCTGGAAGAGCCGACATGCGGTCCGCAAGGGGTATGCTCATTCCAAGTATGGCTATCTATGGTGTGGAGTTACTGATAAGGGACAGTACCCCAAGCAAGAAGGCAGTTGTTGGACTTGTTGCTCTCAAGTGTGATTTTTGAGGTGGTGGATTTAAGACCGCGCACGGGGTTGTGACAGTGGAGACGCGGATACCTGTATCGCATGCAGTACGGATTGTAATAAATCTAGCTTCGGACTCTATATTATGTGGTACCGAATATATTTCAGTTCTCAAAAATGTGCGCCATAGTCCTCCTCCACTCCCTTAAATGCTACGTCACATCGACTTCAATATACCTCAAGGAAACATTCGCGTGCCTACAAACCTGTGTTACGGATTCGGCCTGTGATCGTATGCAAGAAGTCATCTGGAAGATGATCATGTTCCCCGCTTCTCTCGAAGCGTACATCTTGATACGCCTACAGCTGCTTCAGCGATGTCCAGCCCACCTTCTGCCGAGACCATGTATCTGTGGTCTCCTCTTCGCTCACTCTGATAGGCGCGAACTCGTAACCCGTGACCTCTCACATATTGTTATGGTGCACCACAATACCGTCCTTATCTTCATCCATTTCACCGTCCTTCTCTGCTTTCATGAAGTCTCGAAGCTGGGGCCACAACGGATGTAGTCCAACCAGCCCTTCCTCATACTTGTGAGGACTGACCAGACCAGGACCGTGCTTGATGACGTAAATCTTTAGTTGCTGAATCGACGCCATGTCTAATTCGTACCCGCTTGTGTTGATGTATGCCGATTTGCTCTCCGGTGCATACTTTCCTGGGAAATAATGAGAGCCATTACGGTCAAACATATAGCACGTCCTGGGCTCGAATCTCTCCTCCACATCGGCAGCAAAAGTGACACACTTCTTCTCTTTCGCTTCCGGTGGCTTGACAGCAGACACGTCTTCACCAACCTGCGTGTCCATAATAACGGCTTGATATTTTGTGTTAGCGTTTGCGTATCTAACTGCTGAGGCTGAAGTGTTGAAGCAATGTTGCAACATCTCCTTAGACCATGCTGTTGCTTCGCCGCTTTCTAGGCACTGAACTTCGAGGTCGGCTATTCTCTCATGATGGAGAACAGCATGGGCGAGCGTAAGTCGCGCATGCCGCCATACACACCGAGCTGCATTCATCCATTCGCTCGCAGTTTCGTCAAGTTCTTGTACATGTAGATGTTCCAAGTCGATTGCTTGCTTTCGTGGACGGCTCACAGTCGATACGAGCAACTCTTGGAACTCCAAACAGATCCTAATGTCACAGTGCGGAAACCTGAAAGTGTTCTTATTGACTGGATGCAGCATGTGTCCACAATCGGCGGCAGATATATGCCAGCCTGTATTCGGCTGTTCCAGAGGCGCACAAACAACGATCCGTTCATCACACCATTTCAGGAACGCATCGTACTCGAAGCCATTGAAAATATAGCCGATACGCTCTTGATTGTGATTCTTCTCCGCTTGCCAGGACTTGAAAAAGGCTATGTCCGCGTCGTTGAAGATAAAATTCGCCTTGATGCCAGAGACAGGGCCGATCTGGAGAGACCAAGGAGGTACGTAGTAAGGGCTACCCGCATGGGAAAATTTGGAACCAATACTGCCCCCCGGTCGTCGAGTTGTGTGCTGGTTGGGCTGAAGGGGCAATTTAGTAGGGTCACCATCTTCGGTTGGACTCACCCACAGATTTGAATCGTCAGCAATTGATTAGAACAGGTTGGGCATTACGTGGCTTAGCGTGTTCATCTCGCGCGATTTAGCTTACGATTGGTCGGTGGACAACGCATCTTTTCGAGCTCGCGAGAACAGCATGCTGATTGGCTGGTACATTTCAGCACGTGACTGGCGAGAGTATGCCTCTGCTATTCGGGTGCACCGGGCGCGATGCACGGTCCTTACCTGTGATATCGGGCAGTGACTTCCTTAGCACACCTGACGGCTATACATATGGAAGGCGCCCACATCCAACCAAGTTCTCAAAGCCAGGACCATCCTATACCATTGAGATAACAGCCATCTCTCATTCTACTGCGTCACAATGGCATCCTATGCTAAAGCGGCCGCGTATCTCGCACTTGTCACGCATCTCATTACGGTAGCCCTCGCACAAGACACTAATGGTCCTATATTAGACTTGGGCTACGTCAAGTATCGTGGCCATTACAACGACACCTTCAAGATCAAAGAGTATCGCGGCATTCGCTTCGCTGAGCCTCCGATCGGAGCTTCGCGTTGGAAGGCACCACAGCCATACAATCCTGAATTCCCCACAGACATCGTCGTAGACGCTACAAAATCCGGTCCGCCCTGTGTGCAAGGGTATCCGCAATGGACTATTTCCGGCCCAGTTCAGGCAGCCGGTTCAGAAGACTGTCTCATGCTCGATGTCTACACTCCCGGAACCGCGACCAAGAAAAGCCATCTTCCGGTCGCTTTGAGTATACCTGGTGGAGGGTATGTTATGGGGTACGCAGGTCAAAGCTCGCCATATGCGCTTATGAGACACTCTAACAACGCTTTCATCTTTGTGAACATACAATACCGTCTTGGCGCATATGGCTTTCTAGGATCCGCTAGGTACACAGAAGATGGCGGTGCGACAAATGCTGGACTGTTAGACCAGCGACTCGCGCTAGAGTGGGTGCAAGAGCACATCGAAGCTTTTGGAGGCGACCCATCAAAAGTGACAATTTTGGGTGGGAGTGCGGGCGGAGGAAGCGTGACGAGCCAATTGACATGGAAAGGGGGGAACCACACGCCACCTTTCCGAGCTGCAATGGCCGACTTTCCTTGGTGGCAACAGTTTCTAAGGGAAGAACAGTTGACGAAACAATATGACAATTTGTTAGAAGCAGCAAACTGTGCGACACTCATGTGCCTAAAAGCACTTCCGGAAGATATATTGAAGGAAGCCACTCAAGCGACTTACATCTCGGCATATGCGGACAAAGTTTATGGCTACGGCAACTTTTATTATGGGCCTTACGTTGACGGGGACATAATCCGCGACCTCCCCTCTCGAGAGCTCCGAGCAGGAAAATTTGTGAAGGTGCCAACATGGGTCAGCAGGGAAGGGTATGAGGGTTTCACGTTTAGTAATCAGTCGATGACGACTACGGAAGAAGAGGTCAAGGATCTGCACACTCAATTTCCATATGCCAACGAGACATTTGTGGACGATGTATTCGGGCTCTATCCCCGGGACCAGTTCAACTCCACATTCTGGCAGCGTTCGACGTGGTTTGGGTACGTTTTCACCTAGTGTCATCTGTTCACACGGCTAACGTGTTTCAGCGACTTCTCCATCAATTGTCCCACGTACTACGTCGCCTCTTCACTCGCATCATCCAAAGTTCCCGTATATAAGCAGATCTTCAATGTCGGTACACAACTCCATGGAGCCACCGGACCATACCTAGCCGACCTCAATTACGCTTCTGAGCCTGGAGCCAATGTGACTCTGGCGAACATACTAAGGGACTGGTATGTCTCTTTCATCGTTCACAGTGATCCCAACAAGCAAAGTTGGAGCGGCGTCTCGAAAAATGACTGGCCGGACTATGATGTGAGTGGGCAGGTAATGAGCGTTAACTTTACGGAGCTCGGCGCTGTGGACGATACGTTCTATGACGATACGCAGAGGTGTAACTTCTTTTGGGAGAAAGAAGAAACGGTGCAGAACTAGAGCAGGCAATTTTGCCATAACGATTGAAAATGTATTCTATATCTTCAATAAGACTATAGGAGTTGGGGAAGTTGCCGTCTGACGATTGGAGGTGCTTGATCATCTCATTTGGACCGGGATTCGGTAATCGAGGGGGGCGTACTGATTGTTTCTGATGCGATATTTTATTTCTTGGGTCTCTCACTTGCGTTTGACACGTGACAGCCGAGCGCATGAAGTCAACAAAACAATGCAAAGCTGCTTACTTACTTCAACAACTACCGCCACCAAAACTTCTCCGTAACTTCACACAAGACATCGTCACGATGCCACCCAAACGCAAGCGCGCCGAGCCCGAGGAACAAGATGAAGAACATAGAAAGCCGACGTACGCCTCCGAAGTAGATTGGCTAGCCTGCCTTACGGACCCATCCAGAGACGTCTCGACCAGTACTGAGATTGCAAAAGAAGAGACCAATACCGCCCTCATCACCGCAGCCTGCAAACTGACCTACGTTCTCTACCACAACGTCCAAGCACAAGAATGCCTGGCGACGATCCTCCAATCGCTAAACAAGAGCGGCACAGAAGACGATGCGGAGCTCACTCGCGTCGCAAAGTCCTCTCAATCTGCCTGGAAAGCACACGTGGTCAACAAGTTCTTAATACCACACGTCAAGGAGATAGTCCGCAAGTGGTGTGTTGCGCGTCCGTACAAGAACTTTGGGTCCTTACCGGCGAGTGATCGCATCCAGCTATGGTTCAAAGTTTATGATTACGACCCTAAGAGCACCGTCGTTTCGATGTGGAAGCCCGTGATTGGGGTCCTTGACCTGGGTCTGATCTTCCGCACAGACCTACCTCCTGAGGATGATGTAAAGATGAAGGCTGTGCGGCAAATGCTCAGACACAAGTACTATTTTGGGTGCGAATGCACATACAAGTACAGCGTTGCGGATCCGAAGAAGGTCAGTTCCATCTGGATACGCTTTGAAGCCATCGCACCACACACCCTCCCATGACAGCTCGGAATCGTGCTAATATATATTATAGGCAGAAAAGTCGAAGACCTTGCAAGACTGGGCGTCGTACGCCAAGTATAGCGACTATGCCTCGGGTATCGTTCCTTTTGCGGACATGCCGATCTCTCCAAAGACACTAGCTATCTATCCATCGGAAGCACCAGCAAAGAAAACCAAAGTCACGTTGGCCGATGGTGCTTTCGGGGGCGCTTCCCTAAACTCTGCAATCGACAATTCAGACGCCGCCATTGTTGCTTCCGAAATCTCTGACAACAGTTCAGCCAGGTGTCACAACACTGGAGTGACTTCGAGTTTCCAATCCAGCTTGCCAAACTCTCGCACCATATCTAGAGAACCCTCTCTATCCGCACTTATGGAACAAGAGAAGCCCACAGAGCCCTTGACCTACCTTCAGGAGCTGATCAACGGACCTTCATCTGGCGCAGGCTTGGCTCGTCAAGGTGGACAAGGAGCTGCATGCCTCACCAAAGGCTTCGCTGGGACAAAGGGTTTGCTAGTCTTCCAGCCTACACCCAAGCCGACCCCACGCCCTAAGGCCCCGATGACTGAAGCTGAACGAGGTTTCAATGAGTTCTTTGGCGTCCCGAACCAGGCTTCGATCGCTGCTCCGATGATTTTGGAAGCCTCTTCGCCTGCGGCAGCGCCGGAGCCTGAGGTGGATGAGGATTTGCTCTGAGCGCATGGGGGAACGGAACGGTGTATTTTGATGCTGCTTGGGTTGGCATGGACGGAGGTAAACACAATCTTGAACACGGATCCATTCTGCACCGATCAGAATGCAGATCCCGGAGCAGGTCTTTGGAAGCCAGTACCTCGTAAGGAGGTCGCTGTGTCAAGACCTTCAGATCAGTATAAGAGGGTTTCCACTCTGCTACTCTGTTTCAGAAGTTTTTCCTTCACGTGAGCGTATACCTTCAATGATTCGGGAGGCCACAGTAGTGATCAAACGTTGATTGTATATCATATAATCTAAGAAGCATATCTATCTTGAAATCAACCAAACGCCACTAATGCAATTCGCTCAAAAATGCAAACATTTTGTAATGCTTTGTCTATGCCTGGGCAGACAGGAACTCCTTGCTGAAAGGGTAGTCGGTGTATCCCTCAGCCTTCATGGGGAGGTAGAAGGTGTCACGGTTGTACTCATTGAATTCAATGCCCTTCTTGAGACGGTACACGAGATCCGGAGTGCTGATGAAGTAGCGTCCAAAGACGACAATGACGTCCTTGTTGGGATACTGCTTGTCGAGGAGGTTATGCGCGGAGTCAGGCTTGAAGCCTCCAGCGATGAGGACGGGGTTACGGAACAGGTCCACGAAGGGCTGGAGCTGCTCAGCTGGGTTGGGGTCGATGTCGACATTGCCGTCGATGCGGGATTCGACCAGGTGAATGTAGGCGAGGTCGTTGAACGCATCGAGCTTCTTGATGACATCTTTGAATTGCGGGTGCGGGTCATCCATCTTCATGCCCTGGAAGGTGCTGAAGGGGGAGAGACGGATTCCGGTCTTCTTAGCACCGATGGCGTCGATAACAGCCTTGGTGGCCTCTATGGCGAAGCGCGAACGGTTCTCTACGGATCCGCCGTAGGCGTCAGTACGCTGGTTGACCTTGTCCTGGATGAACTGGTCGATGAGGTAGCCGTTGGCGCCGTGGAGCTCTACACCGTCGAATCCAGCTTCGATCGCGTTCTTTGCAGCTTGCGCGTAATCGCCGATAGTCTCCTTGATTTCTTCAATGGTCATCTCTTTCGGAGTTGCGTAGCCTTCGCCCAGTGGGACAGGGCTGGAGGTCTTGATGGTGATACCCTCCTTCTCAGCCTGTGCGGGGCTCGCAACACGACCGAGCGCCCACAGCTGAAGGTAGATGAAGCTGCCCTTCTTGTGGACGGCTTCTGTCACTCTCTTCCATGATTCGATCTGTTCCTGAGTGTAGATACCCGGCACGTTGGGATAGCCACCCGCCTGCTTGGAGATGAAAGTGGCCTCAGTGATGAGAAGAGTGCCAGGAGTTGATGCGCGCTGGGCGTAGTATTCTGCGACCATGGGCAGGGGCACGTGATTCTCATCAGCGCGGAAACGCGTTAGTGGGGCCATTGCAACTCGGTTGTTGAGCTGAATGTCACCCAGCTTGAGAGGGGTGAAGAGTCTCGAGCAAGACATTTTGGATATGTACCGGTTTGGTCGTCGGCTTTGGTCTGAGATGGAGGGAAGGTGAAAATGTATCAAATATGTTGTGTAGTCGAGTTTGTTGCCTGAGGTTGATGTGGAAAAAATTCGTGGAGAGGTCAATCCCTAATATACTCAATTCTGCATTGTCAATTTAATTCTGCTACATGCAAAACCGCAGGCTAAAACGCCGCTTAGCGCACATATTCGATTTGCAATCGAAGGTTCGCCCTGTTTCGGAGAGCAAAAAGATTAGTGTTCTTCCCAGAAGCGTGACAAGAGCCGAGGAATGACGTGATTCGCCGCCATTTGTCAGCGGTCAAAATCGGCAATCTGATCCACCATCCGTGCTACCTCCGGACGGGAGCTGGCAAGGGCAGTGTGCAATAATGCAGCTGGTATCAGTAACACCCACCGCCTGAGGACCTTTCCTTATAACCTACCCTTACATCGTGACGGCATCGCTCGCATAACAACATCTCATCACTTCATTACTGTCTTATGCTACGTGATTATACTGAGCGCGGGCGCCCGCGTTGGGCTGCCACCCCACCGCTCTGCGGTGCGCTGCGCTGTTTTCACATCGACATTTCTTCAACATCACCCCCCGCTGACAGCCCGGTCCGCTGTACGTCTTTGTGCATGTTTTGCTTATTGACCGGGCGTCGTAGGTGGCATTGTAAGCTGACTCGAATATGTTGCACTCTCGTAACTACGGCCACAGTAACACAGCGAAGAGAGGCAGGATTGTAGTCGGGCGACTAGTGAAGGTCACCGATAGCTGATACATGCACTCAGTGTGTAAATTTCAGTAAGATTCGGAGAGAATATCGTGTATCATAAGGGCTGCATAAGTTCCAGATATTCTAAGTTGCGCTTGTGCTGACAGTGACCAACAATGAAAACTAGAATCTAGCAGATCCGTAGATGTGAGAGACCACGAAGATTAATCAAGTCATATTTTCAAAGAGGTATAGTAGAGTGAGTTACGACAGAACTGGGTGTATACTAAGGTTTGTGTTTGGTGTCAGGCACTGTGCTGCAAGACTTTAGTGCAGTCCTGAAAAATCGAACCTGCACATAGGATACACCATACACTACACCGAGGATGATCATCTTCCCTGCAATAAACCCATCGTGCGGTATTGGACCAGCTTTGCGCATGGTGCGAATTTCGTGGAACGAAGTCTACCGTTCATTGGCGGAGGAATCGAGGTTGCCCCACTTCTAGCAATGAAGTACAAACACGCCAGACGTGTCGCTTGAGCCGTGTATTCGTGGACATTGAAAATGATGAACTGTTTCCGCAAGCTAGAGAAGAGGAGGTTCGCGGTCAAAAGCGTTGCGATGCCGATGGCGTTCAACAGTCCTCTCACCCGTTCCTGGACATCGCCATGATTTCTCTTTTGCGCCGTCTGACCCTGGCAGCCGCCTTTCACATTTCGGTCTCTTCCACCGCCAGTGCTTCCAGCGATGGCACGAAATATATGGTCGTGTTTGGAGATTCGTACTCTAGCACAGGTTTCTGGATTACATCGGGATATCCCTCGGCAAGCAACCCCATGGGCAACGGCGGCTATACGACCAGCGGTGGACTGAATTGGGCTGGCGTCGTAACAGAACAACTCAACACCTCGCTACTTCTCACCTACGACTTCGCCGTATACGGCGCTACCGTCGATACTTCGCTCGTTCGAGGCAACACGCCCGATGTCAAGCAACAAGTAGGGTACTTCAATCAGTACTTGGCGGGAAAGCCCAATTACGCGCCTTGGACATCTGATAATCTTCTCGTCGCAATATGGATTGGCATCAATGATCTAGGCAATCCGTTCTGGGACGGCATTACTCCGCCGATAGACAAGGTATTGGATAAGTACTTCGAATTGGTGCAGAATTTGACGGACTCTGGCGTGAGGCAATTCGCATTCCTCACCGTACCGCCGTTTCAGAATGCGCCGAGTTTCCTGCAGTCGGACACTACAAAGCTGGTAAACAGCATCTCTTCGTGGAACTCTGCTCTGAAGACGAGAACGACCACATTTACCAGCGCCAATACTGGTGTGACAGCACAGGTTGTAGAAACCGAGAAGTCCTTCATTACGGCGTTGGAGAGCCCATCGAAATATGGTGCAAAGGATGCGAAGTGCTCAAACGCAGATGGCACCACATGCTTGGTAAGTTGCAATTCAGTTACCGGTTCCCTGAATAGAGTGCTAGTTTTATCTGTTATTGATGTTACTCGGAGGGAAATGTTCTCTGCTAACTTGCTAAAGTGGTACGACGGATATCATGCCGGAAAAGCTATTCACAAATTAGCTGCCCAAGCCTTCGTGAATGCACTCAAGGGGTCGTTCTTCTAGATCATGTAACTATGGTTCTACCAATCCAAGACTCGTTTCGAGAAGCTACCTCTCATCTCTCGCATGTTGCACTGCTAATGTTAGGTTATTCCTGCATAGGGGCTTCAACGCTCTTGAGACACAATCTTATCGCTCGCTGCAGCGCCCAGACGAGGAATATCGTTCCATCTTTGACCGTAGGTGTGGTAGCGCCTATCGAGAACGTGGGGAAACCCACTTGGCACACAGCGATCAGATCGATACCAGAAGCAGCATGAAAAGTGCCGATAGCCGAACTTGACCGCACTACTGCCGTAGCCAGCACACCAATCTGCCCGCATACCCGTATCTAGCGGATGCTATCGCACTTATTTCTAGGATGGCCTTCTGTCGAGAAATGTGTATGCGCAAGGCAAAAACGTCCACCGACGTCATCTTCGGCTAGCTTTGCGACTACTTCCTACTCTTGCGAATCCTACCCAGACTAGTTTCGCGATCTATATGCTATATCCTACTGTTTCTGCTAATCCCATAATTTCCTCTGTCCCTAGTTTTCTTATCGCTGTTTGCGTGGAGAAAGACCTACCCCACGGCCTGTACCGTGACGTTGCGGGGTCGCACGACGTCCCAACGCCATGAATTCAACCATCGTACAACAAAAGAACCAGCCGCAAACTCCAGGTCGCCGCTCTTCGATAGGTTCTACATCCAGCGCTGCAGAAAGACTGAGATGGCGCAACCACCCTGAAGTCACGTCGCCCGGTTTTGACCGCAGCAACCCATTCGAAGATGATCACGTGGCGGGGCAGGATTCCTTTCCGACCATCTCAGACAATGATGACTTCGAGAACGAAGATAGTGCAAAAGATCATGACTACGAAAAGCAGAATTCTAGAAGAGATAACCAAATCGAAAGAGGTGCTCACGAACGGGGTGCGGGCGACATGGGAGTACTCCAAGGGACCGAGAAGGAATCGGATGAGCGGCGAAGACTGAGCTGGCGAGAGAGGATGCGGCACTTCACCTGGACGTGGTTCTGCATGACTATGGCTACAGGAGGTATCGCGAACGTGCTATACACGGGTTCGTATGTCGCCAATCAGACACAACCTTCGACTAATAGCATTTCAGTACCTTTCCGCTTCCGCGGCATCTACGCCCTAGGCTGTATCTTTTTCATTCTCAACATGGTCCTTTTTCTATTTAACACTATCATGATCTCCCTCCGCTTCTACTGGTTCCCTAAGACCTTCAAAGCCTCTTTTCTCCATCCCACAGAGAGCCTCTTCATTCCCGCCGCGATCATCAGCTTCGGCACCATCCTCATCAACATCAGCCAGTACGGCGTCGACCAGACCGGCATTTGGCTCGAGAAAACGATGACTATCCTATTTTGGGTCGACTGCGGACTCGCCATCAGCTTTTCCGTCGGCATTTACCTCATCATGTGGTCCACGCAGACGTTCACCATCTCGCAGATGACGCCAGTCTGGATCTTCCCTGCCTACCCGCTGCTGATCATCGGTCCGCATGCAGGGAACCTCGCGCCGAAGATATCGGATCCGAATCGTGCGCTGTTGGTCATCCTTTCGGGCTACGTGATTCAGGGCATCGGCTTCCTCGTCTCCTTAATGATTTACTCCGCCTTCATCTACCGCCTCATGACGCAGAAGCTGCCTAAGGAGTCACTTCGTCCAGGCATGTTCATCAGCGTTGGGCCCTCGGGCTTCACCATCGCCGGCATCATCAACATGGGACAAGAACTACCCAAAGTTGTGCCCGACGATTTCATGGGCAAGGGCATGGGCGAGCTCGCGGGCAAGGTCGGCATGATCTGTGCCAACTTCATGGGACTGTGGCTCTGGGGTCTCGCGTTGTGGTTTTTCCTCGTGAGCGTAGGTGCACATTATAGCTGTGTGCGCCGAGGCAAGATGGACTTTGCGATGACGTGGTACTCGTTCATTTTCCCCAACACTGCGCTGACAACGGCGACATTTGCGATTGCGAAAGCGCTGAATGGGAACAGACCAATTCAGTATGTTGGCTGTGCGCTAACGATCATGGTCATTGTCACGTGGCTTTTGGTGTTTGGCATGATGTTCCGTGCCGTCAAGATCCACCAGATCCTGTGGCCCCAAAAGCAGGAAGACCGCACGGAGGGTGGCTGGAAGCAGCAGAGCGCGGAAGAGCAACGGAGGAGGAGGTATGAAGGCGGACTTGATGGCACGGAGGAAGGTAGGAGTCGTGGCTGGAGTATGGTGAGAACCTTAAGTAAGCGCGGGAGGCCCGAAGGGGAGGCAAGGAAAAGAGGCTTCAGCTTCAGGAGGGAACCATCCTCAATCACCTAAATAAACCTATTCGTCTCCTGAGCTAAACCGGGAGCTAATATTGCTGTGCTAGGAAGGTCTGTGCGGCAACTATTGAACGACTCATTTCGATACTCGATGCAGTCCTAGAACAACCTTCCGAGTATAGTGTCTTATGACAGGGTAGGCAGGATTAGGCCATTCAAACTCAGATCCGTTGGGTTCTCTGCTGCTTCCGCCTTAACTTCCAGCCGCTCCATCTCCGGAGACCGGCAACGTGGACAAAAGTATTTATCCGGTGGTGATGGTTCTCCTGAGGATTCATGTGTGCGTTTGATGATTCTGATCACCTCAGAGGCGGTAGGCCGTTCCTCAGGGTTCCAGGACAACATGCGTGAGAACCTCGGCCAATTGTTACACAAGTCCAACTCTCTGAATGAGAATATTCCTGTAGTTATACTTTCGTAAAATGGTTCCTCCATGAACCTTTCTGGAATTAATCCAGGATATAATGTCGCAGTTATCTCGGCATACACACATCCAAGACTGAATATATCCGATGTTGAATTACGGCGGTCGTGATCAGCAACCTCAGGTGCGCAATACCTTCTTGTGAACGCATTTGGACGACCTGTTGTTGTGCTGCGCCCTCGAGTACTGTGGTCGAGAGAGAATCCGAAGTCGGTATAGAGCACGTTGCCTTGGTGGATAAGAATGTTCTGCGGCTTAATGTCTTTGTGTCGTATGGTCTGTTTGTGTATGAACTCGAGGCCAGAGGCAAGACAGCCGAATGCTCGCTTCAGTGTGGTCAACATTTCAATCCTTCTGCGTTCGAGTTGAACAATTTGGTGTAAGTCGCTACCATTGGAGTGCACAGTCCCAGAATGTTTCCTCGAGTCACTTAGCTCTTGCTGCAGATCATCGTAGCCTTGCATGAATTCAGCCAAGTCCCCGCCATCGGCAGCAGGATCCAGTATAAGCGCCAATTCCCTACCGGCTAAATAAGTTGCGTACAGGTTGACAACATGATGACCCGATGAAAGTCGCCGCATGATACGTATTTCGTTCCGAAAGTGTTGTTTTACGTCTTTCAGGGTTCGTCCATACACGTTCTTGAACACTTTCCTCGCGTACACCTTTTTGGTATTCTGATCAAGGACCAATTCTACGCTGGCACTGGCGCCATGACCTAGATTCCTCACCAGTTTGTAAGGTAAAACTTCTTTATCTTGAATCTCCAGATGTGCGCCTTTACCTATAGAGATCCAGCGCGACTTGCTGAAAGGTTTCGATGTGTCATTGTTTCTGGAACGTGGATTTTGCTTCGAACTAGGATGTGCTGAAATAGACGCGGAATCTGAAGCATTGGAGTCGGCTCGGTCCCGCGCCTCTATTCTATCGAGCTCCATCTGGATATGCATAGGAAGAGTGGGTGATAGAATAGTGGGAAGGCCATAAATAACAGACCGCGGCAGTGTTATTGATGGCAACAGTGGTGGTAAAGCGTGGGGCGTTGGTTCAAAATCTTTCTTAGAAACGGATACTGATTCCGGGCCTTTGTTGCACAAATCGAAGGCTGAATTGCTCATTTTTTCTATCCAGTCATCTAAGAAACCTGAGGGCCCTTCCTGTTCCGCTGTATGTGCATCCAGGGTGCCCCTTGGGTTGTCATCCGGGTTTATCGACTCTCGTGAGTCTGCGTATTGGTAAGGATGCGTGAATCCGCCCCGCCATTTTTTCTCGTCCCGCATGGTCTTGAGAAGCACCAGCTCCAACGCGAGATGACGCTTCTTCTGAGTCTCGCGTGCCCCCGATACCGAGGTGGTCATCGCGTATTGTTTTCCAATAGACTCCAGCCAGATCTACCACTCTAGGGCGCCATATCTGTCTCAGTATCACGCCGAATATATGGCGAGGCTGTCGCAATTTTGTGGCTTTCCCGCACGTGACCCAAGTAGCAACTTCGTATCATCAGCTCCTAAAGACTGAGCTGAGCTTTGACTGAGAACTGTGACAGCACTGTATATGGTAGAGGATTTGAAAATCGGGGAAGAAGTAAAGACGAGATCGAAGAAGTCGTGAGGAGTGAAGCGGTATGGCGGGGTTGAGGCTGAGCGCTTGCATTCAGGCAGCCGGTCACCGCTCTGATTGGACATCTAAGGAAAGGCAAGAATAACACAGCAACAGAAACGACGAGGCTGAAGTGCGTATTCACCTTCTACCATTCTCCAAGTTCGTCGTAATCTATTGCTTATATGGCCAATATAGGTATGTATGCCTCATACATCACTGTAAAGTAGTTGATTTCCTTGCAGCGAACACATGCATGCATCCCGCGTCAGTCTAATTGAGCACAGTAAATTTCCCCAAGGAGTCTTACGATTGTACATTTGGTCTATGCACGCCTCACAAGCGGCACCTTACTCCCCATACTACTCACACTACTCAAGCTCGCCTCCCTCTCCATCCCAACCCCTCCCCCTTCCACCCTAGCCCCAGCCATATCGACCTCCCTCATCTCTTCCCCGTTCAAAATAAGCTTCAAACCCCCCGCACTCCTGCCCACGACCTTCGCCTCCGCACGCTCCACTTCCCCCACACTTATACTCCCCACACTCTTCACACTCTGCCCTGAAGATGTTGTATGTGGCGGGACAGGAATGGGCGCCGATATGACGATTTCGCGGACTTTGCCGCGCGACCTCGCGCGGAAGAAAAACACCCCGCCGACGACGAGGAAAAGACCCAGGATCACGGCGGCGGTGACGATGCCAATCTTGGCGCCGGTGGCTAGGTCGCTTGTGTCTTCGCCTTCATCTGGGGTGGCGGAGGAAGATGGCGACGGCGGATTTCCTGGGCTGTTCGACGGTGTGGGGGATGCTGGGGGATGAGACTGTGCGTTGGGTGTGCAATTGACCTTCCCACTATCGTCAACCTTGACTATCTCAGCGCAGGAAGCGTCAATGTCCTCTTTGGACGAGATGGCCAGGGTACCGGTAACCTTCTTTAGCATAGGCATCGATATGTTGGCGAAGCTGCCGCTGAGCTGCACGTCACCCTTCACGCTCTCCAGCGACCCAAACGCAAGAGTTTTCAGTCCATCGTTCTCCTCCACCGTAAATGACCCCGTGATGCTCTTCATACCTCTTACATCCAACCTGTCCAACTTCTCATTATTGCTGATAGATACAGCACCGTCGACGCTGTCCCACGGCAGACTTATCTCCTCCAAATCCGCGTTGGACGAGATATTCAAAGAGGTAGAAACAGGCCACTCCACCCACTCCACGCTCTCCAGCGCCGTGTTAACAACACTGACCACACTTCTTGGCCCCAGCCCTCCAAACGTGACATCATCCAGGGCCGGAAGATTTTCCAATGCCAACGCGTCTAGAACAATCAACGCAGAAAAGTTAAGCGAGTGAAAGGTAGGCAGATCGGTTAGCGTGATGCTACCAATCTCGACCAGGGTCGAAGAAGATATTGAGTGAAGTGACTTTGCCGCCGTGGCGTTTAGCGTAGCCAGGGCTTTCGGCCCGTTGAGCTGGATGTCTGGCGGCGCGGAGGAGTTGATAGTAACCGGGGCGGTGATGTTTGTGCATTTGTTGAGGGCGGCGACATCGGACGGCGAGGAGATGGTGAGGCCGATGAGGGAGTGGCAGTCTGTAGCACAGGGTGTTAGTTAGCAGGTGATTGTGGGGTTGTTGTGTTACGAGGGCGACATACCCAGGGCGTGAGCTACGCGCATGCAAACCTGCACGACGGCCCAAGCATACAGAAAACTGTCGCGAAACATGATCAAGCAAGCATGACAAAAGAGTGACTGTGGTAAGATCTACGAGTACTTTCAAGAGAATGGCTGGGACATCAACGTCCACCCGAAGACATAGCAACAACGATATGTGCAGCAGAGTTAAGCGTTGAGCATCGCACGCGCAGCGCGGGGCAAGCGACCTCTTGTGCAGCCTGGTTTTCGCGCGTCGCCGAACAGAATAGATACTATGTTTCACAAAGAAACGGCCAATGACCGAGGACGTGGGTGCAGGGTGGGTTGCAAGTCCGGTATTCTCGACTTCCTAATCGGGCGAGTCCGCCACACCCGAACTCCGGCCGCTTGCATGTCTCCTGCAATGCAATCGTTCCTTCGTGCGGAGGCATCAAGAGTGACTGTCGGTCTCAATTGTGGTGTAGAAGAGTTGGACTCTGGGTGGTTTTCGTACTGGGTGACGGAAGAAATCCTGCGCTTTGCCCTAGGGCTGGACAGGCGCATTTTACGTATAGTAGCAAGACGTCGGAGACCCCCAGGGACCGTCATTCCGCTCAGCTCGCGCCGCGGGCCTAGCCATCATCGTTCATGAAGCGCGAAAAGGCGTACAGAACGCTTCCTAGTGCCCGTCATATCCGCTGTCAGTGCCGCCACCTGTTTCAGTGCGAGCCACGCTTGGTGTTTTCTAGAAACTGTAGACCATCAAAACCCCCGGTCCCACTTTCTTCAGAGCCTATCTTTAGTGAGGGCAGGCGTTCATGATCCTTCGACATTTGGCCAGGTGGTCAGCGGCGCTCCTGTTGTTTCATCGTTAATGCACGAATCACCGCGTTTGAACGAGGCAGACTGCAGTGAGAATCATCGAATCAGATTAATGTATATGCGTTAGAGTCCTACAGAATGGTAAAACGTCAAGAATTATACCAAAGCTGGAGAAGCAGAGCTCACAGCATGGACTCTGAGCGCAACCGGTCGATCGCCCCACTATCATCTTAGCCCTTGTTTTTGCGGCCCCCGCACTCGAGGATGGAATGGCATCCTTGTAGAAGGCTCATGCGGGCTAGTTTCTTTGGCCACTTCCGTTGGGGGCCAGCTACTGCACTCCACTCTGGCTGTTCACACAACTTAGACGCTAGAACATCAACAGTTCCGGCAAATTTACATTCACATCCTGTCAACACATTAGCATTCGTAGAGGGCTAAGAGATTTGCACCCAGCCGTACCTTGAAAAGCCGTTAAACATTTTCACTTCCCATAGACCCTTACGCACTATCTGAGTCAGAAGTGGACTCATCGTCGGAAGAGAGCGAGATGGTCCCCTGCTGAACCTCTTCGTCATCCTTCGTAGACTCGTACTCGGTTACCTCATCAAGCTCGCTGTCATTGAGCTCTTCGCTGCCCCTCTTTCGAGGAACAAGAGGAGTAGAGGAGGTGGTCGAAAAGACACCTGCGCCTACTCGGCCACGTCGCACAGAGCTATCGCTCTCAGACTGAGGCTCTTTATGTTTGCCGCTCTGCTTTCGTTTGCCCTTACTCTTAGCCATCGGTCGTTCCTCGTCTGACGACCCTGACTCTTCCAGCTTCGCCTGCATTGCCGCCACCTTTGCATCGACATATGCATCTGTCATTTTGACTGCAAGAGCGAGGGCATCCTCGTTCACTCCCCCTTCACAGTGCTCGTGGCCTTCTTCAATCAACTCCCAGTACTTTTTCGAGCAGAATTGATTATGAGTGACGATCTGCTTCGCCTTCTTGCTCTTCTTCGTCAACTTGTAAGCCTTTCGCGGCTTGTAGTTGACTAGTCCTGGGGCTTCTTGCCGTGCTATTGTGCCAGAGGGCAAGTAGAAGTCCATCTCAGGATGTTGACCAGGGCCGGATCTGCAGGATCCGCAGCCGGGGCATGACTTCACATCGCCAGCAAGGTAGTAACGTCCGAGTGCGTGGTTAATGTCGCAGCGCCAAGCGAATTCATCGTAACGGACTTGTTTTTTCCAGTATGCACCAACAGGAAGGTCCTGGCCATGCTCCATTGTCTTCGAGCCGCTAGGGTGAGGACCCAGGTCGACGGGCTCGGGTGTTGGTTCAGGTGTAGGCTCCTTCTTTTCTTTCTTCTCCCTTTTCGCTCGCAGAAAGGCCTCTACAGCTTCGATGCCCTTCTCTAATGCCTCGTCTGCAGTCGCACCGGCCGTGATAGCCTCCCAGTAGGCATCCTTGGCAATACTGTTATGCGACAAATGTCCACACCGTCTAGGCTTTCCTGTCGGTCTACCTGGCATCCAGGTAACTCCAGGAGCAGGTTGGAAGAAATGTGATCGCGATGGTAGGTAGAAATCCATTACTTTTCGCTTTGGGTTAAGCTTTGCATTCGAAGCGGTAAAGCAACCCGGGCAGTTCTTCCTGTCACCAGCGTTGTAGTAATAGCCCATGGGATGTTTGATGCCACACCTCCATGCAGGCTGTTCATCGTCTGCCATCTTCTCGAAGTAGGCATCTGGAGGCAGCTGTTGGTGGTCTTCCAGCGTTTTTGATGTACTGTTGTCGGGATTCGCTTGGGCCGGTATACTGCTTGGAGAGGAACTTGCACCGGCCGACCTTAAGGTCGCCTCGGGGTTCTCCGGGGTTTTTGAAGAATTCGAGGCGTCTGTGGACTTCGAGGACTTCGAGATCCGGGCCTTTGGCGCCCGCTTCTGGCGCTTGTTGGGCCTTCTGACGGATAATTGACTATTTCGTCGTGTAGAGTGGCCAGAGTAGACCGCAGAACCTTTATTATCACCGTCCTGCTGTATGACGCGCACGGTCTGCAAGATACTGATCTCGTTGGAGCTTGACTGGACTCGATTGGCTGGTAGCACTACGGCAGGGGGGTCAACAAAACTTGCCAACTTTCGAAGACCAGCTCCGAGAGGTTTCAAATCGCCATTTTTAATAGCTCGTTCGACACAGCTGTTGAAGTCCAAGGCAGCGTCTAGGCGCTGTTGTGATTGCGGCCATCTCTCTGCCAAGCGATTCTTGTGGTCTTGAATCAACACCATTCTCCATAACGTTCTCTTGCGACTATCTTCGCTTGTTGTGTCCTCCGACGAGGAGGATTGACCTGAACCTTTCCAGAGTGCATCAGACCCCTGCAAAGCCACGAGACTTTCGGGACAAGTGGGCTCTTCAGCTGGAGTTCGGGTGATACGTACCGTGCTCGCTTCGGCGTCATCGTTCATGGGCATGCTGTTCTCATGAATTGGACAAGATCCAACAATGCCACCAGAGGCGCCACCCCAGACACTCTTCGCCCCGGAAGCACACGCATCGCTCGCAGGAATGGCTTCCAGAGGCAGCATGTCTTGCGAGGTACTGTACACGGTGATTGGGACTTCGGTGTCCTCTGAGAATCTAAAGCTGCTGGGGCTACCGTAACGCAACAGTCCCTGAAGCGAGTCATCATTAGGGGTCGTAGGGTTTCCGCGCAGTGTGGCGCCAGGAAGAGGACTAATCTTCGGCTTCTTCATGCGGGGAGCACGCACAACTCGATCATGTGATGCAGTATGCGCAATACTTTCACCCTCGAAGAGCTTGGTGTGTCCCGTGACCTCGTCAATCTCCTCAAATGGCGAAGCATCGGGGCCGATCTGATACTGCTCAGCGCTGTATCGCACCATGGAAGGGTGACTGAAAGCTCTATGCCAAGACTGATTCATTAAACGCAGAACGGGAAACGTATTACCAGGGGAGAAGTTGGCGAAGGGCTGGTTTTCGAATTGTTGGAAGTCCCAGAATACTGTTGTCTCTTTTTCATCGTTCGCCATGAAGTTCACGGTACGCGAATGTGTGTTCCAGATAATCTTGGTAGCAAGCTTGTTCACATTGTCCGCGACCGACTTGAGATACTGACCAACACTTTCTTGGGGATCTTGAGCAGAGAAGCAGGCGTCGAATCGATTGGGGTGGAGTGCGTGAGCTACGAAGTTCTTGAGAAATGTCGCCTCGTAGACTCTCTGGCTGGCTTGATACAAGACGAAGTTGGAGTAATCCTCACGACTGGGCTTGCGACGATTCGTATATACACCAATCTTGGCTCGCTTGAAGGGACTGACGGCAGACTTGAGGTGTGAACTTCCGTTTATGTCTGCGGAGAGTAAGCAGGCAGTCGAGTGTCTTTACCGTATGACAGCTTACAGGGATTGAAAGGATCTCCAACAGGCAGTTCCACGAACTCCTGATATGCTTTTGGGTACTTGTAGTCTCGATGAGGCAGCCGGGGTTCACTTGAATGGGGTAGAGCATTGAAGCTGAGCTCAGGGAGGTCGAAGCCCATCGAAAATCCATGGGTATCTACTGCACGGAGGGATGGGGAGTTGATGGGGCCGTCACTCCAATCGAATTCGTCCTCCATACTCGATATAGGCTTGTAATCCGCAGGCAGGAACAGTCATTGATTGATCTGACAGTGGACAATAATGCCGCCAAAGTGGATTCTGAGGATCGAGGTTACAAGCTGGTCGCTAAACAGCTCCTGATGCAGGTGGGCCTGAAGCGTTTGGTTCTGAGTCATGCCGCATCGCGGGTTCTACCGGCCTTACAAACTATGAGGCAGGGGAACCGGTCTCATGAGTTGTTTTGAGAGGCTTTGGGGCCTTGTTTGGTGGATGGCAAGTTTCTGCCGCGGGCGTGATTCTACCATGGCCACCTCCTGCATGCAGTTGCGTAACATGACGAACGGGCAATGCAACGTTTTTTTTTGTGAACAAACGCATCGATCGGTGTGCATGCATCCGAGTTGCGCGTGGGAAGGCTTGCGGTATAGCAGATCGAGGCACCGGGTGGGGTGACCACAGTTTGTGAGGGGGTGAACCCCCACGGCGTTTGCAGTTGATTTCAGGGCTGGGCTCGTTGAGATTCAGGTACGCCGAGCGCATGTGTCATCCCTACATTTTGCTTTTCCAGGCCAACGACGAGAAAGTGTATATAGCCCGTCGGTGTATAGATCACTTGTGGGTCTACAAAATCTCAAAGCTGTTGAAGTCAGGACATGTGTGTGGCGCAACATGAAGGAGTCTTGTGAGTTGGTATATTCGGCCCAGTCCGTTACGGTACAGCCTTGAAAGGCCTTGACAAGATCCCGGGTTACATGACCGGCAAGGCGGTAGGATGGAATAACGATGCATTCTCTGGCATGTCAATGCCTCCTGCAGTATATGCCATTGAACAAGCGAAAGCAATTGATGTGAAAGCACTAAATGAAAAAATTAATTTCGTATGCTCCAAAAGTAATGTAACCATCGAGACGAGTGGTATGCTCGTTTGCAAGGTGTGCGGAGTGCTGTTAGTTGTAGGTGGGCGTTTGAGCGTGTCGCGCATGATCGCGAGCATTGTGTCAGGCTTCCCATTCAACGGTCAACACTTCGACAAGATTATTGCCATCGTTGTTTCTAGCAGTACAAGTCGAGCGAAGAATGAGTGGAGAGTGAAGTGAGGTCAACATAGGACGGCGCCGCCAAGCCCCCGCTTCTCTCTGATTGGTCGCGATTCGAGGTGCCACATTTCATGCGCAACTGTCGCAGCTCAGCAGAGCTTCATTCTCTCGACACTCTCAAAATGGGGAGACAGACGCTCTCGTCAATTGCCGTTCTCCTCCCGCTCCTCACAGCCACCGCGAATGCCGCCTCGGAAGCGCCCCGGCCGCGCGGCGTAGGGCCAGACTGTACGTAGCACCACAGCTCCCCCGAGCCCAACTGGACAGCTGTGAGCTCACAAGTTGCAGTTGCGAAGTACTACAAAGACGCAACATCCTTCGCGTGCATCTCCAACCCGGAAATCAAGCTCGACGTGTCCCGCATAAACGACGATTACTGCGATTGCCCCGACGGCAGCGACGAGCCTGGCACCTCCGCGTGCTCGTACATCTCCCCACTCTCGCCAAAGCAGCCCTCGCGCTACGACCCCACCAAGATCAACGACTCTCAAGCCCTGCCCGGCTTCTACTGCAAGAACAAGGGCCACATCGCGAGCTACGTGCCCTTTACAAATGTCAACGACGGTGTGTGCGACTACGAGCTATGCTGCGATGGTAGCGACGAGTGGGAGGGCGTGGGCGGCATAAAGTGCGAGGACAAATGTGCCAAGATTGGCAAGGAGTGGAAGAAGCAGGACGAGGCGCGGCAAAAGAGCCTGGGCAATGCCAATAGGCGGCGGAAAGAGCTCGTTGCCGAGGCGGAGCGACTAAGGAAGGAGGTCGAGGATCGGATCCAGACGTTGCAGGCTCAGATCAAGGGCCAGGAGGTCAAGGTTGAGGCATTGACCAAGACACTGGCCGAAGTCGAGAGGTCGGAGAAGGGCAAGGTGGTGCGGGGAGCAGGCAAGGGGGGGAAGTTGGGTGTCTTGTCGAGCCTGGCGAAAGACAAGGTGAACGAGTTGACGGACAGCCTGAGGACAGTCAAGGACGAGAGGGACGCAGCCAGGTCCAAGATCACCGAGCTGGAAGCCATCCTCAAGCGCTTCAAGGAGGAGTACAACCCGAACTTCAATGACGAGGGCGTCAAGCGCGCCGTCAAGGCCTGGGAAGACTACGCCGCCTCGCAGCCCATCGCGACGGATGATTCCGCCCGCGACCGCGACCTTGAAGACCTCCTGAACCCCGCCTCCGAAAGCGCCATCAAATGGGACGACTTTGAGGACAACGAAGAGTCCGACGTCGAGCTCCGTAAGATCCACTCCCCACTCACCATCCCACCTCACTGACACCCCCCACAGTCTACAAATTTGAAGAATACCTCCCCACCCCGCTGCGCACCTGGGTCGACGAGAAGCTCCGTGCCCTCCGCCTCACCCTCATCGAAAACGGCATCCTCGCCGACACCACCGCCTCCGACGCTCCAGAGTCGAAGCGCGTCACTGATGCCCGCGACCAGCTCTCTTCCGCGCAGAGCGCCCTCGACAACGACCGCAGCGAGCTGACCAAGCACACCGAAGATCTCGCCAAGGACTACGGGCCCGATGCCATTTTCCGTGCGCTCAAGGGTGTGTGTGTCAATCAGGACAGCGGCGAGTACACGTACGAGCACTGCTTCCTGGACAAGACGACGCAGAAGCCGAAGAAGGGTGGGGGACACACCGGGATGGGCAACTTTGCACGGATTGAGACCATCACTGTAGATGAGGATCTGCCCGCCGACGGCAAGGGCGTGGGGAGTGGGGAGCGCTACGCGCTCAAGTACGAGAATGGGCAGCACTGCTGGAACGGGCCGAATCGGAGTACGCTCGTAGTGCTGGCGTGCGCGGAGAAGGACGAGATCTGGAAAATTGTCGAGGAGGAGAAGTGCGTGTACCGGATGGAGGTGGGGACGCCGGCGGTGTGTGGGGTCAAGGAGGGTGTGCAGAAGGGAGCCCCCGCGCACAACGAGCTATAGGATATCATCTGGGCGCATATAGGGTGCATGCGAAGAGGTACTGTTGTTGTTACATAGAGAGGAGTCGCATGGTGCGTTCCGGCGTTGTTTGGCTGGCTGGTTGGTCGATTGATGCGGGCATTAGCGTACAGTACAGCAAGTCGTCAAAAAGTAGAATGAAGTAGACGGCAGCATTGTTGATATATTTTCTTCTTCAAAAACTTCGAGCGAACAACGAAATGGTATCAATTGGACAACGCCCCACGGCAGCAGTGCCGGCGCCCCTGAACGTAGAATATCAAAAAACCTCCCACCCCGGACTTCCTTCCTCCCTTCTCTACATTCATTTACAACATCGCAGCGGCAAGCCCGAAAACAACAGCGCCGAGCCCAAGACCGTTTGCGACCGCGGCGCCGGTCGCCTGCACGGCACCGCTGGCAGTCGACGACGCAGCGCCGGAGGTCGCGCTGGCGCTTCCAGACGCAGTCTTGCTCGCGCTGCCGGTGGCACTGGCGGTGTTGCTGGCGCCCGACGCAGAAACGGCGGTGCCAGTGGGCAGGTCGGAGAGGGTGATGCCGGCAGCGGCGCAGAGCTTGGCGACGGCGGGGGCGACCTCTGTTGGTGTATTAGCAGCGAACCCCAAGCACAGAGACCGTTCCCTTGAGGGAAGAGAACGGTGGGAGGTGACGTACTCGCGATATCAGCGGCTTCGCACTTGTCGGGGATACACTTGGTGATGCTCTCCTGGATCTTGTCCTTGCCGGTGGTGCACTGGCAGGTTGTGTCGGTGAGGGAGCAGCCCGAGGCGGGGACCGCGATGGCAAAGCACGAAAGGGCGCAGGTGGGGATGTCGCTGAGGTCCTGGGCGGCGGCGAGGGTGGCCGCGGCGGCCAGGGCGAAGAGGGAGAAGCGCATCTTGATAATAGAGTGTATTGGAAGACAGGGGTTGGCAAAGGTGTCGATTAAGTAGGATGATGGAATTGGAAGTGAAGAGCAGGCAAAGGAGTGAACTGCTTGGGATGGCAAAGCAAATGGAGCGACGGGAGGAAGTGCAACGACTTTTGTAGCAGGTTGGAGGATACACTGTAATGAGCACCGCGGGCTGGTCTGGGCCGGCAGCACGGACTAGCGGCGATCTGGTTAGGTGGACCTACTGAATTGAATACACTATGGTGCTACAAACGACGGGCTAGCTATAGGTTTCTAGTGGAGCCGACATTGCTTCGGGAGGCAGTATGGTAGTACCTGATAGAAGCGTGCTGGAAGCCCGACGCAGGTTCGACGTGCAGCTGCAGAGGGCTCCTCGTGGCGAGGGCCCCGTGTACGCATAATGAGAGTGTGAAAAGGCTGCGTCAAAACTGCGCTATCGCATGAGCGCGGGCGCAAACCAACGCCCAACGCTGGGATAACAACAGCTGCGAGGCATGCGTAGAGCATGCTGTTCGCAGCAACATCCGCAACGCGACAGGGACTGTGCTGTCGACCTTGTACATCAGCGAGTCGTAAAATGCCGCTAAGTATCGACTCAAGGTGCCGACGCCCCGCTGTCGAAAGACTATTGTGTGGGGGTTTGAAGTCGCGTTGATATGCACCAACTATTGGTGACTCGCGACTGTGGAGTCTTGGTAATGTGGATGATGTGACGACTATGCAGGCGCTTTTCGTGAGGTGCAAAATGGATATGCGAAGAGGCCAGAACGGAAACTGGAGCGGAGAGTTGGGATAACGTTTTGGTGGTGCTAGTCTAAGATGTCGTAGCTTCGCGCTACTGCCCCACTATCGATGGTGAATCAATCTTTCCTCATAATCCTCAAGACCTCATTACAAGTGGATGATACTGCACTCGATCCTCTTTCCAGCTTTGCGCATTCAAATGCTCTCATCGTAACTCGTTAAGAACCACTGCCCACAATTTGTGTATCAACTCCCACCCACGCCCATCGGCAACCTCATCCCACCCTCCATTCTAGCCTAAACCAGCACCCCTGCCTAAAACATACGCGACCGCGCCCTTGCAGTAGCTCCGCAGATCAGGGGCGGGCTTGTTCTCGGCCCACTCGTGCATGCATCCGCAGTTGCCGTGCCAGACCCAAAACCTCCGCACCAAACCATGATTAGTGACAAAGTCTCCATGACGGCCACTCCTCATCCGCGCTCTTCGATACCTTTTTTCTCCGGTGCTTGCCCCGCATGAAGGGGGTTGTTTCGACTTTGGGTGCGATGACGATGGTGAGCCCGCGGAAGATGGTGGGCACGACATGTGGAAAAAGAAAGTATGCCTGCAGTGTAGCACCGTATGCATGGTGATGCCTTGCAACTGCGGGTGCAGCTGCAGCCGGTGCTCACTTGGTCCTACGTGCAAAGTCGGCTCGTGTCCGGCAGCATCTTTCTCTGTGTTTTTTTTCGTTGCCAGAAGGATAGCGATACAGGACCACAGGCTTGACCCCAAAAGAGATTGGGCTTCTAGCGCGCGTCATCCTGTGGTAACTCACAGTACAAAACGACTGATAGGTCGATAGTTCATCCCCAAATCTCATTGCTATGAGAAGTGTAGTTGTTGTTTTCAGCCACTGTGGACGCAGACAAGCCTAATTCTTCCCCTAAGTTGAACTGTCTGTTTTTATACAGTCTTATTGAAGCAACATAACAACGTTGAGAATTTCCAACGACATCATACTTGCCTGAACTCCACATCTTACAACCTCCGCAACCGTCCACCTATCATCGCTTCGAAGTCTTCTCCTGCAATAAACTCCTCCGATGCTTCTTTATTTCCTTATACCAATCCTGCTTACGCGGGAGGTCTAAAACTCGTTCCAGAGACTTTTCGTTCTCTTGGAAATCTTCGGTGCGAACGGTCCCGCCTGGATTGCTGAAGCGATCACTTCCCGGTTCGCCTCAGAGTTTTTGTTCACGATCTTATCGATATTTCCAAGTAGAGCTGTGCTGGATGCCATGGAGAACCTTGCTGGATGGCTGATCATATAGAAGGCGTTGATCGCAGAGGCTTGTCTGCGAGCGGCGCTCGTATCGCCCCCGGAGCTAACATTAAGTTCCGACTCTAGCATAACATCACCAGATTCGCTGACATAAGAAATGAGAATACCATATGCGGACACTCCACTCTGCATCAACTCACTGTACGCTTGTAAATTTATTATATATTACGTCAGCGTGAATGTTCATAGCAGGGCAGATTCCCGTCATTATTGTCGGCCATTGTGACTCGCCACTCTACTCACTCCTCAGCTCATTGGCTCGCCACTATTTGCATTCCTTCACAGGATCGATCACCAAGCGTATTCGTTCAAAAAATAATTCCCTCAGACTCGCCTCTCTCCATCACACCCCCTCGTCACACAATATTCCATTTGCGGTCATGCGTGGATGTTAATACTTCCATTCATTCCGCTTGCGCGTAGCGCAAGCATCTCACATCTACATCCCCTCAACTTCCTGACTTGACAATACGGTACTAAGAAAAGACACTACGCTGTGCCGACCAATCGGTGTGGCCTGCCAATGCGCCCCTGTCCTAGCCAAAGACACCGCAATCATAATCCAGCTATGCACGGTGTCTTGATCCCAACATGTGTATAGTTTGCCCAATGGAGGTCGCAATCTACAATGCAACTCCGGAGCCCTACGTGTCTCTCATGAGATGAACAGGAAAGGAAAGAGAAGGGAAACCAAGAAACCAAATCCGAGGCCGACCAAGAGGTATATTGCTGAGCTGAGGACAAGTAAAAAGAAAAAAAGGCCGTGTTTCGCACATGCTGCAAGTTCGCAAAAGGAAATTACCCAGACTAGAAGTTAAGTTGGTACGGGAATTTGATGTGTTAGTGTATGTAGTTGGGCGTTTGAGAAGAAGAGGTTGCTTTTTGGACTGCCGAGGGTAGTCGAAGTAAAAAGATGCCCTAGAACATCGCACCATCCATGTTCCGTTGTGCGGCAGGCGCACCATTGATTGGGCGTGGTGGTGAGGCCTTGCGTGCTCCAAACGGGCCAGCAGGCATGGGCGGGCTATTCAGAGACTGAACCTGTGCGTTTTCATGTAGACTCCTCCCCTCGCTCATGGTTTTCCTCAATGCTGGTCTGGATGATGCCGCGGTGAGACCCTCGTACGAATTCGTCCTCATCTCGGCAAACGGAGCGTTTGGCGAGTCAAGGCCAGCATGGACCCCTGGGTCGCGGTTCTCGGATCGACCAAAGCCGAATCGCCTTCGTGGGTTGATGGGCGGAACGGGAGGCGGCGCCGTCTCCATGCCATTCTTCAGCGAGGCTCCTGGTGGCAGACTGACAAGGTCGATGACTGATGTGGTGGAGACGAACACTGGCTCACCAATGTCGGCCTTGGCGATGGACTTCTTGCGGAGCGTGCCGACCTTTGCCATGGGAGGAGGTCTCGCATCAGGGTTGAAGGCGGCCTTGTCAGGAGTCCCAGGGTTGGACACTGGTGGGGTGTTTGCTGCCGAGGCTGCTGGAAGAGGTGAGGCTTGGGCACGGAAAGCAGGGCTTGGTCCGCCAGGTGAAGGGCGGGGCGACGCAGGAAGTCCAGGCGAGTTTTGAGGTCGGCCTCCGGGCGACAAATGAGCGCCTGGAACACCAGGCATTCCGTTGCCGGTTTGGATAGGCTTGAGGTGCTTCTTGCTGTTACTTCGTGACCTAGACTTGCTGCTCTGATCAGGAGACGATCGTTCAGCAGGCAGCGGCTGGGTAGCATTGACTGAATATCCCGGCATCGATGGAGTGGAATTAGGCGGGTAGTAAGCCGATCTAGACCCGATTCCTTCGCCCATGGCCTGTTGCAGATCATCCCGGTACTGCTGGGGAGGGCGGCTGCGAGAGCGGCCATTCGATACCTCGGAGCTGGATCGGTCCCTGCCAGAGCCTCTGCTGGATGTCGGAGGTGATCGATTTTGCAGAGGTCCACTGCGGGTACTGTCACCTGTTGCCGACCGTTGCCGCGGTTCACCTTGACCACGGTCGCTGTACGGCAGCGAACGCATGTTATGCCGGACTGATGATCCCTCAGGGACCCCAGCAAGGGAAGTGCTGCTGGCATTGACAGAATTTGCACCCAAGCCAAGCACCTTAATTGACTTCAGGGAGCCGTCCGGGTTTCGGTGGCTGTCAACAGTAGCAAATGATTCCCGGCTTGACTTCGCGCGAAGCATGTTGAGAGCAGTTTTAAGACCACCTTGATGCCCAGCCGGCGTAGGTGCAGGGCTTGTGGATCGGCCTTCAGCGCGAGCGCGGAGGCTCTCCTGGATAGCACGTTGGCGTAGCGCAAGATCCCGCTGAAAAGCTTCATGTTCCTCTACGCTGCGGCCACGGTGGTGTGTCTTGTCCTCCTCTTGAGCAAATGTCGGAGCGTCAGGAGACAGAGGTGACATTGGAGAGATGGGGTAAGCCTGTGATTGAGGTTTTGGCGCGTCTACAGGGCTCACGGAGCTCATGCTTGCCCTCTCGTTGTAGAATGGATTGCTCTCGAGGTCATCCAGATCCCAGGGATTTGAGTGATTGTAAGTGGAGTTTGAGTGCGTATCCGTTTCCTTCTGAGGCTGACGGCGCTGAAGACCAAGCCCAAAGTTCTGTGTCTGGAGGGGCGGAGGGTTCATCATACTTTGGCGATCGTCATCGTAGTTCGACGAGACGTTGCTGACGTTGCGCAAATGTTGTCGGATGAGGCCGCTAAGCCCTCCGTTGTTAGGACCCAGCGTGGGCGAGTCGAGATCCGGGTCTTGAGCAGCTTGGGGATTTGGTGATGATTGAGGCTCAATTTGGGTAGGAGGAGAGTTGCTGCGTGAGCGCAACGCAGGATGCTCAGACTCTTGCGGTGGACGTGAGTTGCTTCGCGAGCGAAGAGCAGGATGTTCTAGGATAGGCGGCGCAGGTCGAGTGGCTACAGGCAGGTTTTCAAGTCGGCGGCCTCGCTCCATTGATTTTGGGCCAGGCTGGGGAGCATCACCTTCATCTTCACTAGATCCAGCAGAGGCAAAAAACGTGGCCCCTTGCTGCGAATCGGGAGACTGCACATTGTGAGGCGAAAGGCTCGGTGTCGAGGAAGCCGTAGCAGGCACAGCCTTCATCTGAGACGCAGCCTGTTGAAAAACCGAAAACGGCGATGGCGCATCCTTGGGCTTCGCTGAAGAGTCAGACCGCTCCCGTTCCATTGCTGCGCCAGCTGTTGTAGTGTTGGACATAGCTCTTTTTCGCCTCTCCAACTCGGCACGCTCGCGCAAAGATGGCTTCTTGGGGATCTCCATATCGGCACGCTCCGTGGCGGAGGGTTTCCGCGGTAAGATTGGATCTACATGGTCCGCAGATGTCTTGCGAGGGTTGTCAAGCTTTGCTGCGGCGGATGCTTCCCGTTCCAACTGCATCTGTCTGAGACGCTCCCGGTATTGCTCCTCGCTAAAAGCAGCCTTGGGCTTGTTGAACGCACCCATTGCGGTGGCCTTTCCCCGGTCCTGCGGCTGCAGTGCGGTATTGAGGGTTTGAGCATCCTCGCTGTCGCTGGCCAATGGGCTCGTCAACAGCGGAGACTGGGGTCTAGAAAGAATGGGGCTCGAGGCGTTTGTCGGCGAATCTTTGCCATTGGGGAAACCGGGATTAGTCTGGAAAGTGGGACTCTCCATGCGGAGAGCTCCACCTTTGGTGAAGCGATCACTCAAATTTGTCGCGGATCTCGTTTGAGTAAACAGCAGAGGAGGGGTAGCACGTCCGGTCTGTGCCCGTGTGCGTTGAATCGAATTCAGGCGGTTCATGGCCGACGATTGTTGCTCGTACATTTGCTGGTCCAGACCTTGCTCGTAGAGCCGCCGCGCCTTGGTTGTCGATCTTGTGATCTCGGTAGGCGATGTAGGTCCAGCAGCCACCGAGTTGGCGCCTTGCGATGCCACAGAAGTTGCTGCGGTTGAAATGCGTGCATTGCTTCCAGAGTTCGTCGAGGAAGATGTTTCTCTTCGGCGATTGAAACCTTCCACAGACGGAGAATACGCATCTTTGGTAGGGCTTAGTGGCTCCTCGGCGGTTTCGTCGTCCTGTTGTGCCGCAAGTCGTTCCTTCTCTTCCCGGCGCATCTTTTGGAATGTGGACAGGTGCACATCGTCGTCGTACAAGAGCCTGCCGCTGGATGTGCCACTGCCCCCAATCTTGTAGATTTTTTGCCTGCCACCGAACAAGACGTTGCCCTCTCCTGGCCGCGCTCGGCTCATCATGCTTCCGCCTTCCTCAGTGGCCTGGCTGTCGAAAGAACCCGAGCGCTCAGAGGCGAATGGCGGGCGAATCGGGCCATGAGAATCGCTGAGGGAACCTTTCAGAGAGCCTTTCAACGAGGAGACTTCGGCAATATCTGTGAGGCCTCCCGGTGCGAAACCAAACTCGTGCAAGCGGGACTGTCGTTTTGGGTGGAGCACGCTGTCATCGCTGGCCTTTCCGAGCTTCGAATGGGGATCATCCTGCTCCCTCAGCATACTAAAGCGGGTCGACAAGCCGGGCAAGATCAGACTGGTCCGGAAATCATCGGCAGCTGGCAGTGCTGTTGCGATGTTGAGCTCGGGCTTGGGTTCTGGCTCCCCCTTCTTCTTGTCCTTTCTCCGGTTGAGGAAGCGGTTCATAGTGCCCTGCATCTTATTAGAAACTGTACAAGGCACGGCGAGGCACCGCAGAATGGAGCGATAGCTCGTATGCACTGGAACGGAGTCCATGTTGCGAGGAGACTCACTGATTTCTGCCGCTGCTTATCTGAACTATCGTATAAAACGCTGCGCTGTACGGAGCTCACCACCCGTTTGCAGGGCAGGAGCGGCGCGGGCGTCCGTAGGATACCAGCACGGCAAGAGCGCGTGGTGGGGTCTGTGGCAGGTGCAATCAGCGAATGTCTCAATTTCTTCTCCCATTCCGCACGTTTCAAGCACCCACAACAACACCATGCGCACGAACTCGGATGACGTACTCGATGACCGCAGCTGCGTTTACACTCTTTTGGCCAATGAGTCCTCTGCAGACGTCGTGGAGTAGCTGCGAGCTTTGGGGGCAGGCACACGATCCATGCAGCAGCAACCGAGGTGCAAGTACAAGTGCAAGAGCCGAGAACGAATGTGAAGAGACAGAACGCCTCGCAAGTGTGTTTGAATCCAAGGAATGTGTGTGGTGAATGCTGGGGCGCAATGAGTTAGGTGATCGGCAGAGGATTTCGCGATTCGGCGGGAACGGGAGGCCGACGACGAAGAGAAAAGGCGATCAGGACGAGGGGTCGAAAGGAGCGTGGGTCGCTAGGGAGCGTGGTCGCCTGCGCGCTGCGAGTACGTGAGGGTGAGGTTAAGGAGCGGAATGAGGGTGAACACCTCGGCGGGGGGAGTTGGGACCGTGTAATGGGCTCTCTCCCAGGACAGCGTGGGCAAGGCGATGTGCTGGGGAAAAGTGACAGGGCAAGCACAGGCGTCAGAGAGTGCAAGGTTTCATTTCCACTAACCCTCAGAGGTCATCTCCGCGCATGGGCGCCAACGTCGCTCATGGCAGCACCGTGTCTGCAGGGAAGGCCTTCCGTGGGCCAGCTGCCGGCTGCCGCGACGCGCCCAGAGCGTGCGGCTGGTCTCTGCTGCGGCCTCACGACTCTGCGATGGCGCGCGACGGCGTGTGATGGGGGAGCGTCGTGGACCTGCGACATGGAAACAGTGCACCGCCGAAACGGGCGCTAGGCGGTCGCAGCCGGCATGCCGCTGTTTCGAAAGACGGTCGGGCGCGTGCAGGCTGCATAGGCAATCGAATCGTCCTCTTCAGAAGCTCAAGACCGCCGGCGACTCAGCAGCGACAAGTCGCATTGTGCACTGCAGCTGGCCGGTGGGAGGCAACAGCGACCGCGCGCCCGGCATAGTGAATCAGAACAGAAAACTGATTCAGTCGAGCAGTAGCTCAGGGCTCATGACTGGCCAATTGCACGGTCGCCAGTGCCCGCGCTCCAAGACGAATCCTTCAAGAGCACAAGAACCTTAATGCTCTTAATGCTGCGCGACCTATAGCTATTTTCGCACGCGTCCATGCCCCCTCAGCCGGTCCCAGGTTCGCCCCTTTGGAACGACGGCGGGAGACACGCCTGGAGACGACTCTCTGCCTTGCCCACGAGCTCGTCGCCATGCGGAGAGAGGTCGGCGGACTCGCATTCGACAGCGTTCGTGGCATATTCTGAGCGGGCGGCGCCCTGGTACCTTGCAGCTGGCCCGCTAAAAGATCCAATCGCGCTGATCCGCGTACCGAAGGCGTGGGCCCCTTTCCACGACCCCTGGACGGACCATCCTCGACCGCCCCTCAAACGAATAGCGCTCGCCGACGATCGTGCTCTGTTGCGACACCGCCAGCTGGACGCTGTGCATATTCCTTAATATTGTACCTCAGAGAGGATATTGCTTATCTCAGCAAGCTTCCGAGTAAAGTAACAGGCACGACTTAGCGCCCTGCGTTTGTGTTAATTAAGCACACATCGGCGTGGCTTCCTGGCCTGCAAGCCTTTTCCTTGCAGCTGCAGCACACCAACGGAGCATACGCAACCCACTGCTCGGCGCGGGTGGCACTGTGTTGCACTCTGCATTTGCTGGCAGAAAGCCCGACGAGCTCTCATGTCGACGACAGCGCTATTGACGGGAGGATTGCATTGAGCTGCAAACAGCTTATATACCGACGACTATGCACATGCGCGGCTTCTGGAGCGAGAAGCCGCGATATCGACCATCGATCTTTTGTGTGTGGGTATCCCAGCACAACAGCCGCTCCCGAAATTGGAACGCGGCCCACAGAGAACGGTTCGGTCGTCACTCGGCTACAGTACCATCGCGATGCAATTTCACGCCCTGCAAATGTTGAAGTCATCGAAATTGAGTTGTGCTGACAGAAGCTGTCGAGACCGGGCTGCGGGTTGGCGATGGCGTTGGGTGCCTGGCCGTCCCGTCCCCGTGCGATGGAAGACGAGATGACGATCTGCTCCCGGAGCAGCATTTTGCTTCCGATCGCATCGCCTCGATCCCACTCGCCGGATGCGGCAGCCTGCACGCGTCGCGCCTGTTCGCGTGGCGGTCTGTGGTAAACAAAGCCCACGCGACGTACTGACCCGCCCTGCGTTTGTACGGATGCCGCAGGCGCGGGCTTCATCAAGCGAGCGCCGTTCGTATTGCCCCTAAATATATGTCGCTGTGAGAATGACAAGGCTGAGGCGAGCGGGCTACTTGATCTGCACCTTTGTTGGTTGTTTGTTTGCTCTCAAGGAGTCGAAAACTAATTTGCATCGTGACTGCCCGCAGCAGCCCGCACACTCAACAACCTCGCCATGCGACTTTCCAGCTTACGTTTCACATTTAATGTAGGCCAGTGTAAGCTGAACGATCCAGCGCAGAAGGATCGCGCTCGTATCCAATCGCCTAGCCTAAGGAAAACTTGCGCGATCCCTCAACAGAAGCAGCGTGTCCCCTCACGTCGCCCGGTTGTGATTCCTCGCCCGCAGCGGTTTGCCCGCAAAGTGGCTGCACACAAGTGACTTGCAATAGACGCGAATCGAGGCGGACGCCGAGAGAGGGGCAGCCGTCACCTGCTGTATGTCTCGTGTGTTGGGGTCCACCTTGTTCGACTTTTTGCCTCTCAGTTGTGGGTATCCCTGCTTCGAATCTGGTTCATTTCTATACCAGCGGGCTCAAGGGCTTGATTCGCTTTGCTTATGCGAAGCTGTTCGTTGCTTGCCGCACTCTCGTCATAATACCCCTCTTTAATCAAACCTACCAGAAATGTGGCCGCTGCAATTTTGACCCATGGCAATGGTCACTCACCAGAACCCAGCATCGTACGCAAAATATCTAAACGGCCATGCCTACATTCTCAACGTTGGTTCAGTTTCGGTCCGCATTTCAATCTCGAACTGGAAGTTATATAGACTCAATGGATCGTGTGTCGCTTCTCCGCAATGTGGTCCTAGCCCCAATCTACTTGATTGCACGGCCGAGTTTATACAACATTTCTCCACCACTGTCATTTTCACATTTTATAGATTCCAGTCCTTACAATTTGAAGCTCATTGCGGCTGTTTGTGACGTCTGACCCGCAAGACTGTGTGTTCGTACACTGGACCCAAATTTCTGGCGTGGTGCTACCGATCGAGCCGCAGGGGACGGCACCAAACTGGGAGTTCTGGAGCAGACTTACGATGAGTCATCCTGTAGTATTTCGCGCCGTTCCATGGCTGTAGAACCATAACTAGAGAGTACATCCTGCGTCCTCATAGCTACGCTGATTCCAAGTCTTGTTGTTGGCCACTGCGAGCGAGTTTTCGAGTTTACCACTTACGAGAACCTCGCTTTGCGCATCATCACTCACAGAAACAACACAGGAGCAAGCGTGTTGTAACAGATCTGGTACCACCTTATAATGATACTCGCTGGTTCTGAAGCACGACGACATCCATCGTTTGCCCATACTCCGAGTACACTGGCTGCAGCCAGACCTTCTAAAACAAGGCTAAAGTGGAGAGCATTTACTGAAGCACAGAAATGACGCGAAGAGTTCTTTCTGTTGCCACTCATGTGGATGAATTCCATGCGAGTCTGTACATATCGGCAACCGTACAGCTGGCTACTGCAGAAGAAATTAATATAAATGCTCACTGAGATGCTGAAACACAGGTATTGCAAAGCAGTTGAAATGATCACAGTGCGGGCCGATTGTGCAATTGCAACCAATTACTTCCAAACTCGCGATGCAGACCTGCAACGCTCGTGGGGTCACTCCATGCTCTCTGAAGCTGACCACTGGCGCTAAAAAGGACATTGCGTATACATGATCAAATGTGTGCATAGTCGTGTCTGCAGAGTTTGAAACTGGCCCAATTTCTACATGCTCGAGGTATCTCTGTCCATTTCGCTGCATTTGTCTGTGTGTATAAAGTCCCGGATCTGGAGCCACAGTGCTTGCAGTCTAGCCAGTCTTCCCTCATACTAAACGAGAGTAACCAGACCCGGGCTGTACTTGACCGGGAGACTCTTGACCTGCCGGACTAAGGCTGTCAAGATAATATTGGAATTGCATCCACTCATTCTGGGTGATGGTATTTGATTCATTACCGGCGCGTACCTACATAGGATGAAACAGGAGCTGTACTTGCTATTTCTCCTGAACTACATCCTCTATATGATGAGGGGTTAGCGGTTTCTCCTCGTCTTTATCCTCTTCATCTTTATCCTTCCGTCTTCTTCGCTAGAGCCACCTGGCTCCGCCGAACTAGCACTTCTCTTCTCTCGTGGTTCTCCTTGATCAGCTTTCACGACCATCTCGCTATCCTCGAACTCCTCCATTCCCACGCATCATCTGTCTGGACTAAAGTACCAAACATGAGACAGCCAGAGTAGAAATTGACTCCACATAATTCTCCTCCTTCTTTCATGCCAAAGCGGATTAATTGCAACCCGCAATAACGTGCCGTCATACAGCTAGAAAACTCCTTGGTGAGAAGAGGCTTGGTGGGAAGAGGGAAATGTTTGATGTGTTAGCTTTGGTTATTGACGCGAGGTGGTGTCCCGTGTTTCGATTAACAAAGTGGACTGCGGCTGACGCCTAGTATTGAACAAATAGAAGCGGTTCAAGGGGTTTCACATACCTCAATCCGGCCCGAGCATATTGCTGTCGGGGGGACGCTGGTAACCTGCCTTTGCCGTGCTCGAGTGTCAGTAACGAAGTGTGTCCAACCGACGGTGGGATGATTCTCGGCAAAGTAGGCTTACCAGAAAAAGTTTTTGTTCGGGAGCTCGGCACCCCACTTGGAGCTTTATGATATAGATTTGGAAAATGTGCGCTCAACGCCCACGGCAGAACACTCTGTGACGAGTTTTAATATGTCGATATATATCTTAAATTTCAGGATTTCGCATAATCTATCCAACGGTGAGATGGCCGAGTTGGTTATGGCGCCAGGTTCAGGACACTGAATCACTATTCCTGGTCACGAAAGTGGCGTGGGTTCGAGTCCCACTCTCATCACTATCGTCCGCTCGCAGAGCGGTCTTCGGGAGATTCTTTTTTGGCTTTTGGGTGTGTGGTGGAGCACTCTGTGGGCAGCTTATCGATAGCGAGCTTCCCCGCCAACATTTTTTGACTCAAGGGCCCATTTGCTCCAACACACTCGCGCAACACTGCAACGCACCACCTAGTTTCTCTGTTCACAAACGCGCCTCTCCCTCTGATACCGAGCGACTTCACGGCTTCTAGCCGTTTTCTTTTTCACCATGCCTCCCAAGCCGGCCTCCCTCCGCACCCTCCTCGACCTCACCTCTACAACCCTTGCCCTCCTCACGCACTTCCAATCCTCGCTCTCGCCCACCGCCACAGCTGACGCCTCTATCCCGCCGCCACCAAACCCCCTCCAGGCCCTCAAGGCCTGCACCTCGCTTCTAAAATCGCACACGACGACGCTCTCGCTGCTGCTCCTTACCCCCCCGCTCACACCCAGCGCGATAATCACAAAAATCGGGGATGTGAGCTCGGGCCCGCTCACGGGGCTGGTCGGCGCGGCGGTCGCGGAGGGTGAACTCGGCGACCTCATGCAGGCCGAGGTCAAAGTCCAGGTGCGGAGGTTGCTGGGGGCGTGGGGCGAGGTCGTTGGGTGTGTAGTGAGACTTGCGGAGAGGAGGAAGAAGCTCGAAGACGAAGGCGGGGCGGCGCAGGCGAAGAAGGACGACGGGCCGACTGAGGGCGAGAGGCAGGCCGTGCTTGCCGCGACCGGGGTTGTCTGGGAGGCGTGCGATGCGCTGGTCAAGCTCTGCGATGGGGGGATTGCGGGGCTGGTGGTGCGCAAAGCGGAGGAGTGGAGAAGCGTGCTGTTGGATGCGGTGGAGGAGCTGAAGGAGTGGGGTGACGATGTGGACGACGATGACGCTGAGGAGGGCGGCAGTGATGGAGAGTTTGGGGATGAAGATGAGATGTTTGGCGCGGCTAACAAGCTCGGGAAGGAGGACAAAGAATTGAAAGAGGTGTTGGACAAGAGCGTGAAGAAGCTAAAGATGGTCGGCGTGCTGTACCAGGCGCTGATCAAGAGGCGGCTGAAGACCTTCCCGAGCATTTCGCCGGCGACGGCAGCGAGTGCTAAGGGACACAAGAATCCTATGACGACGCTGGAAGAGCTCATGAAGTTGATCAAGTCGATGCCAGAGCAGGTGGACGATCTCGCGAGCGCATTCTACGATCTAGACGCAGACGAAGCCAAGACGATGCTAGACAAGTGTTGCGGAGAAGCCAAGAGTGCTGCTACTCTGGTCAAGCAGAACTGGTCGGGCAATGACGACGAGTTCACGGCGTGGTCGACAAAGTGGGTGGATGCTCTCAACGCACCTTGAGTGCCAACTAGCTACGGTACGTTACTTCTTTTTCTCTTTCCTCCTGCAATATGATGACACATTTTACCCTGAACATGATGAGGGTTATACGCAACATTCCAATTGTTCCTACTGATAGCAACATCAACGTTTTTATTACTTCCTGGCCAAGCTGCTTCACCTCACTGACGCATGGCTAGGTAGTAACGCCTCAAATCCTGCCGGACGGGTCAGCGGCTGACACAAAAACCTGGACTTTGGGATACCTTATCTTGTAGACACTTACTGTATAAAACGGCCACAAAAGAGTTGCCTGATAGTCGACCCCGAAGTTTCATGGCCGAAGCATCCAGGTTTTGCTGTCACCCACTGTGGATCCTGGCATTCGAAGCCTATGGGACGCCGGTACCATGATTCCCACGAAACAACAGACCAGATACGAGTACTCCTTACCCCAGCTTTGACTGGATCAAAAGGCTTGGTCGAGAAGAGGTAAATTATCTAATTGGCAACTTGAAGAACGAGATAAACCCCAAAAGTCTTTCCCGGAGCTCGAAAGACTCCAACCCGTCGATCAAAATCCATGCACCATATCTTGTTCACACCCATCCTGAGCGCATCTTGGAGTTCACCAATCTCCACGCATGTTCCACCCCACTCCTCTACAGCTCTGATCCAACCGTCATGCTCCGCCTCCAACTTCGCCTCCAACCCCTCTGCCGCAACGGCACCCAATTCGTTCGGAGGGCATGGCAGCTGGCAGCGGCCGCAATGAAGCGCAGGAGATCCTCGCAGTTAGTGGGCCAAGTGCAGGTTCCATGATGCAGGCACCTTTGGTAGGAGAGCTGCTTGCCAGTCACACCGCGGCACCTGTGCTAGTGTACGATCTTGCAGGGCCATTTTCATGACATTAGCAACAGGCTTTTCGCCCAACGTCGCCTGTGAAGACCTGGACTCTACAGCCCAACTCGCACATATCACGAGTCTCTCGGGGCGGAAGGCACGGGTCTCTCCGTTTCAAACCTTCACGGGCATATCACGAGGGAAGTTCATTGTTTCTTTCATAGTGGAATGTGTGCTCGATGAGTTTGCTCAACGTACGCACTGGTGATAAAGAAGCTCTGCCGCAACTTTGCATACACTCGATGGAGATCCGATAGAGGCGGAACTCTGATAGGCAAAACCAACGTCAAGCACAAGGAAAAGCAGCCCTGGAAGGTGTGTTCCGATTGTTCTTGATTTGTGGTGTCTTGCGTGCTTTGGTAGGGGCTTGTGTTCAAGGCCAAAACACGAGAGTTGGATAAATCACTACTCTGGAACCAAGTACGTTGGCAGTCTCCTCACCAAGAAGCGAAGAGTTCTGGTGCAATGAATAATCAATCAGTCATAGTGGCTGCCACTCAAAACTGGACTCTTGTGCAGTTGTGCAAGTATAATTTAATACTCTATCCCGATGTTTCATAGTCACAGAAAGTCTACTTATAAATTTTACCCGCTGTGCACCTTGTGAAGTGATCCTGCGTGGATTGAAGTGTACGTTCATGATTGAGGAAGTAATTGCATGTGAAGCCCCAAACGATCACCGCATCCTGACCCATCCTTCCTCAACTGTCTCTCCTGCAAAATGTTGGTGACGCGTACCTTACGTACGATAACTACCCTAGAAGAGTTACTCTAGCGATCATTGACTATGATCATCTCCAAAGGTTCCTTGTAAAACTGACTGCGGTTCTTGTACAGATAATCGAACCCCTAAAAGCCTATCTACACTAGTGTCTTGCTGAAGGTGCGCTATGCGAATTCGATGAGCATGTCAATACCTTTGTTTGTTATCTGTATCATTGTAAGACGGCCATCAGAACACTTGCCACATCCGGCGCCGGCAGCATCCAGATTCTTGAGCCTTCGAAAAGCCCATCCTCGACCACCCACCGTTGGCCTAGCCATTCTACCTCGGGCCACTTTTCACTCGTAGAGCTCAGTGTGACTCTGTCATCGTTGTCTTTTGCCGTTTACGACGCCACTCTTGGCCAGCCACATAGCACCAGAGTGAGTGGTCAAAACCGCACTAGTGTTCTTGCTTGCCTCGCGCATGCACTCCAAGCTTTCTTCCTTTAACAGCTCCGTGGTCTGGGCCGCCAGTCAAAAGAATATCAAGATCTAAAGGCGCATCCTCATAGGGGTGCTTCGGGACCACATGCATGCTAGGTGTAATCATTGTTGCGTTGAAAGAAGAAGAGACGTAGAGACATTCCATAGGGGTTGTTTATCTAAGAAGTGATTTATAGTCAGGATTGATCTGCGCGCGTTGATGGCCATGATCTCCGGCGTCTGGAAAATAAGAATGTCGAGACTGGAGAGATCGCTGAGCTAGACGTTTTCGCAGAGAACACCGACGCGCAGAGGCTTTTGGGTGTTGTTTATTGGAGATTGAGCGACGACGTAACACGGACTGTGAGGGCGCTTGCGCCAAGCGCCTTGCAGAGGAGGTTGTTCAAATACATCCTGGTAAGACTTGGTGGATTGAATCTGATCGCAGTTACCTCTGGGGCGCTGCCATAGATTCAGGTAGATGTCATGCTGGTGTTGTCTAATCGTCGCCTAGGTGGTGCTTGTTCGCCACTGAACGCACTCTTGTTGGAACCTGCTCAAACACTCGCACCATACGTTGACTTCCAAACTGTGAGCATGCAGGAAGAAGGCTGCTCATTTATTTTGTGGTTGCATTGTGCTCAGACGGATCGGGTATTGGGAAGTTTCCGTGCCGGCTTGCGAAGTACCATTAATCCTCATTGAATACTTTCTCTGAGTGGCACTGAATAGGCAAGCGGATGCAATGCCATCCCTAGTATTGATGGGAATTCAATGCAGCATAGTAGCATACAATGCATGATCATGATATATCAGGTCGTAGCAAGTTGGAGCCTAATTTAATCTGATTCGGGGCATTCCTTCGACCTGTCTCGGTACAAGTGTGTATACCGGGAAAATAGTGAATTTCACACGTCCCAAGACTCATGCGCTCTATCATATTTAGGTATTATGAGTGCTGAGAATGTTCTTGACCTTCAGATCCGCTCATGCTACCTATATGCAGGCTCCGAGGGGATTACGCACCTTGGAAGGTGACATGATAGATATTTCGATGAACGGTCCTGCCGTGATTCTACCTTACATGACAAGAGGCCACATAAATATTTGCTAGGAAATATTTATCCAGATTTGAGATTGTAGCATGACAAGTGAGCCGATGATCGGCATATCTGACTAACCAGCACTCGCTGTTTGCTACACCGATTCACCGTGTCCAACGTTTTTTTAGCGCCCGAACCCCGCAGATTGGTCGACTAGTGGACGAGGAGGATCACGCTAATACCCACGTGTGGACCAACAAACGCGCATCCGTCGGCAGCTACCCGGTTACGACTTCTTCGGCCGTTAAAACCTGCTTGTCTCGCCCCGGCTCGAAGTTCGTATTTGTCTACTTGCTTTTTCAAAGTCAAGCTTCTACACTCGTTCCAATTGGCGAGCTGTTCGAGACATCTCAGCGACCATGGCAGCGGACTCGTACACCCTGGGCATTGCCCTCTTCGCCGCGATAGGAACATTTCTCTTCGTCAGTATGAGTTCCGAATACAATTGCGTCATCTGACGAAGTAGGGTTTTGATACTGGTATCGCAACAACTACTATTGCCCATCAATCGTTCCTCGACTACATGCACAATCCCACCAAAGCAATCACTGGAGCCGTGGTCGCAGTTTATATTGCTGGCGAGGCGGGGGGTGCAATATTGCAAACGCTTATCGGTGACCAATTGGGACGCATTCGATTCATGCAACTTATGTGTGTCATCGTCACAATAGGTACCGTCATACAAACAGCTAGTATCAATATGGGCATGTTTCTAGCTGGTCGCGTTCTGGCGGGATTCGCAGTCGGGGGCCTAGTCTCAACAGTGCCTATATATTTGAGCGAAATCTCCGCGCCTCAGACACGAGGAATGATAGGCGGGATCTCTGGGTGTGGTAAGCACAAACGTGATCTCACAACCAATGGTTTTGTCGTAGCTGACGCATGTTCTGAGGCATCTCTTTTGGCACCATGATGTCAAACTGGGTGGGTTTCGCCTGTAGTTATGCTCCATATGGACCACAACAGTGGCGTCTGCCTCTGGGCATCCAGATTCCATGGGGTATCATAATGTTCGTTGGGCTCGCAACGTTCATGCCCAACTCACCCCGTCAGCTCATCCGGCAGGGCAAGGTCGAGTTAGCACGTTCGCAATTCGCTCGTATACGACGTGACCTCTCTTTGCACGAGCTGAACGAGGAATTTGCCCTGATGCACGCTCAGATTGAGTATGAAATGGAGCGCGAGATCACCTCATATCTTGAGGTGTTCAGACTCTATCGTCACAGAGCATTGGTTTCTATTGCGGTTCAGACGATGACCAGCTTGACAGGAGATAAGTCACCAAGTACCTTCTCATGTCTCTACAGGCTGACCAAGCCCCACTCAATGTTATTCAGTACTTCCAGACCATCAACTACAAGTCACTTGGCATCGAAGCGCACATGATCTTGGCTCTGGCCGCTATCTACGGCACGTGCGCCTTTGTATCCAATGCCATCACGACGAGGTATTTGACCGACCAGTGGGGCCGTCGGAAGATGATACTCTGGGGCCTTGGAGGAATCGTCGTCATCGAAATATACGCTGCAGTCATGCAGCGCGAATTCCAGGATACGAATAATCGCCTCGGCAAAGGTTTTGCCATTCTCGGCATCTACCTCTTCGTGGTCTGGTACTATGGCCTTCTGAATAGCACTACATGGCTATATGGCTCGGAGGTGCTCCCAATGGCTCTCAGGAGCAAGATCATGGGTTGCGCAGCAGCCAGCCATTTTATCGTTAATGTTGCCATCACTGAGGCTGCACCGACAGCACAGGCGAAGCTGAGAGAGAACTATTACTATGTGTTCGTGGGCTGCTCATTCTTCTTCTTCATAGTGGCATACTTCTACTTTCCAGAGACGCGGTTAAAGAGCCTTGAAGAAATTGCTGCCGCGTTCGGCGATGAGGTGGTTCTGGTTGATGAACATACAGTGGAAGCAGAACACCAGAAAATGGTAGACGAAAGACGCGAGGAGGGATTCGTTGAGCGTACGCCATAGGCTCACACCTAGATATCCGAGCTCATAGCCAACAATCTCATACCAGTAAAGTGGGCACTTCGCAAACCCAAACCTGCTCGATGGGGGACGGTATTGTCTCCCCCCGATGGTCTAATAGCTGCAATAGACAATGTCTCTCCAATGTGCGAGCTACCCAAAGGCACTGCACTCCCACCCATATCTACATGGTCCGACGCTATGTTCAGTCAATGGCGTCACGAATGCAGAATCTTTGCGATTGAAACTGGCAAACCTGCTTCTGATCTCAAGTACATAATCAGGCACGAGGTCGTCAACACTAAATCATTGGCGCTTATCAAGGAAGCGGTGAAGCGACAGTTCTATGAATTCCCTGATACAGATAGCAGTATAACAGTCAAGGTAGACTCACCGAGGGTAAGCTTCTGCTCGCAGGCCCAGATGGGGTAGGGGTAGCCTACCTGCTAATGCAACACAAGGACCAGCTGGGCCACAAGGTCGTAGATCGCATCGCAATTTGGCGGGATCCCCTACCCCACGGACACTGGATGGATTTCGTAATAAATCTGATCTTCAACATCAAGAGTGCAGATGTGAGCAAAACCAAAATTGAGGCGGCCGAGGCGAATGTTGTGGAGCGATAAATGGGCGCCGTGGACAAGACCGAAAGTCGAAAAGATGGATGACGAGGACATCGCTTCCATCCTATGCATGAGGACAAAGGGTGGGTGAAACCATGATCACAGCCCTACATCAACGATATAAATTAATCTAATGATGTCTTGCTCACTCCTCTCCAACATAGACATCTAACAACCGTAACGAGTTCGTCATCCCGGATTTTGAACACAAAGCCATACCCTCGTTTCAAACGTGGATTTGGGATGTGCGAAACTCGTGGTCGCACGGATTGGGGTCCAAACCCAAACTCGCATTTGCGTTTGCATCACGTGACTAAACGTTGGCGGGAAATTACGGATTTCGGTCCGCTCAGAAACACGACTACGTTAATCATGACTTTCATTACTTGTTTGCCAGACCTTGTCTTGCTGGGGCGGTTGTCCTGCGCAACAGGCAGCGGCCTTCTCAATTTGCTGGTCTGGGTTGAAGAGTCATCATAATACATGTGGTACAACCACCATTCTAATTAATATGCATCGCGGGGTACATACTATCGTGTGAAAACGTACAAGGCCAGGCTAGGTTTGGTAGAATTCGGTCAGGATAGGCGCCGAAGAGGATGAAGATGTGAGCTGTCGTTGGAAGTCGGAAGGATCGTGGGGGTTGCGCAACGTCATTGGTCCCTGTCACCACCTACGAAAATCATCGCCACGGTCGAGAGAATCCCAACCAAAACCTGTATGTAATATACATTGTGAGCTGCACAAGAAAGGTATGGTGATATCGATGTGGCCATGTAGATAGGAAAAGGCGAAGAGCACGAGTTGAAGTTGGAAAGAGCAAGTGGGCTCCCATGTCGATAGGCTTGAGTACAAGCCGACAGTATGCAAGTAAACTACGACTACAAGGCTATCCGAGTACTCATTTCATGCGAGTGTGACTCGATTAGCGCTCCAAGTACGTCCTTTTTTCCCGTTTTGGGTGCGGCGTCTCTCACCTCGTCGCTTCACCTTGCGTGTCCGCGATTTCTGCGTTACCGTGTCAACCTTTATTTTACCTTGACGCCACGCTCACTCTCGTTTGATAGCTTCTCATCTAGCTTCCTAACGCTTCTCCACTCAAATTTTCCAACTCTCCCTCTTCTCTCCTTCCATCGCACGACTGCTACTTCTACTTCACACATCTTGCACTTCAATCGCCCAACGCCACTGTCGCAATATCGCCAACACTCTTCAAGATGCCTATGTCCTGTAAGTACCCCAGGGTAGACTTTGTGGTCGTATTCTTGCATATAGTTGGCTGATCCCGCATCAAGGGACTCCCGAGAACGACCGTCTTCTGCTGCTCAAACTCATCGAGACGCATGGCATCTCAGTCGATTCCAACAAAATTGTGGCAGCATGGCGTGAGTACCTACGCTCAATTAATATCCTGGGTCAACGCATGGCCTATTTTCCGGCGCGATGGCTAACCTGCAACAGCGGACGGCGGCACGAAGCCCACGGCTCGCGCGATCACTGAACGCTTTGTGAAGCTTCGCCAGTACGATGCTCCCCAGTACAGAGTCGCTGTGTCTCATACATAGCCGAGCTGTACATATACCCAATTCTTTTTACTCTGCTGACTTCGTACCCGCGAGTATAGGCAGGCCGGCATCAAGGTATCCATTACGCCTGGCGGTGCCTCTGGCCGGCGCAAGGCTCCCGTCTCCAAGTATGCGACGCCGAAGAAGCGCAAGAACAAGGATAGCAGCGACGAGTCGGATGCGGACGATCAGGCCACCGAGAACGAGAGCCCGACCAAGAAGCAGTCTATCCAGCGTTTTAGCGGAGGTCGTGGCCGTGGTGGCGCCGTGCGTGGAGGTCGTGGCGGACGTGTGGGCACGCAGAATGCTAGATCCCCTGCTGTCCAGATAAAGTCCGGTATGTGCAACGGTATAGTATCATGACAGATGCTTGGATGTCCTGCGCATGTATCGCCTATCCTGGAGTAACACGCAGTATTCAAAATCCTGTTCCACTGCTGTGGAGGCTTTGAAAGCAGAATACTGATCTCTGTTCAGAGTACTCGCTCTCCGATCTCCCGCCCGACCCTTTGGATTCAGTTGACACGTTCGCACGCGACGCTGCCGAGGCTGCGGAGCTTCGCCATACTTCCCAGCAGAACCCCTTCGCGGGCTTCACCTCGGCTGAAATGAACGGCGGCATGAACGGCGGCTTCCAGGGATTTGATACCTCTAATGTTCATCGTGGTCTGGATGGACTCAGCATGACTAACGGCTTTGCCATGGACGATCCTTTCACCGCGCCCACCCACCCTAGCCACGGCTTCCACAACGACATGCCAACCTTCGCCAACGCCATGCAGGCCACCGGCGGTGGTGCAATCCCCGTCAGCCGTAATAGGTCCACCCGCACTGCCTCTGTCCAAGCTTCTGAGGGTGTTGCGGCTGTTCTTCGTCGTCAGAAGGACATGGACAAGGCCGATGGCGAGAAGTCAAGCGGCGAGGATACCCAAGCTTCCGAGTACTACGATCTCGACAATGACTACATCTAGGCTGGGTGAAAAAGCAAGTGGCCTACGCCAGCTTCATGGTATCGTGGTATGATGTGGCATGAAAACTTTTGGGTCAGAGCTATCAAATGGGAATATCTTTGATGAAATCGATGACGGATGAATGGTGCATGGTTTGTTCCTACTGGCTAAGGTTGTTTATTTGGGTACCTCGTTTTACCTCAGGACAGGCCGAAACAAATCTCAGCTTTCCGCTGCACAGTGCTCAATCTTGCTCATGTTAGTGCACTGTGTTACCTGAGGATAGGCCAAATCAAGATTCATATTCCTCCATTCCATGTCTGCTAACTCTAACTCTTGATAACTCGAGGGGTGACTCGTGCTCTCTTGTATCCCTAGCCGTGGAGGCTCTCAGTACATCCTCACCGCCTATGTATTTTCTTCGACAACTGCGCCAATGCCTCTGGTACTTGACCAGGGATAGCCTCGAAAGCAGCTCCAACAGGCCGTCCTAGTCCATCTCCCGGATGTAACAAGAGCGCTTCTCTGCCGTCATAGTAGAGGGGTCTTTCTTTGGTGCGAAGTCCGGGCCTGTGGTCCTTTGGGAGTGGATGACGTCGATGCCTACCGGCGTGTTCAGTACTGGGATATCTCGGGCTCATCTTATGGAGGAGCACTCACTCCGTACCTCCTTCATCCTCTTCTCCTTCACCCACTCAGAGAAGCTGATCGCGATCTTCTCAAGAGACTTTCGGGAGATCAGAGGCAGATAAGCGGCGAGAGCGTATCTTGACTCAACTCGAACCTTGTCCACGTCGTCAAGGTCTCTGATAGAGACGGTCCGCTCGTACTCGATGTTGGTCATGAAGAGGTCTAGTCATGTGTGAGCGTTTGTAGGCAGCTCGTGTTCTGGGTGCGGCATTGTACTAATTATTGAATGCGCTGGGGTGGCTGGTAGCTTCGCTGGAAGCGTTGAGGATGAAATCGGCGAGGGCGATCATGCGGTCGGGGCTCGAGGTATTGCAGAGGAGAGCGGTTTTCAGCATGTTCGTGGAAGCGGCCCAGGTAACCATCTTCTTTGCGACGTCGGAGGTCGGGATGCTGAGGCTGTGCTTGGAAAGCTCGACATGATCAGGGTTGGTAGCGCTGAGATGCACTGTATCTACAAAGTCTTCGACTGCGAGTTTGTTCGGTCCTACCCTTTGATGAGTTAAATTGGCTGTTAACGGTGGCTTGACAAGTTAGTTTTCGCAGCCGTTAGTCTTCACTCGTCGCCCGGTCTGTCGACTATCTGTCGCGCGTTTGCTTGTCACCCAGACACTCGCAAACCACCCATCAACTCAAAAACACGCGCACGGCTGTCCAACTCATCTATCTCGACTTCGAAGGCTGCACTTGCCTTCTCAATACAAATGGCGCACAAAGACCTTCTCAAGAAGGCCTTCCGTAACAACTTCATCCGCAAGTCCGTCGCCGACCTCAAGTCACTCGGCGCAAAGGAAGCGCACCCGAAGCCTCGCCATACCAGCTCCACCAACTTGTTCTCTCGTACCGAAAACGATGTCCCGGATCTTCCCACTCCCCCAATGAGTACAGAGGACTCCGACGCACAGAAGGTTACCGAGCACGAGCACAAGACTGACGACAGCGCTTCAAGTCTGGTGGCTGCTTCCGAAGCCGCCAAACCCTCGCGCGAGAACGTCGCGGAGTGGCTCCAGACCGTTCCAAAGGACCCGGCGACGATGTCGTCTACGGAGATACGGGTAGAGATGGAGAAGGTGTGGCTGCAATTCTTGTCATGCTCAAAACCGCTCCAAATAACACCAAGTAGGCCGACGCCGATCGCAAAGCTCAGATCTTGCGCAGCCACGAGCAGCTGCTCCGCGACCACCGCGACCTCGTAGTGGCGTCCGAGAAGATGATCGTCTCGCACCTCGATACGATTGAGACAGCCTTCGCTTTACTGGAAATAATGGATGCGCTCAGTTCGCATGCTGAGCCGATGAGGCGGGAGATGTTGGAGAAGAAGCAATTCTGCGAGAAGAAGCTGATAGACTTGTCGCCTGTGAGGTCCAGGCTGGAGACATTGAGGGCGGGGAAGGGGTACATCTGCCTAGACGCTGATTGAGAGAGAAGCATCGGTAGCTTGGCTAGAGGAGGTCTTCAAAAGGACGAGGAAAGGAATCTGGGTGGTCTTGATGTTCTGCACTCAGGCCAAGGAAATTATTTCGTACAATCGCATACCAGTTTTCGACAGTACTGTAACATCTCACTGATAGAGTAGGAAAAAAAGAGTAAACTGCTCTCACCTACAGCGGTACAGGTGAAGAGCACATCATAGTCCAACTGATTGCGCATAGCGTTCAAACGGGCCACTCTCTTTCTTGGAGCCGCGCTCTCCAGTTCCTTCCCACTCGACATGACGCCCGACAGTGCAACTTACTCCATCCAAACTGCTCTGGCACAGCTACCCTTGGTAAGACCTCGCGATTGGTCCACGAAGACCTTCTGAACTCAGATTATCGCAGGAAGCGAACATGGTGGCCCATCCGGCATCTCCCAGCGATCCGACTGCGTCCAACAACGCCACTCCGGTCCCGAAAGAGTAGCCCCGGAGCATATTTAATGTCATTGATCCCGAGGAATTGTTGGATCAACTCAGGGTAAGTCAAGACTAAGACCCTCGAGAGCCAGTGGAAGAGCTGACACGCGAGGATTATCAGGACGAAGCGGCCGTGAAGCTACCCGCCTGTGAGAGCTAATTGATCGAGAGACAGAGCAACATGGCTGTGAATCTCTTGCAGATGTCGGCCAAAGCATACGACATCCGCATGTCGCTTCTCGAGCTGACTACCTGCCTCGAGACCCGCTTCTTTCAGTATGTGCTGATCAAGAATCTTGAGATCGACAACCGGAAGGCGCAGAGCGAACTGTAAAAGGCTGAAGTGGACTTGCTGCGACAAGAACTACGAGCGTGAGGCAGAGAAGGCGGGTGATCATGGAGAGGACGCATCGGGTGAGGAGATGGAAGCCGGCGGTGGACGGAACGCCTAGTTGATGCTGGAGAGTGGCTTGGCTCAGTCGATGGGAGAAGTTGAAAGAAAGTGACACTGGTCTGAAAAGCTATGTAATCATGAGAAATTATGATAGGGCGTTCTGGACGTGCGCGTAATGGTCGCGAATTCGTCGATGCCTACCCGCCTCATCGTAGCTCCAGATCGTCAGAGGGTTCATTAGAATTATATCTCATGTCTATTTCGCAAATACTCGTTCGGTGTGTAGCTCCGAGCGACTGGGGGAAGAAGGGAATTCGCTGTCTCGGCAGCCCGTGTGTGACAATGATATGCGAGTGAAGTGTCAGATGCGGTGTGACAGGTGGCGAATAGCGACGAATAACCGCGCCCAGCGCACAACGACGCGAATCATCTTGTCTCGCCCCCGCACAAAGGCCTTTACTTGCGCATCACTCGCTGAGAGTAGGAGGTCAGTTGCACTGCAAGCAAGCGAGGTCGAAATTGACGCACTGCGCACCTGTCACGCTTGGCCATTCACAGCTAGGCACGCCCTTAGTGCTGCACATCGTTCCTTCCCAAGCGGGCTGTGTCAACAAACGCTCGCACCACGGCCCCTCTTTAACACTGTCGCCCACCTGCAAAATGCTCCCTCACTACCTCTTCTTCTGCGCTGCAGCGCTTCCACGCGCGCGCAACCTCCCAGGATGAGGGAGTCCGACAGCCTGACGCTCGAGAATGGACGCGTCCTGTCATTTGCGATATACGGCTCACCCGTTCCCCACACCAGCGTCTTCTACTTTCATTCCTTCGCTTCCTCGCGGAAAGAAGCGAAAATCTGGCACACAGCTGCCGCGAAGCTGGGTGTACGCCTTGTCGCGCCTGACCGCCCGGGACTCGGCAATTCAAGCTTCCAGCGGGGCCGCACGTTCCTGCACTGGCCGAAGGATGTCATCGCCCTTGCGGACCACCTTAAGATCCGGACTTTCTATGTTGTCGGCTGGAGCGGCGGTGGACCCTACGTGCTTGCTTGCGTGAAGAGCATTCCGAAGGATCGTCTTGCCGGCGCAGCAGTCGTCTCTGGATTATACCCGACCTCTCTTGGAACCGCCGGGATGATGTTGGGCCTGCGACTGATGATGCTGGCTGGACCATGGATGAACGGCGTCGTCAGCATGGTTACCGACATTGTGGTGGGCAAGGCTGCGCGCAACCCAGACCCAAAGGTCTACGAGGAAACCCTGGCGAAAGCAATCGACGGCAGGCCCGAGGTCGACAAGCGAGCGATGTTGGATGAGAAGAATTGGCCAGGTTTCTGCGAGGGCACAAGAGAAGGACTCCGACAAGGCGGCCAAGGCACGGCGGTAGAGAACAAACTCAATGGTAGTGCCTGGGGCTTCGAACTTACAGATTTGAAGACCGGCGAAGGTGGAATACCCTTGACCCTCTGGCATGGGACGGAGGACATCAACTGCCCTGCTACGATGACGATGAAAGCGAAGGAGCTTCTGCCTGGCGCGAAGCTGAATATGATGAAGGGCGAGGGTCACGTGAGCGTTGCGTTCAATCACCAGGAAGAGATACTGAGGGAGCTAATTGGATTATTGGACTAATGGGTAGTTGATGTGGGCACCATTTTGTGTCACATCCAGTCATGACGATAATGATTGCGGCATGAGCTTATGAAATCAGTTGTCTGTATAGCTATAGCGATGTCCTGCGCCAGGCTGCTGACGCAGTTTCCAACATTCTTTAAGTTCAAAAGGTGATCTTGAGACCGCCCTATAGTTGTTGACCTGTAATACAGTGGCTGTGGCGACGGGTGACAAAGGACAGCCCACAAAGCATCCACCTAGCCAATACGCCCCATCAACCACCGGCCACCTATGCCCCAACATTCACCTACTCAGGACACGTCGGCATATTCGCATCCCCTCCACAGTTCCATGTGCACCCGATCAACCCCCCGACCCCACCCTGTGCACAGATCTCCTTGCAATTCTTGCTCCAAACGCAGCGTCGCTGAACCTTCTCCCCCGTGCCCTCTTTTGTACCACCTGGTGTGTACTTGGTGCTTTTTGCAGCATCCAACTTCGAGTCTTTCAGATACTCGTCATGGCTGTGCAGTCTGCAGTTGCGGCCAAGCTCCTCTAAGTAGTTTTCGTGCGAGTGGAGGCGGTGCCTCTTTCCGTCTGCCCCCTCCGCAGAGTCAGCGCTTCGATAGAAGAGCTGCCATTCTGTTTTGGCGTCAGCATGGTTGGAGTCGAGGTCGATTGCACCATCTGGTGACATATAATGGGCGGCGGCATCGATTTCTTCTTGGGTGTGGGGAGCTGGACCTGGGGGTAGGTACTCGTCGTGGCCTTGCAATCCCTTGCCTTTGCCCTCGAGGAGAGGGGGCTGCTGCCACTTATCTTCTGGGATCTCGAAGATTTTGGTGTCGCGGATGAGGTGAATTGTCTTTTTGGCATCACCCGTGGTCAACTTGAGGTCGTTTGCAACGGCGGCGATGCTGCTAGGATGGGCATCGCTGCTTTTGCGCTCAAGGATGTAGCTCTGGGCATCTTCGTGGATCCACGGCCGTGGGACAGACATGGTGGCAACATGGGTGATTGAGGTTGCGGCCACGGCGAAAACAATTGTGAGATGCATCCTAGACGTGAAGTTGGGTCTGATGGTACAGGCGTGGTTTTGTGCTGCGTTGTTTACCGTGTATCTGATGAAAGATGAGCAGGAGGCAAAGAAAAGAAGAAATCTTATACATAGACTGAAATGGAATTTTTGTCAATGGTGAGCTGGCGGGCCTTGGAAACGTGGTTTGGGGTGGTCTGGGATGGATTGTTGGGACGGTACACCACGAGTAGTAGCGATTCCCGGAACAGTGGATTCAGGTAGACAAAGAGAACTACCCTTGATTCGCTAAGCTAACATAAGGATTCACTATGGCAGCCCTAGCATGATCAGCATGCACCACTGTAACTCGTGAACCCGTCCTCTATATCTTGTACGGCCGGCGTGCATCCAGCTGGGGTCCCTAAGAGCTTACTGTTCTCGGGGACGCTGTTCCCCCGATGTTCCCCTTCCAGCGGCTTTGCCATCTGAGTTTCCCACTAATCTAGGATTGGTTTCAGGCATTACCAGGTTCAGGTCGTCCTCAGAGGTATAATCCAGGGTTGTGACGCTCGTTCCGCGTTTGTGTTCACCCTCTGACGTTGGGTATTTGTCTGACCTCAGAGCTTCAAGTATACCTTCCCTCAAATTCTTCGATAGGGGACATTTCTTGCTCGCTCCGGAATAGCGAGCGATACGCGGACGTAAGATTCGCTTTATGGGCTTCGGGGCGCGCGTTGGGGGTGATGGTCCGAGTTCATCTTTCAGGAGAGTTAGTTGGCATGCAAAAACGACTTTGATCGGTATGCACTGACCAGGAGAGATTTGCGATACCTCTACTTCTTCTCTTGTCATTGGGTTCGCGATGAGCTCAGTCGATTTTCTCCCTTTGCGCTGCGTTGGACCAGCGCTCTTGCCGTAGCATGCGCGCCCCTTCGGTGGCATATTGACAGATTCTACTGCCTGTTACAGAGATATAGAGTCGGTGATTGACACCAAAACTGCTAGATGCTTCGTATATATACCGAAAAACCCGAACCTCGGTTTGTTTACGTCGAACGCAAGACATGATTCGTCAGAGATTGGGTTGCACAGCAGGGACAGCAACCCGCCGACGACCATACATCCGCCGCTCATAGGGCCAGGATGAAACATATAAACTACGCCATGGAAGGCGAGAAGAATTTGGACATTGACAGATTGGCCTGATTGGCCTGGTCGTTTTCACATCAACGAAGGTGCGCGGGCTAACGACTATCATTCTTCTCGGCGAACTCAGACCTGAGGACAGAGGCTTCCTGTTGCTCTAAAGTGATAATACAAAACACTATGGGCTTCTTGTTCTCCTATTCAGAAACTAGAATCTTCCATGAACCTGTGGTCCTTCGGCAAGAAGGAGGTTGGGGCTTAGCTGGACTCGTGGAATAGTGTGCAGCGAGACGACAAAACGCCAGCTCACAGAAAGCCATGCGCCATTCTGTGGTAGTTCCACTCCATCGCAAGAGCTTTACGACAGGGCTTACTCTCAGTCAACCACATTTGTAGTGATGCCACCGAACGGTCTGTTGATATCGCGGGGCAGAACGAAACACGCTTCTCACTGGCTATGCTTTATCTTCGTCACCAAGCAACTCTTCCATCGTCAAAACTAGCTGAGATCACCTTGCAGTAGCGTTCTTGAAGAGATTCGCCATGTACCCGCACAAGTTTTGTTGTCCTGGCTCTTTAGAGCCTCCCATATCTTGTCGTTCGCTTCTGCTTGTTTCTCGCCCTCTAGTATGTACTTCTGTGCCAGGTCATGAACTGTAACGCAAGACTCAATGAACTTCGGGGCGTTCTCAAGCTGCAACTTGTGGGCTTCAGCCAATGTATCGGCATGGCAGTCGAGTAAGGTAAGCCGCACGGTCTTCTCCTGACTCACGCGAGACTGTATCTCCAGCAATAACTCTTGCTGATGCATCTCGAGGCCCTGGAACGCACAATACAGCTCTGCCTTCTGCTTTTGGTCTTGAGCAAATACGTTCTTGATCTTGACGACCATGTTCCCAGGCAAAGAAGCAAAAGCAGCATTGTGGGAAACGCGCAGTTTCCTGCGTCGTTCAGTTCGCATTTCTCTAGCCGAACCACAATACTAAGACGAGTGCAAGCGATCGACGTGTCCCCTCCGCTGACGTGACACACTGTACTGGTGCTCGTAATCTAAAGCTGTAGGAGACACTTACATCTTGTTCGCCTATCATCTTGGTGACCTCCGCTTTATGTTGCTTCTTGATGGCGTCCAACTCAACAGCATGCGGTTGCTTCAACTTCTTAACCTCCTCAAGGTGCGCGGCAGCCAATGCCTCCATGGCGGAGCCTCTAGTGGCGACGAGAAGCTTCATCTGCTCAGCCATTGTCGCGAAGTCGTTCAGCAAGTTGTTCTCTTCCTATCCTTTCGTTAGCACCGCATATATCCTACGCATAATACATACCTTCTGCGCCTGTCGAATGTCGTAAAACTCAAGACGCATGTTGTCTACAGCCGTAGCTACAAGTAGTATGCTCGCCCTGTTTGAGATGAAATATGGTTTTCTTTAGGGCAAGAGGTGGACGTGGAAGTGGTGAGTGAGTCAGGCGCGACTTCCTCGTTTGGAGGGTGCGTTGACACTGACGCGCTAACGGCTTGTTCTCTTTCAGACTTATCACACACGTCGCCATTGCATTTTCAGGAAAACTGGGCATGCCTCCATCATCGCTAGGAGTGACCCCATAGACTTGTGTTTTCATTGCTTGAAGAGGTGCCGAAGGACAGTAGAGAAATTGAAAGGACGATAAGTGAGGAAGCGGTATATATGATAGACCACCGCAGCTTCCGCACAAACATGTATGCGACACAAAGCCCTTTCCAGCGATCTCTCGGACCCACATGACCTCGGTTTGCAAAATGTTGTGTATGAAAGCCCGCCAGTGCCGGGTCTGGATTCCATCGAACGCCAAGACCCTTGTTTTCGGAGCGCTTAAGGCCCATATTGATACCACCTTAACGGCCGCACCTTTTGTACATCCCATAATCGCTCCCAGAGGTCTTTTGTACCACACGATTACTCCACTGGTACGGTATGGGATACCTCATTTTTCTTCTTCAGGTCATAACTCCACCACTCCACCCCGCCCGCACCACATACATCAGTTTTGGTACCTCTTCAGACACGATAAGGCCAGAGGATTAGTTTTCCACAGTCCTCATAGCGCGATAGCAAAGTTTTTTAGTGTGCCAGGCAACGCCCAAAAATATCACTCCCTGTCGAAGTTTTGTTTTCCCTCCGCCAGATACAACGCCATGAAATTCTTTCCAGAGGCTTCTAGTCCACGAACCCAGGCACACCCCGTGTACGAGTTCAAGCATGCCTTGGATATCCCAAGGTCAGTCATCGTGTAGAGCCTAAGACCACATGGCCTCCATAGTCACAAAGTGAGGGGATCTGGCTGACAAAACACAGACGAACCCATCATGCCTTATCCAAGGACTTTTTGTCCCTCTTCCGAACACCCGCATCAGTAAATATCAAGGATCCCCTTGGTCCAAAGCCCCAGGCGTCTCCCATCGCGGCGGATTTCATTCATTTTGATGCAAATATTCGGTTCTTGGTCCGCAACCTGCACACACTCCATATGCGCTTCTGTTGGGCCATTTTAGAGCCATAGGACCAGAAACTCTCATCGATACAATTTCTTCGTGATTTGTGTCTCTCACGTCTCACCCAGACTCCCCATCACTTGTACTGAATGTGGTTTCTGATCCACGCCCCCAGCCACTCCATGAAGAACCTTGCTGGTTTTTCCACAGCCCATCTCTAGTTCAAGGAACTGTGTAGGATCACTAAAACGAGAGGAAGATGCGTTATATGGACGAGGTTTAGTTGGCGGATGCTACGACGACGCCGGCACGCTCTCCATGGTCATGAACGTAGAAAACTGTATGCGAGAAGTGATGGACACACACAACGAAGCGGCGATTGCCGATCTATCGTTCCACCTCCAGGGATCCCTATTTGCTCCTTAAGTCATGCTTTGAGTCATAACCCCAACCTTCAATGTTCTCATAACGCGGCCAAGAGATCCTTTTGAGACACCCCTTGCCGGTCATAGAAGGGTGCAGAGTCTCCAGACCGCGCCGAGAAGAGTCTTATATGTACGACGCTCTGTGGAAGGACGTTGAGACAATGTCACTACGCTTTCCATAAGTATGAAGAGGTTTTGGTGCGGGAAAGCGCATGGCGCTTTACCGGTAGGTATTTTAGTCCGCCGTCTTCCCTTCAGACACAGCCATCAAGATCTTAGGTTTTCTTTTGTAGTCCACCCACTCTCACCCGATGGCTGTTGATGATTGAGACTTTTAGTCTCTCATAATCAGAAAGACAGAGAACTGCGTGGAGTCTCCAGATCGCCTCGAAAAAGCCTTGTATAGACGCTTCTCTATGGAAGAGTGTTGAGACGGTGCCACCACGCTCTCCATCGAGCACGAATCCCAGGGCTCTTCGTGCGCGGGACTGTGTAGAAACACATCGTATCCCGAACACCCTGTTATTGAATACTCTATTAGACCGATCCATTGTATCCTCGAGTGTTGTTTTTTAATTCGCTTCCAGGCACTCTCATCGTATCCTGACGCTACGATATTTTAGTCCACCACTGCATCCACAAACCCATGGTCTTCTACGTTATCTATTTTACTCGCCTCCGAGTCAGATCGGACAAGTGTGACGAGTCTCCATTCGCCAGAAACGGCATTACATAGACATCTCTCGGCAGAAAGCAGGTGGGACGACGGAATGATCAGACCCAGCGCAACGCCCGCCATGATCTCGAGCACGAAGCGTTTTGGAGTGCCAGGAGACGGCAGAACCATCCAGAGTTTCGGGGGGGGGGGGTTGGATTCCTCCCTACCACTCCCATGACATTCATTTTGTTGAAATTTTAGTGCTTACCGAGGCGCATCCATCGATCGGGCGTGGTATGATTTTAGACCACAGCCTATGCAAACCACATGTAATTTGAGTCCCCAACCTAGGCAAGACACCATACGGATGTCGTGTGCGTCTTTTGATGATACGGCGCCGTCCAGACACACGCATGATGCTTAATTCCGTCATCTTCAATTGCAACCCGGACACCCATGGGAAGCCCGCAATGAGGTTTTTAGTCACACCACCATGGCAAGGCAGCACCCATTTTTTAGTAACTCAAGGCCAGGCAAGCTTAAAGACTCACTAGAGCGCGAAATCAGCGGCATTATATACACACCTTCAGACGACGCCACGACGATGGTACCCATCTCCACCAATCACCAAAGCTTCAAACCCCAGCAGAGGATATTAACACTCGAGGCCGACGGCCACTCAATTCAACTTCTCGCTCTCGCTACTATGGGATGCAGTATCGCACTCAATCTCTTCGCTTCGCTTTGCTTCCCGCAAATATGCCACACAAGTAAAACGCCCTCTAGATGCCATGTCCAGACTATTCGAAATCCCGTCCCGCAGGACTCTACTTGCCAAACAAAAGAAAAAAGCCAATCATTAAAGTCGTTTTCCGCACCCTCAACCGCCATCTATCTTCCACCAAAGTAGTCCGTCCTACCCTGACCCGTCCGGTCCGGACTATACGGAGTATACGCACTACTCAGCGGGGTATGCCCACCCATCGGCTGCGCGCCGTGCAGCAGCATCGCGTCGTCCCTCGCACTCGTGTTGCTGACCGTGCGGCCAAAGCCACGGCTGTCGGGGCTGGGACTGTACTCGCGCAGATTGCTCGGCGTAGAGTGATAGCCCGCGGGGTACGTGACGCCGACGCCGGGCTCGTCACGGTCGCTTCCCCTGGACATTGGACGTCCGCGCTCGTTGCCGCCCATGACCGTCGACGGTGTGCTGGGGCGGCTGATAGTTGACGGGCCGTAGAGGGAGCCCGTGTCGCCGCCCGCCTCGTCAGCGAACTCGGGGCGGTTCTTGAAATTCTCGAAGTCCATGTTGGACTCTGAGACGAATTCGAAGGGACCTGGCGACGCGGCGGCCTTGCCTGGGTTTTCCTTGGACATGCGCTTCATGCTGTAGACGTCGCTATAACCAGCGGTGGCGCCGAGATCGCCGTCAAGGCGGCCGCGGTAGACTTCCGCGAGGAGGTGCTTGCTCTTCTCGTGCACCATGGGCACGGTGAGCTTTTGGTAGAGGGCAGGGTGGCCAAAGCGGACGGCGACGCGATCGCGCCTGCGGGATTCCTTGTCAATCGGCGGAGGGGCCTCGACGCCCTTGGGTGTTTCACCCTTGGTGTAGTATTTGATGGCACTGTCGAAGGTGGCCTTGCAGTAGAATTTGAAACCGAGCAGCAAGAACGGGATTGGAGCCATCGCGCCAAGCATCATCGTTCTGTCACCACCACGAGCGGCGACCATGAGGGCGATGATGCAGTTGGAGAGGAAAGTACCGACGAGGAGGCGATTGAAGATGGTGCGCCAGTAGAGACCTCCAGAATCGTTCTTGGTCGCGAAGACGTATCTAGACATGTCAGCTGGAGGATGCGAATATAAGAAAGTCAACTTACAGCAGAAGGTATTTCTTCATGGAGGAGTCGACTGCAAAGTAGAATGCAGTAACGACCAAGGTGATGGGCTGGAGAGATCCGAAGCAGAGGGCAACGGTCGAGTAGAAAAGGAAGTAGTTGTAGTAGCCTGCATAATCGAAAGGCGGAGGAGCCGTCCGCTGGATGAGCTCACGCGGCGTCGGATTCAAGAACTTCCTGGAGAAAGATCCCCATCCAAGGTTGACAGCCTGAGATAGGTCGATCGCAGCACCAAGGTTACGCTGGATGAGCCAAGTTACCCAGAAAGGGGAAATTCGGCAGAGAGCAATCATGGTGTTTACAAGCGGGTGGACCTCGTTGATGATGTCGTACCACTTCATATTGTTCTTAGTAGCGAGATCCACGGTGTTCGCAATCATGCTGAACACGGCACCAAAGAGCGAAAAGATGATGAGATTGTTGATGAGAAAGAAAGAGTAGAGCTTCGAGATGACGTGTCGTTCACGGGACGTTTTTGAAAGATCGCCCGCTTTAATGGAAAGGCGGCGGAATATGATGGGCAGGAAGTAGTAAATCAGCGAGGTCAAAGCCGGTGCAGCAATACCTGAAAGAACAAGTAAGCACGGGTGATACGTTTCAGCAATCCTTGGATACGTACCTTGCACAATTGCCCATGTTTTGGGATTGCTCCTGTATTCTTTATCGAACTCCGGCCAAAGGGAAGCAATGTTGTTCAGCTGGGCAAGAAAGACGGCAATAAGGGCGTTGGGAATGAAGTACAACACCGTAAGCAGCGTGATCCACAGACTATTGACAAACTTCCTCCAGCGCCGGGTCTTTGCGTCCAGGGAGAGGTTCTTCCATATGATGTCCTTGGGCCTCGGGGCAAGCTGGACAATGGCACCCTTGGGCTTCTTGCTCCGCGCGGCGTACGCTACTGTGTGTGCAGATTCAATCGTTTCGTAGCTGGCAAATCCGTAGGACATTGCGTCGCGCTTGTCTACGGTCTCCCTGACGTTCTTGATTTCAGCCTCCAAACGCAGAATCCTCGCCGTCAAATAATCAATCGCATCCACCTTTTCTTGTCTGCCGCCAAATTCCGGATCTTTCTTCGAAGGTTTGCAGAGTGGCCGTGTTGCTGGCAGGCTGGCCGGATTCTTCAGATATTTTGCCAGGACTTGCTCCAGCTCAATGACGGCCTCCTCGTGAGCTTCAATGAGATCGGGTAAGTCCTTGACGTTTCGACCAACGGCTGCACGCGGGACATCGGGCGTCGCCTTGATGCTGTCGGTGATGTCGACAATGCCCTGGTCGGTGCGCAAATTCCTGGCAACATCCGTGATCATCAAGGTCCGCGAGTGGAGGCTGTTCTGGTAGTCGGGGCTCTCCATGAATTTTCTCCGCAACTGCAGGATAGCGCGATATGTCCACCAAAGAAAACCACAGACGATAAGATCGAAAGCGTAGGCACAGACCACGAAGGCCCAGAAAGGCTGGCCAAACAAGAACATAGGTGTCATCGTAAAGATGATGCCAGAGATGGACTTGTCTTGGCCGACATCGCTGGCTTTCGCAAGGTTGACGGGTAGTATGATGCAACAAGCGACTATGGCGAGGCAGATGAACATATTGCGCAACATGCGAGCAATGCGCAAAAAGACGGTGCCGTCCATGCCAATCATGTGCATATACTCGTGCTCGTTGGTCTTGAAGACAGGGCGGAACCAAGCAAAGAGGCTCTTGTCCATGGGCGGCGGTTTGTGCTTGTCGTCGGCATGGCGGAGGCGAGGCGCGTACACGATATCGTTCCATGGCCGGAGGATGCAGAAGGCGAGAAAGATGGCGGCGGTAATGCCCAGTGAGGTGCCCAGGGCGGCGACAATCGAATTTCCTGCGACCTGTTCCTGTCAGCATTCGCTCGCAGTGGACCAGTATCTCGCATACCTGACTGCTGAAGGGATCCCTCATGAGGTCGAAGAGCTTGTCTCCCAAGCTTTTCTCCTCTCGCGGGAACATGCCCCGCGAGCTCGACGCCATTGTGAAGGTTGGATGTGTATGATTGATTGCGGTGTGGAGGAAGCAGCGAGCGTGAATCGGTCGGAAGGTGCGCCGATGTCGTGTACCGAGGGAGTAGGCGCGAGGGACGATAGAATTCAGAGCATGCGGGCTCCCTGCACGTCTGCTTCTACTCAATAGCCAGCAGCGTGCCCAAAATAATTAGAAAGGCTATGTAGTGTACGGAACAAGGCGAAGGCGTCGAGCAGACAAAGGGTCAAACAGATGTGCAGCGTTCAGCGAGAGTGGGATAAAGAGTGAAGGAAGGACTTCGCTCGATAGCTTCGTGCACCCCGTTGGCACGATGACGGCGCATCCCTGTCGCATCCCTGTCGCGCCCAGGGCCCACGCGGAGCTGCCCATTCGCCATTCGTTGGGCGGCGCGCCTACAAGGCGCCGTTGTCCCTTCACGACGCAATTATTTTTGGGCTGCGGTCGCGACCTCGACGATCGCCGCGCCAAAAGCTACCCTGCGTAGGGTCTAACAGAACGTTCCTTGTATTGATTTTCTACAAAAGTTGTGATGCGAGCGCGTGAGTCTTGAGCAGCACACCGCGTGGTCTCTGCCGCTAGCCGCACTGTGAGACAACTCGCACAAACGCCGCCCGGCGTCTCTCGAAACAACTGGGCAGGAGATTATTTTCATGCGCGACAGTGATCGCTGTCCATTGGCCACAGCGTTGTGAAACGGCCCGCTGACGATTACGAGGCGTGCCTTTCTTCCGTCCTGGTCCCAGCATTCCAGGACCCTCTTCCGCCGCGCCGGAACAGCGGGTACGTATCTAGCGGTGCGCTGCACTCCAGGGCTGTCAGGAGACGGGGTCCGCTGTTCGGACTCTTCCCGCCCGTCCAACGTGGACACCGATTCTGCAGCGTCGCGACACGCGAGCAATACGATCGCACGCGATGGCGAGTTACGCTGGGCAGCAGGTCGTAGTTTTATTGATTTTCGTTGTCTGGTGCAAGCGGGGTGGCAATATGTGCGACATCGCCTCAATCGGGCAAGGGATGGATGCACGAGGCCACATTCTTGGAAAGGAATGATGGGTGTCGGAGGAAAGACGTCATATGCTGGCCTTAGCCCGAGTGCCGTTCGTTCTTGCAATTACGCCCTCTGCCGTTACTGTGCGAGTGTGCCCTACACTGAGACGTGAGGTTGACTTCGGGTTTACGCCGTAGGGCTGCTGCTGGCAATGGGCTAGTCGTGGACTCGAGCGACTTTGTGCGGTCACCTGGGCAAGAACTCATCCATATCGAATGCCATCACGTGCATTGGTATTCTCCGAAGGCTACATGACTTAGAGAGATGTCTTTTCGTCCAACGTACGATCTTAGAGAGGTAGGAAATTCATTCGGTCTCCTTTCCACTGTCGAAAACATGCAATAATTATAACGTTACATTATCTATGCACTATCAACTATGTAGTGACACTCTCCCATTGCAGTGCCGAAAATCCTGGTATAATAACCCGTACTAACCCTACCATACCCAAAAGCGCCACAGCCCGGAGCCCCAAAAATCAGATATCCAATTGCATACGCACATCGTCCCCCATCCTCCATTCATCATCCCTCGCTGTCCTCTCCAGCGGCGTATGCACATCGTCTTCGTCACTCCTCCGACTTAGGTTACTACTTGTACTCGTCGCAATCGTTGCAGCAGTGGTGTCGCTACCACCCCTACTGCGGCTCCTCCCGCCCCTCTTCTTGAACCATCCGCGCTTGCTCTTGTTGGCCGCGGCATCGATGTCAGAGGTGTAGTGGTCAGGGTTTATGCTCTCGGCGACGGTGGTGTCGGTGCTGGCGATTGCGCTGGCGGCTAAACTGGCGATGGTGCTGGGGTTGGAGCTGACTTTGGTTAAGGTGGTGGACGCGGTAGAGACGGAACGTGAGTGAGCCGGTCGCTTTGAAGAGGGTGTCGGTGTGGAAGGCTCTACGGCATCCGCAATGGGATCGAGGCGGGGAGTGGGGATGGGAGTGATGTCGGTGGATGGAGTCACCTCCACGAGCTCAGCATCGCGGTACCACTTGCGTCGGCGGGTGTAGCGGCCCCATCCATCTTGTCCCCTTCGTCCATCTCGCCACTATAACGAGTTAGTTTACTGAGATGATATGCTTGAGGACACGTACTTTGTTATCGTAGTAGATCCACCCAGCTTCCTCTCCAGATGTGGCTTTAGCGCTTTTCGCATCTTTCTCGGCACCGTCGACTTTCCACTCGCTGCCTTGTATCCACCTCCACCTAGCCTGCCCTCCTTCCACGTCAGGAAGCTCGAAGTCTTCTTTCGGTGGCACAGGATTGAGATGCTCGTCAGTCCACGCGGCTCGCTCGTAAGCCAGCATAGAAGACGTCCACCCGATGCCTAGCCATCTCCTTTGGTTCTCGTAAATGCTAAAGGTGAATCGAACACCGGGCGAGTCTGGCCGTCGCTTGGCGGCCAGAGAGGCGGCGACTTCTTGAGCACTCTTTCTCCTTGGCGGGAGGGCTGGGGCACCGTCCTTATTTTTCGCTTCAGGATCCACGTCGCCAAAGTTCAAACCCGTAAGGAAGACACATATTTTGCGTACTGTCCGAGACCGCCAGAGGATTGCGCGCGAGACGCGGGCGGGTCGGGAGTGCCAGCTAAGCACGACGGTACCAACGGCCAACACTATCCGCTTCGTGGTGAGTATGTAGAATGGTGGCAGTGTTAGAAGTATCCATATCGGCAAGACGAACAGTATCCGAACAAAGAGTAGAGTGAGCGCCGGTCTTGTGGTTGCCGAAGTCGCCGTCCTTTGCGTGGAGAGGAAGTCTGTCAGCCGCAAAAATGGGTCAAGCAGAATGCTGCATCGCGAGGTGAACAGCTTCAGGCTATCCACAATCTCCTCCAAGCTCTTATGGTGTTTGATATTGGTCTCTGACTCCGCCCTGCTGTGTCCTTTCTGGCCCTTCTCGCCCGTGAAAGAAGTAGACGAAAGCGGGGAGTATCTCCGCGAATACATGCCCGCGATCAGGCCTATTACTAGCACGACAGGTCCTGCATATCGTGTAATAGCGTCACCATATAGCACCAAAGCCCAGAACCCAGCTACCAGAAGGAAACTTTCCCACGGATCGCCGGTCGTCCATGTCAACAGTCCGACAAACTTGTTCAGCGGTAGTATGAACGGATGCGAGTATGCCAACACGCGCGTAATCTGCGGCGGTGTGGCGGCGAGCAAAGGGCTCTTCTGGTGTACTAATATTGCGGATCGTAGCTTCGTCTGCGGTGTGGCTTGCCCTAGGGTAGAGGGAGAGAAGGCAGCGTATGTGGGTGGGTTCGGGTCTGGCGTGGGCTGCGGAGACGCATCGTTTCCGGGTCGGGATGGAGTGGACATATGTTCTAGCCACGGGGTATCTTGGGTTGTATTAGCATGGCGTGAGGTTCGCAAGTGTTGATGTTTGAGTTTGCGGAGTGGACTTGCCAAATGCTGCCATGCATGGAGAGAAGCTGCGTCATAGCCGATAGTGGCTCGCTTGTTTGCGCCAGTGTGTTGAGTGCGCAGTTTGGCTCGGCCACAAATAGGAGCGACTTGGTATAGCTGAGTTAATTCTCGGACTGTTTAGACGGTTCGAGAGCATGTGTTAGAGAGGCGCGATACAGAGGCTTAAGGTGTGGGTTCCGCGCTCGGAACCGCGGGCGGAGTGCTGTAGCGCATGTGAAGGCCACGGCCGACAATCTTAAGCCGCTATGGCAACGAAAGTATGATTTTGACAAACGTACAGGGCCGCGCTGAAGAGCTGAAAGAATACCCTGTGGAAGATACTTGCTTTCTACCAATCCATAACCAGACATTTGAATATGCAGCTCTGGTTGCTTCCCTTCGGTATCCGCCTTTGCGATCGCGATATGATTGGCTGTCGGCCTGAAGATCACGGGATCGACTCTGGCCCGAAATCGCGCCGAATCTTCAGAAATTCTAGGACTCCCCTTCACGCCGCCGCCTGCGCTCTGGTCGCAGCATCCATCAAGAACCCGACCGTGGTTGCTGTCAATACGTCCCACTCCGCTTCCTGTCCCTGAGTCGCTAAATTCTATTACAATGGCATGTATCTCGCCTCCAGCGGCTGCATCGTTTGACTAATTGCTCCAGGCCCATCGCATAATAACACAAGTCGTCTTCACTGGCGTTCGAATCATAGGTCGCGCCGTTTCCGAATCGTACCGTCAAGCTGCCGCATCCCAGAAATATGCCGCTGCGGGCCAGAAAACTGGTGGTGGCTTCTCATCATCGACCATCACCATGGATGAAGCTTGCAAGATTCTGAACGTCGGGCCCTCGAAAATGGGACAAATAGACGAAGCCTTTGTCACGGAGAGATTCAAACGGCTATTCGACCTAAACGATCCCAAGAAGGGTGGCAGCTTCTACCTGCAGAGCAAGATCTTGCGAGCGAGAGAGCGCATTGAGCGTGAAGTACAAGGGTTCAAGCAGATGGCAGAGAGGGAACAGGAATTATCAGAAGGGTTCAAGCCTAAGTGGACGAAAGATTCCAAATGAGATGGATGACGCAGAAGTGATGCGACTGCACATACCCGTTCGATCGGCGAGCCCTGGCCATAAACAGCAGACCGTGATATTCTGTTTTCCTGCAGGCATTAGATGGCGTTTGGATAAAGGCATAGCATTGGGCGTGGCGCTGGTGGAGAGTTTCGGCCATGGCCCTGAGTGTGCCCGCAAGAGAGGCATGCAGTGACCACGGGGATTCTCCACTCTCCGCTGTATATAGGTCCTATTTCCATGGGCTTTGTATTATATACTGTACCATCGCGCTTCTAGAACCAAGAGCGACATGCTGCTCAAATGCATAGTTCCATCAAGTCAGGATACATATGCAAGGAATACTCGGTTGTTTGTGAGTTCAACTATTTGAGATTGATCATTTGGCCGTACTGTCCAATAGTGTAATCATGGTGCTCACTCAGCAGAGCGAGCTCGAATGGACCCGACGCTCCTTCCCCAGTGTTCGCGTCACTGCCGAAGTGGCGCTATCCGCCTTGGCAAAAATAAAGTGTTGGACCTAAAGTCTTTGTCTCATTCCACACAACCAAACCGCCACGCGCAATCGACCAACACCACCCCCAGTAACACACGACACTCTGTTGTTCATCCTCAGGAAACAATATCAGGCGACATCGAAATGGTGGACACGCGTCGCAATCGTCCGCCGCCGCAGCAAAAGCGTCGAGGCGGACGCAATCTGCGAGATAGGATGACTGGCGGCTCCGGCGGCGGTCGCGATCGCAACGGAGGCGATTCATACAGACCCGGACAACAACAGCAGCAGCACGGTAGCGCTCCTAGCAGGAGTGACTTCACATTCACCAGCAATACACAAGGTCCCAGCTTCCCTCCTGCGCCGCCCCCAGAGCGCGCAGCGCGTCGCAATGGTGGGCGCGGGCGCGGCGGTCCATCCAACATGCATGGCAATCGCCCTGCCACGCGCAGCGGTGGTGCTCCCCCATCTCATTATCGCGGAGGCAGACGCAACAACCGGGGAGGCTTCCGACCTCAGGCGGCACACGAACGCGCCCTCCTCCAGACCCGCAATGACGACACTGAGCACTTCCTTGGCGTAGAAGCGAAGTCGAACAAGTTCCGTGATCTAGCAGAGCTGTCAGATGATGAAGAAGCTGATATGGATGTCTCTGACGACAGCGATAAATCAGAAGGTGAAGTCGTTGGAGCCCAGAGCAAATCCAAGGCTGTCCGTACGCAATCGAGCAGTCGTGCAGATGGTGACTCTGTGCCCAAGTGGTCCAACCCTGACCCATACACTGTTCTGCCGCCTCCCGAAGAGACGACCGGCAAGAGAATTGACTTTGTCAAGCTCATTCGCAAGGCTAAGAACGAAGCTGCTGAACAGAGCAATGGTATCAACGCCGTTGCCGCCAACGATGATTTCATTTCGTTCGGCGACGATGACGATTTCCAATCTCCTGCAGCGCCGCCTAGTGTACTTGCATCCCAAGCCGAGCCTCTGCAAGGCTCGCTCAATGATGTTGCAGCTGCTAGTTCGGCTCTGTCTGCAGATGTGTGGAGTAGGCACGCAGGAGACTCAGCAAATGTGCCAGTGAGGCCTCCACTTCCACCTAGCAGTCTCCCCGCGCGGCCTACGTTCACGAGCAGCTCCGCGAGCAGCTCCAGAAAACGTAAGCATCCTGCCGATTACACCGGAATGAAAGACGTGTGGCAACCCAAAGATCACAAAGAGCCCGCGCCTTGGGCTTACCGTGAAGACTACGAACGTCTTCGAGACCAACCCGAGAAATTACTTCACAATGAGATATCCGACTTCTACGACTTCGTAGCACCTTCAGACCATGACAACGAGGTCCGCATCGACTTGATTCGTAGGGTTCAGTCGGTTATTGGTGGTGAATTCCAGTCACACCGGGGTAGCATCCGCTGTTTCGGCTCGTTCCCTGTCGGTCTATATCTGCCAACGGCTGACATGGACCTTGTCTTTGTCTCGGACTCACACTATAATGGCGGACCTCCAAAGCTTCAAGCTGCCAAGAATGCCATGTTTAATCTTGCCAAGAAGCTGAAATTCAACCAGGTTGGCTATGAAACTTTCGTCATTCCGAAGGCACGGGTTCCCATCATCAAATTCAAGGACGTTGCGACAGATCTTCCGGTTGACATTTCATTCGAAAATAAGAGTGGATTAATTGCACAATCTACCCTGGCCAAGTGGAAGAAACAATTCGGAGATCATTTCACCACCTTAATTGCCCTTACAAAGCAACTTCTGGAAATGTATGGTCTCAACGACAATAGCACTGGTGGCCTAGGTGGCTTAAGCATCTGCTGTCTCGTTGCGAGCTTCTTGCAACTCCACGAGTTGCCAGAAAACCTTGGTCAAACCTTCCTCCAATTTCTGGATTTCTTTGGCAACAAGTTTGATTACAGCCGCGACAGGATTGTAGTCGATCCAGCAAGCATTGTTCGCAAAGTAAGTACCGCCACTACTTTTGCGATCACGCCAAGATACTAACGTGCTAAAGGGACGACATGGTGTTGATGGCCGAGAGGAGCGAGCAGACCGTTTGTCCATTCAAGATCCTAACGATCCAAAGAACAACATCTCTGGTGGATCATACAAAGCCGACAAATGCTTGGAGCTATTTTCCTGGGCTCATAGAGTTCTTGTCGAACGCATGGACACGATCCATATGCGTACCTTCCATGAGATTAGCATTCTCGAATCCGTACTCGGTGGCGATTACTCCACCTACATGAAGCAGAGGGAGCGCATGCGGAACATACGGACACAGTAAGTCCAGAGCAAATGGAGGCAAAATTAAGAGAAGGGATAACGCTTCACTATGCAATGGACTGAAATGTCGCATGTGGCATCGTGCCGATCTCACTGTTTACAGGCTAGAATATCAGAAGGTCGTCCCTCAGTCGGCTGGACCCAGGGTTGGAAAACAAGTCACGGAGGATGGCATTGAAGTTCCAGGAGCCGACTAGAAGTTGGGAACCGATCAATGTCCCATCCTTATTGACGACTGATTCGAGGAGTTACGGCGCTCACCCCCGGAAGCGTTGAAAGGCTTTTACGATCATGATCAACGGTATACCCCTTACTGGCGCAGGTGGAATTGCTTGTTTGTTTGTTTGTTTGTACAGCTCAGTAACTGCCTCGGCAATAGTGGGCTTACCGTGCACAGCTCCAGGGCCGTCATCACATCTTATTTGTGGTCGTTACGAGCGATAATCTCAAGCATAGCGGCACCTGGTCCACATAGATCACGGCGTCGAACGGTCCGTCTCGAGACTCCGCGGTTTCTATCCCCCAACTCACTCTCTACGATATCGACTTATACCGAGCATCCTATACACGTTGTTGATTCCGCCCCCGCGGATATACAATTGGGCGCAAACGTTCTCCTCGATGTCGTAACCCGCCAAAAGAAACAAGCCGCGGACCCGAGCGGAACGATCGCGACCGATCATAAGGCCGACAATATGCTTCATCTTGTACACTAAATATCATGACAGTAGACTTCGGTCCTTCTTTTCCTCTAGCCTCGGCTACCCTTTTCTCTTGCTGTCTCTTCTCCGGGTTCCTTCCTAGTCCCTTATGCTTTATGGTGCTAATATCTTCGACGTGGAAACTTGTTGCTAATCTTGCTGCTAGACTGCAACACCAGAAGATGTTTAGTTTTTCTCGGAGGCTACTCTGTGGCTTTGAGCCTCCTCCACGATCGAAACCACGGCTCTAGGCGAGACGTGCCTTTTCTCATTGAGCGGTCACGCTGCTGGCGGGCGCTTGAGGAGGACGAGAGCAGGTCATCGAAATCCGCTCCCGCGATCTTCCCCTTTGTGCCAGACCTGCACCCCAGGGAACAGGCACTAAAATATCATTGGCCAAATATACCTCTGTATAAGTTGAGCGAGGCGTACTGTCCGACATAGCTGCCCCAAAAGTATCGCCTCAAAACTGCACAGTGCAACATGCCAGGCTGACACCGATATTGCGGCATGGCCAAGTCACTGCCACATCTGTCACGCCCGGATCTTTCTGCTCACCGCGAGTTCACTCCAGGATCGAGCCGCAAAAGTTCGTCCAAGGCAGGTACCTAACACCACTATGGTGAACATCACGGATCCCGCATACATAGCACTTTACAGCCGCGAGCCGTTAACATTCTTCCAGCCTGCAGCATTGTCACTCTACACACACTCACAGTGCTTCTCACGTCCAAAGCTACAGCCATGCTATCCGTAGGTCGTTACTAGAATGGGTACTTCGATCCCTCTTGTTTTTCTGTCGGGATAAAACAGTATTCCCAAGTCACTGATGAGGTAGTCTGGACCTTTTACCACTGTTTGTCTTTCCCGCGCTTTGGCTTGTGCATTCGCGGTTGATACTAGTTCAGATAGCCCAGCCGTATGCCCAAGTGGGTGACACGCAGGAATGGTTTTGACCAGTGGGATGGCCAGCGATCCTCGAACAATTATTATGATCATCACCTCTGGCACATCAGCAGTTGTGTCCTGTTTATCGTAAGAACTTCATTACTCCATCGCCCAGATGTCCACATTCGATGCATCGCTAACTTAATACAGGCTTCAGCGAAGCGTCTTTGTCCGCTATACGGTTAGTGGGTACTACGACCATCTTTCGCAGTCATGAGCAAATGAAAGTGATTGGGCTCCGCTCTACCAACATCATGTCCGATGTCAGGTGAAACGTTCAGCCCCATCTCAACCAGTCCGCACCAATTTTGTCTATACTTGCAAGTCCTGAGTCCCGCCCTTGCGCACACCCGTCAACCACTGCCAGATTTACCTTCTTGATTTTCAGTCTTTCGTTCAAAAACGTTCTTGTTGCGATTGACCCAACTCCGAGATTGGGTTTATTGGAAGAAAGAAAATGTCGGACCTAGACCGCGAAATTATACGCGAGCAACTTGCAGTATATCCTGACAACAAATTCGGCTTCGTGGTATATCGTCTCGCTTATAGGGACGACTCAGAATGGGCGCGTTTCATGGACTGGCTTAACAGACGCGTACGTCAAGTACTCAAGAACGAGGGTGAAGATGATTTGTTTACGCACATCGACTGGACAGTCCAGGAAGATACGCAGCTGGAAGGCGCGACCACGTCCCAGGTACGCTCGTAAGTACTACACCGCATGCACTTCCCTAATTCCCGGAGGCTCTTATAGGTGGCTAGATGCTTCCAGCAATGGATGCAACAGAATTCCAGCACCAGGAAAGCCAAGTATGAGCCAGATCCTCGACGGAGAGCATGTCGAGTGGTTAATCAACGTCATATCGATCGAGCTCTGCGAGACATAGACCGCGCGGGCCTACATTGATCTGATATCCATAGACGAAGAAGACGAGTATACTAGTGTTGCCTTGCGAGCGATCTTCCCGTGGGCATTCTCATTGCTTGCAGGGCTGGGTTGGGAGGGTCTTGGTACCTACTGGACCGGAAGATATTTTCGATGAATAACCTGTTTCGTATTGAATTGTTATAGATTGATTTCCATTCCTCTGAGCTCGCTTGACATTGTTGCTTTCGTCACCTGCACGTTAAGCCTACACAAACGGACAGGCGCTTCGAGCAGTGGGTTCAGCAGGATTCTACAACAAGGATACCTGCGGAAGGGCCTGACCCCCAACGAAGAGCCTGTATAGCTGTCTACCAACACTATGTCGATAGAGCTCTTGAATAGATGGAAGCAGCGGACCCAGACGACGAGCGAGCGAGGGTACGTTGATCTGGTGTCCATAGATGAAGAGGAAGGGGATACCAAGGTGGCTCGTTGTCGATCATTACACGCGTACTTCCATGCTTGCAGGAGTGGGTTGGGATGGCATTGACCTTAGAACGCATGATGTATTCCATTCGTGATTGATGCTCGGTACACATGTGTAGGATAGCTCCAGCTGGGATACTTGTTGCCCCCGACGGACACTCATGGTTGTGAACCAATACGAGACTCAGCTCGGTCTCACCTCGATGATCCTCATAGGCATATGATTCCTTTCGAATCTCTTGTCTTGCTCGCTATGATTGGAGTCGTTTATGGGAGTCCACATATCACTTCGTGGGAAGGATAGAAGAATCAGGGCACCAGCATCGGAACCGTTCCGAACACCGACAACCACGCCCCCAAATGCTGACAACCGCGCCGCCCAAACACTGAGCACAACATCACCACCAATGCGCCCTTCATACTCCTAACCTTACAATCGCGCCTCGCACCATCCCTCCAGCCATCCCATCACCCACCTTCCTCCGCACAATGGCGCTCGGAACCGTTCTCCCCTTCTGGCCCGCCCTTCTCTTCACCTACCTAGAGCCTATCTCACTGTACGTCTTCCCTTAGCCTCACGCAACGCCTTGCACCCTTCACATGCCTCTCCAACTAATACCCCCACCAGCCTCCTCGGCTGGGACGCCGCCTGGAACTCCCCCTCGGCCTTCGTAACCCGCCAACTTCCCAGCACGACCCTCACCCCGGTCCCCGCCGGCGCCCTCGTCCTCTCCCACACCACCGGCAACATTTTCGTCCTCCTCGCAGCACTTGCAATACTCTGCACTGCCATCACGCGCGACGCCCGCGTCGCGAAGTACTACCTGCTATTTGTCGCGGCGGGGGATCTGGGACATATCTATAGCAGCTATGTCGTGATGGGACCCAAGGTGTTCTGGGATTTCTCAGCATACAACGATATGATGTGGGGAAACATTGGGGTTAGTGCTTTTCTGCATGTAAATCGGTTGGCGACGGTGTTGGGGGTGTTTGGGCGGTTTGGAGGACAGATGAAGTAAGGGCGTGTGAGAGGGCACGTTTGGGAAGACTTTCGTGTCCTAGGGCGGTAAGACATGAAAAGTAATGCGGAAACATGGCGTCTTGTGGAACAGTGCAAAGGCGACATTGCACTATGGGCCCGATAGGTCGAATGTCAGTAAGCACAATGCCAATTTCAATGGAGAATAACTATCAGAGAGCCCTATCCCGTACGCCAAAAGTAGACTGAAGAAAAGAAGAGGTCTCAAACGCCACCAAATCTCATCGCAATCACATCAAACACTAATCAACCGTGCTCAATTCCCAATCTTGCTCAGACCCTCCAGCTCAGTCAAAATATCCTCCATCATTTTCTCTCCCTCCTTCAAACTCATCATGTCTTGCGGAGCGAAGACTCCCATGTCCAGCGATCCATCTCTGATTGTAGCTTCAACATCAAGCGCATGCTGTGTCACCGTTAGTCTCACATCGCATGACATCGTGTATCAGGGCGGACTTACCAGGTAGGCGCCATTTACAACTTCATCCACCATCTCCTTCGGCGGCGCAACGCCCCTCTCAACGTCCACAACCCTGCTCAACCCCTCGCTCCACTGCCAAACAGGTGTAATCTTGACAGCATCCTCATCAACATCCTCCCCACTACCGGGCAACTTCAGAAAGTTCACGAAGGTATCCACCCCAACGCCGGTCCACGCCGCAATCTCCCACAGCCCCGCAGACGCATTCGCCGGCGCGCTGATCTCCTGAATGTCGTACTGTATCTGTGCCGCGACGTCAAAGATATTTGTTTCTAACGGTGCCGAGACCCGCAGAGGAACGAGGTTTACTGTCGGAACAGGCGCTTCGTGCAAATCGGCGATGGGAAGGGAGCGATTCGCGAGGTACAGGCCAATGATGACGTCCGAAAATGACGGCGTAGAGGTGAGCCGGGCGTAGATCTTCGCATATGTAGCGACGAAGAGGGACTGTGTTGTAAGGCCATGCTTGTGGGCTTGTGTTTCGAGAGCGGTTACGCTTGGGAGAAGGCCAAGCTTGAAGATCTCGGTTCGTGAGGTGGGCGGAATGCTGGGCTGGGTGAGATGGTTCTGAATTACCTCCTTGAGGTAGTTTGTCCAGAAGGCCTTGCGCTGTTCCATTGGCGAGTCGCCCGAAATCTTCGCAATGACTAGCGGGAGTATATCTTTCTGAGTTGGGTTGTCGGCACTGTTGCTGCGGTCTTGGAGTTGCTGGATGATAAGTGGCAGGCTGACACCATCATAGAGCGCATGATGTATCTTCAGGTTTACGTCCCATGGGGTTGATGGAGATGGTTTTGAGACCACTAGGTGTGCGTATGGTTGTTGTAAGCCCATCTTGAGCTTTTGCTTTGCCAGCTCGTTGTCATCTATATCGCTGCCGTTCGTTATCTTCATTGGCGTGTAACGCATGATGGCTTGGATATACGGCGTCCGCTTGTCGTTGGTTACAATGAAGTGTGTGCGCAGTATCGAGTTTTGCGAGAGTACCGTATTCCACGCTGTCTGCAGCGCCTCAAAAGTCACCTCGCCATGAATGCGATAATTGAACTCCGGATAGAACATGGCGCCGCCCGACTTGGCCCACATAGATAACATGTAAATTTGGCCAGCCGTTGCGGGTAGCACGCGCTCAATATCCTTTTCATTGATGCCTGCTTTCGCAAGTACACTGGCTTGGTCGATGCCAGAAAGCGCCTCTTGAATTATGATGTTAAGGTCGTCGTTCTCGCTGTCAGCCGTCGGTGTCTTCCCGTCCGCAATGCGCGCCATTTCCTCCACGGTACCTGCCTTTAGCATCTCGCCAACACTAAGAGTGACTCCGCGCTTGCGAAGGAGTGAGGAGACTTTGATAGCGCTGATGGAGTCTAAACCCATGTGGAAGATAGTCATGCCTGGAATGATCTCATCGTCTGGCGTCTGTGATACGAAAGCCAGTACCTCTCGGATGATGCCGGCGGTAGGTGTTGTCGAATAATCAGATTGCCGCTGTTCTATGTCAGATTTGATATGTGAGCTATCGTCTGCTTCTTGATTCGTGTAGGCCGGTAAGTCACAGATTGATACTCCGTTCGCCGTGAACTCAATGATCGGTGCGTCAGGCTTTGCGACGATGGCCTCGAGTACATTGTCAAGTCTTTCCAGTAATTCCTGTGCACCTGTTTCATCGAACCCTTCATCTTTGACTGCACACCGCCAGATAAGCTCTGTGCCGATCACTTCCATCTCCACACAAACGGGGTACTCGACGTCGCTCCGACCCTGGACACTCTCATACAGCTTCTCTGAGTTCTCAACGTCCTCGCTCAAGCCCTTCTGGTAGATAAACAGACTTTGTAGAAGGCCTCCGTGAACGCCAGCCAGAGAAAGAGCCTTTTGGAGCGGGAAGTGCTGCCACTGCTTGATGCTCCAGAAGTTGGCTTGGACATACAGCAGCATATCCTTCCTGCTGCCATGGAGTATAGTTCGGATGGCGACTGTGTTCATTGTAGGGAAGAGCAGGTTGGCCCTCGACTCGTCCTCGCGACCAGAAAGTACAGAGCCGAAGGTCACGTCGAGCGATTTCGTGTAGGAAGCTATCGTTGCGCCATGTACAGCTTGGCCGAGTGTCTGCAGCGTGATACCATGCTTTTTCGCGAAGGATGTGACAGCAGAAAGAGAGAGGCGGCTGCCTTGCTCATTGCGATGAACTGTTTGGAGTGATGCATCGGCGCGGCGAGGCAGGATCGCTTGTTTGGCGTCCGAGAGATAGTCACGCCAAAATGCTGCAGCGTCTGCTCCCGTTGCGGTCAAAATCTCATGAAGCGCTGGCTCGTATGAAGGTCGCGGATGGAAGTTACCGGCATACGTCTTGTGTATGTCGGAATGTAGAAGACTCAGGGACCACCCGTCGTATAGCGCATGGGCTATTGAGAGAACGAGATAGGTTTGACGTGGAGATTGAATCAATCGAACATGGAAGAGTGGTTGAGACGAAGGTTTGCCTGTTGCCTCTTCTCGAATGCTGTCAAAGACAGTTGGGAAATCGGGCTCAGTGTTAACCACTGTAGAAGTCCAGAACTCATGCGGTTGATGACGGATGACCTGCGCATGAGAGAAATCAATGCTCGGATCATCAACTGCAATGAATGCCGTGCGCAAAATAGGCGATCCCCGGATGACCTCTGTACATGCCTGTCGTACCCGCTCAAGATCGATGCCGGGTCTCAGTTTCAGCACGTCATGGTTGTAGTATCTCGTGTAATCCGAGGCGATCATCTCGGCCACCATAGCACCCTGCAGTGGTGTTGGCGGAAGTATATCTTCCACGCCTTCAGTGTCTCCACGACGCCGAAGGTAGCTCTTTAGTCGCTTCTTGTTTGCTTGATAGATCATATCCGAAGGCCGTGAACTGAGCTTCTCTTTGCCGACGGAGAGATATTGCATCATGCTGGCGACATTCAGGCCGCGCATGATGCCGCTGACGGGGAGCTCGATGCCCTGTTTTTTGAGCTTGGAAGACAGCTTGATGGCATCAATACTGTCCAGACCGACTTCGAATATGGTGGTGTTCGCGCTGACTTCTCCAACCTCGACTCCAGAAAGGTCGGCGATTTCTTTTCGAACAATCCTGGCGTGGCTGCTCCAGCTAAAGTCCGTCGTACCATCAAATGATTCAACCTCATTCTCCATTGAATTACTGGTAGGTTTGCCGCTTGCGCAGTCTCCGTCGTTTTCAACAAACGTCTCCAACACGGCCTCTGGATCTTCCATCACGCGGCGCAAAGCTGCCTCATACGTTTCGAGCAATTTGTTCGCTAATTCCGCATCCGCTACATGGCCTTGAGCGACCAGTGTCAATGTCAGCATCCCACCAAGGCTCTGTTCCACCTCTACAGCAAGAGGATAATCAGCCTCTGCTCCACTATCCTGCAGTTGCCAAAGATCGTTTTCAACAGCTTGTTCATCCTCTTCAGCAACTTGATAAACGAACAGTGTATCGAATAATGGCTGGTCGGGACCTCGCTTCAGCCACTTCATGATATCTCTCAGAGGTGTGTGCTGATACGGTTGCGCAGCAATGTTGAACTCGTGAGATCGTGTGACCAATGTAGCCCAAGTCTCGCGATGACGTGCGCGGTACTGATACGGGATGCTGTTGAACAAAGGCCCAATGACTTTGTCGGCATCCTCGAAGTCAATGCTGCGGCCGGACACTACCATACCGATGGTTACCGGGGCTTTTAGATATTGGTGGAGAACACTAGTCCAGCAAGCTTGAGCAATGGCTTGCGCCGTGACGTTGAGCTTTCGTCTAGTGTCTTCAAGGCTATGCAGGTCCCGTATCTCACGGGAAAGTATAACCAGTCCCTCGTCGGTACGACCATCAAGTGCAGGTAGCGGCCGGAGTCTGTGATCTCGAAGGTGCTTCTCCCAGAACGGCCGAGCATTGACTGATAGTCGCAAAGGACCATGGGCAAGGGCGGAGTGGAACGCTGGGCCGATCTGAACTTTGCGGTCGTTATAGGCGTCCCAAACAGCCTTGAAGACGAGCCCGATACTATTGCCGTCGTATAGAGCATGGAAAATATGCACTAAAAGGTGTTGGACTGTCGGAGTGGTCACCACAAAGACCTCAATCGGCCGCTTAAAATTTGTCCGATTGAGTCGTATCCATTCCTTCTTCTTCTTTGCCAGATGATCTTCGAGCGAGTTGTCGTCGAGAAGGTCATCTACGTGATAGGAAAGGTCAACGTTCCGGAGTACAGCCTGCACAAACCCTTCATCCGTGTTCACGAAGACAGTACGTAGGATCTGCGTCGATGCGAAAACTTGCTCCCAGGCTTCCCGCAGCTTATTGACGTCGACATCGGTCCCAAGTTCAAATCGGAAGCTGTTGAAGTAGATCCCACTCTCACTTTCTAAAGCTCTCGCGATCATGCCCTGCTGCAAAGGCGTGCATGGAGCCAGTGTCTCGATGTTCCTTGTGTCCATGAATAATGTCTCGGCCACGACCCGCCTGTACTGGTGCTGCACGGCTGTGATTGCTTGCTGCGCTGCAGTGACAGATCCTCTATCAGTTTCGTCGGACGATCCATTTGATAATGCCTTCGTCAGCCGTCGGATCGTCGGGTTCTTGAGGATAATTGATGCTGCAGCCTGCGTCTCCCCAGCCTGCTTCAACGCCCTCGAAACGCCTATCACGGAGATCGAATCCATGCCAAGCTCAAAGAAACTGGAATCTTTTCCGAGATTGTCTCCCACGATGCCCAATGCTTCCATGATGATGTCGCGGACCTGTTCCTCTTGTCGCGACCATTTCTCGTCCTTTGTCTGTGTACCTGACGAGAGAAGCGACAAGTCACTGACAGACATTCCCTCGTACAAACCTTTGAGCTTTCTCGACTCAGCTTTGTTGTTGGCAGATAACGGCATGGTCGTAAGGGCGACAAAATGTGTAGGCACCATGTACGGGGGCAACTTGTCCTGGCAAGCTTCCTTAGCTTTCCACAGTTCGCCGGTCGCCTCCAATACAATCTTTGTATCGCCGCGCGTCCCGGATCCAAGAACGACGAAGGAGACCAGCTGCTCTTTCTGTTGCTTGGGGTGTTTCAGCACTAGCGTAGCCACATCTGCGATCGCAATACCGCATTGTTTGATGACCGAGTTGATTTCTCCAACCTCGAGTCGCTGACCACGCAGCTTCACTTGGTCATCCGCCCGGCCTAAGAAGTCAAACGTGCCGTCGTGCAAAATTCTGACGAGATCCCCCGTTCGATAGACTTTCTCACCAAAGCGCTCAAGATAGGGAAATCGCTCTTCAGTCAGGTCTGGTCGATTCAGATAGCCCTTTCCGACCAATTTGCCAGACACGCACAGCTCCCCGACTCCACCTCTTAGAACCGGCACATCGGAACCCGGACGCAGAACATACGACCCCACGTTGTCAAACTGAGGGCCGATGTTTGATGGCTTACCATTAGCGGGAACGCGAGGATACATAGTCACACCGATAGTAGCCTCGGTCGGGCCGTAGCCGTTGTATATGACGCTCTTCGGACCCCATACATCGAGAATTTCTTGCTTAAGGCTCTCGCCTCCCGTGATAAACACTCCCTTGCACAGCGTGGGTACATCGTCGGGATGCAACATTCGAGCGAGGCTGGGGGTGAGATCAATATGAGTAACTTGAAGTGCTCGAATTGAGCCAGCGAGATCTTCGAAGAAAATGTCTCGTGGTGCGGATACTACGCATATGCCAACGGACCAACTCCAGTATTGCTCGAGCACGGACACGTCAAAGTGGAAGGAAGCGAACTGAAGCCAGCGAGATTCATCGTCCCAATGGCCCGAAAACAACCGCCTGAAGGCAAGCATTGCCTGCACTGCGTTCTCGTGGGTGAGCTCGCACCCCTTCGGTGTGCCGGTAGTCCCAGAGGTATATAAGCAGTAGCTGCGATCCTGAGGGTCTATCGTCCTCGCAAGGGTTGGCTTCTCTGCCGATGCAGACTGCCAGTCAACCTCATCGAGGTTAAAAACCGTTGCTTCTGTGTCGTCCTTGAAGCCAGCGGATTGAGCGTGCATCGAAAGCACTATTGGCGCGCCAGAGTCTTCGAGGATGAATACCTTGCGAGCACTAGGCGCTCCGGGGTCTAGCGCGACGAATGCACATCCAGCTTTCAATATGCCCAGGATCGCAAAAGAGGCCTCGGGGCATTTCTCAAAACAGATACCAACCAGTCCACCAGGTCGAACCCCGTGCGAAACGAGAAGATTGGCGATTCTATTACCCTCGCCATCGAGTTGCGCGTAGGTCCACTTCCGGCTTGCATAATGCTCGTGTAGCAATGAAGTTGCAAACTCGAAAGCAATGCGGTCGGGACCCTTAGTTGCCGTCCACTCCACAAATTCGTGGAGCAACATAACTTCGGATGGGATTGTAGGCGTTTCAGCGGGTATAATTGAATAGACTTCGGGATCGAATCTATCCTGGTCGTCTTTTCTCGAGAACACATGTCTTTCAATGAGATAGTCTAATTGATCTAGGATCAGAGAAGCCTGTTTGTCCGGGACGACGTGAGGCATGAATGTTAGCCGCAACTCCAACTGCCTGTTCTTAGGTTCGAGCTCGATCGACAACGGGTACTCAATCGATGCTTTTTCGTCTACTAGAGCCCACAGCCCGTCGAGATCTCCCGTGTTTGCAAGCTTTTGGAATGCAAAAATCGAGTCAAAGAGTGGCTCATTTGGATATCCCATCAGCTTCTGGATTTCGTTGAGCGGTGTGAATTGGTGCTGTTGAATTTCAGCGTTCAACGACATGACGTTCTTCAGTGCTTCTGCTTGGTCACCGGTTATCTTGCAGGCAAAAGGTACGGTTGTGATACAGGGAAAGACAGCATCGTCTGCAAGTTCTGTGGTCCGACCAGACAAAACGACACCGAAAGTGACAGTGGGCTCGCCTGTATAGGCTGCCAAGAGCGTTGCCCAACTAGCAAGGCCTGCAGCTTGCAGGGTGATATTGGAAGCCTTGCATCCGTCATTGAGCTCTTCCAGCGTATGCTTGGACGACTTGGTAAGCACGGCAGCTTCTCTAGGATCATACCGGAGCGGGGTAAGGTTGGGGAAGCGCGTCGGTGTTGCGAGCTGCCCGAGTTGTTTCCAAAATTCATTCGATGCTGTATTGTCTTTGCGGCTCAGATGGAGAATTTCTTCGATCGTGGGTTCAAAGGGCGCTGTGGCAGTCGGGTTGCCCTGATATGCCGCAACAACATCGTTGAAGATGAGCTGCAGGCTCTGAGCATCAAATATAGCATGCAGCAGTGCCACATCAAGATAGGCGATACCGTCCACACTGTTGAAGCGTATGCGCCATGGTGGCTGATGCAGGTTTGTGACCGCTTCTTGTTCAGAGTCGCGCAACCATTTCTCCGTTGCTCTAGGATCATCCGCGTCGGTATGCCACAAGGGCAACGCAGAGCTGACTATATAGTGAACCATGGCAAATGATGTGTTGCTATCCTTGACATGCGCAAAACCTGTGCGTAGCATGCGATGCCTCTCCACAGTGGCCACCCACGCATCATTCAGACGACGTGCATCTACGTTCTCGTTTAGGCGTAGGCGCAGGTAATTGAAATAGATCTCGCCGTCTTTTGCAATGAATTGCGATAGCATACCGCTTTGCAGAGGCGTGCAGGGACGTATGGCTTCAATCTGCCCATCAGGGATACCGCATACTTTCACAATATCGTTTCGATGTTTTCGCTCAAAGGCGTCGAAATCAAAGTGTCCTAGTTTTGTAGGTACGGTATCAAAAGAGCGCTCCAGGTATGCAGCAAGATCCTTGCAGTTGTTGTACCGCATCACGTCTGTCGCGCTTGCTTGCAAGGCGTCTTTGCGTAGCGCAGCTGCGATCTGGACAGCGCTGATGCTGTCGAGACCGAGCTGATAGATGGAAGTCCAGGGTTTGATGTCTCCATGTGGAGTTTTGGAAAGCTTTGCGAATATCTCGCGTATTCTTTGTTCTCGCTCGGTCCACTGATAGCTCAGAGCATCCTGTTCGGAGTCATGCGACTCAACGTCCGCCTGAATCGACACCCGGAAGGCACTCGTCAACGCCTTTTTGTCGATCTTGCCGGCCATGGACTTCGGTATCTTATCGATGGAAATGAAGAACTGTGGTACCATGTATGATGGCAGAATGTCTATCGCCGTCTGTTTAGCAACAGATCTGACTCTCGCCTGCTCACTTTCGTTGGCCGGGGACTGGAGCACAAGAAACGCAACAAGCTGGTCTTTTTCGTCGCTTTCTTTCTTGAGTATCTGTGTCGTGACGGCGACTATGCTCCCATCGCTCTCTTTGAGGATCTTGTTGATCTCGCCCAGTTCGACTCGTAGACCTCTTATCTTGACTTGGTCATCAGCGCGCCCGAGGAACTCGAAACTACCATCGCCCAGCGTCCGCACAACATCGCCACTTTTGTAAAACCTTTGGCCACATTTGTGCGAGAACTTCTCTTCGGTAAGTTGCGTCTGGCCGTAGTACCCCCGAGCGAGCTGAGCACCGCCAATGTGCAATTCACCGACACCTAGCACAGGTAATGGTCGGTCACCTCGGGGGGAGAATACTGCAAACGACGTCGTTGGGAACGGACGTCCAATCACAGAAGTTTTGAATTCCGGTGTGGTAGGAAAGATCGTGGTGCAGAACGCAGCTTCTGTAGGCCCGTAGGAATTGACACATGCTCCGGCCCATTCGTTCACCACTTCAGATGACATCGCTTCGCCAATACAATAAAGCCACTTGACGTTGGGAACTTCAACTCTTTTGAGCGACTGGGCCACAGACGGCGTAAGGTCGAGCAAATCTGCATTCAGAGCATTAATCGAGTCCGCAAGAGAATTGAGCATCGTGTCTTGGTCAGCAGCGCACAAGGTGAACCCAAAGGTCCATGCCAAGAAGCAATCGTAGTAGCACATGTCGAATGTAATAGCTGCGTATTGCAGAAGCCTTGAATTGTGGGTCCAGGGTACGAGAGAACGGGAGCTTTCGATTGTCTGAATAGGCGCGCGATGCTCCATGCTAACAGCTTTGGGTCGCCCTGTGGAGCCCGAAGTGTACAGACAGTAAGCTATATTTGTGGGGCGGAGACTATTCACAGAGGGGTTCTGGGTGGGATAATTCGCAGTCTCTGTAACGTCAAGTACAACGATACCCGCTTCATGCAGCCATCCGATGGCAGTGTCAAATGAGAGTACGACCCTGGGTCCTAGTTCAGATATCATGAACTGCTTCCTCGCCTCTGGTAGATCAGGATGAATTGGAGAAAACGCAGCACCAGCTTTGAGTACACCAAGTATACAGACATAGAACTCGGGGCTCTTTGGCATATGTACCGGAACTACGTCTTCGGGTTTTAAGCCAAGATGGAGCAAAGCGTGCGCGATCTGATTCGCCTTCTCGTTCAAAGTAGAATAGGTGAAGGTTGTTGTCACTCCGCTAGCATCTTGGAAGTCAAGAGCGATCGAATCCGGTCTCTTTGAAGCATTGTGCTCGAACGCAGAATACAGTAGTCCACCCTTTGGTGTATAAAACGGCTGAGAGCTCATGTTGGACTGACCTAGCAAGCGATCCGGAAATCCGATAGTGTCTTCTGCTGCCGATTCTGGGTAGCGCACAAGTGACTGAAGTGCGTGGTCGAAGACTGCCGCTAGTATTTCAGCATCCTCTTTTTGGCATATGTCGAGCTGATAGTGTAGGTTGAGAGTCAATGTGTCCGCAGATTCATCTTGGTTTACTTCGCAAACAACTGGCACATCCATATCTCCATCATCTAGTTCTAGCGTCCAGATTGAATTGTCTAGCGGTGTTTGTGGCTGTTGAAGAATGACAAGCGTATCAAATAAGCGACCTTCTTCTTGTCGTGTCTTGGACTGGATCCAGCGCAGAGGGGTCAGTTGGAAAGGTAGAGAATCCACGTTGAAAGCATGGAGCTTCTTGCAGAGTTTGGCATTTGATCTCTGGAAATCAAAGTTCAAGCGTACGGGAAGCGTGTTGAAGCAAGGCGCCACCAAGCGGTCAAGTCCATCTTCTAGTAGTGTGCGACCACTGACCACGTTTCCGAAGCACATGTCGGTACCTGCCATAACGAAATGCAACAATTTTGCCCAGGCGGACTGTACTAGAGCCAACAGGGAGATGGATGTTTTTCGGCAGTGCTGTGTGACTACGCTGAGTGGTATCTGTATGTGCTGTTGAACCAAGGATGACATGTGTGAAGGCTGCAGTAGCTTGCTGGAGAGATTCGGAAAGTATGTTGGCTCGAAGTTCGCCAGTCCTGCTCTCCAGAACTGCAGAGCTCCTTCATGATCAGAAATTGAAATATGCTGCAAGTAGGATTCGTACGGCACGGGGGCTGGTAGTTTCTTCTCGAAATAGAAGTCTTGTACCTCCCGAAGAAGATTTCCGATGGCCAACCCATCGTAAAGCGCGTGGTGACAGCAGAAGATGAGCCTGGCTGAAGTCCCATAACCCTGGATTGCTAGGCGTACTGGTGGTTGATGTGACTGGAGTAAGTCAGACAGCACGTTCCTGGCATACGCCCGTGCGTCCGTACTCGGCTCTATCTGATCCCAAGATACGGACATATTGTGGAGTACAACCTGTGCAAATGCATGTTGCGCATTGTCGGTTGCGACAAAGGTTGTTCGTAGGATGTCGTGTCTTTGAAACATATGTTCCCAGCACTCTTTTAGACGCTCAAGAGAGCCATTGACTGCAAACACCATCACATTATAATACGAAGCATTCCTCACACTGTGTTGGGGGTCCTGGCTTAGTTCTCCTGGGTATGTCGGCGCGCCCGATAACATAGCCTCCTGTAACGGAGTACAAGGCAAGATCCTGTCTATGTTATCGCGATCTACACCAAATTCAGAGCGGATGTCAGAGAGTTGGCTTGAGTCGAAAACATTGGCTACTGCAAAAAGATAACAATTAGCAATTGACATTGAAGCATTCTCGGCCCTGCGAAACGATCGGTCTGGAGTATTACATTCACTTACAGTTCTGTCCCAAGTCAGGAGCTAAGGCAACCACTCCGGATGCACGTTTCTCCAAGAGAATTGATGATAATCGCTCCACCGTAGGATTTCTGAGTATGAGCGAGACAGGGACATGCTCAAATCCCGCATCCCGAAGATTCTTAGCGAAGCGGATCGCTGAGAGAGAATCTAGGCCAAGGTTGAAAAACGATGAGTTTTGCTTGATGTCAACGAGAGGCAGATCCATCGTACGCGATAGAGCCTCTGCTATTGTTTTCTCGGTAGCAGTAAGCGCCTGTTCGCGTTGATCTGGGCCAGAGCCGAGAGATGTAAGCTCCAGGTCTTCGCTTTCGAACCGCTGGAAAGTACTTTGCAACAGCCGTTGGTCGATCTTTGCTTGGGAGGTCATCGGGATGCGAGTAATGGGTATAATATGTGTTGGTATCATGTAAGCCGGGAGTTGCAGGTTCAATGCCTCAAATATTTCCGAGGTCTTGATCCTGTATGCTTTTGGCGCAAGAGAACAGAATTCGGTATGCATATCGCCTGCTGGAACCCAGAAAACTACCAGCCGTTGGCTCGCCTTTCTCGCACTGTTGGGGTCCTGGGGTGCCGCCATACGGTCTTGGATTAACACAGTAGCACAGTCCTTAACGTGAGGATGATCGAGCACAACGGACGTGATTTCTCCAAGTTCTACTCTCTGCCCGCGGATTTTAACCTGATCGTCTAAGCGACCTGCCGACAGTATTGAACCATCCGGCAGCAGCCTGCCCATATCGCCTGAGCGGTAGATACGTCCATACCTCAGGTGTTCGATTATCTTCTCAGCGTTGAGATCCGGTCGGTTAAGGTAACCACGAAAGACTTGGGCTCCTCCAAAGCAGAGCTCGCCAATCGCGCCTCGCGGAACGATTCTGTCAGTTCCAGGTTCCAATATCAGAAGAGAAGTGTTCGGGAAGATTGGTCCGATATTGTTGATTAGGTCGGACTCAGTTACACAGGGCTTGACGGTACAGATATTGGTTGTTTCCGATGGCCCGTATCCTGCAAGTAGATTAACATGTATACAAGGTTTCTTGGATGGCACCCGTACCTTGGTATAGCCCTTTACCAGCCCATTTCCGCTTGACACTCTCTGTAACAGCCTCACCAGCTGTCACCAAAAGTTTCACTTTGGGTACCCTGCTCGGGTCGACCAGGCCCGCCACCGTAGGTGTAAGGCTCAAATGGGTAATGTCCAAGCTGTCAATTGCAGCCTCAAAGTCGTAAAAAAGATCGTCCTTGGTCGCCGTGCACAGACACATCCCCACGTACCAGGAGAAGAATATCTCGAAAACTGAAACATCAAACGCCTGGGAACATGATTGTAGAAGTCTTGAGCTCTCAGTATATGGGTAGAGAGTGGAGAGATACCCCAAGTTGCTCATCAGATTGTTCTGGGTTACAAGGACACCCTTGGGTTTCCCAGTACTTCCGGAGGTAAACACTGCATACGCTAAGTGTTCGCCATTATATGATGTTGTGAGGTTGTGGTCCGGATATCCCGCCAGCTTCGGATCAGCAGGGTCCAGCACCAAGAGCGCAGCCTGGTGGGCGTATTTCGTATATTCGAGTTTGCTTATGCAGATCTTGACTCGAGAATCTGCTAGTATACGATTGAATCGCTCTGTTGGAGTATCTGGTACGACCGGAAGATATCCGCATCCTGTCTTGAGAATGGCCAGAATGGAAATGTAGAGATCAATGGATTTCTCGAGCATGACGCACACCAATTGGTCGTTCCCGGCGCCAAGTGCTACCAGAGCATGTGCTAGCTGATTTGCACGTGCATTCAATGAAGCGTACGATAGCCTCTCCGTAATCTCCATGTTGCCGTCCACGACGGATCCTAGTATAACAGCGTCTTTGGATGGAAACTCCACGGCTCGCATCTCCACGCAATGGGCCGGTCCGTGTCGTATGGGCCCCCCTTCTGGCTCAGGATTCACAATTGACAATGCTTTATCGTCAAGGAAACCCTTCGCTACTTTCAACTTCCCATTATAGTTGGCAAGAAAGTACCGCACCGTCTGCTGAACCTGCATCGCGAGGTACTCAATTTGCTTCTCGGGAATTCTCGACGCATCGTAGGTTATTCGGTAGGCGATACTCTCATCCCGAGGCTCAACCTCAAACGTGATGTTGAGTTCAAGGTCGTCTGCGCTGTCTACTACGTGGAGGTTAAAATGTCCATTTTCGGTCGAGACGAGGGACTCTTGCCAGACGAAGAGAACATCGAACAAGCGCTCTCGCGGACGAAGCTGGCACAGTTTTGTGATCGCGCGCAGAGGCAGTGTACAATGCTGCAACATGTCTCGATTTGCTTGTTGGGTCTTCTGCAGCAGATCACAAACTGTGAGGCACGATAGATCTGTGCGAAAGGGAAGAGTGGCGATGCAAGGACCCATTACCTCCTCAACCCGTGTGACGGGAACAGTCCTACCGGATGTGACAGTTCCGATCACGACGTCGGATGTTCCTAGATACTGGCCGATGACGTGGCTAATGGCGGCTTGGTAGAACACTTGAGGATGAATTGCGTGCTCTTTAGCGGCAGCGGACAAGAACTCCATATTGATCATGTACTCTCCTCGTAGATACGAAAGCCCTGAGTGGGGAAGTGTCCGGCCGTTAAAATTTGGTAGAGGTGTCGGAGAAAAGTCATGGAGAATTTTTCGCCAATAATCTGCGCTCTTCTCTTGGGCGCCTGAGTTAGACATTTGTAGGTAGTAATTGACCACGTCGCGAAATTGTGGTCGGGCAATGCTCGGACATCCTGCCAGCAGTTCATTCAAGTCGTGTAGGAGAAGATCGAAAGACCAGCCATCGTATAAAGCATGATGAATCTGAAACAGAAGACGCGGCCTATCGGTAGCCGCGATGATTTGCACATTGAAGGGACGTAGAAGAGATTGCACCGACCCAAGAGAATATGATCGAGAAAAGGTGGAGACCTCGATTACCGTAGAAGCTTGCATACTGTCCCACACAAGCTGCAGAAAGGTCGTAGATGCTATGTTGGCCATGTAGAATCCAGTGCGAAGAATCTCATTACGGTGTACAATGGTGCTGAGCACCTCGTGTATATGCGAGAATGAGTGAGGTTGGAATAGTTCGACTTCAATCCAGTTGCAGTAAGCGCTGGGTTTCGTAGCAGTTTCCGTCAGCATTGCTTCTTGTAAAGGCGTGCATGGTAAGATGTCAACTATGTCATTGCGATATGATTGCAATTCCGGAAAGTTCAACAAGCGACTTGAATCCATGTTGGACTGTTCTGTGAGGTGGGAAGCTCGCTTCTCCCTTCCTTTGCAGAGATCTCTGAGCTCTTTGAGGTTATTCGTGGTCAAGATGTCTACAGATCCGACGTCGAGCCCTGTTTCGCGTAGTGCAGACGCAATACGGATCGAGCGCAAAGAGTCCAGTCCAACGCTAGCAAAGTCCTCGCCATCTGAAATTGCACGTCCAAGCACGGCCTGGAAGATCGAGGTAACAGGGTCATCTAACATGCTGCTAGACTGCATTACCGAAGAGGTTGGACGAGGCTTTTTGTCCAAGTAGATTGCTTTCAGAGCAGGCTTATCAATTTTTCCAGAGGGGAGTTGAGGCATGCGGTCAACGAAGATGAATTCAATGGGGACCATGTAACTTGGCAGCCACTGTCGGCAAGTCTCTCGCACGATCGTGCTTGATACTGTCAATGGATCCGTGGCGCAGAATGCAACTAATGCATCTTCGATCACCATCGCAACTGCACTGTAGCAGCCGTCGACTTTGATGATTGTTTGTTCGATCTCGCTGAGTTCCACTCTCTGCCCCCTTAGCTTCACCTGACCGGACACCATGCGTCCCAAGCATTCGAGCGTACCATCAGAGCATAGTCGGGCTTTGTCTCCTGTGCGGTACAGATAGCCGAATGTCGGATCATGGATGAACGCATCCGATGTCAATTCTGGCCTGTTTAGATACTCGTCGGCAACTTGAGGACCTCCGATGACCAGTTCACCCATCTCTCCTCGTGGCAGGACCTTCAGAACTTTTGTAGGTTCACCTTGGTGAACAGGAGCCGCTATTATAGCTGTGACAGTATCCAATGGGAATCCAATGTTGCCCAAAGAAGATGTGCAAGAAAAGCTGGGTTGCAAAGTACAGTGAATTGCAGCTTCGGTGGGTCCGTACATGCCCCAGAGAATACTAGGTCTGGAATCCGTTCCGCCATACTCATCTATCACGTCCCGTGTCAACATTTCGCCAATGGTAAGCAGCAACTTGAGTCCTGGCACACTCTTTCGGCCTCGGAGTAGGTTGCTGACGGCTGTGGGTGTGAGTTCGGCAGCATCTACCCGCAATGAGGCAATGGTAGCAGGCAGGTCGTTGAGCATCTGCGTCCGTGCGCATCCGGAAAGTGTGACACCGCGATAGAAGGGAAAAAATATCTCGAATATCGACACGTCAAATGTAGGTGCCGCGAACTGTAGGAACCGAGTGAAAGGAGGGATGTGTCGATCATGAGCTAATAAGCTCTGGGTGACAGCGCGATGTGACACGCTGACAGCCTTGGGAAGTCCTGTAGATCCCGATGTGTAGAGTACATAAGCTAATCGCGATTGCCGCTGGTGTCGTGTCTCTGAAGCCGTGCCAGAAGTGTGCGCTTGATCGTCTCTGTCGATAAGCAATGCTTGTGTGTTGGAGGAGGAAGGAAGGTGCTCTCTGAGTGTCGATTTTGTGATCAAGATGTCAGCTGAAACATCCTTAAGAATGAAAGCCACTCTCTCAGGCGGTGCATCGAGACCGATTGGACAGAATGCCCTTCCGCTCTTCAATATGGCCAGCAAGGCAATGTAGAGCTCTGGTGACTGAGGCAAAAGGATTGGCACAACTTCAGAGGCATTTTCCAGTCTCGCAAGGTGTAACCTAATTCTTTGCGCAAGACCATCGCTTGCCGTATGCAATTCCTCATACGTAAGCTTCCGCCTCTGACCTCCATCTTCCAGGAAGTCGATGGCAGGAGCGTCAGTAGCTGACGATGGTCGTACCAGCTGGTGCAAGTATTCTGGTCCAGGCAGACTTTCCGGGTGTCTGTGCAAGACGGACAAGTCGGACACGGATCCTTCCTCTTGAAGGAGCATTTCGAGTATCCGCACTGGGGTAAGCCGCCTCAGGTGTTCTTCGTATCATGCGAGTGTCGATGTCGGAGCTTAGTTACGGTGCCTGTCAGAGAGAAAGAGATAACCAGACTTTTTCTAACGCGTGCGATGATTGAGGGCCTTGGGACTTCCTTTCTGATGACACGCTGTAATTGCCGTGATGTGATTGGTCCGAGACCACCTGGGCAGGTCCTACCTTTTTGGCCAACAGATCACACCGTACTGGACACACAAGACCCAAGACGTCGAAATTTTCACCAGAGTCACCTGGTGGTGTTGCGGTTTTTCCTATGCGAAGAGTCCACCACGGGAAGGGGGTCGCCTACGAGCCGCCAGCGTATAGAGCGCGAGCGCACGGGAAGAACAGAACACGGTGGGGAATGTGAAGGCATCAGGACACAAGGCTGGTCATTCACAACAAATGAAGCGAGCAGAGTGGGTCTCGCAAAGCCGAACGTCGCAACGCCTCTTCTTCAGAGCTGCCTGGAAGGACCAAAGTCAAGACGTAATCGAAGGAGAGACCGGCAGAATCTTATCAGATCGGAGAGACATGGCCTGCAAAGATGGCAGGCTGGACAACCTCTGGACGGAAGCGACGAACAATGCGTAAGAGAAGCAGGGTTGTACTCACAATCCCACACGGGCTGCCTCTTACCAACGAGATGACTACTGTCCATAGCTCTGCGCGCGAGAACCGCCGGCTCTGCGTGCGTTGTAAAGGGTCCGGCCCGCCTCGAAGTGCGCGATCGATCCCACGCCAGCAACTTTTAATTATGTCACCGCTTCCCTTCTTCGTACAGGGGCCGAGTGGCTGCTTCACAAGCCCGATCGAGCCGATTTCGGGCGCCTCTTGCTTGCTGTGGCAGTGGCTGCTCCGCGCAGCGCGACACCGCGATACCCCCCGAAGATGCGAGCCAAGAGACAGGATCATCTGATAAGATTTTGCGTCTGCTGTGCGTCACTGCCTGCAGCCAGCCGCGTTCAGCCCTGGCATCCAACGCTAACTGCCCGCTTGGCTGCATTGTGTACCTGTACCATATGAACGATCGCCACTGGCGACAGAATGAATCGGAGCGACTGCAGGCTACCATCAAACTGATCATCAATGTTCTGCTTTCAACAATATCAGTCTTGATGTGTTCTATCATTCTCGCGATCGCAGTTGACGCGATCGGGGTGCTGCTTTCAATAAACTAGTCACCCTGGTTCCCTGCCAAGTTTTAGCGAACAGCGTGCTTCGCATCACCAGAGCCGATTCCATCACATTTGCTCCTTCTCTGAGTCAGGTACGGGTTTCGCGTGATTTGCGTGTCGAATAATACTAACCCCGGCCACGGAACACATCGACATCGACATGGATTACAGGAGCTGACATACGCTCTTCTGTGCCTGCGCCATCTCCATCTTCGTTTATTGATAGGACGTCATGGAACCCATCCAGGCGCTCCCTGGCAACCCTCAGGCAACACCACTCCTTGGGGACACACTCGCCGACACTGAATCTGAAAGCCAACTATTAATCGCTTCTGAAAACGATGACAGCAGCTCTTCGTCGCGCAGTTCGCAATGGGAAGGGCACGTCGACATCGCATCTCTCCACACGGTTCAGGGTCATCCTGAGCCACGCGGCATTGGTCTAATCCGACAAAAGTTCATCAAGCAAATTCTTGGATTGAATCCATTCAGGACCTCGTATTTCTCTCTTTATAAGCCATTGACGGACTTCCAGTCCAGAACAATCCTAAGTTTTGGATGTTTCTTCTCCATTGCATGTGGCGTACCTATACCTTTGATTGGAGTCATCTTAGGGAAGATCATCAACAATTTCCCGCCACGCGAAGATGAACTTAAGCTGCGCCTGGTGCAGCTTATGTCCATGGCTGTGATTTACTTCGTGGTGGCATGGGGATCAACGGTCTGCTGGGCGCTGGTAGGCGAAAGAGTATCGAGAAAGACACGCGAGCAGCTCGTCGAAAGGAGTCTGGGAATGGACCTCACCTATTACGATACAGTTTCACCCGACATTACGAATATTCTCACCGAAAAGACGCAGACGATCCAGCTAGGAACTTCCGAAAAAGTCGGCGTGTTCCTGACATCCATCAGCTACTTCATTGCTGCGTTCACTGTGGGATTCACACTCAATGCTAGGCTCACAGCTGTTATGTAAGTTCCACACTTCCTAGGTGTTGTACATTGCCATCACGCGTGCACGGATGGGTACCACTACTACTCCCATCGGCTTTGCTTATCGTTTCATCAACTTACATGATGTAGGTTCGTTACTGTCATACCAGCCATGACCATCGTCGTTGTTTGCGGGACTCACTTCGTATCAAAATTCTCGAGGCAAGCCAGCTCTTTCACCGAGAAAGCTACTTCCGTTGCCGAGAGCGCATTCAAAGGCGTCCAAATTGTGCAAGCATTTGGAGTAACGGAACGACTGGCAGAGGATCATGTTAATTTTCTCTGCAAAGCTCTCCGAGCCGGCCTTCGCAAAAGCATCGTCGGTGCCGGCATGCTAGGAAGCGTGTACTTCATTGCGTATGCCGCAAATGCACTAGCTTTCTGGTACGGCGACAAGCTCCGCAATGGGAGTGCTGAGGCGGGTACTATCTACGCCGTTGTCTTTCTGATATTGGATGCGTCTTTTGTTGTTGGGGCAGTCGGTCCCTTCATCCAGACATTCGCTCTAGCTGCAGCGGCAGGACAAGCCGTGTTTGATATTCTCGACTACCCGGTCGCCGATATCGATGTATACTCTACCAATGGCAAGATCGTTGGAAAAGAAAGTTTCAAAAAGACCATCACTTTTCGAGATGTTTCATTCGTTTATCCTGCACGCCCTACCGAGCGCGTCCTTCAAAACGTCAACCTTCAGATTGCCCCCGGAAAAGTTACGGGCCTGGTCGGTCCGTCAGGCTCCGGGAAGTCGACCGTTGCTACTCTCCTCCTCCGCCTATACGATCCGTCTGCGGGCTCTGTGTTATTAGGTGACGATGAGTTGAAAGACCTAAACGTCAAGAGCCTTCGTTCCCAGATTGCTCTGGTGACTCAAAATCCCACGTTATTTACCGGGACAATACTGGATAACATCAGGCTTGGTTTGCCTTCAAATGAAGAGATCCCGGAAGAGGAAGTAGTTGCAAGATGCAAGGCCGCTGCCGAAGAAGCTTACTGTGACTTCCTTGAACACCTACCGGACGGCCTGGATACGCAGATTGGGTCAGGTCACCATTCTCAACTCTCGGGAGGGCAAAAGCAACGCATCGCACTTGCACGTGCGCTAGTCGGAAACCCGGCACTGCTCCTTTTGGATGAGTACACCAGCGCTATGGATGCTACGAGTGAAGCCGTGGTTCTAGAAAACCTTCGTCGGAGTTCTGCTACTTCTGGAAGAACTACTATCATCATTGCCCACCGACTTGCCACTATCAAAGATGCCGATCGTATCGTTGTTATGAAGGATGGTGGGGTTGTGGAAGAAGGACGGCACGATATTCTCACCATTGGGAATGGTCTTTACGCTGAGCTCATACGCGCCCAGAAATTTGACAAGAAACCTACAATGTCTTCCGCATCCTCATTTGTCTCTGGCTCTGGCCGCAGAAAGGAGACTGCACCACCTCCGAAGGCCTCGCGGGACAATAGTACCACTCGGAATCCCTCAGCACCCGATACAACGCAAGATAAATCCGCGTTACAACTAATCGGGAGGTGTTTCGCTTTGAGTCGCAATGAGAGCCCGGCGATAGCTATTGGGCTCAGCGCGTCTGTTCTGAGCGGCGCTATATCTATTGGTGAGGCTTACATCTTTGGTAACCTCGTAGAGCTACTCAACAGCACGTCAGACGTTTCAGGCCTGATCGCACAATTTTGTCTTCTGTTTTTCGGCCTGGCTATCATTGCTCTACTCTCCCGCGTAATTGGTGGCAGCGCCTTCGGGTTCGTGTCAGAGAATCTGGTACTTCGTACACGCGATGTATCTTTTCGCACGGTGCTGATGCAAGACATCGCATGGTTTTCTAAACCCGGTCACTCTCACCACGCGTTGATGGCAAAGCTCAACATGGACAGTGGGCACATCAGCGGGCTATCGGGAGTCATCCTGGGGACCTTCTTCTCCATCGCTACGTCTGTCGTGGGTGGTATGATTTTGGCACATATTGTCGCATGGAAAATCGCTATCGTCCTGCTAGCTGCAGTGCCAATCATGCTACTTGCCGGATTTTTCCGCTTGCGTATACTTGCTAAAGCCCAGGAAAGACACGAAACCGCGTACAATTCAGCTGCTGCTCTGGTACGTAATCCCCTAAGAAATGAAGTTTCCCAATCTCAACATAGGTCTTGCATCTGCACAAATTGTTTGCTGACATTCACGAACCCAGGCATCCGAGGCCTGTTCTGCCATACATACAGTTGCCGCGTTGGGACGAGAACGTGATTTCCTCGACAGATATAGAGCCGCCATCCAAAAACCATACGACGAGAGCCTTCGTTTTAACGTGCTTGGCAGCATGATCCTAGCATTCTCATTGTCTGTCACTTACTTTGTGTATGCTCTAGCATACTGGTGGGGTTCAAAACAAGTGCGCGCGGGCAATTACGGTCAGAAAGACTTCTTCATTGTTCTTCCCGCACTGCTATTTTCAGCACAAGCTGCCGGACAGCTGTTCAGTCTCGCCCCCGAAATCACCAGGGCCAAAACTGCGGCGCAAAGTGTCTTCGCACTACATGATGAGAAATCCACCATCATTAAAACGGTATCAGCTACTAAGCCCTACCAAAACGGAGTCTGTCCCACTTATGGAAGCGCGAACGGATCAAGTTCCAACGTTTTGGGCGAAGTCGAGTTTCGTAGAGTGAGCCTGCACTATGCCACACGGCCCGACGTGGCTGCTCTAAACAACGTGTCATTCACAATCCGCCCAGGAGAATATGTCGCATTCGTGGGACGGTCTGGCGCGGGTAAATCCAGTACAGTACATTTGATTGAGAGGTTCTTTGACCCTACAGCTGGCAGCGTCTTCGTCGACGGCGAGGATATCCGCAGTGGCGACGTGAAGCTCCATAGAGCACGACTAGGATTAGTCGAACAGGAACCTGACCTGTTTCCTGGGTCTGTCAAGTTCAATATTGGGTTGGGCAAGGTCGGATCCGAACCCACGGAAGAAGCCATCATCGAGGTGGCAAAGAAGTGCGAACTCCATGACTTTATCATGAGTCTCCCGGAAGGTTACAACACTGAAGTTGGGGCCCATGGATCAAAGCTGTCAGGTGGCCAAAGACAGCGACTGGCCATTGCTCGAGCCTTGATCAGGAACCCCGAAATTCTGCTCTTGGACGAAGCGACATCGCAACTTGACGCCCACACGGAGCGCGATATTCGTAAAGCTATCGCAGCTGCCTCGAGGGGGCGGACCACCATCATGATAGCCCATCGATTAGCAAGTGTACAACACGCAGACTGCATCTTTGTCTTCGAAGCTGGCAAGATCGTTGAGCAGGGACGACACGATGAGCTCGTGTCGATGGGCGGCATCTATGCGGGTATGGTTGCTGCGCAAGAGTTGGACTGAGCTCCTTGTATACAATACGTTTTCTTCACGTCAAAATTGCTTTCTATTCAGGCTCAAGTACTTAGGATACCACGAAGACTCTCGCGACCTGTTTTCTTATTGTTCATCAAGCAATGTACAACAGTTGTACATACAATCCAAATGTGCATACACCTTTGTGTCTTTGACAGTCATTCCAAAGGCACTTAGTTTCCTTTGTTAATGAGCACTTCCAATCGCCGCATTCGTCACCACACACGCTCTGGCGCACGCCTTCAGCATCTTGAGCACTAGCCATGCAAGGCAGTAGGGCCGAGACGGGGGGCGCCCTGCATGATGCATTGTGACGCTCTTACGCATACGCATCTCGGCGACCGCTCGGCTCATAGATGGATCTGATAAAATTTTCATCTGATAACATTTTAGTGCACATCTCCGCCAATAACACCCTGCTGCCCCGCCGGCCAAGGTTTCAATCAACACCATCCCACGCAACACAGCACTATCTTGGAAAAGCGCTGCGGGGCGTCGCGAAGAATTTGATCTTATCTGATCCGGTGCCCTCACCATCTCGACGTTCAGCCGAAAGATCCCTACGTCGTCCTGCAGACTGGCATGCGCGACCTCGGAGCTCGACAGGCTGGGCCGCCGCAGAGCCGTGTCGTACCACCGTACAGCTTAGTACCCTGCGGAGCGAGATGCTAAGAAATGTCTGGGTAGGCCGATTCGATCTTCCGCTGTAGTTACAAGAGTAGTGGAGCGCCTTCTCACCTCAAGCTGCCTCTGCCGTGGGCGTGAGAAAGTATTCAAACCAAGGCTTTATCTTACACCTGGTATCTCTGCACCAATACCCTCATTTCGCAACTGTGAACGGTATGTCAGGTCATGGTGTTCTCTAGCTGCCCTAGTGGCTTCTAGCACGTCATCGACACCGAGTGCACTGTATGCCACTGTATGGCTACTAACTCCTTGCTTCAGACCACCGCACTAGAAGTGGAAGATTGATTGCTGAGACAATTGACAGCTGTCGCGGCTACAGCACAGTGCTGCCAGTACATCTTAGCGGCCCTGTCGAATCACTAGGTGAGCAAACAATGCTCTAGATACCGCTAGACGTCAGACTAACGCTGATAGACTTCTTCGAGATAATCGCGCAAGCTTTCCGAAGCCATGAGCCCTCACGCCGTACCCATGACCGACCCAGAAGAGCGCGCACCAGCGGTCCATGAAGCCTTCACCGGCTTCGCACCTAACGCGCTGGACGAGAGCCACTTCCCCGCTTTCGAGAACCGGTCGCACCTCCGATATACACCAGAAGAGGAACTACACGATTTGGTATGCGTAGGATTCGGGCCAGCCTCACTAGCCATTGCAACAGCTCTACACGATGCTATGGATGGGACGGATCCATCGCTGGACCTGCCCAACCTGCAGCGCCAACCACCAAAGGTTGCGTTCTTGGAGAAGCAATCGGGATTTGCATGGCACGCGGGCATGCTTCTCCCAGGCGCCAGGATGCAGATTACTTTCATGAAAGATATGGCGACGCTGAGGAACCCGCGAAGCGAGTTCACGTTCATAAACTACCTGCACCAGAAGGATCGTTTGATCGAGTTCACGAACCTAAACACTTTCCTTCCACAGCGAGTCGAGTATGAGGATTACATGAGATGGTGCGCCAGCTGGTTTGAAGAGGTAGTCCAATACGACCAGGAAGTGGTCAAGGTCATGCCGGAGAAATCGGCAAGCGGCAACGGTGAAATCAAGACGTTTGTCGTCACGTCCCGCAACTTGCAGACAGGCCAGATTGAGTCGAGGAGAACGAAGCACGTGGTGATTGCTGCAGGAGGCAGGCCGAACCTCCCTCCCCCTTTCCCAAGCAACCATCCTAGAGTCATCCACTCGTCCAAGTTTCACTACATTTCGAGCAAGATCTTGACCGACTACCAAAAACCCTACTCAGTTGCCGTCGTCGGAAACGGACAGAGCGCAGCAGAGATCTTCGACTTCCTTCACACGCACTACCCCAATGCTCGAACAAGGCTACTCATCAAGCAGGGCGCACTACGTCCCAGCGATGACTCCCCATTGTGCGTAGCCCTCCTACCCAAATCCATGTCCCCTCTTCAACTGACATCTACACAGCGTCAACGAGATCTTCAACCCCAGCCGCGTAGACAGCACCTTTCACCGCGAGCCCACCCTCCGCACGACGGCCATCGCCGACGACAAAGCGACAAACTACGGCGTCGTGCGTCTCCCCCTCCTCGAGCACATCTACGAAACGCTCTACCTGCAGCGCATTACCCACGGTAACACGCCCGCGGCAGAGAAGAGCTGGCCCCACGCAATCCTCCCCTACCGCCTCGTAACCGCCATCCACGACTCGCCCGCGATCCCGTCCGGCCTCCGCCTGACCATCCACGACCGGAGTCCGCTGTATCTCTCCGACACGCCGAACGCTGCTGAGCGCACAGAAACCCTAGACGTCGACGCCGTGTTCGTGGCTACGGGGTACAAGCGCGATCTCCACGAGACGCTGCTCGCGGACAGCCGGCATCTGATGCCGGGCGGCGACCTCAAGGACGCGCAGTGGAGCGTGCAGCGCGACTACCGGGTCAACTTTGCGGATAAGGCGATTGGGGCTGATGCGGGCGTGTGGCTGCAGGGGTGCAACGAGCAGACGCATGGTGTAAGTTGTCCTTTTCGTTTGCCTCTCCTTTCCTTTCATGTGAAGTCCGTTGGCATGGTCATCTCCGGAAACGGGCTAATTGGGCGCAGTTGAGCGATACGCTGCTTTCGATTTTGGCGAACCGGGGTGGGGATATGGTGAATGCGATTTTCGGGGGAAAGGGGAAGGGTGGGTTTGAGGATAGGCGCGGGTATGAGGCGCGTGCGTAGAAGGACGAGGGTAGAGGGAGGTGTGGTGTGAGCGTTGTGCAAAAAATCAGGGTCTCAAGAATTCGAATCGTACGTTTAAATGCATTGCAACTGGTGTGTTCCGGAGGTTGGTGGCTGTCTGATTCGTGATGCTAGTGCATGGTAGTCCAAATGGGAGCGTGAGCACAATGTGCATTGCAATGGTGTGAGCTCTGGCACCATGAGTAGACGTGGGACACTATTCATCGATGGGCAGTTCGAGATCTCCAGACTGTCATGTCCAATCTTGGGGTTGGTGCAGTACCCAATGCCCTCAATGTTGGAAGAACAGTCCAACTGAGCCCGAGATCGTTTCGCTCTGTTTGCAGTTTGCACGCAAACACGGCAGACAGCAGCCAAACCAAGGTCGCGCTCGCCTGCTAGTTGCTAGTGCACTCAGGGCATCCTAGGCACGACATCCCTCGCAAGGCCACAGTTCCGTCTGCACGGCCCGCTTTGGGCACCTTCATGTTTGGGGCCTGTGGCTGAGCGTGAGCGATGGCGCACATGCGTTGACGTGATGCATTGTTTGTCGTGTCCAAGACGCAGATTCGCAGCGGTAGAGCGATTATTGCGGGTGCGCAGGCCGTGACAAAGGCCGAGTTGCAATTGCAAGCATCCGGGTTGCGCTCATTGCTCAGCGTGGGCGGGAGATTCAGGTGCTTGGCAGACTGCGCTGGACCACGGCTGCGGCATCACACCTGGAGTCTACTGACGCCCGACGTGCCTGGTTGCAATTATCCACTCCTCCGCGCCCTCGAACCTGCACGCTCTCTCCAGGCCCGCGTGTGCTCCCGCGTGCCCTCTCCAGCCAGTCCGCGAGTCACCACGGCGGCTGATTCAGGCTGCGGCACCTCCAACGCGCACCCCGCCGACCGGCCACAACCCAGCGCGCTGCCAGCTCTCCTCGTCGAGTCCCACGCACGCACGTTTTGCGCGCCCGCTCGCTCGCTGCCGCCCTACCTTTACTCTCTGGCAGGCCCTCTGCCGCCACCGCCCGCTGACGTAGCACCCCTCCTCGCCCAGCCGCGCAATTCGGAATGCTCTGCTCGCAGCTGAGCCGGCTGTCTTAACCTCGCCTACGCCCCGTCTGCCTCCCCCACGCTGTCCTGCACCCGCTATGGACCAGCAGTGGACCGCCTACTCCGAATCCAGCGCGAACCGCCAGGCGCGGTACGACCCTCACACCATGACGACCCCTCAGCACGTCCAGCAGGACCCAAACCTCCCGCAACAGATCAAGCAGGACCAGTTCGCATCCCCCACGGGGCCCTCGCGGTCGAATTCAATGGCGACCCTGCCATCGCCCGGCAGCTCGCTCACCCTCAGCCGGAGCGCAGAGTACAACGACAGAGACGGCGACGTAGCCATGGAGGATGTCGACCCGTACAAGCCCAAGTACGCAGCCGCGCGCCCGAACCACCAGCACCGCCATTCGCAGTCCTTTCTCCAGCAGGAAGAGAGTGCTGCTGCGCGGAGATACTCGCCCATGAACATGTCGCCGACGTCGCCCTACAGCGGGAACCCACAGCAGGGCGGGCAGAACTACACCAGCTTCTCCCCGCAGGCCCAGGCGCAGAATAGCAACAGGCAGAGTCCGACAAGAGGCAACCCCTACATTACCACGCCCAACAGCTATTATTCTCCACCCGGTACGTCTATCTTTGGCACCACGTGCATGTGTTAAGCGCCGAGATACTAATTGACATACTCTCAGCCTCCCGCCCGCACGCGCCGCAACTACCTCCTATACAATCCAACATGAGCCCAGAGAGCTTCTATCCGCAGTCAGCGACCGCACAGTTGAATGCAGTATATAACCGGGAGGCGCGGTCGCCCAGAACCACCAACCCCAACCCTCCTCAGCTACCCCCGATTGGGCGGGGTCCCGTCCCCAAATTCGAGAAGTGCGTGAACACGGCCGATCTGCAGCCGAAGATCAACACCCAGCCTCCGTTCCGCCGTGCGCATCCCGAGGGCGGTTTCATCAGCGTAGGTGCTGTCTATTGCTCTTAGAGAGGATGTGCTGACATGGCGCCTCATTAGCCCCTGCAAGCGTTGACATCTCACTTGCCCGCGACATATCGTGTCTGCAACCCTGGATTCAAATACGAATCGACTCGAAATCCGCGCCGTGTTCTTACGAAGCCGAGCAAAGGGGTCAAAAACGATGGCTACGACAACGAAGACAGTGACTACATTCTGTATGTCAACGACATTTTGGGCTCGGAAGATGCTGGGCACAAGAACCGATACCTGATCTTAGACGTGCTAGGCCAGGGAACATTCGGACAAGTCGTGAAATGTCAGAACCTTAAGACGCAAGAGGTGGTTGCTGTCAAGGTGATCAAGAACAGAACTGCATACTTCAACCAAAGTATGATGGAAGTTTCTGTACTCGATCTGGTCAGTAGTTGCAGGCTTCGAACTCAGTGCCAAAGCTAACCTTGGGGCAGTTGAACAAGCAGATGGACAAGAATGATGACCATCATTTGCTGAGACTAAAGGACACGTTCATCCACAGACAACATCTGTGCTTGGTTTTCGAGCTGCTAAGCGTCAATTTGTACGAATTGATCAAGCAAAATCAATTCCGAGGCTTATCGACGACCTTGGTACGCGTGTTCGCACAACAGCTGCTCAATGGGTTGGCTCTGTTAGGGAAGGCCAAGTTGATACACTGCGATCTGAAGCCGGAGAACATCTTGCTCAAGAAGTGGGTTATCTGCAGATCTCCTAGGGGTTTCTCTGACATGCGAACAGCCTCGAGAGCCCGATCATCAAAATCATCGATTTCGGTTCCGCCTGCGACGAACGGCAGACAGTGTATACGTACATTCAATCTCGATTTTATCGATCACCAGAAGTATTGCTGGGCTTGCCGTACGTTTTCCGGTTTTCAGGGACGACTCTATACTTACACCGTGCAGATATTCTGCCGCGATTGACATGTGGTCCCTGGGCTGCATTGTGGTTGAACTTTTCTTGGGTCTCCCACTCTTCCCTGGTTCGTCCGAGTACAACCAGGTCGCCAGGATAACCGAGATGCTCGGACTGCCACCGACATGGATGCTCGAGATGGGCAAGCAGTCCGGCGAATTTTTCGAGAAGGCCCACGACGAGTACGGACGAAGGACGTACAGACTCAAGTCGATGGAGCAATACTCAAGAGAGCACGGTACCAAGGAACAGCCGAGCAAGAAGTACTTCTCCGCTACGACGCTACCAGAAATCGTGAAGAACTATCCCATGCCACGGAAGAATATGAAGCCCAATGAGATAGAGCGAGGTGAGCGAAGACTTGAATATTCGGCTGAGCCGGCTTACTGACCTGGCGCAGAAATGCAGAATCGTTATGCGTTCATTGATTTTGCTACGGGATTGCTGAACCTCAACCCATTGGAGCGATGGACGCCGAACCAAGCGAAACAGCATCCGTTCATCACACAGCAGAAGTTTACGGGACCTTTTGTGCCGCCAACAGCTATGCGTTCGGGATCTAACAGATCACCTGCTCCTGGTGTCCAAGAGCAGCAACGCTACGAAGGAATGAGCAAGCAGCGTGCCCAGGCTCAACAGGCCGCTGTAGCACAACAGCAGGCGCAACAACAGGCTCAACAAGCTGCACAGAACGCCGCGTACGCCAATATGCAGATGAACCAATACCCGGCGCAGAATACGCACGCACAAGCGCCTAACATGTATAACAACGTCTACGCACCGAACCATCAAGGCGCTCCGCCACCCTACCCCGCCCAGCCTGGATACAGCCAGCCGATGGGCATGATCCAACCGCAGCAGCAACCGCGTCAATACAACCAGCCTCAAAACCTGTACGCACAAGCTACGACTCGCGCGGGTAGGCAGCGCGCGTCCACGATGGACCAGCAAGTACAGTCTGGTATTCCGCCTGCGCTGCAAAGAGTGATTAGCCATCTGGATCCAAACGCGCCCATTCGGTTGCAACCATCGCCCGCATACTATCCTCCTCCGCCTGACGGTGCACCCGATGCAGCAGGCAATGGGCAGAGAAGGAGAGGCTCCCGTGCGGCAGGCCAGAGCCAACGGAATTTCGTTCGTAACTTGGAAGATCGCACCCTTGAAGAAGGCTTCATGAGTCAACATGGATGGCAATGATGCGAAAACCACTAGTTTGTACACTTCATTTGGTCGTTGATGCGCAGTTGCATCGACATAGCTTGACCTATATTCGATTTTCGACACTCCGATACCCAGGCATTCGTACCCTTCTCAGAAGTTCACCTTGATCGAGAGCACGATCATACCGCACGAGAGGCCTACAAATGCCGGTCGCGGTGGATGTCGCCGGTGACTGGCGCCCGGTGTGCGCAGCGTCCAAATTGCATCAAATTTCTTATCATACGCAGCGGGCGTACATGGAGATGAGTCAAACATTCAGTACATTTCGGGACGGCTAGTAGGGTCAGCATACAGGTACGGGTTGCGGGCACAGTGGGACATATCAGGCAGGGCGGGCGGGCTGTTGGTTGGGATGGATAAGTCAAGCCAGGCTGCACTGGAGCTTGGTGCAAATTGTTGGCTCGTATGACTCTGACACGTAGGCAGCATGGTAGGACACGTCTTTTCTCGGGTTTCCCGCGGTTCACGCTTGATAGGGAAGAGGGGTTGGCAGCCTGCTTGGTGGGAGGCGATGCCTTGTACTTTTACTAGCATTCATATGGAGATTTTGATGGCGGTCGTGCGAGTGCTGACGGTCGGCTGCTGGCCTGGAGTACCTTCTTTTTCTTACTGCCTTGAGGCTTGACTTGCATCATGATCATGCTCTTTGCTGATACCCAAGTGAACGGGTCGTCCATGAGCGATGAGGGCAAAGTGATGTTGATTCGACGACATCTGGACTCGACAGATCAAATGTAGTGGTTAACCCGTGCGACAGTCTCCTTGCTATATCTTCGTGACTCTGCATGCTATTTGCGATATCTGGAAAGAATGTGCACCGGTATGAGGCGACTGCAGTGCCCCGCAGGTGGGCAGGCGCACTTGGCCCGTGCGCCTCGCGCCTCCCACTTCGAATTTTGACTCGAAGAAGGTGCTACCGAAAACCTACAAGGCCCGCGCAGCTCGCCCACTACCCGCTCCCCACTTGCGCGACAATTTTCTCGAACGTCCCGACGGCCACACCACTTCGAGAACACCGCCAACATGTCGTCACGCTTCTTCTCGCGCGGAGACAGCGACAGCGAGAGCTCTAGCTCCGAAGAGGAGGAGCTCTACTCCGAGGAGGAAAAGTCCCAGGAGGAAGAGTCTGAGGAGGAGTCCGACGAGGACGAGTCGGAGGAGGACTCGGATTCCGACGACGACGCACAGGGAGCCAACCGTTTCTTGAAGGGCGGCGCGAGCGATTCCGAGAGCGATGAGGACGAGGGCGCCAAGGTGCTCAAGAGCGCAAAGGACAAGCGGTTCGAGGAGCTGGAGGGCACCATACGGCTGATTGAGAACGCCGAGAAGATCAACGATTGGGCCGTCATTCAAGAGCGTGAGTACACCACGGGCACAGCCGCAGTCGCGACCTAGGCTTGCTTGGTGGGGAACGATGCTAACATGTGTGCAGAGTTCGACAAGCTGAACCGCCAGATCCCCGCGCTCATCCGCCAGAACGATGGCCGCGTGCCCAAGGTGTACATCCAGGCCATCGCCGACCTCGAGACCACCATGAACGAGACGCTCGAGAAGCAGAAGGTCTCCCCCAAGAAGATGAACGCCATCAACACCCGTGGTCTGAACGCCGTTCGCCAGAAGATCAGGAAGAACAACAAGGAGTACGCCAAGGACGTCGATGCGTACCGGGCGGACAAGGACGCCTTCATGCGCGAGGAAGTCATCGAGGAGAAGCCCAAGACCAAGAAGAAGTCGGCTTCCACTCCAGCGCTCTCCGCACAGGACATTGCTGATGCGGATGACGATGGCTTCACCGTTGTTGACGGCCGTGGAAAGGCGGTGCAGTACACCCCAGAGAGCATCCTCAAGCACCTGCGTTCTATTGTGGAACAGAGAGGTCGCAAGAACACAGACCGCATGGAGCACATCCGCACATTGGAGAAGCTCTTTGACGTCGCTGTGAACGACTACCAGAGAGTCCGCGTTCTTTTGACGCTCATCTCTACGCGGTTCGACCTGACGTCCGGAACCGGTAGCCAGATGGCACAGGAGCAGTGGAAGCTGTGAGTTTGACCGACAGCTACTGCTTGAATAATGGCTAACAGTATCCAGCGCACAGCAAGAATTCAACAAGCTCCTAGAGACGCTTGAAAGCTCCAAGGAGATTGTCGTCATCGAGGGTGCCGAGGAGTGGGAAGACGACGACAAGCAGCCCACCATCACCGAGGGCGAGATCTTCAAGATTCCCGGCAGTGTAGTGTCGTTCGTAGAGAGGCTGGATGATGAACTCACCAGGTCGCTCCAGCACATCGATCCCCACACCTCCGAATACATTGATCGCTTGACCGACGAGGGCTCTCTGTACGCTTCGCTAGTCCGCGCTCTTGTGTACGTCGAGAACTTGAAGAAGAGGGCGGGATTGAACGTGCCGCAAGAGTCCGTCAACCGCGTCATCATGCGACGGTTGGAGCATGTCTACTTCAAGGTATGGCGCCCCTATATAATAATATTGTTCATACTAACGTGCGCAGCCCTCCCAAGTTGTCACAATCCTCGAGAACAACACCTGGAAAGCCCTCCCCGCCAGCGTTGACTCTGAGGTCACTCCTCGCTCCACCGCCGACGACACCGCTTCTCTCGTCCAGACGCTCTGCACATACCTCTTCGGAAAGTCCGAAGGCATTATCCGTGCCAGGGCTATGCTGTGTCAGGTCTACTTCTTGGCTCTGCATGACCAGTACTACAGGGCTCGCGACCTGATGCTCATGTCCCATCTCCAGGACACCATCAGCAACTTCGATGTCAGCACACAGATCCTCTTCAACCGCGCACTGGTTCAAATAGGTCTATGTGCATTCCGTGCAGGCTTGGTCTACGAGGCACAGACGTCGCTGCAGGAGATCTGCGGCAGCAACAGGCAGAAGGAGCTCCTCGCACAGGGCCTGCAGATGCAGCGCTTCACTCAGATCTCTCCCGAACAGGAGCGTCTTGAGCGCCAGCGACAACTGCCGTTCCACATGCACATCAACCTCGAGTTGCTAGAGTGTGTCTACCTTACCTGCTCCATGCTTCTCGAGATCCCCCTCCTCGCACAGATTGGCTCTTCCCCCGACATCCGGAAGCGTGTCATCAGCAAGACCTACCGCCGACTCTTAGAGTACCACGAGCGCCAGATCTTCACCGGTCCGCCCGAGAATACGCGCGACCACGTCATGCAGGCCTCGAAGGCGCTCTCCGCCGGCGAGTGGCAGAAGGCCGCCCACTACATCAACAGCATCAAGATCTGGGAGCTCATGGCCGACTCCGAGAAGATCAAGGAGATGCTGTCCGCGCAGATCCAGGAGGAGGGTCTGCGGACGTACCTCTTCACGTACGCGCCCTTCTACGACACCCTCGCCGTCTCGACCCTCGCATCCATGTTCGACCTCCCCGAGCGCAAGGTCAGCGCTGTGGTCTCAAGAATGATTTCTCACGAGGAGCTGGCGGCTGCGCTGGACCAGGTCAACAGTGCCATCATCTTCCGCAAGGGCGTCGAGCTCTCCCGGCTGCAGACGCTGGCGCTCAGCTTGTCGGACAAGGCGTCGGGCCTGATCGAATCGAACGAGAAGACGCTCGAGCAGCGGACACAGGGCACAGCGAATGCCTTCGAGAGGCAAGGCGGCCGCGGTGGCCGTGGCGGACGGGGTGGTGGTCGCGGTGGACGAGGCGGCATGGGCGGTCGTGGCGGAGGTGGGAGGAATCAGCAGTTTACGGGCGGTGCGCTTGGACGCGCCATCCAGGCGTAGAGTGCGGGTTAGTGCGTGGTCCAAAGCAAGATGGTTGCATTGCATGGAACGGAACGGCATGGATTGATGAAGGGAGGAAGGGCTTTTACATGGTTGGCGTCTCTTTTTTCCAATGTATGACCGGACTTCACGCCCGGGTATGGTAATGCCGATATGCCACGGTACGGTAGAAGGAACGGATTGCAGCTCAAATTTCAAAAGTTCAAAGTACTTCGTCTGTGTTGGCTGCGGCGTGTGGTGCTCTCTGTCGTCGGCGTTGTGCTGTCTCCTTTCCGCGGCGTCGTGCAGCGACACGCAACGTGCCCAAGCCACGGTCTCAGCCGCCCAACCTAATGCCGACCGTCAATATATCCTTCACCCAGCTTTCCACAGCATCTGCTCCTCGGAAACCCAACCTCGCCGCACAGCACGCTGCCACGCAGCCGCCACGTCCGTCCATCCATCCAGCATCTGTCCTCGCGCCCAGCGACAGGGCGCAGGGCGGAAATCTATGGTGATATCTCACGTGCCGGTGCACAAGGTGGATGGGCACGCCAGCCGCTGGAAAGAGGGGAAATAGGACGGTATTGTTACGCGGAGGAGGGGAGGAACGGCCTCGATTTGGCGGGGAGGACGGCTGGCGCAGGTAGATGGGCAGAGGGCAGAGCGAGGGACGGCGTGTCGAGTGTTTGTGGTGCATCTCGGAACGCATGGTGCGCCCTGGGTTTACGCCCGGCGGTGGATTTGTGCGTGCGCCAGGTTCGAAGCTTGTTGCAGGCGCTGCCTGTTGGGGGGGGGGGGGGTGGAGGGGATCGACCGTGGGATGATCCATCCATCGATGTAGTGAGCATGTGCAGTGAGCGTACGACACCGGGCGCAAACGTCTGCACAGACACGGCAGATGGAGAAAGAAGAATGCATTATGGGGGTAGTCTACCCAAGGTATCCCACGCACAAAAGAAAAGCAGTTACGGCGCGCGCGCGCGACCCATCCCCAATCTCTCGCGCAGCAAAACGACAAACGCCTCGTCCCCCGTCCAGTCCCAGTGGTATCAATATCAATTCGCGCTGCCCGCCATGCGCCTCGGTTTTGGTGTGGTATACAGTACGTTATAGATTAATGGATCCCGGTGTGCGAGTATCTACGAGTGGATGTGCTGCTCTGTGGTACCGCTGCGGTGCCAGGTCGCAAGCAGCACGCCGCAGCGGCCGCACTTGTGCTGGACATCCTTCATGCTGCTCATCATGTAGGGGATGCAGCCCAGGCAGGCGAGACAGCAGAGACCGAGGGCCCATGCGCTGCGATGTGTTAGCCGTGTTCGCTCTTCCAAGCGGTACGAAGAAGGGAAAGGTACTCACTGTGTGGTGTTTCCCGTCTCGAACTGCGTGGTCGTCATGGCGCGCTGTCCGCATGCCGGGCAATCAACAGGCGCAGACGAACGGTTGAGGTTCATGAGCGGCACCGCGTTCTGGTAGACTGTCCCACTCTGTTGTTGCGGGGGCATTCCCGGGTTCTGGGGCGCGTGCATGGCACCCTTCTGCTCGACGCCGGGCGCGAACTGGCCCTGGTGCTCCTGCTGGGGGGGAGGGGTGGAAACATATTGCTGGGGAGGCGGGGACCCGGGGTAAGATTGGCCCGTGGGTTGCTGGTATATCTGGCCTTGCTGGAATTGCGCCTGCGCGTTGGGGTCTTGGTGGTAGGTGGGGGGTTGCTGGTGCGCGACGTCGGGGGACGTGGGGTATTGGTTCATGGGGACTGGGGAGTAGTTAGCTGGGTGAAGCTGTGTATGCGCCGTCTATTCTAGTAGCATGGTGACAGTAAATGCGATTGCATATCCCGCGCGCATTGGATTGAAATGAAGAAATGATACTCACCACCTTGCTTCTCCATTTTGACGGTATAAATGAAATCAGCTATGAGTACGGGGGTGAATGTTGCGTGAGTCTCGGAAGAGGAGGCGAGATAGTCGGGTTTTGACAAAGAACAGAGTTCAGCTGAAAACGGCGAGCAAAAAGTTCGAATTCACGCTTACTCGCGCACGAGATGGGGGAACGCCATCTCTTTAATTCAAGGCGGGTATTGGTAGCACCTGCACATTGCACAGCCTTGGGGGCCGACTGGGCAAGCAGGAGGCAACGCACAGCCTACAATGCGGTCAGGCCACATGAGTCGACCCCCGCGTTCGCAAAGCCATTTTCTCAGCTGAGCCTCAGTTGCCAATCACAGTGTGTAGGACTTGCAGCAAAAGACGCCCATTGACCCACCCAGGCCGCTCAAGCCTCGGGGTCCCAAGGTTTTCGTGGCTTTGGGGTTGCGATAACCGCCTCGAAGTTCGAATAGCGCCGCAGGGAATAGCGAGCCAAGCTTGTAATTTCCTCATTTCGCCTAATGCACGCCTATTGCGGTGCCCGTCTCTTGGGCTACGCTTCGTGTCATGCACCGGCACTCGTATTCTGAAAAGGCAGACGTGGTGCATGAACACGACACCGCGTCAGTCACAAATTTGTCACTAGGAGAGGTACACTTGCCCATGAAACAACAAGGCAAATTCGCAGATCAAGGTTTAGAATTGACGTCGTCGGTAGGGCTGTGCTGAATGCCGCGACGAAGTCGACAACCAGCAGATGAAGCTGCCGCTAGACGGTTTTTGTATCCACAACTGGGCGCCAAAACACACGATTGGCTGGGCTTGCAGTGCATACCCGCTTGCTATTTTTGAAACATGTGGCGGTGGACAAGGCCCTCAGGCCCGGGCTACCCTGGCCCAGAATTCGGGATGACACTGCACCAAAATGTGCTGTGCGAGGACATAAAGCATATAGCCGGCTAGATTCCTCTGGCACCAGCTAAATATGGTGGAGTTCTCTTTGAAGAGCGACCAACATCGATGGAGCAGATTCAACACTATTCAAGCAGCTTGGCGAAGAAGGCGCAGTGAAGTCGATCTTGGTGTACGAGCCATCCGCATTTGCCTCACCGGCAATGCACGGTCTATCGAAGCATCAGTAGCGAGTGTCCATTCCGTCAAGATCGGCCTCTTCTTCTGATTCATCCGAGAGTGAACCATTCACGTTGCTGCCATTCAGCTGTTTTAGTTGCGCAGGTGTCAGCTCCACAACGGTTGGTGCAAAATCGCCAGACTCATCGTCTTCATCTGCGCCGTTCATGTCCATCTCGACTTGTTCGCCATCCTCAAGCTCCAGCATACCCCGTTTCACGTACGAATCGTCCATCTGCCACCCAAATTCTTTCTGTAGGAAATCTTGGAGGTCATCGAATTCATCGATAATGTCAGATTTGCGTTTCCCGTCGAAGTCATCGAGGCCTTTTCGAAACCTTTGAAGTAGTGGGCGGAGGAAGCCTCCACCGTGCTCGTTCATGTCAAACATACTCGCGTCCATGTCTCCACAGTGAGCCAACTGCAACCGCAGCGTTTTCAGAAGCTCGAGGAACAGGTGAAAGCGTTCTTTGACAGCAGTTTGGCACGTCAATAGCAGGCCGAGCAATCGCATCCATTGTTCCAAGCATGAGTTGTTGTTCAAGGTCAACACCATCAGAAAGCAGAATTGTAGCTCTCCCAAGATTTCAAAGTCGCGACTTCGCGGGTCTTTGCTGATACCATGCTTTTCGATCAAATTGCCCAGGGCCCATGATCGATCTTGGGCTGCTTCCGTGCGCTCCCGTCCTGTTGCCCCTTCTCGCCAGGTCTGCTTGAGATCTACCGGAAAGAATCGAAGCTCTTTCTCAGGATGAAGAAAACTGTTGCTGGCTTCCAGGCCTGGTATATTCTCCAAATCCTGGGCCGCGGAAGAAGCGGACGTGAGGGCCCAATGATCTGGATTGAGGCCGCATATTCTGGTGAGCAAAGACTGTGAGATACGCGAGGTAAGCTGGACCCAGTCTGACGACTCTTCGACACTATCATCTTCGGCTGTGTCGCTTGCGTGAACTGTTTGGCGGTAAGGAGTCAGGCCATCCTTCCAAAGCGCACCTAGATTCGCTTTCCACTTGAGGAGCTCTGTTTGCGAGGTCTCTGCTACCAGGTCTTCGTTTTGGGGGTTCCACCTCTTGATGAAGACCTGCGGGGGACCAGATCCCGGAGAAACGTAGAACCAGGCTCCATGTCTCACGGAAAGAGACGAGTCGCTAGCAGCAAAGACGAAATGCAGGCCAGGGGGTAAGTTTTTCACACCTTTGAAGCGGGGTGTGGTGGTGAAGGATAGCAAGTCGATACCGCCCAAAGCATTCGCAGGCAGGTCTAGGAGAAGGACGCAATGCGTCTGCGACGCAGGGTCCATGCGGGAGACGTGGAACAGCGATTCGAAGGCCGTGTGGCGGAAAATCTTGAGAGGAGAGCGCCGTTAAGCCTGTGGATGAGCGGAGAAGCGCGTGTCATGGAGGTGGCCCAATGTGGAAGCGGCGCGGCCGGCTCACGTGAATCGTCGCTGGCTGAAGTTTTGCGGAGTCGCAAACACACTAGGTGGATGGCGACGGGGAGATGAGTATGACGCTGTGGGCTTGGAGTGAAAGTACCCTCTGCCCGCGCCGCCCGGTCCAGACAATTTATGAAGAAAAGGCCCGAAGACGTTGGATCAACCTCTCGGGTGGCCATCTGAAGGCGGGCGACTGGCCGGCGCGCTGTGCGTAATCCTGCAGTGCAACATTTCATTGGGCGCGCGAGGCAGGATTGGCTCCGGCGCGGGTAGAGCTGCCCTCGCCGACATCACATGGTCGATCTCTGCATGTATGCTGTACTGGATGCTCTTGTCGTCCAGCTGCACTGCTGTCTGTGTTGTTGCACCGGACATGAGTCCAAGTGTTTGAGAGACACTCGTTGAGCGACTGTGGAACGCTGTGCAACTTGCCGGGTCGTACGCGCCCGGAGCTACCCCGCCATCGCGGAAGGAGCTCTCGAGCGTGCAGTAGCCATACTTTGTGCATCGCCACTACCACACTCGTCACTCTACGCCATCCTGCCACCAGACCACGAATCTCGTGCCTCCTTCTCCCTCCAACGTCCGCCATGGACCGTCGCCGCACGCCCGGCCTCTCGTCCCTCAACAGCTCGCGGCTCCAAACCCACCACTACACTGCCCACGGCGCCGCTCTCCGCAACCGCAATGCCGAGACGCTCCAGAACCAGCTTTCTGTATTCCAGTCGCTGCTCCACAACTTCGCTCTTACCCACGCCAAAGATATCCGCGCAAACCCAGAGTTTCGAGCCGAATTCGCCCGCATGTGCTCTGCTCTGAACATCGACTTCCTCGCTTCGTCCTACCACAGAGACGGCAAGGATGGGAAGAGCGCGACCGACGGAGGGAGCATTTGGGCACAGCTGCTTGGCGGTAGTGTGAACGACTTCTACTTCAATCTGGGTGTGCTCATTGTAGAAGAGTGTCGTGCCACTCGCTCCGAAAACGGCGGCCTGATATCGGTCCACGATCTGAGAGCAAGGATATCGAAAGGGCGTGCCGGCAGCATAGGTGGCGCCATGCAAGTCAGCGACGACGACATCAAGCGTGCTGTCGACTCGCTGGCACCCCTCGGCTCCTGCTTCACCCTCATGAAAATAGGCCATCGCTCGCTCATTCGCAGCGTGCCCAAAGAGCTCAACACAGACCAGAGCACAGTCCTGGAAGCCATACAAGTACTGGGGTATGTCACTATTAGCATGCTGCAATTGAACCTGGATTGGGAGCGGCCTCGCGCGCATGCTGTGATTGAGGATCTGATGGCCGATAGCCTTGTCTGGGTCGACACACAGGCTGGTGAGAACGAGTATTGGAGCCCGGCCTTCATCACTGGAGGTGCCATGCCGTGATACATGCTTTCACGGTCGCGTGCCGGCCTTTTCGAACCACTTTTCAGCTTTACTCCTGCCATCATGGCTCTGTTTTAGCAGCGCAGATTGAACAGGGCAACACATGAAGCGTGCGACGTGTGTGGACGCAAGATTCCTGAAGGGATCTATTCCAATCCCGGATGATATTCGAACGCGGGGGCCTTGCACCAATCATATATGCTCGAGCTTACCGCCCATCCATCTCACGCTCTCGCCATGTCGTGTGTCGAAGATCGTCGATAATGGAGCCGGTATAACAAGGACATGTTGTTAGAAGATTGTAAGAACGAGGGTCACGCGTGATGCTCTCCTGCACCGGTCCTCGGGAAGTTTGCGCAGGTTGAGAGCACAGAAAAGAAGGTCACTAGAAAGAATGCTCAGTTGGGCTATGGCGAGTGCATCATCAAGACGGCGAATCGCCAAGGGTGGAAGAGGATGGGCAGAATATGCTTAGAGTTTGGGGGGGAGCGAATAGCAGGCTCGCAGGCTCGCAGCCCTCGATATGCAAGAAAGCCTTGTGCATCGACAAGCAAGCGCTGCATCGACCGCAATTTGCAAATGCCATGCTACGAAGGCACGCGGTTTCACGGCACGATCTAGCCCTTCAGCCGCTCGGTAAATTGTGTCATCGCAATCACAGCAGGTGGAAATATGCTAAACCTTCTCCACGAGTCCGGCACGCTGGACCCGAGCACAGGCTGCTGTAGAATGCCGTGGTGCCGTCGCACGCGAGTGTCAAATGTGGGCGCAGAACTTGGTTTGTGTTCTGACGTCACGCGCTGTACCCTAGAATTCCCGTTGTTTGGCTGCCGCTGCGCAACAAGGTATCGATACCCACACATCATCGTGAAACCACTGCGTGCACGCTCGTCGTGATTCTGAAAGTCTGCAGTCCGACATCCACCACGGCGCGCTCAGCGCTCGCTGCCGTTGCCATTGTTGAGCCAAGCTGCAAACAAGCTCTCCCAAGCATTTTTGGCCGTGTGTTCCCACGCCCCCAACGCGGCCAAAGATCGTCGTACAGAGCCACGAACAAGGAATTGATGAGGCGTCATGGGGTCGTGCGCGCTGGCCATGCAAGGATGGCTACTTGTTTGTGGCTGGTGATGTGAATGGACGGATCCTTCCGATGATGTCGGTGCGGGTGTTCATCACGATGCATGGCCGTGGGCGTATATATGGTGCGAGGACGGGTATCGCAGACTGCATTCATCGTCTCAACTCAACCCTCTCCCGTTTCCTTGCACAATCACCTAAGGTGAAGCCGGGCCAGTATCCCGTTTGCTCCCGCTGCGTTGTCAAGTCTACCTATGTCAGTCTCCCTTGCAAACGTACACTGTGTACAACACTGCCGTCGACATTTACTTACAACCACACCAGACCTTCGAGATACCCACACTACACAAAAATGGGTTTCTTCAACAGGCGAGCTGCTGCTGCCGACCCTAACACGGCTGCTGCAGCTGGCACTCACACACATGAGAAGAAGCCGGGTATCTTCTCTAAGCGCCAGCATGGAGCTGCTGCTACGCACCACAATGGCACGCCAGCGTGGAACACGCGTCCCACATTTGGACAGTGGATCAAGGCTACGGTGCTCGATATTGTGACCATGGCTGCAATGGGCGCCATAGGTCTCGGTGTGTACATGGCGCGTCCCGCCCCATCTCGAAGCTTTCCTGGTAAGTAAACATACCGACATCCTGCCTGGTCAAAAGTTCGACAGTACTCAGAACCTTTGTTTCATCCGGGATGATATCTTAAACAATTACTAACTTGACCATAGTCGTCTTCTCCGATGGCGAGATTGTCTACCCTGAATTCGCCTACCCCATGCGCAACGAGATTGTCCCCATCTGGGCCGCCGCCCTCATGGCCGCTCTGATCCCCATTGCCGTCTTCCTCATCTGCCAGATCCGCGTCCGCAGCTTCTGGGATGTCAACAACGCCACTATCGGCCTCCTCTACTCCCTCATCACCGCCGCCGTCTTCCAAGTCTTCATCAAATGGCTCATCGGTGGTCTGCGCCCGCACTTCCTCGCCGTCTGCAAGCCCGTGATCCCCGCAAACATGCGGCCTACAGGCAACGTCGCCAACGGTTACCGCCAGATCATGTTCGACCGCAGCATTTGCACAGGCGACGAGAAGGAGATTAACGACAGCCTGGAGTCGATGCCGTCGGGCCACACCACGGCTGCCTTCGCTGGCTTCGTCTACCTCTACCTCTACCTGAATGCTAAGTTGAAGGTATTCTCCAACTACCACCCCGCCATGTGGAAGCTCATCGCCATCTACGCGCCCATCCTCGGTGCGTGCCTCATCGGCGGCGCCCTCACCATCGACGAGTACCACAACTGGTACGACATCCTCGCAGGCGCCGTCATCGGCACCGTCATGGCCTTCTCCGCTTACCGCATGACGTACGCCTCGGTGTGGGACTTCCGCTGTAAGTCCACTCTATGCCCCTTTTCTCTCACATCTTTGGATTGGTTGCTAATGCATGTGACACAGTCAACCACATCCCCCTCGTCCGTAGCGCGCCCTTCATCTACGGCGCCGGGCCCTCCACCTTCGACGGCTTCCACGATGCGACCTTCACCCGCAAGGCCGGCTGGGGCGAGCACAACGGGTCTGCGTGGGGCGGTGCGCCCGGCGACGCGGCTGACGGTCCCCGCGGCAACATGGCGCAGGCTGCTGGCGCGGCGGAGTCGGTTGCCCACGGTGCTTCCAACGGACGCGGTACCCACGGCGGTGTGGTCGGCACGGGGGGACACACCCACGGCCACGCTGCCACCAACTCGATTGACCGCAGGCCGGTGGCTGGGAGCCGCATGGGCGAGCAGATGGTCTAGGTTCGTGACTACCCTGGCGGTGGATGTGGCCTGAGGTCTTTGGACGAGTGCGAGGGCCGAGAATTGAGATGGGGAGTTCGAGCGAAGTGAGACTCTGCATTAGCATGATTTGGACATGACAGCGATGGCGTTTTCTCTGGGTCGTCTTGAAGGCGAGTAATGATGAGATACCACACATAGTAATCTGACCTTTTGAACAAGCAATTATCTGCATTTACTTTGAATGGAATAAGCTGTTTTAAGTGTTTGTGTGGTGGATGTATGTGGCGTGAGTATGTTGTGGTGTGCTATCATTATACCGTGGATTTGCAAACGGACAGGTGGGTCGAAATGGAATAGTGTGAGTGAACTACCCATTTTGGTGATTGGTGAAGTGGCTTTCGTAGTTTGAGAACATATGCGGAAGGTGCAATTGAGGTATTTTATAGTCTACGAAGAGCCGGGGCGGAATGGGCAGGGAGCGCAAGTGCTACTTACTTGCCTGAGAAGCAAGAGACTAGGCGAGGGAGTTGGGTGTTGACTGATTGCTCTTAAGCATTAGTGAGTGAGTGTTCGAGGACGCTAGTGAGGCGTGTGTATGATGCGAGGGGAGGCGGAGAGAACGGAAGCGTGGTCAGCATTCATCTTCATACCATAGGGTCAATCACACGAAGCCTGAAAATACGCTCAACGCATTACTCTTCCTGTACAGCACAGCCTACAACAAGACACTGCAAACCGCACAATTAGCTGATTCGTGTCATCATGGAAGCCTTCCGGCGGACAAAAACGCCCATCTGCCTCGTGTGTGTTGTACATCGGCAAGGCAGATGGTGCATCACCGATGCAATCTGGGAGAACGAGCATCTGCAGAGGAAGAGGGGAAAATGGTAAGCAGTGCAGGTTCTTGCATGTATGTACACTTCGATGGTTTTCAGTATTGGCGGGAAGTGCAAAGATTTTGCATGAGGTGTGGGGAACCCAGTGTGAAAGTGTTTTCGTAGTATTGGAACGGGAGTGTGACACACGTGCTCGAATGATCCATCCTGGCAAGGTACTGCCCGTGAGATTCATGTCAAAAAACTCATGAGATGAGGTTACGTATGGTTTCCCATCATACGTACTGTCATCTACCGACACAGCACGCCTCCCATCAGACTTTATTTCACCCTCCACTTTTCTGCCTCTTCCCACTACGATCCCCTCTCCCTCGTCTGCTCCAGAATCGTCTTAATCATCTCATTGCCCAGCTTCGTCGCGTCCGGGAACCTAGGCTCGAAGTACTTCTGGATCGCCTCGAACTTCTCCCTGTAGCCGTCGAAGTTGCCCAAGGTAACTCTGCTGCTCCAGTCGCGCGCCGCAAACGTAAACTCCAGGTCGTCGTGGCGGAACGTGTTGTCGTCGATGGCGGTGTCGATGGCTTCTTCGAGGAGCTTGTCGTTGCGGAAGAGATACTCGGTTATGCCGAGCCACATGCGGAACAGCTGCGCGTGGTGTCAGTTCGCCAGCACAATATAGTCTACAGGAGGTAGTGATAGAGGGAAACATACCGGCGTCGAGCAGATCATATGATCATAAGGCACAATGCCCAACTTCCACCAACAATCCACCATCGCCAGCAGACTAAGATGATTATTCTTCAGCCTTTGCTCCGGAATCTCGCCTAGCGAGAACTGGTTCAGCACATCCTCCTTGAGCAAAATCTCCTGCTTGTTCGGCGTAGCAGTGTGGAACACCGCCTCGCGGGCCGCCATGATGCGTTCTCGCAGTTCCTTGCGGTGTCCACCGAGCATCAGCTTGAATAGCTCGGTGACGGACTCGGCGTACTGCTTGATCTGCTTTTGGGCGTCGGGGTTGAGGATGGCGAGGCCGGCATAGACGTGCCACTTCGCCGCGTAGATGCGGAGGGTGATGTTGATCTTGACGTTTTCAATGCCGCCGATGTAGCGCGCGGTCTCCCAAGGGAACTGATTGTTGGCATTCCAGGCGGCGCCCATACTGAGGAAGGCGGCATGGGTGACGGCTTGCGTGTCTGCGGTGATGCGGTCGTGTTGCTCGCGTGTGAGGTAGACGTGGGTTGACTGCAGGCACGAGAGCACTTCTTCTACGAAGCGGAAGGCTTCGTCCGAGGCGCGGTGCTTGATGAGGACGAGCGGCTGCCCTTTGGGGTCGACTTTGGGTCCATGGAGGGAGTGGCAGGACACAATGTGGACGTCAGGAGGGAGATGCTTCTCAAAGGCCGCGATCTCGGGCGCTTTGCAAGAGGTCTGACCTCCGACCACGGCACCGAGCTTAGTCGAAGGACCGAATTGCTTCACGACGGCGTCGATGTTCTTCGCCTCGACACTGTAGATGATGTAGTCGCTGATTCGGGACACGAGATGACCGGTTCGCAAGATTTCAACATTCGGCTGGTACAGCTCAGCACAGCTCTATTGGTATACAATTTACATGACGGATGTCCTACACTACTCCGAAACTCTGCCACCAACGCATCAAACCTTTCCGGCATGTCACAGGCATTTACTCTAAACTGTAGGTTAGCATTTGCTGTGGGAGCACGATCGAGGATATCTGAGGCACTCGGTCAGCAAAGTCCAAAACAAGCTTGCAATAAACTTGAGAGGATTTGAAGGGATCAGAGGTGTATATATTAGGTAGCGAGAATTCACATCATTGGCAGTACGTGTCTGCTACCCGCTACCAAGACGGCGACAGGACAGACACGCCCACACTCGAGCCAAATGCACTCACAGTCATCATAACAAAGGGATTGAATATAAGGGGGATGTGACTTACCAAAAGGATCCAGACACGGCGTCCACACGACCAGAGCAGCAAGACTCACTTCCAGCCGGCCGCACTTAAGCGCCAGGCATACATCTTCCCCATGTCCCCCATGCCGATAATGCCAATGCTCTTCTTCGCCTCCATGGCTACGAGTTTGCGCCTAAACGGAGGCTGCAGTGAGGTGTTGAAAGTCAGAGCATGGCGGCTAGGGATCGAGAAGAAGACCGCCAGTTGCAGAAGTTTTAGTTTGCAGGAACGCGCTAGCGCTAGGCCCGGAAAAACGTTGGCGCCGACACACTCCAAATTCCAAGCGAGGCGCGAACTTCTCGAACCTCGATTGTCCACCACCACCGTCCACACCCCTCCGACAACTAATTCCACAGTCAACATGCCTCCCAAGAAGAAGGTTGAGCGCGGCCCTGCCGAGAACATCCAGGTTTGTGCTATCGTGCCCGTCAACAATTGACACGTGCTAACGGCTGCGACAGCTTGGACCCCAGGTCCGCGAGGCAAGTTAAATCTGCAAGCGATAGCGTGGGAACACGTATTGACCGTTTGAGCAGGGCGAGCTTGTCTTCGGTGTTGCCCGTATCTTCGCTTCTTTCAACGACACCTTCGTCCACATCACCGATCTGTCGGGCCGCGAAACCATCTCCCGTGTCACCGGTGGCATGAAGGTCAAGGCTGACCGTGACGAGTCCTCCCCATACGCTGCCATGTTGGCGGCTCAGGACGTCGGTATGTACAAACAGAAAAGTTCTGAAACCATGGCGGGAACTGACTTGCGCTAGCTGCCCGCTGCAAGGAGCTCGGCATCACTGCCCTCCACGTCAAGATCAGGGCCACTGGTGGTAACGGTACCAAGACCCCCGGACCCGGTGCCCAGTCCGCCCTCCGCGCTCTCGCCCGTGCCGGCATGCGCATTGGCCGCATCGAGGACGTCACACCCACCCCGTCCGACTCGACCAGGAGGAAGGGTGGTCGCCGTGGTCGCCGTCTCTGAGCTTGTGCGAGGCTCATTTCTGGCGCTGGTGGAGGTTTTATGGCATGGCTTATGGTGTTCATGACCGGACCAAAAATTACGCGGGGAACGGCTACTGCCTGCAGAGCCTGGTCTCCATGTTGAACTCGGCTCGGATGAAATAGTCAACAGGCAGTTCAACAGAATCTTTCTGAATGAATTGGCTTGCCTCCCCTGAATGAAGTGATGAAGATTATCAACACATTACTATTACGATGGTATCTACTATAAACTCGTGAGGCATGATTCGTCAGATATCCACCACCTGAATAGGGTTGCCTAGCTTTCCAGTGTTGCCGTGCATTTGCGCAGCGTTTACCATGATGGTGTTTGGACCCTGCCCACCCCACACTTTATCCCAAATCAGTTCTCGTATCCCTCTGTACATAACCCTAAACACATTCCACCAAAGCCCAGGATTTAACAACCCCTTGAACCACCGTGGCTCGATCCGCATACCCTTTTCATAAGCATCGTGGCAGCCCTCCCACCACACCACCTCGTGCCCCGCCCCCCAATGCACATGCCCAAACACATGCAGCGTAGGCTTCACCCTCCTGACCTCGGCCGCCAGATGCTCGCAGCCCATCCCGCTCGGCAGCGCCAAATCCATGTGGTACTTCGGTGGCGTATGTGTAACCAGGATATCCGTGTCCTCGGGTACAGTCTCAGACCACGCATCCCTCCCCCTTGGATACTGAAACGCGTGCACATTCACATCGCCGCACGCCGGTATCTGCGGCGCCCCGTATATCCTCACTCTCCTCGACTTTGTCTCCCTCGCGAGCAGATGTGTTGTTTCTTCGCCGTCCGCGCCGGGTGGGTCAACGTCGATGCTGAGACTCAGTCTGCGGTGCTGCAGGTAGTGCACGCGCTTCCAGTCCACCGCGCCAGCTCTCTGGTCATCGCGTAGCGACGGGCGTGTCCGCGGATCGAGGTACGTGTCGTGGTTTCCGCTGATGACCACTATCTCTTTGTGGGGGAGGCTGCAGAGCCAGTCTACTTGCGCCTGGATCTCGGGGATGCTGCCATATACAGTCATATCTCCCGCGTGTATGAGGATGTCGCCGTCTGGGACGGAGTCGATGGTGTGGCCGTGCGTATCAGACATGCATACGATGCGTATAGGCGGCTGCGAGGGTGTGGGGTTGGAGCGGAGCGAGGTGATCGTGTGGTAGGCATGGTACAGAAGGAGCTTCACGGGGGCTTGATAGGCAAGGCGGAGAATAGGCGTGGGTTCGAAAGGGTCGGGTTGTGCGGCTTTGGTCTTTCGCCGCCATGGGAGGGAGTTGAGCACCATAGCGGTGTGGTGGGTTGGAGCGGATAAACCGATACTGGGTTCGACCGTTGAGGTATGGCAGGATAAGTTGCTAGGTATTGCTGCGCTGCTCCGAGCTATCTTTCATGATCATGAGACTGCATGTCGGTGGCGTAACGCTGGTTGCGATCGTTTCCGAGCTGCGTTGCGGGAACATTGGAAGGCGCATGTGAGCCAGGGTCCAAAAGCGCCACGAGCGGTAGTGCGTTGGTGGCTTGCTCCCGCGGTCTAACTCCCCACAATTCACCGTTCTTCTCCACCACGATCATGTAGGAGATGAAGCTTGAATGAGCCTTCATGCATAGCACCGCTTCAGTATATACCGACTGTACACGATATCCCAGTCCTATGTTCACCGGTTATCAATGTAGAGAGAGCCGGTGACCTCGCCTATGCATGGCGATCCTCGTAATGGAGGCTGAGCCAGGGCAGACAAGGCATTGCACAAGAGATGCCTCGCCAGAGCCTCGAGAGCTTTAAAACGTAGGTTACAGCCTTCTTCCCTTTCGAACGCTTATCTTTGATCTCGCTGAACGGTTTCAGCACGACAAGCTCTGGACGTTGCGAACGATGGCAGAACTAGCTCTTGCAGCTGTTTCGCTAACCTTTCAAGTCTTCTCAGGATGCATACAAGGCAAGCCATGTATGCTTCTAATTCAGAATTTTCTCTAACCAACATCAGGCTATGAACTCATCACAGACGCGAAGGACATGCCTTCCGACTGCCAATACCTTCGCGTGCGTCTAAAGACTGAGGAGTATCGCCTCTTGGACTGGGCCGACGTCGTTCGCCTTGACGAGACAGATGACAGCCTTCTAATCTCGAATTCATCCAAGGGTCTGCTTCTCGATGTACTCGACCAACAGCGCCGCCTTCTGCACCAGTTCGGACGACTAGATGAGAAGTACAAGAAGCTCTCAAGGCCACTCTTGGTCGATTATGTGGAAGAACATGGTAGACTGCCTGAACCCCCAGCATATGCGCCCTCGGGTGACTCCCCAACGGTAACGAGAGTTGATTCGGACTTCCGAACGCGGTTTCCGCAGTCGCAGGTCCTACTGAAGAAAAGTGTGGACTGGGCGAAGAAGAGCGCAGAAGTCCCGAGGAAGTTGAAATGGGCCGTCTTCGACAAGACAAAGATGGAGGCTCTGGTGCAAAAGCTGGTGGGCTTCAACGACTTCATGCGCGATATGCTGAACTCGGCGCAGCTGGAGAGCCTCGTTATCAAGCAAACACGCACCGAGTTCCAGATTATGCAGCTCAACAACAGCATTCAGAGCCTAGTCCAGATCTTTGAGTCGACAGCGTTGGTTCAGACGAAAAGGGGCCGTAGAAGGTCGCGCCATGTGACCAACCCCGTGCGGGCGTACATGCAATCGCAAGGGCTAGACGACCCCGACGACTACTACGCCGAAACCCCCAAACCAGGCCTTCAAAGCCTCGCCGCACTCGCCCAATTCAAGGCCCTCAATTCCGCAATACAAGACCCAGACGTCTTCACAGACGAATTCACATCCAGCATCGCCCTCTCCCACTCGGCCTCCGAAACCCTCAATGTCGAGCTCGCCCGCGCCCACCTCTCCATCCTCCCCACCGCCTCCCCAGACCAACCCCACGAGTCCCACCGCGAAGAAGCTTTCTACCAGCCGCCTCACACTCGCAAGACCTCCGTCTGGATCGAGTGGAAAACCTACGAGCCACCGCCGTTCCACCCGACCGGCCCCGACCCCAAGATTCTCGAGCGCGTCAAAGCCCTCGCCGCCCTTCTCAAAGAGAACAATCGGACAAACCAATTCCGCGCGCCGCATTGTCTGGGCTACTTCCAAGATGTCGACCCAGACACGGGCGAAGACCACTGCCGCTTCGGCCTCGTCTTCGAGAAGCCTGGCAGTGCGCATCCCTCCACGCGGCCGATATCGCTGCACGCGCTGCTCACGCGGCGCGACATGGACACGCCCAGCCTCACCGCGCGCATCGCGCTGATGCGGCTCCTCTCCGAAGCCGTCGAGCGCCTGCACGCGGTGAACTGGCTGCACAAAGGCCTGCGCTCCTCGGCCATCCTATTCTTCTCCGACTGCGGCCCGGGCGAGGTCGATTTCAACGACCCCTACATCTCCGGCTTCGACTACTCCCGCCCCGCCATGAACGACGACCTCACCGAGAAACCGCCTGAGAACGCCGCCGCGGACGTATACCGGCATCCACGGGTGCAGGGCTCGGGGCTCCGCGAGCCGTCCTCCCCTAATTCGTCTTCCTCGTACAAAAAATCCTACGACATCTACGCCCTCGGCATCGTGCTGCTCGAAATCGCATACTGGGCCCCCATCGACGCCATCCTTGGGATCCCCGACCTCGAGCGCGCGAAGCCCTCGGTCGTCTTCGGCGTGCGGAAGCGGCTGCTCGATGACAAAGAGCCGTTTCTGCGTCACGTAAGGAGTCATCTGGGGGATACGGTGGAGGGTGTTGTGCGGGCGTGCTTGGTAGGGGCGAGTGCGTTTGGGGTGGGGGAGGGAAGGGATGAGAGGGAGGAGGGGGTTGGGGCGGAGCTGCAGAGGGGGTTCTATGAGAGGGTTGTCAGGGAGTTTGGGGGGATGAGGTTGTGAGGTGGAGGGGGTGTTGGAGGAGTGGAGGATTATTGTGGTGTGGTGAGTGGAATGACAGGCCGCTGGCAGTGGGATCTTTGCTGTAGTACTGTAGCAGCGCACCAACTGGGATTCAGATCATCTTGTGATAATATATTGACAAACCACACGTGCTATTGTATTCGCTATGTCAGAGATAAATCCTCCAACGTCCATATCATTGTTCATCACTCGTGTCTATCTGCGCGGCCCCCTAAGACGTCCGGCCCACGTCACCTCGGTGCGAGGCATGCATGCAATTATCCATTCAGAAGTATAATCCGTCGCCCCGGGGCACCTAGTAGCCCATCTTCTTGAGGTACTCGCCGAGCGTGGCGACGTCGTTGAAGGCGACGGTCGTCTGGCTGTCGGCGTTGTGGTGGCCGATGAGGAGCGCCTGTGTGGTCTTGTAGGCGACGATGCCTTCCTTGCCCTGGGGCCCAGTCAGTACGTGAGGCGCAGGGATGGGTGGGTGTGCCGAGTGTATGCGCCGCGAAGGGTGGGCGTACCTTTTTGGCCTTGAGCGAGTCGTCCGATGCCTCGATGGTCATGTACTTCTCGCCGGCGATCTTGATCCCGTTTGCGATGACGCCCTTGGGGTCGCTCTTGTCATTGAAAGAATCGGCGATGGCCTTGCGCTCCGCGTCGGAGACCTGGGGCTGGTTAGCATGCCTGTCCACACGCGCCAGGGTTCCCAATAGCAATCGTCGCCCTCGATCTTGGGTGGCTGCATGCGCACGGTGGCGAACGTACGGTGAAGCCCGCGGACGAGGCCCAGATGGCGCTTCCGGCGGAGTCGCAGATGACGGCTTTGTCGATGTTGCCAGGGCCGACGAGGCTACAGACGGATCAGTAGCTGCTATACCCAAGGTCTCGTGATGCGTACCTGGTGTCGATGTATGCTAGGGGCACTGTCAGCGCTTCATCGTGTGCGCGGCGACGGCGGGTGCTCACCTTGCCAGGACATGATGGAGGGGTTGTGCGGGCTACGGGAGCTTGTGGAGGGGTAAGTCTGGAAGAGAGGACTGATGCAAGGAACACGGAAGGGTCAGATCAGGAACCCAGGTAGCGGGATGCTCGATAGCTTGACTAAGCAGGCCGGCAGCGCGTAGTATGCAGAGCGGTGAAGGTTTTCTTGTTGGGCTTGTCGAAGCAGAAAGCAGGAGGTCAGTACGGGGGCTAGTGAGACACACAGACGGAGATGGTGGGGCAAGAGGTTTTTCTGTCGCCCTGCTCGTGCAACCCCGCCTTATTTATGCTGCCCTCGCCGCCCGTCATTGTCGCAGATTCACAGTCCAGCTACCCGTGGCTGCATCACGCCGGTTGCGCCATTCCCAGCATTGCCGCGCGTGGGTGGGGGTCAGTCTTGGGCGCGCGCGCGCTACGCTGCGTCGGCGCGGAGAAGGTGGTTAATGGTGAGCGGAGCCTTGCGGGAGGTGACGACTGGCATGCGCCGCTGCCGATCTGAGACTTGACGTGCTTCTTCACGCGATGGGCGAGCCGTGGAGTTAACGGTGTGCCGGAGTGAACGAGGCATCTACAGTCACAACCTGACCAGATGCCCAAGCAGGTGCCCAGGTAGGCGCATATCCACGTGAGTCGTGGCTGATTGTCCAAGCTGCAGCCTTTGTGTTCATCCATCGGTTGTCGTTTCCGGCTGGAGACCCAGGACGCGGTAGTCTCTCGCTCGACGCACCTGCTTGTCTGTAGAGCGAGATCTGGATGACTGCATATGCTCATGTGCATGATACTGGTGTATCAGCAACTACTCTCTCCCATATATCTAGATTTCCGTTGCAGCAATCCTGTCCAGTCTACCTCTTGGAAGCAAGCTTCAGATGAGCACAGCAACAACCAGTCTGCTCTATGCGGATTTCTGCCGCCAGCGGCGCATTGAGCGCGAACCGAACGTCGAGACAAGTGACAACACGTCACGTGGCCACAGCGCTGGTCCAAGCTCCAAAGCACGCTTGCAGCTCCAAAACAGCTTCTACTCGCAGAACCAGTGGCTACACCATGCTCTGTCTGACCCAGTACTATTAATATTTGTATAGACAGAGGACACCGAAGCCACAACTGCCTCGCAAATATCATGCCGTCCGACTCTCGGTCTCCTACGCCGGCGCGGGAACCCACACGAAGCGTGTCGCGCGGTCGGTCGCCCACGCGATCACCAAGACGCTCACCCTCCGATCGACCACGGTCGCCGACTCCTCAGCGCTCTCGCACACGTTCAATATCGCGATCGCCAACTCGGTCCCCCGCAAGGTCGCAATCTCCTCGTCGCAATGGCCGGCGCAGCTATACGCCCGACAGCAGATCACGCTCGCAATCCTCTAGGAGAAGAAGCTTCACGCGAAGCCCGAGCAGAAGGAGCACATCTCCAGCACCACGGAGCGCAAAGGTAGACTGACTCTTCTCTTTCATGCGGACACACTGTGTCGCCTTTCTACCCTTGTGTTGGGCATATCACTGATTGCGCAGATCGTCATTGAACAGCTCACAAAGAACGTCAACGAGGGCCACCTGCGCGAAATCTTCGGCAGCTACGGTCCCATCAAGGATATCAAACTTCCTGTGAATCCAGTCTGTGAGTACCAGGTAACCACTCCGTTCACAGCCTCGCAGCTAATCCTACAGTCAACGTGAACCGCGGTACAGCCTACATCCTTTACGAGGAGATTGAAGATGCCGAACGTGCGATTGCTAAAATGCACGAAGCCCAGCTAGACGGCGCCAAAATTCTCGTCTCCATCGTTCTCCCCCGTCGCCGCTTCTCCCGCTCACCACCTCCCATCCGTAGAGGAGGGCCACCACCACGAGACCGCGACTTCGACTACCGGCCGGGAGGCCCACCCGGAGGCTACCGACCACCACCCATGGGAGGACCCCGACGAGGCTTCTCCCCGCGCGGCCGTTCGCGATCACCACCCGGCGGTTACGGAGGGGGGTACCGAGGCAGGGGGGGAAGAGGCGGCCGAGGAGGTTTCCGCGGCGGTCGCGAGGACCATGGATACCGGCCTAGACGATCAATCTCTCGCTCACGATCTCGGTCGCCCAGGCGCAGCATGTCATACTCACGATCAAGGAGCCCACCACCGCGCCGCGGTGGAGGTGGAGGCGGTTACCGACGACGAGATTCTCCTCCACGAGGGAGTGGAGGTGGTGGCGGCGGTAGGCGAAGCCCAAGCTATAGTTCGTACGGTAGCTACAGCCGTAGCAGGAGCCGGAGCCGGGGGCGCGGTCCTCCCAGGAGATAGGAACGCCGGACTAGGGACCACTCCAGAACCCCGAGATCGTCTACCTACAGACCTTCGGAATCGTCTACCGACAGACGTCTAAGAGCATCTACCTACAGACCCCGGTATTCCTCTTCACCCTCAAGCGTAGGTTCCGATGGGTTGGATCGTCACGATCGAGACCATCATTCCCCTTGGCTGTCGAGCGTAGGCTCTAGGAGATCCAGATACCGGACTGGGGATCATTATTCACCTTCGTGATCAAAGTTGTGGGTACTCACTTTAACTGGAAATGTATTGAAAGCGTGGAGCAGCTTGTGGCCTATCTTGCGTTGGATCAATAGCTTTGTCTATTGGAGTGCTTCTTCGGTGCCTTGTCAGGAGTCTGACGACACTATCTCACGAACAATGCGAGGCACACTTTTTTCCTCGGGTACCAAGATGGTGTATGCCTATGAGAGAATTATACGGAGTCAATGAGGGGTGAACCTTGGAGGTTTTGGAAGGCTTTCGATATTATTATTATCAACGTACGAATGTGTATTGTGGAGCGAACTGCTCGAAGGAGCGATGCGGGTACCAGCACGTATTCATCAAAGTTGAAACCTTGTGTCCGACATTGTCTGGCTTCAGATCATTCTTCAGGGTAAATGAGGGATTTACAGGCTGGTGTGGGCGCACGAAAGCTTCTGCGGGAATTTCTAGATTACAGGAACCAAAGTAGCAGCATCAATGCAGTTGCGTGACATCTTGCGTGGAGAACTTGCTTGTGAAGCCACATGCGTGGTGGCCCAATGCCTTGTTCCACGGAACATCAATGATGTGGATGTGAGGCAGGGATGGCGCATCCAGATCTCGCCTATGACGTCTGCGGGCGCAACCCCACCAGGAGCTTGATCGCACATCACACAGCTTCCCTGTCTTTCCTTAAATCTGGAGGGATTAAGTCCTCCACGGCACTTCCTCCCTATAACTCAAGTTTTCTCACCTAGAGAAGCTCTATCTGAGCTCATTCGGCGCTATGGCCAAGAGTCAGGCTCCCCAGACGAATATGGATGTAGACTATGTAGTTGTCTACAAGTTTGAGAAGAGAGGTGAGTGCAACGATAATGTGGTTGAAAATGCGATGGAATTAAGACGATACAGATAGGACGAAGGCAATTGCGCAGTTCGAAAAACTCGTCGAGGCGCTCTCCAAAGTGGGGTTGCAGACGGAGGTCCGCAATGGAGGCTCGCAGTCTGTCTTGCTCTTCGTAAAAGTCGCGTCAGACGAGCACCTGTACGGTGAAGTGTACAGGTCGCGGTGCGTATATTCCCTCTCAAAGCATTCCCAGGTCTGATCTTCCATGTAGAGTCCGCGACTGGATCCACGGCGTGCGAGCTGCCGCCCCGCCCAAAGAGACCCGCGAAGCCATCGACTCCGAGCCTCTCTACGAAGCCGAGCGCCTGCGCATCATATATCAGCTCATCACAAATCCGGTAGCCGAAGGCGGTGCTGGTATCACGCCGAAAGAAGGCGAGTGGGAGGATGTGCAGTCCATATTCGCGTTGCACGACCGCGCGTACAATGACGATTGGATCAAGAAATGGAGCACATCCTACTTCCTTAAGACGGAAGACTTGGACGAGATTCGCAACCGCTTCGGAGAGAAGGTAAATTTACTCGTAACGTGTCTATGCGTAGTACTGACAAACGCAGATTGCCTTCTACTTCGCCTTTACACAATCGTACTTCAGCTTCCTACTCTTCCCCGCGGCTTTCGGTACTGCGGCATGGCTCTTCCTCGGACACTTCTCCGCCGTATATGGAATTGTGAGCTGTCTCTGGTGCATCATCTTCACCGAGTACTGGAAACATCAAGAGGTCGATCTCGGCGTGCGCTGGGGTGTCCGTGGCGTATCTCGCATCGAGCACAAAAGGAAGGACTTCCAGCACGAGCACATCGCCACCGATCCTGTTACTGGCGAGCAGGTCGGTATCTTCTCAGTCAAGAAGCGTCTGCAAAGGCAATTGCTCCAGGTTCCGTTTGCATTGGCGGCTGCCTCGTTGCTGGGCACACTGATCGCGACCTGCTTCGGGATTGAGGTGTTCATCTCTGAAGTCTACAATGGACCACTGAAGTGGCTTTTGGTAAGTCAGTTTCATATTGATCTGGTCGCACTACTAACACCGTTCAGGTCTTCATTCCCACCGGCATCCTGACAACGACCATGCCCATCTTGTCAGGTATCCTGACCAAGATGGCGACTCAGCTCACTGAATTCGAAAACTACGAGACGCATGCTGCATACGAACACGCTCTGACGCAGAAGATCTTCGTCCTCAACTTCATTACGTCTTACCTGCCCATCTTTCTTACGGCGTTCGTCTACGTTCCTTTCGGTAACATCATAGTACCCTACCTCGACATCTTCAGCGTTGCTGTCAGGCCTTTTGCGGAACACGAAAAGCAACTTCAAGGTCCTGGCGCCGACTGGGCCATCAACCCGGATCGCCTCCGCAAGCAGGTCATATACTTCACAGTAACCGCGCAGATTGTGAATCTCGGACTGGAGCTCATCGTGCCTTACCTCAAACGCGAGGGCGCCTCCAAGTACAAGAAATTTCAAACCGAGCGCGCTGCGAAGAACGGTGGAGCTGCTCCCGCCCTTTCTGCAAATGATCCGCCAGAGGATGCCGCTTTCCTCGCACGTGTCCGCGAAGAAGTTGATCTCGAAGTTTACGATGTGACCACTGACATTCGCGAGATGGTCTTGCAATTCGGATACCTCTCCCTCTTCTCCGTTGTATGGCCCCTTACCAGTGTCTCCTTCCTCATAAACGACTGGGTCGAGCTGCGTGCCGATGCGATCAAGATCTGCCAGAACATGCAGCGTCCGACACCTTGGCGCGCTGACACCATCGGCCCGTGGCTCGACTCGCTCTCCTTCCTCACCTGGCTCGGCAGCCTCACCACCGCTGCCCTCGTCTATCTCTTCTCCAACGACGGTCTCGGCCCCGACGGCTCGCCCGCCAACATTCGCGCCTGGGCCCTCCTTCTCACCATCTTCCTGTCCGAACACGTCTTCTTTGTCGTACGCTTCGGAATCCGCGTCGCCATCTCCAAACTCGCGTCGCCAGGTCTCCAGAAAGAGCGTCGCGAAAGGTTTCTGGTTCGTAAGAAGTACTTTGATGAGAACTTGAAGGGTCTTGAGAGGCTGCCGAAGCTGAAGGATATTTCGGAGCAGATCACGAGGGAGAGTCTCGAGGAGGACGCGAGGAGGAGTAGTCTCAAGGAGAGCACCATGGAAGAGAGGTTCTGGACACGCCAGAGGGGGTGGAAGGAGACGGTCAGTGTGGGTAAGGATTTGATTCAGCGGGCTGAAGTTGAGCAGAGCCCGGAGAGAAAGAAGGAGCTTTGAAGGGTTGAGCCTGTATCGACATGTAGCAAGGGCGTTGGAGTGGGAGTGGGATTGTGACGGCGACTGGAGGGTGTATACGCCAGGTAGCCTGAAGAAAAGCTGGGACGATGTCGATAAAGAATGTCTGCTTATTACTAGCGTGGAGTTCCGGCGTGGTCCGCATGTAATGTACGTAAACGAAGATGGATTTTATGATGAGGATCTAATCATCCATGTAAACTTGAGCTAATCTGACTTTTGTAGCTCGGCCTATGTACCTTTTGCGACTCCGGCTTTAAGGCTCGTTTGCAATCACAGGTTTATCAAGCTCGTAGCTGCTCAGCCGTCCAACCAAATCAGGACCGAGCGTTCTTTCGTTTGCATCGACCCTCCCCGTTCGTCAGTAAACTTTCACTACAGAATATTGAGCTCGAGACACTCCCTCACGAGGTTCTTGACCCATGCACCTTCTGCCTCCCGCCCACTGCCTATAAGCCCTCCGTCCGCCCACTCTGAAGTCTCCACAACGCCGACAGCACTCGAATCAGTCAACAGCCTTCTCGCCTGATTGATAGCCATTTACCTTGATCCTTCACCTGTCAAGTGAGTGGCCTCTGCGCTCACCCCGCTCCAGCTCTTCGCATACCATACAACCACCCTGCCGTGTAGTTCGAAGCATCACTGCACTTATGCTTAACAGCACACAACCACTCCATCATACCATAAACACCCGTTTCCGAAACACCCGAGTCAGCTTACCACTCTTCAAGATGCGTGTCTCCACCATCGCCTTCATCCTCACCCTCGCCGCCGGCGGCCTTGCTGGTAAGTTCCCCTTTCCTTCCCTCTCCTCCCTCCCATTCACACACCCCAGGTGCCGCAATCAAGCACGACGACGCCCCCACCGTGACTCCCTCCGGCGGCGCTGGCCACCCCACCACCACCCCGATCCCCAAAGTCGCCGACGGCCGCTGCACGCCCTGCAACGACCACATGGAGCAATGCATGGGCAAGTGGCCGTGCTGGTTCTACAACTGCCAGCCCGACTGCAACCACGAGGTGTGCGAGCAGCTGCCGGATTGTCGCCAAGGCTGTGGGTTCCACTGCTAGTCGGACCTCTCTGCAGGACCTCTTTGCAAGAGAGGCGAGGTGGGGTTGTGACATCGACGATACTCGGGGATGAAGCTCACGGGCGTTCGTGGCGAACGGCATCTTGATACCCAGCAACGGTGGGATTATGAATCGGACGGTGGGAATTCTCGACTTCTTGGTCTGCGGACCGGGACGTATGCATATAGGTAGATGGGCAATCAAGATACATTGCCAGCCGTCGCACTGCCTCTCTGCTGACGTATTGGTGCGACTTTGTACATGGACTGGTGCGGCAGCTCCCTCGGACCTTCACGCCTGCTGCGCGGGCTTGCAACGTGCTCAGTGGAGGCTGGAGCAAGGCACGCTCAGCTAGCTCTTCGCAATGCCCGTCTGGGGAGAAAGTAGATCGAGATGGTTCCCACACGCTGTCGGGTCCGCCGCAGGGGTGAACCGATTTTTCCGTCGTGCAAAGCGTCAAAGCTGCTGCCGAGTATGATGCAATAACGACACTTCTTTTCTGCTACTGCGCAAATAACTTTGGACTATCCTGTCCTGTCCTGTCCTGTCCTGGTTCAAGCCCACAAGCAACACATACTCATACACGCGCCAGCTTTAATGAATTGAAACTCTTCCCACCCCCACTGGGCTGATGTCTAAAATGACATCCCATTCCCAGCATCATGCTCCTTGATATAATCCCCTCCCTTCTCCATGAACTCTGCTCTCGTGATGAAATTCGTCCTATTCTCTTTCTTGCCTGCCCACTTCGCCGCGCCCCGCCACGCATCCAGCACCGCGTCGTCCGCCTTCCGCACCACGAGTTCTTGCTCCGCCGGCAGCACAGCCCTTAGCTCGGACGCGAGGCGCTCTTCGAAGCCCTGGAAGAGCGTGTTGCCGCCGGTCAGGAAAATATCCTTGAAGACGTCGTCACGGTGCCGATTATCCGCCAGCCGTTCAGTGAGAATATTCGACGCGATCTCAACAATGCCAGCCTGGTCGAGCCCAGCGATGGAGGGCTGAAACACGACTTCCGGGACGCGGATGCGCTCGACGTTGAGGTGGAGCTGGTGCGCCTCCTTCTGGCTCTCTGGGTCGAAGGGGTACGGGCCGTGCAGGAAGGCGTGGAGGAGGGACTTGGTCCAGTCGGTTTGGGCCTCGCGGGTGGATTCTTCGGTGAAGGTGGGGTCGTGCTGGAGGAGCTGGGCCTCGATGTCTTTGAGGGCTTTGCCGAGGTCTTCTTCCTCTTCGTCGTCGGACTGTTCGCCGGTAGCAATGGTGCGGTAGACGCCCCAGTCTGCGTCGTCGGCACCGAAGGTGTCGTCGTCGGCGCCGCCTCTCCGGCGTTTCTTGGTTGGCGCATCGGAGGCGAGGGTTGCAATGGACTTCATGCGCATTTGGTTTGCGAGGGATTTTCTATTGCCGAGTTCGGCTTTTAGACGATCGCGATCTTTGATCTTCTGAATGATGGCTTGTCGCGCCGTGCGACGCTCTTCGGACCATCCCTCAAGATCTTGCTCACGCCTTTCGTCGTCGAGCCGCTGCTCCTCTGCTAAACGCGCCTTCTCGCGCTCTTTCTCTGCCTTTGCGCGCAAGCGTGCTTCGTAATTGGACTTCATCAGTCGCTGTTGGCGCTTTTGCTTCAACTCTTCTTCGTCGAGCTCCTCGTCCGGGCGGTCGAGCAGCGGGAATGTGGGCTCTTCCTGCACTTCCTCTTCGACGTCGCCTACGTCCTTGTTCCTAGCTTTCCGTATTGACTTTTCCAGCTCACGGACCTTCTTCTCCAGCTGGCTCTCGTCATCGAAGTCGTTGGACTCTAGTATTCGTTTGGCTTCCTTTTTGGTGACGTCCTGGAGCTGGGTCTGCAGCTGCTGATAGTACTCGAACTCCTCTTCTTTGCGCTTTAACTTCTCTAGGCGCATTTTCGCAGCCTGTGCCTGCAACCTCCTACCGCTCTCCTTGCGCTTTTCTGCAGCTGCCGCAAGCTCTTCTTCTGTTTTCTGGACCACGACTTGCTCAACATACGGAAACTGAACAATGCGATCCCGATCCTCGAGCCCTGTCCATTCGAGGTATTTTGACAACTCTTCCTCGTAGTTTTGACTGACATAACAATGGTCGCGGACGAGGTCTTCGGCCTGTGGGTCGCTGACTTTCCCGGGAAACGACGGGTATTTTAGACGGAGGAGCTTGAGCAGATATTCGGCGCCTTGGAAGCGGCCCCAGTTCAGCCGCGTCGACTGCGACAATAAAGCTTTGGAGTTGACAACGGGAATCAAGTGTGTGGAGGTGTATGACGAATCGACTACGAGGCCCGTCTTGCCGCCGTTGTACGAGTAGGAGAAGAGGGAGTCGATGCCGTACGCAACGGAGGGTGCGCCGTAACATTCAAACAGAATTTCGGACATGGCTAGAAAGCACAATTGTCAGTATCCGGTCTCCAAGTTTGGGTATCTTGGAAGCTGGTGCCATACGTACTCTTCCTTGTGTATCCCAGGTTTGCGACAGGCTCAGTCATGACAATGGGCCTGTCTATGCTTCCGTTCTTGCCGTCCACACCCAGTTTGATGAAGCAGTAGTCAAGCAGCCCTTCCATCACATCCCAGTTGTTCACAATATTGCTGCCCGGTTCGTACACATTCTTGGACTGGCCTCGCGCGGTGCCATCGCTGAATACATCTGAGCCGACAAACGTAAAGGTACGGGCGAGTTTTCGATCGCGGTATTTAGCCACGAGAGGGCGCAGCGATAGTCGGGGGTTCTTGTCGAAGGACCAGCCTGCGCGGACTGCGGAGGAGCCTGTGGAGCTGTCAGCGCTGTGTGAGAGATGCACGTCGCGATGTGAAGCCTACCATTGTCGATTACGATGGCTGTTTCACGGTTGCTGCGCGCATAGCCCTCGGTGTCTACGGGCTTGTAGCCTTCGAACGGAGGCTCGCTGACGCTCCAGATCTTCGCGGGCGGTGGCTTGGGCGAGTTCCGGCCAGAGGGCAGCGCTATGTCTGCAGTTGCAGAGGGAGCCATTGCGCTGGGATGGTTGACGCGGAGGGAGATGGACTGGCGGGGTTAGGACATGTCGCGATGATGGTATTGTGTGGCGGGCCTTGGTGAGAGCACAGCGCAGCCAACTATCGAGCCGTGTTGCATCGCCGTCGCGCTGACCTTCACCTGCGCGGCGCGTCGCCTGCGGTCCCTGCACCATCCCAAAAACGGCAACCTTCACTCCGACCATGTTGGCTTCGACCGCGTTCACATCCACATTCACAGCTACAATTCAAGGAGCGGCTGGAAATTTCGAAGTCGCAGAATACTCATTGGTATACTTGCAGTCCAGAGAGTAGCTCCAACTTCCTGCACAGTCTAGCTTTACTCAGGTACTCAGCCCTTCGCCATCAGCCGACCCACGCGGCATACATCTTGCTCGGCGCGCGCATAATAGGCGGATCCTATCCTTCTGACTGTATCAAGACTAGCATGGAGACGAAGGTAGTGTATTGAGTTGGGACGTCAACACGATCAATTGAACATCTCCACTTCATGCAACTGCTCAAGCCGGATCCTTCAGACCGTTGGTAGCTGGGAAAATATTAGTACGCGCTCACCCAGACCATGAGGCTTATGTGAAACATACCTTCAAGGTGGAAAAGCACGTTGGACTGGTAGTTCTTGAACATCTGAGACACCAGCTCCGTGTCCATGTTTGCTATGTTGATCTCTTGGAGATTCTTATTCAGGGTCATGATTGCTTCATTGAGCTTTTCCTATAGACAGGTCAATAGGCCCCAGATCGGATGCGGTTGGGTTTGGCTATATTGCTGTACCACGTTGACAATGATGCGCGAGAGCAAGAGGCTCTGCTGGTGCTCGTGCGGGCTTTCCTGGACGGCGTAAGTAACGTGTCATTCAACAAAGGGGATCATAGCTGTACCATGTTTTCGCGATACTGTGTTGTGTGGTGCGATGCACTGGAGTGGACGAGCTCTTGTTTACATGGGGCGTGGGGCAATCAAACAGCCCTATGCCAAGAACTATAGGGCTGATCACGGTGAACGGCCGACGCGAACCCGACGCTGGCAGCAGTACAGTTACTTCCATCGTCAATTCCTCGACGCCTCCCTGCCAACTGCACACTGCCCACCGCACCGCACACATTAGCAGCCGCGATCCCCTCACGCATTACACCATTGACATCATCCCAGCTCTTGTTGGCGCTGCTACAGCTCCCATAGCTTCAACATGGCGCCTCTAACCGCTGCATCGGACGAGCACACGCATCAAGCTCTCCTTGACCAGCTCGACATCTACAAAATCCACAAACCCTTCCGCAACCCGCACTGGAAGCCCCCGCAGCGCCGCAACAAGAATGTCAAGCAGATCATCGCCGATGCTACGCGCAAAGAAGCCTCGGTCATGGCCACCCAGAACAACAGCGGCGCATCCACGCCCGCGCTCCCGCACACCGACGGCGCTACAGGCGTCGCGACCCCCGTCGGTCGGGCCCCAAACATCGCGCAGGCAGCGCAAAGCCTGAGCACCCTGGTGCTGGAGAAGAACCTACGAGCTGCTGGTGGCGGATTGGGAGCGGCGAACGGCAACGGCGCAGGACCGGCTGCTACGTATACGAATATCGAGAGCGCACCGAGCTTCCACCCGAGTAGCCAGAGGCGGTACTGCGACATCACAGGGCTGCCGGCGCCGTACACGGATCCCAAGACGAGGTTGCGATACCATGATAAGGAGGTGTTTGGGGTGATCAGGACGATGCCGCAGAATGTCTCTGAAGGATATCTCAGCGCAAGAGGTGCGCACACAGTGTTGAAGTGAAGAGTGGGACTGTCTCAGCGAGCGACTCTCAGAACCTGATTCGCTTCCATGACAGCTGGCACGGAGAGGAACACACGGGGGTACTAAAGAGATGGGCTTGTACTGTATGGATCGATGTGGAACATCCAACACAGCACCGCATGCAAATATGTAAGGCCAACAAAGTCAAGCGCACTCCACCCACCAAGCCCCTCTCGAGGCAAGGTTCAAGAAGGTGCTCCGGCTTAATCGTGGACTGTTTTCTCTTCGCCAATGACGGGGTACCAGGAATACACGGACAGTATTTCTAGTGACAGCAGCGTGTGTAAACGCATGCTGCGGCCGGGGCGGTTTCTACATAGATATCTCTGCCTTTTGTCTAATAGCCGTCGCATAATAGTGGTGGTCAATTCTAGACCGCTCTGGAATAAATCCCGTTCACAGAGAAGCTGTATCGTGGCTGTACTCGATGCACCTCGCGCACCTCGCAGAGAGTGTAGGAACACAAGCCTCGAAAATCATGCGGACTCCCGACAAGACGAGGGCGCTAGCCAGGGATCCCCGCGCACGGTCCAGCCGTTGCAGCTGCAGCTCAAAGGGACACGATGCTGCATCGAAAAGTTCCCGGAGAGCAGAGTGACACCTGACACCCGCGGCGCATTGGGACTACATATCGCGCGCGCTAGGCAGCCGCTTTTCTTAATCTTTACTTGGATTCTTGAGAGCTGCGCCCTACCACCGCACCCAGCGCATACCACCCGCTCACACCACCGTCAAGATGCCGACCATGTGGCTCACAGACACGCAAAGTACGTACACATAGCGCGCCAGCAGCTTCGCAAGATGCAGCACGTCTAACACACCGCAGAGATCGGAGTCGCCTTCTGCTCAGGGGGTAGGTACGCATCCCACTCCTCCCTACCGCCCAGCTCCCGCGAACCCAACTGACACGCGCGCGCAGGCGGCTTCTTTCTGCTCGGCGGCGTCATGATGTTTTTTGACCGCAGCATGTACGTTCCCCTGCCCCTCCTCCTCCGCTTCCCTGGGAAACTGACGTGCGCAACAGGCTCGCCATGGGCAACATCCTCTTCCTAATCGGCCTGACCCTCATAATCGGCGCCCAGAAAACGCTTTCCTTCTTCGCGCGCCGGCAGAAGTGGAAGGGCACCGCTGCGTTCACCGCCGGCATCATACTCATCCTCATGCGCTGGGCGTTCTTCGGCTTCATCATCGAACTGTACGGCATACTCGTTTTATTCGGCGACTTCTTCGCCACGATTGCGGGGTTCGTGGGGAATATTCCTGTGGTCGGGCCGTATATTGCGAAGGCCTTGGAAAGAGTGGGCGCGGTGAGCAGGAGCCAGGAGTCGGCGGTTTGAAGGTTAAACAAGTCATGTGTGTATTGTGGACATCGGGCTCCCGGTTGGAAGAGGTGTAGGAGAGGAGGGTAGATGGAATACATTTGGCTGGGTTCGACAGAGGTTGCGTACGATAATTGTGAGCATAGGAGAGAGAGCTGGAGCTGGCGTTCGAGATGGACAAATGGGAGGCATATCTGGCGTTCTGCTCTTCGGTTCAGTTTCGCGGGAAGGAACGGAATACCACGAGCCCGAGCACGATACGATGCGACAGATGCGTCCGCGCAACCAGCTCGCGAACCTCTCGACTTGCATAAAGTCCTATCATACTGTACTGTACATATACTACACGTTGTACCATTTACACTACATCACTGAAACACCCCACCCCCAAACCCCACCGGCCTCCTCACCCGTCCCCCTTCAATAAACGGCACCACAGCCATGGCCTTGTAAATCCTGCCCATCCCCGTCGGCCCTCTATCCACCAGCCTCTTCACCGCGCCCTCCAGCCTCGTCCTGACCTCCTCATCCCCGGCAGCCTTCAGTAATCGCTCCGCGCGCTCCATAATCCCCAGGCTCGACAAGAAGTAGGCTTGTTCGACAGGCCCGTGGACTTCGACGCCGGGCGAGGCGTCGAGTGCGGCTTCCGCGAGCGCAACGAAATCTACGTCTGCGCTAATGTCGACGAGGCCAGCGGAGACGAAAGGCGAGACGGCGCGGTGCGAGCGGATCCCGCGGAGCGTGTTGGCGGGGATGGTGGATTGGGGACCGTAGTCGAGGATGAGGGCGGCGCCGGATGGGGCTGGCTTCTGGAAGGGTTCGGGGAGGGGTTGGGACTTTGGAGATATGGAGGCGGTGGATGGGATGGGCGGTTGGGTTTGATTTTGAGAGGAAGGAGAAGGGGGATTCGCGCCGCCGATGCGCACGGCGAAGTCTGCGATATAGGAGAGCGACTCCGGGGATATTTCTATGATGGCGTCGGTGGTGTTTTGCAGTGCTTTGTACCTGTCCGAGGTCTGCGGGAGGTAGAGGCTGTGCGGGGTGGGCGATTTCGAGAGCGTGAGGTGGAATTCCGGGTGTGGTGAGCCGTCCTCGCTGGTCTGGGCTTGGGACACCTGTGACTCGTGGATGGGCGCGACGACGAGCTCGTGCCATTGGTTTTTGGGGGCTTGCGGGCCGGTCCTTGGTGACAGGGGGCCGTCTGGGGTGATTGTTTTGGAGGCGGCAGGGAGGGTGGAGTTCGCGACGTTTTGGAAGACGTGAATGGGAAGGGCGTCGAAGAATTCGTGGGCCAGGATGAAGGGGGTGGATGTTTCTTCTGTTCAGGTGGTTAGCGTTTGCATGTCAACGGGTAGTAGGTATTGTACCTTTGGGCACGAATCTGATGTCCTCGCACCAATTGACAATGCAATCCGGCATATACTTGCACGGTGCTCTCCATCCCAGTTCGAACTCCTCTGGCGCATCTGTCCCGGACAACCGCTTGGCCTGCTGTTTGCGCAGATCGTCAGAAGCCTCAATCATGTAGATAGCTTCGACACTCTGCGCGAACGGCTTGAAGCTAGAGATTGTCCTCAATACATCGTCCATCAATGTCCCTCTTCCAGGGCCTACTTCTATAATTTGGACCTTCTTTTTCCGGCCCTGGGCCATCCACTCTGTATATAGCCATATGCCCACCAATTCACCGAAGACTTGGCTGATCTCGGGCGACGTTATGAAGTCCCCTTTCGTGCCGAATTGATCGTGCCCGGAGGTTTGGCGCGTGTAGTATCCGCCCTGGTCGGAGGTGAGGCATTGGCGCATGTACGAGGCTACTGAGACAGGGCCGGTAGTCTACAATATCGTCACCAAGAAGTCACCTGTAGGTCAAGGACCAAACGTACCTCTATCGCTTGCGCCAGCGTCTTTGCGAGCGGCGTCGACCATTTTCGCTCTTCCGAGTCGCTCGATGACCACCGCACCGCGCCCCGTGCTAGTCTATGCCTGAATGCCCGCGGCCTTGCGCATCTTGTCGCGCTGCGCAGTAGATCGTGAGAAACTGCTCTCATCTCGAATTGTTATCGGATTTCCATGACGTTGTTCTCGGACGACAAAGTTGACTTTCGGAACGCGGGAGCTATGACCAAGCCGTCCAAGGTCGACGCCCTACCACGTGCTACTCGTATTGATCCCACGAAACCACTCCGACATCCGATATCACCTTTCGATAGTTTAGATCGGGAATAGAAGGATATCATGGCGTCGCGTTGGGCAGACGATGAGGCGGACAAGGCAGAGGCTCAGCGCCGGAAAAAAGAGAAGGAAGAGAAGAAGCGCCTCAAGCTCCAGAAGCAACAAGCCGAGCAAGAAGCTGCCGCTGCTGCTGCACGAGAAAGAGAAGTTGAATCACGTCCAGCAAAGCGTCGAAGACTCTCCAACGACACCGGCTCCCAAGATGTTGCTCCCGCAGAGACACCAGCGGAACGGCCGCTTCTACGCTTCGACGGCGGCGGCTGGGGACCATGCCGACACGTTTCCAACTTCGAGACCCTGAACCATATCGAAGAAGGCTCCTACGGCTGGGTATCTCGCGCCCGTGAGATCTCCACCGGCTCCGTTGTCGCGCTCAAGAAGGTCAAAATGGACTACCAACAGCAAGACGGCTTCCCAATCACCGCCCTCCGCGAAATCACTATCCTCCAACGCGCCCGCCACAAGAACATCGTCCACCTACATGAAGTGCTCTCCGGCTCGGACCCCTCTGAAGTCGTCCTCGTCATGGAGTTCCTCGAGCACGACCTCAAGACGCTGCAGGAAGACATGCCCGAGCCATTCCTCGCGTCGGAAGTCAAAACGCTGCTAAAACAGCTCACATCTGCGCTTTCATTTTTGCACTCAAATCACATCCTCCACCGAGATCTAAAAACTTCCAACATCCTACTGAGCAACCACGGCCATCTCAAGATCGCCGACTTCGGCATGGCGCGCTACATACCGCCACCAGACGCGCGCCTCACACAGCTCGTAGTCACGCTGTGGTACCGCGCTCCCGAACTCCTCCTCGGCACCGAGACCTACAGCACGGAAATCGACATGTGGAGTCTGGGCTGCATATTCGGCGAGCTCCTCCTCAAAGAGCCCCTCCTGCAGGGCAAGAATGAAGTCGACGAACTAACCCGCATATTCGCGCTCTGCGGGCTTCCCACCGAGCGCAGCTGGCCCGAATTCTGGCGCCTTCCCAACGCGAAGGGCCTCAAGATCCCACGGGACTCGGGCGCAAAGAGCGGCGGCGTGATACGGACGAAGTTTCCATTCTTGACGAACGCGGGTGCAGACCTACTCATGAGTCTGCTGTCGCTGAACCCGGAGCATAGACTCAGCGCAGACGAGGTGCTAGAGCACGCGTACTTTAGGGAGCAGCCGAAGCCGAAGCCCATGGAGATGTTCCCCACGTTCCCGAGCAAGGCGGGGCAGGAGAAGAGGCGGAAGAGGAGTCCGAATGCGCCCAAGAGAGGGGAGGCGCCGGGATTGCAGAATGTCGATTTTAGCGGCATCTTTGCGAATAGGGAGGAGGAGCAGGCGGGCGCAGGGTTTCAATTGAGAGTAGCTTGAAGGGTTAGTGATTATGTCAAGACTCCGCAACAGGAAGGTCTGAATGTGTTACGACGCCCGATTATTTCGACGTAAGACCATGTCTTTGTGCACATCTTTCATTCGCCTTTGCTGGGATGTCAATTTGTTTCGAGCTGGGCTACACGATGCTTGGAAGGGCTCTGAGGCATCCGTCAACATCATCCTACATGGGCAGTGGAAAGGATTTGCTTTCTCTCATCCTTCAGTGGAGCATCTATAAAACTTGACGATCGTGCACCTCAAGTCTACCCAAAGTCCCTAATCTCTCATATCCTCCACAACTCTACCTCTCACTGCACATACTAAATCATTCAAGCCTCACACCACCAACAACATCTCTACGATACACCTTCTCCTCCTCACCTCAGCACTGCTCGTCGCCCTCGTGCACGCAACACCCGCACCCGCACCAGCCGCCGCAGCCGTGTATTACTATTGCGAATGTCAACACCGACCCAGCTGCCAGACCAAGTTGATAGACCGCCGTCGAGACGTGAAGGTGGAAGGTCCGGGGCTGGAGAAACGAAACACGACGTGTTGCTGGTGGGGCGATAATCATGAGTTGCTGCGCTGTTTGTAGAAAACGTGGTCGTTGGGCAGTACCAGAAGAGATAGACTACATGAAGGAGTTTGTGAGTGGCATCTTTCCAGATGATCATACAAACACCAAGAACAGCAGGTGGAAATTTTATTGTTTTAGATTTAGATTGATGGGCCTATCTGTTACTGGATTAAACATTAAATCGTCCTTCGTCTCAACCCCACTTTTCCCCCCATTCAAAGACTAAGAATATGGAAAGGAAATCCCAGAAACCACCGTAGACCCCAAGGAAAAAAGAAACACCATAAGTACAATGTACATGGTAATCACACGCTCATCCATTCACCAAGTTGAAGATGCTTACAACTCGGCAAACGCAAGCCACATAACCCCCACAAGCCCAGCGAAACTCGCCATCCCCGCGCTGCCAAACTCCGAAACCGCAGCACCGCTGAACTCGGGTTGCTTGGGTTGCTCGGGCTGAGTGGGGCTGATGTGGGAGCTGGCTCCCGAGCCTGAACCGCCGCCAGACCCAGATCCAGAGCCCGGTACTTTGCCTGAGCCAGCGCCTGAGCCTGAGCCAGCGCCTGAGCCTGAGCCAGCGCCTGAGCCTGAGCCAGCGCCAGAGCCCGAGCCGCCGGAGCCAGAGGTACCGTTGCTCTTGCTGGTCTCGGAGGGCAGCACGATGACCTCGGTCTTTGTCTTGGAGGGTTGAACGATGACCTCGGTCTTTGTCTTCGAGGGTTGAACGATCGTGGTGCCGTTGTTGAAGGGACCAACGGAGGAGGTTGCGACTGAGGGGGTGCCGGTGGAGAGGACGACGGGGATAGTGGTTGTTGTAACGCCTGCCTCTGAGCTAGACGAGCTTGAACTGCCGGTCACTGTGATGACGGCGGTGGTCTTGCCGCACGCGGAGACGGCGAAGTCGCTGTACTTGGCGGCATCATTGGGGCAGCCGTCGGCCACAGACTTGAGAGCGTCCAGGCGGTCGAGCTCGATGCAGATGCAGGGGAAGTCGGCAGGGTTGCACTGCGACTTTCCGATGAGTGGGAAGAGGACGTCTTGGGCGCAGTTGGAGAAGCCGGCGATGGCGCCGGGGATGTCGTGGGGTGGACCGGGGATAGCCGTGGAGAGGACGAAGAGGGTGGAGGAGAGGGTGAGGGTGCTGAAGATAGTGGGAGACATTGTGGTTGTGGTTGTGGCGGTGCAGGTTTTGCAGGTTTCGGTGGAAGTCTTCGTGGACGAAGTCTCTAAAGACTTGGTTTCGGTGGAAGTCTTCGTGGACGAAGTCTCTAAAGGCTTGGATTCGGTGGAAGTCTTCGTGGATGAAGTCTCTAAAGGCTTGGTTTCGGTGGAAGTCTTCGTGGACGAAGTCTCTAAAGGCTTGGTCGCGGTGGAGGTCTTAGTGGACGTAGTCTCGGAAACTCCTTTCAAAGAAGACTCGGTGCTGGAGACCGAAGTTGATGTAGTCGTGGGTGCTAGACTGGAGGATGTGGTAGATCCGGACTCTGACGACTTGATGATCGTCAAGGTGGTCGCAGAAAACACCTTCGTAGAGGATTCTGTGGCAGAAGACTCTGTCGGAGAAGGTCCTGGGCTGGTAGACTTGGACGTCGTCGAGGCAGAAAACGAGGGTGTTATGGAAACAGTGGACGGGACCGAGGTGAAATGCGGAAGCGAAGGAGTTTCGGTGTACACTGTAGTTTCAACCGTGGACGTATAGGGGACGGTAGTCGTGGTATCGAGCTCCAAGTAGCCAGTCTCACTCAAAACCAAAGAGGATGATTTGTGGTGGTGCTTATGCGATGAGGAACTGATGATCAGTGAAGTACGAGTCCAAAAGTCTCTGATGTGCCAATGCATCTTGAGAGTGAATGTATATATAATGATATCTAGCGAGTGAGGTGGTAGGATGAGCAATGAACGCGTTCAGAGGCATGGAATATATGTGCTACCTTTTGACATCTTGGAAGCTGCATGCGGTCGCCCAAAAACGAAAGAGGGTTCTTGGACGGTAAACATAGGCGGCGACGCATCCGGGCGAACATCTTTGTTGGCAAAGTTTCAGTTTTCGAGTTGGCATCGCGAGGTTGTAGCGTGGCTCTGAGTTCCGGTTCCGTCGTCTGCTCTGGAATGTGGCGCAAACGGCTTCCTTTCAGCATCGTCATGGCCCCATCCGGAATTCGCCCGCTTCTTTCGCCCCACGCGCTCTTTAGCTGCTTTGGATGGGCAAGCTGTATTGTGCAAGTCCACCCGCGCACGCTTCTGGTCATGGAGGGAAGGTTGGATCGACGCGTTCTGCTTGTCTAGGATGCTTATAATCATAGTTACCTGGCTTTTATCATAGAAGCACCCGTGATGCTCTTTTGTGTACCGTAGTGCACAAGTTAAATCAGACGTCGCTTCAGAGGAAGGTTCATCCTGACTCGCTAGAAGGTTTTCGTAGTACGGGTTGGCATGTTCACGACGCGATGTACGCCCTGTACAATGGCGCATATCACACTCGTCCATGAACCGTCGATATTGGTACGCCAAAATGTAAGGATCCTTCTGAAACGGTGGTATATGTGGCGTGTACGGCCTATACATTTTGAGGCGTTGACTATCGGGATGAAACAAACCTTGATGTTGCTGAAGTTTCTCGCGACTTGACCCCAGCAGCGCAGTACGGTATTGACGTCGAAACTATTCTCGTGCGCTGGGGTCAAGATGAGCATATGCTTACTTGGCCTGAGAATCTTTCGGGCTATCAAACAGACGAAAGTACAGTCCCCATAACTCGGGGTCCGCCATGTAGTGCGTTGTGTCGTGTCCTCTCCAATCGATCGATGCTCTAGGGGGGTTCAAGGAATGTTTGCATGCGTCGATATCAGGGTGATGTGCTTACAGTACTTGTAAGTAGCGCATGGTGTAGCAGCCAGAGGCAAAGCCAACACAAAGAGAGGAAGCACATGAGACCTAACAGTTACTAAGTTTGACAGTGACAAAGGTTCGGAGTTGCCACTAGGACATCCGAAACGCCCACGATTGGGCGCTACCGACCGTTCCAAAAAACGAACACGTTTGAGCAACGTGGGTGGTAAAGATGTTCAAGTTTACCCTGCACCCCAGTCTGTCCTACGACAGAGATTGTTACGACGGAGTATCCTCATCTCTATCAGTACCAAATACGAACAACACTGGCGGTATGCGGCGTAGCGCTACGGAGAAAACGAAGCGATACCAAAGCCAAATGGTATGTTTGCAGCGTAAGATACGGCATATGCATGTGTTCATGGATGGATTGAAGTTCGCCTGCAAGGGGGCAGCAAGCATGCTAGACAGAGGAGGGAAACAGATGGTTGAGCAAACATCAGTGTAGGAAAGGTAAGATGGAAGGATGGCGAGAGATAATACGATCTGGGTCATGGATACTTGCCATCTGTGGTTGGCATGTACGTAATGATTGAAGGCCACCAGATGATTAAGAGCATCAGATCAACAGCACATATATAGAAGATAGTGTTTTGGTGGGTGAGATTTTTTAACTTCTAAAAGAGGACGTATTCGCGACATCGGAACAAAACGCAGCAATCGAAGGCTTCATGCAGGTAGTAGTGATGTTGACCACACGGAAGAGCGTTGGGCCTCCGCCATTGCCAAGGCATGCTAGAGACTAGCGGACCGCTTAGCCTGCCCGCTTCGCTCGAAAATCCAAAAGTTCGCCTCGCAACATTTTCGATCTCGAACAGCAGACGCTGCAACTTTGACAATGGCGACCTCATCGTGAGTATTCCTCTCGTCGGAACCTTCAGTGGGACGATAGCCTTCTCTGTGCATTCACTGATCCCAGCGCAGAACTGTGCCTACGAAGGATGATATTCTCGTTCCCGAGACGCTTCTGAAGAAGAGGAAATCACAGGAGAGGGCTCGCGAGGAGCGCGCTGTGGCCACAAAGGAGAAGCGAGGTATGCAGTCAGCTGCTACAACGGTCGAAAGGGAGCGGTCACGATGATTATAACCACCAACACTATCGACTAGGCTTCGGTCTATGCTGTCGAATCGTTAACCATCTTTCGGGAATGATGCAACCGCTCCCTTCGAAATCATTGTGGCAGGTTCCTCTTTACACTCAATGCTAATGTTGGAGTAGAAAAGAGCAAGAAGAAGCGGGAAGTGATTTTCACCCGAGCCGAGAAGTATGTGAAGGAATACCGCGACGCTGAGAAGGAGAAAGTCCGCCTGTCCCGCGAGGCAAAGAAGAACGACAGCTTCTTCGTACCAGAGGAGCCCAAGCTCGTGTTCGTTGTACGCATCAAGGGTATCAACAAAATCGACCCGAAGAAACGCAAGACCCTGCAGCTGCTTCGTCTTCTCCAGATCAACAATGGTGTCTTTGTCAAGCTTTCCAAGGCCACCATGGAGATGCTGAAGATCGTTGAACCATTTGTTGCTTACGGTTACCCCAACCAGAAGTCCGTCCGTGAGCTCATCTACAGTCAGTGTATTGCTCTGCTCGGGCCGTCATATACTAATTGATATGCAGAGCGCGGTTACGGTAAAGTCGACAAGCAACGCATCCCGCTTACAGACAACGAAATCATTGAGGAGCAGCTCGGCAAATACGGGTACGACTGCACTTTGAACCTGCATTGTCCGACATCTGCTGATATATGTCTAGCATGATCTGTATGGAAGATCTCATCCACGAGATCTACACCGTTGGTCCCAACTTCAAACAGGCTTCCAACTTCTTGTGGCCTTTCAAGCTCAACAGCCCGACCGGCGGCTTCCACAAGCGGAAATTCAAGCACTTCATCGAAGGCGGTGACCTGGGTAACCGTGAAGATCTGATCAACAACTTGATCCGACAAATGAACTAAATGCGACTTGTACAAAGTAACAGTGTCTTTGGGATTGGGAATGTTTTGAGCATGAATATCTTTCGGGAATACCCCACGGTTGCATTTGCATGGCGTTTGGCTTCTTTGGTGGGATTCAATCTCGCGCCTAACGTGGGAACGACTTGAAATTGATTACCAAATCAATGAAATGATTGCGCCGCTTAACAGTGGCAACAACTACACGGGCTACTCCAGCCGGATACGGAATTTGTAAATTGAAGTACGCGTGGTCAGCTAAAGGCGCTGGCGCGCACAGCCTCGTGTCCCAGCGTATGCCAAATGAACTCGGCAAACTAGGCAACACCCAAACTTGACTGCATCGCCATCTCGACGGTTTCAAGGTTGGACACGTAGGTGGTGTTGAGGTGGACGCCACCTCGAGGATCTGCATCCGGATGGCCGCGATCAGCTGTCGCTTACCGTAAGACAGGTGTGTGTGTGTGTGCTCACAGCCAACGCCGCGGTTGCAGCCGGCCCAATGTACATAATATTGCAGTGGCAGACACGGATCATTGTTCAACTCCAGAACATGATCCGACACCCCGTAATATGGGACCGTATTGATCATCCGGACTTAAGCTGGATTTTCAACATCCATTGTGCCCCTGCAAACTTTTACGAGTCAATCTCTGCAGACCTCTCGCGAGGTGGAAGTCGTCAAGACAAGGGTCTCAACCGTTGCTCTACATTTGGGAGGTGCAGCGCGTGCGTAATAGCGCTTTGCTTACGGCGTTGGACGGCCTGGCCTCTTCCCACCCGCCGAGACTAGTCTTGCCACCACCTGCGAGCCTGACGCCTAACGATTTTCTTTTGGCGAAGCGCGCGGAGTCAGAGGCGCGAAAGCCTGCGGGCGGATCACGGTGGGCGCAGGGTGGACTCACCGTGGGTGGCAGAATGACGCTCAAGGTCTGACGCACTCTTACTGCCGCCTTGCCGCCGTCGTCGGCAGTGTTGGGTTTCGCGTTGCGATTTGCGGAGAGCCTGATGGAGCGCGCCGCGATACGCATGCTCATCGTCACCTGCCAATATGCGTGCAGCATTCCAGCCCGGCCTAAGGAGAAGCTACGGGCAGTGACGGATTTTTGTGCACGACTAGGCCACGGGGCCCGCGGGCTTGCTGCAGGCACACAGTTTTCATACAAGCACGGGGACCGACTTCCGCGCAGCACACTGCTGGACAGATGAATGGCAGAGTTAGCATGCATGGGCGTGCTGGCGGTGATTGTGCATAGAATGGCCATCAACACGGGCCGACTATTGGCTCTATTTAGGGGAGCTGGTGTGACACAGTCATCTCGAAGCTCAGGTGGACTTGGTGAGGTCTGCGCGATGATGCAGAGCGGCGGCCCGGGGAGGATTGGACCCTTGGCATGGTCAGAGGGGATTCTCGAACGAAACACGGGCCAGAGGCAAAAGAGGAGACGTGGTGCCAGCGTGGCTCGCGAAAGCACCGATGCCGTCCGTGACTGGACCGAGCCAGCGCCAACGAAGCCCCTGTTGGCGTTCATTGGGGGAGGTGTGCAGCGTGGTGGACCCGATGCTGGAGCAATTTTTGAGGGCGTGCATCAACTTGTGCCTGACGATGATTCCTGTGGCCTCGGTGGAGCTTGCGGTGCTGCGCGTTGAGCAGCCTAGCCGCGCACACAGCGGCGACGCATTTCCAATGCATTCCCAAGCACCGGCCGCGGTGGTGACGACCAGAATGCCTTGTAAACAGTGCTGCCTACGAGTGTGCTGCGCGGTACGACTCACGCGGCTCGTGCAAAAGTAAATTGCAGCCTGCTGAGCGAGCGTTCCGGGGCGTGACGCGAGGGTCGTCTTGGAGCCGGAGATGGCCATTCGGGCCCAGCATGGGGCCCTCCTTAGCGGTTGCGCGGAGCCCTAGAATGGGTGCGGTGGGCAGAAGAGAAATTCGCCAGCCCGTCTATCGAATGAGAAAACCACACCAACGCTCGCGAACATCCTCCCCCTTGCTCTCCTTTTCCTTCGCCGCTCTCCCTTCTCTTTCACCTCGTCATCTCCACTCAGGTCGCCGCAGCCAGCGCTCGAAACCCCCCAGCCTCTCTGGTCCGACCTAGCCGTGCATCCGGCCTGAGGAAGACCCTTGCGCCCTCGGCAACCAGCAGGCCTCGTTTGCTGAGCCAGCTTCGTGCGCGTCCTCCATCACTCCTCCATCGCATCACCGGCGCTCGCTGTCCGTGCAAGAGTGCTCACTCCTCAACGTGTAGCGTTGTCGTCGAGTCGACACACCTACCTTGCTTGAGCCCTCTCGCGTCACCTCCGACGGCCAACGTCGCTACGAAAACATCGGCCGCCTCATCCTTTTGCATCCGCATTCTTGTGGCATTTACTCGGCGCCTTTCTTGGTTGAACTACTTAGCTCTTGCCCTTTTTGTTGGGTCGCCCCTGCTGTTCCACGCCTTCCGCGTTTGAACACACACCTCGCACCCACCCACCCACGAGGAGCGAGCTGCCAGCTTTCACGACCTGTCCGCGACCCTTTTTTCACGACGATCTATTGATTTAGACATCGTCCTGAGCTCGCGTTTCAGTGGCGCCCGCTGCCACCCAGCCGTTTCCCCGGACACGCACTGCGCGTCTCTAATTTGGGTCTCAGCTGCGACACACGCTTCGGCCGATTCTCTCGCCGGCTGCGCTGTACCAACGACAACGACCCACTGTCTGGCCGCGACAGCATTATTACAGTCTCCACCGCTTGCTCGATTGTCTTAGACGAACAACACTCTCTTGAATCACGATTTCCTTTGTGCATGAGCGGATCTTATTAGAGCGTCGGTAAGCTCTTTCGCAGAGCGCACGCTCAACCCTCGTGCGGTCAGGAATCGAAGAACTGTAAGTTCCATCGCCTCAAAATCCATCCCGATCGCCACTGACATCGTCGCAGGGTTACCAGTATCTTCGTTCCTCTGCAACTGCATCTTCATCATGCCATCCTTCTATCCTCGACAGAACATGCCCCGGCAACAACTACCGCTCACGCCGCCCGAGTTTGTACCCAGCTACCACTCTGGCTGCGGAGGGATGCCCTACCAGCAATCCGCCTACGGCGGTCAGCCCGGCATTCGGTCGCACGATGATGCCTATGATTTTGCAGACCGCTACAACCAGCTCTCGATCGCGATGCCTCCCATGTACCCGCAATCAGGCACCTATCTGAGCAGCGCACCGCCGAGCCTTCCGCCGCCGAGCTCATTCTATGAGTCCAACGGCGCGACGATTCTCCCGCCGATGCGACACTCCATGGGAGACGCCGCTATGCAGCAGCACCGCGCTCAAGAGCTCACCCAGCGCCCTGCCCAACAACCCAAAGAGGAGAAGCCTGTGGGCGGCGTGTCTGCAAAGTTGGACTACGACATGGAAGTCATGACGGACTTTGTCTGCGAGATGGCCTTGGATGTTATCACACCCGGTCGCATGATGCCGCCGTCTTTCCGAAAATGGGTCCACCAGGTACTTTGCGCAACGAGGCTACCTTCCGCAACCATAATTCTGAGCATGTTCTACCTCTCTTCGAGGATGCCCATGCTGGCTGGTCTTCCCAAGAACGACAACCACCTGTTCCGCCTCCTTACTATTGCCCTGGTACTAGGAAGCAAGTTTTTGGACGACAACACGTTCATCAACCGCTCATGGTCTGAGGTCAGCGGCATCCCTGTCGCCGATCTGAATCAGTTGGAGATGGAGTGGCTGGTGGCTATCGAGTTCAAGTTGCACCGCGATCCCACAGAGCACCAAGGCTGGAACACCTGGTCAAACCACTGGAAGACGTATGAAGAGCGCGCTGCTGAGCGAGCCGGCTTGCCCAACAAGCTCAGCCCCATTGACACCTCCGTGCAGCGACAACGCTCGATCAACAAGCCGCTGCCGCCGCTACCGATGCAGCAGGCCTACAACCCCCCGCCGTATGACTACACTCCCAAGTCTGCCCAGCCGTCGTTCAACAATGTTGCCAGCTACTCGCAGTACGACCCTTGGCGGGCAGCCAATGAGCATTCGCCCGCGTCTGCTCCTACGACTGGTCCCACTACCCCAGAGTACTACGGCAGCGCGGGACCTTGGGCTCCGGAAGGTTACTCGCGTCGCACCATGTTTGGCTTCCCACCCCTGTCTCAGACAACTCCGAGCCAGCCCCAGCAGTCCAATTATGGCCCGCCTGCATACACGACGCAATACCATCCGCCTGCCTGGAACACCCACGGCGTTAACTGTGGTTGCATGTACTGCGCGCAGAGGCACCCGTCCTACTTCATGGCGCCTGGCTTCGGTCCTCAGGCGGTCGCTGTTTAGCACCCAGCTGCTTCCAATGTGTCAGCATGGTAGGACTCAGCCACCTACCATCTGCCAGTCTGGACCTTTCCGAGGCCTGCTTCATAGAAGACCTACTTGCTGGCATCACGACTTTCAAATTGTTTCACGACTTGCTTCTTCGACCTCTACATATTGCTTGGCCTTTTACCCCATTTCAGCGATTCATTTGTTCAAAAGTTATCTCCTCGCACCTGCTCCTCACCTCTGGACTCGACGTTTCCGGCCTTACCAAAAAACTTGGGGGCTGATCAGCCTACCTCGATATAATCCAGGCCACCCAGTCCTGCTCGGACAATAGGCGTCGGTACTGCTGTCCTTGACTATGGCTGCCTCCGCCCGTCACATCGAGATCATCTTGCAAGGCGCTCATTCGTTTTCTTCTTGTCGCTATTCCAGACGCATGCGTGCGCTATTCGAGCTCGACGAAAGCACGCACGGCTCGCGATCATCTTGCATGATAGATTTCCTTACTACATTTCGCAACACCGGTTTTTCATTGCTTGATTTCCATCTAGACATTTGGGTTTTGTCACGGTTCATCGGGAGCACTTACAGCGAAATTGTGGGACCACGGCGTTCTGTTTGTTCGGTTCAGATTCTAACGATGCTTTTCAAGGCTGCTCGCCACGCTTTGGGCGCGGGTCATCGGGCAGTTTTCCTTTTGTTTTGTTGCACTTCGCCACTAGATTGGCACACGGGGTTCATTGCACTTGTTAATGGTTTTGTTTTGGGCTGTTGAAGGAACGCGGGTACGGCCAGAGCGTCGATCGCGTCAGACCCGCCATCCAAAGGATGTTGGCTGTACCTGTTCTTCCACGGCCCGTTGGTTTGCGGTTTTAAAGAGCTCACGATTTGATTCCCCTCCATCGCCTCCGTTTTCCCAATTGCGGAGCTGTAATTAATCGGCATCGGACTACGACGGAGCATAACTTTTTTTTTTCTTTGGGTGGGACAGGCCTCGAGCTTTTATGAATTCTATACCGGGTAGCACATTAGGGACTTGGAAGGAGTGGTTCGAAAATCGTGCTTTTACTGTTCTGTGAAAGGCAGAGCTCGAGATAGCAGCATCAAAATGGAAAAGCGTGTTTGGGGAGTCTGCTGCAGTCACCTGATTTCCTATGCATGGCTTTGTCTTCGTCTATACATGGTGAGTCCCCCCGCGGGGCGGCGTAGCGTGACCACCTTTCGTCCGCACCGTTGCACAAGAATATACCGGCTCAGCTGCTCCCGGTTCCCACGGGCGCCGTAGGCAACTTCTCGGACGTAGCACGTTTCTGCGGGAAGCGGAGCAAAGAATCGTCCCGGTACACCGATATGCAATCGACGCCGGACTTAACGCCTTCGCTTCCAGCCCTGCTTTCACGGAGTCGTGTCGTCATTGCCCAATCACGAGTGAGGCCTGCAGCCCTGGAGAACCCACATGCCCGCCGGTCAACGAGACGGGCGAGTTTTTTGCTCGGCGTTTAGGGCGGATCTAGAGAATATGGCAGAACATCTTGCGCGCTCACGCGTGCCTTTGGATCGTATATAAGTTTGACTTGGGGAAAGGAGGGTTGAAATGTCGTCGTCTTTATTCAATACTTGGTCTGCGAGATTCAGGGCGATTTCTTCAAGACAGACGAAGAAGCACGTAGGTAGTACGTCAACACCAACAGGATTTGGGTCATCGAAAGAAGCACCCTGGAGATACTTGCATACCCATTCGAAAACGCATCGCCGCTTCCAGAAACGAGAAACCTTCAGGCACAACACGCGGTCCTCACCATCAACGTCGCCTCAGACGAAATCGAAATCGAAACCGAGGGACAGGAACTGGTGGCAGCCGCCGAACTTCGCCTTCACAGTCAAGATGAGCGGCGCAGGTGGAGCAGGCATCGCCGCTGCCGCCATGTATGCGGTAGTCAGCAATCCCGCTGCCGTTGGTGCGAAACCTGAAGACGCGGATGCGAAGGCGCATCATCTGAAAGACGGGAAGGGGTTTATCAATCCTTGGGACAGCTTTCGGGATTTTGTGGGATGGAAGATGGGGATGAGGTTGCTGTGGTACGTCCACCTCCCCCATGCAGTCCCATCAATACACAGCAAAAGAAGAAGGTTTACGTACGGACCTGGCTGACTAGTACTTGATGCAGGAGGAAACTCTCGGGCCAGGTGAAAAAAGTAGACACCACACCCCCAACCGTGCCCGTCGTCACACCTTCTTTCAGACACCCCCGGGAAGGCGGCAAGTTGCGAGCGACCTGGCTCGGCCACGCCTGCTACTACGTCGAGTTCCCGTCGGGCCTGCGCGTCCTCTTCGACCCCGTCTTCGAGGACTGCTGTGCGCCAGTCAACTTCAAGATGTTCAAGCGCTTCACGCAGCCGCCGTGCGAGATTGAGGATCTCCCGGCGGTCGATCTTGTGGTGATTAGTCACAACCACTACGACCATTTGAGCTATCCCACGATCAAAAGGATACAAAAGGCCTTCCCGAACGCACACTTTTTCGCGCCGCTGGGGAATAAGAAGTGGTTTGTGGACAACGGGGTGGGTGCGGGGCAGGTGACGGAGCTGGACTGGTGGGAGGAGCGGGACGTGCGACTGTCGCCCGGCTTCCCAGACGGTACCGCGGAAAAGAAAGAGATGGGTGCTGTATCTGTGAGCGCCGCCTCGACTCGCAGCAGCCCAGCGGACATCACCGCCGCCATCAGCGCCCTCCCCTGCCAGCACGTCTCCGCGCGCGGGCCCTTCGACAAGTGCAAAACCCTCTGGGCCTCCTGGAGCGTCTCCTCGGGCGGCGCCAGCGTCTACTTCGCCGGCGACACGGGCTACCGCGCGGTCCCCGAGTCGACGCCCGAAGGCGACGACGGATACGGGCCCGCGTACGCCCATCTCCCAGTGTGTCCTGCGTTCGCGCAGATTGGCACACACCGCGGTCCTTTTGATCTGGGCTTGATTCCGATCGGCGCGTACGAGCCGCGCTGGGTCATGAGCCCCATGCATGCGAATCCGCAGGACAGCGTGAACATCTTTGTCGACACCAAGTGCAGGACAGCGTTGGGCATGCACTGGGGGACGTGGGTCCTCACCGAGGAAGATGTAATGGAGCCGCCGCGGAAGCTGAGGGAGGCGCTCAAAGAGAAGGGTCTCAGGGAGGAGGTTTTTGGCGTTGTGGATATTGGGGAGAGCAAGGAGTTTGAGAGTGGGGAGGTGAGGGGAGGTGAGTGAGGCCGAGAAGCAGGCAGCATGTGTCACGAAGAGGTGGATGGAGCTTATTGTACGATGTACGAGATACCCAGATATAGACGACGTTGAGAGCGCGGAATCGCATTTATTAGTAATCGGATGTATGTGGTCTGACCATGTATATGCAGGTATAAATCAACCAGGGACCTTGATGAAAGAGCCACAACATCTTGAAGAGAGATGACCTTGCTCCAGCCCCATTGTTATAGTTCTCGCACATGTTGCTTGCTGGCCACTGGGACAAATTCCATTCTTTGAACCTCATTGCCCATTGTGAGCCGGCGCTTGCAGAACATCCCAAATCTTTCAAATATTCGCGCTACGAAGCGAATCGCGCAGACTCCTTCGGCTCACCTTGAACGCTTCTGCTGAAGTGAGTTTAAGCTTGCGTGCAAGCCCCAGTCTTACACCTGTCGTCATCCCGCCCCAGCTTTCCCCTTCGCAGCACTCTCACATGCAACCCCAGGACCACCGCCCTGGCACAGCGCTTACACTCAATCGCATGTCGCATACACCGATTTTCAAAAAACAATATGTCTCACTCACCTCAAACCCTCTGCCGGCCATCCTCATACCATACGTCTCTCCAATGAAGGCGCCAGCCCTGTTAACACTGCTCTATTTCCTTGCGCTTTGTGAGGGACGTGGTGATCCAAGTAAGGTGCCATAGAATCGACGTGTTCGTGCAGAAGTGAGAGCAGTGAGGTGAGTGGTGAGGGCATGACCATGTGTGAGACAGAAAGGAAAGCGCATGTGGTAGCGCGGAAAGAGCGCGTAGCGTGAATGCTACAACTGAATTCGAGACCAAGACTTAACACTGACTGTAGTGAGTGACATATGGCTCTCACAAACTTGTATGGGGGATGACTGAGTCGGAGATTGAATTACCAAACGTACATGCAGGTATCGGAATCCTAGAACAACGCCATGCACCCTTTTCCACCAAATGCCCGTCCTCATTACCGTTAGTCGTGTTCGTGATTTTTACTTTTTGCTCCCCTATCCTAAGCTTAGATCGAACAATGCAAATTCTACAACTCTGCCTCTATGATTACTTTTGTCGGTTGGCGTCTTCAATGCAACCCGTTAGTAGTGCCCTTCTTCGATCTGCGCTCCTTGACGGCGGCGGCAAGGTCTTCGAGGGTGTTGACGGTGGTGTCCCAGTCGATGCACGCGTCGGTGATGGAGACGCCCTTCTTGAGCGCGCTAGGACCCTCCGGCGGGACCTTCTGGTTGCCCTCGTTGATGTTGGACTCAATCATCACGGCGACGATGCCTGTCTCGCCGTCGCGGATCTGCTCAGAGATGGCTTTGGCGACCTTGGGCTGGTTTCGATGGTCCTTGCTGGAGTTGCCTAGAGCAAGTCAGTTGTGCCTTTATATCAAGGAAGTCAAGGAAGCGCCAACGTACCATGCGAACAGTCAACCATCATGACCTCGGGCAGGTTCTTCTTCCTCAAAGCTTCGCGGGCACCCTTGATGCTCTCCTTGTCAAAGTTGGTGCCCTTGGTTCCGCCACGGAGAATGACAAAGCAGTGCTCGTTTCCTGCCGTCCTGGTGATAGCAGCTAGGCCCTGCTTCGTTACGCCCATGAAGTGATGCTTAGCAGCCGCAGCGCCGATGGCATCAACAGCGACAGTCAGACCTCCATCCGTTCCGTTCTTGAAGCCAATGGGGAAAGAGAGACCAGAAGCCAGTTCGCGGTGCAATTGCGATTCGGTAGTGCGTGCACCGATGGCACCGAGCGAGATGAGGTCCGCGAGGAACTGGGGCGAGATTGTGTCGAGCATCTCGGAGGCGATGGGCATGCCCTTGGAAGTCAAGTCGCAGTACAATTTGCGTGAGACGCGCAGACCCTTGTTGATCTGGTAGCTCTCGTTGATGTCCGGGTCGTTGATGAGGCCCTTCCAGCCGACCGTCGTTCGTGGCTTCTCGAGGTAGGCACGCATAATGATGAGGAGCTCGCCGCTGAGCTTGTCGGCGAGGGCCTTGAGACGGTCGCAGTATTCGAGGGCGGTGTCGGGGTCGTGGATGGAGCAGGGCCCGACCATGACGAGGAGGCGGTCATCCTGCTGGGTGATGATCTGGATGCATTCCTTGCGGCCGCGAATGACCGTCTCTTCGGAAGCCTTGGTGATGGGGATCTCGGAGGACAGGAGCTGAGGAGGGATCAACGGGTCGTAGCCGAGGACTGCGAGTTACGTGGTCAGCATTGGCTGCCCATAGGCGCGTCAGAGAGAGGCTTTACCGCGCACGTCGTCGCTGACCGAGTTCTGGTTCATGTTTGCGGATGCGGAGTCGGCCATGGTGGGCGAGTGAAGGGCTTATGACTGGCAGTCAGTATGCGTTATGGTGTGACCAGGGTGCCAATTGACCAACGGACTGCGTGTACGGGGCAGGGGGGAGGCGGTCAATAGAATGAGCGCTGCTGTGTAGACTTGCAAAGGGCGCGCCTACGTGCAAGGTGCAACCAATGGGAGGAGGGGCAATGCGCAGCTGGGAGGGGCAATTGGACGAGAGAAACGCGAGACGTACTTTTGCGAGCGGGCGAAAGGGCAAGGGAGTGTGCTTGCGTCGATGTGCGTCCGACGTCGGGGTTCGAGGGCACGCGAGAGGCAAACTTGTAAGAGACTCGCGCTGTCAACCTCACAGTCACGTCGTCGCTGGCAAAATAATTTCGAGCCACGGCGGGGTTCCCGTCTCACCGCCTTAGGCCCGCGAGAGCCCGGCAGCGCGGGCCTGGCCCAAGCGACCAATGTGCCCTGCGTCGCGCCGACGCCGTTCGCGCCCTCGTCCTCATCACGGCCATCTGGCGCCGTCGCTGTGCCTTGTTGGCGAGGCATCGCCACAGAGTGCCTCCCCGACTCGCCATCATGCACTCGAGCGCCAGTCCCGCGCTCTATAGCAGCCGTATTAAGAGCTAACGTGTGTGTGTGATTCGCTGCTCGTTGCGCGCAGCTACCCCACAGCGACCGCCGCGCGAGCTGAGAGAGAGACGGGCTTTTCCCAGGGCCAGCCACGAGCACGAAAACCATCGCGGCGAACCTGCTGCACTCGACCTGCGACCTCCACGCTCCACCAACGCCAGCCAACTATGGGATCGCCGTTCGTGTACCCGCTGTGGCGCATGTAAGCCGCCCACCCGCACCTGCCTGCGTGAAGCAACCGGCCATCTGAAACAGCTGCTCCAAAGCGACCTCCCCTGACCTACATCCCGCGCCTGTTACAAAACACAAGCGCCTGCACTTGGCTCGCCCCGAAGCTCCCACTCACCCCAACATCCGCTGTTTATCGATACGTCCCCGGGTGCCCTTCACCGTGCTGCGCGCGCGTGACCTCGCCGACCTACCTGACCACCAACACATACAACCCTCGCTCTTCTATCGACGCAATGCTAGCGTTCCACACCATGAACACCAAGCGGCGGCGGGACGACGACTCAGATTCCGACGACGACCGGTACCTCAAAGTGCGTCGTGTTTCGACCGCTGGGCCAAACCAAACGGCTAACACACAACAGAAATCACGGCCATGGAACATTCAAGCAAGCGTACCGTGGGCAGAGAAACACGCTCACAGCACAAACGCTTTCTCTGGATACGTCTCAAAACCCTCACCGCCACACGTCGTACCTGGTCTGGAGGCAATGACACCCGCCGAGTCGGAGCACAGCGAAGCAGATTCGCCAGTATCAATACCCGAGGAACCCCAGATGATACTTTCTTCTCGCGGCGGCATAGACTACGCCATGCAAATGGAAGAAGACGAACCCGAGGCCGTTACCAGCCAGCCACCAGACTCGCCCTTCGTCACCAACTTCCGCCCCGCAAAGCTGAACTTCGACCTATTCAACCGCGACCAGGCGAAGCACGCCCCCGACATAGCTCACCGCATCCCGACGCCCATATACCCGACGTTCCAGACCACAAGCGGCATGAGTGGCCTAGGATATCCCAACAGCGGCTTCGCAGGCGGCATGGCTCCGAGCAACGGTTATCTCGGCGTTCCTTCCGATCCCAGGAGCGAGCCGCACAATCCCACAATGGGAATCCCCCACCGGCGGCAGCGCAGCCAGGATCGCACCATGCGCATGCCGTCGCCCATCTCAGAGGACGAAGATATACCTGATACGCCGACCGCGCAGACGCAATCCCAGCTCGAGCGTCTTAGTGTGACGACATACCACGCAGCCGACCGCATGGACATGGAAATGCCGCCGCCGTCGGGCACGCCCACGCGCGGTAGGAAGCGCAGCGGCGCACTCACGGGCATGGGCCGCTTCAGCATGGGGTACCGCGACGACTGCGAGAAGTGTAGGCTGCGCGTCCCGGGGCATTATTCGCACTTTCTGTAGCGCCCGAGCTGCGAAGATTAAGAGCGGTGGAGTTTCTGTACAAATGATTTACGCATCATGAATGTGCGTTCAGGCTATGAATCTATCTATTGGTTGCGGGAGTACGGGTACATTTTTATCATGCAGCGAGACACGGACAGCATTTCCATCTGTCGCTGTTTTTGTATCGGTTCCGCAGGAGACAGGCATTGTATCTGCTCGCTCCACGAAGCATGTTCACGGTGTACGCAAGGGATCACACGAAACAAAGTTTACAGAACGGCCAACACGCAAGCATAATTTTATATCCACCGATCAATGAAATCGAACCTCAAGACCGCTCCGAGTGGCTTTGAAATACATCGCAACCTGTCATGACTTCGTCCCTCGACCAGTGACGCATGCTGATAACACGCTCGCAGCCTGGTTTGCCTAGCACGCCCTTGACATGTTCATTTGATCACCCAACAAAGCACGCCGAAGCACTTGCACAGCTCCAACATACTCATTCGACCACCTAGGAAAGCATGCTAATGCCCCTCGCTATGCTTTTCACCAGCCAACCGCGCAGCCGCTGCACCTTCAGGATCTTTACTCCTCGCCGTACACTCAACCTGATGCAGACACAAGCAGTCCTTCATCACACATGAGTATTAACTACGCACTCAACCTACTACAAGCCCAAGTAAGCAGTAAAGTTTCGGGACCAGTCGAATCCGGGAGGCGGTACGGTTTCAGAAGACGAAACCAAACGCCCCTGCCGCTTCGAACACAGCCGTGGCGCCCAGCACGCGAGATGCGAGGGGAGCTTCCACTCTATTTCCCGACGGGGCACCCAGCACGATGGATTGGTACACCGACTGGATGATCACCGCGCCGCGTTGAGCAGAACAGCAGTGTTGCGCAATCGAGAGTCGCGCTTTGAGGAACATCCCATCCCTGGCACGGCTGAGGCGCAACTCGTCCGACGGTGTCAAGCGGGCCGACCGCGCTTTGAAGCGTGACACCGCTTGCATGGACGCGTCGCCGCGCTTCGCGGGTGCGTGTGGTGGGTTGGTGGAGCAGGTGCTGCTACGGGTCCGGCTGGCGACGGGCAAGCAGTGCTGCCCTACACACCGCAGCAATGCCAGTACGGGAACGTCGCTGGGCTCCACCGCTTCCTGCACCGCAGCTGTGGAGCGGCAGCGGCGCAGTGCCGAAGCAAGCGGTCCTCTCCTCTCCCCGCCACAGCAAAACTGGCCCAGTCCAACAACGTCAGATGAGACCACTCTATCTTTTTTGGCCTGCCGACGCCTGATTACTACAGCATGGCAGACCGCGAAAGCATACGTGTGCTCAGATCATCCTGTTTTCGTTCTCTTTCGGTGCAGCACTGCTATTGCAAAGCCCGTCGCAACACCCATTCTTCCAGCCAGACAATCTCAGCCTTTACCCAACTCACAAAAACCAATCGGTAACCCCATCCCAGCCCTTGCCCTCCTCATCCTACATGGACCCCATGTTCGCACGCCTCTTATCCAGATTGACAGCCTCCCTCAAACTCGGCCACTCCACCTTACTCGCACACCCCGTACTCCTTTCCTCAGCATCGAGTCTTCCCTAAACATCCTCGGCGTTGGAAGTCTCCTCATCACGCTCAGCCTCAGCAGAGCCATGTGCTTGTTGGGGGGAGTGCGGCGCAGACGGGAGGCTGGGCGCCGGCGACAACGTCGGGCTCAGGTAGATTTCCGCAACAGACCCGTCCCAGTGTACGCCCTCAGCAGGAGATACCGCGCTGCTGCTGGACGGGCCAGCGGTCCAGGCGAGCTCCGAGAGCTCATACGTCGGAGTGGGATAGGAGAGCATTTCTGGCTCGGAGGCGAGCTCGTAGTCTGATGAGAGCAGCTCGGGCTCGGAGGCGAGGCCTTGCTGTGAAAATGTGGCGCTGATGGGCCGAGGGGTTGAAGGTTGGAAGATGGAGTAGTCATCGTCTGTTGGCGGAGGCGGCGATGGTAGGTATGTGCTGGAGTAGCCGTCCTGGGAAGGCGGTGGTGCGGAGGGTTGCGAGCCCCTGAAGAGGTCGCGGCCATCACCTAGGGCCACCATAGTCCAGATGTTATTCTGGGGGACGATCCGGTCGCTGAAAGGCGCGAGGACGTGGCGAGCTAACCCTGGTACGATCTCCTCGTATCCATCTGGTAGTGTAAGGGGCGGAGACGATCGAGGCGTAGGCACAGGTTTAGGGGACTTCTTCCTGGGCCGGTCTGTGCCGATGGGCGCTTGTTGATTGTTACCACGTCTGGGGGAACCCAGAGGTGCGGACCCTCTTCTCAATGACTTCCTCAATTCTTTCGGCGTTGTCCACACCTCTTCGCCTGGCAGCTCTCCCAAAGGCACACTGTCCGGACAATTTGAGCACCAGCAAGGGTTACCGTGGCCCATTCCGAGGAAATCCCGGGGGTACACCGATCGGAAAAACCCATCAAAGCGGCTCGTTGTACGTGGCTCTAGTGGAGCAACACTTGGGTCTGAGGATGGACCAGCCACGGCTTCAAGTGAAAGTAGATGGCTATCTCGGTATGTATAAGTGTATGGGTGCGGCGACTTATAAATATCTGCGCGTAGCCAGGATTTCTTGAGCAAAAGTTGGGATAGTTCCCCAGATACGTAGTTCGGACTGCAGTCGGCGGGGAGATAAGGCGAAGATGTCGGAAGAGACTCAGGCATAAGCGGGGCCGTAAGAACGGGAGCTGCAACGTGAGGAAAAGTAATGGAGAGTGGAGTGGACGGCAAAGCCCTAGTGTGTGAACCCTCCTGCATCTGTCGCTGCATGCCTGTCTGTTGCGTAATCGGCGGAAGAGACTCTATATCTGGAAGACCAACTTGAACATCCTTTTCGAGTCTGTATAGCGGCAGTCTACCGTGGGCAGTGTTAAACCCTTCCGTAGCAAGGGCCCGACCGGCCGATGCAACGGCCTCTTGAGCAGATGTGGAAGACATTTCGGCCAATGACCTTTCTGTTGGAGAGTTTCGAGTCGTGACTGGACGTGGGGGTTTGCCTGCTGGTATTTGGAGTGCAGCAGGAGGAGGGCTCGCGAGAAAAGCTGGTAATGAGAAGAAGCGAGGCTCCTTTTGTTTAAATTCTTCGTGGTGACTCGGTGATGGAGAAGTCCCGTGATGACTGGGGGATGGAGAGGCTCTCTCTCTAAATATACGGTCAGGCTGCAAAAATGCATTCTGAGGAGTGGTAGGTTCCAGACTTTTTCCAGGGCGGAACTGCGGCGCCCAATGATGCCGCACTGTGTCCAAAGCGTTGGTGACGCTGTCCCGTGGTTTGGTAAAAGTGGTTGGTGTGGTCGATCCACCATCGTTCAAGCTCAGTGCCGCGACTTTGTCACATATCTCACCCGAAACATCACTCTTTCGCGCTTCTCGAATCTTTCGAGTGTACTTGAGCTTCTGCTTGCCGGTTCGTCTACGGCGACGCTTGCTCGGTTTGGACGGAGGGGGAGCGAAGTCAAACAGCCATTTCATCGGTGCTGGCGACGGCTCAAGGTCAGCGAGAATGCTGAAGCGATTCGCTAGCAATCGTTAGTAGGTCAATTCCGGCTACTGCAAGTCGACTAGGCGTACGCGTAGGAGCAAGGTTTTGGTGCTGGTAACCGGGCGCCCGGCTCCTTGCCACTCTTTCTAGAGAGCTCGTCATGCGACGCTCGGTGGGCCTGACTTGGCGAGTTCGCGTGGAAGATGAATGCTTACGGGTGCACGATCTTTTGTGATAAGGGGAGCCGGATAGGATAGGTGCCATGCGATGCTTGTCCAACGGCAGGTATGAGGTGCGGCGTATGGATAGGGATAGGGATGAGGAAGGGGTTTGGGGAAGAGGGCAGAAGCGCGTGGGAACAATACAGTGTGGTGCAGCTATCATAGCATGACGCCATGTCGTGATAAGCTCCTGCTGAGGAAGGGACCGATGGATGATGGGCAAGAAGGGAAATTGCAGCGAACACGAGTATGTCGTGCATCCAGGACTTGATGGTACCAGTCATCCATGACAAGAGTCTCTCCCAAGCGACCCGCAGAAACGCGAATGCGTTCATATCCTACAGGATTACGTCCATGACGGATAGCTTGGAGGGTCCCTTCGACTGTGCATGGAACATCCCACCGAAGATCGGAACACTGAAATAGGTTGATATACTTCAACTACTACGTACGTAGCAGTTTCCCCATCTCTTTGAGGTATCTGGAGCCTTGATGCCTTCGCATTTGCAGGGTCCATGCGATACAGACCGTGGTACCGGAAAAGACCGATGAACCGGACTTTTGGGTCTGAGTGTACGAGTAGCACCACCGTTTCGGATCAGGACAGAATTCGTTCGGTGAGTAGCGCGTTGCCGGTGTTGGGAGCTATCACGATGTCCAGCCGTGGTTGTGGTTGTGGGTTAGTCAGGCTTGGCAGGAGACCCTCACCGTGCTAGCATGACGCAAATTAAGATCTTGGTGGAAACTTCCCCCCACATTAGTGAGGTGAGCAACGGCTTCCGGCCACCGCAACAGCACGCACGCACCGAGCCCCGCTCACCACGCTCCTCTCCGTCTCTCCTCCGCCGAGCTCCAGGATAATTGGCTCCTGATCCTGCGCGCAATTATCTTGGAGCCGCGTCCTGCCCGCCGCCTCGCTCTCTCCAACATGGCGACCAGCCACGCCGTCTCCGCCGCCGCGCCCAAGCAGCAGCCTCGCCGCTCCGTTAACCGCATCATTCCCGCCGTCCCGCACCGCTTCTCGCGCCCGCCCGCCGCGAGGCCCCTCACGCCCGAGGATCCCTCCACGGCGGCCCAGCGCGGCTCGGATACGCAGCCAGCCATCAAGAGCGCAAAGCCAGAAGCCGCTCCCGCGCCCATCGAGACGCCTCTGACGCCAGACTCGCGCATCTCGCCTGTGGAGAACCGCGATGAGGACGAGCACGCCCTGGCAAGCTCGCCTGCGCGCTCTGGGGACGATCATGCAGACGGGTCGATGGACGCACAAGGTATGTCGTTGCCTGGTCAAGAGTTTGCGCGTTGTGGACATTTGCTGACATGCGGCCAGGCACAGAGACCGACAACCAATCCGCCGCTGCACAGACTGGTGAAGACCTAGCGGCTACGCCGCAGCCAGAGCAGCCTGCGATTGCTGTCGCGGACGGAGAGCGCCCGAAATCGACCGTACGCACTGCGCTTCCACCCGAATTCTATCCTAGGGAGAAGCCTATGGGACGCACGTATGGTGCAGAGAACGCAGAACTTGCAGCCCAATTTCCTACCGCTCACTTACCTGCTCATCGGCCATCCGTCAGCCTGGAGGGACTCGTCTTTGGTGGAGCTGCGCAGGAGTCTCCTGCTATGCCTTCCACGCCTCAAGATCTCGAGCAAGGTATGCGGGCTGCGCAGCTTGGCTTTGCTCGTCCTCCTCCAGGCCTTGCTCCTCCTCACCTTGCTCCGCAGTTCTACCCTGGCCATTCGCACCATCCGTCAGAGCCTGCCACGCCGTGGCCTCTCCCACCCTACTCCATGGCGATGCTCCCAGAAACTCTCTATTCCAACGGAAATGAGTACCACTCACCTGCGTACCCGCCCGCATCAGGCGCCTTCCAAGCCCCATTCGCGGCCCCCTTCTCGCCCCAGGGCGGTCCAGTGTCGATGAATGGTGTCGCTATGAGGTCGCATTCCCAATCCCCCAGCAAATCCCAGTATGGCGAAGCTGAACCCGGCTCCAATAACGGCGAGGAGTCGCAGAACATTTTGTATGCAAACGGTTCTCCTTCGGCTAAACAGGTGGAAGGGTACGATGTGGTCAAGCACATTTCTAATCAGTTCGGCAACCCTGAGTTCACTGATTACGTCCTTCACATTCGGTCGCCAGACGCTATGCTGTGGTCCATGCCCGTACACGCAGCCATAGTGTCACGCAGCCCAGTGATCTTCGAAGCACTCCGACACAGCGCACCACCTCCTTTCCAGACTAAGGATACGAGGCGATTGGCTGAGGTTCTTACCGATGATCGGTTCGTCACGCCTGAGTCTCTGAACGAAGCAGTCAAGATCTTGTACGCCGCTCCTTTGCTATCTGCCGAAGCCTTCCTCTACAACTTGAGTCCGTGGGATGCTGGCCATGATCAAGGCTATGCGTCCAACGAGGCTCGTAAACGTATGGGCCAGGCCATCAGCTATGCGGCTGCCGGGAGAGTATTGCAGATCCCCGAAATGCAAACATGTGGTCTGCGGATCGCCAAGTCGCTCCTTCGTTGGGACACGCTTGACATAGCTCTACACTTCGGATTCTCGGCGAACAAGACTACCGTGCAGCCCAAGGGTTTTGGAACCGACAATCGCTTGTTGGAGACATACGCAGTACCCTTGCTCGACGATGCGCTCGAATTCATTGTATACAACTTTCCGTCAGACTTCAAACTCTACTCAATCGCCCCAGAATTGCGCCAGAACCCTCGACTGCCGGCCGTCGTTGAGTCTCAGCAGTCTTCTCACAATCCACGATTGAGTAAGATTCGATTCGGCGATGCTCCTCCTGAGGATGAGCTGAAACCCAGCCCTGTCACACAGTTCCTTTCGAGCATCTTGCTATCAATCCCACTCGCTCTACTGGATCGACTCTTCAGCCACCCCGCGGCCGCCAACCAGGTCGGGTGGAGTGGTTTGGTCAGGATCATGCGAGGCGTGATCGAGGAACGTGAGAAGCGTCGCCAGAAGGTCCTCAAGAGTATGGACAAGCCTTTGGATACATCGATCTCCAGGGCTCTGCTCGAGAATCTTTATCGAGAGGAGCGCGTCGAGCCAGCCTCGGAGCGGCCGTCTGGCTTCAAGCCAGTGGCCGTTCGTCTGTCAGACTCGGCGTGAATACGTCTCATTGACGCGCAGCTATGGGTTCCGTGGGACTCACACCCGAAAATCGTTCTCTTGGAAATTTCCTTTTGAAGAGGCACTGCACATCGCAAAGATGAGGCAGAAATGACACTTTCGCAAGAGTTGGAAACTTTCTGGATTCGACGCGGTTTTTCCTTTCGTTCTAAGGCATCGGAGGTTCTTGGTTCCGCATGGCAGAATCTGCGTTTCTGATATTCACGCATCATAGCCAGCGACTCGGGCGTTCATACCAGGCGTTTCCGGTTGATACCTCTGCGTTTACACGGCGGTTAGGCAATAAGCCTTCAAAAAAGCACGAGATGACGAGCATACAACATTCAAGATCACGATGAGACGAGGCAAGTTACCCTTCCCCTTTCCCTTTTGTATATCACCATCCGCGGCATGTCGGGCCGTCTTTTCCTTTTCACCACCCGCGTGATATTATCGTTGAGGGGGTGGACTTTCGGACGGAACGGCAAGCGGTCTCTGCATATTCGGAGATGTCTTCTCGTTTCTCCCTTTCGCATATTGGATCTCGGTGATACTTGAGCGCGAGCTCGGATTTCCGACCAAATAACTACGTAGATAGCACCTTCAAGGTGAAAAATGCATGTTTGGTACTTGCTAGCGTGCGACACTATGGTATGCGGGCATGGTCGGAGATGGCGGATCCGTTGCTTCGTGCCTCTGTACAAGCATGAGACGCCTTCCTCGGCCCCGCTTTCGGGAAAGCTTGTTTGTCTTGCGCGATCCTCTCATACGTGCTCCGCGGCGCTCTCAGTATTGGTCATCCGTAACTTAAGCCCTTCCTGGCTTTTGGTACAGATAGCGGCGGGTTTAGCTGGGAATATGCGCCTTGTTTCCTCTCTTAGCTGGCGCACCTGTGTTTCCTCCAGCCTTTGGTGTGGGGCATGAATCGACGGCGGCTCGCTCCTTCGACACGCCCGAGAGGGAGATAAAGGGTGGACGTTCCTGTTGAGGACCCCGATGATGATGCTTATATAGCTCAAAAGGCATCAGCCTGGACGTCAACACGTCCTGCGGCACAGTGCAGTCAGTCTCAGCCTTGTTCATTGCCCGAGCGATTGCTCTTCGACTCTACTTCTCGTTCGCCGGCGACGTTCCGTTGTGTGTACAAAGGCGCTGCGGATTCAGTACATATATTGATTTAATACCGCCGACGTGCGATCGATATCTTTCGGCATATGGTACACAGCCTGCGCGTGCATATCCTTAGCGCGAGCTGCAGCTCCGATTCGCGATCATGGACCGTGCCACAGACGGGAACTCGACCCTTTACGACGACAACTCCCAGGTCCAGACCACTTCAGATACTATATCGATACACAGCTCGCAGCAACAAGAGGCCCCGCAAGATGCAATACAAGAGAAGGAGCAGCAGGTGATTGAGGAGAGCGAGAAGCCAGGAGCACCGTTGGAGCCTTCGAAGAGTCGACCGAGCATCAATAATGCGGCCGCGATACCTAATGGAGGGGTAACGGCGTGGTTGCAGGTCGTTGGGGCTTTCTTCTTGTTCTTTAATAGCTGGTATGTTGTAGAGCCTATCCTACACCCACGGCCGTCGGAGCTACAGCCAAAGTTTGAAAACTCTTGGTCGGCCGTGTTCCCCCACGATGCAAAATGATGCCACGAGTGTGGGAACTCACAAACAGCCATGTGACCCCGCGAGGTACAACGGCGGCCATGCCCGACGACAGGGCTCATACTTCGAACTCGTTCAATCTGACGTGCGCACAGGGGCATCATCAACACCTTCGGCTCCTACCAAGCCTACTACGAGACCAACCTCCTCACCAGCGCCAATCCCAGCGCCATCTCCTGGATCGGCTCCATCCAAGCCTTCCTCCTCCTCGTCGTCGGCATGATCTGCGGCCCCCTCTACGACCGCGGCTACTTCCGCGGTCTCCTCCTCGGCGGCTCCTTCCTCCTCGTCTTCGGCCAGATGATGCTGTCCTTATGCACGCAGTACTACCAAGTCCTCCTTGCGCAGGCCATCTGCATCGGCCTTGGCTGCGGGTGTCTCTTCATCCCCTCCGTGGCCATCCTGAGCACGTACTTCACGACGAAGATCGCGACGGCGGTGGGGCTTGCTGCGAGCGGAAGTAGCCTGGGCGGTGTGGTGTATCCGATTGTGTTCCACAAGTTGCTCCCGCAGATTGGCTTCGCGTGGACGACGCGCGTAATCGGCTTCATCATCCTCGCGACCATGCTCATCCCCAACGCCGTCATGCGCGTGCGCGTGCTCCCCGCTACATCGCGCTCCCTGATTGACGTCTCCGCCTTCCGCATCCCAGCGTACTCCCTGATGGTGGTCGGCTTCTTCATCGGCTTCATGGGGCTCTACATGCCCTTCTTCTACGCGCAGGTGTACGCCCTCACCGCCCGCATCACCGACGCAAATCTCGGCTTCTACCTCCTCGCCATCATGAACAGCACCTCCGTCTTCGGCCGTATCATCCCGAACTACCTCGCCGACCAACTCGGCCCCTTCAACGTCGTCATCCCCTGCACCGCCATATCCGCGCTCCTGTGCTTCTGCTTCATCGCCACGCACAACGCGCCGGGCATCATTGCGCTGATGGCGTTTTACGGCTTCTTCTCAGGCACGTTTGTGAGTTTGCCGCCGACGATCATTGTGCACTTGAGCTTGAAGGAGAGGGGGAAAATTGGGACACGCATGGGCCAGAGCTTCGGCGTTATCGCGGTGGGGTTGCTCATTGGGACGCCGATTGGGGGCGCGATTCTGGATCGGAGCGGCTTTTGGGCGGTGTGGGTGTATGGCGGGGTCATGTTAGGGGCGAGTGTGGGGTTGCTTTGGGCGGCGCGGGTGAGCCACAAGGGGTGGGGGTTGGTGAAGGCGTAGCGTAGGGAGATGTGCGGGCGAGGGGCAACGAAGTTGGAGAACTTGTGTTACACCACACCGGCAGGGGTTCTCGTGCTTCTGAGCTGGGGCTGCCGGGCATCTGAAGAGGTTTGGCATGTGAGCATTGGGGGCGTTGGTGCGTAGTACATGCGCTTATATGGAGTGCTGCATCGTTATCACCTGGACATGAATAGTTCAAGCATTGCACATATTGGCTCGCAGCATGTCGCGTAGATATCATCGGGTATCATCTCAGCCGTAGCGCTACTCTTCCTCTTCAACCTCCTCGTCCTGCTGCGCCCGCGAGCTCCCCCCCGCGGTGCTACTCCGTGGCTGCACGCGATCTGCCTTCTCTCCAACATACGTCGTCCCCGTCCAGCCCGTCTTGCACTTCGGGCACCGTCTCGCGCCACCCCCTTGCCCCGCAAAGAACTGATTCGCACACCTGCTATGCCATCTGACGCCGCAGTCCCTATCATCGCACCGCAGCCCGATCGTCACAACCTCCTGGCACCCCTCGCAGTCCCTTATCCTGACGATGGGCTCGGTTTCTTCGTCCTCGTCGTCGTCGGGCATCTCGTTGTACGTCTCCTTGAGGTAGTTCCTTAGCTCTAGGAGCCCCCGCGGCGCGAGCGAGTAGTAGTATTTCGATGACAATTGGAAGAAGCCCTGCGCGACGAGGCTATGCAGCACGCGCTGGCACTCTGCGTGGCCGATGCTTTTAACATTTGCCTCGACCTGCGCGGCCTCCTCGTCCTCGAGCTGCGTTGCGGCCTGGCTCTGGCGGTTCCGCGCGGGCGCTTTGGCGAGCTGGGTCGCGCGCATCTGCTTCACAGCCATGATCTCGCGTGTGCGGGTGTTGTTCTCATCAAACATGGCGTCGAGGAGGCGCTTGATGTATGCGATTTCGTCCGGGGTGAAGGACGTCGCGAGCTGCGTGAAGGTGTCCGACGACGTGTTGACGAGGGCGTAGGTGCGGTCGCCTTTTGTCTGGTCGCGGGCGGAGCGGATCTCGAAGTCGAAGGGTGAGATGGCGGCGTTGGTGTTTTGGATGAGCGAGGTTATCGTAGGTTCGGTGATGTCACCTTCGAGCCGTGGGCGCTCGGGGTCTGGGGCTCGTGTGAGCTTTACAATTGTTGCAGGGGAAACAGGCGGCACTGGCCTTGCGCTGAGAGGATGGCAGCTACGACTGGTCGGAGCTTGTCGAGCGTGAAAACTGAGTGGGAGAAAAAGGCTTGTAGAAATGCGCGATGGGCGTCATCGTAGACGGGCGCTTCTGGCGGCTCCCCGCTGTAGCCATTGACCTGCCGTCGCGACATGGCGTGGACGAATGTTGAGGTGTGGGTTATTGACGTGGGCTGCAGTGTGCCATCGGTGCGGGAGCAACCGCGACGCGGGGAACCACGGATTTCGCGCCCAGCCACCGCGCGAGCACGTGACATTATATGGATTGGCCCCTGGACCGGGACACGTTTGTACTTGGAATGTTCAATGCAGGGTCCTCGCAAACTATTCGTAGCCACCGCTACTGAGGACCTGGATCTTGGAAACGTCAACACCAAGAACCGACTTGTGTAATATCTTCCCAGCTTGCATGTGTGGCCAGCCCCGGCTGACGCGGCCGTTTACATCGATTTTCTCCTTGACGATAAATGTCGTCTTGCCGCGCATGGCAACATGAGCAGATGAACATGTTAAACCTGGCTGCACGGGCCGAATTGGTCGAGACATGGTGGCCACACGACTCTAGCTGAAGGCGCGAAAGAAGAAGTGGAGTGATGCTCTCACAAGACAGCAAATTTCGAGCGCTCACGGGCGGTCTGTTCGCAAATGGTAGATGTCACCATATCACGGATCTGTCTGCCGGTACAGTATGCAGGGGTAATGGCCTTGGTTGTGTTACCCACGACTAGTAGCTCGTGTGCTATCGTGTAGTGGGCTTGCCCTCGTGTTTAGTTGGTCAGGCAGCAAAGCCCTTGTAGAAGTTGCGGTGAGCGACGCGCCGGTCAAAGTGGTGATTTGCAGGAGTGCTGCGAACGGAAGCTCGACATGGCGGGATGAGCGCTTGCCGAGGAAGCTCACTCTTTCTGGACATGTTCCGGCGCAGAATGTGTGTGTCTCAAGTGTTGATCTTTGCGCAGATCCAGGGTCCAGACGGCCATCGAACGCCTCGCACAGGGCAGGGACGAAACGAGATCTACCAGCAGCTTGTTTCGCCCCCGGTCAGCTGGCCGAACCTCGGACGAGCCATCGCAGCGACGGTCGGGCAGCACAGGCTTCGAAAGAGGCACTGAGATGGCGCGCAGAGCATGGCTTCCCGATGGGCAGCCACATCAACGGCCCAGGGATGGCTCAGCTACTCGCCGTCACACTTGGACATGCGGCAGCGGGCGCGCACTTGTGCGTTGGGAGCGGCACCTGATGGGGCACATGGAGCGTCTGAGGCGGCAAGGTGGGCCAGCGAGCCTGGGCCCCTATGACGGCGGTAATCCATCCCAACTTTGCTATACCTGCCGATCGCCTCTCAGCCCGGATTTTCGATGCCTCACTTATCCCTCGATCCGCCGCACCCTCCTGAGCACCTCCGCCCTCATTGCCTGCATCCACCGTTTCCGCCCCGCAGCGCCGTGATTTCGTGTGCGTTTCCGCCGCCCGTTGTTCATTTCCCCTGGCTCGAGTCCCTGCAGGTGCTCCCGACTGGGCCGTTGGCGAAATCGCGCGCCAGACCACCAAGCGCAGCCCGCACCCGCACACAGGACAGCCCCAATTGACTGCGGCCGTCGCAGTGCCGCTGCGCCTCGAGCATTCCGCTCCAGTCACGGGAAGCGACGCTTCGGAGTCTCCCTGAGAGCGTGGCCTCCTCGCAGCGCTGCGGTGTGGATGACAAACGCGCCAACATACGTCATCGGCAGCTTCTTTGAGCAGCCTCACCTCCGCGCCCTCACACCTCCCCCCGGCCTGCGCACCTCCACGCGCCCCGTTCCGCCGCCACGCCCTTTCTTTCCATGACCTTATCGCCTGTTCTCTCGCGCCCATAGCTCGCCTGCCCGAGTCCGCTTCCACTCCACATCCCCTGGAGGTAATCAGCATAATGTCGACGCCCGCGCTGTCGCCCCGGCCGCGCGAGACGTCACATAGCACCATCCAGACCCGCTCCTCGGGACCTACCCCCATGCCACGCCCCAGTGCCGCACGGAGTCCTGTCAAGTCCACGCCCCTCGCGACCCGTCGCATGCACGACCTCAAGACGCCCGGCATTGGCAACGGCCACGAGCCCAAGACGCCCAGCCCCAACTACTTTGGCCTCGCCGTCGACGCAAACGCCGAAAAGGATGTCTTCGCCTCCAGCGCTGCACAGCACATCCGCGGTAACTGGAGCCCGCCCTCTTCAAATGTGCGGTCCACCGCTGCTGCGTCACCCCGCGTCATTCCCGTTGACCAGAACCCTGAATACGAGCAGTTCAGACGTCAATCTGAGAACAACAGAGGCTTTGCCCTCGGCCGATTCGACTTTGGCTCATCCCAAGGCTCCATGCCATCCCCTAGGAGTTCAGCATTCGGTTCCGCAATGGCCCCTCCGTCCCCGCAGTCGATGACGTTACCCGTGGCCACAAACGATCAACACACCGACAAAAAAGATGACGGGGGCGAGCTCGAAGGCAAACCAAGATCGCCAAAGCGGCTCCTTTCCACAGAGTCAGTCATTGTGTACGACCGGCCACGGCGGAATTCGCCTGCGAGCTTCCTGGACCAAGAAAATTACGGACGCACCGACGAATTGGCCAAGTTCGTTGAAATGAGGAACCCCCGCCCGTCTCTACCTCCACGTGACTCCTCGCAGAAGCTCACCATGTCTTCTCATCGTGCAGAAACTCTCCCGGCACACGTCGAGGATGCCGCCAAGACTGGCGGACCTTCCATGGTCACACCCCAGTACATTGTCAACATTCTTGAATCTGCAATAGAGGAGGTCTTGCTACTGGATCTTCGTGTCTCCACACAATACGCAAGATCCCGCATCCAAGGCTCTCTAAGCCTATGTATACCTACGACTCTGCTGAAGCGTGCGTCCTTCAATGTACAAAAATTGGCCGAAACCTTCAAAGATGACGAGGAGAAGGAGAAGTTCGAGCAGTGGAGGAGTAGCAAACACATCGTCGTGTACGACGCAAGTTCCGCACAGATGAAGGACGCAGCGACCTGCATCAACACGCTCAAGAAGTTCACAAGCGAAGGCTGGACCGGCGGCTGCTACATCATCCGGGGTGGTTTCCAAGAATTTGCATCCAAGTTTCCACAATGGATATCAAAAGGTTCTACACAAGCGTTGAGTTCCCCTACATCTTCTTCTGGAGGTGATTCTGGTCTTCCATCCGTCGCACCTGTTATCGGAGGCTGCCCCATGCCAGTCACGCAGAATGCTGCGAACCCATTTTTCGGCAACATTCGACAGAACATGGACCTCATTGGTGGCGTAGGCCAGATGCCCATCAAGCATCCCACAGCCATGACCCGTTCCCTCGAGGAAGAGCTGCCAGTCTGGCTCCGAAAGGCCGCAAATGAGAAAGACAACGGCAAGACGGTGTCTGATAAATTTCTGCACATCGAGAAGCGCGAACAGAAGCGAATGCAGAAGGCATTGTCTGGGCAAGTGTACTACGGAACCCCCACGTCTGGAGAACCCAAGCAGTCCATCACATTGGCTGGTATTGAGAAGGGCTCCAAGAACCGCTACAACAGCATCTGGCCCTATGAGCATTCTCGCGTGAAGCTGCAAAATGTCAGCCCAGGCGGCTGCGACTACGTCAACGCGAACCATGTCCAGCCGCCCTTTTCGAACAAGCGGTACATTGCTACGCAGGGCCCTCTACCGGCAACTTTCAACGTAAGTCTCCGCCCCCCCTATTCCTAGTGTTGACATTGCTGATTTATGATAAGGATTTCTGGAATGTTGTGTGGCAACAGGACGTCCGCGTCATAGTCATGCTTACTGCGGAGAGTGAAGGTGGTCAGCTCAAGGCCCACAACTACTGGTCTGGCAAGCAATATGGCCACCTGCATTTGAATGCTCTCGGAGAACGTAGAGCCGCTCTGGAACCATCTAAAATACACAGGCATCGCGAACAGGCGCAGCGACCTGCGCTTGGCCAACGTCGCTCGACAACAGCGAATCCACCTAACAAACCCGGCTACTTCACCACCGAATCGACTGCCCAGCCCAGCTCCGAGCAACCCTATGTCATCGTCCGCAAATTCACATTATCGAACTCAGACGAGCCTTTCGAGCGCATGCGCGAAATCACCCAACTCCAATACTCGCACTGGCCCGACTTTGGCGCACCCGCGCACCCCACCCACCTCCTCGGCCTCATCGAGCAATGCGACGCCGTGTGCCGCCAAGTCAATGGCGGCTCTCCCTCTCGCCCCGAGCCCCCAAGCACCCGCCCCATACTCGTCCATTGCTCCGCAGGATGCGGTCGTACTGGCACGTTCTGCACCGTCGATTCGGTCCTCGACATGCTCAAGCGCCAACGCCAGGCCCGCAATGCCCGCGACACCACGCCCATGGACCTCGATCCCATGTCGCCGCCGAAGGGGCCGCGAGGGGATCGCAGCGCAAGCTTGAGTATGTCAATGAGCATGGATGAGATGAGCATGAGCCGGCGGTCTTCGTCGAGCGCTAGCGAGGCCGCAAACAATGAGAAGCCCGCCGGCAACGCAGCACGGGAAGAGTATGACTGGGTGTATCAGGAGGATGTGGATCTGATTGAGAAGACAGTGGAAGATTTCAGGCTTCAGCGGCTAAGCATGGTGCAGAGTCTGCGGCAGTTTGTGCTGTGCTATGAGAGCGTGCTGGAGTATCTTGTGGAGCAGTATCCGAAGAGCGCTTAGGCGGCTGTGGTGCAATGGCTGGGCAGCGCGGCCTAGGAAGAAGATGGGCATGGGCACGGAGTCACGTCAGGAGAGTATTGCCTTTTCTTTCTCTCTATTTCTCTTCTTTCCTCTCACTTGGTTTTCTTCGTTTCTGTTATGTGTTACTGTGGCATTTTAGGGAGTCATCCTACCACCTTTGTGTCTGTTGATTGGTTCTTCGCACTGGGGGTTTAACACATCCTACCTGACCTACCCTTTGTCTTTCTGTCACGAAGTTAGCATGTCATGGTATGTCCGTCACGTCATGTCATTGGGAGGCGTTTATTTGGCACTATCTCCTTTCGTTGCTTTTGTCGAGGGCTGCGCTGGAATACAGCATAGGGTGTGGAGCGGGCCAGGCGTATGCATGACTGCTTGGATTAGCGAATCGGTAGTTTAGACATCCAATGCATCAATCCATTCACAACTTCACTGCATCCATCGAGGGAAGAGTCTGTCGTCCACGAGGCAAGGAGCGGAGCCCGTCGAGACAATCTTCAACCAAAATAGTCCACCTGACACCCCACCCCTCCCAATCCGTGTTCCCGCAGACGCCACAGACTGCCGCTCCGCTGTGCCTTTCTGTCCTGTCACGTCCTACGAGGCACGAGTAAAGGTGTGGGCGGAAAGATGGCTCGTGGGTGATGTGTGCGTAACACGCGCGAAGGCCAAAAGATCCGGCTCCGCCGTAGCTGGCAGCTCAGAAGGAGACATTGCGCAAGAGGAATGTGCAAAGCAAACGAAGGGAGTGGACAGTCTCAATCTATCCTATCCAAAGCACGAGCAAGACAAGCAACGCGCAGGCTATCCAAGCCGCAAGCCTCCTTTCGCCGTGGATATTGTACAGCACACCCACAGCAGGGAAACCGACCACTAACGCCATACCCCAGCCCAGCCCAGGCATCCGCATCTCGTTCGTTATGTACATCAATAAAAACTATCGCTATCCCGTTCCGTAGCCCTCGGCCAGTCCCAGTCATCCAGCAGCTCCGACTCCTTACTCAAATCACCCACCCACCCAAACGGACCTAGCTCGGACTCGGGCGAAAAGGACCTCCCCATCCTCTCAATATCCCGCAGAATCCTGCTCTTCATATAGTGGCTCCCATACACGCCCAGACGAGATACCTACTCCGCCCCAGCTCCGCGCGTCGAACCACCCATCCGCTCGATATTGCTCAGAATCCTGCTCTTCCCGCTCCCACCGCTGGTACTCCGATTCAGCGCAGACGAACCCCCGCTGAAACCGAAGCCCCCGGGTGCCCGGAGACCCGACGGCTTTGCAGCCGCACTAGAGTTGGAATTCCCGCGCTGATGCCCCATCGCGCTGCCAGGCCGTCCAGCTGCACCGCCGAGAGCAGAGCCAGGACGCGGCGCCGCACCACCAGCAAGGAAACCCGTTGACCGCATGCTCGGCGCGTTCGCGGTTTCCGCTTGAGGCGCAGGAGCCGGGGCTGGAGGCGCTGCCGCCATCTGCACGCTCTTCCTGAAGTCCTCTTGTTGCAGCTCCTCCATTTTCTCGCCGCACATGGCGAGCATTTGCTCCGCCGCCGCGACGAGCTCGCCCTTCTCAATGCGCTCAGCTTCGAGGTCTTGGAGTATGTGGTCGTGCGATTTGCGGAGGGACTCGAGTTCGGACTGCAGGCCCGCGAGCTTGGCTTTTAGGTGCTCGATTTCGGATTTCTGGTCTTCAAGGAGCTTGAGGTCTTCCGGGCGTGACGTGCTGGCAGGGGAAGACGAGTCTTTGTCGGCGTCGAGCTGCGTGGGAAGGACCTTGCTGAAGGTGTCGTCGCGCTTCTTCTCGGCTTCTTCGACGCGGCGCTCGAGGCGAATAATCTGCACGCGGAGCTCCTTGCAGCGCTCATCCGCTTTCTTCTGGTAGTTGTCTTTGAGCGCCTTGATCTTCTTCTCATGCTTAGCTTTGTATGCAGTGTGCAAGTCGCGGGCGACCTCGTTGACCTTCTCCGCAATCGCGGTCTGGCACTCCATCTCGGAGTAGATTTTCTTTTCGTTCTCGTCAGGGTCAAGGAAGGTGGTCATGTCCACGTTCTTGCTCTCCGCTTCGATGACTTTAGTCTCCAACTCCGAGGAGCGTGTCTCTGCCTCTTCAGCACGCTTCTCAGCTTCAGCAAGGCGGGTGAGCAACTGCTCGCGCTCGGCGTCAATGCGGCCAACCTCTCCTTGGACTTCTTGAAGTAGATTTTGCACCTCCTCGCCTTTCTTCTTCCAGTCTTCCATCTGCGCCTCCGCATACTCACGTGCGGATCGCTCGTCTCGGACGGACTCTTGAGCTTGGCCGACACGGTGCTCGGCGTCTGATATTGCTTTTACTAACGACTCAACTTGAGCTTCCTTGCCAGACAAGCTGGCCGTGAGCGAAGAGATCTGAGACTGGAAATTTGACTTCAGCGATTCCAGCTCTCTGATAGTAACCGTTGGCATGGATCGCGGTGTCGGTGGCGGCGGCAGTTCGAAGTCCAGAAGGTCCATCAGCTGTCGACTTTGACTTGGCGTAGAGGGTACGCGTGATGAGCTTCCTTTGCCTGGTGATCGTTGATTTTGATAGTATGAGGCCAGATTTGGTTCGGTAGTTGATTTGGGTGGCCCGCGAGTCGGGCCAGACAAACCCTCCAATTGTGCTGTGAAGTCGAGGAGCAGGTTGGTAGTATCATTTTCTCTGCGAGATCGGCGCGGTGTAGGAGATGGTGTCCTTTCAGAGCGCCGGACGGTTTGTACGGTGGAAGGTGTCATTTGAGCGCGAGCTCGAGGTGTGGCCTATGAGCCACATTAGTATAATTACTGATGATGTGGATCATGTGTGCTTACCGGATCAAAGAGGCCGTTCTTGGTAGGACTCTGTCGAAGCGCGGCAAACTTGGTCATGTCAATGCCTGGCATCTCTGAGAACATGCTAAATCCAGTATCGTCCATGTCCAACGATGTGAGATCTGGCCCGTCCGGGTTGAACTCAGTGTCATCGAATGTAGCGTCTCCTACAATCTCATCGTGGCTCCGATGTGTGGATGTCGGCTCGTAGCTCGCCTGTGCCTGGTCCATGTTGCGCATGGCAACAGTCAATCCTTCATTTTCCCGCAATTCACTTGTTTTAAGAGTGACGGTAGGCGCATCGTCGATTTCGTCTTCTGGGTATCCAACAGGTGCTCTGCGGACTGAATCAACGGAAGGATTGCGGGAGGCTTTCGTGGGTGAGCTCCGGCGGGATCGACTGCCCATAGTAGGTTCGGAGCGCTCCGCTGCCATTTGCTTCACAGGCGAAGCCTTCTTTGGACTCGCGCGAGGCGGCGGGCTTTCCAAGGAATCCTCTTCGAATTCAGCCAGCGACTGCTTCCTGGACGGCATCTTGACTGGGCTGGTTCGCTCTTGAAGCCCAAATTTCTTCTCTGGTGACGCCTTGAACGCCGACCGCGTAAAATCGTCCTCGAAGCTTGGAAGCAGCTTTTTGGGTGTCGCAAGAGCATTGGGTGCGATGTTCTCCTGGTCCTCATCGTCGACGTGTGCGATGAAAGGCGATGATGGCGGATCATGCCAGCTTGTTGTGTCCATGTCGGGCTCAGCATACGTAGGAGCGGGCGCGTTAAGCTTCTGCGGGGAGAGTTCAGCCATTGGTTCGGCCATCTTGGTACAATTATGAAGAAGCGGTTGTGTTGTTGGTGTTTTTGAAGCTCGAAAGCGCTGCGCAAAACGCCGACTTGTTTGTTTACGTCCGTGCGGGCGACTTTCGCCTCTAATTTAGCCCCAACGGTTTCGGCAGCAACAGGATCGCAAGGGTCTACCACTTGATTCTCGATCTCGGAAATCAGAACTCTGCTTCACATGATTACTTGTGTTCTGGCAAACAGTTTCTGCCATCGTTTTTGTTACGCTCTAGCCATGGTTTTACAGAGCCACTTTGCTTCACACCACACAACAGCAATCAAGAAAACCGTATCATCGAACCAGATCTGACTTCCACTCTTGCAACGCCATGCTAAACTACACAAAATACAAGTGCTCAGTACATGCCCAAAATTTGTCTAGATAGACCCTCCCACGCCATGCAACACCCGCCTGCTAGCCTAATAGTTGATGGTACCCCTCAGCGCCGCAGCCAACCTCTGATACTCCTTCAGCAGCTCGTCCACCTCCTTCAACTTCAGATCTTGTGCATCCTTCGCCTCCAGAAAGCGTTTCACTGGCGGGGTCGTCTTCTTCAGCGCGTCAATAGCTGCGACTGCCCGTGCACCCTTGTCATCCACCTGCGTAGGCTCGTTGGACGGCGACCTAGCCAGATTCGCCAGCGTGGGTAGCTGTTTGTTCGGCTCGGTGGTCGGTGTTCCTCCACCTGGGGTGGTACTCTGGCTAACGGTGCGACCGAATCTCGGAAGCACATTAATGCTTGCGAAGCGGTTAAGCGGGTTCAAACTATTGCCCATATTGCGAATGGAGTCGACAGCAGACGTATTCGTCTGAGGAGGAGTCGCCTCACTCTTTGTAGCTATCGGCGGCGGTTTGGCATCGAACGCGACGCGTTTGCCGCTGCCGCCGGACAGCGTTGAGTCGACGCTGCGATCTCTGAGCTGCTTCCGGCCGCCGAACAGGTCAGTCATGCGTGCCTGCAAGTCCGGTCTGCCTTGCTCTTCGACACGCTCTTCGCCGTGGGTAGAGCTTGCGCCGCTGACACTTGCGGCGTCGTCCTCTGTTTCCATGCGCGTTGGCGAACTGACTAGTTTCCTCGCATCTTCCAGCGTCTTGGGGAGCTCGACTGGGTCTTGGATAGGACTATTGGGATCGTGCTCCCTCATCCGGCCAAAGAGAAATTTGAAGCTTGTGTCAAGTGTGTTGTTGATTCTCCCTAATGCTTGGTCAGCTGAGTCGAGGATCGACTCTTTGACAGCGTCCGAGGCAGCTTCTATACGGTTTGTCTGCGTCTGTATAAGATTGCTCAAACGTCGCTGTGCCTTTGTTCCAGGGCTCGGAGGTCCTGGAGCTATAGCTGAAGTCGGAGTAGCTGGCGTCTGGGTCAAGTCCGGAGCTTGTGCCAATCCAAGCGGCATAGGTGTGATTTCGTGTTTTGGTGTTGATGGTCGGGAGCCCGTCTTGTCGTGGGAACCCGGCTCTTCTGCTCGCAGAGATGAAAGGTCCACGGTTTCCAAGAAAGACACCGCCGCCTCAAGATTGACCAAGCAGTATGCTGTCTCGCCATCCATGCGTGTGGTTCCGCGAAACCTTTGGATGAATTTCAATTCGCTGTACGCATTGAGCCGCGACGGCTCCAGAGTAATGAGGGTATAGATTAGCGTAGGCAGGATCTCGTCAGCAGAAGACGAAGCTGGGAAAATCTTGGACAGCGCCTCGACGATAGACTTGTGTGCAGCAGTCAGATGGCGCAACTTCCCAAGCGGGTATTTTTCTTGGCTCATCAAGAGTATGTCGTCCCGGGCCGTCGACAGCCACTCTCTTATCTCGCCTTCCCGTTCTTTCGTTTTCTGGCGCTCTTCTTCGGTCAGCTCTTCGGCTGTCATCAGGAGCTCCTTGAGGCCGATGCCAACCAGAGACAGGGCAGCTGTCCGCGACCGAAGCTTATGATCTCTTTCCTCGTCATCTGTGCTTCGGTGCCGCCATATACGCTCGTAAACCTTCTCGCAAACAGCCCTCTCTACGGCCTCCTCGAGCGAGGCCCGCTTGACCTCTAGCAGCCTTCTGGCTTTCTTTCTGTCGGCCATCTCAGATGCACTGAGCATCTGCTGTTCGCCGCTCTCGCCGCTGACGGATCGTATCGAGCCTGGCCGACTGGAAGCGGCCGACTTCTTGTATGTATCGCTCGTGAGACGGGCCGAAAGAGTAGCTATGTGGGTGTTGATCTTGGTAGATGCGCGGGAATAGAAGTCCTGGAACAGGTCGGACAGACGGTCGGCCGACAGCGGACTGGGATGGACTTTGGCGGAGAGCGATTCGAGGAATCTGTTTGCAAGTCAGACGAGACATGGCTGAGATATCCGGGCGAGCTGGCGCACCTTTCTGTCAAGCTGCGAATCTCTATCGGCAGCTCTTCGAAGCCTTCGGGCACGTTGATCTGGTGTTCCAATTGCTCCTCCTCGTCCTGCTTGGACGCAAAGACATCGCCGTCTGCATGGCCTTCCTCATCCTCTGGCTTCAGCGGATCAAGAATGGCAGGCATGGGTGGACCCTGAAGCGTGCTCGCTCGGCTGCGGGATGGCGGCTGCTTTGCCTGGGTAGACTCCAGACGCGTGAAGCTGTTGGACGTGTGCAAGCGCTTGGGTCGGTCGGCCATGTTGGCGCTGCGAGCGTGTTGGAGTGAGTGTGTCGGAAGAATGAGGGTCGTGTGCCTGCACGGGGTTGTACACCAAGTCAAGTAACGTCATGCGGTGGTGCGGCGCGTTTTGTATGCGGGACTGGGCCTAGATGTTGGCTATAGCCTGGCGCCCGTGGGTCCCCGACGACGACTATTCCTGGGGCCTGCGCGGCCGTTGTAGCGTGCAGGGTAGCGCAGCGGAAGCTCAGCGCAGCTGTCAGGGTTGGGGGATCTGTTGGTGGTTGCAGATGCAGCTAAGCTGTCTCTCCATATCGGTGCACGGGCGAACTAAGCTGCGCAGGGCAAGGCGCACCCTGTCCGATCTCCGCGGTTGCGAGCCGGGGCCGCGCGCTGTCTCGTGGTCACCATGCCGGCGTCATAGGGTTGCCCGCATGCGCTCGGGTCGCCTTCGAGCATACCGTCGTGCACTCTCCCAACGCCGCACGCACTCAGCTTCTACGACCAAACATGCGACGACGGCGCGTCTGCACAGCCTCGACCCGCGTGACAGCCTCGCTGCTGCTGTCCTTCCTCGCTGCGGCCAGTGCGCTCCAACTACCGCCCATCCTAGTGCCACCGACATCGCCGCAACCCTCCGCCGAGGCAGTCAAGGAGTTCTCGCTCAAACACATCTTCCACCATGGCACCTACAGATACCCGCAGCTCCACAGGCGGCTTGACGTTCCCGAGAAGGCGGCAGTATGGATGGTCGAGGACGACAGCACCGAGCGGGAGGCTGTCCCTCCGCTCGCAATCAAGTCGGAGGCCGTGACCATTCAACGGCTGAAGGACCGGAGCAAAGAGACAATAGACGGCATCTTGCACTGGGGCAGAACCACCGGCCAGCCCGTGCGCCTGGCAGCGGATGACTGGACGGTGGACGAGATCGCAGGTCCCAATGTGACGGACAAGGACAGTGTTCTCACATTTGCGCGCATGGCCGCAAATGCCTATATAATGGAGCCAAACACCGGCGAGTGGGAAGACGTAAAAGGCGGATTCAATTACACACAAGATTTCGGCTGGCAGCAAGACGGTCTGCGCGGGCACATCTTTGCTGATACCAAGAACGAGACGGTGGTCATTGGACTCAAGGGGACCACACCCGCGCTCTTCGACGGCACCGAGACGACCACGAACGATAAGATCAACGACAACTTGTTCTTCAGCTGCTGCTGCGGACAAGGCGGCCAGTATCTCTGGCGTCAAGTATGCGACTGCCAGACCTCGGTGTACACCTGCAACTCCACGTGCTTAGTCGGCGCACTGAGAGAGAAGAACAGGTACTACTACGCTGCTCGTGATCTCTATCACAACGTAACGGCACTGTACCCCAACGCCGAGGTCTGGATGGCAGGACACTCGCTGGGAGGTGCCGTGTCCTCTTTCATAGGCCTGACGTACGGCCATCCCGCCATCACGTTCGAAGCAGTCCCCGACGCCATGCCAGCGGCTCGCCTAGGTCTCCCAGTTCCCCCAGGCCACGAGGTTGGCTCCATGCAGAAGCGCGAGATGACAGCCGTCCACCACTTCGGCCACACCGCCGACCCCATCTTCATGGGCAGCTGCAACCAAGCCGGTAGCATGTGCACGTTGGGCGGCTACGCGATGGAAAGCGTGTGCCACACAGGGAAAAAGTGTGTCTACGACACCGTCGCCGACCTCGGCTGGCGCGTCGGCATCGGCACGCACAAGATCGTCAACGTCATCAAGCAGGTGCTCGAGAAGTACGACAAGCCCGCCAAGTGCGAGCAGTACGTCGATTGCACGGACTGCTTCAACTGGGAGTTCTTCGAGAGCAATGGCACGGAGCCTACGACGTCCTTCACCGTGCCTACCACAACTTCCACGTCCACATCCACGAGGAAGAGGACCGAGACGTGCAAAACGCCGGGGTGGTTCGGGTGTCTCGATGAGAGCACCACCACCACTGAGACGACGACGACGAGCAAGCACAAGAAGACGTCCAGTACAGCCACATCGACATCCACCTGCAAAACGCCCGGCTGGTTCGGCTGCCTCGACGATGACGAGCCCACCACCACACACTCCACGGCTAAACCTTCACCCACCCACGCGCCAAGCGCAACAACCACTTCTTCACCTCCTTCATCAACTTCAGCCCCGACTTGCAGACACTACGGCTTCTTCGGCGACTGTCTCGACCGCACCACCGCTCCTTCATCTCGAAAACCCAAGCACACACCGACCTCAGCGCATAGCTGCAAGCGCTATGGCTTCTTCGGCGAGTGTCTCGATCCCACGACTACGCCGTCCACATCCACGGAAGCAAAGCACAGGCATACGCATACGGCCAAGCCTACATCCGCGTCTTCGACGACGTGCACGCACAAGGGGTTCTTTGGGCTGATTTGCTTTGACGAGAGTGCGGGGTCGAAGACGCGGGGACCGGGGGAGGCGCTGGTCACGGAGAGGATGGAGATGTAAGAGGCACGCGTTTGTCGGGTTAGAAGGGGGACTAAGGAAGGTTAATGAGGGACGGAGCTCATGTTTATCTTCTCGTACATGCCATTTCCGTCGCGTCTGGGTTTTTGTTTTGTAAATAGCGGTAACGGTACGATATCCTGGCGTTTGAGAGCATTGCTGGTGTTCTGTCGCAATGGTGGACACGATATGACGCACATGAGTTGCATGAATAAGATATAATCACACTCACGTTGTTTGAAACTCGTCAAAGCGATGCATGCACAAGGTCGACCATCAGGTCCGCGTTCCACGCAGACCAGCCGATGCTCTTGGGTCTAAGAAAAGGTGTTGATTCGTCCCATCCCACCACTCCGTCCGTTCGGCGGAACGCACTGCTCACGCAGGCCGGGTACATCAGATCTCATGGCGGGGCACGAAACGGCGGAGTGGCGTGGAAGCGGTCCCCGAAAAAGGAGACTGGCTTCGGAACCAGGTACGAATCCGACCTCGCGAGGCGAGGAAGAAGGGAGCAGGCGGAATGGGCTTTGAAATCTGGTATTCCGAGGATGGTATGGCGGTCTTCATGCTATTGCCTGTACTATGCCTGTTTCTCTGCCCGGCCGCATCTCACAGGCAAGTTTTGGATGGTGACGCATCGCTCCTCCTCGGTTAGCATCGCGTGATGTCTTGCGTGCTATGGTACAGTGCGCATGCATTCACGACGCTATGTATCCTTTTCATCCCGCGACACTGCACCTGCTGGTCACGTCCACGGCTCGCTCCGGTGCTGGTGCACTACTCGCTTGCATTTGGGCTTCTCGTCTTTCGTCCGAGAAGGCGATGCAGATGTGTCTAGAGTGTTCTTATGTCGGAGCGATACTAGATGTGCGCCCTGACCTGCATCGCGGGAATTCTCACGGACCAACACTCCCTTTCTTCACCCTCTTGAGCCCAAGATCACCACTGCAATGCGCGAGGTAATCCTCTGTCCTTTCCCCCGTGGCCCACACACCCACGTTCCACCGACAAACGCCCTCATCCGTCACCGCCCAAACCTCATCCTCGCTCACCCACCGCAGCGCGTGTACGACACCCGTGCTCGGCATCGTCACCGGCTCCAGCAGCACGTGCTCCTCCTCGCGCGTCCAGTTGTTGTAGTATCCCGATCGCCAAGCGGACGTGGGGCAAGGGTCGCAATACGTAAACGCATTGCCGTCGTCAGACTGTTCGGGTCCGTACAACCCCTGATCCTGGGAGAGGAAGACCTGAGGGTTGAGCGCGTAGATTTTCAGCGTCCGCCACGCGGCGAGCGCGATCCGGTGGGCGCGGGGGGAGACTGCGACTTTGAGCCCAATCGAAGGAAGGTTGTCGAAGCACGGCGTATCAGCGAGGCGTGCGACATAGCGATGGTACGAAGTAGTGTTAGTCACGAGGGGGTCGAAGGGTTTGCACGCGTCAACTGATGTGTGGAGCATTCGCACGACGTACGCGCCTTGGAGCGCTGGGCCTCCGGGCGCGATGTGGTACTTGTCGCGGGAGATGAAGAGCTTCAGCACGGCGTTGGTGCAGGGCTCGTGCTGGCTTAAGGTTGGGTTCCACGGTCTGTGGAGATGACGCTGAGTGAGGTAGATGCCTCGTCTGGACGTGGTGACGCCCGCGACGCCTGCCGGCAGGCTTGTCTGTTCCTTCGAAAACATTGTATGAGCCCAAGTGGCAGCATTCATATTTCCTGAACATAACGGCATCTGAAATGTTCTTGGAAAGAAAATTGCTTTGCCGCTGCGTATCTGAACGTGTGTGATCCGTTCTGTGCCAATTAAATCACTACCCAAAACAGCTTTGTCAGCCCATGTGAGGTGGTGTGACCCATCTGTGGCTGTTGTGCTGCCATATTGCATGAAAACATAACATCCATAGCCCCATTGCCAAGTGATTGTAGGATCACCTTCGGAAGTGAACGCCAGAGCTGCGACTGCTTCCGCTCCTGGTGGAGCCTCAACGCTGTACCTAGCTTGGATGCTGGGGCCGAAGTGTGGGTGTATTTTGATGGTCGCCAGTTCCAAGTCGGTAAGGCGTGAATGGCCGGACAATACTACCAGAGTAGGTGTATGTTCCTCCAGACATATCGGACAGCCACCTCGCCAAGCAATTCGGAGAACTTTGCGGCCTTGGGTATCGTGTGTGTTGGAAGTGGCGGGCAGATGTCCCCACAGAAGATCCTGGGAGATAACATACGACCGGCTGAAAGGACCGCTACCAGACAAAATTCTCTCCAAATAGTGGACTTGAAGAACTGCATTCGTGGCGGGGACTTCTAAGAACACATATCTGTCTGAAGGCTTCGGCAACGCCACGAGTGGGTAAACACCCAGTTGGTCGACGCAGTGTCTGCATGGATGCTCGTCATACCAGGGAAGTATATTGCTGATGCTCCTATCCATGGACGGACACGCCTTCCATAGATTTACGTCGGCCATTCGAGGCACGCCATTGAATAGATGTCTTGCAGCTCGCTTGTGGAAGATCGACAGTAAAGATTGGGCGTCCTTACGATCGCGCGAGGAAATGCTTCTGTCCCCTGGAACTTGAGCCTGTACAATAATGAAGGGGTTAGACAGATCTATGCTCAAAAAGGCCGCGAATTATCTTATTTTCAATGACAGCAGTGGGCTAGGCCTACTGGCTCTCTGGTAGGTAAACTTCGTGCAGAGTGCCACAACAAAACCGATCATAGTGTGGTCTTCCCATGCCAGTCATCAACGCGTATTGTGCTGGATTTGATCGGGGACAAGTTTCAACAATACTTACGATTTGATGAAGCAAAACCGTTTTAGACTGCAGCGCATGCTCTCTCAGTCCCTTACTCGTCAACAGACAAACGTAGAACGAAGGCGGACCAAGTAGAAGCAAGACTTGCTGCACGATTTCCGCCGGGAGATCGAGCAAAGATCGGGGCATCTTGGTGGCGAGCTTCCACTTGGATCTGTCTCTAATCGACCTACGAGACTGGCGGACAGAATACGATCGGTGCCTCACTGCTGCTCTTTGTTTCGAGACGAGAGACAACGCAAATCTTCACTGTGTACATGGAAGACAGGCAAGTGAAGTGGTCGAGTAATCGCTTGAGGCTGATGTTGACGTTCGAGTAGCAGCCGCGCTAGTATCGCGCGACTAACCACTTTTGTATGGCCTCGAAAGACTGGACATCAGAGTTGATCCTAGGCTCATCTCCCCGTATTCGCGAGAGGGAGGTTATATGTCCGGTTTGTGTTGCGAGCGATACACAGTCAGTTCCAGCAAATCAAAGGGCGAAGGAAACCAGAACGGAACGGTGAAAAGTAATTGCCCATATGGGCGCAACTCAGCTACTGTACAAATGCAATTCAAGCTCGTTGAAACGACGTCTGCCAAAACCAGCCATTCATGTATGATCGACACCCAAGAACCCGAAGAAACACCATCAAATGCCATACCATCGCTTCTCGAAAAGCAACCCGACCCCTCGACCGCACACAAGACCGGAACCCAACACCAAAACACCCGTAACCTCTTTGGCGTACCCTACCAGAAACTACACCACCCAATATAATGCTGACACAAGTTCTCCAAATTCGTCGCCTCCTTAATCAGCCGATCTACCTGCGTCGGCACATTCAGCTCATCGCCCCGTCCCACACTATTTCCAAAGTCCCGTCCCGTCAACTTCTCCTTGACCCTCGACAACACCTGCAGGGCGCGCGCATTCTGGACTTCCTTCGCCTCGGCTTCGTTGACAGGCGCAGGAGCGACGGAGCTACGGTGGCGAGCGCGCGTGGTGAGGGAGGCGGCGGGGTTGGTGAAGGGGTCGGTAGATGCGGAGGGCGTGGCGGAGGGGTCGGGGAGGCCGATAATGGAGGCGCGGCGCTCGGAGGGGAAGTTGGGTTCGGGAGGGGAGTCACGGGCGCCGAGGCGCCAGGTGAGGAGGGGGTCGTGGATGAACTAGTCTTGTCAGCATGTCGTCTAAATACACAAGAGGAGAAACCGGTTGAGAGAGGGAAAAGAAGGATATGATAACTCACCGCCTCGAGCACCGCCATGACGCTCTCCTTGTTCGTCCGCAGCACCCGCATCACATGCTCGCACGTCGTCCTGTAGCTGCCCTCGATGTTGCTAACCTCCATGGCATACGTGAGCATACGCGTGAGCCTGAACGGCACGCGCTCGGGGTACTTCTCGCGGTGCATCGCGACCTCGAAACAGTCGCCAAAATCAATGTGCACAATCTTGCCCGTGACGCGATCGAGCATAAGATTACTTGGGTGGCGATCGCCCAGACCGAGAATGTATCCGACCATGGACATGACAGCCAGCGAGCGCGTGTAGTTTGTGCGGCGGTCGAGCCACGCCTCGGAGCTCTTGGATTTGAGCCAGAGCACGCGGTAGAGGTCCTGGCCTGTCGTGTTATCCAGCGCGTACCCAAAGACCTCGACCTTCTGCATGAGCGTAAGGCAGTCGTAGTCCGGCGCCATCTGCAGCATGATGCGGTGCTCGATGTTGAGCAGGATCTTGCGGGAGTCGCGGTACTCGCGGATGAGCACGTGCAGGGTATCCGAGTTGGGCACGAAGCCGATAAGACCAGACTGTGTCGAAAGTGGTACGACAGCGTAGCCTTGGATGTTGAGATGCCTCTTACGGCTCTCCGTGTCATTCGTCAGCAATGTATTGCAGAGGCCGAACAGCTGCATCACACGCTCGTCCTGGCGAATATCTTCGTGGCCCTTGAGGATATGCGTATGCGGCTTTCCGTCACTGCCCTGCATCTCCAGCTTCCTGGGCCTCTGCTTGGACTGGATGACTGAAGCCACCGGGCTGAATGAGCCGATGCGGATGACCGGCTTCCCGACTTGGTAGGTACCCGGCACGGCTAGCTCGAGATCGTGTGCCTCCTTGAGCTTCGGCGAGACGTACTGAAGCTCCAACGTCATGAGAGATGGCAGTTGCCGTGAGATCTTGCGGAAGACCTGGTAGTAGAGATCCCATGCCTGGTTGAGGTCGCCCATCTCTCCAGATGTGCGGAATGTGTTACACCAGTCGCGCGCCTCTTGCAGCTCTCGACCGAACGATTGGATGAACGAGATTTCACGGAGCGTCTCTGGGCCGCGGTCGATCATGGCATGCAGCGGTGCAAGCGTCGCAAACATGCCCTCGATGTTGTGGTCACCAAAGTACAGACGTGAAGCCTCCTCGAGACCCTCGTGCCACTGCTCATGCCAGAGCACAGCAATGCGAACAAGTTCTGTACTGACAAGGTCTGCCTGTTCGACCAGGCGAGGTGAGTGCTCGCGCATAGCCTCCATGAGCTCCTTGGCAGAGCGTTGTCGTCTATTCTGATCGGATTTCATCGAGACGGTCAGAGGGAACACCAATGCTTGTGGATGCGCTTTGCCCACTTCACTAAGCAGTTGGTGGATAGATTGTCGGATTGTTGGATTCGGCTGATTAATGCGAGCAAGAAGTTGAGGAATGACCTCGAGCCATGTGTCGATGGGCACTTGCTTGGTGCCGTCCGACACTGTCCGGTTGACGTCAGAAATGCCACCATGGCTGAACCAGAGTGTAAGAAGACGAAGGGTATCCTGAAGCGAGCTAGATGATGACAAAGCGATAGACTTGAAGAAACCCATGATGGCAGGGATAATGTGCTCGTGCACGACGTTTGGCGGTAATTCGGTGGACTCGCGGTCGGCCTGCGAAGTGAGTGAGTTGACAACTTCGAAGTTAGCTAGCGCCCATGAGTGCCACGCCTTGTACCAGTCTTTGTTGTATCGCGTTGCCGCAGAGTAGGCGGATAGGATCTCGTGGACCTGGTCGTGTTCCCATTCGCCGTTTTGGATATGTGACTGCCACTCTCCGACTTTGTGATAGCACTTAGCAAGCAGCCTCTGGCAATCTACCAACTCCGCAGGCGAGCTGAACACATTTGAGCCGTTCAGCATGCTGGATCCATTCATACCATTGACGCCATTGACGCCATTGGCAGCCGCGAAGGGGTTCATTGGGCTCACAGCATGACCGTTAGTCATGCCGTGCATTCCGTTCGGTGGCATCATTCCGTTCTGCGCGGCTCGAGCCTTTATTGCTACATCGTCCGCCAATCGAGCGGTGAAGTCTTTGAGCATTTCCAGTGCCTCCTCTCTATGGCCAGGCGTACCCCACATGAGCTTGAAAGCCGCGTATGACACAGGGTATGGAATCTTGCTGACGTTTTCGCGTACACATGCGAAAACATCACCATTGTCGATGTCAAGCAGCTTTTGCAGACCCTTCTCTGCGAGTCCCATGCGCTCGTTCTTACGGCAGAGATTGGTGTACTTGATCCACATATCAAGACTCTGCTGAGGAGTGATGACGAGTTGGCGGACCTTCATCATGCGTTGCCAGACTTCGGGGTTTGGCTGTAGCCCCTTGAGACGCTTCATCCAGGTCCTGCGCATGCTAGCTTGCTTCTCGAGGTTCCCGTCGTTCTGCTTGTACATCATGATTTCTTCCAGCTCGGCCAACATCTGGACGCGGATCATGGGGAGGTACGCGCGCTGGTACGATTCACCTAGTAGCGAGCTTAGCTCCGTATCGAGACCTCGCCGTGCCTTAGCAATCTCCTCCGTGGCGATTTCAAAGCGGTTGTTGTGAATGTTGACGATGGACGCGAAGAAAGCTCGGTCGGGCGACTGCTCCTTCATGACGGTAAGGTAAGAGTCCATGTCGGCAAACTTGCCCAGACCCCACGCAGCAGCGGCAGCAAGCGGTGCTATCGCTTTGCGGTACTCTTGCGACGCATTGGCCCACTTCTCCTTGGACAAGCTGGAAAGTAGGTCCCACTCTCCCAGCGCATGCAGACACCTCATCTTACCCATCGTAATTTCAAATGAGTCTGGTTCATCCCGCTCACGACGTTGATAGGACGTCAGCGCCTCCTCCCATTTCTGCAGCTTCTCAAACCACGTCTCCTTGAGCTCGACATCGCTGTATCCCTGCGCTTTACGCAATATGCCAAACGCTGCATCAGTCTGCTGTAACTGGTTGTTAATACTAATAAGAGCCTCTACAGCACTTGAATTCTGCTCCGCGTTGAACTCGAGCTCCTTGTAATGGAGCGCTTTGGCAAAAGCGTGACACTTGCCCGCATACATACCGAGGATCCTAACATCGATAGGAAGGGCTTTGTCGTCATGCTCCATAAACTCGGCGAGGTTGAGCAGTATCTGAAGGATCTCAGGTGGAATATTAGGCGACGTGAGAGCCGTCTCAATGGACCGCACAAGCTCTTCCTGGTATTGGTCATACAGCTCGGTCCAGCATGAGACGAATGCTGAGTTGAATAGGGTCCTGGCGATCGGATTGTAGACACTCGCTAACGGCGTGCAAGCCCGCAAAGCCTGCTGCGGTGACTCTCGAAGCAGCTCAACGCTGAATCGCCGCATCCATTCGACCCAATCCTCCCGTGTGGTCTTTGATGAAGCTTCCCAAGCCTGCTTCAGATGTTGCTGGTTAACAGCGAGCTTCTTGGTCTGGATCTCCGCAGGGTTGATATCCTCGTCGTCCTCGCCATATCGCTCGTCTGGACTGAGATCCTGCGGTAATGGCTCGCCCCGCTGAAGCTTTGCGACGATGCGTCCGTAATTCTCATGCGGCACTTTGTGAGTAATGAGAATCTTGTTGACCGTGGGTACGAAGTGGATGTAGTCCGGTCCGAGTTGGAAGATGAGAGCACAGAGCGTCTCAAGCGCAGCCTGCTTCAGAGTAGAATCGCTGCCTGCAAGCACACGGCAGATAGGCTGGACTATGCGTGCCGAAAATTCCGAGATGTTGACTTGCTTTGAGAGGCGGCCCAATGTCTCCATTGCCAGCTTACGAAGAAACACAGGCTGACCTGGTTTGTCGAACATGTTGACCATGACTGGTACAATGAGATGCATATACTCTTCCGCACTGGAGCCAAAGATAAGGAACGCATGTAGGACTCTCGTCGAGGGGACACGCTGCGGCGTCTGATCCGCCTCCATGACGCCCAGCATCAAGGGCAGAACATCCGCTAGGTAAACCTTGAACTCTCCTTCTAGCGACTTCGCGATAGATTCTATGAGCGAGAGAATCGTTGCCTGGAGCTGTGTACTGCTACCCCAGAAGTCCTGGATTGTGGCGAGAATGGACGGTAGGTAAGGGCGAATATGCTGGCGGACAATGCGGACGAGCTGACTGAGCTGATTGAAGTAACCCTCGGTTCTACCGGTGGGCGCAGCGCGGATGACCTGCAAGAAGCCAGGAACCACCATATTAAGGAAAGGCACGCATTTCAAACCCATCGTAGCGTAGATGTTCATGACAGCGTCTACAACCGAGGAATGGAATTGCGATAAGGATGTGTCCTTCAACAATCCCATAAGGGTGTTGATCACGATAGTTGGATAGTATTCCTCATTCGAGGGCGTGATACCCTGCATGATAAGCGAGACATCAGTAACGGCTTGTGCCTCGAGAATAAGATGCTTGTCGGGGGACTGCTCCATGATTTTCTGGTACTCGTCTGGGTCGAGGGCACCGATCGTGCCCATTAGCTTGACTGTCTCACGACGCAGTTCACCTTCAGGCTCGCTTTTGACAATGTTCATGAGAATGTTCATGAGTTCGGGGTAATCGCGGTACGGCTCCATCACGTAGCCGACGTGTGTTGCCAGCTGTCCGAGAGCACGTAGAGCGGCAAAGCGTTTGGAGTCTGATGCCAGATCTTGCATGAAGTCCAGGATTATGGGCATGAGGTCGGGGATGTACTTGGTCATGCTTTCGCCGCCAACTGTAGCCAGGTCGCCGATGGCTTTGAGTGTCGTCGAGGCAACTTCCGGGTTCGGATCCTTCGCTTTTGGGAGTAGCACAGCGACGATGGGGTCCACCAGCGGCTTAATCAGGTGATCCGCCGCTCCGACGAGGTTACTGATCAAACGAGCACTCTCTTCCTTGCTTCGGGGACTATTTGAGTAGTTGACTTCGGTCAAGAGCTGTAGCAGGACTTTGCGTAACGACGGGAAGACATAGGCAGGGTTCACCACCGTAAGACGTCCAATAATAGACATTGCAGCTTCGCGGATAGCGAAGACCTCGTCATTGAGAGCCAGAAACAAAGTGCGGATGTTATCCGCCTTTCCAAGGTGGCGGTCAAAGCGAGCGTCAAGCGCCATCAGTACCTCCCAGCGGATCTCGGGGTCGATGTCACCTACGCCGACTGAAAGAAGCTTCTCAATGATGTCGCCGACGACCTTGGTAGCTTGGACGCTTGTCTGGTGGACGATGGGGTCTTTCACGAACAGCTGGCAACATGTCAATGCTGCGCGTTTGCGGATCTCGGGGTTATCCGCTTCGACGTATCGGATCGCGACATCGCGCACGAACTCGTTCAAAACGTGGCCGGTAAAGTCGAAGCTGCCAAGCGTGTGGAGAGCAAGTGCAATCTCTTGTTCCCGCGAGGCGATGATGGTCGGGTCCTTGTGATCGCGAGTCCAAATAAGGGGGGGCTGACGCTCTTGGTGGGGACTACCCAGCGGCAAGTAGTGTCGCCCCGCCAGAATCTGACTGAGGAGATCCAAAAGCTTCTCCTGAATAATTGGTCGACAAGGCGGTACATAGTGTGCCATGTCAACCAAAGCCTGGAAGAGAGAATCGCTCAGCCCGCACGAAAAGATGGGGTCCAGGAGCCGTTCGACATTCTTGCTAAGAGCCTGCCCCACAGCGGCAGCAATCATACTAAGACATTGAAAGATCGGGGCTTCGTTGATGGCCTTGTTGCGTGCTTTTGCGGTGAGGCCATCCTGGATGAAACCTAGTATCCCATCAAGGTACGGCGCAATCGCAACCCCCACGGCATTGGAGATCTGACCTATTGCCATGAAAGCCTTGTCCCTATCGCGATCCTTCCGGATGAGCCCTTGAAGATGTAACATGCACTGATGCAGGTACTTTGCGGCAAATTCGGTGGGCGAGTAGCTGGCAAGAATAGGAATGATAAGCACGACCTCGCGTCTCACAAGCGCATCGCGATGCTCCCTGTATTTCAAGACCGTCTCGACCGTCTCCTTGTACTTTTGGTCGTTCATGAACATGGCGCTCTTGTCTAGCAGCTCCTTCATCGTGAGCAGAGACCCGTGTATCGCCTCGTTGGTGTTCAGACCGAAGCCCTTCAAGATCTCCTCGTACACTCTGCTGAACCACAAGTGGCGCATCTGCTGGTCGCGCGGGGAGATGATCTCGAAGCAGGCGCTGATGGCCTCGGCGGCCGACTCCCTGATAAGGACCTTGGGGTCTCGCAGGGCGACCCATATGACCTCGAAGATCTGCGCGATCCACTGGTACATGAGCGTGGGCGAGTTCTTTGCAAGCTCGCGCAGGATGAGCACAGCAGCGAAGCGCCTGCTTTCTGTGCGCTCCATCTGCAGCCACTCCAGCGCTACCTTGACCTCTGCCTCCACCAGCTCCGCCGTGAGCGTTCCACCCGGTTTCGCCAGCCGGCCGAGGGCCTTCGCAGCGACGACCATGGAAGTATTGTCTGTGCCACGCATGACGCTACGGAGGTAGCTGGCGAACCGCGTCGTCTTCTGGCCGGCATCGTCACCGCGGAAGTCGATGAGCGAGTTAAGCGCATAGATGCCGCCGATGCGGTCGCTGGAGTCGCTGCCGGCCACGATGAGCTGCGAGATGCGCATGTTCACATCATTGTAGAATTGCTGGAAGGCCTGCGGGGGCAGTTCTGCGCGCTGTGAGCCCGGGTCGCCTCATGGGAAGCATGCTTCGTGCACGCAAGCTCAAGCTCACCTCGGTGCGCATTCTCGACCGTTTGGCGCACCATGTGCGCCGCCTTCTGGCGGTTGTCGTCATTCCTGGTCGGCGGTCAGCTCGGCACCGCCACATGTTTGCTGGCCAGCTTACTTGGAGCGCAACTCCTGGACGATGCGGTCCACCGTCGACGCCAACGGGATGGGCTGCTGCTGCGTCATGGCCATGTCGACTGCACCGCACCGCAGTCGCTTGTCGACTTCACCTGAGACGCGCGTGTGCGTCTTCCATCAAAGCCTGGAAGCGCGTGTAGGGAGGGGAGAGGAGGATTGCGGGGAATTAAAGCTATGGGAGGTGTTGCGGCTCTCTACCATCACGAGCAGTGCGCCGCCAAGCTAAACCTTATTTGCTGACCGCGGCTCCATTGGGACAGCTCCACCCCGGTGCCTGTCACCGCAAGCGCAGTATATTGGGCATTCGAGCTGCCTGTACGATGGCAGTCGAATGCCAAATGCCAAATGCCAAATGCCCACCCTCAGCATTCGTCGTCGCGTATCTCATGTATATGTACCAGGTTTCGAAAAGTATTCGATGTTGCACAACACAGGGCGTGCCCATGATATACTCGCACACGTATCTACAGTATAGCTCAAAGTTATTACTTCGTACGCACGCGTACCCCCTTGACACCAATAGTCCCCGCGGAGTCTCATCTCATCACCGCAAATCTATTTGAGGTAACCGCGTGCCAAATACATCTCACCGTCACCGTCGGTCCACCTACCCAATAACCTCCGCGGCCACCCTCCCGACCAACGCTCCCGCCTCGCTGAAGAAGATCCCCTTCAGAATCGTTTCTCCTTCCTCAAACGTCCACATCCCCGCGTCCGCCAGCTTCTGCTTCCACCGTCGCTGGGCATGCGCATCCAGTTCGTCCCACCGCTTGGCCTCCGTGTGCTTCTTAACGACATCGTGCTCGCCCTCATGGACTTCGGTGCTTAGCGCGCCGTCAGTCTCCGGGTCGTGATGGATGACAAGAGCCTTGGAAGATGAAGGCTGAGCGGCGGTGACGGAGTGAATGTGTAAGTGGAGGAGGTCGCGGAGACGGTGCTGCGCTTTTGCGACGGGGGAGTCTGCGTTGTTGAGGTCGGCGGCGCTCTTGACGTCTGACACGATTGCGGCGGGCGCCGGGGCATTCTCGCTGATGTCGCGCATGCTGTAGACCAAATTGCGCGTCATGCTGTCTCCGTTGCCAAGGAGGCCTTGGAGCATGAGCGCGATTGCGGCGACGACCATGGCGATAACGAGGTATTTCGCGCCCTCAGCAATTGCTTTGGATCGCGCGCTCTGAAGGACGTAGGCTGAGTCTGGTTTGCTGGAGCTGGGGTGTACTTCGAAAGTTTCCACGCTGATGGAGTTGCCTAGAGACGTGGTGCCCAGGCGGAGGTACTGAGGGGCCGACTTCTTGCTCTGGCTGGATTCTGGCTTGAAGAACGGTGAAAAGACGACCTTGGTCATCTGCAACTCATGCACCTGTAGACGTAAGCATCTCTGGTAAATCCATCCCGAATTCTCCCTCCAGGATGGCATCAACACGGCGGACTTACATTGTAATACGTCGCAAACGGACTGAAGCTACTTGTTGTGTTCAGATTCCGGCCCCGATAGTTGATCGTCAACACGCTGAGCGAGATGTCAATAGCAGCCACCGCAACCACAGCTTGGTACGCTCCGTCCTCATCGGCGTTCAGCAGTGCGACGTCCATATCAACAGCCGCCTGCACATGCTTAGGGAACCTCTTTCTCAGGATAATTGAACCGGGTTTGCCCTGCTCATACAACCTCAACACCAGCACCTCGGCACCCGTTCGGTTAGGCTTATTCGCAAGCAGTAGGATATGTGATGGCGACAACCAGCGAATACACCTGATCTTGGAGCGGCCCTTCTTCTCGCCGACGTCCGGCAATGGGATGGTATATGCGTGCGTGCGGTCTTCTGCCTTGCCCACATTCTGCCTCTTCGTAAAATCCCAGCGTACTTTCTGTATGTAGACATCGTTGTCCAAGCAGTATGCGATCTGGAACTTTCCATCTCCTTGGTCGAGGATATCCAAATCGTTTGCCTCCTGGCCCTTGTGCAGCGCTATCCTCTGGATCACATCTTTGGGCTTTTCGGGCTTGTTTGAGGTCGCGCTGAAGACCACAATCTCGTTCTCGTCTCCCGCAAGGCTCGAAGCTACTGCGCCGATACGCTTGTTGGGCGTGCCCGATGCCGCCCGCTGTGCCGGCGACAAGCGTACCACGCGCTGATATCCCTCCTTCTTCGCACCCGTGCTCTTCGGCGGCGTGAACAGCGCGGTCTTACTCAGAAGCGATATCTCGCCCTGCCCTTCCGCCTTCTTGGGAAACCGCACCTCAAACCCTTTCAAGCACTCGTTCTTGCCCGCGAGCCTATCCTCCTCGCTGTCGTTGATGCCCGCAAACAACACGCAACCGTCCTTGGTGCCCAGATTTGCGAGACACGTTACCGAGTCATGCTCGCTCGCGTCTATCTCGGCACATGGCTCTACAGTCGGCGAGCGGTCGGTGAAGTCGAAGACGGAGATCTTGTTCTTAACACCATGGCGGCCCGCACCGCCGCCACCGCCCACGATGAGGCATGATGGCTTGCTGGTTGCCCAGGTGGCCGAGTACAGCGGGTACGACGTTTTCGCTTTGGAGACGGTAGGCCGCGACATCAGGAATGATTACGTCTGCGGCAGTCTGGGTGGGGTGGAATGGGCGGGGGCTGATGCGTGTGCGCGCAAACAACTGATGGGGGATGCGTATGCGCGCAAGCGAATATGTCGTCAATGGCTTGCGTCGTGAACGGAGAGTTGTTTTCGTGAATGGATCAAGACAAGGCGGCGGCGCCAGGTGCCATCAAGTAGGAAGGTAGCCCGCTGGTGCCCGTAGGGGATTTGCTTCTTTAACACGTTGCCGTTGCGCGGAGTTTCGCGAGTGCTTTGGGACATGGTCGTCATCGCCGGCGCCCGCGCTTTCCCCAAAACACGAACAGGGGTCTGCTTCGCTTATCGATAAGTCGAGGAGCTTCAAAACGGAAGCGATGACACGACCGCAGCATCTCGAGGCAGAACCTCGCCATGGCAGGCAACAAAACCAGACCCGTCAAGCGGGCCACGAAGCCGCTCACTGCGCCCGCCATCCCCGACCCATTCGAGCCTGCACCGGAAAGCCTCGCGCCACTCCTCGACAATTTCGACAAGTCGTCTGTCTACATCACGCACGTCGACAACCATCCAGCCTGGTTCAAGAAGCGCGTGTTCACCGTTCCACTCGGCCTCAACGTTGCCATCGCGCTGCTTATACTATGGCGGGTCTACAGTGCGGGTCCATGGTACTGGGCGGTCATCATGTCGGTCCTCGGGAACGAAAATGAAACGACAATACACTGGGCCGCCTTGACTTGGGGCCAGCTGCTGGGAAGCGTGGCGTGGCGCGCAGGAGTTTTCCTGTTCGACTGGCTGGTTATCACAGTGATTGGGCCTTGGCCGTGGACCTTCTTCGCAGAGTCCCCGGGCAACCCCGTCTCCTGGCGCCTCAGTGTAGGCTTTCGCGAAAAAGAGGTGTACGTCAGGGAATCGAGGGGATGGGGGGCAAAGGATTTGCTAGGTGAAGCTGAGGGGTCAAGTGGGAAGGCCGGCGCCGATAGCCCCTTCTTCAAGACGCGTATTCTGCCCGCCGTGGACCGCCGCAGATTGACTGAGAAGACGGGCTACCTGCTCATGGACAAGGACTTCGACCTCGTCTTCGGTGCCATGGTGGACGCCACTCGCTTGATTGACAGGAAGACCGTGTCTGTCGACGACTTCCGCACCAGTGTCTTCGTCTGGGTGGGCAAGGAGGATGCAGGGCAGTGGGTGGTTTGGCCGTGCGGGAAGCTTGACGATGGTTCAGAGACTGAGGCACGAGAGAAGATCATACTATTCAAGGACCGCTTGACCGCCATGGGCAAGGAGTCACTCTTCTTCAAGTGGATTGAACTGGTTCAGTATGAGAGCTCCGCGCCCGGCGAGTTCACGTACGAGAGGCAGGCCGCAACTGCAGAGAAGGCGAAGCAGCTGTTCGAGAATGCAGGGGTCGACTTTGACGCGTTCGTCAAGGACATAGGCGGTCTGCAAGGCATGCCTGGAATGGATTAGGTCGGTCGTTGTGCTTATGAATGATACCCACTTTCGTCACGATCACGATGACTCTGCCGCCACTCTTCAGAGTGCCTACACAAGACCAGCGTTCATATTCTTACCCTACGAGGGACGATTCAGTGATCAATTCTCTAACCCGATGACGTGGAAATAGTAAATGCGTCACACAAAACCGCAGAGAGGCGAGTTACTTCGCTAGGCACGAAACAGCTCATGGTGAATAACGAACCTGACGCGATCATGATGAGCTTCGTATTAATACGTCCAGATTGGATACCAAAGTACGACAATGGCTACCACGAGGTGTACGTACTGAATATCGACGCTTAAGTTTTAAATGGAACCGACGAAAGCCCTAAACCGCGTATCACGGTTATGTGCCACTCGGACCGTGCACCCCAAGTGCTGAAGACCCCTTGATAAGAAACAGTATAGTTTTTCTCCCTTGTTTTCACTCACAGGACACCGTGCCCTTGAGGCTTAGGTGAGCCATTTGCTCAAGAGAACGTTTCAGGAGTCGTCCTGGCGAACAAATAACGCCACTACTAGCCCGGGCCGGTGCTCGTGCTCGTGCTCACACTCGCGCTGTTACACTGCACAATACGGCGAATTTGAACAGCATTATACAGATAGTATGGCCTTGGGCTGGCGGTGGGTATAAAACGATAGGGTTGTGACAGTTTTTCCTACCATCCCAACCAAAAGCGAAAGCAAAACGCAACCCAAAGCTAGCAAGCACACTTTAAGCAAAAAGCGCAAATCAAGAAGACCAAATTGAGCAGTATGTCTCAGTCCCCGCAGTCTCAGCCCCAAACCCACGGGGCCAACCGCCATTCCCGCCCCGTTTCCGCGCGCGGACATGCCTCATCTGGTCTGCGTCAGAACGCCAACCCGCATACTGGAGTTTCAAGCCCGAACATCCAGTCCCACCCCCAGGCCCATCGTACCCTCGCCACCCTGGCCCAGGCACTAAAGCGTGACCTGGCCTCCCTCATGCACCGCTACCCCCACCTCCGCGGCTCCGAGCACTTCACGGCGATCGACCAGATTCGTGATACCTTTCTCTCATTCGCGAGCAAGACCTGAAGTTCCGAGCCCGCTACCGTGTGGACATTGATCGTGGACTTGCACTTGCTATTGGAGATGTCGTGAACCGGTCTCAGGGGAGTACCGACGAGCACGGTTATCTAAACCGTCTTAAGGATATTCTGTGGAATCAGACCTATCCCCAGACACAGCAGAATGGCAGCTTGGGTGTCTCAGATCCACTTGCTGTGCACTCACACGCGCAGTCGCAGCCCGCACGCTTGTCTGTTCGTGAGCCGCCCACCCAGCCGCAGCGCCACGACTCACCGCACCGTGAAGAACAAAGTGGACCTCATCCAGAGCCCCATCGCCGTGAGAACCACCGCTCGTCTCGCTACACGGCATCTCGTGCTCCCCAGCCCGCTCCCACCCATTCTACTCCACACGGCGCTCGTACATCCCACGGCGTCATAGTGGGTCTCCAGCGTAACCTGCGTACTAATACTCGTACTCCTGTTCCTGTTCCTTGCAACACCCCTTCCTATACTTCAACCGCTGCCTCGGAGATCCAGGGCTACGATAAGTGGCGGCCCACCGACGAGCGCCACCTGCCTGAGCGCGATGAGTTCTTCAAGCACGAGGTGCGCAGCAAGTGGAAGCGGTTTGTGTTGAACATGAAGGAGCAGAAGCAGGCAGTTCTTAAGGGGGTGAAGTTTTGGGAGCTTGAGTAGAGCAGGTGGATAGGGGGCGAGTAGTAGACGTTGGGCTTGTGAGATCGTTCAAGGTGTTGTTGCTGTAGAGGCGATGCGGGGATGAAGAGCACGAGTTATGAATGGAATGTGTGAGGTGAGGTGAGGTGAGGTGAGGTGAAGTGAAGTGAAGTGAAGTGTTGAGTTCGCAGAACATCGAGGCTGTAGCCCTGTCCTATCTCAGGATCATCTGAGCGAGAAAGCTCAAGACGTGTTGTAAAGAATGTTCAGGTGGCAGATGATGTAGTTATATACTTTCAAATCAGACGTGAGTATAGCAGATAAGTACCACTTACATACTGGAAGCAAGTTATGTGAATCGATTGTGCGTGGGAAATGCGATTACATGTATATATATTTACAAATGAACACCAGGGTATCGTACATCTCTCCTACAACCTTTCCTCACCGCCTCCCTCTTCCCTCCTCTCCCTAACCTTCCCTACTTCTTCACCTCAAAATCCTTACTTGGATCCGTCGAATGCTTCTGCAGGTGATTGTCAAACTCCTTCCTGCTGAACACGCCCTCGCGCACTTTATGCTGGTTCTTATGCGCTGCCATCGCGTGCTTAGCCACTGTATCACCATGCCTGTCTTCCACGGGCTTCGGCGCTTCGAGGTCGGAGTGCTTTGCGTGGTCGATCTTCTCGGAAATCTTCTGGGCGGGGGAGGAGGAGGAGGCGTCGGATGAGGTGCTGGTGTAGTAGTATGCGCCGGCAGCGAGGGCGGCGGCGGAGGTGGTGAGCCTGGCGGTTGTTAGTGGAAGGGCATCTTTGGCTTGGGAGGGTGAAGGATGGAGGTAGAGCTTACCAAGTTAGTCGCGACGACGTCTTTAGCGTCTGCTGTGTGCGCTCGTCGTGGCCGGTCGCGTAGCCCCGTCGCAGCGATGCGCGCGAGGCAGTTCTGACATTTGCGCGGAGGAATTGGGTGGGGAGAGACATTGTTTGTAGATTGAGAGGATATCTGCCAGTACAGATCTTGGGGAAATCCAGAGCAGTATGTTGTCTATGTTGGGGTAGGTGTAATTAAAGCTGTAGATGTGGTTGCTGTTGAGCTGTGTTGAATGTTGGTCGCTCATTACGTCATTGCGTGCTGCGCGCCTGGTTTCAGGAACGCGTGCCGTCGCGACTGGGCGTGACGGAGGACGGTCTTGGGAGTACGGAATTGGTTAGCGAGAATCGAGAGGGCGTAAATCAGAGCGTCAGTTCGAATTAACAATCCAGCGGAAAACCAGTACGGTGTTCTGTGTTGGTATCCCAGTTCCTCCAATCGCTACCTCAATCAGCTAATCTTGCTCCAAGTACGAAAGTATGAAGTGATGACAGGTTTAATTCTGTGACCGACTAAGACGGTGAAGACCAGCCCATTGTTTCAGAGAGACAGGCAAAGAAGTCTGACAAGAGGAGAAAGAAAAGATTTGACAATACGGGAGATATCAAATTCCCTTAAATTCCCAGAGTCCGCTCGTCACGACATAGAAATCATTCCCGTAGGTTGCGTCGCGCTTCCCAGCACTTGAGACCTCCATTCCCAGACGACCAGAGCTAACTAACCCTATACCATGTCCGATATCTTATCTAATGTCTTGTGTGGTCCATAAACTTTCGGACGGTGTATAAAGTAAAGTGCAGTGAAACCTGCATTAATCCCTATCGGAATAAAAACCATCAGCACTTCAAGCGCCGTCGCACCAGCCGCAGACGAAAAACAAGCCGCACTCAAAGCGCAGAGAAGGAGGGTTGGCGCGATGTCCCGGTCTTTCCTGATGTGCCGAACAAGCTCATCAACGCCGTTGCAGGAGTTCATGACGAGACAGAAAACAATAAAATAGGTGTTGTCGATCACGGGAGTTGGAGGATTCTACACGAGCTTGTTAGAAGAGGCGATGCAAAGGTAAGCAAGAAAGCTTACACTTCGGCGGACAGCAGGAACGATGTTGCTCGGGGTCTCTACACCTAGATGCAGGAAGTTGATGGCGATGCACCACGATAGCAGCCATCCCCAAGCCAGACCCCAACCGCCGATGATTCGAGTAGGACGTGGTGCTTCATCCTCGTTGGTGTTGCATGTTTTGTGTTCTTTCGCGACGCTGACATCACCGATCTTTGCCTCTTCATCAAGTGCGCATTTTTCCGACATCATAGATTTGGGAGCGGGTATGCTAGAGCTCTTCTGGGCCTGAAATTCGATGAGGGTTTGGAGAGAGACTCGATATGTCGTCGTGATGATGTGCGGAACGGTACGTCGAGGCTGAGGATCGCAACACGAGATGATGCTGGCTTGGCGGTTGCCTTCGTACTGGTGTTCCCCTCACCGGTGAACCTTGACATCTCGACTGGGTTGGATCGCTGCCCCGCTTCCTGAGCACACTTGATCTTACTCTCCAGCCTGACCACGGCATTACCGACACATTTTCGCATCGCATACACCAGCAATCGATCGTGCTATCGTGAAGATATATCGGGCTCCTACCTCTGACTTGCATACTTAGTACATTTTGAATGGTCCCCAGGCATTGTCTATACGTACTCTCATCTAAAGGCGTCAATCTCAAACCGTGCGGCAACATCATCGTACAATATCTGCTGCAATGAAAGGAAAGATGGCTGCAAATTGGAGATGGGAGCTCTATACCCTGTGCACCATAGACGCACTATTCATCCCTCTCATTGGGGAGGGATTGGAAGGCACAGCTAAAGGGATAGGCTTGGTTGTGTACGTCTAGTTAGTCGAAATAGTCGTTTCGACTACCCTCTTAGCCTACTTACAGTCTCGAAGGCTAACTACAGTGGGGCAGAGTATACTCTATGTGGGCCATGTTGCTCGGCTTGTTCGGAGCGACGTTCTTTGAGCGAACGTCGGGCTTCATCATGTATGTATAGCCAGTGCGAGCCCGATCCATTGAGCCTGACGGTGACCTAGTCAATGTTTCTACTACCTCTTCTGCATGGCAGTCCTTCTCGCCTTTTTCGGGTCCTTCCCGAATGTCGCGCTGCACCTCTGGCTGCCGATAAGCTCCTGCCTGGGAATATTTGTTGGCATAGCGTTGCGAGATTGCTATACGCACACAACAAAGCGTACGCGACAATGCATACATAAAGCCCTGTTGGGATGGACTCGTGCCAGAGAGCCACTTCTACCTCTCCACAATCGCTCTAGGGATCTGTGTCTCATCGTACACACCCAGCCCTGTGCTACTCGACAGCAGTGCAGAGTCCATCTGGTAAGCAAGACATGCGACGAATCGAAAGTGCCGACGGACGTGTACGATTGCCGAACGAGACCCCAAGACAGGCAGCTAAGTCAGCCACACTGATGCCAACTGCGCAGAGATTCTGCGGTGATGACCATCGCCCAGGAAAGTGGATCTATGACTGGACGCTCTCACAAGACTACGCTGCTTGCGATTTGAATGGGTTCGCCCATCGCGAGATACCCCTGCTTTCTCTCTTTTCTCCAACCCCATTTACCATCTCTGAACTGTATCTCAATGTCTTTTTAACAGCTTCAGCATGCATCTTTGACACTCCAGCATTTCTCGGCGCCTTGCATCCTCCATCCACCGCTGCTAATACGTGGAAGGCGGCATCTTCTTATTGCATAGTGTGGACTTGTCGTTTCGATTTTATTTGCAACATGATCTCGCGGCATCTCCAGCATACGTCGGCGTCTTAGCATCTATCCCAGGCCAGCAGAACCTGGGTGGCAATTTCCATCTTCTGATTGCACATCACTGCATAGCGTTCATTCCTTTTTTCATATTGCATTGTAGGTGACCTGTCTTCAAACGCCTCATCGTTCCTTGCATAGCCAAGCATATATAGGCATTTCTTATCTCCTTCAAGCATTAGCATAGCATGGTTTAGCATTTCAATGGCGCCATTCGTTTCGCGGACTGGGCAGCTCCAGCGGATACAAACCAATCACGTGCCTCGATGTATTGTGGTTCGCAAGACATGGAGCTCGAATTGGCGGGTCGGGCGCTTACTGAATCAGAACTCAACGCTAAACGGTATCCAAGTCTACTGCTGTGTATGTTCCTACCATGACCTTGAAAAGATTATCAGCATTTGCCCCAAACTCCAGCCAGCACAGATCCCGTCTTTCGGCCCACAAGTGCCTGAGTATCGGTTCATTAGATGCTCCGCAATATGCCTGCTAGTTCGTCCGCTCGATGGTCAATACACGTCTTGCGCGAGAGTCAAGGCATTCCTCTATCGGTCTTGCCACACTTTCCGACTGGACATGTGGGTTCTTTGATTGATTTTACTATGAGACATAGCGGAGGGTGTAAAAGGTCGGTGTTGCTCCAAAATTGATCGTGAAGCCGATTTGCAAAGTACTCGCGTGATTAACGAGTACTCGATTGCTTCAAATGTTGTGCGAATAACGCTCTTTGGCTGGCGTGTTGAATACTCTAGAGGAAACCGAGAGTGGTTATCGCCTCAAACAAACATACGTGTAGATTCTGGTTTATGATCGGTCGAGTTCGGTGTTTCGGTGTTTGGGTTCATGGAGGGGCGGAGCGAATGATGATGGCTCGCGTAAGCCAGACTTCCCAAACGAAAGATGAATGCATGGGATGGTTGAACATACTGAAACTTTAAGACTGCATAATTGCTCATTAGAGAAGTGGTGGTGTGTACCTCGTATACTTGTGGCCTATGCATAGTTCCAAATTCAACGCGCTTCGTTGATACCTATGATACTGGGAACTGTGTCTTGAAATAGTTTGAGTGCCTCATCTGGTCTCTCTACAAACCTCATCACCTATTAGTATCAATCAATTCTGTGCAGCAAAGGCTGTTGTACGCTCCAGCACCGAGGCGTAGCTTTGAGAACCGGCACCTGGATCCGAGAGCGGGCCTGTGTAACCACCCGAACGCCGACTGATTACTACTTATCTTCGCTTGCTGTGCCAATATCATATACTCATGGAGGGAGACACGGTAAAATGAATATAAAGAGCTGCCGTGTCGCGTCGCTGTGGCGCTATTTCGGACTCCGACGCTCCACCATTGATACATTGGGCACTCCCTCATCCGTAACAGCTGACCGGACACCAAAAGCAGGTGCAACATTACTTTGATACAAAATATAACAGAGAAAGCAAGGATGACTTCCAGAATTAACACGATCCTAATCATCGGGGGCACTACGGGCATAGGCGAGCAGCTTGTGCGCCGTTTCCATGCATTGGACAAAAAGGTCATCGTCACGGGTCGTAACCAGGCCAGTCTTACGAGTTTGGCGCAGGCACTCAATGGTCTCGAAACCCGCCAGGTCTGATACACGGCCGATGGTGCATGAGATCTCTCGCTGATGTTTATCCTCAGTTCGATATCACCGACTTCTCTAATCTTCAGTCGCACGTCGCTGGCATCCTGAAGGATTTCCCAAGTCTCGACACTGTGCTCATCAATGCGGGCATTCAAAAGAGTTTCAGCTTCTTTGATCCTTCAAGCATCGCAGCCGGCGAGATCGAGCGTGAGATCGCAGCAAACTTAACCGCGCCGACACTGCTTGTCCAAGCTTTTGCGCCACACCTGCTGTCTCTCGCCAGCAAAGGCACACCCGCAACTCTGTTTGTCACCAGTTCCACGCTAGGTCTCCTACCAATGGGTCTCTGGGCCAACTACAGTGCCACCAAAGCCGGCGTGCACGCGCTCGCCCTGAGCCTTCGCCAGCAAATTGCTTTTGCGAGCGAGGAGGCGAAGAAGAACTTCAATGTGGTGGAGATCGTGCCCCCTTACGTGGACACCGGACTGGATAAAGAGCACCGTGAGGCGACACTTGCCGCAATGGGAGAGCGTGCATTCCCGCCAATGCCGCTGCAGGAGTACATCGATCAATTTTTCAACGCGCTGGATGAGATAGAGTTGGATGGCAGCTTGAAGAAGGAGATTGGCGTTGGAACGGGGGCGATGGCTGTGCAGACTTGGAGGGAGAGCTTGGGTAAGGTGTATGAGCAGTTTGGTATGGCTACGTGAAGGACACTGAATAGATGAAAGCGCTGTTGGGGACAATTAGCGCGAACCTACAGGACTTTGAACGGGCTTGTAGGTTGAGAAGCGGAGGATTGATGCACTGGAAGGGCAGTATCATAATACAGTCATTTGATTGGACTGGCATGAGAAACAAGATAGCTATCGTATCAAAATCTGATTGCCTGTGCAAAATAGGTTCCCTCATTAGGTGACATACTCAAAGGCAGAACTAAAAACCCTGCCCGCAGTTTTCAAGCTCAGAAAAAAAAAACAGATTCATCGACTCAACTCCCTGATAATGAGTTGACAAAGATCAACGGTGACCTGAAAGCCACCGATCCCCCAATATGGGTCGCCGATTCCACCAAGCGTAGCTTCGATTAGATTTCGAGGCCTCTATGCAGAATATTGTCCATGTATCCCTTTCGCAGTTCCTCGTGATTGGTGCCCTCGGCTCCGAATTCGGTGAGCACTTCCAAAAGCTTCTCGATGAAGCGAAGTAAGTCCTTCTGGTTGTCTGGACGGGAAGGCCTTTTGGATATATGCGCCGGAGAAAGGCATAGGCGTTCTCCTCTTTCTCGAGCCAATTCATCACTGGCCTGAAGCCACCACAAAATCGATCAAATTCAGCGAATCGTGCCAGTGAGTTTTTGGCGTGCAGTTCGTACTCAATTAGCGTCTTGAAGGTTTCTAACAATTCTATTCCCGTACTACATTCTAAATGAACAATGAATCATCCAGGATATGAATTAAGATTGAAACCGCCACGGGAACTTAATTCAGACTCGTCGCGTTACGAAGATATTCTTCGCATCAGTGTCCCGGACGAAGATCTCGAAGATCATTTCCTGAAGCTCAACAGGAAGCTCCAAGAGATGCATCTTGGACGACTCTGTGCGGTTGGTGCTTGAATTAGTGAGTGGGTGGACTGGAAGTGCGGCTTGAAGTGGGTGTCATATAGGATGGGCTAACAGCAGCATAGATCATGAATACTCAAGAAAGATATACTCGAGGAAAGTTAGCGCGCTCGGGCTCGATGAAAGGTTGTGTGAGTCAGTCTCGAATGGTCCAAGCAGACATCCCAACATGGGAAAGATCACAACAAACTTGTAGGCGTAATACGATCTAAAGACTGGCTAAACAATATAATAGGGATCAAAAACCATTGAAATTAGATATACTTCTGATCACTCTTATCACGCTGGCACTCGGGTGCTCCCTTCGCGACCGATATTAACCTTGAATCCATCGAGAACTCATAGCTGACTACAATGAGGATAACACTATCAGTGCAGGCTGCCGAAAGTGAGCTCATAGGCCCCTATGCCTGCTTGCTTGCATCGGCCCTGGGGCTAAGTGGCTCTTCTTTGACGATACGCCTGTGTCGACTGTTCTGCGCATGTAGACCGTCCATAAAACATGCCCACACCGCGCAAAACCTGTTACAAGTCAGTATGTCCGAGCGACTGGTAACGATAGCCTGCACTCACGCTGCGATACCCGCGATAGCTGCAGTAACGCCTTGGCCTGCGGCCCGATCAGTCGCACTGCCAGCGATCTTGTTCGCCAACTCGACTGGGATATCATCTCTCGGTGTTGAGCTGGCATCGGCCGCCAATCGGGCGAGCGTTGCCATCAGTGCGATACAAGCGACGGAGTAGATCGCGTTCCCAGCGATGGCAACGATACAGGCCGACTTCTCGATCTCGTAACGTAGACGTGTTGTTGATATGGGCAAGGCATCGCGCTCCAGGATGAGAAGCGTGACAAAAAGGATCGCGTTCCATGCCGTTCCAAAGATCGCCTGTCACATTCCCAATTTTTAGCATGGCCTACAACGAGGATGTTTCAAAGAGTACATACCACTTGGTAGGTGATGCTGAAGGTCGAGACGGCCGGACTTAGAGAAGTAAATGTACCAGTCAAAGAGCCTCCGGCACTCGTTTCGGTGTGAACAATGTCATTTGTCCAGAGCAATGTGCAGAGGAAGCCTGCAGTGAAGAGAAGAACTGCAGAGAAGATAGATGCGCTGTGTGAATATTGCCATACGGTCTTGCGGCCGAAGGAGAAGCCAACCATTATGTTGAAGCTCACGTATTGTAATCCGAAAGTTAAAGAACACTACGATGCGTTTTTGGGGATAAGATGAAACGTTTAGTGTAGGGATAGGAGCGCCAGCTGAAGAGCTTATCTGGGCTTATAGATTTCGACATGCGGCTCAAAATGCTCGGTGCATAGCCATGACGCTTTGGTGCATGCTTTACCGATGAATACAACTCGAGGTTTGCACATGATATAGATTCCTAAGCCAACCTCTCAGCTCATTTCTGGGCGTTTCTAAACACTCCGCGTTCCACGAATCATACATGCCTCTGATGTTGCCCGAGAGCAATGTGTGCCAATCACTGCTAGGGCCGATTTGTGTGAAATCCAAGATAGGCAACTTTATTGCGAGGAAAGGCTAACAGCAGGATTATTGGGGTCCGGAACTAGTAGGAAGGATTTGATCATCGCTGCGCTGATCTTGGCATTGGATTGCTTACGCCAAGTCTCCATCCTTATTGGTACAGGTGCACTGCGACGTCAGTGGCCTTCGTGTTTTCTACAGACCAGTCGTTGATCGATGATGTGTCTTGATGCCTCGTGGTCTGACAAGTGGGATCTCGTAAGATTCGAGCCCCAGCTCGATAATCACATGAGGCTCCGTGGTACTCCATACTGACCACAAACGTAGCAGGCTGATAAAATCAACGCGAGCTCCGTATGTTAGGATCTTGAAGTGTAATCACAAGGCTTATGATGCCTTTCCATCATAAGATTATTCCTCATCATTCAGATGCTGAGGGCAAGTTGAGTCCGAAGTGGTTCAAATCGCCCAAGTCGCCCAAGCCACAGAAGTCGCCAATTTCACCCAAGTCTCCCAAGTCCTCTAGACTCCTAACAGACACAGAGAAGAACTTCGACTTTATTGAGCAGTGTGTGGGCTGCAACAAGGTCGAAAGCCTGATAAAATGGAACACTGAAAAGCGGAAGAACGGAGAGGAAAGAGCGACATCGACTCTTTTGCATAACAGCTTCAGTGAGCTGGATTCTTGCTCCAAAACATGCAAGATCTGCCGCGTGTTTCGACAATCGCTGCTTTTGGAAGAAGTCACTTTTGACGGAGTGAAAGATATTGAGGAGTCTAAAGGCAAAGTGACGGTACACTGGAAAGAGATGACCAACGAAGATGGCAGGCCTGGTGTTTTCCTCACAGTGGGGGTCGAAGACATACCCAGGCTCACTGGAGTGGTTAACTGCAGCTCTCGGAATGAGATGGCTCACCTTGCACTTAATCCCAACGGCCGCGGCATCCCTGTGTTCGAGCAGGCAAAAGAATGGCTGCATGACTGTCGCAACAACCACATCGGCGTTTGCGATAATTTGAAGTTCAATAGCGAGAACCCTCGACTCCTCATCGAGATCTTGTCGTCGGAATCCATACAGCTATGCAGCAAACAATACGGACCATGCGAATATGTCGCACTGAGTTATTGCTGGGGTGACCCGAAGAACGGAGGGAGTACTACCAACGCGAACTTTCCTGAACGTCTTCGTCCATTTGGCATCAAAACCCTCCCCGCCACTGTGCGCGACGCGCTTTACATCGTTCATGCAATGAACGTTCGATACGCTTGGATCGATGCCCTTTGTATCAATCAAGACACAAAAGAGGGTCTGGGTGAGATGCACAAAGTTTACTCTAATGCGCTCTTCACGCTGTGTGCTTGCGCCACAACAAAATCGAACGCTGAACTGCTCGGCGAGCGTAAGGCGTGGACGGAAAAGACGGAATCATGCCGCCTTGGTGGACAATGGCTGACGACACCGGACATGTCTTTGAATCAGCTACGCATGAAATCGCCACTCGCGGGAAGGGCTTGGACGCTCCAAGAAGAAAGGCTGAGTCCTCGCATGCTTTATGTCTCCAGCAGCAGAGTCCATTGGTCTTGTGCCATGGGCAATAAGATGGAGCTGAAGCCCGTATATGAAGAAAAGTCTCACAAGCTTCAAAGACCATGGTATGCATTATCGGACCGCGATAATGAAGTGCCCGCTTCTCAAGAATTCTTGTTGGCATGCCATCGCGGCGAAGGCAATCTCTACCCATTCTGGGCGGACATTGTGAAGTCATATGCGCTACGAGATATGTCTAATTTGGAAGATCGACTGGGGGCCTTGTCTGGTTTGGCTGCAAGGTACTTGAGCGCCAACCCTCTTGATGAGTACCTGGCCGGTATCTGGGAAAAGAATTTACCAGAAGGACTCGCATGGAAAGTAGAGCGGGTGGCCGAGGCTAAGGACGAGAAACCGGACCCAAAGACACCCGTATGGCCATCGTGGTCATGGGCTGTGCTCCCAGTGCGGACTGCAATTGAAACGAATGTCAGGAGTCCACGATCGGCGTTTTTTCAACACATCCCCGATGTCGACTTGAAAAATCCGGACTTCCATGTTGACGAGGCAATGGCTATCACACATGGGGAAAAAATCAAGGAGATTTGTGTGACTGGTCGCACACGCCCGCTATGGAAGCCAACATCGTGTCGCGTTGATTGGTCGAGTATCAGCAGGCTCGTAGGAAAAGAGGAGAGGTTCACCTTTGCGGCCAAGCCCGAGCAGAACATCCATGCGATACAGTCTCCAGCTGGTCGTGTTCTAGTTTACGAGGACCGGAAAAGGGAGGTTGTCTGTCAGCTAGATTTCCGGCATGACGTCATCAAGTTGCAATCGGGTCAGGTAAAACTTTTAGCTCTTGAGTTAGGAGAGACAACGATGCTGTTACTGGAAGATTGCGGAGATGGAACCCACCGGCGTGTCGGTGCTGCTTGGAACGTCCGTAAAGACTTCTTTGCATTGGTAAACGATTCCGAAGTATTAGTCTTGCGGTGAATAATACAGTCTACCGAACCGCACATTCTTGCTCTGGTCACAAGAAACAGATTCATACGTCTCCTCAAGTTTGGTAACTGCTGTGGTATTCTGTCGTGCAAAACCAGGCTCGCTCCTTCCTATGGATGTTTTCCCCACAGTGCACAGAAAGTTCTCTGCTAGGCTAAATCGGGCTTGTGTAATCACCTCCGTGATTATAATCTAACATGACGTGCCATAGCTGGAGAAGATGATTCTATTATCATGAAGCCTGTTTCGATTTTGAAATGATGAATTATTCGCACTTGAAGAAAAGAAACGCCCAAAAGAACCCTACCAGAGACGAACTCTATCACAAAACAGCTCAAGGTCACCGTAATGTCGACGGTAGGTCATTTTAGAAATGTAGTGAATGCCTAATTTCTGATTATATCCCGCTCGAACCCTCCATGCTGATGACGGGATTCTTTCACGCCCTGGAAAAGATTATCTCCCACTTCTTAACCTTTCATGAAACTTCGCATCAGCTGTATGCCGATGAAAACTGAGGCTGCCAGCTCTATGGCGAGAGCCACGCAAGAAGTTCCTCTGCAAATCTTACTAAACCATCACCCTCCATTCGAATACCAGGTTCATCCTCAGCGATTCGCTTGAGCAGGTTCCTGGCAGGAGCGTGCAACTATTTGCGTTGCCACTTGTTGGAGAAGTTCGCTTTCAGGGTTTTGAGTAGGATAACGTAGGCCATGCACTGATCACAGCGCATATGTTGTCGCTTGGTAAGAGCCTTAGAGAGATCATTGGTCATCCGAATTTTGTACCCAGTTATGGGCAGAAAATTATCGATGAGAATCTTGGTGAATACGTAGTGGGAACCAGATTTTGCATGGGGAGCATTGGCGGCATGGGATTAAGCAAGTCCAGCCCCCTGTGTCGAATAATCTCCGCGTCATGCTGGAGGAAGACCTGGTGGACGGAAACTCGGGAGTAGGTGGCCGCATTGAAGATTGGATTTGTATGGAAACAACCTGCGTACTCTCCGGCCTAGTTTGTACGATTGCTCTGGATAAGATGACGCGCAAAGGTAACGTGTCCATTTCTGGATGCTTGGTGAAGTCGAACGCGAAGTGGTGCGAGTACGCATTGAGATTTTCCATGATAGGTATACGGGCGTGAACGTATCTGAAGATCTGATGCTTCCATTTTCCAGCAAGCTGTCTACGAAGTATTCCAGCTTCAGCGCTTAGATTCGCCCCCAAAATGTCTCACAACAGAAGGGGAGCAAGACCATAAGACGTGGATCAAAACACCACCTCTAGGGAAACAAAAATGTATAACGCACGCTTCCAGAAGGTTCAGAACTATCGACTGCCTGTGGTCTATACTTAGTAACCGTGGGGTCCAGTCGCTATATGATTTCGCGTGACTCATCGTTTCAAATCCCTATTATCCTCATAGTTGCATCTTCTCTAGACTAAGACGATGTTTCGAACTTCCTTTAATCCAAGTCGCCACTTATTTACCGCCTCACCATCCATTAGTCCATGAATATATGATTCCCCAACGACCTGAAATGTTGAGCCAGATCGTCGCAGTATGAACGGTGTCTCTGCGCCACAAAGTACCGCAACTCGATCTCCTTTCCGAGCGTTGGGCGGGGCAAGGCCAAAGTATCCATCTTCGGAAATGAAGAACCGTCGACCGAGGGCATACTTTATAAGCCTTGGGTTATCAGTACTAGGAGGTTCCCTGGCAGGCCGTTGCCGAATCTTGTCTGACACGAATCGGCGAGCATCTCTCCGAAGTTCACGGGTCTCAGCATTCAACGATTCGATTATTGTGCGATGTCTTGAGCGAATGCTTGCTTCCAAAGCAGTTTCGTCATGTAGACAACGGCTTTCCCAAAATGGATCAGGTACCACATAAGGGAGGGTGAAGGGACGATGATAAAGATCATATGGCTGTTTTAACCATTCTTTACCCAATGTTTCAAAGGTATTTGCATACTCAAGCCGATCTGAGGAGCTCCAGCGGGCGTCAAGCATGATGTCATCATTTGCAAGGTGTTCATCGAAGCCGTCATGTGCGAGAGTACCTTCGTCAGAAACTATACTCGCAACGTGTTCCGCGAATGCTTGGATTATTGCTCGTATCTCTGCAAATTCCAGACGGGCTGACTCTAGAATAGTCAAAGAAGGGACCGACCACTGCCAGTTATGTGGCGTGAGCGGAAGCCATGACGCAATCTTGGTCTCGTCACTAGCCTGCTGGCCAGCGAAAAGAGTTCTCCAAAATGCCATCAACCTGGTCGTTTCGGTAAGATAAGGAGCTTTGTCAATGTCTTGACCCATGACTGTTTGCTTACACTTTCCAATCTGGACCATTAGTAGGGTTGAATTCGTCCAGTCTTTCTCGATATCCTCTGGAAAAGGGTCAAAGACATTTCGAATAGTGTCGACAAGTATACCTTCCACGTTCATCCTTCTTCCCATGATAGCCACCTTGCAAGTGGTGTCGGCACAAGCTCTATATCGTGTCCAGAGCCGTGAGTAGTCCTCAACGTACTGTGACAGCACTTGTGCCTGCAAGTGCCTCTCATTGTGGATCTGCGTTCGTCTTGAGGCATTCCATACATCTTCCTCCTCATTTCCAAGTTCTCTATCACTCTCGTCTGGTAATACAAAGAGCACATCCGTCCTAACTTTAAGCTCCTGGAAAAGAGACTCGTAGCCCTTTGTGCCATCTGGGTCCATTACATCCACTATCCACTCAGGAATGAAGTGAAGAGTTGATTTGAGCGGGCGAAGAATTTCCTTTGCGCGTTCTCTACGGAACTTTTGATCCTGCATGCGATACTGGATACGTCGGTTGTCCACACCGCTACGCACAGGGAGGCTCCACCAAGGGATTGATCCTCGGTCTGTTACTTGAGCGGACGGTAGACGCGCCTGTGTAAGCGCTTGTGACCAGTCTGGAACCCACGTTGGGAGGAGTTCAATAGTTGGACAGTCTAAAAAGTGGGGCTGGCAGTGGTGCAGAAGTTCCAGCGACGACGTTCCGTGGATAATCCAAGTCGCAAATTCAACATAAACGTCCTCCACACAACGATCGTATTTTACGGTTGGCGCAGTACGTCGTGACATACCGTTCTGTTTCCCCACACTGATTGCATCGAACCACAGTCCAAGCATGGCGTAGATCTTGTCTCTTGGATCCGAGGCTAAGCAATTTCGATGTTCTGACATTTGTCTTAATAAGCGATAAGGATACGACTCGCCTGCTCCCAATACCTCATCTTTCCCGCGGGAGGGCAATGTATCTAGACTCAGCACACGTCCCACATCGGGGAAGCTCTGACGCATCTCCAGTGTGTTGACGTATATTCGCGAACATGCCAGCACCAATCGGAACCACAATATGCCATCGAATCCACACCGAACAGTTATCTTCTTGTATTTTGGTCCGAGGCCACCAAGTGCAACTTCTTGTATGATCCAAGCTCTGAACCACCAAGCGCGATTTAACAAACGTTCGATAGCTACGGATTGCTCCGAGGACATGCTTAACTTGGAGAATGCATGCTCGTGGGAAATTTCTTGGAGGGCACTCATTCCTAGCGTGCTATCGTCGGAAGGGGATCCGAGCCAGACGCTGAGACAGCTTGCCAAGCTGTAAATTTGACCCATAGCTTGGACTTGTGAGCTTTTCTCCTCATGATCTTGTTGATTAATGCATATCGCGTCAACCCAAAGTAGAATGACAGCATCGCCTTGACGCCGGTAGCGCAAGAATGAGTCGAGGTTCGTAGCGATCGGAAGATAGGACTTGTCCGGGAATTCTATGACCTCAGTGAAAATGGCATCGCCCCAGGCGTAAGACAGTGCTTCGTAGCTTTCCAATTTACAGCATTCGAGGTCGGAATTTGAGGGCGAAGAGATGTGAAGTTTTCCTCGAATAGGAGCCGAGATTTTGTGAGCAGGGTAGAGTGTGAATATACGAAAGCTCAATTGTCTATCTTGTGGAAGAGGTTTGTACCGGTATGGAGTAGTAGCCATTGATGACTCCATGATCGATACTATTCATTGAAACAAGCGTCCTGGAGTGCCAGCTCAGCGGCTGGGAACGGCAGTTAAAAGAAAGTCAAGGGCGGGGTTGAATGGGACTTGCTGCCTGGAAAGCCATGGCCTAAATTTCTTAAGAGGGCAAGTCAGCTTCAGATCCGACAATGAACGGCGGGCCATGATAGGCTCGGATACGTCCAGATGAGCTGGCCTGCACTGTCAGGCAGATACATAGCGTTGTTGGTGGTTGCGGGCTCTAAAAAACAACGTCTTCGTACTTAAGACACGCAGTCACGCGGTGCGCCGGAATCACTCAAGCAGTCATCACATAGCACATTGATGTGGATAACACCAAAACCAGAGCCGCCCTGACGGATTGTGCCTCACTGGATCGCCACCTGTAGTGGAGGCTGCAGGAAGAGGAGTAGGCAGTCGACGAGTAGTGAGGAAGTTAGGCACCGTAGCAGGCTTCTCAGTGAACGTTACTAGTGACCGGTGAGCAGACGCTGAGAGGGCGGCGATTGGTGGGCATTGCGTCAAATTAGCAACACCAGACACCAGTAATCATCAGCGGAAGCGCTGTGTAGTGTACTACCAGCCCCGCAGACGCATTAGCCTACCGCTCAAGCGCAAATCTCAAATCGTAGCAATCTGCTCAAGTCTTGCTGGTTTCAATCGCGTTCATCACCCAACAGCATTAGACCAGCGCTTTTCAGCGGTTGCAACAGCTTTACGATCGCGACAGCATTCGAATATTGGCACTCAATCGAGTCTACAAAAGTCACAAAGAAAAGCCAATTAATATTCGAAAAATGGAAGGCGGGGTAGGTTTCGCCGGTTATAGCTCACCGGAGACTTGGCCACACTGCTGTGGTGTTACTATGTCAGGGTGTGCTGCAAGGCTGCGGCACGACAACAGCTGACAAGATGCTGCGCGCTTCCATCGCTTTCTAATTCTCTACCGCTCCTTCAATGCCATGGTCCAGTTTTTATTCAAGCCAGCTAGACAACCTCGCAAATAGCAGCAGCCGTGGGCAAAAACGTGCGTCCTTCACCTTTCTTCCTCAATTATTGAGATACATCTCTTGAGAAAGATCGACGACAGTCGCCATGCGGCTTCTACAGCTCCAGAGTGATGACGACTTCAGCCTGATCGAACGCATTGGTAACGACATACCACCGTACGCAATTCTCTCTCATACTTGGGGGGCAGATGAAGAAGAAGTCACGTTTAAAGACCTAGTGGAGGGTACAGGAAAGAGAAAGGCGGGATACCGTAAGCTCGCCTTTTGTGGAAGACAAGCTAAGACAGATGGCCTTCAATATTTTTGGGTGGATACTTGCTGCATCGACAAATCAAGTAGCGCAGAGCTTTCGGAAGCTATAAACTCTATGTTCCGCTGGTATTATAGCGCGGCTAAGTGCTACGTATATCTCTCTGATGTGTCGACAAGCGGCTCAGCCAGAGACCAGAAGTCCCTCAAGAAGATATGGGAACCACTTTTTCGGCGCAGTAAGTGGTTTACTCGAGGATGGACACTCCAAGAACTTCTTGCTCCAAGAGTTGTGGAATTCTTTTCCGCGGGAGGAGTAAAACTTGGTGAAAAGAGAGGGATGACACAAATGATTCGCGAAATCACAGGCATTGACATCTGCGTTCTTCAAGGAAAATCCTTGCATCATATCAGCGTAGAAGACCGGATGTCATGGGCAGAGAAACGCCAGACAAAACGCGAAGAGGACGCGGCATACTCTCTGCTGGGGATCTTCAATGTCCATATGCCGCTCATATACGGAGAAGGAAAGGACAAGGCGTTTGTACGCTTGAAAAAAGAAATCCAGGAGCTATTGGATCGAGAAACCCATGCGACTGCTTTTGAGTACCAAAAGCGAGGACACGGTCATAATGGGACAGCTCGAATTGAGCGACGCAATATCATCTGCCACAAATGTGGGTATTACTAGATTAAAAAAAAACCTAGTCGTGCTGACTATGCCTTGCTAGGTGGCGAATCGGGTCATTATGCTAATGAGCTCCATTGCTATACATGTGAGTCCTAAATGCCCACAAGTATCTGATATGTACTGACCGACGCAGGTGGCAAGTATGGTCATTTATCAACTGATCCACATTGCTGGAAATGTACGCGTTGCAAATATTATTTTCTAAATTTTTTTACTGACAGATTCAGGCGACGAATACGGTCATTATGCCAATGCGCCTCATTGTCATGGATGTAAGTAAGATAGTTTGGCATCAGCCCACTGAGCGTCATTAGTGACATGATATTCAGGCCAGAAAAGGGGTCATTTTATAGCTGATTGTCCTTCACGAAGGTAACAATGCTATTGCCAGATGCTGTGGATGATATGATGAAACTGTAGCAACGTATTGACAGGAAGGCTGGATCTCACAGGCCCCATGTAAGCCCACTTGAGGTAGTCATGTATATCGTAGTGAGCGCTTCACAAAATGTACCAAAATAACCTTTCAAATTCACGGATACTTTTTGATTACCGACTTTATAGTGGACAATTTTGGACACGAGCCATAGGCACAATAGGTCTGCACGTGGAACAACTACAAAAATTGCGGACAGACGTGGATAACACTGCGCTAGGTAGTCTTGACAGACTTTTTATCTGGCTATAGTCCCTGCGTACGGCTTGCAGCACTACAATTGTAGAGATATCTCACGTAGCATTAGCTTGCCCTTTAAGCAACCCTCTGAGCTACACTACCAGGTCACACTCGCAGTGCTAGATGGCGGTCGTGATTGTCATTGGCAATGAGTAACCACTGAAGAGGCTTTAGTAGTAGTCTATGGCGTAACTGTTATTCCGCCCCGATTCAATAGCAGCTATCATGATTTGATGAAATAGCATGCTGTGGATCAATCCTGATCGTAGTGGTCCGGATCCTGTTCAGTCTCCCGGTCACGGTCCTGAGTAGACGGCAAGGTGGGCAGGAAAACTAGTTTTTAGTGTCCCATGGTCGTATGTAAAAGATGTAACAGCGAATTACCCAAACATAGCACGTCTCAACAGCTTCACCACATCGCACAAGCAGGCACAAAGGTGATACGGATTGGAAGCACCCAACAGCGCGGCAGATCGAATCCAGCACCGAGCTTCACAAAAGCAGAGAACACCATGTTGGCAGCTGCAACGGCGGGCGTCATTCTATTCCCAGGCTATCAACACAAAATGTACACTATAGCAGCCCTGTCACGCAACCCACCAATCCTACATATAGTACAAAGCAGCCGCGCCGCGCCGAACCATGCAATGCAAGCCTATGTTACACTCGTCCCTGCACACGCTACGTCCTAGTAGCCCTCTTCCTCAACCCATACGTCTCCTCCCCCTGCCCATGAAACTCCGGGAACAAAGCCGTCAGCCGCGCTAGCTCCCTCTTGCGCTGCGCCTCCCCAGGCCTCTGCAGTCCTCTCATCGTGCGCTGCTTCTCCGGGTCGGGCAGCAGGCCCTTGTTGACCATTTCCCCGCGGACGACCTTGTTCAATCCAACTTGCACGCGGCGCTCCTCCTTGGTAGGCTTCTTGCGGAGGATCTGCACGTTGCCTGCTTTGAGGAGCTCGCCGGTGACGGGCGCGCGCGCCTTGATGACGGCGCCCTCGGGGTGGTTGCGGGTGAGCATGTTGATGTGGTGGTTCTGGCGGGTGCCTTCGGTGTGGAGGTAGGAGTAGACGTCGGTGGGCTTGGACTTTGCGGTGCCGCAGATGTGGTGGTAAAGGTCGCCGATGTCTTTGGCGGAGGTAAGGTGCCGGTCGGAGATGCGGTGGCCGGTGAGCTGGGTGAGGCGCTTCGAGAGCTGGGGTTGTCAGTGGACGTGTGAGGCTGCATGGTGTAGAGGACTTACAGCAAACTTGAGTTGGATATCTGTGACAGGGACTTGCTGCCACTTTACCTGTGAATCGAGCTCCACGCGCAGTACAGTCTTGCTAGGTGCAGGTGTGCTGGTGTTGTGGAGCAGTTTCCGTACGTCAGCGACATTCTTCTCGCTCGAGCGGGCAGCTGATTCTAGGACAGCATGGCGGAGCTCATTTAGGGTCTTTGAAGAGGTTGCGAAAGCGGCATCGATATCCAAAGCCGGGGCTGCAGCCACGGGTTGTTCTACGACAACTTCCTGCACAGTCTCGACGACTTCCGCAACGGGCTCGACGGGCTTGACCGGCTCGGCAGGCTGGATTTTGCGAGGCACAGGCCTGTTCGACATGAAGTCGAATTTGGGCTTCTCGGCATCATCCTTGACGAGCGCTGCCCTTTTGAAGGCAGGAGTGGCGGGGTCCATGGTCGGCGCGGGCTCTTCTACCACTGGAGCTGCTGGAGCGACGGGTTGGCCCTCTGCAGCCAGAAGTTCCTCTTCCAGGACCTCCTCCAAGGCCTCGGGCTCCAGCGCTTCGGGTGCCGGAGGGGCGTAGTCAGGAACATGCTCCATTTCTGCGAGCAAGGACTCCAGCGACTGCCCTGCGGGAAAGGCGAGAGCGATCTTGCCCTCCTTGTTGCGTTGCAGCTTGACATCCTGAATCCATCCAGGCGCCTCGTAGATTCCTCGGTTCGCTTGCTTCGAGATGTCGAGGTCCTTCCCGGCCTGCTTCAGAGCGTGAATCTCGATTACGGCTTGGTGGAAGTTGGTGCGGAGAGCCTCGGGCTTGGTGACGCGCGTTGTGCGGCCGAAACTGCGCTTGTCAGCCCGATGAAAACGACACACAAGGACGTGGGTCCTCACCTGAAGTCAGTGTACGGCTTGCCGGTCACCTCGTCAAAGGTTTGCGCCATCATCAGATTGTCATCCCGCAGCGTGTAGTACGTGCCCGTCAGCTTCTCGACCTCGTCGGCCATCGCCTGCGTCATCGGCGTGTAGGTCCGCTGGGTGAGCTTCTCGAACTCCTTCGCCAGCTTGACCTCATCGGCCTGCTCGATCCATTCTTTCCCACCCACATGCAGCAATGGCCCTTCAGTTGCCTCTTTGTATGGCTGCTTGACTAATTGTTCGTCGTGTGAGTGCTGTCTTCGGGCGGACTTGACGGCTTGCATCTCCTCCTCGAGAACCTCGATCTCCTCGCCTTGTTCCTCAGGAGCGATGCGCACGGGCGAGTTCGGGTCGTAGGGGTCGACATGCGCGCCAATGGGCTCCGAGTCACCGAGTATTCTCTTCTGCCATCTTCGCACAAACGCCTGGTGCTTCTTCTTGTCTTGCTTGCCGCCAAGGAGGAAGTTGAAAGTAGGGGTCGTGGAGAAGCACGCGGAGGTGGTGCGGAGATGGGACTGCGCGGCGGCGGCGCGTAGACACTGCGATGGTGCGATCCGACGCTGGATCAGAGACGGCACGGGAAGCGAAGGGTCGATTGCCCGCTGCGGGCGCGGTATTCGTCGCATTGGAGTGGTGATGGAGATGGAGCTCCTCCGTGGTCCTCGAATGAACGCTGCAACTTTTCGAAGGCGGCCGAAGATTGACCGACGCGCACCGGCCAATCAAAGCCCGTCCATCGAACAGCGGCATCAACACGCGACACGAGAACCAGTGAAGCTGTGAAATTGCTAGACCCGGGATCAAGAGCATGAAGACATGAGCAAAGACGATCTAGTAAGAGCGGGTTGGGAAGAGGCAAAAGACAGAAGGTGTCAAGGCTTCACTCAGTCATGATGTTCGTACAGGAATTACAATGCCAACAGCATGCCCGGGCCTATCGCTCCCCACCCGCAAACTTCTTGCCCAACCACGTAGACCCTCGCTCATCGTACTCCGCCTTGGTCACCAACACTTCCTTCATCAGATCTGGCCGGCTTGCAAACTGCGCAGCTCCCAGCCACGTGTGCTTGATCGGATCATCTGCCTTCGCAATATTGAGCAGGTAGTTCGAAGGCACCAGAGCCCTTAGCTCAGCCTCCAACCTGTCCATGAAACCGGGGATAAGCGTATTTCCTCCAACAACCACAACATTCGCCAGCATGGCAACCTTCAGGGCCTCAGGCAGACCATTGAGCGCCTCCATGACGGCGCGCGGTAACCCGACTTCCTGGATGCCAATGTCGGTCGGGTTGAAGAGCAATTCTGGAACAGCGAACCGCTCGTTTCCGAGCGGTAGCAGGTCTTCTCGCGGACCCTGCATAGGCTGCAAGCCGCGGCGCATTCTCGATTTCACTGGATCGTGTGGCCGCGCGTACCCGTGTATCGCCTGCTCGTAGTCCGGTAACACATAGTCCACCACTATACTCGAATCTAGCTCTCTTTTGTCGCCTAGCCGACCTTTCCATGTCCGCTCCAAGTCTTTCGAGAACTCCTGCGTCGAGGGCGCAACAAATGACACTGCCTCTTTGATCTCGTTAAGCAGGTACGTCTCCTCCAGCATATTGTAGTGTCTCAGCGAAGAGAGCTCCTTCAGATAGTTTGTGAGCAGCTTTCCCCCGACGGTGAGTCGTCGCACCGCCGAATGGAGCAGCTGCCCCTTGTAAACGGGTAGTATAGTCGTATCCGAGTAGGATGTATCGATCACAAGGAGGCACTCTTGGGGCAGCGCGCCGAGAGAGGTAGGATGGTACGCGTTCATCGCGCCGCCAATGCAGCGGTAGTAGGCATTGAATTCGAACTGTTCGAACACGATTTCATCGCAATTCTTCTGCAGTTCCTTGGGACAGTTCGGTTTCTCCATTAACAGAAGATTCGTGTCTTTCGGATCACACTGTAGCAGCGTTAGTCCCGGAACATGTTCACGGGGAAAGCACGTCTCGTACCTACCCTCAACCCCGCCCCCGCACTGCTGTCCATGAACTCATGTTCCCAGACCGCCTTTTGCGCTTCCCAATTCACGATGAAACCCTTCTCAACCGGTCTTCGGAATGCGAGCTCGCCAAAGTCTTTGCATTCTGCCATTTCCGACGCAACATACGTGCGCTTGTCGCGCGTGCTTCGCGCTACGCAATTCGGTATTACGCTGCAATCATCATAGCTGAGCTCGCTAGTTTCGCTCGACACAAGGCCAGCCTTGAGAGTGTATGCGCCGTTGTCAATGACAAGTGTTTTGGAGGGTACGGCCGCTTTTCCTTTCTTCTTTGGTGCCATTGTCGGTGGAGAGATGGTCGCGCGAGAACCTTGGGGCTAGAGATGCCCGCTTACGTAAGATTTCTTGAACGGAAGGTGTAGCCGAGAGATTCCTCTGGGTAGGATAAGTGGTGAACCCTGACGATCGATACAAGCGTACACAATGAAATAACAATTTCACTTCCGACTGCTACCATTGTTCACTGGCAAGTCAATATAGAGGATGCTATCTCACCGCGAAGCCAATCGCATGATGCAAACACCTGCTACGTCACGCCACCCGAGATTGCCGTAAACCAAGTCCGCTAGATGGCAGTGGTGGCCTAAAAATTCCGATCGTGTAATTATATAGCCCATGTATCAATACTATACCCTGCTCCTCTACCCGAACCAAAAAATGTCCATAATCCAAACCCTCGCATCGTTCTACCCGCCTCTCTCTGAGCGCACACCTTACCCGCCCCTTTATCAACTCCTCACATTTGCTCTGTCCCTCATCCCCTTCTTCTTCCACGCACGCCGTTTGGTAGCACTCCTCGTCTTTCCTGTCCTACTTCTACTGTGTCTTCGCGCGCCATGTTACACGTTCGGCGACCCCTCCCAAGACTACTACAACACGAGCATGTTTGTCGCGATGCCAATCTGGCTTGTGGAGTTTGCGATCTTGAGACCTGTAGAGGGAGAAGGGGCGCCTGTTTGGGTGGGGAGAGGCGGTGGGTTGAAAGAGAAAGGAAACAAGGGGAAAGGCACTAAAGACACGGCATCGGCCTGGGAGACGTTGTTGTGGGCGATAAGCTTGATGATTCCATCGCATCGCGGCATTGGATGGAATTGGCAAGTCAGGCAGATTCCAGAAGACCCTGATGAGAGTTTGCCAAGGTGGAGCTATGTGAGGAGGCATCTTCGGAGGGCCATTTTGGCATACGTGTATTCGACGATCATGCTGGTGGTACTTGGGTTTGCGTCTGCACTGGAGAAGAAAGCATCGCCAAAATACGTGGTACAACGTTTTCTCGCAAACACAATCATTGGATGGTCTGGCGCCTTTTGGGTCTTGAACCGTATTCTTTGCTTCTACAATTTCTGCGCTGCAGTGTCAGTCGCATTGGGTGTGTACGAGCAGTGGCAGTGGCCACCACTTGTGGGGAGTCTGAAGGATGCCTGGTCGGTTTCACAGATGTGGAGTGTGGTCTATCATCAAACGATGCGGGTGGTGAGTGTTTCTTTCTCATTTGGTTCATTTCATCCCTCCCATTTCCCGTTACATGTTGACTGCTGCGTGTATTCGTTTTCCAATTGATGCTTCGCGCGGGTAAAGTTAAAGAGAAAGAACGGCGGGGACACAGTATAAGCGCATATTCAGAGGTGGAATCTGTGCTAAAGAAGCTACGAAGAGTTGGCGGAATGGTTGAATTTGAGGGCTGAAATCAAAGAAACGAAGTTGGCCTGATATATCTGAGCAATGGAACCAAGGTAAAGGAGTTCGGGGTATGATATCAAGGGGAGATGAGGTGGGAGAGGTGAGGTTCATGGAATGAAGCCGAAATAAGGGCAAAGATAAGTCGAGTAGATGATGATGAGCAGAGAGGGCAAATGGTATCACGACATGCGGAATCGCTGACAGGCTAGAGTGTACGGGTCGTTCTTTACATTGTGTTGATACAGAACAGGACGCAAGCGGAGAGGTCTCCGTTATTCCTTGATCAGATGCTAACGAGTTCTCACAGATGGTATCCCAACCCGCCCGCCGCATCACCTACGCCCTAGGTATCTCAAAAGGCAGCATGACATCCCGCCTAGCACAACTCTACCTCTCCTTCGCCATCAGCTGCCTCGTGCACGAGTTCGAAATGTTCAATGTAACGCGCAAAGACATGGGCGAATTTGCCTTCTTCATGTCTCAGCCTATCGTGATCACTCTCGAGAGCTGTGTACAGTTAGCCTGGAAAAAGGTGACGAAGGCAAAAGGCGTTTTCAAAGACGTTGCCGTATGGACTGGACATTTCTGGGTGGTGGTGTGGATGTCTATATGCCTGCCGTGGTATGTGAAAGGCTTCAGAGATGCTGGGATTACGAATGATGCGCTGCTTGGGGGCAAGCCTATGGCTTTAGGATCATCACTGGCTGATACTTGGTGATCGTAGCGTCAACGTATAGGTCGAGCCATCACGGTCAGTTGCCACACTCAGAAAAACGGCCACGCAAGTTGAAATCGATCGTCGGTGACAGATTGACATACAAGTCAGTATAATGGAGTGAGCAGTGTCCATGGCAAGGCTGGATTATGTAATAAAAGTTCACTTGCAAGGAAGGACGAACCGAGGCGGCTTGATATCCCCAGTAAGCAACCGGTCCTTCGATCCGCCTCGTCGGCAGAGATATTGCTGATTTCTGGGGTTTACGCCAGCTCCACGGTATCGGATAACGTTGCTGTTCATGTTTGCGAGGGAGACGGGGTTCCGTGATAGGATTCATTGCCCCGTGCCGACGTGGCCTTCGGCATTCGAGAAGCAAGGCTGAGAGTATCTTTACCGCCTATTGCCTTCCAATTGCCATTTGCCTTCCGATTGCCTTTTGCCTTCCGACTGCCTTTTGCAAGTTGCCTTCGAGTGTTCTCCGCGGACGGTCAGACACAGATTTTGAGTAGCATGTCGTAAGGGTATGATTGGGGAATCTTCCTTCTAGTGCACCCGAAGCTGCTTACGGGATGCACAAGTATCACACAGCCCGAGCCTGCAGCTTTTGCGTTATCAGCATATGCAAAGTTCGCCCAATAATAGTGAAGCAGGAGTATGCCTTGTGACCAAGGCACTATGAGATGCATGGACATGGGCTTGATCGCCTACGAAACACCCACTCAATAGAGGTCGTGATGGCGTTTACCACTGGGATCGGTCACAGACACGCAGGCAACGTGCAGGCAACGGTGCCCTTATGGAGACGTATAGAATTTCGAAAGACGAGGCCACACACCTCCACAAGATAGCGACGAGCAGAGCCGCATGAGTTGGCTGTTAACATAAGAAGGTGTGAAAGATGGAAGGCTAGCAAGGCTGCCTCAGTCCACAATACGGATTATATCTACGTTGACCGGAAGGAAGCAGACCGGTTTTCTTGTGCTTACAGCCATCAGATTGGCGAATACTGCCGTGCTCCCCTGACCAATCAACATTGCGCGCAGACCACCATCAGCATGGTTTACGCGTGGGACACGTTTGAGACTTACAGATTGAGGCAGGCGGACCTCGAAAGCTTTCTCACACGAATCTTCGGGGCGTGGGACTTCTTCATCAACGTAAGAGAGTATACTAAGACGCGACGTTGGTATGTTTACCTAATTGGTCTGTAGATACAGAATGGATTCTACCGGTTTTGGATCCCGACGCCGTTGACCGAAGTATGTACCCGAAGGTTACTGTTGGGGAAACACCAATAATGTTACAGGAACAGAAAGGCGAGCTTGCGTCCCTGCGTGTGTAATATGGACGTTCAAGGGCAACGCTGGGTGAGACCCGCCTTATGATATGCACTACGTATTGGCGTTATATTGGTCGGCTGAAGGCATGCTCATCCTCGTTAACCAGCCGATGGGGCTTGCCTTGTTCCGCATCTGATCTATCTTGACGAAAGTATGTGCGCCGTGGCACGAATCAGCTGCTCACCGAAAGAGTGGGAGCGACTTTGATATAAAACTTCGACTTCGCCTAGCTCTGGAATCAATATTTACAGTCATGAGAAATTCGAGTATTCATTGCAATGGATTGTCTTGTCAAGTCCTGCGAGAAGTTCGCGGTCTATCCAGAAAACCTCATCGTGCCTGAGAATACAGTTCGCAAGCTCAGAGCCTACGTTAACAGATTGGAATCGGATAAACATCATCTGTTTTGTGACCAACAAGTAAAGGTATTACGTCAGTCGGACCGAAATAGTGCCGTTGATTTCATAGATGTCAATGGCAACCAAGGTACTGCACACGATATAATCATGCTTGACATGGACTTATACTAAGCGATGCAGGTCCATTTTCCGAAAGGGTTACAGACCTTGAAAGCCTTAAAAACCTGCTCAGACGGGCACTGGAGCCTGGAAGAAGTGATCCATTATATCGTTTCATGCAAGCATGTCTCAGATTCGACGGAGATCTCGAGCTAACGATTACAGATTCATACATGCGAAGCATAGCCGAGCACCTTTAAGCGTTGCCAAAGACATGTTCAAATTCATTTTTTCGTACCATCAGATTATGCCCTCGTTTCTGGACTTCATTTTTCCATTTGGGAACCAGGTCGGCGCCAAAGACGCATACTTCAGTGGCTTGCGCGATGGGTCTGTGATGACGGCTACAAATTGCGATGCCGAAGTTCCTCAGCTACACCGATCAGGTAGGGAGCTTAGGTTATGCTACAATCTGAGGTCTGTTGAACCATCTGGCAGCGATCCACAAATACCATGGTCCATTCGACAATGTGCTGTCTATCACTCGTACGATATTCAGACCGGACGGGCGCTATGGGTTACGGTCAAAGGCAATGAGCTCATCAAAGAGCGCATCCAGGATGAAGAGATGTTGCTTCCGTTTACCCAAGCAAAGTCGCGGCCAGAAACTTTCTCTTCCACGCTAGACGTTCATCTGATGCTATGCGACTGGGCAAGCGAAAATTGGCGCTGGTACCTCAATGATCTCGAACGAAAGGTGCAGAGATTGGCCCCGGGGGCTATGGTCATTCCTGTGGATAAGCCACGAACCCCGCCACCCCAGCCAATAAATCTGCTTAGAAGCCCAACACAGCGTATGGGTAGTTTTCCGACAGTTGCGCAATCACCAACCAGTGCTATTAGTCCGAGGTCCAAAACTGGAACCTTCTCGTCGAAATTCCCATCACGTAGTTCTACTATAATAGAGGACTCTGACACCAAGTTGAGAACGGAACATAGTTCCTATGGCGAAGAGAAGTGGATTAATGCAGCTCTGAGCAACACGAAACCATTGCAGAGAAGCTTGAACTCTCTATACAGTACACTTAATAAACTCAAAACTAGGGTCTCTGAACAACGGAGCTCTCCAATTTTACCGTCCACTAGCGAACGGCGATCGACACCCGTAGGAGATCTCCGGGCACCAGCGGAACGACCACCAAACTTTCTCGAGGGTGGCATTAATACTGCACATGATCATTTTAAATTTGAGGACCTGCAGAATGCTGAATATATTGATCAAAAACTGCAAGATGCTCTTTTACATCTACGGCTCGATGTAGGAGTTCTGGGGGAGCTCAGGCAGTTCTATGAAGATGCTATGGCGCACAAGGATTTGCCAACAGATATTAAAGACAAGTGTGCTGCGCAGCACGCCTACTTCGATAAGTGCGTGTCTGGGTCCATCAAAGATATGCTTATGTTGCAATCAAGGGTGGAGACTTTACTGCAGCTTCTGAGTAATCGAAAGCATTTGGTGAGTATTGATGTACGTTGGGAGTTTTTTAATATAGGCTGACATGGATGGAAGCTGAACTGCATTTTGCAGCACATGAGTACAAAAGCTAATGACTCATTTGCAAAGAAGGCGCATGATTCGGCGCGTTTCATGGAAGCGATGACTATTGAGATGCATTCAATTGCAAAGAAAACCGAACGAGAGACCGTTTCGATGCGGGCGATTACTTCTGTCACACTTTTCTTCCTTCCGGCCACCTTTCTTGCAGTAAGTGCTTCTCGGCCACTGTTTTGCTGCAGATTCATATGCTGAAGCGATCCCCAGAGCTTCATGAGCACAGATATACTTGATTTCAAGGACGGCAAACAAGACCTACAGATGACGGGACTGAAAGTTTACCTTGCGATCGCACTTCCCGCGACCTTTCTAACGTTCCTTGCATGGTACCTTATCTCTCGGTCAGCAAAAGCAAAGGCGGGAACAGTAGAGGGCGAGCAGCCGGGTTTCGATGCTGCTTGACATTCCGAGCTCGTTTCTGTGCGACTAGTTATGCGCTGCTCATGTGGGTCGGGCATAAAGCAAGGGAGCGGAGCCGCGACCATCAGCGCTAGCACTGATTGGCGTTAGCATTTTGATGATCAATCTTGAGAGAACCCGCTAGTGCACGAACGTTACCTGTCTACCTGTGATAGCCTGGATTTGTAGACACTCAATAGCCCGTACTAGAAAATATTTTTCGGATGTTCGTCGCACATGACGCATGATCGACGTGCTCTTGAATGTGGGACCTCACGGTGAGGCTGTACACGTTGAGAAGGCGAGGCGGATTCGACAAGTATTATTGACTTTCTGCAGGTGCGTGAGGCTTTCCGGTGAGCAGCCGCCGTCCTCAATTCAGCACTTTTTACGATATGATAGCACATAGCGGAACAACGTCATCAAAGATGCAGTGCACGATGCGATCCCAATGCTCAGCGATGTTCTCATGGCGTTTTGACGTTGTGGAGGATCAAGCGCCATTGTTGGGGCATGGGCCCAATTTACTTGGCTAGGAATAGCTGACCCCACTATTCAGAGACAGATCGAAGGATCCCTAGCTCTAATTCCACATCATCTCTTTCACAGCAGTACACTACATGCGCCGAGCGAGCCAGACTTTGCTCCAACGTAAAGCGACTCCACTCGCAGCACTGCGTAAGCAATTTTGTTGAATAGGCTGGATCAGGCTGAAGTCCCTGCCTGAGGCATGTGCATCCAGTAGCGGTGCGCTCAGCACACGCGCTGCCCAACCTTGATCGAACTTTCTATGTACTCTTTCTCCTTTCCTTCAAAGACTTTCTTTAATGAATTTGAAGACTCGTCTGCTTGGTTCGAAGACTTTGTTTGCATCTTGGATGGTGCGTGGCGTTACGAAGATAAGAAACGCGGAAATCGGCCTGCAGATGACTGTGTGGCTCAGCGGGTCCTCCTCTGCACCTGCCTAGCCGCAGTGGCTGGCCTCGTGTCTGCATATATTAGCGATACGACCAGTCTCGTTTGTACATAGAGGCGGAAACCGCCCTCCCATCCAGCTCAAGTATGCGCTGAAGCCTGCGCGATTCACCTACAGCTTGCCAACACAGAATTACCGTACAACGGTCTAGTGTAGCGGCTGAAATTTCCCATAAACCGTTGCCTAACACCATTATGGCGCCTTCGCCTGAACAGCAGCCACATTGGAGCCCCACGTCACCGCGATCTCCAAGTGCATCGATCAATCAGCAATCAGATGCTGTACCCGATTTCTTGCATCACATCAAATCCAACGCAAGGTGGGCCGTGGACGACGCCTTGCCGCCACCGCACAGGCGCTCGTTTGTGCCTATCAGTGCCCTTCGACGCTACCTCACCGAAGGGAAGATCCGAAGGATCCTGGCTAGCTCCCTGTCTTCTAGCACAGCCTGCTCGAAGGTTTACAAAGATTACATACGCGTTTTTACTATTCTTGTATACATCAACAAACTCCCATGGCTCCGACGTTTCCTCAGGGAACAACGCCTCGAGGACAATTTTCTGCCCTTCGTAAACGATTCAGATTGGCCCACGGACATGCGCGAGTTCTTCGACCAGTTTGTCGAAGCCCAATGGCAGTTTTGTGCTCAGGACTTCGAATCAACGAGACTCAATGGCGATTTTCGAATCGACGAACGAATCATCATTCCAATCGTGGAAAAGCGGCTTATAAAGAAAGGCCCCGATTCAAGCGCATGGGAAGTGGATATTCACCCAGACTACAATCACTTGACTGAGCGAGTAAGACTCCTTCCGTTTCGCAGGAACAGTGCTTCGAACTGCTAAGCTGACCTCGCAAAAACAGGATGAGTGTGGCAACCAGCCCACAAATAAATTCTTTCTCAAGTCCTGCTCTGCAGAAAACGCGGATCTTCACCACAAGGAAGTGGAAGCCTACACAATCTTGAGAGAGCAAAAGGATCTATTGCCCTACTTAGCACAATTCCATGGATCATGGGTACAAGGCCGAAATTACAACATGCTGTTGGAGTATGTCGGCGGCGGAACTTTGACCAGGTTTATGGAACACCCCGAGACACCGGTTCAGGTTGAGCACATCCTCCATTTCTGGACCGGACTGTTAAATCTCGTGATACCACTGATTCGAATACACAGTCTGCACCACGAGGAATTTGGCCAACTAGACATACAAGGGTTAGTTTTCATAGCCACTGCCAGTGTGAACAATGACTCATTGTGCTCAGCATTCACCATGACATTAAACCAGATAACATTCTTGTCACTGTAGCTTTTGGACCTTCCAGATTTGCAGTTCGATTTAAGTTGGCCGATTTGGGCCTTACCGATTTCGATTACAAACTTGAGCGCTGGAACGGTACAAACAAAAATGTGAAAGGAACCCAGATGTTCAGTAAGTTGAAGACACGCCTACACATCTACAGTGATTAAACCAACTCGTGACAGGCCCTCCGGAGCTTTACGTCAGGGAAGGCGATTCTATTCTCGAGCGTACGATCCTGGACGCACGGCCTACGAAAGATATATGGGCCCTCGGCTGCGTTTTCAGTGAAGCTGCAGCTTGGCTAGTCCTCGGAAGAGAAGGCCTGCAAATGTATCGATTGAGGCGCGCGGAAGCAACGCAACAGGTCGAGGCTCTTCAGAATACTTCTCACAACGGGTGCTTCCACAATGGAACCAAAGTGTTGCAAGAGGTTCTAGACACCCACAGAAAGATAAGAAAAGAGTGTCGCCGAAATGACGATATAACAGAAAGAGTTCTTGCCCTTGCAGAAGACATGCTCGGTCATGAGTCTGTACGCCCCACGGCCGTCCAGGTTTACCAACGATCCACAAGTATCTTGGATGCAGCACGTCACGTGCCAGAGCAGAGCCCCACCACAGTCAATAGGTTCTCGTATCCGAACGTTTTCATAACGTCAGCCACGCCTGATGTTAATCGCAGGGCTCCGCCTGAGTGCCCACCAGAGGTCAACAGAAACGGGTTGGGCGTTTCGTTCAGTCCCGTGGTGGAAAGCTATTCCCCTGCTTTCGCTGGCCCGAGCTCTTCCCTCTCCGTGGCTCCATACAAACCGTACAATTTCAATGGTTATGACATATATGAACATAGAAATTCACGCAACTCTGCGGTCGTTCCGTCAGAGAGAAGCAGGCCATTCATATCCCGAGACGCTACATACGAAATTCATGGGCTGAGTCCAAGGCCCATTGGAGCGCATCAAATTTCTGAACAAGTTATTCGCACGAGGCAGTTTGGTGATTTTTCAGCCCAAAAGCATCCAATCGAACAGAACGAAGAAGCGGTCTCGAATCCGACAACCCCCAAAGCTTCGGTCATGGACACGCACGAACAACCGTCCCATTTTTCCCATCCAAAGTTGAACGGAACCTCTAGTCCAAGAACAACTCTCCAGCCGACTGAAAGACGATCGAGGTTCCCTGAGGCTTCTCTCCAGGAAGTGGAGCAGTGGGTTAAACGGACAGAATCATATAGTCGAACACCGCTCCTTCAAGGCTACCATTCGCTGAAACCATTGAATGGTAGAGATCACGTAAGAATGATATCTCTGAGTTCGCATCCCTTCTGACGCAAAGGCAGGTGTTCCTCTTCGACGACTCTGGGAGTATGAAAGACCATTGGCCTGCCGCACTTCGCGTATTTTCCACACTCGGATACATAGTAAAACGGAAAGACCCCGACGGCATGGAGATTCGCACAACAATGGATACATCTTTTAAGAAACTTAGCAAGCACCGGAAGCCCCTCCTTAATGCACTAAGCAGTGTCGGCCTTCGCTTAGGCGGTCAGTGCGACATCGGGCGAACCTTGAGCGCGATACTTCGGGACCTACATCACGAAGAGAAAAAGAGCCCAACTTGGACCGGATTCCGATGGCGCAAAGAAAAGTGGGGGGTCAATATCTACATCCTTACTGATGGCATCTGGGAAGAGGGAGATGAGTGGCTTCCCGCCATCGTTGACAGTATAAACAAGCTTATCGAGAGTGGTATGCGTAAAGGTCAACTGGGAATTCAGTTCATCCAGTTTGGGTCAGACCCAGTCGGTACTGAGCGTCTCCGAATGCTGGATGAGGATCTGGATGAGTATGGCGTGAGCCAGGACTTGATCGACACCGAACCTTCCACTGGGAATGTCTACAAGATGCTGCTCGGTGCCATTGATGTAACAGCGGACGGCCCCAAATCAAAACATACAAGCACAGCGGCGCCCACCAGCTAATGGTGGTGAGTGTTTGTCACGTCATGTATTATCTTTCCTTATGCACTGGACATCTGTTCGAACTCTTGGCGTACCTAGCATCTGTAAAAATTCCAGCATGTGCCTGTATAGGTTGGGGTACGGTATCTACATAGTCAAAGATCGGACCCAGAAACTCTGTCTGCTGACGACTCCAATCACTATGACACAAATTACTTTACGCGGTGCAACAATGGGAGCATGAACTGGCGGCATGCGACTTATGTATACCGCCTTTAATGTTCACGAGTCGTTTCAGCTTCGCGCGAAGGCTTCATGAACTTCTCGTATATTTACATGGTCGCATCTTAGAGACCGGTCCCTGCAAATTGAGTCCATCAACTTTGACCCAAAAATTGTTATACTGGCAGTATACAATGTAACAATCCCGCAGAGGTGGCAAGAGCCTGAGAGAGCCATTCAATGTATTTATTGAGCGCCGGAGGAAGATCAGGCTGACACAGGATCCATCTGACCGGTATTTCATGCAAGGCTTGCTGAGTTCTTCTGCCTCATCCACCGTCTTGGTAGTTTGCACATCTAGCCACGGGGTAAGCGGGGAAAACAAACGAACCTCTCATCGCATTAGAGAACATTTGTATAGTATATCGTATTCGTGCTGTTTGGTCTTGTATATCTTATGTCGCATTACGTTTTGTGCAGCCTTGCACATGCACATGCATCGAGGGTGGCGGATATTAGGTAGCTAAGCCACGCGCAGCTGCAGGGCGTTTTCGGGTAATCTAATTGGAGACCTGCTCCGCGTGCCTGTCTCTAACCATAGCCGCCATCGCACAACTTACACAACATCGTCCACAATCTGCCTGGCGCACGGTTTTAACTATGAGCGCCCATTCTTCGACGTCGTCTCTCGTGGCCGATTTCCAGCACAACGTGCAACAAGTGTATCGTGCTGGTGTCAGACGTCTGAGCTCTTCCAGCGAGCACCTACACATACCCGGCAGCAGCGCGAGCTTTACAGGTGGATACACGTCCAGAAATGACATAAATCTTCACAAAAAGAAAGTGGAGCCAATGCGACATTTCCAGAATTCGTCAACGCCGAACCTTGCCATTGAAAGTGTCGTCCGTGACGCGACAGTCTCCAAGGCAAGCGTTGAAAGCCTAAGAAGCCGTGATGAGAAAATTAATGTCCGAGAGGCTGCCTCTACCTTGAAACAACAAGATACTGAGCATTTACTTGCATCATCGCGCGATGACTTGGCAAGAAAGCGTGCTGAGGCTGAATTCGCTGTTTTAGGGGCAGCTTTCTGGGGCCCAAGAGAATCTGATACCCAGCCTAACACTCTTGGTATTAGTGAAGAAGAATACATTGCTCGGAATGTTGTTCAGACAACAGGACAACGGAAATCGGTTTCCGATGGGGATGCTGTAGGGGCCAGACCGTTGAGTAGCCATGGCTCTTCCATACTACACTTGGAAAAGAAGCTGCGCAAAGACATCCCGAAAATTACTATCGACGATGTCGAGAGGTGGATTGTCGCGAAGAAGGAGCATACAAAACCGAAGCTGGCTGGGCAACACTTTCTTGATGATTTGAACAATAGAAATCAAGTAAGTGATCTTTGACGCGGTTGTATTGTCATTAACGAGGAAAGGTCTTCTTGATTGACGATTCAAAAAGTATGCAATCTCACTGGGATGATGTGCAGCGCACTTTTGCTGCCCTGGCATACCTTGTCAAGCAACGAGACCCAGATGGCATAGAAATGCGATTCTGTGGAAGTCCAGCATTTGTCCATCGCAGCAGGAACCGAAAGGCCCTACTTTCACAACTCAACAAGGTCACTTTTAGCAAGCAATCTCATATCCTCCCAGCACTCCAGATGATTCTTGAAGAGACACAAGCGCAGGAGAAGAAGCATCGTGTTCTGTCGTTTAGGCCTAAGAAGAAGCTCGGTACGAATATCTACATTCTGACGAATGGAATCGGGGACGAGGGCGAAGACTGGCTCAACCCGGTTGCATCGATGTTGAAAGGCCTTGAAAGAAGTGGGTTGGAAAGAGGACGCGTGGGAATCCAATTCATAAAATTCGGACGTGGGGAGGAAGCCTCAAGGCAGCTTGTGAGCCTGGATTCAAAGTTACCCAGTGACGGTTTGAATCAGTCAGTATCTCTTTTAACTACACAGTTGTATACGAATTGACATGTCACAGTGATTTTGTCGACACTGAGTCTTGCAATGGAAATGTTTTCAAAATGCTTCTCGGCTCGATTGACTCGATGTGGGATCAAGACAACTCAAAACTACCAGTTATGAAAACAGAGCCATCCAGTTCTGAATTGGAGGCCAATCAAGACAGCGCTCTCTTTGGTGTTGGCGATCAGTTTGAGAGCAGTACTGTCAAAGGTGCTGCAAGAGCTCGCAAAAGGCCAAAAGCCAGCAGAACTCCAAAACAAAAGAAGGTTCCTCTCATAGTTCATCACAGCGGTGCTGCTAATGTTTCTTCTCAGTCTCTTGGGTCACAGATGTATGGGCAAGCATCGCTTAGAGCTGTTGAAGGTCCCTTTTCTGGGCCAGGATATACTCTAACCAAAGCCTCTCATTCACCACTCGTCAATTCGAGGTGGAATTCCTCTGGAAATATTGGCAAGAACATCATTTCCGAGATCCATGGTAGAGGGGGATCGGACATTGATAATGGCTCAAGGTTGGCCACGAAAAGACGCGGTGTACCAATTTCAATTCCGGTTTCCGATAAAAAAGCTATCACCAAAAATAGCTTGCAGGAAGGAGACGTAAGGATAATGACTGTAAGCTCACAACCAGATGCGACGATTCCTATTCAAGACCTTCCACCTGCAGTCCTTCGCAGTCTTCATGAAAGCTCATGGACTTCACTTGTATTCGAGAGTACTCCAAAGTCTTCCACATTCAACATGTTTAAGTCCATACTCGAAGATTTTACAAATCAAAAATGGGACTGGTGGCCGTTCAGCCCAAGGTTCCCATCTTTGGCTAGCCAGCGGACTCGAATAAGCTGGATATGTGTAAGTCTTTTGATTGCCTTTCATGTTTGAATGGTTCTAATTTTCCGAATTTCGCAGTGCTGTGGGAGGAAGCTCTGGTTTGACGCCACTCCAACGCAGAGAATGGCAATCGAGAGACTTCTTCATGGTCTCTCTGCCAATCATGAAAGCACATCCCCCTGTTCGCAATTGCAATCAAACGCAAGCGGACAGCATCGCCAAACCTCGGGTTCTGGAACTGCTCCGGGCAGCCGCGAAGGGCAAACAGGTGGCACAACTAAGATGGAGGACGTGTCGCGTGGGATAAGCACGAGCGCATCAGCTGGTAATACCAGCGATGGAAGCTCGCTGACCCCAAGAAGCTCAAGAACTCCACGAACATCAGATCTAGGGTCATTAACTACTACCGACACCTCCATCGAAGCCGCGCCGGACGCGCTCTGGCTATTGTTCAGTGTCCATGGTGCGAGGAGGTTACTTGAATGGGATCAGATATGCAACGCTGAACTGTTATCAGATCATCTATTCATCAGAAAACTCAAGCACAGACACAGTGAGATGAGAGGTTGGCTCCGCCGATGCTTTTCGATTTGGCAAGTCCGGCATTGGAACTTTATTAGGGTGAGCGTACCTTTGTGATCTTCGGTTCAATCTCACTAAAGTAATATAGTTTCGAAGGACAGCAAGGCCTGGTGAGATCGATGATCGAGGGCCGGGCTTACCGCGCGGACTTGATTACTATTTCCACGGGAAAAACACAGCAACAATTGAAGATCCGGGGATATCGGAACACGAATTTGAGACCATGATGGCTTCCTGCCTCTCTGCCTGCTGGCCATCGAACTGGTTGCCTGGCTATCGAAACGTTCATGAGTGCTATGATTTCCCCGAAAATTCAACATGGTACGTGGACCGTCTGCCAAAACGTAGTCATTCGTTTCGTCCGAAGCCCGGGTCAGCCCCCGAAGATGAAGATCTATGGGGTATTCGAGCAGGTTACAAAGTATCTGCGATACACGTTTTCGCTTACCATTTCATTCTCATTATAATCACCTTTATCGTCGGCGGATGGTGGTATGTGACGCATCCCGGAGACTTGCAAGGCGCAGCGGTTCCCCTAAGTGTGGCAGGAATATGCGTGTCTGCATTCTGGGGTCTCTTCGTGATTCTTGGGAGACAGAAGTAGGATATGATAAGATACTTCAAGATGTGATTAATGGTGCTAGGCTATGGAGAGCTGTCGGCTGTTCAAGCTTGCGACACATTCTGCGACCTGTCTTTCAAGCAGCCATTCACGCCACTACACCACCGATTCTTTTAGATTTATTGTTCCTGATGGTCTTCTCAATCATCTACCTCCTCTCCTTCATGAGATTGGGAACTAGATCGTGGCACTGCAAGTTTAGATAGATACCTGCGGCACCGCAGCACGTAGTAACAGCACAAATCTGGCTGCCCAAGCAGTCAGGACTGTTAGTGAACCATGTTGGACCAAAGCAAGACGCGTCCTGTTCACAGAATACAGCACTTTCAGCTGCAGTACAGCTACTGCTTCCTCTAACAGAAGCGCTGCTTGGCCTGAATGCGCCACAAACGACACCATTGCCACTAGAGTAAGGCGCTCCAGGGAGAGTAACGGCTATAGTGGTCGTTGCCTGCGTTACTGCCGATTCGAACACCTTGGAGAAGTCGGTGATGGTGGGTGAGGCCAGAGTTGTGGTTTCTGTCAGCGTCGTGGTAGTCGTGTTCAGAGGGTCTTGGTCTTACTGCAGGATCATCCCGCCGATCTGAGGTCAGATTTGATTGACTTGATGGCCGACATGAAGGGATGTGTAGGCTTGGCGACTGGATGGCCGCGCTTAACAGCGGCTCCAGCAATTTTAGTGGTGGTGACAGTGCTATTCGTTAGTGTCTCAGTGACCGCAGAATTAATGTGATTATGGGGACTTCTACTAGGCCACGAGAAATCGTATAGAATTTCGACACGGGTGGGATGATCAAGCATCCCTTAGCTGCCAGCGATATGCCATAGCTTGCCCCAGACTTTGAGCCATTCAATTTCGAAGCTGAGGAAGTCGATGGCTGAGCTGAACATCAGGTACCCCTGTAGCATCAAATTCTCGATCGAGGCATCGCTTGTGTACCATGACTGAGTCATAGCGGTGCGAAGGCCAGAAATATGTCTGAGCTCGATGATCATCTCGTAGGTCTGAGGCTAACGGCACAAATCGAGCAAATATCTGCTGATTTACGCTGTTATGTGTTAGCTTGTTGCTTAACACTGAAGAACAACACCCAACTTAATTGCTAGCGGCGTCGTTTAGGTCCAGTATCAGCTACTCGCGAAAAGGTACGGCAGCTAGCTAAGAGAGAAACTCGCGAGGCAGTCGCCGTCATTGAAGAGTTCACACGCCCATAGTAGGTGTTGTAAAGATCGAAACCTTTATTCTACTTCTATGCATTCTTCGCGCTTCGGCTGGACTTCGGGAGATATTCTACAATCTAGAACGGATACGATCATGAGCTTTCGAGTAAGGCCGCTGCCTTTGAGGCTTCTTTCGCGTGCAATGTGTGAAGATGGACTGCAGATCAACCTGCAGAAACATAGACGCTAAAGACAAAGGGCGATCTTCGCTCGCTACTGACTACCGGTAACGTTCACGACACCCCTGTCGATCATGCCAAGATCATGGCCTTCCCAGCTAATACGATTGACCCGTCCACCGAGAGCGGACTTGGGCTCGTTACACACGCCAACAACATCTTACATTGCTCTGCTTTAGTTGATGCCTCGCCTAGCAGTTGGCTTGCTTGGTACTTCAGAGTTGTCGTCGCTCCTCCGTAGCAGTTCCTGCAAGGCAAACGCGTTTTGGTTGATTAAGAAGCATAGGAGCTCAGCTGTTGTAATCTTAATGAGCAGTGGCACTGGGACTACAGCGGGTGCAGCCATGATTGGCGACACGAAGAAGGTACCATAGGTATCGGATACGTAATGCAGACGTGGGCGTACTACACGGACTGTTACCGGTACAGCTGCGCAACTTTGGCCTCTTGCCTCCTATTCTTGAGAAATACCATCCCAGGCGTTATCGATCGGCGCGCGCAGCACTCCTCAACAATAACCATTGCGGTTCCACGTACATTCATCTCCACCTCTATACATTATAAAAGTCTATGCGCGCATGTCACTGTAGCTCTTGTACGCGAATAGATTGACTTTATCAGAATACCACACTTTCTACAACAATAGGTAGGTGGCTGCCTAGTTCACGCGAATAATAAACTCAGAGCAAAAGTGCAATTCCCGAGTCACTGGAAGATGGGGTAAGCGAACGCCCTGCCACCTCCCCAGTCGGTATCACTCGGGCTCGCCTCAGCCACCAAGTGGCAGCCTGCCATATGCAAGTCTGTAATACGGCGTAGTCGTGCCCGCGCTATTTCAGGCCCCAGCGTGGTATTTTATCCACGTCTCTTTTCCCTACCTGCCGCATCGCGTTTTATGCAGAATTTTTCTCAAAATGCCCAAAGCTAAACGTAAAACCGTCTCCAAAGGAAAATCGGCGGCTAAAGGCAAAGTTGCCGCCAAGTCGGAAAGCACACCAAAGCGAAAATCGAAGTCTAAAAACAGGGCACGCTCAAAGGACAAGCCCGAGCTTAACATCACAGTGGTGATTCCCAAGACGTCTCGCAGGCCTACATTTTTCTTCTGGACAGATCCAGAAAGCCAAGGTGGCTTTCTCTCACCGTGGTACAATTGCCCTTTCGAGGTCGGTGGTGAGAAATATGTATCTACTGGCCAATACATCACGGCTCGTAGGGCAGAGATTTACCGCGATCGGGTATGCGTTATCGGCATAGATCGTTGCTATAATTTTATGACTAAATCATCGCAGGAATCGCTACACAAAATCCTGCTCGCGACAAGGGAGGATGAAATCAAGGCTTTGGCCGACAATATTAAGGACTCCTCCATCACTGAGTGGTCTAAGCGTATGTTTTCCCTCATGTGTTTTACACTCTCTGTATGATGTCACAAGTTCACACCCAGCAGATCCAGATTATCATTTTCATATCCATTACGCAAACCTCAGAAAATTTCTCTATAGCGACCAAAGCGAAGATCTCTTGAATAGGCTTGCCAATCTTGGTGACCGTGAACTTGTCTTTGCCGATCCTACTGATCTTCATCTTGGGATCGGACTCGACGCAAGTGAAGCGGAAAAAGTAGGCAGGAAAGCATGGGGAAAGAATGCTTATGGTAAATCATTTGAAAAGCTAAGGCATAAGATCAGAAATCCGATCTCGCCAGTCATTCCTACCTTTCCATATGACACCGGATAAAAACAGGCGTAATGGGGTTGCTTAAGTTGTTTTAGCTTGGAACATTTTTCATGAATAATCGACTAACTCTCTACAATGGTCCTCTGTTTCCTTTCATGATCCCCTAAGAAATCATAAGCCAGGCATACATTCGCGCTTATGCAGGCTGGTGAATCAGGTGCACATCGGTACACAGGAGGCAAGATAGAAGAATCACTGGCACCATCACCTTTTGCCCTAGCGGTCGTTCTCCGAGTCTATTTCCGGGGGATCTCCTTGACCCAGGTCACTATGTCCCAGGTAATTGAAGGCCGCACTAGGTCTCTACCTTATCCTAGAAAGTTTCAGACGGATATGGATAGGGGTTTCCTAAGTTCAAAGGAAAAGCTCTGTCCAGACACTTCCGATATTATCGATGTTTGCTTTTCCTTTCCGGGGTTCTGATCCAGCAGTACCTATATCGTAGACTTCTAGCTACGCTTCGGGATTAGACAACTAGGTTGCACAAGGCCTGTGCGGGTAACTTCTCCAGGATCGGTGTATTCACTGGCGCTTCCAAGCCAAAGGTTATCTAGTAGCTCACACGATACTCCGTGTTCATTCAGGAAATGGTTTTGGGGGTCGAGTAAGATGCATCACGACGGCTCGTGATGTGGCACAGTCGCCACGCTGAAGCCGAAGGCCGAAGCACTCCAAGACAAGGCTGGTCCGCGCAGTGAAAGATGAGCTTATGTCCAATTAAAACGGCCGATTAGAAACAGTCGCGAATACGAACCTGCATTGCGCTCTGAAACTTCTGTACAGGTCCGTAACGTCCACAATGTCCGGACTGTTCCACTCCTTGGGGTTGGCTCTGCGTTCGATTCAAGGCGCTACGCCCCTTCCCAAATCTTCAAGAACGTTCCGCCCGAAATGTCCATGGACGTGTATAGAGAGGGATATATAAACTCTAAAAGCCACATGTTGAAATCCCAAGCATACAGCTTCGCTCTCATTTGCTTTCATTGATTTCCTCTTTTATTTATCAAGCGTCAGTCACTCGTTGATCGATTGAAGCGCCAGTCACTCGTTATCCGATTAAGACGCCCATCATTCATTTATTAACTGAGATTCAACATCATGCGTGCTGGAACCTTCTTGCTGGCCTTTAATGCCAGCATCATTCTCGGTACTGTGGACATTGTTCACAAGAGACATGCAGACCACTTGAAGCCAGGAGTATTGGCCGAGGTCGGTAGACCTGATGCTACCCGTACGATTGAACTATCCGATGCAGTCTTGTCCCATGGTCTACGGCCTGCTCAAGTTTCGACAGATGAAGAACTGGGGGCACGATTGATCGACTCAAGAAGCTTAGAAAGGAGAAGGGGGAGAGCTGGAAGAGCTGGAAGGGCTAAGAAGACCACGAAGACTAAACAGAAGAAGCAGAAAAAGCAGAAGACAAATAAGAAGCCAAAGAAGCCAATGACAAAGAAGAAGCCAGTAAAAGCCTGTCCTATGAAGAACACAAAGAGGAAAGGCAAAAATGCGAAAGCTGAAGTCGGCGCCCGAGACCTTGACTTTGCGTTCAGCGATACAGACTCTCTTATTGGTCGCGCAACTACTCGTGCGCAAGCCAAAGATGCATGCGAAAAGCCGAAATGTCGCGCGGGTATACGCAGTCTAGGCGAAGATCCATGTGATAAGTATAAGAACCACCCCAAATTTGTACCATGTGCAAAACCTAGCAAATTCACTCTGGAAGTAAGCCAGATCTTTACTCTGTGCTTCAATAATCGCGTTGACCTTTTGATAGTATTTTCAAAAGCAAGCATCCAAGAAGCCACGAGCCGATAAATGTCTTTTCTACACAAATGGTTTGTCCCTACGCGCACAAACGTTCGGCAAGAAAAACGGCCTAATGACCATCTGGGTACGTATCTATCTTGTGACCTGTCTTTCGCACACTCTAGACAATACAGACTGACTCATAATCCACAGGATATCTGGGGTGGCCCCAGGTCGCCGTTCATGAAATGGGAGCCATATCAGCCTGATAACCCTATGCGGTGCATCATTGCGGATGACCTTCCTAAGAAATCGGGCAATAGGAACCCAAATCGGCAAAAGTACTTCTCGACTATGTCTGAAGCTATGGCCTCTATGTGTAGCGGCAGAGTCACCTTCATGGACAGAAACTTGAAGAAAGGCACATACGCACGAGTCAAGCAAGCCGGTATCTGGGGAAAGACAGAGTTCCCGCGGTTAAGGCAGGACGGAAAAACCACGTCGATCGATGCAATTGGAATGTATGAGGATACTGATACGCAAATCAGGTGGCCCGACTGGTGGGTAAAAGGTCAAGAGACCTGGCCTAATGAGGCCACTAAACCTGAGGGAATCAAAGACCGGTAAGCAACGTGTTGGACTTAGTTTATCAGGTAGTTTGTTCGTAATTAGATAGCTTGCTTCTAGTCAAGTATTTCACTATTTACACTGGTGTACTGAGGCGTGTGCAGACAAGACTGGTCCAGTTTAAGATGGGCGCGAACGGCCCAGGTGGCATCCAAATAATAGATATTTGACCAAAAAGAGAGGACGCGGAGGATGCCAGTGCGTTATTTACCCATTATCTATTCAATATCAACTACAGCCTCACCGTGCATTTCGAGATCCTCGACGACGATATGGACGAGCAGTTGCAAAGATCGAAACTTTGATGCTTCTTTCACATGTTCTTCCCGGCCCGGCTGCACTTGGAGAGATATTTCCACACTCCAGAACGGATACTAACATGAGATTTGGGCAAGGATCCTGCCTTCTTTCACTTGCAATATGTGAAGTTGAGCTGCAAATCAATCCGCAGAGACATGGATGCTAAAGACAAAGGAGCGACTTTCGCTTGTCAATGGCTAGCGTTCACGACACCCCTGTCGATCATGTCCGGACCATGACCTCGCCTGCTAATACGATTAACCCGTTAGCTAGTCCACCGGGAGCAGGCATGGACTCCTTATATACCCCAACGACATCGTTTCTTGCTCTGCTATGGCTGATGCCTCGCCTAGCAGTTGGCTTGCTTGGTATTTCAGAGTTTCTTCGCTTCTCCCCAGCAGTTCCTCGTCAGACTAGGTTCGCCTTGCAACCCCTTTAAAGAAAATGGTTTTTCGTTGATGGAGATGCATGGCCTCTCTTCTGTTGGACTCCACTATGAGCAGCGGCACGGAAACCACAGCGGGTTGCAGCCATGATCGGGGATAAGATAAAAATACCGTAAGTATGGAATATGCAATGCAGATGTGGGCGTCCTACGCAAAATGTTGCAATTGCGCAACTTTGACCTATTGCTTCCCATCTTTCTTGAGAAAACACATCCCAGGCATTATCGACCAGCGCGCGCAGCACTCCTTAACAATAATCAAGACGTGATCAAGAGCAAAGGTGTAATACCCGAGTTACTGGAAGTCGGGGTGAGCGAACGCCCTGCCTCAGCCCCCAAGTGCCAGTCTGCCAAATGCGAGTATGTAATGCGGCGTAGTCTTCCCCGCGCTATATTAGGCTCCAGCATGGTAATCTACTCATCTCTCTTCTGCCCACCTGCCGCATCGCGGTTTCTGAGAAATAGCTCAAAATGCCCAAAGCTAAACGCAAAGTCGTCTCGGCAGGAAAATCGGCGGCCAAAGGCAAAAGTGTCCCTGAAGATAAAGTTGTCGCCAACTCGGAAAGTACACCAAAGCGAAAATCAAAGTCGAAAAAGGAAATCCGCTCAAAGGATAATCCGGAGCTCAACATTACGGTGGTGATTCCCAAGACGTCTCGGAGGCCTCCATTCTTCTTCTGGACAGATCCCGACAGCGAAGGAGGTTTTCTTTCGCCATGGTACACGTGCCCTTTTGAATATGGGGGCGATAGATATGTATCTGTTGGGCAATACATCACGGTTCGTAGGGCAGAGATTTACCGCGATCGGGTACGCGTGCTCGGCACATACTGTTGGTATAATTTTATGACTAAACAATCGTAGAAATCACTAGATAAAATTCTACTTGCGACAAGCGAGGATGAAATCAAGGCTCTTGCTAAAAATATCAAGGACTCCCCCATCAGTGAGTGGGTCAAAAGTATGTTTTCCCTCACGTGCTTCACACTCTCTGTACGATGACACAAGTTAACATCCAGTAGATCGAGATTATCTTTTTCACATCAATATCGCAAACCGCAGAAAGTTTCTCTACAGCGATCAAAGTGAAGATCTCTTGAATAGGCTCGCCAAGCTCGGGGACCGTGAACTAGTCTTCGCTGATCCTACTGATCCTCATCTTGGAATCGGGCTCGATGCAAGTGAAGCGGAAAAAATGGGTAGAAAATCATGGGGGAAGAATGCTTACGGAAAATCATTTGAAAAGCTAAGGCACAAGATCAGAAATCCGATTTCGCCAACTATTCCTCCCTATCCATGTGACACCGGATAAGGACTGACGTAATTGGGTTAGTTAGATTGTTTTGTTCTGTAACATTTATCATGAGAGCAACGAGTGACTTCTACTTTACATCTCCATAGAAATCATAAGTCGCGCGTATATTCGCGTGCATGGCAGTACACCGTCACCCGAAATACAATGACCTGATCTCCTCGCACGCCCTCAGCTCGTGCAGGGTATATGAGGATAGTCAGGCGTAAGACCTTCCAATGCCAACCTACGTGCAAAAATACGAGACCATATGTGGGTTCATGCACTTCAGCGGGCTAACTTTCGGTCATGTCAAATCGGGAGAACGACCGTCGGGTGCTCGATAACGCATTGTGGGTCTGACTATCGCTATCGCTGGCATGAGAGGGTGCACACCGGGAAGTTACACTGATAATAGGGTTGATGACCAAAAAGAAGTTTTGGCAGAGAAGCCGTAGAGTCACGCAGATGATATCTCCAGGCTAGTGAAGCGGGTGCATATCGGTACACCGGAGGCAAGATAGAAGAATCACTGCCACCACCATCTTTTACCCTGAGCAGGCGTTCTGCGATCGGAAACCCGGAGGATCTCCTTGATTAAGATCACTACGTCCCAAATCAAGTCAAGACCACACTAGATCTCTGACTGGTCGTCCGGAAAAATCCCACACGGATATGGATACGGGTGAGCTAACTCCAAACGAAAGTTTGGTCGAGAAACATTCTGATATTCTTGATGCTTGCTCTTCCATTCGGATTTCCTGGTCTAGCAGTATCTATATCGTAGACTTCTAGCCACGCCTGGGTATTAGACATATGGGTGGCACAAGGCCTGTGCGGACGATTCCTCCAGAATCGTTATACTCACTGGTAATTCCAAGCCAAAGATTTCCTAGCAGCTCACCTAATATTCCGTTTCGACTCAGACATTGGCTTTGGGGTCTAGTAAGATATATTGTAATGGCTCGTGATGTGGCACAGTTACCAATACTTTAGTCGAAGGTCGAAGTACTCCAAGCCAACGCTTATCCTTTCAGTAGGGAAAATGAGCTTACATCCAATCAAAACGACCGATCAGAGACTGTCGCATAGTCGCATCTGTATCGCGCTCTGAAACTTCTATACCGGTCCGTAACGTTCACGATGTCCGGACTGTTCCACTCACTGGGTTGGCTCCGCATTCGAATCAAGGCGCGACGCCATGTCCGAAATCTTCATGAATACTTTGTCTGGAATCTCTAAGGACGTTCATACAGAGGGGGTATATAGACACTAAAAGTCACATAAATCATATCGTCAGGCACACAGCTTCGATTTCATTCGCTTTTATCAACTTTCACTTTCATACCTTCAGCACCAGTCACTCGCTATCCGACTATAAAGCCAGTCATTCGTTGATCGATTGAAATACAACACCATGCGTAGGGGAACCTTGTTGCTGGCCTTTACTGCCAGCGTCGTCTTCGGTACTGCGGACATTGTATACAAGAAGCATGCAGACTACTTAAAGCCAGGAGTTTTAGCTGAGGTCGGTAAGTCTAATGTGACTAGCACAATTGAGATATCTGATGCAGTCTTGCTCCGTGGTCTACGACCTGGTCAAGGTTCGACGGATGGAGCACTGGGGGCAAGATTGATCGACTTAAGAAGCTTAGAAAAGAGAAGGGGCACAACTGGAAGAGCCGGAAAAGGTGGAAGAGGTGGGAGAGGTGGGAGAGGTGGAAGGGCTAAGAAGACCAAGCAGAGGAAGCAGAAGACCAATAAGAAGCCAAAGAAGCCAAAGAAGAAACAAAAGACTCCAAAGAGGCCAAAAAAGCAGCCTTTGAAAGCCTGTCCTATAAAGAACACGAAGGGCAAGGGCAAGCTGAAGTCGGCGCCCGGGACCTCGATTTTGCTTTGAATGAAACAGATTCTCTCGTTGGTCGCGCAAATGCTCGTGCGCAAGCCGCAGATGCATGTGAAAGGCCAAAGTGTCGCGCGCGTATACGCAGATTAGGCGAAGACCCATGTGATAAGTATAAGAACCATCCCAAATTTGTACCGTGTGCAGAACCTAGCAAGTTCACTCTGAAAGTAAGTCAGATTTGTATACCATGCTTCGAAAATATTAACATTTCATAGTACTTCCAAAGGAAAGCATTCAAGAAGCCACGGGCCGATAAATGTCTTTTCTACACGAATGGTTTGTCCGAACACGCACAAATGTATGGCAAGCAACACGGTCTTATAACCATCTGGGTAAGTAGTGATCTTCGGTAGTCTGCCGTTACCACGCTTCAGACAATGTAGACTAACTATGACCTGTAGGATATTTGGGGTGGCCCCAAGTCGCCGTTCATGAAATGGGAACCCTATCAACATGATAATCCTATGCGGTGCATTATTGCGGAAGATATTCCCGAAAAATCGGGCAATAGAAACTCGATCCGACAAAGATACTTCTCGACTATGTCTGAAGCTATGGCCTCCATGTGCAGCGGCAAAGTCACCTTTATGGACAGGAACTTAAAGAAGGGTACATACGGACGAGTTAAGCAAGCCGGTATCTGGGGAAAAATAGAGTTCCCGCGGCTAAGGAAAGACGGAAAAACCACATCGATCGATGCAATTGGAATGTACGAGCCAGCCGATCTTGACACGCAGATCACGTGGCCGAATTGGTGGGTAAAAGGCGATACGACCTGGCCTAACGAGGACAGTAAACCTGAGGGTATCAAAGAGCAGTAAGCGACGTGTTGGTCTTCCTTTCTTAGGTAGTTCGATTCGAAGTGGATAGTTTGTTTATGATTAAGTATTTCATTGTTCACACTAGCGTATTAAGGCATGTGCAGACAGTATAGGCGCCATTGATTACCATCGTTCCGTACGTTTGGAGAACCTGGATAACCATGTGGACGGTCGACTAGGCTGGACAAAGGCCCACAGCTGTCCTGCTTCCGGCATGGACCCAGACTGAAGCCCAAAATCCATTTATCAACTTTGTGCTTCCATTAGCCCATAACGATGACCTCTTCATACATGAAGTTCTCGCTGTGAGTGGTGCAATGTAGCACATGAGCTCGCAGGAACAACATGCGTGGAGCAACCTGGCCCAGGCTTCGTCCTCGACCGCTTGAAACTAGTTCAAGTTTGTCTTCTCCTGGACCGACCACTGCATATAGGCCCGGTAGGACGATGACAAGGGTTGGTGGTATGATTTGGGCTGAGCTAGTGGGATGCGTCCTACAGTCTCTTTTGGTATGCGCGAAGTGCCAGGATCACACAGTTTAATGTCATGCTAAGGGTTGTATTTCCGTATAAAATTCCGTTTCCATCATCTCCTGGATCTCGAGCATCTAAGAATTCAAAATTTGGGACTGCGAAAGATGGGTTCGGAAAAAGCTATCGCGATAGCATCGGCTCCGCGGAGCCATGCCTCGTCAATGCCGAGCGAGGCGAAAGATCACATATTGAACACAAATGTAGGTCGATGCTACATTCTGGCCCCTCCGGCTTCATTGACCGATCCATCGAGGCTCGCGCTATCCACGATGCTCCTCTTCCTGCTGACGGGCCCAGGAGAGACAGCGTCTCCAACTCATTATTACTCCTCATCATCTTTGGCGTTCCAATTCTTCTTGCTCAACTGTTTGGTCTTGGTCTCATGGTCATCTAAGCCACAATCTCCCTCACCGTTTTACCCCTCTTGATGGCGCACTGGTGATCGCATCCAAGTTCAGCCTTCCAATGAACGACAACTTCAAGCTGCTCGGCAGCCCGATCGAGCAACCTTCACCTCCCCCGCCGAATCCGCAAAATACCGCGGCAGAAACACCATCCCCATGCACACCTTCGCCGAGCTGTATGTCGATGACAAAGCCACCTTCAAGATCTCGCAGCTCGAGATGGGCGAGCACGTCGGTGTCAAGCGCCTGACCGCCTTCTTCGGCCAGTGCTACGACATGCTCGCCGGCGACAGGATCATATACGTCCAGCCCTCCGGCCTGCAGCCGGCGTGGCAGTACAAGGGCTTCATCTAGGGATGCTTCCTGAACAAGTACATCTCCCCGGGTACGGCCGCTATGGACTGCGTCCGCAGCTTAGAGAAGGCTGGTTTCGAGGCCAAGGGGCGAGTGCCCGGTTTTGGGCACCTCGCGAGTGGAAGAGGGGAAGCCGACACGGGTGCAGCATCGTAGTCCACTGCGCCGGCACCCTGCATCGCTGGCACCGCAATTGGCTCAGCAACCGTGCTGCCCCAGAGGCAGAGTCTGACGACCGCTGGTTCGGGGGGCGGCTTCCGTCCCCTTCCCTCCCCCCTCGAGCTCAGCGTACATCCCCGTGGCTTAGATCAGACGGCGCCTAATTTGACTGGTCTTGGTGGCGCAGATATGGCACCTTTTCCTCGCCTGATTCACCGTCGCCAGCAGCCTGGGCAGCGCTTGCTACCAGATGGTGGTGGTCAAGAACCTGAATGCCACGCCGTGCATCGACGGCGTAGGATCGCGGTATAGAGTGCTGGGTGCACTGGAAAGGAACAAAGAGGCTGGAAAGTCGAGGCTGCAGGGTATCCCGAGATGGTTTGGGGTGGTTGGAACGTGACCTAGTCTAAGAGTATGTAAAGATTCCATTGATCATCAAAAGTTAGCCGGACTGGATTCCGCGCCCTTTCAGCAAGTTCGTTATTTCCCATACGCCACAAAATCGTTAGAGGGCTATTCGTAGCTCTCGCGGGTATCTTCCAAGTCAGAAACACCTCAAGTTACTCCCAGGCTCCCCTGAAACCTCATCCATTAAACCCTTAAATACGCATTCATGCATCCCATCTCAACTACCTCCAAGTCATCTTACGACCCATCAAGCCTCCTCCTTCATTATGTTCGCACAATCATAACACGCCGCAAGGCTGCACACAGGCACCTCGCACTGCATGCACACCTCCACCTCCCTCCCACACTTCTCGCAACATGCAGGGCCATCGGTGTTCTCGGTGCTGCCGGTGCAGTGGTACGCGCTCGCCATGCGGGCCTGCGACATGTCAGTGTATGTCAAGACCACAAGGGACTTGGCGGTACTTACCGCATTCAAGTTGATCGGACGGAAGGTATGCTGACCCTCGTCACACTCCTGTCGCATTGGCGCCTGCAGAGATGATGACCTTGGGAGCGCAGCGTTGGGACCTGGCACGGGGAGCTGGATGCGCGGCGGAGCATTTCTCTGTATCGTAGACGGCGAGGCGGTCATCGTGGCCTGGCTCAGCGGCGAGCGGGTCGATGGGGACAACGGCTTACCTCGGACAGGAGCGATACAGAACGGCGGGACGGGCGACGTGGGCAGCGGGACGGCGGTGGAAGAGGGGACGCCGGACGGACGGTAGGCGGATTTGATCGGGATTGGGGGAGGTGGGGGAGTCCTGAGCGGCATCATGGGTGCGATGGGGGGAGCGCGCTTTGGGGACTTGGGCGGGAGGCGGGTGGTCGACAGGGCGGACTGCTGGAGGGAAACGGGAGGGATGGCGCGCTCGGCGGTGAAGTCCTGGGTGCAAGCAGAGGACTGCGGGCACTCGTTGACGTCGCCGTGCTGGGTGCCGCGGGCACGAGGGGAGGTGGACGGCGCATCGCGAGGGATATCCAGGATCTTCTTGCGCTCTTCTTCCTCGAAGTAGTCGAGGTACGCGGGCAACGGCCCGGTGGACTTCTTGTGAGCCAGGTGAGCCTTTCCACGCCTGAGGTCGTCGGAAGAGCGCTTTCGGTGGAGCGTCTTCTCGAAGGCGTCTTTGTCTGCGGCCTTGGACGCTCTAATACCCTGGAACGACACCACATTTTTCGTTTGCGGGCGCGCCTCCTCTTCTCGCTGGCGTCTGTTGAGCGCGGGAGCACCAGTGCCGACGAGCTTGACCGTGCCAGCCGGAATCTTCTTGACGGGATAGACAATCGCGACGTCAGCCTCGCAGATCTCAGGCTCCTCGTCGGACGGGACGTCTTCAATCGGGGCGCGCGTGCTGAGCTCGGTCTCAGTGGAGTTCGGCGACCAGCGAGAGCCCAGCTTGAGGTAGTCGGCCTGGTACACGTTGGATGCCTTCAGGGCGGCAACCTTGGCGTCCAGATCCTTCTTCTCCAGAGCCAGAAGGTCGGCGTCATCGATGCGGTCGCGGATCGTCGCCTTGTTGGCGTTGGTGATGGTTTGCGGATTTGCCTTCTGGATCCGCGCGATCGTCTCTTGGACCTGCTCGAGCAGGTCGGCGGCGTCGGGGGCGATGGTTGGCGGCATGGCGGCGGGCTCCTCGGGCAGGCAGGGCAGGCGCGACCTGAGGAAGGGCTGCGAGAGCAAGCGGCGGAGCCGCTCCTTCTTGTTCTGCTTCTTGCTGTCAGTACTCATCTTGGTACGCAAACAAGACGGCCAAAAGATCGCGAGAGGGAGTAAACAGGTCCAAGTTTCGACACCATGAAATTTCTCAAATACTTACAGGCCGGGTAACTGTTGCTGTGGTGAAGCAGGATACAGCCAAACAGCCGTCGCCAGAGCGCGCTGTTGTTGTGTATCACGGATGTGAAGGAGGTTGACATATAGATTTGGAAGGCACGCGGTGGTGAAGGCGGAACAAGAAACCTCAGCCTGGGTGGACTCAGAACATCAAAATCGACATCGGCGGGCCCATGTTGAGAAGCGCGCACTGGCAGGTAAAGCACAGGCAGAGTGGACTTGTTGGGTTAAACAATAGCGAAATGGAAATCGCATAGGATAGTCTGGGATCTGACGTGCCGTGAAATTAGAAAGCAAGGCTGGAGCGTGGAGGAGCAGCCTGCGTAGACTTGGACAGACATGGGAAACGGTGATCACGGAATGGCGTAAAATAGCTTTAGTAAATTCGACAAAGGTTTGCGTATCGAGTAACTCCTAGACAAGCCCATGTGGCGACACTCCTACCGGAATTCCATCTTGAATCAATCCAACATGTTTTATGCATCAGGACCTGGAAGCGACAGGGCATTGTCGAGATGTACATGCAGCTTGGACAGGCCTCACTGGAACCTACACTTTGGATTTGGATGATCGTGAGGAGACAAGGTACATTCACGCCATTAGAATCGAGTGCGTGGAACTTCCCGTGGACGATGGCACGTAGAGCACTCTGAGACTCTCGAGCCTGGCAAGGAAAGGCGGCTTGAACAGAGCCAACAGCGCCTACAATCCTAGCTTCAAAAACATGGTCTAGCGCGCCAAACAACGTGTAGACAGTGCGCTCCATCTGTGCTAGCTGGAATAGCCTCCACAGAGTCAGAGTCCAGACATCCTACCACAACGCACGCAAAGCCATGTATGCGTAAATAAAGAGTTGATAGAACATTGAATGAGTCACCATCCAAGAGTCTAGGGTATACAGCACAACATCATCGCCACATAGATAGAAAAGCCCCCCCCTTCAGCCGCCCTGGCCCATCCCCCCATCAGGAAAATAGCTTAACCGCGCAACCTGCTCGCTGACGCCTCCGCTTCCACTTCTGGCACGCCCATCCTGGGCGCCTGCCGACGCCGGACTAGTTACGTCCATGCCCTTTCCTAGTCCGACCTTGCTGATATTCCCCGAAGCCGTGACCGTAGGTGTCTGCGGCGGACTGCTGGTCAGGCGGCCGGTGCCGAGGATGGGTGGCGGTACACCGCCCATGGACTCGAGCGAGTCTGGCTCGCGTTGGCGGGCAGGTTTCGAATGGGAAGGTGCGGGTGAGGATCCAAGGCCGCGGTGGTGTTGCATGTCTATGCCCTTCGGGGAGGTGGAGAGGAAGTCGCTGATCTCGGCCTGGCTTGTGCCGCGCTCGTCAGGCGTGCGTGGGGACTTGCGTCCCTGGGGTGGCAGCTGGAGGAAGCGCTGAATCGCATTGCGGTCATCTTCATCGTCGTCCTCATCTGATGTGCCTTCAAAGTACATGTCGTCCCAGGCCGCGGAGTCCTTGCTCCTCACCGAATCCGTAGTGTGTCCCCGTGCGCGCTGGTGCACACGAGACTTCAGCGGCGCGAGTTCGTCGGCTACCTCACGGAGTTCGCTGTCTGTGCGTTCGATAGGCGGAACCGCGGATTCCTGTCCCTTGACGTGCTCACCGTCTTCTCTTACGGGGACGTTGATGCCCTTTGCGCGGTCGATGGCGGGCTCGCGCTCGTCACGCTCGTTGGCGGCGTACGTGTCGGCGAAGTGGGTGTCGCAGAGGTGCTTGACGACGGGCCAGCCATAAGCATTGGCAAACATGCGGCGCACGATGATGTTGTTGTGTGCGTCGGGTTCCAACCGAACTAGAACTTTTCGCCAGGACAGGTCTTTGTGGTAGGCGCGCGCGATTTTTTCTTCGACCCGCAGGCCGCTTGTTTCGTCTGCACTGCCTGCGGAGGCTTGTGATGACATGCTGTCGCCTGAAAAGGACCGCTGGTTGTTTCTCTTCCTGGCTGGCGGGGGTGGAATGTCCTCTGGGTGGTAGATGCGGTCGTGGAAGATCGTGCGGGCTCTCGTGGAGGGGTCGATGATCCAAGACGTTTCGGGTACGGGAGGGGCAATGAGATCACTGGCTGATTCGAATATCGTCGTCTTTGGTGGTCTAGCAGAGTGCGACGGATCATTCACCATCGAGTCACCACGAGTCGCCTGCGGTCTTTTCCTCTGCTGGTGCGGCTGTTCTGGGGACGAGGCTTCATTGGCTTGGGCATCAGCTTCTTCCTGCTCCATCGCTATGGTCTGGCTTCTCGTGAACATCTTCTTGTCTTTGGCAGTGTGCTTTCCGGAAGGACGAATGTAGTTCCAAAGCTGGTAAATCGTGCTCGAATTTGCGATGCCATCGGGTGGTGACCGCTTCCCATCTGAGCTGCGTCTCCCTTCGTCCAACCACTGATTGGCGCTGGGTTCTGCAGCCGCTTGTGCTTCTTCATCCTCGTTCGCGACATCGGCTCCTGGTTGGGGCACTACGGTGTCATCTCCACTGAACGAGGGTGACTCTGTGCCATCGGCCTGATCATCCGAAGAGAAGGTGACCCTCGATGGGTTAGGCGATGTGTTCGAGCCGATCAGTTGCCCGAAACCCCATGCAGCCACTGTACCGACAAGGCCGTTTTCCCTTCTAGCCTTTTCGACCTTGCCGAGACCTCTCCAATCAAGGAAGAGCAAGCAGCTGGTCCGCAATGGCACGATGCCATCATTGACGACGTTTGAGTAGACTGTCCTGTTTCTGAACATTCGCAGAACCACATGGGCCGGACCAGATGGTAGAATCCGGAGTAGAGGCTTCGAGCCTGGATCGTCCTGCTTTTGCTGACTCTGCGATTGACCGCCAAGACCGCTCACCATGGCTGTCCATCCGCTTCTTGCCAGAGTCGGAGCCCGCCATGTCAGACCGAGATCTTGGCCTGTCCTTCCCACCAGTCCAAAGTCCAGCGCGAACTTGACATACATCGGGTTCTCGTTACTCAGTCCTAGGAAGGGCGATGCCATGGCAATGAAGTTGATGGGTTTAATCTTCTCAAAGAACTCGGGTGAGTGCTTGTAGATGTACGCAATCGCGTATGTTTGCACGACGCCACCAAGGGAATGCCCGACAAAACTGATGCTTGTGAACTTGTATGCTCTCTGGTCTTTCTTGGCATCGTCCTGGTGATGGATGCTGCTCCCTTCATGTGCTGGTAAACCCACGGACGATTTGTCTTTGATTGGCGAAAACGGCGTCTTGATCTTTGGCTTCTTAAGCGGAAGATACGGCTGGTCCGGATACGTGAGCTCGAGGACGTGCTTAGCTAGCCTCTTGCCGAGATACTGGACGCCACGCTCGGTCTTTATGACATTCTTGTCGAAACCGCGGACGATGACTTCTTCGTCGTCGTCATCAGAGTCGTCCGCTGGGGATATGTCTTCCTGACCACCGGATAATTGAGCAGTGGAGGTCTCAGATGGTCCATCCGTTCTTGCAGCCTGCCGCTCTTGTCGTCGGCGTTTCCTTCGGTCCTCCCGCGCCTGTCTGGCAGTGGCATCGATGCTCTCTTTCAGGTACAGCATGTCAGCCCCCAGATTACTGTGCAACCCGTGCGTCAGGATCACCAGATGGATCTTCCGTTGCTTCTGTGGCTCCTCGGATGCGTGTTCGCTTGTGTCTGTAGAATACCGCGTTGGCTTCTTCGCTTCTTCCTTGTTGATCTCCGGCAGCTCTGGCTTGTTCCACAGGCTCGTGGTGTCATCCACGACCAACTTGACCGCCTTCGAATACACGCCCTTCTGGTTCGCCGCATGTTTCGCCTTGTGAGACTGCTTGCCCTGCTGGTGGTCCTGCACCTGGCCAGGGACCCCGTGCGAGTTTCCAGTGATGGCCATGAATCCCAGATCTAGGGACTTCTCATCTCGCGCAACCAGCAGCTCGTAGCCGATCGACGCCGACTGCGAGAAGATGATCTGCGAGGCGATCTCGATTATCCATGTTGCGCTCTGCGGTGCGCCATCGTTCTGTTCGCGATTGCCGCCCGTCTCGCGGATATGCTCCGGCACGGTGAGCTTTGCGCTCCAGGAGCCTCCGGCTTTCAGGTTCGGTTCAAACTCTGGCACGCCTTCCTTCTTCGGCGCCTCGACCTTCTTGTTCGGATTGAATGTGGAGGGATATGCGGCAACATGGATGGTGTAGGGGCCGTGGAGGTACGCGGCGCGGAGGGGTATCGCGGAGGTGTTCCGTATGCGGACGTGCAGGAAGTTGGGCGAGGGGAGTATTCTATCTTGCGAGGGGGTGTACGTGACCGTGTATCTGGCTGGCGGTCAACGTCTACATGCTTGCCGGCGGGCGCGTCACTTGCGTACCTCACGACCTCTCCGACCCTGACGCTCCCTGTCTGGTGGAGCAGCAACATGCTCCTGGCGCGCAGTTGCTCGTTGCGCTGCTCGGTGCGCGACTTGCTGAGCAGAAAGTACGAAGAGCGGGCTTCCGAGCACCCGGCGTCCGGAATCTGGGCAAGGGCGTACGTACGCGGCGTGAGCAGCATTAGCGGAAAGCTAGCAGAGTCGGGAGGGATTTGCGAGTGGCAACGGCGGTAGCGGAGCGGCAGTGGACCGCTGCATCATAAGGGTTCAAGGGTCCTTTTGCAGTGTTTGTGCTGTGCTGGGCCACCGTCTCGAGCACACACGCGCAGAGGTCACGCCGCGAGAGTTCCTATGGCCGATGGCACGTCATGCGCTGTCGTGTGGCTGCCCTCAAGCCTCATTTACCCGGCACGCACGCGTGGAGTGTCGCGACTGGATATGCTGTCACTGTGGGGAGGCACCTTCACCTGTTACGTTCTTATGGCGATCTCCAGGCACGGCGCGCATATGCAGCCGGACGCGATGCTTGAGCTGCTGTCACCGCCTCGGCGCCGCCCACAACCCAGGTTCCAAGCGTTGTGCGTGCACGTGCCCCCGGAGCCATCCCATCCCGCTTCCGACGACCATCAGATAGAACGTCTTGGAAACAGATGCATTGACTATTGTGAAGCAATCTGGTTGCCCGATCACAATTTTACTCCTCCATCTCTCCTACTGTCACCTGTCCCTCAATCCAGTCCATCCGCTCAGCGCTCACCTCCTTCCCAGCCAACGACACTGCCTTATCTGTCACAGCCCTAGCAATCACATCCAGCTTTCCCTTTTCAATCCTGCCCGCCATCTTCCCAATCACCTGCTTTGCAATTGTCCGTCGAAGTTTGCATGATGGTCATGTGCTCACCGTTGTCTCTGTCGTAGAAACGGTACGAGGTGCAGGGCCAGTACATTGGTGCATTGATGACGATGAACGTGTTTGGTCTACTAAAGACAGTGAAGTCCACGCTCATACGACCTGTGTTGTCCGAAGGCCAAACGACTAATAGCCTCGTGCCACCTTGCGCCGTGCCTGAATTTCTGGAAACAGAGTTCTATCGCCGGCAGTTCAGGGATCGATAGGTGGAAGGTGAGCGTAAAGGGTTTCCCTTCCACTTCGGTCATCCTCGAAAGTCTCGTTAGAGGCTCTTTGAAAAGGACAGACCCTTTCAGTCTGCATCGGTGGAAATCATACCCGCGAATTCTTATCTTCGGGAACATGGGGCTATGTCTTTCTCTTGCGAATATCATCATTTCTTCAATAAGATGTGCAGTAAAGCATTTTGGCCAGTATTCGCTTGAGCCTTTTACACGCAAAGCCATGACGAGTTTCATATGCGCCGATACCACCATATGCCACTTTTCAGGATCTAACACTTGGCCGGTTGGGCCGCCTAGAAGGATCCTGTGAATCTTCTCTTTGACGTAGCGTTGGCTAGGCCTTGTCGTGGAGTGTGCTATAAGAAAACCGTGGAAGATATCGAATGAGTCCCAATAATGTCTGGGCTTGAGCTGCTCACCGATCGCAGTGTCTAGCAAGATCGAGTTGTCTGATAGGAAGGACACCTGCAACGGTAGGGCAACAACACAGTTGGTAAAAGCCAAAACTGCAATCAATAGCAGAGGTATGGATATCGGATCGCGATGGTATCGTGGCAGAGAAGTGGCAAGCGCGTTCCTTATGGCTGGGTCTTGACACAGTGCTGCCATCGATATGCTCAGCAGACCCCACAGTAATCTAGATGCGGCCGTACGCCTTTCGCCATTAAATTTTTGAAGAGAGTATGATACGTCTGTTTGTTCTCACACGGTGAGGATCGCTGAGAGTATCTACGTTCCACATTCCAACCTCCATATTTCTTGTTTATATGTGCATGATGCTGGTAGCATCTAGCTTCCGAGGAATGGGCTCTGTTCCGGTGCACATTGCGGTCCTCATCTCGATTCTTTTGGATCTGAGGACTACCGGTCTCTTTCCGTACGTTATCGACGATGCCAACCTGTACTACTTGTAATATCAAGTGCGAGAGATATAGATTAGCTTCTCTCCAATGCGTTCTCAGTGCCATCACGACAGCGTGTGATTGTCCTTGAGATAAAGCTCCGATTAGCTGAGACAAATGCTTGGCCATGTCAGGAGCGACTGCCTCGGTTCTTTCGATTACAGCCGCGATACCATCTCGCATAGTCTCAATTACATGTTCGTGGTGCTTCGTTGCCAGGTCGTTCTGGTTTCTATGCTGGCCGTTCGTGAGTCGCCTCAGCAGAGACCACCCACCCAAACTCATGGTGTGAAACAACGCCGCATGGAGACCAGGCTTACTAGCAATTATATGTTTCTCAACTTTCGCTTCTCCATCAAAGGCATACTGTAGCTTTCGTGTGATCGTTGAGAAAGGACTCGCTTGGTTGTTCGATGCTAGTCGCCTGCTATATGGTCACGGGGATGGTGTCTGGAAGCGGCATTCGCGCTCGAGGATAGTGGTGTAACTTGCATCTGCAAAATCCTGGGAAGGTGGGGACCGTGTCAACTCGGTAAGCGCCTTGTCGAGCGATGAGGAAGCTGCTTGTGCATCTTGGAACTGCTGTTTCGTGCCTTCGGTACCAGCTGTCAGTGCAGTCGCGGCGTCGCTCAGAGCCTTGGCCCCCTTGACGATATCTGTAGGCGAGATCCCGATTACTGACATAGGGTCTGCGTCTTTTCGTCTCGTGAGGAACGGATGTCGGGTTCTACAAAGATTCGTGCTAGAAATTCTCGGGAGGTACTAGCAAGGCTGAGGCGGAGTTGTTCATTTAATCCCTGTCCCTCAGCACCAATCAAAAACTACCGGTACGGTACAGCAGCGGCAAGGCTGAACTACATCATTGATCGTGGATTGTATCAACGAACATCAAGGACCTCTCTTTAGCCTCGCTGCCTTGAATAAATCCCCACTCCTGTTCAGTAGCACCGCGAGGATAGAGCGCATCCATGCGCACGTAAGCCCCGACACAACCCATGCTGTTTAGTCCTGTCCGACACTTTCCGTTCCTTGGGCGCAATGCGCAGCCTTAAGAGAAACGTCAAAGCAACTATATCCGCAGGCTCAATAACCATCTCGATAAGCTGAGACGCTTCTAATACAAGGGATAGAAAAAGAAAGGAATTCAATTCTGTAACGTGGCTGCAGGGTGACAGGTCTAGACCCCGCGAAGCGAGAGTTTGAGGCTCTGCAGCTGAGCTGAAAAGGAGAAGGCTGGAAGGAACATGCAACCTGACCTCTTCCTACCCCTCAGTTTTCGGGGCATACTTCACTATCCTTCTTCTCGTTCGCTGAAGAGAGTTGAACCTGCGAATATCTGAATAGTTATATCAATGCCACACGATGTCTGGCATCAAGATTACTGGGCTGGTGCTTGGCACCATCACAACGGTAACCGCGACAATCAGTCAGAGCGTCGAATCGCTCACAGGGTTGAAGGTGAGACACTGCACTGACTATCGTTCTCCTCGTTGACATGTGGAGTCCATAATTCGCAATGCATACCGCGATCGGGTTGCTCAGTTCGAGGAATATGGTGTCGCCGCTTTCTTCCTCGATACGATGTTCCCGGATGCCCCCCGCATCATGAGGCGTGTGGAACGCTACATTCTTAATGCAGACGATCAGCAAGTCGTTGCTTTCATGAAGCAATACACATCGAGCTTCAACATGACCGGTGTCGCGGTGGGTTTCTAATTCGATGAGAGATTGCACCGATACTTATTAGATAAGGGTGCCATTATCTCACAGGTTGCGATTACCGCACTTTCGTTGATGCGCCTCCAAGACACCCACTGGACAGCGGAAGCTTTCTTTATCACCAGTCTGGTAACGGGTGCCTTGTCGGTATACTTCTCAACAGCACTCAGCCCTGCTTTTAACGGCCTGCATAGCGCCGACGACATCAAGGATTTCTTAACCAAGCCTGCGAAGTGGAGAAATCTCACCAGGCTGAACAACCACTTGAGACATGCTGAACAAACACAGTCTTTGACCTCAGGACTCAGTCGCAAGCTGCCCCAACTGATTGCAGAAGAGCGGTGGAAAGTACCGTCAGCATACGCCGCAATCATGCTTGTCGTCCCAATGACACTACTCAATGTCGCGTTGAATACCTTTCTAATAGGATTAGGCATCTACCTAGGAAAACTATACACTGCAGAGTTAGTGCCCTCATACGGTTCAGGATCCCTGGGCATTCTCATCGTCTACATCGCAACCGCACTATTTGGCATCGGCATATTCTACACGCCTCAGATCTCCAAGGCCATCGAGGATATCCCGTTCGAGCGCTACCGTAGCATCGTGCACGCGAACAAGCTCAAGATGAGCGAGTCTGGTCAGGGTACGCCGGATGTGAACGGCACAGAAGAAGCTCCGATTGCACCGCAGAATAGTTTGCAATCGGTTCATGCGAGGAAGAAGGGAAACAAGGTCGGGTACGAGATTATCGAGCTTTCGGAATCTGAGATGGTGGCGAGTCCTGACCCTTTGGAGGACACTGATGCTCCAGACGAAGGTTACATAAAGCCCCCACCTTCTTCCAGCGAAACGGAGCTACTATCCCATGTCGCCGAGAGTGTTTCATCAGATAATGCTCCCAACGTCCAGGATGCGCTGCGAGCGCTCATCGAGGCTCAGGAGATCAGTCTCCGGGCGAGTAGAATACTCCTGGAAGCACTGAACAGGAGTCCATGAGCCCATAAAGCGGAGATGGGACCCAGAAAATGGGTTTCCGTCACAAGTGGCAAGCGCATGCGCGTGCGCTTTACACTCTCAAAGCGCTCCGAACCTGCTCTCTTGCAACCATAAGAATCGCCCTTCCTTGCGCTATATGAATCACTTCTGCACTTCTAGAACGCTTTCGATGCTATGAGCGTAGGCCCGCTGCGTCGATACAACGTGGGACTGGAAGTCTAAAGTGCAGTTCCATCGAGACACTAGCATCTCTACACTGGGAGACATGGAAAACTCTCGCGAAACATCATGACAAGAATTGATGATTTCAGGAGCATCTTCCGACATCATATGCGTCAAATGAAGTCAGCCGACTCCACGCTTTCTGCTATGAGACTTGAAAGACATCAAACTCCACGTCCTCATGCCGAACTAACGAGAGGTATTCATCGCTCTACGGATTCGGGACATGGAGTTGCTTGAGTACGTCCAGAGGGCCTTCGCCCTAAAGATTCCTCAACTTCTGCTTCTGAGCAGGCAAAATTCAGTTCTCTTGATCGTTGTCAAGAGCATGGGAGAGTCATCCTGCGTTATCGAAGCTAGTACCCAAGCTATGTGCTCTGTGTCACATACTCTGCACAAGTATATCTAGAACGACGTCGCACTCTCCTTAAGAAAAAGCTTTCGCGAATCAGGCGATGATAAAAGCGAATTCGGACGAAGCAGTAAAATTGGATCATATCCATATATTGTATGTCAGAGAGACTGAAGAGGATTTTGGGGACGACAGCGTCCGACAAGTTTATAACCTCAACAAAAGAAAATGAGACAGCAAGAAGTGCAGAAACCAATGCTCACAGTTGGTCTGTCCACGCTCCTCGTCAATAAAAGCATGCTCACCAGCGTCTTTGCGGGTATCCGAATTGATACCGATCTCCTCGGCGACAGCAGCACTGCTATTGATGCCAGCCTGGCCAACCAAGCCGCCAGGGGCGCTGCGTCAGCTGCTCGCCAGTCGCTCCGTCGTAGAAGTTCTCGTAGCCCATGGAGGCGTACGAGCGGGCGGTGGCACTAGAAGAGTCAGTCGATGTCTGATTTGGGAAGCAAGGCTTACGTACAGTGTCTCGCGAATGAAGCGAGGGCTCACGCCGCGGCGATCAATAATGACGCCGCTCTCCGTAGAGTTGGCAGCGAAGGCAGCAGTGAAGCTTGGGCCCCACGCCGCGGTGACCGGTGAGGTGCCATCACCGTCGTGGAAGCAGGGGTCGAGGGGGTTCAGGGGTTTGGTGGTGCCGTTCGTAGTGACGCCGCTGGTCGTGACACCGTTGGCGGTGGTGCCGTTCATGCCGTTCGTTCCGTTCACGCCATTCGTGCCGTTGGTGCTGTAAGACGACATTATAAATTGGAAAGGAGTTTCGAATGGAGTCGGATGTGGAAATCTGTCGGATTGTATAACACAATTAATATGCTTTGGTTCATGTCTTGCGAATTGAATGAATGTCCGATACAGCTGCGGGCAGAAGAAATACTTATATGTACTGCGTATCGAGGCTATTGTCGAGGTGACGGAGGATTCTCGTTAGTGTCAATAAAGGTGACTAAGAATTTCGTGACCCTCGGGCCATGGTTGAATGCTGTAACTGACAGTAGCTGCGAAAACTTGCCGAAGGTTGATTACAGTGATGAACGATCAAAAGATTCATGAAATACGCCCGTGTTTTCGATAATTATGCATATTGGGGTTGGCGAGTGCTCAGCTTCCAAAGTACTGTAGAGGGGTTTGTAAGCCGGCAAGCGAAGCTTGCTACTACATTAAGTGAATGCAAGGGTTGAGCATCAAATGGTAGAATCTGCTATCGACAGTGAGCTTAAATCATCTGCATATGTCGATTGCTGCAGGCTCCGTAGTTCATACGACAAGTCTCACATGCTCCCAAGCAAAGCTGCCATAGTTGTGAACAGCAAAGCAATTGATTGACCGCAAAGGCCTTACGAAATTTCTGAAAATTTGGTATGGATCGAATATGGAGGTCAGTGCGCACCGCAATGAATTCTGCACACAGTGCGGGCGCTCTGAGCTTTAGTCGCACTGCTCTGCAAGGCAACCAGCGCGAGGAGTTACACCATCCATGCGCTCTCTCTCAAATGTATCGTGCCATTCGCGCTTGTCATCAGCTCTGGACTAAGAGTGTAAGCTAATTGTACACGATGGTTCTGATCACTCGAAATCTAGGTAGCATCGTCGGGAGTACGAAGAGCGTAGTCAATCTGTTACTAAGAGCGAGCTTCGTGGACCGCCGGGGAACGCTATCTTTAAATTCAGGAAGACTTGCTGGGAAAGTTTGAGACGGGACTAAGAGTGCTTAGGTCTAGTTGTTCATTGCATCTCATGTACTCACACAGACGGCAGGCATTACCAATTTGCCAGCGGATGGACGCGACAACGACTCACACGCACCTGTTCACTAGTCACCATTCGGAAATCACTATCTGTACGCAGTCTCCACGATTCAGTGCAGCTTTCTTCCTCAAAGGCGCATCAACGATGAGCGCTTCAATGAAAAAATGGTAAAGCTTCAGAAAAGCAGAAAGTTCAAAAATTCCCTCGACCCAAAGGCACAAGGAGTTGCTCCAAAAGCAGAGTTGGAGTTTCAATACGCTGGCTCGGTCAACACCTCATCGCCAGAAAAAGATTTTGTGGTGATCCAAAGCAGATAATTCGTTGTCAGTAGTCTGTTGATTCGAGTTGGTTGAAGTCACGTTGTCGAAGTGTCGAAGTGTTGAGGTGAGGGTAAATCGATGTCGAGAAGTTGATGTCGGAGCGTCGAAGCATCGTAATGTCGAAGTCGGAAAGTCGCATCGCTTACGAACAAGACCGCCCACCATAATAGGCCCCGCCATCCCCCAAATCCCTCCTCTTCCTGTCCGATCCTCCCACTCACCCGTCCGGCGTCCAGCGCCCCGAGGTGCCCAGCTTGCCATCCGGCCCAGCACATTCCATACTGGTCTATCTTTGCAACTCAGGAGGGCGCGCCCGGCATGCCGCAAAGTAAGCAGGGAGGCCGTTCCAAGACCCGAAGGAGATGGGTACGGCGTCAGACGGAGGCACTTCCAAACAGGCCACGTGCCAGGGTCGGGAGTCGCCGCTCCGCCGCCTGAGGGATGCCACGACCCGAAGGTTCCGCCCCGAGCACGACAGTGACCGAGTTCCGCTCCGGTGTGTCTACGCCGTCATGAAAGCCGGTATAGAGTGCAGCATGTGCTCTTTGGAGACCCCTTGTTGAAAAGGTGCCCCGACAGAGTTCTACCTGTCACCTGCGATGCAGGAGTCAGTGGAGGTCGGTCAGTTGCGGGTGGATGGAATGCTTACCTTGCCCTGGCCCAACAGTGCCGAGTCGTTGTCGTGAGCGAGTTGAAGAGAAAGTGAGAGACGCCGGGTCGCCAGTTTATATAGAAAGTGAGAGACGGCCCATTACCTAAGCTGTTTGGCTTCGCGTGACAACTGTTGCGGTGAGTGGGGCCTGACTGTCGTAGGAAAGAGCGTCGCTTCACCTGAGAAAGCGTCAAACGACTTTTGTGCCCTCGCAGTGAAGGTGAATGGCCTGATCGCTCTAGCTCTCACGACAGTATTGACCTCATTTGACTATGCAGCTACATGCGGGTACAGTGCCTTCTAAGGTCGGGTGCCCCGGCTCTGACAGGGGTGCAAGCGTTGGTTCAGTTGTTGGGTGAGAACACTGCATTCCTGGATGTAGCTTGAGCCTCTGTATGGAACATCAAATATCGTTTGATGTCCCGATGGCCATGATCGAAATAAGATGAAGACGAGCTATACGTCTTGTCTTTTGCGCGAAAGTAAAATCATCCTTCTACATGAACATGAAGAAACTCCCGCACATCACTATCCGTCGTTGAGTTCATATAGAGCTGTATCCATGCTTCCTCTGCTCATACAAATCTATATGCAGTTGGATGTCTATTTATTTACAAGACCAATTTTGTCCACACCACTACTCCTCTTGCTCTTCTCGCTCTCGTCTTTGAGCGGCCGTTGATGCTCTTCCTCAGCAGCCGCCTCATCCAATGCTTTCACCTCGGCGCCCATCTCCTCATCTGAAGGTTCCATTCCTCGGATTGCGTTCCCAGTTTCCGCCGTCTTCCCATCTGCACTGTTCTGATTCTTCTTCTTGAAACTCCATCCGCCCCCCCACCCAACCCACCGTGTTTCCCATGGCCCTCTCGCGACCATGATCAGTATGGCAGCCCCTATGAACCCCACGCTCGCACTACCACTACCAATCCACCCAGCCTCCGCATAGATGTGGCTTCCCGCCGCCGTACCCATGAGTTGCCCGCAGAACGTCGCAACCATGAACGCAGTGTTCACACCATTCCTGCGTGTCGGCTCAATCGCGTAGATGGCGCTCCGATTCGCAATCTGCGCTGTCTGCATACCGAAGTCGAGCAGGAACGCCTGCAACACAGGGCCTGCGACCGTAAACGTGCCGAGGTAGGTCCCGAAGCAGATGCCGAGCATGCAGCAGAACAAGCCGAAGAGGACAGTCATATGCGGCACGAACTTATCGGTGACCTTGCGTGCGTATACAGGACCGAAGCACATGGCTGCAATGCCGATGAGGCCGAAGAGGCCAATGACCAAGGGGCTGTAGAAATACGGCGCGCCAGCGAGAAGGAAGGTCAGGGTCGTCCAGAAGGAGGTGAATGTAGAGCTGGTGAAGAAGCCTGCAAGGCAAGCTTGGACAAGAACAGGATGCCGAGTGAGCATCTGCACGATGCTCCAGAGGAGGCGGAAGTAGTTGAGAGAGGTGTTGGTGGCAGGGTAGTCGGGCATGAAGAACCAGAGCAGGACGAAAATAAGATACTGTAGGCCGAATGCCATCCAGTATACAGCGCGCCAGGTGACAAAGTTGGATATTGTGCCGGAGAGCACACGCGCGATGAGGATGCCGAGTTGAAGGCCAGATACTACCACTGAAAGGGCGGCTGCGCGACGGTGAGGAGGGGCCAGGTCACCCACGAGGGGAAGCATGAGCTGTGGGGTGACTGTGGTTATCGATACCAGGAAAGAGATTGCGGTGAAGACACCCAGATTCGATGTCAAGCAAAGTCCGAGCCTGCACATAGTCAGCATTTCCTTGCGACGTCCTGGATATCTTCGTGTCTAGCAAAAGAAAACCAAAATTCTGCAATTCCATCTCTTCGAAGAAAAGAAATTAACTCACCACAACGTCGCTGTAATACCAACCAATCCCACCACAAACGGCCTCCGCGGCAGCAAATCCCCCAACGGACACAAGAATAACAACCCCGCGGCATACCCAGCCTGCATCACGGTCGGAATCTGCGCCACATCCTCATAGTTGACGCCAAAATCATGGGCCAAGATATTCAGAATCGGATGACTGTAGTATAAATTCGCGACAGTGAAGCCAGCTGCGAACGCAAAAAGCACATTCATGCCCATGGAGAACTGCGGCGGTTTCTCCGGATCCCAGCGACATCGCGGGGGCGTGTAAGTGAGGACGTCGTAGATCCTGCGCCATCGGGACCGCTTCTTCGTTGACGATGCCGTTGGCGACGACGGTCCAGATGGCGGCGTAGGAGTCGCATCAAGGTTCACTCTCGCGCCCGTGACAGGGCCCTTCTCATCTGAGCTCATCGTGACACAGAAACGTCTATCCAAGCCATTTCCCAACTCTTGCCATGTGAGTTACACAAACAATAGGAACAAAAAGGAAGGCGGGTGTGACAGTGGGAAAGGGATCTGCGGTCCCGGAGATAAAACTAGATCCATGACGGAGAGCGAAACCGCGCATCTTTTCGATTTCGGGTGTGAGGGGAGCGTCCGTCGCCGATGTCCGCACCATTGTGCGCTAGGCTCCGGAAAAGTAAGGACTAGTGGGGTTTGGGTTGGCGTGGTGTGGAGATAACCGCGAGCTTATTTACGCGACCGGTGGGACAGATTACAGGCAAGAAAAACAATTACTAAAAGAGGGCCCAGTATACGGAGCAGACCGACGTGACCACGAAAAGGATTGATGATGGGCTAAACAAAGAAATTTCACTGGCATGTCTGGCTGAGTCCGCACGGCGCCTTACACCTTCAGATCGATTGACATTGAATCTTTTGTATTCATCAACACGTCGTGACAACTAACATATCTCGACTATCTGGTCGTCTTCGTCTTCCTCCTCAGCCTCGTTCTTCAGCGCCACCATCTTCCCCCCGCCTGCTCCTGCTGCACTCATGGCTCCCTGGGGTATCTCCTCTTCCTCGCCCTCCTCGTTGCGCATGATGATCTGCACAACGCGATCGCACGCCTCCCGGACTCCGTCATCCTCGACTTGGAGATGGCATTCCCGTACAATTGGGTACACCTTAACTTCTCTCATCACCTTTCTGCCGTCAACTGTCGTACATAGTAGAAGCAGAGTCTCCAAATGCGTCTTCATGATCTCGAGGTCCTTCTCACGCTCCTTATCCGGTTCCAGCAACTGCAACTCCTCGAGCATGCCCTCTGTGTCTTCATCGGAGTACTCCTCTGGTCCCATGAGCGGGAGCAAGACATAAGGTAGCAGGTTTACGCCAATGTGTGGTGGTGGAAGGGCCGGGTCGGGGTTGAGATTTGAAACAAGGGTCGGATGGGCTGGGACATGGAAAGCGCAGTTCTTAAGGGTCGACGCCACACCGAGGCGACGGATGTGCGAATTGTGTGATGTGAACACTTGTAACTTTGTTAACGGTACGATGTCGGAGTCATGCGCTTGCGGTGTAGTCATGTATTCGCGGCCCTCGGGAAACTTCGACAAGTCGGCGAAGAAGTAGGCCAGGTAGTCATAGTCGGCATCCTTGTTATAACCGCCTTCTCCACCCTTGACGAAACAGTCCATCAGCTGGTCCATGGCCCATTCTGACGTGGAAAGCTCTTTGGGCACGGCGCGCTTGAGCTTCAGCACGCGCTGCAGCGAGTCGTCCTTGGCCATGTTGGCGAGCAGCATGGCGATCTCGTTCGCGTTGGGTTCCTTCTTGTTCTGCTGGACTGTCAGTATCACTTCCTGCGCTTCCGGTGCCGATGAACTGACATACGGTTATTCGCGACAGTAGTGCCTCGAGGAAGGTGTCGTCGTTCAGCGCCCTGAGGACTTCGCCGTCGTGCGAGATGTTGATGAGCATGGTAAGAGCATTTTTCGCAATAGGCGCGTAATCTTTCACGAGGAGCTTCAAGTCCTTGACGGGCTCAAGCTGGTTGCGCTTAAAGAGAGGCAAGTCGGCCTGCGAGTAACCCAGCAGATTCTCTGCAGCGACCTGCCGAATCTGCGTGTTTCCATGGTGTCTGACCAAGTCAGCGAATATTCGTGAGCCCAGGATGAATCTTGAACACTCACAGGAATTCTACCAGCTCCTCTAGCTCGGTAGGCATGATGGGCGTGAATTGCTTGCAGTCGAACTTTCGCCATGACGCTTTGCGCATCGCGAAAATTAATCTTATCGATAAGCGAAGGGAGGGGCAAGAGCGAGGGGCAACACGGCACGTGCCGTCAGACACAAAACACCTGCCACTTGCATCGCGTGGGACCTGCATCGCCACCGGATATCAACATCTCGTGTGGCCTCAACATCGCCTCCCCTGGTGCGCAGTATCCACCTGCTGTTCGATTACTCTAGCTTGATATTTCACATCAGGTCTTTCGGTGGCTTCGCACGCTGCTCGTATCGGCGCTGTATGCGCTTGCAGGGCGGATTTTCAATTCAGCCCGGCTTCCTTCAGTCCTTGTAGGCATTAATGTTTTCGCGCCAGAGGAACATTGAGTCGAATGAAAGCAGAGTTGTCAAAGGATGGATGCCATCGTGGAGGTTGGTGGAGCCCCGGCTAAGCCAATCTAGCGCTGGCTTTGGCGGCTACAAAACACCACGCGCACCCGCACCTGTCGCGCAGCCGCTCACGTTCCTGGTGGCTGCATTGCTTCAAGCCTTCGAACGCCCGACGTGAACAGACATGTCGATCCCCACCTCCACCGCCAGTCTGACAGACAGAAACGATCAGTCATCAACCTGGTCATCACGGTGCTCTGGAATTAGCGACAGCTACCACGTCTTGCATTCGGAAGCGCAAGATCCAGATGAGTTGCCTCATCATCCGCTTCGAAAATGGATCACTGAGGCATGGCATCCCCGTGTCGGATTGTCCCGGCGGACAGCCAAGAGCCGTGTGGCCTCAGTCCACTTAGGCGCTCAAAATAGACTACACAGAGATCGCTTCGGCCCGCCGTAGGCCCATCACATACATCGGGCCACCGTGCACGAAGCCAGCACACGACGTCTGACGAATCGCCGCGAAGTGCAGGGGTTTGGCGGTTTCGATTGGCGGTGTAGCGAGCTGCAGGTGCCAGCGCTTACAATGAAACAACCAACCACCAAAATTATAACCGCCGCCTATCATCTAAGTTAAGCGCCCAGGATTATATGCATGCTGATTGGGTCGTGTGCCACACTGCAATGCACGAAAGAGTGTTTGTCTGCACGGGAAAACACCCCAGAGCCGCTATTGCTCGCTGCATACCTCACCGTTTCCCCTAGGCTTGCTGCAGCATGTAGCGCACCCGTCTTATACTTCCTCGACCCTGCTTACCGACTCCGTGCATCCGTCCATCATGATCCAGCTTTGAAGTTTGCAACTCTGAGTTTTGGACCTTCTCACCTCCTCCCAGTGGGCCTACAGCTGTGTCTTGTAGCAGAGTGATTATCAGAAGAGAAGGATCGTCATGGCTGGCCCTGGGCTTCAGTTGTTTCCTCCACCGCCTCGTCCGAGACAGGCGAGTCCAAATAGCAAGCAGCTTCGACCAAAGCCTCCCAGTCCGGAACCCGGACAAGTGGAACGAATGGATAGTGCAGCCGACTTTCACGAACTCGTGATTCAGGTCAATGAGGTCCCGATAGCCGCTGAGAACAACTCAATACCGCCTCCACCTCCACCACCGCCCCCCGCAGTAGCAGCTCCTCCAAGAGCACATCTTCCCACCCTAACGATCCAGACCCCTCCTCGGCATCAGAGACCTGGCCCTCCTCCACGACCGCGGGAAGCATCGCCGCCAATTCAGCACAGTACTCCGCCCAGAAAAATTCCTGATCGTAGGGCTCAGTCGCCACCTGTGGCAGTACAGGATGGCTTCAACTACAGATCGCAGACCTCGAGCCCTGAGTTGAACCGAACGGCATCCCCAGCTTTCTCAACAGCCGAGACCTTGGTGCGAGCAAATAGCACTGTACAGCGTAACATGACACCTCAGCCGGATGCTCCCATGAGATCAATATTCCCAGTATTTGATCCTACCAAGTCTCTGTCTCAACAAGCGTACAAGCCCACCCAAGCTTCGCCTACACACATTCCAAGGACTCAGATTAGTCGGTCTCCGTACTCTCCCGACTTCTACGTTCCGCATCATAATATTGCCAGCAGTGGACCAGCAAGTCCACCGCCTAAACCTTTCTTCACGCCCTCTCACCTTCTCGACAACCTCTGGGTGGCTTCCAACGGTCAAGAGGAGCCCGCGGTGCAGATATACACACTGCGAATGCACCGAGCGACAGCAGCGAATCCTACAATAACTTTTGGCACCACACCGTCGTTACCATTCTATAGCCTAGCACAGTCTAACCTTGCCGGTGGTCACGATGTGCAAAGCATTATGAACGAGCTATTGATTCAGCGGCATCACCCTACGCAGCCACGCGTCCTCCCTATTGCGCAATTAGATCTCATGACCCCACCGTCCGTCAATGGCAGCCCAGTCGCTCCTCACGAGCAGGAACCTGTAACACTACTCACCAGCATATTTCCGAAACTCGCCGCACTGCAGGCCCTTGATGCTGCCGCGAACTCTCCAGCGGCATCCCACATAGCTGTCATGGACCCGGGGGCGACCTCACCGGCAGCTCAGCGCCTCGCAGAAGATGTGCTAGCCGGAGCCGCCCAGCGTGAATGCTGCGCTCTGACCTGGACACGCGACCCTCCGCAGCCGCAGACCAATCCTTGGGCACAGCAAATGCCTTCGGAAGGGACCTATCAACTACATCATCCCACCTTGGGCACTTTCCCCATCCAGATCGAAGGCGACTGCTCCGTCATTAACAAGCCATCCACTCGACCTATCACCGCGATATACGGCCACAACATGTCGCCTACCCCTCACGCACCGCAAAAGCCCGCCTCCATCACCATACTCAACCCATACATCCTCTCGCCATCCTCGCCCCGCGCCAACGGCTTCTCGCCTCTCCAGCCACCGCCGCGGCTCGACAGCTTGGGCCGCGACATGCGCCCAATATCTATCACACCCAGCGAAATGAGCGTTACGCAGTTGCCCACTGCCACGGACGCCGCCCCCGAGGACGCTATGCTCGCGCGTCTCGACTTCACTAATGACGCGCTCATGTTGAACCTAGGAGCGCTTACGCGCTTCGGCAACCCGTTCCTCGTGGATGTTGCAGCCGCGGCGCTGCTGTCCGTCGCGGTGGCCGAGAGTGTCCGCAGCCGAAAGGCAAAGTCACGCGCAGGCTCGACCGAGAACTTCGCACCACCGCCAGTTCCCACCCTAGATCCTACCATCGCAGAGGTGTCTGACGCGAAGGCGTTCAAGGCCGCGTTTAAAGACGGGTTCAATGCTGTCGGCGGGAAGGTCGGCGTCAAGGCCCCGGCGGAGACGCTTCGGAAATGGAGTACCAAGTCCCGCTCGCCGTCTACGGAGCGCTCGTCTTCCTTTGACAAGGATATTGAGTTGGGTGACTGGTATGGGCAGTCCAAGCTGAGCGCCAAAGTAAGCGCGAAGGAGAAGAAAAACGCTAAGAAGGAGAAGGACGGCGAGGGGCTGCCGTTTGTAGCGCGGACGGTAATTACTGTGTTAACGTTTGCGTTCAAGGCGGCGGTGTTCGTGCTGCGGGTCGCCATCAAGGTCGTTGCAGGGGTGGTGGTGATGATTACGCGGAACTTCAGTAGGCTATGAGGTGGGATGTAAATAGGTGTTTCCGGTGTTCTTTTTTCTTGGTCGCTCGATGTCGGGGCTGCGCTTCGTTCACTCTTTTCGTTTCGATACCATTATGTTTTCCTTGGGGTGCTTTGGATAGGCAGGGTATAAGATCAGTGCCGCTGGTGTGGCATTAATGGAAATGACCGTTTCTGGGACTTCGCCTGCTTCGATTCGCTATGCTTCGCCGTCTTGACGAGTACACGATGTTCCAAGTCAAATGCCCCGAAATCTATACGGAGCAATCAGCGCGTTTAGATGCGACCAAGATCGGCATAGCGCCAACGACCCACCAACAGGGTGCCCATCGTTATCTCTTATAACAAATCTGCTTGCGCTCCTCATTACCATCGCTCTTTCTCCATTACCAGGGCATCCTCCGTGTCTTCTCTTTGAGACAGCACCGTGCCACGAGGTTTTCATGGATACAGCGATGCCACATGTGCAGGGGTCAATACGTCACCTCTGGCGGGGTAGCGGGGGCTAAACGAGGGGCACCAGGACCAAAGCTCTGCCGTTCTTGTGAGTGTATCGCGGAGAGATGTTGCCGAGCTGCACGCCATGCAGTCCTGAACGGCTTGACCAATTGAGTGTCTCATTTGGGGAGCGGAAAGAGTGGGAGGATGCGCGCGTTGAAGGGCTAATGCGTGAGAGGGAAACGGACGGCCAGGGATGAACGATTCCTAGGCCATTAGGACTGATAAGTAGTAAGGAATGTCCAGTGGGGCAACGAGTTGTTTTGTTTTCCTTCACAATTCTGGCCTCCAGCACAATCCACGCCCCCGACCTCCCCCAGAACCAACATCCAGACGAACCCGTTTCGCACACCACCCACAATGTCCACCCTCCACCGCAACCCCCCCTTCCGCGCCGAGCACCTCGGCTCCCTCAAGCGTCCGCAATCCCTTCTCGACGCGCGCTACAAAGAAGGGAAGTCGGACAAGGAACTGCAGCCCCTCGAGGACAAGGCCATCACCGACATCGTGCAAACCCAGCTCGACCTCGGCTTCCACGCCGTCTCCGACGGCGAATACCGCCGCCACATGTTCTGGGGCACCTTCTGGCCCGCGCTCGACGGCATGGAGGAGATCCAGAACCCGCCCATCGAGACCTTCCGCATGTACGTGCCGGACATCGCGGCTTTCATGGAGACGGGGCACAAGCCCGGCGAGAGCGTGTACTGCACGGGGAAGATCAGGCACACGGGGGAAAGCACGTATGTCGGGCAGGTGGAGTATCTGAAGAGCGTGCTGCCGCAGGACAAGTGGGGCGGGATGAAGCTCACGCTGGCGGCGCCCAATTGGTATCATCTGCGGTATGTGGACGGGAAGGCGTATCCAAAGGACGTGTACCAGAACGACAAGGAATATTTCGCAGATGTGGCCAAGGCGTACCAGGTAGAGCTTGACATCCTGTACAAGGCCGGGCTTAGGAACGTGCAATTCGACGACCCGAATCTCGCGTGTGCGCATCCCCTTCCTAACCCAGACCCCACTGCTAATCTACGAACAGACTTCTGCTCCGAGAAAATGCTCGAAGGCTGGCAGAAAGACAGGTCCAACACCGTCACCGCCGATGAGCTCCTCGACCTCTACATCGCCCTCTACAACGACTGCATCGCCAAGATCCCCGCCGACATGCACGTCGGCGTGCACCTCTGCCGGGGCAACTTCGTCAACTCCCGCCACTTCTCCGAGGGCGGCTACGACCGCATCGCAACCAAGCTCTTCACACAACTCAACATGCACACGTACTACCTCGAGTACGACACCCCGCGGGCCGGCGGCTTCGAACCGCTCGCGCACTTGCCGAAGAACAAAAACGTCGTCCTGGGAGTCATTACGAGTAAGTTCCCCGAGCTGGAGGACAAGGAGGAGATGAAGAAGCGGATTCGGCAAGCGGCGGATGTTATGGCGAAGGGTCAAGGGGAGAGCAGGGAGGAGGCGCTGAAGAGGATGGGGGTGAGCCCGCAGTGTGGGTTTGCAAGCCATGCGGAAGGAAATTTGATTGACATCGAAGGGATGAAGAGGAAGTTGGCGTTGGTACGAGAGATTGCGGATGAGGTGTGGCCTGGCGAGCCGTGAGGTTCTGATGGAAGGCCTGGTGGGGCCACGGTAACTCAAGGAAAATCACCTTGCCGATTGCATAGTTTCCTGTGGCTTTTGGCTTACGCACCCTTACCCTTGGCACATGATGGGCTCTCCTCACGGTGCTGCCTCGCCTTCCCTCTTTCTTATGCTTATGGGCCAGCCGCTGCAAAGGAGACGTACCATGTCCATTTCCATGTGCCACATGCATTCGTTGCGGCATCCCCAATGTGCATCTAATCCCTTGCCGGGTGATCGCCGTATTCCTCACCCGTATAGCCCCACTCCGCCTGCGCAACCCTCCCGTTCAGCTTGGAATCATCCAGCCACTGTATCGCAAGCGCATTCCCCGGCTACTTCTCATCGTCACATTCACAGTCTGGCGGAAGGGCCATGCAACAATGGGGATATGGATGGTGGAGGCAGAGGAGAGCCCTAGAAAGATGCGTCAGCTGTATGTTGCGGTTGCTCAGTGTAGGAGAACGAGGAGGCTACTGGAAAGGATGTTGTGATTGACAAGAACCTCAATGGTTCCCAAAGGCGGGTTTGGGGGTAAGCGGATGAGAATGACAGTCTTTTGGCTTGATGGATTGATTCTTGGATAGGCGCTGGCTTCCCTGCTTCATCTGGCACGTCTGGCCCCTCGGCCACTGGCAGCGTCTAAGCTGTTATTGACTCTTGACTCTGGTCTGTGACTGACCCTGGTGGACTTGATGGTACATGTGCCTACCCTTACATGCTTTGCAAAGCGGTCACTGCCCGACACAGGCTTGGTCGGGCAAGCGGCCTTTGGCCATCCATCATTAAGTTTCCTCATCATTGTTTCTTGCTGGATATGGCGACTTCGCGTTCGAGTGGTATACTGAGGGCGCGTGGCGTAAGTCTCGCTTAGAATTAATTTCTAAGAGTACTCCATGGACTCCTGATGAAGCGATCCACAATATCCAGCTAACTTGATATCTTCCACTTCATCATGAACCCACACAGATGCCTCAGATAACGGATGGAACATTACTGCTTCCCCTCACAAGTTTCAGGCATAGGATCGAAATGCAAGGTTACCCATCCAAATGAGAAGGGATTAGGTGTTCTTGCTATGGTGCTGCCGACATTTTATACAACATCCAGCAGTAACCTATATGAACAGTTGTCAACAGATCCACGATATCTGAGTTCAAAAGCTTTGGTATCCCATCGTACGGCTCGTGAATTGAGATAGCACCAAACAGATCCAGGAAATTCTGTAGCGAGCGGTGAATTTGAACAATGTTAAGGAAGGTTTTCATCGTGAGGTGATGGGTCTCTGTAGGTTCGCCTGTCATGGCTACCAAGCCCTCCTCGAGACGCGCGAAGCGATCAGAAATGAAACTTCTATCCAGCCTCTGTCTCTGAGTGTCTCAGCTCCCGCATCGTCCTCTACGTCTACCTGACCTCACCAGTACCGAACCGCTTCGATTCTGCCGTTCTCATCCTCCACTGACCCACCCAAGCGCTCAAACTCCACGTAGAACTCAGCCCCAACCAAATTAGTTTGTAGGCGACTCGAAAACTCTTCTATCGAAAACTGCAGTAACGTTCACATCCACAACATCAGATCATTCCCAAAAATCGCTTGTCTTCAGCTGTCACTCTTCATCGTTGTTTGACGACATCGGGCTTCTTGGGCTCTGGAGATCGCCGGAGAATGACAATGCAAAATGTGTCTTCAACGCGGTGTGAAATGGACCAATCCATACTGAATTATGCTGGTGCAATTGCGATGTAGAGGTTGTATAGTTATGCGTTTGGACAGAGGCTCTGTATATCATAAGTATTGTAGGGTTGGTGTGTGCTCGGCGATATGAGACATCTGGAGCTCCCACAGTTCCAAGTAGAATCCCCACATCCTGAGGAATTTACAGCTCGAGACTAGCCGCAGCGCTGATTGCCATATTGCCCGCGGTGAGCTGCTCGGTCACAAGCATGTCTTCCCATATCGTGTCTTTTGGTGAGCGCTCCGGATCTCCAAAGCCGAGGTGGGTGGGCCTGAAGAGGGAGATAAACCGGAAGTCGCATACTCTGACGGTCTCAGGAGGGGATGAAAGGTCTGGGCTCGGTCTTTGCATGATGATGTGCTTGCCTTCGCTTCTTGTGACGTCGCCGATGATGAAGCCTAGTTCGAGCTCGAAGAGGTGTTGTGAGGAGTCTGTCTTAGTGATGGTGGCTCTGGTGTGACTTTTTGTTTGGTAGTTTTGGAGCTCTTATGTGCGTCATGTAGCCATGGTAGAAGTTTGGGTAGATGCCCTAATTGACCGCGAAGGTGACAGTGAGCAAGATTTATGCAGCAACTATAGTCGACCTATTGATGTCGTTGTAATCCAGAGCAAGATTAAGCACATATAGAGCACTTGCGGCTTTAATACCTGATGTACGCCTAATTGTAACGAACCTTAACTGTCGATCTGCGGGGCGGATCTCACAGTCACTGACAACACTCAGCCTTGCGGAAAGTCCATGCTGCCAGGTTACTGTTCGGATGCACCGTTCCGTAGCGGGCCGAATGACATACTTTGGATCGGCCTCCATATGTCGATCGGATGTCACTCTGAACCCTCCACAAGCATTCCCTAAAGCGGAACGGAGTAGTCCAGTGAGTAAGCGGCCTTCGTCCTCGTTGATCTGATGGAGTCGGATTCAGACTGATAAAAAAAATAAGCACGCGGCGAATGCGGCGCGTGACTTTCGTGCAGACAAGTTGCAATATTGATCTCGATTCGATGACTGAGCTGAGGGCATCGGCACCGTTCATCGTCGATTGAGCGTACTTGCGCAAAATGAAGACACGCATTGCATGTAGACTTGCTGGTTATTAGCGAGGATGCGACTACGTGGGAAATGGGGTGAAAATTCGACACGCTGCAGGTGTCTAGATGTCCAGGAAGGTGTTCGGCTTGTCACATGATACGGAGCGGGTCTATCGTTGATCCGATGGCCAAAGCTTTCGAGAAGCGGGAGCCAATCACAGGACAGTCCGCTCCGCAAGAAAAAGTTGCGAGCGCATCGCGGTAACACTGCAAGCAGCAACATTCACGATGCCGGCGCTCAAAGTGCCCGAAAACGCCCCCAATGGACCTGCCGCCAAGCGCCAGAAGGTCCAGGCCAGCAATGGAAAAAGTAACGCGACCATCGCGCGCAAGTCGAAGATCTTTGCGCCTTTCAGAGTACGCTCTCTCCCGCCGTAGCATCTTGCGCATGTTAACAAGTATAGACTGTCGGTCTAGTCTCTCCAACAGATGTCCCGTTCACGTCGATTCCGCTTGGTAAAGCCACGTTCCAGATCACCACTTCGGTCGGCAGGTCGCTGCAGACGTACGACTTGCGCCGCGGCCTGAACCTCGTCTTTATCACGCGCCCGCAGACACCAGAGGACATCACGGCCACGCTGGCATGGAAAAAGGTGGTTCTAGCAGCATGGGGTGGTCCGGATGCGCAGTCAGCCCGAGGAATCTGGGTGTTCCAGCGCGGCAAGAAGGTCAACGAGCTGGAATTGCCCCGGGGTCTGGACGAAAACATCACGCATCTTGTTGCATTTGGCGAGTGGATCATTGGATGCGGCACCACCAGAATCGAAGTGTGGAAGTCGGCGACGCTGGAGCACTACACGACGCTACAGGGCTCTTCGACCAGTGCCTTATCTGGCTGCCTGTGCAACATGCCAACCTATTTGAACAAGATATTCGTAGGAAGGCAGGATGGCTCCGTGGAAATCTGGAACGTCAATACTGGAAAGCTACTGTACACACTCCTACCTCCCGCCGCGGACTGTGGCTCGGTAACTGCGCTGCAGCCGGCGCCTGCGCTGTCCCTCCTCGCTATTGCGTACGAGTCAGGCCCCGTTTGCATTCACGATGTCCGCGTGGATAAGGAGGTTATGCGCCTCAATCTTGGATCGTCCAAGAAAACGCCAATTACTTCCATATCGTTCAGGACGGATGGCCTCGGTGCGGGAGAAGACGGTCGAAAAGAAGGTGTGATGGCTACGGCGAGTCGATACAGCAGCGATATTACCTTCTGGGACCTCAATGAGAAAGGTCGCAAGATGGGCACTCTGAACGGCGCACACAATCCCCCTCCATCCGCCAAGGGAGGCGTTGGTGGTGGTATCAGTCGGATAGAGTTCCTCGTGGGCCAATCCGTTATCGTTTCAAGTGGACTGGACAACACCTTGAAGAGCTGGCTTTTCGACCAAACACCCTTCTCGGCAGTACCCCGGATTCTGCACTCGCGCGGCGGACACGCTGCACCTATTTCCTCTTTGAAGTTTTTGCCTTCCAACTCAGACGGTGCGGATGATCTTGGAAAGTGGCTGTTGAGTGCGAGCCAGGATCGCAGCTTATGGGGTTGGAGCTTGAGACGCGACGGCCAAAGTACTGAGCTCAGTCAAGGCACTGTGCAGAAGAAAGCAAAGAAGGCTGGACTCCTCAAAGCAGGCGTCAAGGATCCCAGGCTCCATGGTGCTTTTGAAAACCTCAAGGCTCCTGCAATCACTTGTATGGCATGCTCTCTCAACCGCGATGGCGGGATGGGAGCAATGCCCGGCATTGCGGGCATCTGGAACAACTCCTCTAAGACCAAAGGTGACAAGGGCACACCTGAGGCGAGCATGACTGGATGGGAAAGCATCGTGACCGGGCATGCAGGGGACAAGAAGGCAAGGACATGGTTCTGGGGCCGTAAAAGAGCAGGCAGATGGACTTTTAGCACAGGCGATGACACTGAGGTCACGAGTGTGGCCATCTCCCCTTGCGGCACGTTCGCTATCATCGGATCTGCTGGCGGTGCGATCGACATGTACAACCTCCAATCTGGCCAACACCGACGAAGGTTTCCCTCGCGACTGACGCCGGCGGAGGCGAAGAAGCTCAAGCTCGAAAGACTCCAGAGAGGAGATGACGTTCTCGAATCGGAATCTGCGGGGGCTAAGAAGTTTAACAAGGGCGAGGGCCGTCACAAGGGGGCTATCACTGGTCTGACAGTGGATGGGCTGAACAGAGTCATCATCAGCTGTAGCGATGACGGAAAAGTGAAAGTCAGTTCGCCCGATATACTCTTGAGTGACACTACTGACCATAGCAACAGTTCTGGGATTTCATGACGGGCGTACTACAGCATGAAGTGGATTGGTACCCAATGACCAAAATCCTCGGCCTTCGATACCACAATAACAGCGATCTGGTTGCGATGAATTGCGACGATGGTTCCATCAGAGTGGTTGACATCGAGACCAAGAGGCTTGTCCGTGAGCTGTGGTCTTCGCGCTCGCACGCCGACCTTCAAATCGTTGACTACACATTTTCAAACGACGGCCGATGGATCATAGCCGCGACTTCCGACTCCACTGTGCGCGTATGGGACTTGCCGACCGGCCATCTGATTGACGCGATGAAGCTGCCTGGAACTTGCACCGCAGTCTCATTTTCACCATCCGGGGAGTATCTTGCTACGGCTCTGGAAGGCGAAGTAGGCGTACATATCTGGACAAACCGGACACTCTTCACGCACGTATCTACGCGACAGATTTCGGAAGAAGAGGTAGCCATCATGAGCGCTCCCACGGCGTCTGGAGAAGGCGGCGAAGATCTAGTAGATGCAGCAGCTGAAGAGGAATTCGACGAGGATGAGGACGAAACCGCTGTGCCCGTTATGGACCAGTTGAGCGAGGGCATCACCACGCTCAGTCTTGTGCCCAAAGCGCGGTGGCAGACGTTGCTCCATCTCGATGTCATACGAGCGCGCAACAAGCCCAAAGAAGCACCCAAGGCCCCCGAGAAAGCGCCCTTCTTCCTGCCATCTACCGAGGGTGGCAAACCTGCCAATGCTCTCGCTGCGGCAGACGCTGAACCAACATCGCGCATCTCCAGCTCAGCGCTTGCGTCGCGGTCGTCGGCTGCGACAGCAACAAGCGAGTTTACGCGCCGCCTCGCACAAGCAGCAGAAGGAGGTGACTACACTCCTGTGCTTGCACACCTTTCGTCGCTGCCCCCGTCAGCCGCAGACGTTGCGATACGCACGCTCGACACAACGCCGCCGTACGACGAGCTGCGGACATTCATCGAGGCCTTGGTCGGCAGATTAGCAGAGCGGAGAGACTACGAGCTCGTGCAGGCGTGGATGAGCGTGTTCCTCCGCTTGCACGGCGACGTAGTAGTGCAGGACGAGCAGCTCGTAGGATTGCTGAGGAAGTGGCAGGAGGAGGCGAAGAGGGAGAGGGAGAGAGTCGGCGGGCTGGTGGGTTATTCGGCTGGAGTAGTGGGCTGGGTGAGGAGCGCGCGGTGATTGGCCGCGGCATAATATCTCGAGTCGCAGTGTTCAAGACATGGAATCTCCTGCCGTGCTTCGGTGCCATTGTTCGGTTGAGGTGAGGTCTGCGCGCTGTGGTGCGAGCGCACGTGTGCCGCCGTCCTTACCCCCATCTTGGGCTTGACACGGCGCAGGGCCACAGGGGGACAGCGCGGCGCGCCTCGCGATGCGTTGATGAGCTGCTGCCGCCCATCCATGGCGTCGCCAGGACGCAGGTTGCATGTCGTCTTCCCCCGTCGTTTCGTCCGTTTCGGAACGCTTCCGACCGTTTTGTCGGGCTAGCCCGGACGCGGCAAGGCGCCAGGCGCACGGCCCGGACGTTGTCGTTAATTGCGGGACTCGGACGGCTCTTGGACACCTCCAACCTGCCTTATCGACTTCCTCTCTGGGGTGGCAGATATACAACACTCGAGACCACGCTGTGCAGAACCCACGCCACTTCGCAGCCGCACCACTACAGCCGCTAGCCAACAGAGGCGAGTGAGGAGCCTCGGCCGCGCGCCAAGGCAGTTCCACCGTCTTGTGTGCGCCGGGCCGCAATGCGCGCCCATCCGCGGTAGCATGGACGACCAAAACGACTCCAGGGCCGGCAGCAGGAGTCGCAGACCACCCAAACGGCCCCAGCAGTTCATGTTCATTGACTCGACCGGCGCCAATGGAGTCAATGCCAAGCCTGACAAAAATGTCCGCAGTTTTGTCATGAAGTCGGCGCGGAGCAAGAAGCCATGGAGTACGCGACAGAAAGAAAAGTCTACATCGCCCTCGGAGGATAAACCCCAGATTCCAAAAAGAGAAAGCAGCATAGCCGAATCCATATCTCCTACCTTAGTCTCGCCATCCTGGCAACACGCTGCTGCGAGCCCGACTACCTGGTCGACTCCGTCCAATCTGTCGCCTGTCAGCAGCAGGAACGGTAGTGTGCTCTCGACTCGCAGCCGCAGTCAGCCCTATCTCAGCCCACCCTCATCTTCGTGCAGCCTGTGTGACAACCCACAATGCGTTGGCGATTTGTGCACTCAGCCACATGCGTCTAACCAGCTGGTAATCCGGCGCGGGTTCTCGGTCGATTTCGTCGCCAATCTGGACTGTCTGCCTGTACCAACGGATAGCAATACGAGAGATCTGCTCGAAAACTGTAAGACATCTTATTTGGTCCATGTACTCCATTCTTTAACACTGCCCCGCAGTCGTCAACACCTACGCCAGTGGCTTCGTACCGGTCGACCAGCACCACACCTCGAATAAAGCGACCACCAACTGGATATCGAAAAGCATCTTAAGTCCCACAGGCTCGTCATTCATCTATGTTATTTTCACCGCCAGTGCTCTTTATCGCCAGGCCATGGGCGCCAGCAATGGTCAAGATGTGCTGCAATACAAGATCAATGCCATTTCGGAGATTAACAAACAGCTCAGTGATAGTACGTCTCAGATCGATGACAACAACATTGCTGCCGTTTTCATGCTTTTATGCATTGAGGAAGGTGCAGTGTCGTCTGACCAGGACGTGGAGTGGGCGCAGCTACAGAGGCAGCTGCATCTCGATGGTCTGAAGACTATGATTCAGCAAAGGGGCGGTCTGTCAGCATTGAGATCGAATCCATGCTTGCAGACTTTTATTCTTATGTGAGCTTTTTCCTTAACTCTACCTTTGTTGGATTCCGCAGAAGTGTTGTGTCTCATTTAGAATCTGCATCTGAACCTCTGCACCAGGGCATCCCCCCATCTATATGCTTCAGACCATATATTCTAAAACTCCACCTTCTCGTCAATCTTTCTTTGTATCAGTCGCCTTGACACAGGGCTACCATCCGATCGTACAGGATTTCAACGGACGATCCAGCTGACCATGTCCAGGCACAGCGTCGCACACGCAGTGTCAACCTTCGAAAGACCTTACGCCACCCTAATGGACTCCAACGGCCATATCCAGCAATACGACATCCCCTCCTTCCGCGGGCGCCCGGCCTCCACCCGCACGCTCCGCTTGTTCCACCCCCTCAAGCTCGACCCGGACCTCTACGACCTTATCTCCAACATCGTCATCTTTGTTGGCGATCTCAACGTCTGGAACGACGACCGCAAATGCCCCGTCGACCCTATCGAGATGCAAAAGCAAATCTGCCTACTCGTCTACCGGCTCTTCGACTGGTATAAGCGCGGCGAAGAAGACTCCTCACTCCAGCGCAATCCCGTCGACCAATCCCTCTGCCTCGCCCTCACCATCTTCCTTGTCATCGCGTACAACCAGAATTACGGCCCCATGGTCTATGCCGCGTCGCAGCGCCTCAAAGCTGCGCTGGAAAAATGTCTCTTCTTCAACTGGGCTAACGCAGCCGACCTGCTCACGTGGACGTTGACGATGGGCGGGCTGGCCACGCGGGGCACGGATGACTTTGAGTTTTATCGGCAGTATAGCATCGGCGCGTTCAAGTCGCAGGGGTTCGCGGAGGACACGAATCCCGAGGAGGTACTAGATCGCATGCGCAAGTGTCTATGGCTAGGACAGCTAGACAAGCATGTCAAGGATATGTGGGCCGAGATGGGCATTTGCAGGGGCGAGGACGTCATGGACATGAGTAGTCCGAGCGGGATGAAAAGTCCGGATCGGATCAAGAAAGAGGATATTGTGGGGGGGTTAACGAATGAGCGATTCTTCGGCAGGAAGCCTTGACGCTGGGTCGATTGGCGGAGAAGTGGCATGGGTGAGGGAAAGGGGTGGGAAAACAGAGTCACGGGTAGAAAGGCGTTCAGGTGTGCTATCTATTTGGTATCCAGCATTCGGTAAGGTGTCGGCAGGGGGCTGGGTGGATGGGTCGGCCTCACGTGCTTCAGCGCACTGCATGGCGGCGCTTAGTGTTTCATTTCGCTTCTATTCACTTCATGTATCGATAACCCTATTTACCAATACTTACGCTGCCATAGCTACAATGGAGAAGGAAGTCCGGCCTCGCAGCTACCAAGCTACGCGACCTCTACCCGAGAAACCACCACTCGCCAATGCACGTAGTCTAGTACGCGATGAAGTCGGTAGTGAACACTCCACATAGAGAAATGATGAAGCTTTAGATCTTGCTAAACTCGCTATCTAGAGCATCTGTGTGTGTTTTGGTCCCTCGCCAAGGTTGTGTACTGCGTGATTCGGGCCTACAAGGTGCACGGAGAATTAGTACATAGTGATTTAAGAGAATGTGGATGTTTTCTACTTTGGGGCGTAGGAAGTCTATGTGTTCGATTAGTGGAGCGGTAGGAGAAGCGTGTATAGGTAGATTCCAGACTGAGAATCGGGAATAGAGTGCCTTGTGTCGGGCGCGGTGACATAAGGGAAGGTCAGTTATGGATTAGCTATGGCGAAGCAGTCATTGCAGCTGGAGCTGTAAAATTGTAGCTGCCTAGGGGCTCATTCGTACAGATTTAATTATGCTTGTTAGCCAGTGAATGGAAGCGCTGTAATAAGGTGGGAGAACGAGCTCCTACTGTCTGCTAAGCGTTCGGACTAAGACTTGGTAATTTGGTGGAGGGGACAGGGATACATGTGCTACTACTTACTTCTCATGCCTGCTTTTCCTTTGCACCTACCCTTTGCGCCCGCTCCATATGCCCACCTCCTACATGTTTCTCTGCATGAAGAGCAGCATCACCTTCCAAGCTATAGCTGTTTCACTTTTCCTTTTTTGGAAAGCTTACAAACTAAGCGCAGTTTACTACGGAATGGGGTCCCGCGTAGACGCGAAAGCCGGGGATTGAGTGTTCTGATTGGCGGACAGGGATCTCTAACATGAGTCCCACAGATCGTTCTCTAGGCGTTAAGTCTTATGGTAGCATAAGGCCTGCATAACGCGCGTACAGCATCTTCAGAAAAGAAGGTTGCATACAACCTTAGCTGTCGCTCAGCTGTCGCCTCGCGTCACCACTTTGCCTCAGGCCAGCCAATGTAATTAAAGTTGGAGCAGCAGTCCCCGTCACAAAGTTCGCACGCGACTACGTTGGACACGAACAATCGTCGTCTTTCTCAAATACGATTGCGCAGTAGGGTTGTGCAGTTATACATCCTGTGCCTGATCTTCTTGAGCTCTTGACACTTCGAGCAACTGTATATTAAACATCAACAGCAGAGCGAGGATCGATTCCTTGCGATCGATTTGAACTCTTCGCGCGCACGACCTATTGCTCCGCCCGTTAACGCTCCACCCTCGTCAAATGCCATTATCATGCATCGCAGGCTTCACAACTGCAACCTAGACCGAGTAATACCACCGGAGAGCTAACAAACACATCACAGGGACCCGGGATCTCAGCGATGTGGCTGGATTGCTGCCTAGGTCGCGTGATATCGGAATGCGACTATCACTACTGAACCAGCAATCCCATCTAATAGCACTATAGGTCCCTCTGCAAGCGCTCTTTCGACATAAGACCCTGCGGTCATGACCTTCTGAATACCATATACTCGGATGAATCCACTAATTTTGGATTGATCGATGGGAATGAGAGAAGTCGATTGTATTTGAACAGGCTCGAAGACCTTTACGCCGAATCTTCAATCGAGATACGGTGGGTAAACTGCCGTCACAATTTCGCAGGTGGGCACTTCAAGAATGCTATCTCTCGAAACAAATGCTACACTTCGGGCGAGAGCAGGACTACCTTGAAGACCATACTACTGGCACCATATTCTACGATGGCCAAGTGGCGAGAAGTAGAAAACACTATTCCAGAGTTCATGACCTCAATATCGCTTCGCCTTTGAGGCAATGGTATGAAGTGATCGAAGATCTTGTGGAATGAAATAACACGGATTGATCAGACGCAGCCAGGAAAGCTCCAATAAATCCATCAGGTTCTACGTCAAGAAGGCCATCTCTAAAGATGGGCGTACCTCGCTTCTCTTACGTGTATCACTGGCTCAGATCAAAGGTGAACAGTCAATCAATGGGGCTCGACCAGTTCGGCCGTTTGCAGTCCGCGTCACTCTTTTGACTGCCCCTTTTCTGAAAATCAGCAAGCTCGGGTCACGCAGACGTGATAGGAAACGATTTGTACTAGCTCTGAACCCATTGCCACAGAATGAATTTATCGGAAACCCAGGATTCACTTGCCAATTCCGGACTCAGGCCGTGTCTATAGGACGTGCCTATCTCGATGACCCAACAGAAGATCATGGTCTTCGGAAGAAAGACATATTCGCAATGTTCATCTCGTCTGTCTTTGCTAGTAAACGCGCTAAAGATGGAAGTTGTTTTCAAGTCTTGCTGTATAACGGCATGATCGTGCACCTGACGGACGAAGAGTAAATATCTATCAGAGGGTAGGTGTCTTCGAACAGAACATTCAGAGACGTGTGAGGAGGAATGGCAGGAGTGATCCCGTTGAACAACACAAGTTCAGAGATGACGATTATCGGTCTATTACAATTATATAGACAGCATTCCCGGATCGCGGATGACGCTGTATGCTATTCATCCGAACCTTAGGTCATTGACAACACCTACTGGTGCAAGTTACCTAGATGCCGCGAATACTACCAACCAAACAATCGGATCTCTTAGCGAACGGATTCAACTCCCCTCGTCATTCTTTCTTTTTCTTGGGGAATATGTCTGTCCTAGACTATAAATCCATTCCTCCGCCATCTGCCCCGAAACGCACGTGTATATCCGGTGCGTCTAACTCACCGCTGCATTCGATTCTAGCCACGTACGCGCCAAGCTGGTCGACAACCTGCCTGCGCAGCGCGACCCACCTGAAACACCCAAGAACCACGTCGGCCTAACCTGAAGCAGGGCGAGTACACCAACCCCACACGTACGAAACCCCATAAACGGCGCATACGGATAGAGAATCATGTCCGAGAGCGAGAAGTTTAGAGAAATGCTATCGACATAAATATCGCGCATCTGCTCCCGATTTGCTTTCCATCACAAACACTGCATCCACCGTCCAAGAACAGTCACCCCGAGGCAACGCTTCGCACTCACATCTACACGAGCAAACCATGGCCACCGCAACCCCCATAACCAGCCAAGCCGAGTTCGACGCCGCCATCGCAGAGCCCACCAAGTTCGTCACCATCTACGTGCACGACGGGCCCATCCCGGAGGAAGTGCGGCAGCGATTCCAGGCCACCGCTCCCGCATTTGCGGACAAGGTCGAGAACTACAAGCTCGATCTCCAGCAGAACCCTGAGGAGGCAGGCACCCCCTTTGGATGAGGGTTGTAGGGGAAGAAGAGCTGACGTGCGTTACAGGCGAAAGAGAAGATGAAGCTTGAGAAGCTACCTGCGTTGTTGGTGTTCAAGGGCGGTAAGGAGGTGGATAGAGTCTATGCGCCGGGAGAGGAGGAGATGAAGGCTTTGGTAGGGAAGTTGTTTGCTTAGGAGGATACGTGTATTTCGGATGGCTTATCTGCAACGTCAAGAGCTATGCATGAATTGTTTTAACGAATTGAGATGTTGTTCTGTCCAAGTGCGGTGTGGAGCGCGATGTGGCAGTGAAACCCTGCGTCAAAGGACAGGCGGGTGAAAGCTTCGGAACACTGACGCGCGCCTCAATCGCTCCGGCCGAACCACCGCAAGCCTGGCGCTCACGAGTCCGACTCGACTGCATTGTTGCTCTTGCACGTGGCCCGGACGCAGATTGCAACTGCTCACAGGACCGGCGGTGCTGCACAATGAGACGGCGAGGATATATCTGCTCGATCTCTCGTCGACATCTACTTGACTATATCAGAGAGACCGAGAAACTCGCAACACAACTTACCACCGTCCAAGTCGACACCTCATTTTCACGATGTCGCTAATCAGCACACCCGCAACCACACCCCCGGTCCCTGCATCCAAGCCTGGACTCGCCGTCCAAGCTGCCGCCCTCATGCAGCAAATTCTCTCATCCAAGCCCGAGGGCTGGAAGCCTTCCCCCGAATGGGTGTCGTCAAGCGAGATCGCAGTCCATCTCTCGCTCTGGACCGTGACGTGCGACGAGTGGATTTCAGCGTGGCAGAATGTGCTGAAGACGAAGCAGCGGGACAAGGTTCGAATGGCGTATGGCAGCGAGAATCCGTATGCGTGGTCTGGTCTTGAGACGCAGGGCGCAATGAAGACTGATGAACAACAGGGTGCAGTTGCGCGTGGGAAGCTGCCAGGTCCTGTGCCATCCAGGCAGGTTGATGAGGGCAGTGGTGCATCGGCTGGCGCTCCCTCAGAACGGGTACCGGTAAAGGCCATCTTGCACGCACGTCCAGAGACGCTGGTGCGCGTGTACGGTGCGAGCTCACCATCGCCGTCCCTGGGAGCCCCTGGCACGCATGCCTATGTACCAGCTGATCCAGCAGCCGAACAGCTCTTCGTACCGTATGCCGACTCCCCCACCCTGCCCCAGGTCCTCGCAGTGGGCCGTGAAGTACGGCGTAGACGCGGAAAGGCTGCGTCCGTCCACGCAACATCCTCGCCTGCGCCTCTGACGTCTGACCCCGCTGTTGTGACTGCCCTAAATGCTCAGGCTGGTACCGTAGCACCCTTGCCTGATGCACAAAAGTACACCTCCGCTGTCGCAACGGGCCCAGAGATTCCAGCTCCCAGCGAAGATGGCGGCTTCGTGCTTCGCAACTTTCGATACCGCAGCCTCGCCGAGCTGGAGCAAGCTGTGGCGTATAGTGCCCACCCCAGGAATGAGCGTGCGTCGATGTGGGGTAGGATCGTCCGGCGGATGCGTGGGTAGAGCGGTAGTAGCTCCATGGTCGTGTTTGGTTCAGCAAGTTTTGCAAAGCCATGTTGTTGATTCTGATCCTGATTTTGATTTTGATTCTGTTCTGCTTACTGTGGACGCAACGAATAGTTGGGTTTTGCTGATTCACAGTACATCATCCCTAATTGGGCCAAGTCTACCGCGCGTAACACATACTCACAGCTTAGAAGGAGCCACTCTGGTATCCAATCGACCCATTACGCACGTCTTCGTTCCCGCAGTGCCCAATGCTTCCGCGGAAACTTGGATCCAGCATGCTTCCACAGTTCCCAAAGTCTCCGAACCACGTCGATGCTACCGATCAGACTAAGGCAGTCGTACTCGACACCGACACGCTCTCCAACGGTATCGCCTTTGTAACGTAATTTGAAGGTGCCGAGGCAACGACATCCGGCAGCCCCTTGATATCCGGGAAGACGACGCCCTCCCTCGCTTCCTGGCTCATCAGCACCTCCTTGGAGTAGTAATCCGCCCACAGCTGGCCATCGACGAGATACTGGTTCACCGTCAGGAAAGCCGCAAAGTCATCCAGACCAGCGCCGTGCCCCTCTGATTTCAGCGAATGCGCGTTGCGCGTGCGGGCGTGTGTGTCCATGCACGCGATGCCCAGATGCACCATCTGCACCCAGAAATACGTCATCGTCGTGTGGAACGACTTGCCGCTGGTATTGCCGTTGTGGTCGATGTAGGACCTGAAGCCGGTGAAGATTTTGTTTTTGCCTGCAGATTCACGTCAGCAAGAGTGAAGTTGGGGTGTGACGGGAAAACTAAGTGGTGGACGGGTTGACGTACCTTCTCTGCGCCCATGCTTGAGCAGCAGGACGTACGCGAGGCGAAGATGCGTGTAGTGGTCCCAGCTGGGTAGATCGCGGGCGTAGAACTGCTGCAGGAGGTCTTCAGCAGGCCCGTCCTTTTCCGCGCGCCGGAGCCAGTCGTCTAGCTTCGCTGCGAGCGCGGAGGGGGACCGCATGTCCGCGAGCTTGGTGCCTATGGCTTTCTCGGTTTCCGGAAGGGTGGGCTTGGCTGAGCTTGGTGTCTCTGCGGGCGGTGGAGCGATGGCGTCGCCGAGCCAGGCGAAGGCTTCTGGCAAGCCGCTGGAAGGAAGAGGGGCTGTGGGACATGTTTCGAACCACGCGACCATCCTGCCATCGAGGACGTTGTCAAGCTGAGCGCGCACGGTTTCCAGGCTTTGTCTGTTGGGTAGGTCCGTCTTTGTGAGGAGTCTTGCACGCCAACATCAGTAACTGTCTCATTCGCGAAAAGAAATCAACACCAAAGACCTACATCGAGATCGGGAGCCCCTTCCCACGACTTGCATCTCTTTTTTCGAGCGCCTGCAAATGTCTCGCGAGCTCCTCCCTACTCTCCATCAGTCTATCACTGTCACTCGCATCGAGGACCCACACGACGCCAGACGGCGCCGCGTGGTCGATCATTATTTTCTGGACGAGCGGGTACAGCCTGGAACATCCCCCGACATCGGTCGCCCACGCGGTGAGTCCCAACCTTTTGGTCTTGCCGCCCTGGGTAGGCGTTTCGATCTTGATGTTTGCTGTCTCGATGGTGAGCCCAATGGTGGGGGCCATGGTGGTGATTGGGGTGCAGGCGAGTTTTTTGAGGATGGTTGTTATGCCGGAGGAGTCGAGGCCCATGATTGAGATGCTGGGCATGTTCTCAGGGAGGGAGTCCCGGTGGAACATGCGGTTCAACATGCTCTGCATGTTTAGATGGGGTGTGGTGAGGTGAGGTGAATTGAATTTGGTTTGGTTGAATGGAATTGAATTGGATGGAATGGAATGGCACAGAAGTGTTGTCTGGGGAGTCGCGCACGTGTTGAGAGGGTCCGATCTGGTGATGGTGAAGCTCCTGTGGGGTCGTGGGGGCGAAAGCTGTGGTGATTGGTTGTTTGGGAAGGACAAATCGACTGGCAACGAAATTGGAGTTAGTCGAACACAATAGGAAGAACATTTACGAGACCTGACGATATAGCGAGTTGATGCCTAGCAACGCCGATAGCCGAGTGTGGACACATAGATTGTAGGGGGTTAGGTGGGCTGCGCCACAAGCTTCAACGCGAAGACGCGTATCCGAACATGGACTGCTGCCTGTCCGTTCAGCGACGACTGAATCTACGTGGCTTCACGGCACCTCTGCTTCGACCTCGCATGCACCTCTCCAGCACGTGAGCCGGGTAGCTATCTCGAAGAGAGCACGCATATCGTAGAGAGTGGGTGTAGCGCATGACTCGCGTCCGGTGGCTGTGCGTGGCTGGGTGTCGATTGCATGCAGGGCCCAGGACAACAACGCGCCGTCCCCGCATCCAGCTCCATCGCCAACCTCCAAAAGCGCCATGTCCGGCCAATTCACCTTGCTTCAGCGTGCAGCTGAGACACGTAATAGAGGACGTCGGTGTACCCAAGCAAGCTAAATGCTTAGCCAAGGCGTGCTGCTGCCGCATTATCCGAAGCTGTAGTACTTCTCGATGTAGAGCTTCCGCAACTTGCAACCACGCACGCGTGGCATCTTGTACCGAATGCGACGCTCCGTGGCCAGCAGCAGACGACGAGGTACCCCTCCGGCCCTCGGTCCAAGCATCCAGAAGCCCAATTGACAGTTCACAGGATGGCAAGTCCTGCTGCCCCCGGGTAGCCTCCCGCGCAGAGGCACCGCGCCCTGCATCTACGTTGTGCCCCCGCCCAGCGCAAAGCGCGCGCAACCGTCGGCCGGCCCGCACCCCGAGCGCTCCAAGTTCGCCCGCAGCGTGCTCGAAGGCTCCGCCGTCGCCCTCATCTCGCTCCTCGGCCTCGGGCTGGGCGGCTACGCCTACTCGAAATGGTACAAGGCGACGGTGCTGGACAAGATCGAGAATGCCTTCAGCCGCGGCTACTCGTCGCAGGAGCGCGTGGCGCTCGGCCAGATCGCGCTCGGCACGCATCCCGATGCGATCCAGGAGATTCTGGACAGGGAGTACTGGGTCCCGCGCGCCGAGCAGCCCGTCGTCGACGACATACTCGGCGGCAGGGCGCGCGGGCGCTACTATCTCATCATGGGCGAGCGCGGCACGGGCAAGAGATCGCTGCTGCTCGAGGGCATGCGCAAGGTCCACGGCGACGGCATCGCCATGCTGGAAGCGCACAACGACCTCGAGGTCTTCCGCGTGCGGCTCGGCAAGGCCATCGACTTCGAGTACCACGAGGACTACATCGGGTCGCTGTTCAGCATCCGCGGGCCGCGGGACTCGACGCCCTTGCTCGACGTCGAGCGCGCGCTCAACCAGATGGAGAAGGTCGCGCTCAAGATGCGCAAGGCGCGCGGGAAGCCGCTGCTCCTGATCATCAACAACATCCACCTGTTCAAGAACGACGACCAGGGCAGTCTGGCGCTGCTCGAGATCTTGCAGCAGCGCGCCGAGATCTGGGCCGGCAACGATCTCGTCACCGTCGTCTTCACCTCGGACGAGCACTGGACGCTGGAAAAACTGATCCCCCACGCCACCAACATGCACGTCTTTAACATCAAGGACATACCCAAGGACACGGTCACCACGGCCCTGAAGAAGTACCGCGCGAGGATGGGCGACGACGTCCCGCAGAGCGTCCTCGACCAGGTCTTCGCCAAAGTCGGCGGGCGGCTCATCTTCCTGAACCAGGTCGCCAAGTCGCGCGACATGCTCGAGACATGCGCACACATCAACCGCAAGGAGAAATCCTGGTTTCTGAACCAGTGCTGGATCCTCGGCGAGTCCATGGACGACGACGTCGAGGAGCAGCAGAAGTTCTGCGTACGCCGCCTCCCCCCGTTGCCACTCCTCCAACACGAAGCTGACTGAAACCCTTTGACAGGCCGCAGCCCTCGTCCTCGCGCGCGCCCTCGTCCACCGCGAGCAGCACTCCAACCACCCTCCCTCAGCCGGCGGCGACACCTTCAAGCTCCCCGAGATCCCCCTCCACGAGTCTCGCCAGATCATCACGCGCGCCGACTTTGTCCGCCAGTTCGACCACATCAACGTCATCCACATCGACGCCAACGGCATGGTGCGCGCCGACTCGGTGGCCATGCAGAATGCCTTCCGCGAGATCTGCGCCGAGGAAGGCTTCGAGGAGCACCTGCGCGCGACGCTGGACCGCCTCGACGAGCTCGAGAGCCTGGCGCGCACGCGCGACGTGTGGTTCCGCGAGCCGCCGGCGAGAAGTGGCGGCGAGGTCCCCGTGCAGACGTACACTGCCAAGTTGTAACAACGACCGCGATGCGCATTCGGCGACTGTCCTAGCTACAACGCGTAAACCTCCACCTCGGCGACCCCCGTCCTCGCCGGGAAGGAGCACCTGGAATAGTAGGCAGAGGCGGCAGAACAAGAAGAGGGGTCAAGCACCAAGGTAAACGATGTAGAGATGGCAAGTAGAACAGGCATACGGGGGCGAGCAGGTAAGGGAAAAGGTAGGTTGCAGGACAGAAGATGCAGAGATGGCCAGTAGACAAGGGAGAGGCGAGGGGCTACGCTAGGGAACGGGCGTAGGCGAACACAGCCAAGTTATCAGAAGCTAGGATGCACTGTTTCTACTCCAGCCTCGCGTGGTATCCAGCGCACTGTGACCATCCTGGAAAGAATATATAACACTCTACTTGTACAACCCCCGTCTGTACTAGCATCATTACTAGGGAGAGAAAGAAGGAGGCGGTGGAGGGGAGGCGGTGGAGGGGAGGCGGTGCGAGGAAGATGTAAGGGATAGTAGGTGGAGGAGGCAGAGCTGTTTCCATTTCATTCTACCCTCGTGCGGGATCCAGCGCTCTGTGACGACCCCAGCTACAGGGCGTAGAACTCGACCTGCGCGACCCCCGTCCGCGCCGGGATCGTCACTGCAATCGGAAACCCGCCATAATCCGGGTCCTCGCCGGGCATCATCGCAAACTGCCCGCTCCGCGTCTCGTCCCCGCCCAGCACCCTGCCCGTGCGTAGCGCCCCGGTCTCGCGATCCGCAACGCTCTTCTCCTCGAAGCGCAGAATGCCGCTGAACTTGGACCCGGGCTTTGCGCCCTCGACCTGGAACCCCCGGCCGATGAGCAGGAAGCGGCCGCCGCCGCGGTGCACCACCATGCCGTAGCCTGCGCCTGGCTTGCCGAAGACGAAGCAGCGGGAGATGGTGAGCGTCCACTCGCCAAAGGTGCGCACGATGGGCTTTGCGGGGTCCCGATCGCCCTTCTTCCACGCCGTGGGCAGCTCATCGAAGAAGAACCCCGTGACGGACTCCGGGCTCCGCTGCGCCTCGAGCACGATAGCGCCCACGTCCTTGAGCAGCGCGTAGTGCTTCGTGTACGGATTCGACTCAGGTTCAAGCGTATCGATGCCAAAGGGACTAGCGCAGAGTGCCTGGAAGGAGCCATATGCGCTCCAGATGCGGCGGGCTCCGTACTCGTCGCGGCGCTGCTCTGGGATGAAGAGGGGATTGTCTTTGTGGCGGTATTTGGCGCAGGAGGAGGCGTAGTCGTTGAGATAGATGTCGGGCGCGATGAAGTCGAGGGAAGGGGCGAAACGGAGCCTTTGAGCATCCATTAGACTGTTCTTAGACGTATACCAAAGCGTTAGTTGTTTGGGAATTCAACGTACCATATGTCCAGCACATTGCTCGTACCGCCGCCACTGGGATAGTCCCCTGGTTTTCCGCCGCCGCCTACCACGACGGGGAAGTCATTGTCGCTGTCGTCGGCGGCGTAGTTCTGCCACACGTTTGTGTAGAGAGGCAAAGGATACGACGCTTTTCCGGCAGCCGCCACTTTGTTGATGTACGTGGCGTAGTGGTAGGCCATGAAGAGCTCGTCCGTCTGCGCGCTCTTCCCGAAGATGCTCTCCCAGTTTCCCGATTGCTGTTTAGCACCAGCGAAATGCCCGAGATTCTTCTTCAGATCTGCATGTAGGCCATCGTAGTCCTTGTCAAAGAACTCGACCAATTCCGAGGGCACAGTTCTTGCGAACGCGGCATTGGCTAGATCGCTGCCGTCCCGGCTGTCGAACAGCAGACCAGGTTCGTTTTCAACCTGCACCATGAGGACTGTGTTGTGACCTTGGTCGATAGTCTTAATGTGTGCTAACAGCTTTTGGAAAGCTGTAATGTCCGCTTGTAGATTCTCCTCCGAAAACAACGTGAGAACATCAGCGATCTGGAGCACGCCGCCAGCTTTACGAAGCTCCGCGCGAGGAAAGCGTTCCGGGTTCGTCTTCACCCAGGCTGGTGCGTAAGTCGAGCGTCCTGGGCAGCGTTAGTTGTGCATACTTCCCATCGAAGCAATGATGCACGTGCCATTTTTCCAAGAGCCAAACCACAGCAGAATAAGATGTATCCCATGTTCTCTCGCCCCAAGTACTACTTTATCTAACTCTTCGAAATCAAACCTCCCCTCTTCTGGCTCGATCATTTCCCAGGTGACCGCTCCAAGCACAGTGTTGATGTTTGTTGTCACCATCTTGGGCCACACCTCGCTCATGTATTCTGCGGAGGATAGCGACGAGTTCTGCAGCTCTGCGCCCAGCATGAGGAACGGTTTGCCGTCGACGATGAGCTGCTTGGTTGTGCCATACTGCTGTAGGTGTGGGATATTTGGGAGGGACACCATTGTGAAATTAATTGTGTGAAGAAGAATCAAGAGGAACCAATGTCAACTGGGTTCAAAGATCCCTTCACTTTAAAGCAAGCCGCGGTGATGCAGTTGTGGGGTTACCCCAACGTGTTGCGGCTTTGGAGCATTGCGATTGGATGTTCGTCCGTATACTTCGTTAAGTGATGTGTACCTGGACGGAGGAGTGCGCGGGTGTTGCCGGCAGGTAGCGCTTGCGGCATTGAATATTTCTGATTGGCTGAATCTCCGCAAAGATATGGAGCGAGTCATTGGCTTCCTCACTGCGTGGTCCCCGCGTCCATTTCCGGGGCCCCATCTCTTCGCAAGACTCGAGCTAGGAGACACGAAGCAAGGTTGGCGTCGGTCGAGGCTGTATATATACCGTGAGCTCAAGAGAGCGTGATTCCCTCGACACCGCTGTAATTTGTATATAATGGGTGCCAGTGCCGTGATAAATTAGTCTTAACAGCATTCTCGAGTCGACAAGACCTCTTCCAGTTGCTGGTATTATTTGCGACACGTTTTCAAGCTTCTCTGACTGCCTCATATTCCGTCCACCCGACATGGACGCGAAGACCGCCACCGTAGAGGAGCATGGCCGATCTCCTCACGACCCTGCGCAGACCGGCCGACTGGAGGTTCCTGAAGTGACGTGGTACAAGGAGCCTGGCCTGAGGAAACTCTACCTGATGATCCCGATACTGTTCCTGGGGGCCACCATCAACGGCTATGATGGATCGTTGCTCAACGGGCTGCAAACGCTGAAACCATGGCAAGAATGTACGTTCAATGGACTGGTGTATCGCCTCTTGCTGACTCGTCAAGACTTTGACCATCCCCGTGGCAGTCGCATCGGACTCTTCACGGCGATGCAGAACATCGGTGCCATCGCAGCCATGCCTTTCTGTAAGTTATCAAAGCCCAAGGGCCATCAAGGCTGACAGAGGCATGCAGCCGCCATCGTTGCCGATAGATTTGGTCGCAGAATGGGCGTTACAGTGGGACTACTGGTTCTATTTGTTGGAGTCATACTCCAGGTCGTTCCGGGGGTCGACTCAAATCAATTCATCGGTGGCCGTTTCCTAGTCGGCTTCGGGTAAGCCTCCCCGCTGCGTCTGCACATGGCTCCTTGACTGACACACCCGTTTTCGCAGATCCAACCTCTCACAAGGCTCGGCGCCGCTACTGATCATGGAACTTGCGCATCCCCAGCATCGTGGCAAGCTGAGCACCATGTATAATACACTTTGGTTCGTCGGAGCGATCATCGCGGCCTGGACGTGCTTCGGCATGGTCAAGTATACTTCTGAAACCTCGTGGAGGGTCCCGACGGCGCTGCAGGCTCTCATGCCATTTATCCAAATCATCGGTGTCTGGTTCCTGCCAGAAAGCCCGCGCTGGCTGTGTTCAAAGGGGCGTTTCGATGAAGCATTCGGTGTCCTGGCCAAGGTAAGGCCAAATGTAACTGATCGATTTGGCACAGTGCTAAAGAGGTTCAGTACCACGCAAACGGCAATGTAAATGATCGCTTCGTGAAGGGCGAGTTCCGCGAGATTCAAGAAACCATACAACTTGAGAAGGAGACCTCGAGGAACAATGGATGGCTGGAGTTGGTCCGCACTCCGGGTAATCGCAAGCGAGTGATGTTGATCCTCCTAGTATCGTTCTACTCTCAGGCGTCTGGCAACGGCCTCGTATCATTCTACATCAAAGATATATTGACATCGGTTGGTATCACGGAGTCATACGATCAGTCCTTGATCAATGGCGGCGTTCAGCTTTGGTCTTTCTTCGTTGCGATCGGGTTCTCAGTGTTCTTGGTCGATCGATTCGGAAGGAAGAAGCTCTTCTTGATCGCTGCTGTGGGTATGCTGGTGGCCTTCACCATCTGGACTGCGTAAGTTCCTCAGCCCCGAGTCGTGTAAGCACCTCCGCTAATTCTAAGTAGATGCTCGGCCGTCTACGCCCAAACTAAGAATGCAGCCGCTGGACAAGCTGTCATCGCCATGATCTTCCTCTTCTACGGCGCTGCTGGATTTGCCTGGCCAGGTTTGACTGTCGCATATTGTGCCGAAATTCTCCCATACAACATCCGCGCGAAGGGGATTGCGCTGCAGTTCGCTATGACATCTGTGACTTCCGTCGCAAAGAACTATATCAACCCGGTAGGACTGAAGAACCTACAGTGGAAGTTCTACTTCGTCTACATTGCGATTCTCGTCGTGGAATGCATAAGCATATGGTCCCTCTTCGTGGAAACCAAGGGCCCGACCCTCGAGGAAATCGCAATATTATTTGACGGAGACAGTGCGCGGGGCGGGGATGTCTCTGGAATGGTTGGGCCGGAAAACGGCAAGGACGACAACCTAGAATTGGAGCGCGTGGTGACCAAGTAGGCTAGTAACAGGAGCCACATGGTATTGCGTACTGTCTCTGGGGCAGTGCTGGCGTGTATTTCCCCAAATATCATCGTCGCAATATGGACAGTGCGTCGTTCACTTGTCTCTCACGAGTTGCGGTAACGACCGAATTGCCTTGTGCAGATGCCCCGGCATGCTTGGGGTCAATGGGAAAGGAATGTTGAAGCAGGAACTTTACCATCCACGGATCGGCTCGGTGTGTGTTCGGGTCCGCAGAGCGGAGACACATGTTTTGGAAGGTGAACAGCCGGTCCGTCTATTTGACATTAGCTCAGAAAAGGGCAGTCTCTGACTAAAACCTACCATCATTTCCGCAGCTGGCCAAAGATCGCGCAGCTCCACAAGCACTTCAAAGTTCGCATTAAGTCTTTGACGTGTGATTGATGAGTTGTCCTCGTTCCCGAATAGAAGCTCATGTAGCAATGCAGCAGAAGAGACAACAGTCATATGAGCGACGGCGAAATAGACCGCTTTGCAACCTGGCACTCGTTTAGACAACGAAAGGAGATCACTCAGTGCTGCCGCGTTCTTCTTGCACCGATTCGCCCAAGGAGTCTGGTAAAGGCTGTTGCTCAACTGCAAATCGAGAAACGGAAAGGTGAGCAATGTCGAGTAGTGGTATAAGCCCAGGTGGAGCGCCACGAAGTCTCCGCCGAGCCCATCCCGAGCGATTCTGGTCAGATTTGTCTCGTTCATATGGTAGTCCGCGGGCAAATCTCGACAGAAAGCTTCTATGTCTTCTGTGAGCTGCAGAGTGAAGAGCTCGACATCACCAAGGACAAGGCGTCCGTCTGCATGTTTCTTGTGTAGGTCCTGAACCTCGCCGAAGATACGAGCTAACTTGACCATCTGTGCCCACAGTCCTTCCCTCCTGGTAGAGAGCGGGTCATAGCTGGTACTGGAGGATATGCTGTAGAAGTCGGTTTCATTCATTGGGTACGGGACGGACGAATCATACACGTCCGGCATCTGTTTCGGCACGTTGAGGCCAGCAGAACTCCAGCGATCCGTCATGTAAAGGCTCCAGAATGCCCGAATCCTCTCCTCATGAGTGATGGCGGCGCGATCCTGCGGGTCCCTCTCGGGTAATCGGATGATATGGGCGATCCGGAACGCGACCGCAATGAACAGAGATTCCACATCGCGGTCATTTTCTGCGCTGTATAGATGACTGACAAGCATGCATGCTTGAAGGGTATCAAGACCAAAGTCGTCGATGTGAGATTTGAGGCTCGCATTGGCCAGCTTCATGAACTCGAATTTGCGCTCGCGCACAGCAGGTGACGGGTGGAACCGCGCTGCGAGACCGGCAATCCCAAAGAGCACGCGATCGGGTAGTTTCTGCTCGTGCACTCGCTGCCGCAACTTTGCTGGATGGAAAAGAGTATGGGGTTTTCCGTGAAGTGTAGCGAGGTACAGGTCTACCAGTTCGATTGCTAGTGTTTCCGGTAATACCTGGCGAGATTCTCGGGATACCAAAGGGCGTGGAATCGAACGAGCTGGTCCCTGCGCGTGAACATATTGCAGAGAGCATGGTACTCTCTTATACTGGCATTGCTGGCAGGGACGATGTCCATCTTGTTCAATCGGACGACAGCGTCGTTTCGCAGCTCTGCACTGTATGCAAGCTTTCGCGACACGCATACGGGATTTATGAGAAACGTAGGAGGAACTGTCCATCGATGGTCGAGGTTGCAAAGTAGTGACATGCTAGCGCGCATTACGTAATCCAACCAGGCGTTCTTTCCCGTGTCCTGCTTCACATTATTCAAATGTAGACCGCGATAACTAACACGAAGAGTGAATAATACTAAAAATTAAGCGGTACAGGGCACAGCTACACACCGCAATACATCCTGCCCGACCCCGAACACCTCGCATCCAAATTTCAATTCCAGAAAAACGCCGTCGCTATGCAAACCACGCCCATGCACCGCCGCCTACGCCCTATCCTCTCCCCGCCCCCACCCATCATCCCTGGTAGATGCACACCCGCTATGTATGCGATGTACGTTCGAAGCCTCTATGTATCTTCCGCCCACCCCTCACCCACCATCCCAAACCACACCCAACCTGATACAAATCCATGTCTACAACTCGTACGTCAGATAGAACCCATTCGTCTCCGTCAAGGTAATAAACACCCTGTTCTCCCCCTCGCCCACATCGCTGCCCTTGATCTCCAACGCAACCTGGCTTCCGCACTCGAGGCTTGGCCCTCCGTGGCTGGTAGGCTGCTCTGTCCATCCGGTAAAGTCCAGACTCGGGCTCCACTCCGCGCTCGGGTCTTGGTACTTCTTCAGCCCATCGTAGCTCACAATTTCAGTCTTGGAAGGAAAACCGGTAAGTTGGCGGGTGTAGGCTTGGCCGGAGCCCTTGACGGTAAAGTTGTTTTCATCGTTGGGCGCAGTGCTGCGCCAGTTCAGCTTGCAGTTTTTTGCACCGGCGGGAACGTTGTCAAAGACGAGTGCATTCGTAGTTGTGATCGCACTGCCCTCAGGCTTGTTCAGGTCAACATGGCCGACCTGGTCTTGGACGTTGTGCTGGGCTTCGCTGAGGACATAGATGTTGAAGGAGCGGGGTTTGGTGAGTTCGTGGATTTCGACCGGGGTCTCCGAGGAGGTTGTGGGAGGAGGCGTGGTAGGGGTGGGGCCGGTGGAAGAGAGCGGTGGGAGGCTGCAGGGGTCTTGGTAGAAGCAGCCCTTGTAGCCGTTGGAGCAGCTGTAGAAGACGGTGCCGGGATTGGTTTGCCAGCATTCGGAGGACTCTGCGCGGCGTGTTGAAATTGTAGGGCGGGATGCCGCGAGGGCGAGGAGGGACGTGAAGGCGAAGAGCTTGGTGGACATTTTGGTGATTAGGAAATGATTCGTAACGAGCTTCGATTAGGAGTTGAAGATGGCGGATTAGTATTAGGACGGAGATATGTATTACTCTTGTAAAGGGAGAGAGAATTAACCGTATGATGACGATCAACTTGATAGATGCGACGGCAGATTATATATGCAAAGCGTCCCGATGCTCATGTTGTAACCAGCCCAGGATGCCAACCGTGCGGCGTCTGTGCCTGGGTGCAAATTAGCATCGTCGGCTGCGCAACAGCCTCAATTGCAAACAAGCATTAGGCAGAGTCGTGGACGTGAGTCGCCCGCGCCACATCATCTTGCTGGGCACCCGTTGTGGCAGTTTTTGGGAGAAAGATGACGCTGCGGGTTACTGCTGCATCGAGCCAGTCGTAAGACGGGGTGTTTGGTTTCGCTGGGGCGCAACATCAGTAAACACCTTGGCAAACTCCACTACAGTGCGGCTCACGGCTCAGCCTCCACATAATCTTGGCCCCAACCCATGTTCTTCTACTTCGAACACTACCTGAATTGGATTGATTGTTCGTGAAACTAGGAATCGGCCTTGACGGCGCGTGAAAGATGTTTCAATTCACGATGCTGTGCCGCACATGTTCTGCAATGTTGCTGGCGGTTACGTCGCGCTTAGCCGCGCAGTGTGGTAAAGACGAGGCAGATGCAGAACATGCCCAGACTGAAATTCAGGAAGGTTTCGATGGAGCGAAGGAGTCGTGGTGAGCACGTGGAGGATTGCAAGTCAGCAAGCGCCCCATTCTTTCGTGCGAAAAGTAGCGGCTGTTTGTTCAGACATCAGCTCTGGGCAGAATGATTGTAGCCAGCGGACTAAAATTAGGATGTCGTAGATACGCCTTCCCCGAAGCGGACACTTCGCGAAGCGATTTATATTGGCCCCCGCAAGGACTACGCCGTGACTTCAACGGGCAGGTGTGCTGTTCTGCGGCGTAGAGCGAGTATGTGGCTGAGCAGAGACACTCTGCCAGGTGCTAAGAAGACGGTCAAAGGCATGCCAGCGTTGGCAAATGGGAGATGTAACCCTACAAACGACGAGACGGAGAACCTCGCTTGCGGCGCAGAGTCTCGCGGCACAGGAAACTGCACAGCCTGGACGCGCAGTCAAGCTTACAGTGCTGGAAGTTGATTCAGTCGAGCGATATTGGCGATACCTACCGTAGAGTGGAGTAGTTGACGTTCTTTAACCACAGATTTGCTGACCGTACTGAAGAAGATGCATGTTCTGGCAGGGTGGGTTTTTGTTTTCGCTCAATCAGACGTGGGCTAAGGAGCTTCCTCTATGCGTTGTTGCCGATCGTGGGAAAGGCGAAAGACGGCGCTATTGTCCGCTGCAGCGTTTCTGACCCTCTGAGGAGCTTCGTTCGTAGAGTCCCTTTCTTTCATTGCTCGTTGATGAGACTATCGCGCACGGATTCGCAGCACGAACACGCAGGTTTCGTCTCCACGGAAGCATCTGGGTGGCTGTTGAGTGCTTTTTGTGGGGAGTCTCGGCGGTGCCTTCCCCGCGGGCTGAAGCGCCCGTCCCTCTGACAATGTAACACATGTTTGTCAATCGATGTGCTCCCTCCTGGACCTCATTTGTTGCGATTAAGGTGTTGGACCAGAGTCACGGATATCGTTGCGAGCTGCGCCAAGCGATCGGCACCGGGGCCCTGCAGCTGTAGCTAGAGCATCAAAACTGGCGGTGGGCCGTCTCTCCCTGACGAGCTGCGATTGATCGAATTGAACGGCGGTCAGATGCTCCGTACATGATTCGCGGTGGTCGGCAGCGTCGATGCCCAATGCCTCACGTCAAGGCAAGGTGAATGCGTGTCTTTCCAGGAGTGCGACGACGGCAATGAGGGGTGCGATGACGTTGGCGGCTGGGCTGGCGACACGGCGGCAAGCCTCACGATGTCGGGACACGTGCACGATATAGGATGGGTGCTGGACGTGCATTTGGACAGCGACATCGAGTCAGCCCGCTGGCTCTTTCTGTATACATGCCATGCACTCGCAGCGGCAATAGAGCGACAGCCAGCTGGATCCCCTCCATTTCCGCACAATCCGCACACGACGTCATGGCACATTGAGCGCACACAAGGTGGGATGGAGCTCGCACGCACAGCCAGTGCCAGCAGGACACCGCTTCTGCTGGCGGGTGCCGGCAGCGCAACGGCCGCCAGCAGGAAAGGGCGCGCGTCCGAAGATATCAGCGATGCAAGCGCGGTTCGAGCCAGTATCTCGATGCCGCCACCGGCGTCCAAGGCCGTGCCTAGGCAATTTCCCTCGCGCCGTCCCTCCAAAGCGTCCGATGTCAGTCTGCTCGAGACGCTCAGCGACGCAATCGACGACTCGGACAGCCTCACGCCCACGTCCGAAGCGGCCCGCACCCTGACGCACTCGGACCGCCGCCCCGACTTCGACGCCGGCTCCAACCGCCTCTCTTTTTCGTCGCTCTACTCGATCAGCTCCGGCATATATCCAAGCTCGCACAGGATGAGCGGGCCTGCCTCCAACAGCGGCAGCGACGAGGGTACGGGTGCCACACTCGGCTGGAAAACTCGGCCCGCATGCTAACAGGCCAACTGCGCAGGGCACAATGGCACCACGACGGCGACGTCGTCGCTCAGCATCACGACGGCCAGCCAGAACGGCGGCAGCCTCAACCCCAAGGTCTCGCCCACCCAGCTGCTCTTTCCCGCCGACCAGCCCGCCTACGCCAGCACGAGCACGCAAAGCAATCGCATGTCGACCGCCTCAATGCAGTCCTACAACCCCGCCGACGCATCCCCACCGCCCGGCGCAAATTCCACCTCCACCGCAGCGCCCCAGAACCAGGAACGCCGCGCCCGCAGCCGGACGCAGGCACAGCGGCGCATCAGCGGAAGCACCGCGGCGAGCAGCAGCCCCGGCGGAAGAGACATGGGGCGGGAGCAGCGCCGCCCGACAAAGGGCATTATCGGCGTCTGCGCGCTCGAGTCAAAGGCCCGGAGCAAGCCGGCGCGCAACATCTTTGGCAAGCTGGTTGAGGACTTCGAGGTCAAGATCTTTGGCGACAAGATCATCCTGGACGAGGACGTGGAGAATTGGCCCGTCTGCGACTTTCTAATTTCATTTTTTTCAGATGGCTTCCCGCTCGACAAGGCCATTGCGTATGCACGCCTGCGAAAGCCGTTCTGCGTCAACGACCTGCCCATGCAGCAGGTTTTGTGGGATCGACGCTTGTGTCTCATGATTCTCGACCAGCTCAAGGTGCCTACCCCGCGCCGCGTTGAAGTCAGCCGCGACGGTGGCCCTCGACTGGGGAGTGCCGAGTTTGCCAAACAGCTGGAGCAAAGAACGGGCGTCGTTCTGGGCGGACCCGACGGTACTGGCGGTGATGTTGCGCCGCCGCAGAAGATCGAGCTGTTAGACAACGGCGATACCATACGCGTCGACGGCGTCACGCTTACCAAGCCGTTCGTCGAAAAGCCCGTCAGTGGTGAAGACCACAACATCCACATCTACTATCATTCCAAGGATGGAGGCGGCGGCCGTAGGCTTTTCCGCAAAGTGAACAACAAGAGCTCCGAAAAAGACGACAGCTTGTACATGCCAAGGTCCATGACCGAACCTGCGAGCAGTTACATCTACGAGCAATTTTTGCAAGTCGAGAACGCCGAAGACGTCAAGGCATACACCGTTGGCCCAAACTTCTGCCATGCCGAGACCAGGAAATCGCCCGTCGTCGATGGGCTTGTTAAGCGGAATCCCAGTGGCAAAGAAGTGCGATACGTGACCAACTTGACTGAGACCGAGACTGCCATGGCCGCAAGAATCTCAAATGGCTTCGGCCAAAGGGTATGCGGCTTTGACTTACTTCGAGCAGGAGATAGAAGCTATGTAATCGATGTCAACGGTTGGAGCTTCGTCAAGGACAACCAGAGCTACTACGAGAAAGCCTCCAACATTCTCAAGGAACTTTTCCTCGAAGAGATACAGCGGAAGGATCGCAAGAACAACACTCAGGCCGCGGCTGCCGAGGCCCAGGAAGCGCCCCTATCATCGGGTGCCTCGAGGAAGAGTATTGGTGGGCACAGGAGCACCCTGAAGGGAATATTCAAATCCCCTAGTATGTCCAAATTGGCTGGTCACCATCCACATCTTCCCCATATGGGCCGCTCTGGTACCGTGCCAAATTCCCCTGATATGTCGCTAAGTACCATGCCTATTGCAGCTTCCCCAAGCTTCGACAAGTCCGAGATCGCACCACCTGTCGCAACCACGACAAGTACCACACCAGCCGCTCTCAAATCGGAAACTGATCTTTTGCTACCACCCTCGATGCGCGAGAAAGAGCTCAGCTTGGAAATCGAAAAGTCGAACTCCGAAGAGCAAGTCAGCGTACCTCCGCCTGCATCGAAAGCGCAGTGGAAGCTAAAGGGCGTTGTCTCTGTGGTCCGCCATGCGGATCGTACACCCAAGCAGAAGTTCAAGTACACGTTCCACACGAAACCCTTCGTCGACTTGCTCAAGGGCCACCAGGAGGAGGTGCTTCTCATTGGTGAGGCTGCATTGCAAAGTGTGAGCGACGCCGTGAAGTTGGCCATGAGGGAAGGGGAAGAGGATCCCAAGAAGCTGCGCGAGCTGCAAGTATATCTTGACAAAAAGGGAGCCTGGCCAGGGACAAAAGTGCAGATCAAACCCATGTTCCGTAAACGACGGAAGGAAGAGATGCTCCCTGGTGAGCGGCCTGACGAGTCTCCGGAACGCACACGCGCAGGTTCCACCGCTAGCGACGGACACATAGCCGACTTGGCTGCAAAGCGGAGCGACTCAATGTCTGGACTGACGCTGTCAAGAATATCGGCAGCTGAGAACAACCTCGTTTTGGACAAGCTGCAGCTCATCATCAAGTGGGGCGGTGAGCCAACACACTCGGCGCGTCACCAGACGCAGGACATGGGCGCGAATTTCCGAAACGATCTGCTGCTGATGAACAGGGATGTCCTTGACGACGTCCACATCTTCAGCTCTTCCGAACGGCGCGTTACGACAAGTGCACAAATCTTCGCCGCGTCATTTCTCGAGCGAGATCAATTCCCAGCCGAGAACATCCACGTTCGCAAAGATCTCCTCGATGACTCCAACGCCGCAAAAGACGTTATGGACAAGGTCAAGAAGAAGCTCAAGACGCTACTCCGCGCAGGAGACAAGGCGCCACCCCAGTTTGCGTGGCCCAAGGACGTTGCAGAGCCCTACATTGTTGCTCAACAGGTAGTTGAGTTGATGAAGTTCCACCAGCGGGTCATGAACTACAACTTTAAGAAGCTCGAATCAGAGGCTGTACACTCACTGCACGTGGTGGCAGCCAACTCTGGAGAGGCGACCTCGCCCGGCTCTGCCCCTGGGGCCGATGTCAATAAGATACAACCGCGATGGTGCTGCAACGAAGGACCGGAGCTGTTCAAAGAGCGTTGGGAGAAGCTTTTCAAGGAGTTTAAGGATGGTGACAAGGTGGATCCTAGCAAGATCTCTGAGCTCTACGACACTATGAAGTTCGATGCCCTTCACAACCGGCAATTCTTGGAGTGGGTCTTCACTCCTGACTCCATGTTCCTGGATGAAGAGACCATCGAAAGCTCGAGGATTTCGATAGACAACGGGAGCCGGCCGCCGGCTGCTGCGCCCTCTGAGACGGCGAAGACAGAACAGAAAGATAATACCGCGGAGAAGCCTGCGGATCGTGGCAACCTTGCACACCGCATGGGTTTCCGTCGCAAGTCCGAGGCTGCCATCAAGAGTACTCAAGCTCCCCCGCCCCCGTCTTACGTACATGAGTCATACTTCAAGCTCTATACTGGCGTCGGCAACACATCCAAGGAGTCGAAGGCACAGACAGACATACGGCTTGTCAAGCTCCGCGAAATGTACCACCTCTGCAAGGTCCTCTTCGACTACATCGGCCCGCAGGAATACGGCATTGACAACGAGGAGAAGCTCGAGATCGGACTCCTCACATCTCTGCCCCTGCTGAAGGAGATCGTGGAAGATCTGGAGGAACTGCAGGCGTCGGACACGCCCAAGTGCTTCTTTTACTTCACCAAGGAAAGCCACATCTACACCCTTCTCAACTGCATCTTGGAAGGCGGCATCAAGACGAAGATCGAGCGCAATGCTATTCCTGAGCTAGACTACTTGTCACAGATCGGGTTCGAGCTGTACGAATCAGAGAACACGTCGACAGATGATTCGCCGAATACGTTCAACTACAGCATTCGTATCACGCTGAGCCCGGGCTGTCACGCGTTTGCGCCGCTAGATGTGTAAGTTCCTCTCCTGCCTCACTTTGTTGGCTCACGATAACATGCTAACGCTCACTAGACAACTTGACTCGCGGCACATGATCGGCTTCTCGCCGCGCCGTAGTCTCACGGCGCACCACGACTGGAAGGAAGTGCTTGAGACGCTGAGGGCCAAGTTCCACACGTATGTCTGCTCTATCGACCCCTGCGCGGTTTTCATCTGGCTAACCCACGCGTGTAGTGTCAAGCTGCCCAAGTCGTTCGTCGCAATCAATCTTAGTGAGAAGGTGCCGGATGCGTTTGGTGAGGCCAAGAGCAGTGGGCAAGAGTATGGCAGTGGGAGCGGCGATCGGGTTGGTGACGAGAAGAAGGATGGGAGCGGGATGGAGGAAGAGATGGTGAACTCGGGTCTCCTGGCGGAGAGGCTGGGCGATGTGCAGGCCCCCCCAGGGTTTTGAGAACTAGGAGAGCAGATGGTGAGGACATTGTTAGATACAGCGTAAAGTCTTGGGGTGTAAATGATACCCGATAGACGGGCTTTGCATAACATGCGGCGTTGTCATGAATAGAGCTCCTCATTGTTCCAGCTTTCGTCTACGTGGGGTAAAGTGAAAACCTCCTGCACGACACCGGGATCTAACGCTTGGTTGGAACAAGAAGATATGCAGAGGCTTTTAACGTGCCACAACGATATGAGTAGGCGCAAGACGGGAAGAGTTTTGTGGCGCTGGAGCGGTTTGAGCGCGAGATCGCGTTCGTGACGGGTTTGTTTCTACCGGGGATGGTGGGTGGGAGGTGCGGTCTGCCACGAGTTTTTGCTCGTCGTTGGTTGCCTTAGTCGATAGTTGTTCCCACAATCACATTGTCCTGCCCCTTGCCTATGACTTTGAACATGTCAACAGACTGTCGGTGGGAGTATGATCAGGCGCGAAGGATTTAGTTGCGTGAGCAAGTCGCAGGACAGCTACGGCTTGCGCTCGGTGAGACCCTCTTGCTTTGATAGAATAGTGTGTCTCTAATAGCGGAAGGAAAGTCTAAACAATTACGTTCCATTCCATGTGTTGTTAGACGTGGCATGGCCTTGAATAAGATTGAATCAGAATGTTCCTCTCTGACTTGTTAACTAGTTGAGCCTGTAGTAAAATTGCAGATGCACATAAAGATAGCCAGAGTCCCAGGCTTTCATCGCGAAAAGACCCGCCTGCTCTGCCAGCTCTGCCTAACAGCAGTCTCTGCTCTTAACTGCTCGGTCACCCTCTCCGTGACCATCATAAAGCGGGAAAAAAGATCCAAGCACCCGACTTGAAGACCTCCTAAAGCAACCATATCCCACCATCCTTACGGAACCTTTTCCTTTCCACTGCAATGTTGCTTCCCCGCCGTTTTTCATCACCCGACGACAATGTGTTTCTCCTCGCCCACCTTCACAAGCGTGTATCCCTCATCTTCTAGCTCCCTATTCCTCAGCAAGAAGTGCTCTTCTATCCGGGTGTCGGAATGGGCCATGTTGGACCGCCCGTACTCCACTCTTGCAGAGTAGCCCTCAAGCATGCTTTGAAACTTGAACCCTCCGCATCCTCCATGCTGGGTTCGTAGTGACGATGATCGCAATCAGAGATTTCGATAACGTTTGGATCCACGATATCAACATAGTGCGGTAGGTTTGCAAGTATGGCTGGCTTTTTATAGGTGGCAGATGGGCGGCGGAGAAGGAAGTACAGTGTGCCGACGTACGCCATGGCAACGCTGGACATTTTCGTGGGCAATTGTGCGGTATCATAAGGGATATGCTAGGATTCCGGATGCGTATTTGTACTTTTGTTCGTCTGTTTGTGCATTTCATTGCGTACAGGCGGGTCTGTTTGCTTTCGGTGCGTGGCATGGTCACCCGTAGCTTGAACATATTCTTCACCTCTGGAAGCTTTCTGTGCCTGGGAGTTTCTGCTGGGGATAGCTATCGTCTCGTCGTGTTGCAGTGGATGAGAAACGTCATGAGTGAGCTGTTCAGATCAATTTGGAGATCTTTCGATAGGTTATCTGAACTACGTTTATTCTGGTATAAAACTTAGCTGTATGCCCTGTAAAGACTCTATTTGGGTACCTTGTGGCAGTTGCAGTCCATGCTCTGTCATCTGTCTACCGGGTCAACCTTTCAGGGGTCGTCTCAAACTTGTGTGTACTCATGTTTGTTATAAAATGGTTTCGAAATTCCCGCGGTGGTTTCCTCAATGAGTATGCTTGTGGCGTCAGTTCGTCTAAGGCGTGATTCGCAATGTTATGTTTTTCTCGGTTTTATGAAATATGATGCTCATGTCTGGCATGAAATAGCATAGATAGACGCTTTGGTCACGCAGTCTTTCCGCAAGTCTCCTACTCTGCTCCATGATCACCAAAGCTCCGACGAATCTACTGCACCAAACACTCTGGAGTCCAGGCTGCATACTTGGAGCAACCCTTTCAGCCTATCCAAACGTTTCTCATGGAGCATTGCTTGAAGTGCCTTGCAAGGCCACTTTTGGCGTTTCGTGAAGAGTGTGCGTGCCGTTGTATATATGTATGAGTAACTTTCTTAGTGTATATGAACTCTATGACTTACCCATATTGGTCCAGAAACACCCATTGGAAATCACAGCTCCAAGGGGAGACGGCCTCTTGAGAGGTGAAGGGCCATTAGTCACGTGATTATATCATGTGAAAGGATTGTGTGAGGCGTCCCTAGTCCACGTGCAAGTCCCAGCTCCAAAGAGACCATACAACGTGCAGTGCGATAAGGCTGACTGTCCTCGCTGTGCAGTATAGTCCGAGCATTGGTAATCACATAATGAAAGGCTTAATCATGCTGCATTCAGCCGCACTCCAGAACCCGCGCGGGACGTTCGCTAAAGCGAACGAACACTTCTAGCGCCCGCGCGCGGACACCTTGCAAGTCCCGCGCGGCCGCACGGCGCGACCCAGCGCCTCAATTCCAAGGGCGCAGCTTACACCTCATGCATTCGAAACGCGATTCGAAACAGACCTCGGCGGCTCGGCTTTCACTATCCCCAGTAAGAGGTTCACGGCAGCTGCTGCCTGTAGCACGCAATGTTCCTCACCGGCGCGCCCATGCAGGCCAGGCTCATCGTTGCCGAAAGCAGCGATCGATGTGGCCGCACTATACGCATAGATTGATAATAAATGCAGTCATCTTGTGCAGATCGCGTACACAGAAGTTGTGTCTTGGTCTGCCACCCATTCTCACAGCGAGGCCAAGGTAGCCAAGTGAGTGCATGACTTGTTGTCAAATGGTCTGTTGTTCAGGAAGCAGGCAAACTCTATAATGCGGTTCTAGAATCTATGTGATATTGTTGTACGGGGGTCGCTTCAGTGAGTGGAGAACCTTGAACGCGTGAGCGCTATTTGAGTATGCAGGCAGTTCGATAAGGATTAGATATGGGTGGATGGAGCGCAAGGTTACGAGTACCCTGCTGCCAGCTGATTACATCAAGCAGTTTTCGTGGATGCATGTTGCAAGACCCACTACATGTGACGGCGTCGTACAATTGCATTGGCACTGATACTAAGGATCATCCGCGATCTGCGTCGACCCAAAGAAAGCTCTTGACAGGTGTCTTCTTGACGAGGCACCCAATGGCTCTCGATAGACTGTAAGGTATGAGAAGAGCTTTTCCCGATTCAAAGTATGTTCATATTCTGCATCAATGGATGACGATATACTATCACTATTCCATCTACTCGAACTTGGTGTAGCCCTGTCCCTTGACAAAAGTAGCATGCCATGGAATCTCACCCTCTCCGCTCGCGAGCTGAGCGAAGAAATCGGCATGTGCTTCGCCGTCAATCGCCATTCCCTTGATGCTGCCATCGGCGTTACGCTCATCGGCGTAGAAGAAGCTGTCAAGACATTAGACAAAGCTTATATCAGCCAGTTAAATGAAACTTACCGGTAACCATCCTTGGCATAGCGAGTATCTGCCGAACCGATAAGGTAGCTGGTAGCCCTCTTACCAATACCCAGTGTCGCAGTAAGTAGCATTGGCGCAACCCAAGTATTCAGCTTGTTGCCAGTGTAGATGAACACTTTCTTGGAGTCTCCTGTGAGCGTCGCCCATCCCTTAACTGCTTCCTTGGCAGCCGCATAGACGGACACGGTGTTCGTGTTGAGATCGGCGTCAAGGCTCTCCACTGGGATGGAAAACAGATCGTCACCCGCAGGCGGTGAGAAGGCTGCTGCGTTGTAGATGACAACGCTCGGAGCGGCCTTGAACTCAGCTTTGACAGCATCAAAGACGGCAGAGACCGAAGAAGGGTTGGACAGGTCTGCTTTGACAGACAAGTATCCTTCTGAGGACTTGCCCTCAGCAGCCTTGCGGGAAGTGATCGCCACGGAGTAGCCTGTGCTTGCGAACTTGGCGGCAACAGCGGCGCCGACTCTTGGGCCTGAGCCAAGGATGAGGGCAACGGGCTTAGACATGACTTAGTTGTCGGACTTGTTGGAGAGGAGTCGTTGTGCAGCAAAGCGGTCGCTGTTCCAGGAGATGAGAGTGAGATGTACAGTACTTACATATTCTGCGCGGCACTTGACGCTGTTTATACTGCGAAATGGAGCATAAAGATGCACCTCGATGGCACGAACTACGCTGTGTCTCGTTACTGAACGGTAACGAACTGCTGAATCAGTCACGTGACCATAGGAGACTGAAGCACTGGAGGATCCACAACCCGCGCGGAATAGGATTGCCTATAAGCCGCGCGGGTGGCGCACAACTGCATTTTGTCCGTTAGACCAATAAGGAGACGTAGCCCAGGCTGCGGATGCATGTCGCGAAGTCCGTCTCGACGGTCAGCTCATCCCTTCTTTTCCAGACGTTCTCCATAATTTCCAGAGCCTTGCGCGCGGTTCCGAAAAGGCGATGTGGCGCCAGCGCCTCCGCCATAGCACGCACTCGGACCTCTTCAACGGGTTCGCAAAGACACCCCACAATGCAGTACGGCCAAACAACTGTACGCAATAGTTCGGGTGCCGACATCCGCTCCAGGAGGCCCAGAATTCGGGTCACATTTTCGCGAATCGCAACGCTTCCAGGCTGCCATCCGGATACCGATACGGCGAGGTAAAGCAACGCGGCATGCGCCCACACACGTGTGACGAATACGGCGCACCCGCCTGGCATAGGTGGTAGCTGGTCGTTGTAGACTCTGAACAAGCCAAGCCAGCCGGACTGGGACGTATCCACTGCGGCGTCGAGGCGCGCGAGGTTTTCGAGCAGTGCCCGCTGGATTGCTGACGCGCGCGCAACCAATTCCATCATATCGAGCCTGCCAGCCTTCTTAGCAGCCTTCTTCCATGCATCGAGCGCAGCTATTTCGCCCATCTGTAATATAACCCAGTTCTCGCAGCCTACGAACTCCTCCAGGCTCAGCGGAGGTTTCTCTTCCGCACTCCTGTCGCTCGTGAGCAGTTGGGCGTGATAGTGGAGCAGTTCGGGCGCTTCGCCTGTGCATATACCTGCGACTGTGTCGTCTACAATGAGGAGCGCCGAGTAAAACCGAAAAGCTGCTTGGTCGGAATTCCAGGCTCCGCGTTCTTGAGACTTTATGGACCAAAGTGGACGTCCCAGGACATTTAGGACAGCGCAAAAGTTGAGCAACTCGCTACCGTCCATAATCCTTCGGAATAGCGAGTTGGCTGCCCCCAGGTGCTTTCGACAGTTTTCGAAGTTCCCGACTGCTATCTCGAGCCGTTGTAGCTGGATGATGCTTCCCATAGTTCTGACTGTCCTGACCATTACGTCTTGTATGTTGGCTGATGCTGCTTCCTGGAGGTTGCACTTGAGCGTCGCGAACGTCACGCCCATCTGCCTCAAGAGCTTCTCCCAAGCAAGCGTCTTGCATACACTGTGCCCCGAGACCGCGCCATCCAGAGTTACTGAGACGAAATACGAGCTAAAGGCAAGTGTAGTATGCCACATGACCTGGTCACTCTGAACGAGCTCCATAACCCAGGTACGTCCACCTTCGAGCAGCGAAGGTTTGTAAAATGGAAATAGGAACGGGAAGAAATGGTCAAAGTAGAACATCACAAAGCGACGATCGAGCTCGGATTCGGTTGGTTCTCTCTTGGGTGGGTCGCTTGCAGACCACCCTTCGAGCTTACTCCAGGGCTCTACATAGCCGTTGCTTGGTGTTGAGTCGGTGCTAAAGAGCGTAGGTGGTGAAATCGTACGAGTGCTTGAGTCCAGGGATGGCTCGACGGTAATTGGTTCCAAAACGTCAAAGGATAGGACTCCGCGACGGCGGGCGGCAGCACTTTTGACCTCGCGCTTGATTTCTTCGGCTTTCTCTTTCTGCCCTAATCCGCCGTCCATCCAAAGTGGCTTCTCCTCCTCGAAATGGCAGGTGATCTGCAGCGTCGAACAGTTCCTGCATACTGGACGTATTTCGTCACACCGCTTCTTCCTCAGGCGGCATGTCCAGCAACCGTCGTAACTCTTCATTCCGAGGTGTGGTCAGCTCGCAGTCTGTCCGTGGTAGTATCGTAGTGGGAATGTCAATGCGGGGTTGACAAGCGCCCGATGAAACTGGTGGAGCTACCACGCGTGGGGGTTTTGTCATCAAAGCACAAAGGGAATCCCAACGAACTCTCCAATAGGACCACTAGAATCGGAATGCTGCTTGGGCGCGAACGTCTGCAGGAGAGGAAACATGGGTATTAATGTCCGCTCGTTTATGAAAACCACGCATGTGAGACGCAAGGAATAAGCCGCATGGCGCAAGTGGCTAGTGAGCCTGGCCTTGTGGACCAGGATGTTTCGCCTTATCTGCGGCTCGTTCCGAAAGGCGCAAGGACGAACGCAGTGGCATTGCAACCAAGTGCCGTCTAGCCCTGAATCCTTCATCCTCTGCGTCAACGCTCAGCAGGCGCCCCACCATGGTCTCTCTTCAAAGATGCCCTATGAAGGTAAGGTGGCGTGTGCACAGATGATCCGCGCCACACACCCGGCATCCTTGGCACGGTGTTTGCCAACCAAATCAAGCTTTCTGGGGTTGAAACGGACAAAGCTTCAACAGGATTCTCTTCCACGCTTGTTTTGCGGATTCTACCAGCCGGCGCTCGTGCGAGATGCGGTGGTTCTAGTTCTAAGTGTGACAGGGCTGGACATGGTGACATGGTGACATGGTGTTTACGAAGGCCTAGTCTTCTCTCGCACATCCTCCCCTTCTCAGCCCACCATCCTTTTTAGGTTGATGTTAAACTAGGATTGGGTAAGAACTACAGCGCGCATTCGTAAAATTTGGTTTCTGAACGTCTGTGGCATGATAGAACCACTGATAAAGATGTGGGTTAATATCTGACAATGTTGAGGCGCATTATCTGCCAAAAGCAAGGCAATGCTGACAACCTTCTCGCAGCCAATGCCTTGGGCACTTGGCCACCGTACTAGCCATGTCCGAACATGCATGCTTTACAGTCGGCCAAAGAGCCGTGGAAGTTTCATAGGTCATTAACTCAGTACATTGCGTCCCATCTCTACTGGCGACCGCAGGATCGCGATCCCAGCGGGTTTACTTTCACTAGCTAATCAACTAATAGTGTTCCACTTGTTTACATACGGTAGGAAGTGTTTTGACAAGCCAGGATGCCGTGGATTGGATGTTGAGGCTGAGACAGACTCGGGTAACTACGCTTGATTTGGTACCGAGAAGGATTATATTGCGAACGAAACAAGGGGGAACTATGCTAAGTCCTTCGTGTCAGATCTCGCTGCTGATATGATGATAATATTCGCGTACATATAGGCCTTACACGCACCTACAGTCTCTGCCCCTAACACCAACCTTGTTGGACCAATTTGAAACGGCTTTATTTTACGCTGCTCTCGAAAACTATAGCCGGAGTGGTCACAAATCCTCAAGGGTGAGGAACCTTGGGTGAAAGCCCCTAGCGAAAGCTCTACAGTTAATCAGGAGATTGATTCACATATTAAGTGTTCGTCAATCTTCGAGCGAAATGGCCGGTCATCACAGGAGAGTATGTTTAGAGATTTCCTTCCATTCCACCATGCCCCGTTTCATGGGACTCAAACTAATACATGACATCCATTCTGCTCTCTAAATGCACAATGTCCCTCGAAAGAAACGTATGTGCATAAATTGAACTGACGAAAGGGACAGAACCATGAGCAGTCTGACGATTCAATTTCAGACCAAGCTTGCACACGCTGTCGAGAGCGTAAGATCCGGTGTGGGCGGGAGCTTCCTCAATGCAACAACTGTGAGCGAGACGACAGTGTGACATGCATATACCAAAATCCTACGAAAAGAGTGAATCATCTGAAGTCGCTGTGAGTCCCGCTGCTTTTCTTCGCCCACAGTATAAGTACAAGACCAGGAGAAGCGGATGAGCATCACACTAGGTTGATTTTCATATCTCATGTGCAGTTTATCAAGCGGAATGTCTGATTATCACTTAGGTTTGACAGCGTCAATAGACTCAACGAGCGGTTGGATGGCATAGAGTCACACCTCAGCCGTCTATCTACCAACATCGCAGAGAACACAAATCAGTATAGCTCTCGTTCCACGCCATCGGACCAGCACGTCCCCGTGGGTGGCGATCCTGAGGAAGAGGATGATGAAACCCGCCCAGGGAGTCTATCCCCTTCCAGTGATAGATCGGATGACCTGCACGTCTTTCACCATACCTCGGATATGGTCGATCACTATCATGGACCATCATCACTGTTCGTCCTTTGCAAGCGGTTCGAATCTTGTGTCATCGCTGCGAAACGTGCTGATCATGGCACTCCCCTGTACAATGTCTTACAGAATCTTTGCAAGAAGGCTGGTTCTCTGGAGCCATTTCCGCCCTTTGGGGGCAAGTCCGTCATCAACCTTCTGTCTCAACAACAAGCGAATATCGTCATCGGCCAATTTGTTCAACGCCTCAGCTGTACAACTGATATCTTCGTCAAGAGTAATCTGCTTGCTAATGTCGAACGGCTTTACTCGGGAGTAGCAGAGTCGGGAGAAGATGTATGGGCCATCTGCTTACAGGTCATCACTGTGCTTGTGTGGGGTACAGAGATTACTACCCAATACGGGAATGGTGTATTCGGCGACTTTGCACGCTCGTTCCTTCCGAGCCGGGCCGCGCTCGTCAGTTCTAGTTTGCTGACCACACCAAAACTTATTAACGTCCAGACATTGATACTCTTGGTACGTATAGCTGGGAGCCATGTTGGTGGCGAGAGCAGATGACTGATCGTTTTATTAGAGTGTCGCAGCACAACAGTTCGACCCGCCTGGGTGGGCTGAATTCATCTTCTCCAGTGCTTGCGGGCTTGCAAGAACGATGGGACTTCACCAAACGCAACTCTTCCCTGGAGATACCAGTGGTTATGAAGCAATAGAGCGGTCGAAAGTCTTGCAGTCATTATATGTTCGGGACAAGAGCTTGTGCACTGCTCGAGGTGCTGTGTCATGGCTGCCAACGAACGACTGCGTCATCGCTCACCAGATAAGCGCTGCTAATGATCAGGGTCCCTACTCTTCCGCACTCCAACTGGCCATGATTCAAGACCAAGCTTACAGCTTGGCGCATACTGCTGCGTCTAGGATAAGCAAAGCCAGCAAATTGCGTACTACCAAGATCGTACGATCTGTCGAGCACCGGCTGACGCAGTATGAACGATCGTTCGGCGTCCTCGACCGCCAAGCTTCATCATATAGTTCGAATCACGCTATTCTGGCATTAGAGTTCCTGGCCACCCGAATCCTTGCGCTGCAATACGGCTCCGAGCAGAGACATGCCGAGCAAGTGCGATTGGATGCCAGAACAAGCTGTCTCTTGTTGTTGATAGCACATGGAACTCAAGACCGTGAAGTTTTGGATGCTTTCAACGCTCGACCTGGTCAGACTAGTAACAGCTTGGACGGGGGCGGGCACCTAAATGAAATTGAATCCAGGACGGTTTCTTTGACTAGTATATTGGATGCCTTTTCAGTACCGGCATTCTTTATTTTACTCGAAGACCATTTAAGGCACTCAGAAAACGACAAATGTTCTGATGCCGATCTCCGGTTGCTACGGAGAGTCTCGACTTGTTACAACAAAGGCACGGAGAAGATGCAGTCCAGCAGCTACCATCGAAGAGTCTCATGCATTTTCGAACAGCTTCTTACAATCAATGATTTGATAACAGGGCCTCCCACACACGACCATTCAGTATCCTTTGATACAACAGAACCTATGTCGCAGTTAGTCTTGTCTCTGAACACGCAGACCCAAGACGATCTGGACGTCTCCCCACCACACTCCCTAGGCGACGGCTCGAGCCTTTCATCTCTTTCACAGTTTGCGACTAATCCACACACACCCTTCTCTTGGGACTTGGGATCGTCTATACCATCCTCATTGGAGATGTACGCACCTGTCAGCTCTGCAGGTCTTGGCGACACGTTGGAACATGGCATGATAGATCTGTTCAGTCAATTTAGACAGGGGAGCCCCATCGATAACTCCGGGCAATTCATCTCTTTGTCTGAAATCAGTCCAAACCAAAACGCAACAAGAAAGCGTCCCAGACCTCTCAACGACCTGGATTTCACGACAGAGGACAATAGGCACCTTAAATGAATTATAATTCTGAACCGATATAGGCCTATCGGACTTATATAGATTTGCCCTCGCTAATTTTGTGACTACTAAGCTCGAAAGTTTTCTGTTGCACGACCGAGACTCAACGGCAGTACCCTGAACTACCAACTCGGGGACCGAAACCCGAACTTAGTTCCGAGCTCGACATTTGACGGCCGAGCTCCGGCCCCCACTACAATGTGAGGTTGGTGTAACCACGTAGATATACTAAGAACCACACGTGCAGCGGGAACAGCTGGTGCTTCAAGGACCAATTCTGAAAGACGTTCCACGAGATCTCAAGCATGTCTTCTATCCAGGAACTCAGCCAGAGGATCGCAACAAACTCGGCTTTGGTAGAGAAATGGCTTGCCAGCAAGAACGCCAAGATGCCCTCTTTCAAGCAGGATGCAGATGATGAGTTCCCTGATACCGATGGATACCCCGAAGTTGAGGCAGCCCGGATGGCGGTGATTGATGACACAAGCGCACTTCACGACTTACTTCTGGGTCCACGGGAGGTTCTAGCTCGAGTCTGGGGTGCTGTAAGTAGATATCGAGAGCTACATCGAATGGATCTCTAATGATGTTTGTGCAGGCTCTAGATAACGGTGCCCAACAAGTCATCTCCCGGTTTAAAATACTGCAGGCGATCCCCCTAGATGGTGGCGCCACCTACGCCGAGATATCCGCAAAAGTTGGGTTGAATGAGCGGAAACTGAAGACGGTGGTGCGCAAAGCTATCGTTAATCGCATGCTACGGGAGGATGTTCCCGACCACGTGGTGCATACGGCCTCTTCGGCCTTGCTACTACGCGAGCAGTACATGATGCACTACTACGGATTTTTCGTTGAGCAGATGTTTCCTGCCAGCGCGAAACTTGCCGATGCGCTCGAGAAGTATCAGCATAGCACAGCGGCACAGGATACCGCCTTCGGCCTTGCGTTCAACACAGATGAGACATTGTTCAAGTACCTTGAGAATCGCCCCGAATTAATGGCTCGGTTCGTGGGTGCGATGGAGGGTGTGAATAGAGATCCCAGCCAAAGCCAGAAACACGTCATAACGGGATATTCATGGGCAGAACTCGGAGAGGCTACAGTAGTCGATGTGAGTACATTATATCACCATGATTCAAATCCAGCAGCTTACCTCTGAGCCTCTAGGTCGGCGGCTCCTCCGGCTTCATGAGTGTTGAGCTTGCAAAGCACTATCCGAAGATAAAGTTCGTCGTACAAGACTACAAGAACAACGTCGAGGAAGGTGCTGCCAAACTTCCGTCCGAATTGACCGATCAAGTCAAGTTCTTGCCTCACAATTTCTTTGATCCCCAACCAGTGGTGGGTGCAGAAGTCTACATTTTGCGCCACATTTGTCACGACTGGTCGGCCGAGAACAGTGAGAAGATCCTTCGTCAGATTGTACCTGCTATGAAACCGGAGAGCAAGATTCTGCTTGTGGAGATCGTCGTTTCGCCAACAGAAAAGCCCATGTCTAGTATTGCAGAGCGATATCTACGGTAATTGTTCCACTGCTCGCTTTTCCATTCTTTGCTTACACCTCCCAGAATTAGAGATCTGAACATGGTCCAAATGTTGAACGCGCAGGAGCGCAGTGAGTCGGATTGGAGGGATATTGTTAGTGCGGCAGACTCACGGCTCGAGCTGACACGAATCATTGTAAGCACCTCTTCGACTGAAGTCTCCCTCGTGCTATCAGTTCATCATCCAGTGCGCAATGCTGACTTCCACGACTACAGACACCTCATGGCAGTACTGACTCGATCATCGAGATATCGTTGCGTCAGAGTTAAGACAATTTTGCACCAACAAGTGTTTCATTATTGGGCTCTCAAAGTGGAGTAACACCTACCATATTCAGGCGCTACAGCGATGGAGCTTCGATAGGCTACAGTATAAGCTACTCCGTCATATTATCCATGCAAGAGACAGCTTTCCCTATTTCAATCTCCGTGCGTCGGCAGGATCCACCCGGCAAAACTGCATTTAAACCGTGAACAGTGCGATAAACAAGAATGGTATCGTGCTCTTGCCCGTTTCCCGGCTCGAATGAAATATGGCAACCGTGCGAAAGACCGTATAGTTGCAGTGAGATGGATGCATACTGAGGCTCGTACCTCGAACGCACCTGGTGAAATCGAGTGTCTGAATTCCGAAGGAGTATGTACTCGTACGCAACCCAAGCCTGCGCCTGATCCACGGTGAACGCGCGCGGGTTGTGGGTTCACGCCCTGTGATCGCGCATTACTGCACCGTGCGAAAACACTAGAGTACTTTAGGCTACTGCCGAACGTCATCTGACTCCCGGATTTTTGGTGCTAGACTGAATTGGATACCCCATACAGATTGCGCTCATGATACCTCAAGCTACAATACTCACTTCCGACAAACTCACTGGCTTCGGAGGCATCAGCCCTGCCTCCCTGCCAAATGTAATGAACTTGGCCTCATCGCCGTATGCTTCAAGCACTCCATTGGACACCGAGGATGCTGCCTTGCCACGCGCGATCATGTCTGCGTTGAATCCTGACACTAGATCCTTCAACCCTTCGCCTGATGCCTGCGTGTCCCGCACACGAGTAAGGACGTCGCTGAGCCTGAAGGCATCAACGAAGGCAGTATTTGCCGCTAGAGCGCGGACTTTGTACAGTCAGTATATTGCTCAATGTAACCATTGATCCTGCGATGCAAATCTTGGGAGTCAGTCGGGGATGATAGTACTTACATGGAGCCATCGAGTGCGCTGCGTCGCCGATCAACAACACCCTTCCAGCTGGGAGCTGCTCAGGATCCAGATCCACCCCCTGAAGTTGAAAGCCAGGTGTATTGTATCTCTCTGTGGGGATCTTGTCGACCAGGGCGCGGAGCTTGTCCGGGTAGCCCTTGGTTTTCTCTCTTGCATAAGCTGCTAGTTGTTCTTGCGAGGCCAGCTCGGTCCAACGTTTCTCACCTGCGTGCTTGGGGGCGTCCTGGTCCACCCAAAGCAGAATGAAGTAGTAGTATCCGGTCTTGCCATCAGGACTGACTCTGTTCAATGCGCAGAAGATGGCTGTCTGCTCCTCAGTAGCAAGTCTAGGGTCCATGACAATGTAATTGGAATGCGAAAGTGTGAGCTGTTGAGAGAAGTCGTCGCCGCTGAGCTCAATCTCGCCAAAAATTGATCCGATTGGCAACGGCCTCATCACGTCCTGTCCCTTAAGAATATGCTTACGAACGACTGATCGCGTGCCCTCAGCCCCGACCAGGAAATCGCCAGTTGCTGAGGTGCCATCTTCGAAGTGGGCGGTGACTTTGTCGCCGTACTCCTCAACCCGAACGAGACGCTTGTTGAACTGGACGTCGATGCCTTGTTCTAGCCAATCGCGCATCCTTCGACGATTCGCTCGAACAACCTTGAGATCGTCATCGGCGATGACACCAACCCGGAACTCTGGACGAGTGATGTCGTAGAAAGAGAATTGGGGCGGAAGATTGAGCGGAAGCAAATGACTTGTCTGTTCCACGGGTCCCAAGTCCGCGGGCATCAAGGTCTTCATCAAGCCGTAAGCCTCACCAAACAATGAGAGAGCCCAGCCTTGACCACGCGCATCTCTGTGTGCGTCTCGTTCGAACACCGTGAAAGGAATGCCGTTCTTCCTCAATTGTTGCGCTAGTGTCAGGCCGCTCATACCAGCACCGATAATGAGTACGTGTGGAGACGCCATCTTTTTTCCAAGACCTGAAAACGAGTCAATTTGACCAGAGCATCCAAAATTATGTTGAGAATTCACGTTCTTATTGCAAATTGGTTGCGTGGTATATATGCCGAAGCTTCGCCACTGCGGACCAGACGGCGACCCTTGTACCAATCCTGACGAAACGACTATCCTGATATGGCAGGCTAAAACAAATGCCTACGTACGATCTCGCGCGCCGTTCTTTCGACACCCGTTCGGCGCCCGGCAGCCGAGTTCCGGGTGAATGCTTCTGCCACTTGCGTCACTCGATGCTTTATGTTCAGGAAACAATGGAGCCATAGAAGCATGGTCATCATAATACAGGACACGGCTGGAAAGCCACCATAGAGTTGCAAGATGTCCAGTGGGTTGCCTAACGAATCTACGAGTCGGCTTTTCGAGTATATCTCACAAAGCGCAACAACCCTGACTTAACTTCGCGGTACCTATTTCCAGTCTGCAGAACAATACACCACTTCTTTGACGTTGTTCAAGCGATGTGACATAGCTGTCGTTACCGTGTACACCGAATTTTACGGGGTCTCGCACCAAAATTGGGAACATAATAATGCATTGTATTTGGTCGTTGAATTTGATGCTTCTAGCTTCATGCCCCTTCTTCTATGCGACTGTAGCAGATATAAGGCCATGGAAAGATTCCTGGTCATATACAACCGCCTCGTTGATTGATAATCCTACGTCTCCGAGTAGCTCCTTCCATTGTTGCCCTGTTCTTTCTAAGCTGCCGCATGCACCAAGCATTACCAAGTCCAACGCAGTGGCGAATGGCGGCGCCCCGGAGTCCGGGAGAATCATGTCGTTGATCAATAGCACGGAGTGAGGTGCCATTGCTGTTTTGATCTGGCGCAAGATGTTCTTTGCTTTCTCGTCGCTCCAGTTGTGTAGAATCCAGCCCAGATGATAGAATTTGGCACCTAGGATCGGGTAATCAGTACATAAGCCCAAAATCGACATTATCCATCTCAGGATTCTTAGCGCACCATGTTGCGCAAGCGTTCAACTCACCTTTGATTGGTTGCGGTTGGAAGAAATCATGTCCTAGTTTCTCGACTCCCGGTGTTGGCAGAGCATGATTGAGGGTGTCAGGCAAATCTTCCAGCACGATACGTCCTGCAAGTTGAGGAAATTGACCTTTGAAAAGTGCACAGTAGTGTCCCACGTTTCCGCCAACGTCTACGAAAAGCGCTTCCTCTGCGGACGGGTTCCAGCTTTGGGTTTGTGTCTCAAATGGGTACTCCTTCAACCAGCGACCTCGCACATCTCGCTCCAGTCCCATGTACTTGATCAGAGCCGTCAAGTTATCGGGATGCTGGGAGAAATATGTATATGTATCGAGCTCAGTATGGTACGCCGGCTGGAAAACAGTCGCCTTGCCATCGGTCACATCTTGATAATTATTCTTGCGAAGGAACGCTGGCATTTCCTGGAACAAAGGGCCACAGTTCTCAAAGCTTTTGGAGTTTCTGGTCAGCGCCACTGACTTAAGGATTATCGAAAGCATTACGTACAAATGAGTTACGATGGTGACAGCCTCGGGGGCAGCGAGATGACGACATTTGCTGTTTGCTTCAAATGTATCGGCTGAAGACTGACGAATCAATCCAACAGAAGCCATGTATCTTAGCAAGCGGCCTGAAAATCAATCAGCTAAACCATGTGAAGAACGTCATGACGAGCGCGCTTCACGCACCGAGGGTCAAAGCATGAGCGCCTGTCAGAGCCTGCAGTTCGCTCACAGTCTGGGGTCCTTGAGTGTCCAGCGTCTGGAATATCCTCAAATCATGGCCGATCCGAGCTGCTGCGGCCTGCAGTGGCTATGAGGCAGGGTCAGTAAATGCGGAAAGAAATATCTATGATTAACTTCGCTTACATAGAGGGACCTCCAAACGTCAGTAGTTTCATTCAATTGGAGAAAAATGAGCTTACAGTCGAATCGCCGTCTCTTTCGGGGTCTCAACAGACGCGATGGTTTCGTGTAAGTCACGTTGGAAGAGTTTCCGCGAAGCCTCATCTCCGGAAGTTAAGCGCTTCTTGATCTCTGCTAAGAGCTCTGCCATGGTGTTGAACCTTCTCGCTCGAGGCTATCGATGCGAGTTGGCGGATCAAAGGTATGGAAGCAATCGCGGATTTCAGAACTATGATCGGGCGGATCTACAGTGCTTGCAGCGATTGACCAGATACCGAGTATATTGCGGTCATCGCGATTCGGCCATTGGGTTCCATGCCTTGCATCCGTGCCAAAGTAAGTCCAGGAATGGCTTCATGCTGACGTTCAGCCGAGCGACCGAGAAATTACGAACCCCGGAATTCGGCTGCCGGTCCACTTCTCACATTATCTCAAACTTATCTGGACCAATTTGGGAATAGCGCTCCTTAGCCGAGTGACCGTTGCTTTGTAACAGACCTCATGTCGCTGCTGTCAGACAACTAAGATAGCAAGTCAGACACACCGATACGGATTCAAGCCTCCCATCAGTCAATCACTTCAACGTGAATACTGCAAACACAATCCGAACACCTTCCACGCTCAACTACGTGGTCGAATATCTTCAAGACCATCCTTTTAGCTGCAACCTCAAGATCTTATGCGAACCCGAAATACTATGGCACATGCGAAGGTCATCTATCTTTCTGGCGAGATTCCTCAAGGGGACCCGGAAGGGGACCAGCGGATTCTCTTCAGGAAGTTACATTTGCTAAGCAAGGAAAGGAATTATCCTATCCTTGCATCAACTCTTGAGGCTATTACCAGCTCTTTGAAGCAAGAATGCCGGCAACTAGAGAGAGCTCAGAGAGACCTGGTTCCTACTTTTGAGAGCGTACTTGACTTGACCGACAGCGTTCTTGCTCTCAGGAAGACACCCTTGGGTGGGGCTATTGAGCGAGTACTTGTGCTAGTCTTCCAGCTGGGTATCTTTATCGCGTCAGTATAAATGTAGTGTTGGTTCGAACATCGGCGCTGACTATCCGAAGCCACCATGAAGCAAACCCTCTCGAATACAAATTCCGATCAGAAAACACAGTGCTATTGGGCCGCGGTCCTGGCCTACTCTCTGGAGCAGCTATCGCACTATCTCCCACTCCTCTTTTGCTTCCAATCGTCGCCGCTGAAATCACCAAAATCACTTTTCGATTCGGGCTTATTGTAGATCAAGTTTGCCGGTCGTCTGAAGTGTCGCCTGATGAGATCAACGCGGATGGAGTAAGCAAACATCCCATTGATTCTTGAGACCGAGTAGTTACTTTAGATCACGAGTGAATTTGGATTGCTAAACCTGAGTCCATTTGGCTAACTTCGACGTTTTAGGCCTGGGTGTACTGCGCCCACGGTGCCGGCCATAAGGACGCAGAAGAAGCTGTAGCACAGTTCAACGCTAAAAAGGTGAGATTTTGCTACCTGTACCACTATGAAACATGACTCACATCCCTCTAGGCATATCCTCAAGCCAGCATGGCAACAGTCTTCAACGCCGACGATCTGTCAGTGAGCATAGGTGGCCCTCCATCAACGCTCAAATGTCTCTTCTCGGAGTCCGATTTCTTCAAAAAGACAAAAAACGTACCAATGAGAAAGGTTCAGGGTACGTGGCATAACGCCAAGACCTACGGTGCGGAGCATGTCAAAGAGATCTTCGAAGGCATTACACTAAGCAGCCATTTGTGCTTCCCCATATTCTCTCCGGTAACCGGACGACCTCTAGAATCAACAGAGGGTGTTGCGGTACTCACAGAATTGATGACGGAAATTTTGACGCAAAGTATTCGTTGGGACCAAACTATTGATGGCGTCTCCGATCATCTGAAACGACTCTCACCGAACGAGTTACAGCTGTGGAGTTTGCAGCCTTCGCACTACATGGCGAGTGTGCTCGACAGATGGAGTGCCGAGCTACCTACCGCTTCCATGTCACACGAGATCATGATGCCAACCGTTATGGGTCTGAACTTAGGCCAAAGTTCACCACGAGATGCGAAGTCGGCCAAGATTGCCGTCGTTGGCATGGCGTGCAGGTTCCCTGGAGGCGCTAATGATACAGAGAAATTCTGGGAACTACTAGCACAGGGTCGTGATGTCCATGCGCCTGTACCACCAGATCGATTCGATGCAGCGAGCCATGTGGACGCGACAGAACAAAAACCTAATACATCCAAGACGCCTTACGGCTGTTTTGTGGACGATCCAGGACTCTTCGATGCTTTCTTTTTCGGTATGTCTCCACGTGAGGCCGAGCAGACCGATCCCATGCAGCGCTTGGCTCTAGTGACAGCTTATGAAGCTCTCGAAAGTTCCGGTTACGTTAATGGCAGAGGTATTCACCAACGTCGGGTTGGCACATTTTACGGATGCGCCAGCGACGATTATCGTGAGGTCAACTCAGGTCAAGACATTGGGACATACTTCATCTCCGGGGGATGCAGAGCTTTTGGCCCTGGTCGTATCAATTACTTCCTGAAATTCTGGGGGCCAAGCTACAGCATTGATACAGCTTGTTCGTCCAGTTTGGCTGCCATTCAAGCCGCCTGTACCTCCCTTTGGAGTGGCGATATTGATATGGCCATCACAGGTGGCATGAACATCATCACCAACTCGGACGTTTATGCTGGCTTGAGCAGGGGCCATTTCTTGTCGCCCACCGGAGGGTGCAAAACATGGGATGAGGGAGCAGACGGCTACTGTCGTGCCGATGGTGTCGGCAGTGTCGTTCTCAAACGACTCGAAGACGCTGAAGCTGATAATGTAAGTGTTCCCGTAGCGCGTGTCAAGAGCATCTCGAGATCCTCAGCCTGGAGGAGATCTTCCCCCGCCCCGACGAGACGACTTTGTGATAGGTGTGTGCAATAATTCAGTCCAAGCTAACGTTATAATTGCACTTCAGGACAACATTCTTGCTGTCGTTCTCGCGGCTGGCACTGACCATTCGGCCGAGGCTGTCTCCATCACCCACCCCCACGACCTGGCCCAAGCCCATCTCTACAACCAGATGGTAAAACGCGCTGGGATCGATCCACTCTCCGTGGGCTACGTAGAGTTCCACGGGACGGGCACCGGTGCTGGAGATCCAACCGAGATGAGGTCGGTAACAAGTGTCTTTGCTCCAGGACAGCCAAGAAACACCAGTCTACACATCGGATCAGTGAAGGCCAACGTTGGACACGGAGAAGCTGCCGCTGGTATCATGTCTTTCATAAAGACTGTGCTAGTGTTTGATAAGGGCGTAATCCCTCCACACGTTGGTATCAAGACCGCGTTGAACCCAGCTCTGCCCAAGGATCTAGACAAGAGAGGCGTCATCATTCCGTTCACAGCCACGCCGTGGGAAAGAAGCAGCGAACAAAAGCGTTTAGCTATGGTGAACAACTTTGGCGCAGCTGGGGGCAACACGGCAATGATACTAGAAGAAGCAACAGCACGCCCCAGAGTTGGCGAGGACTCGCGACCTACTCATCCAATCACAATCTCGGCCAAAACGCCGCACTCTCTTGAACAGAATCTCAGACGTCTCGTCGCCTACGTCGAAGCACGGCCTAATCTTTCGATCGCTGACCTATCGTACACTCTATCTGCACGGAAGATGCATTACAACTACCGAGTTTCGATGTTGGTAACTTCTTGCCAGGAGGCTGTGAAGCGCCTCCATGAGAGTATCGAAACCACAGCAAGTCAGTTGCCGACCCCTTCCAAGCAACCGACCGTGGCCTTTGCTTTCACGGGACAGGGAACGTTCTACGTCGGCATCGGTGCCCAGCTATACAAGGATTCCAGATCTTTCCAGCAACACCTAGACCGACTCGACGGTATTGCTCGACGCCAAAAGTTCCCATCCTTCTTACCCGTTATAAAGGGCACCTGCAATGTCAAAGATGTACCGACTATCTCAATGCATCTGGCTATCGTGTGCGTAGAGATTGCCCTCACAAAACTCTGGGCATCGTACGGTGTTACTCCAAGTGTCGTTATAGGACATAGTCTAGGAGAGTACGCTGCGTTGAATGCAGCCGGTGTTTTCTCTGACACTGATACGATCTTCCTCGTCGGGACGCGTGCGATGCTACTAGAGACTATTTGTACGCCTGCTACGCATGGGATGTTGTCGGTTCGAGCATCTTTAGAGGCCATTCAGACCGCCGCCAACGGAGCCCCATTCGAAGTAGCCTGCATCAATGGTCCACAGGAGACTGTGGTGGGGGGTGCTGTCGCAGATCTCGATGCTCTGGCCACTGTTCTCGGGAAAGCGGGCTACAGGACCTTTAAACTGGATGTGCCCCATGCGTACCACACAAGTCAGATGGAGGCCCTACTGGATGACTTCGTCAAGTTGACGCAAGCTGTTGTGCCCAAGCATCCAAAGATCCCTGTTATTTCACCGCGTTGCTCCCAAGTCCTGACATCCGACATCGACGTTGCATACTTGGCCAAGGCAACGAGGGAGACAGTCGACTATGTTGGTGGACTTCATGCTGCCCGCCAAACTGGCGTCATTGCAGAGTCCAGTGTCTGGGTGGAGGTTGGCCATCACCCTTGCTGTGTCAGCTTTATCGCAAAGACGCTGTCGGACACGCGACTGACATGCCCAACCCTGCATCGAGACAAAAACAATTGGACGACAGTCGGCGAGACACTCGTTGCTTTGTACAATGCTGGTGTATCCGTAGATTGGTCGGAATACCATTTACCTTTTGAACCGGCGCTTCGACTGGTCGATACTCCTACATACGCATGGAACAACAAAAACTATTGGATTCAGTACACAGGAGACTGGAATCTTACAAAAGGACAGGCACTATCTGACCCCAGTTTAAGCGCAACCACGATTCAGACCGTGAAAGGCTTCCGGACGACAAGCATCCACAATATTCGCTCTGAGAGCTATACTGAGTCTTCAGGACAGCTCTTGGCAGAGTCTGACATGACCGATCCAGCGCTCAAGGATGTTATCGAAGGACATGCAATGAATGACTATGGAGTCGCATCTTCGGTGAGTTTATCGATTGCCATTACAAAGTTTTGACGCTGTGTTTCTAACAACCGTAGTTCCTCCATGCAGACATGGCTTTCACAGTCGCGAAACGCATTCTTGATAAGGGTATTCCAGCCTCATCCAACATTGGCATCAATGTTGCGGACTTCGAGTATCACGAACCCGTTGTCAAACATTACAACCCAACTGAAGCCCAGCCGATCGTTGTGAGCGCCGAGGCCGACTTGCAAAAGGGCCAAGCTCATATCAAATGGTACAATCCAGACAAAGATTTGTGGTACTGCCATGCATCTGTCTTCTATGAGGACCCTTCATCATGGCTGTTGACATGGTCTCGCTCAGTAGGCCTTGTAACAAGTCGTATCGCGGACTTATATGACCTGGCAGCGAATGGAAAGGCCGACAAGCTGACCACCAATCTGGCTTACAGCCTCTTCGGAAAGCTGGTAGGCTACTCGGACATGTATCGGACGATGAAGTCTGTCATTCTCAATAGAGATGAAGCCGTGGCCGAAGTAGAATTCCCTTCCGATACCGCTGGCTCGTGGACGGTGCCTCCACACTTCATCGACGGCTGTGTGTCACTTTCTGGCTTCATTCTCAACGGAGGCACTCATTTCGATAACACCAAATACTTCTACATCACCCCGTCTTGGAAGTCGATGAAGTTTGCGAAGCCGCTCACGCCTGGTGGGCGATATTTGGCATACGTCCGAATGATCCCTGCCGGGAAGAATGACTTTGTTGGCGACGTATATATTCTCCAAAATGACGAGATCGTCGGTGTAGTTGAGGCAATTGTGTTCAAGCAATGGCCGCGCGTCATGTTGAGTCGGTTCTTCAGCCCTCCAACAACAAAAGATAGTGCCCGGGTTGCTGTTCCTCCCCAGAGCGTCGCCCCTCCATCTTCGATGATTTCCGGTGGGAACACGTCCAAGATGCATTCGAATCAGCCTTCACTTTTCATAGGCGACTCTAAAGTCGTTTCAGGCCTGTTGACACCACCTTCACCTGCACCGAGCATCGAGACGCAGGAGATTAAGCAAAAACAACCCACTCTGGTTACGGGAGACTCTGGATCGACTGACCGTGCGTTCGGAATCATAGCGGAGGAACTAGCTGTTGACGTTCGAATGCTTACTGATGATGCGAACGTTGCAGATTTCGGCCTCGACTCGCTTATGTCTCTTGTCCTCTCCCAGAGGCTGCGTGAGGAGCTCAAGACGGAGATTCGCGATGCTTTCTTCTTAGAGGTTTCTACCTTTGGGGATTTGAAGAAAATGCTGGGGTAGACGGATTGAATAGAACATTGGGTCCCGAGGGGATCATAGAATAGCCTAGACTGTAGGATGAGAAGCCAGCGTACTCAAAATGACTAGGTCCTTGTAATAACGTAAAGTGAGCATCAAGTCTACTAGTGGACTCTCCCATCGCGACCATGGTAATTTTCCGTTCATTATTGCTTTACGTGACAGAAGTAGCACCATATCAGTGGCTGTGAAAGAATGAGGTATGCCAATAAACCGTCGCCCTCGTTTACGCTACAATCTTCACCTCCATTAAAACCGCCAGTGGGTCGATGTAGACATTTTCCCGTGATGCAGCTCTGGCTCATTTTCCTTTCCAATGCCCAAGAATCTCCTCCACTGTGACAGTCTTGATTTCCGGGAATAGTTGGTTCAGAGATCCCTCCTCAGGCATGTCAAACAATCCATATGCAACGTACAGTCCGAACTTGGACTGAATGCTATACAGCAAAGACTTTGGAATAAACGAATAGGCTGGTACATGGGATGGTAGTTCCGTGATTTCTCCACTCTGAAGTTTTTCGATCGAGTCGTAGGCAACGGCAAACTTGGATCCTACGATCGTTAGCGTGTAATGATAGCGCGGTTCAGTTCCAATATACCTCTGATCTCTTCAGCGAGCTTGACGGCCTTGTTCCAGGTAGTTTTGTCACTGTAGCAGACCATCGGATATGTCCATTTTGGCAGATCGAGCGCCGCGACAACAAATTTCCCCAAGTCTTTGGTGTAGGTGAAGGTCATGATCTCATTTCCAGTCCCAGGTATTGAGGCAGCTTTATTCGCAACATCCAGCACGAACGTTAACGGCTTCAGGGGAGATTCTACATACGGCATGCCATAGTAGTCAACGAAGTATCCGTTCTGAAACTGAGTCCATTCGAGGCTTGTTTTTTTGAGCGCTTCAATCGTCGCTATACGGAATGGCTGGAAGGGAATCCGAAGCGCCCTGAGAGATGATATTCAGCAAAGTTATGGTTAAAGACGGCTTCTGCTGGTGACTTACTCATCGGAAGGTATGACGCCGCCCCAGTTGCTCGCAATGAAGCGCTTTGTCGCCGAGGACTTATCTGATGCGGCCACTAGATCGAGCTCTGATTTGCCGGTGGCTTCAGTTAGAACCGCAATGGTTGAGATCACAGTGTGCACATTCCTGGATTCCAGTAGTTCGGTCACTTGCTCGAGATTTCCATAGTCGATCACCAATTCATCGTTAGCTGGATCACCATCTCCAGTTGCCTGTCATCTATTAGTTGCAGCCTCCCCGTCTGCCACTTGAACTTACGTTACGAGTCAACACAATCACCTCATGCTTTCGGCTCTGTCTCAGCGCATCCACAATCGTTCTCCCTACACGTCCAGTTCCACCAGCGACAGCGACTACAACCATGATGAGGAAATTGTCGTTATGGGATCAAGAAATCAATGTGGTTCGATGTCGTGTAGAGTCAATGTCGCGCAACTCGAGCATGATGGCACCTCTGATTTCTAATGGACTGGTTGTGGACTTTGCACATCATTTCTCATTCCACATAGCGAGATGACCAACGCAATACAATATGTGAGAATCTTATCAAGACTGCAATCGCGCGCGGTTCCCAAACTAGTATAGCACGTAAGTACCCACTAGACTTGATACAGCTCCGCGCGGATCGATCGGAGCCGAAACGGACCTTCAACAACCCAGTCAGTGTTATATCTAGCCTTTCGTCGGATGTAAAACCTGAAGTATATTTGCAACTTGAGCTTGTTGCGACCTCTAAACCTTTCTCGATTCTCTTCACGTGGGTAGTGTTTGGGCCGGCGGCTTGCTCAGCAAGACTGCGGGGTCTCCAAGCGCTCGTCAATGTTTACTCTGACCGTGCATCCTCAGAGCTCCAGAACTTTCCCTCCAATTCAAACCGAGCCCGAGCAATGCTCCTCTCTCGTCGTTAGATGGTACCAAAAATGTATTCTCTGGCCTCTAAAGAATTAGGTATGCTGAGAAAGAAACACTCAACATTGATCGAATATCACTTCTGGACTTTATCGATCTGAGTGTGTGTGAATACCCAAGTCCGACGAGAAAGGAGACATTCTGGATTGAAAAAGAGTGTTTTTAAGCATCTCCAGTATACATTAGCTGTGCGCCAGTACTTGTAAAGAATGCCTATACGTAGGCAACATATTGTACCTTGGTACAAGCTTAATCACCACACCTGACACCTAGTTCAGCATTCAGCCGCACGCAACAAACGTGAAGCTAGAAGAATCCGAGCAAGCATAGGTTACTCTGTTAGGCGAGGTGACCGGCGTGCATTGACTGTTGTCGCCTGTGAGAGCAAACGACTGCCCGGTGAACGGATTGCCATAATCTGCAGCAATACTATAATATAGCAAGCCGTTTGCAGTATTACCGGAGAAACCAAAGATCAGTTTCGGAACTTTTGCTGAGTAGAAGTTGAGATCAGTCGAGGATCCAACACTGTATCCTGTGTTGAGTCGAGTATCAGTCGATGTTCTGAAGCCGCGTCAGATCTCGAGTATACATACCTTCACCAGAGAGGAGGACGTCGAAATCCTTTCTACTTGCTAAATTGACGGTTGCCGCTCTGTACTGCTCGTTGCCGTAGACGACGTGGATGTTCTCTGAGCACTGATTGGTAACGGTGAGAACCGAGACACCACGCGCACTGCCCACGGAAAAACCGAGGCCAAAAAGTGTTTTGCTGAAATGCATGTCGGTCATAGGATATGTTGTACGGAGCAACGAATGCTTTGGGATAGTGTTCTACCTCAGCAATGGAAAGGCTGAAATTAAATTGAAGGCTGATTATGTCTAGGACTGTAGTAGGTCCTACAGTGCCCCAGATGCCACAAGTAGGCAATTCACTGGGCGTATGCGTCGGGAGACTAGTCACAAGTGGGCTAGGGCCATGGTTCTGATATAACTTTTGGGCGATGCAGACGATCATGCATCAAGGGTCGGCGCCCATTTGTCGGACAGATTTTCCGTCGACTGTTGAATGCAAGAATTTGGGGTACTTCAATCCGTGATGGGATTGGCTGACGCTAATACCCGGGGGCTTGTATTCAAAAGCGCCCCGATGTACTTGCATCGGCTTGCGTAGAAGAATAGACCTATTCAGAGAGGAGACCTTGCACGCGAAATGGTACTTCTAGAATTAAGACGAGAGATGGGCGCATAAAAATTGCTCAAGCAGAACGTCTTCCTTCAGCTCAGGTACGGTAGCGCGTGGTGCTGGCCTGAAATCATCGAGCGGGGCATCACGTCGGCATAATGGGCGGGCGCATTGCTGTATAATATTACACACTTAGCCTTACGCTCGATACCTTTGAATACCGAAACCACAGCTAACGATCTCCATGGACGATTGTTCAATAAGAATCGGTGCTTCAGCTAATGATGTGCGCGCGGAACCCGCAGCATGCACAAGATCCCCATTGTGGAGGAAGAGCGCGGCCTGATCGCGACTCGATTGGGGCCGGGCCTTCAGAGAGCGCTTTACGGCTTGCTCGCGCACCGCCCATGGCCTACTATCCGTCATATGGCCCTCATCATGTCAACCCTGGCTTTTGCAAGGCTGAAGTGTTATTTACCATATCCTCGTCCACCTCTAACCAGCTGCAAGAAAAAGCTGCACGCCCTCACCCAGCACCATCCACTCTAGGAGCAAACCTTTTCCCCCTCTCACATCCACCCGACCCAAAGGACGATCACGTTTTGAGCAAGCTTGAGATGCTTTTTGCTCAGCAAGCATGGCACCCGTGCAAGATATGGACGGTACGTGTTCTTGCGAGACTGATTCGCCCATGCTCACCTTCATGCTGATGTGATGTGCCCCCGTGTTGTCGAAGGCCGCTACGACCTTCATGGTCCTGATGGCAAGATCGTGTTTTCTCAGGTTTGGGAGACAATCGTTCAGCCTGACTGTTCTACTACTATGGACATGTGGTCTATGCCATAAGCCCTACCACCATCGTTGGAGCTGCAGAAGCTCAGGTCGGGCAAGCCACCACCCAGAAGATAGCAGGTATACTGGGCCGGTCAAGGCCATCGGTGCGACTTTTGCCAAGATACCAATCACCAACAGTGGTCGCGAGTGCTACTCCGACGGGATCAACATCGATCCGCCAATGAGTCTATATCTCGTCGCATGTATGGATGTGGCCGATTCCACCGCAGTGTGGATCAAGACACTGTTGGTGACATCCTTACTGACAAGGAGCTATTTCGTATCTTGAGAAAGATCGTGACAGCGCGCTGTTGGTGAACCGTGCTGGCAGGATAGGATTAGGGGTTTCTGGAGCACATATAGCGTAAATTAGACACCTTTGTTTATGCCATTCGAAAAGCTGCCGGAAAAGCTGCCGGTAGCGAGTGTGATCAGCAGGCGGGCGGGGATTGCTCATATGCGCACGAAGGATTAAAAGCTCAATGTTGGCCGTGGGTACAAAGTGCTACCTGTGGTAGTGACGAGATCAGAGAGTGAACAGTACAGGGAATGGCCACCTGGCGCACACGTCGATCATGCAGAGGTCCCTCAACGGTATGTAACCACAGACGTTAGCAATCCTGGTGATCCTGGTGGACAGTACTTACATTATCGGCAGTAGCGAGGCGTGCGAAGCGAGGTGGCTACATCCTGGAGATGCGGAGGCACTGGCGTGGACATGAAGAATTAGCGACCAGCCTGGAATCTGTACGAGAGCGAAGACATGCTTGCAAAGCGACCACTACATACGAGAATGCAGCTGAGGCGTAGTTTCAGCTCTCAGCGACGTCAGAGCGTGGCGTCGCCCAAACCTTGCTAGCGCGCGACGGGCGGGCGACGTGGTTGGGCGGCGTGTTGCGGTGAGATTGAGGCTCAGCGGGGTCCTGATGGGCGAGCGCGAGCGACTTACACCGGGCCCCCGCCTGTTTTCTCTCTTCTCTTGTTAGCCTAGCTTTGTTTCCTTCTTCTGTTGCATACACGCCTTTTGTAATCTCTTCTTACTGCAATTGCCCCGACCAAGAGCTGGCTGCCCACACGAAGGCCTCGTCATGTCCAACGCCATTGTCGACGCCGTGCAGAAGCACCCCGCGCCCGAGGGCCTCAAGTACACATATGGAACTGCTGGGGTAGGTGCGCGCGATCGAGGGGCTTCAGGAGTGCGCTGACCGAGAGCAGTTCAGGACAAAGGCGTAAGTCTGCACACGTTGCCTTGCGATGATGTAGTGTGCATCGTGTGGCATGCGGTTGGGAGCCCCTCGACCCCGCCTGCGATTGGCTCACCATGCACCACGATGGCTCCCGCTCCCGCCTCGCACCGCCCCAGACGAACTCAGCATGGACGCAAGCTTACGGATGCAGCGACGTCCTCGACTCGGTGCTCACGCGCGTGGGCCTCGTCGCCGCGCTGCGGTCGCGCTCGCTCAAGGGAAAATGGATCGGTGTCATGATCACGGCGTCGCACAACCCCCCCGAGGACAACGGCGTGAAGCTGGTCGAGCCGCTGGTGGGTGCCCACGCCGTGCGCACGCAAGGCCTGAGCTAATGGCAGCAGGGCAACATGCTGCAGGAGGAGTGGGAGGTGCTCAGCACCGACATGGCCAACAAGGCCAACGGCGACGAGGTGCTGCAGTACTACAACGAGATCGCGTCCAAGTACAAGATCGACCTCGACGCCCCCGCCCGCGTCGTCGTCGCCCGGGACACGCGCGCGTCGGGCGCCCGCTTGCTGGGCTGCGTGCAGGACGGCCTCAAGGCGGCGGGCGCTGAGGTCAAGGACTACGGCTTCCTGACCACGCCGCAGCTGCACTACATGGTGCGCTGCCTCAACACCGAGGGCACCAAGGACGCCTACGGCACCCCCACCGAGAAGGGCTACTACGAGAAGTTCGGCGCCGCCTTCAAGACGGCGCTCAAGGGCAAGAAGCCCCAGGGGAGCTTGACCGTCGACTGCGCCAACGGCGTCGGCGGGCCCAAGCTGGTCGAGCTCATCAAGTACCTGCCGCCCAAGGAGGAGGCCCTCGAGATCCACGTCGTCAACGACAACGTCATCAAGCCCGAGAGCCTCAACGTCGACGTAACGCCGTTCGTATCCACCTCATGATTCATGCTAACGCCTGCAGTGCGGTGCCGACTTCGTCAAGACCAACCAGCGCGCACCCCCCTCGTCCAAGACCGGCCCCGGCGACCGCTGCTGCTCCCTCGACGGCGACGCCGACCGCGTCGTCTTCTACTTCAAGGACCAGTCGAACGTCTTCCGCCTGCTCGATGGCGACCGCATCGCCACGCTTGTCGCCTCCTTCCTGGGCGACCAGGTCCGCAGCGCTGGCCTCGCCGACTCCATCAAGATCGGCGTCGTTCAGACCGCCTACGCCAATGGCGCCGCAACCCAGTACGTCGAGCAGCACCTCAAGCTCAAGGTCGACTGCACCCCCACCGGCGTCAAGCACCTGCACCACGCCGCCGAGAAGCTCGACATCGGCGTCTACTTCGAGGCCAACGGCCACGGCACCGTCATCTTCTCGCCCGACACCCTCGACACCATCGCAAAGTACGAGCCCAAGAACCCCGGCCAGGCCGATGCCCTGTCCGTCCTGCGCGCCTGCATCGACCTCATCAACCAGTCCGTCGGCGACGCCCTCTCCGACGCGCTCCTCGTCGAGGTCGTCCTCGCGCACAAGAGCTGGACCACCCAGGAGTGGCTGTCCACGTACACCGATCTGCCCAACCGCCTGCTCAAGGTCCTCGTCTCCGACCGCACCATCTTCAAGACCACCGACGCCGAGCGCAGACTTACTTCACCAGAGGGCCTGCAAAAGCAGATCGACGCCGAGGTCAGCAAGGTGCGACAGGGGCGGAGTTTTGCGCGCGCGAGCGGTACCGAGGACGCGGTGCGCGTGTACGCAGAGGCTGCGACCAAGGCCGAGGCCGAGGATCTGGCGCGCAAGGTTGCGGAACTCGTGAAGCAGGCGGGCAGCTCGTAGGGTGGGGTGCCGTTGGCGCTGGACGTGCCGTCATTGCTGAGGCCGTGTGCAGAGGGGCCGTAAGGAAAGGCGAGGCCACATGCTATTGCAACGATGGCGACGAGAAATGAGGATGATAGACAAAAGTTTCTCCATATTCGAATGAATCAAAAGGGGCTAGACGACGTGGGATGCTCGCGGCTTTGGCGATGTGACACTGCACTTCCTCATGGCATGCAAACTTTGGTCTGCCTACTGTGCACGTTTCCCGCATTCGCTGCGTGCGAAACAGGGCTAGGTGATGTGCGATGTATTGACATCAAAAGTGACAGTCCCGAGGAAGGTAGGAAAGGCGGAAGGGCGAGAAGCAGACAGGGCCGAGGACGTTGCCCACGGGCGCTGTGCGTTTACAAGTCGACCATTGGGCAGCGATGATGGCTGCAGAGTGGTGCACCGCAGGGCAGGACACGGACGGCTTTCGAGGCCGAAGAGTCGCGCGGCGTGCGTCTAGGCATGTACGCTTATCAGCATGCCTTTGCGCTGCTTCTGCGCTTTGGCAGGACCATACCGAACGACGGTGCTCTGGGTGTACACTATGGTAACGGGGAAGCGAGGCACCGCGCTGTTGTAGTCTACGGCGGGATCTGAGGTCAGATGTACCGCCTTTATACACGTGGTAGGATGAGGCATCGAAGCAAATGTCTGGTGGTCATGTGGAGGAGCCATCTTGTGGCGGCTTTACACATGCAGCCTTCGGACCAAATGAGGTCTTGAAGAGCAATTACAGCGGGAACCACGACACAGCATTGACGTGTGTGCTGCTCGTTGCAGATCGTAGCAGCGTCGTTGAGGGTTGCGTTCCGCCGAGTCGTCTCACGCGCTGGACATGCGGGGTTTTGTGCACCCACTGGGTGGGAGAACAGCGGTACCTTGAACAAGAAGGCGGTTCTGCTCTGCAAGACGACACTTCTCGGTAGGCTGATGTTTCGCCGCTGTTGTTGCCGCGTTGGGATCTGTTTGGCACACGTTGTGGGGGGTAACAGCTGCGGACTCGGTGGCCATGGATCATCTTGAGACGATCCAGGCCGCACTGGGTCGGCACACGGTCAGACATACCCGATAGTCCTTCCGGCGGAGGATCCAGGCAAAAGAAAGAAAACGTCCGGCCAAGTTGCAAAGCGGAGAAAGCCGCTGGTGCCGCAGCCACCCTAAACGCCTGTTCGCGAGGTGCGAATGTCGTACTTGCACCCTACTGGGACTCTTGAAGTTGGCGTTACAGACTCAGAACACATGTCACACAAGAGGATTGGTACATCGTGGCCGGAGCCCAGGAAGACGGATGGCTTGCCGACGACGAGAGCTTCGGATTCGGCTTTGAACTGAACACGCCGAACACGAGGACCGCCTCCTGCCGTTGGGATCCGAGCAACTGGGCCTATGAGGGGACTGCTTGCGCGTGTGAGAGCACTGGTATGCAGCTTCCAAGCCAAGCTTGGGTCTCTCCACTGCTGGTGTCGTGCGCCGGCAGTTGTGAATTGCGGGCACGCATGTTCCGCGTCTGCTATTTTGCGAGTGCTTGGTATGGTGAACGCTCTCTAACTTGTACTGCACGTCGAACAGCGTCGAGAGGGCGATGTATACCTACATGTCAGGCAGATCTCACCGGGCAGCACAAACCCCGCCCACCTCAATTGATATACGCCTCCAACCTGCAGCCCAGCTCGGCCGTATCTCTCCCGCCTACTGCACGAGCTCGTCCTGCAATCCGCGATACGCCAAGCGGGTTGAGTAGGCCTGATCTCCACTCTCGCTCGTGAGATGGTGGCCCGCCTGCAATTCCCATAGGCCTCACCACCACGCACATCTCAACCTCATCGCCCGATACGACGCCCTCGACATTCACACTTCGCAGCAGAGCGGGGTAATTCCGTCTCCAAGCCCGCCCCATTCGCCCATACCCATCCCGTCTCGCACCTCCACTCCATACACGGCAAGCCCACGCATGTGCGCGTGGCATGCGCACACATGCTTCTTCTGCACGCCGGCGCCTACGCTAGTTCTCCTGCAGAGTAGCTGTGGTAGGTGGCATGGGGCCGGGGGCTCGTCGAGCAAGTATATATAGAGCGGTGGTTGCGCACCATGATGTCCGCCAGCCTTAGCATTGCACCTCAGCAACGCCATCCGACCAATCACACACGTTCCGGCTTTTTCCAGCTACCAATCATACATCATGTCTCCCTGGTATGTGCGGCGGTGCCCCGAGCGGTTCTTGTCCCTTGGTGTTGGGGTGGAGCGAGTTGGGGATGAGCAGGGCCTTCGAGAGGGTGTCGAGGGGCGGAGATGTGGTCGTTATCAGAGAGACACGGATGCTGACTTTGATCCACAGCTCCTGCTCCAACTGCGCCAACTGCAACGGCAACTGCAACAGCTGCGGCTGCAGCTCGTGCAGCCACTAAGCGCCTCGTCGTAATTGCGCCCCGTCACTGCGCTACACCTTCCACCATGTCAGCGCTGTGATCCTGGACGATGGACCACAGCTTAGGAGAATTCTGGAGGAAGGCGGGGGCATGGCGGAGGAGAAAAAGCGGCGTGCCTGGCACGGGGTTACGTAGTGCTTCAATTGAAACCGTCGTTTTGTATGCTTGCACTGTCGCGACGTCCCACTTAGGAATTGTGCTGGAAAGGCTGCTTACGAGAGCTAATCCTGCGTCTCTCGAACTTCGAACTTTCTGTCATCTCAAGTGCGGACTTGATTGCTGGTCACTTGTCCGGGGGGGGGAAGAAATGGGATGTGATCTTTGCATGGGTATCTATTCGGTACTCTTGTACAGACAGTCTAATCAGCCGGCTTTGGCAGCTTCCAGAAGCTGTCGGGCCACAGCAAGAACCAGTTTATCGTCGCCATACTGCCCTATGATCTGCATCCCGGCGGCTCCTGCACTTTCGCTTTTGGTAGCTTTGTCGACTTGAATCGGTACACTGATTGCTGGAAGGCCAGCCAGACTGGCAGGCACCGTAAAGACGTCGTTCATGTACGCATGCAACGGCTTCTGGTCCTTAATCTCGGAGAATTTCGGCGCTAGCGTTGGGGCCGTGGGACACAAGAGGACGTCCACGCCATCTGCTTTCTTGCCGTACTCTAAGCTGTTCAAGCAATTCGGCGTAGCGAATGCCTTGTCAAAGTCCTGCTGCACTAGCCTCCTCACCTTCTGGGCCTGGATGAAGTAGTTGTCAATAGCCTGCGCACTCAGCGAGAATGCTCCCAGAAGAATCCTCCGCTGGACTTCGGGACCAAACCCTTCTCCCCGCGTCTTTGCAAACAGTACACTCTCCGGTGTGCCATCTTTGCCTTCTGCTCGGGATCCGTAGCGAACGCCGTCATACTTGGCCAGATTACTCGATGCTTCCGCGGGTGCGAGAACGTAGTATGCGGAGAGCGCGTGCTGAGTCGCGGGCAGATGTACTTTGTGTAGTGTGTGGCCGCGCTTTTGTAGGAGCTGGAGGGAACGCAACCATGCCTTCCGCACGGCAGGGTCGAGAGATGAGATGTTATAATCTATCGGCACTCCGACCTTCAACGTTTTTGATGGCGCTGGCTCCTCAACTGGGAGGCCAGAACGTGTTGTAGGGTCCAAAGACGTAGGATCTTGACGGTCGTATGCATTCGTGATATCAAAAATGCCTTCCACGCTGTCCACGTCGGTGCCAAGTATACCGACCGTGTCCAGGGAGTTTGCATATGCGATCACTCCCCATCGACTGAGCAGCCCATAGCTCGGCTTGAATCCGACGGTCCCAGTATAGGCAGCGGGTAACCTGACAGAGCCGCCTGTGTCGGTTCCCAATGCCGCCCAGCATTGCCCCGTCGCGACCGCCACAGCGCTTCCGCCTGAGCTGCCTCCAGCGCTGCGCTCCACGCCATCACACTGGGATTTTGTCGCTCCAAAATGCGAGTGTGTGGTGTGCGACCCCATGCCAAACTCATCCATGTTCGTCTTTCCCAGCACGATCGCACCTGCCTCGCGCAGTTGCCTCACCACAGTCGCATCGTGCGGACTGTTGAACTTCTTCAATATCCCGGATGCAGCCGTGGTAGGTATATCGGTTGTACATATATTGTCCTTGATAGCGACGAGCCTGCCGTTTGGGCTGCGAGGATCTACATTGTCGGTCGGCGAAGGGCCGGCCGCTGTCGCGACGCGAGCAAGGACTGTTTCGAGGTTGGCGACGTTGACAAAGGCATTGAGATGGCTGTATCGTCCTAAGCTGTCGATTTGTCGCTGAGCATGTCTAAGGAGGGACATTGAGGGTGGGTAACATGGCAGACGCGGTGCAGCCACCATGCGTAGCGGAGCGTAAGTTTTGGCGCGACAGCACGTGACGATAGCTAACCGCATCGGGCCAGCCGAAGCAGCCCGCAGGACGACCCCATTCTTCAACACCCGCTCTCAGACCAGCAAATGGATACACCATCAATCGGATCGCAACACTGCCGTAAGAGGAGGTGACATTCCATGAAATCAGGGATTTTCCGCAGCTCCCACTGCCCGCTAATCAAGATTGCGAAACGAAAGATTGGATGTGATACAGAGAGGACTGGGAACCATCAAGAGAGCACTTGACACAATTGGAGCAAGACATTTTATTCCCAATTCAAGGCAACAGTATGGTATTATTCATTCGAAGTCAACGATCGAAATATCACCCCTGCTGAGCAATGCCTCGGATGCCGCCTGCTACGCGGAGCTACCCCGCAAAGTGGGAATTCGTCTCCACCCCTCACGAGGAACGAGACCACGGAGTACTAGGCGTCCGAGGGCCTCGCCCAATCAGGGTAACCATTGTAACACACTAGGAGGAGGCTCGATGGGTCATTTTATACCTGATTTCCAATCTCGAGCTGTCAGTCTGCTCGATTCAGGCGCCATGATGCACACACCCAGACCTGATGTGCACCCGAGGTTTAAGCAGACTGATGCCATCGTTCAACCAACTTGCTGTAGCTTCTTCCCTCAACTTCACTCGAGAATCAAGTGCATTTCTTCGGCCATTTCAACGCCTTTGACTGATAATACAGCATGCCGTAGAACTCTGGCGACTATAGATACCAGCATCAGTACTTATCATTCACATTTTTCCGATTAACCCTCACAGTTTGAGATTTGAAAAACACGATGGCTCCTGACCTCAACTCTATAAAATCCAATGGCAGATGGGACTACTCCACCCCAGGATCCGAAGGCTACAATATCCCCAACATAACTTACAATGTGGGTGTATTTTTGCTACTCTTCTCCCACCAACTAAATTCATGCATAGGATCCCTCCACCCGTCGGATGAAGATCCTCACTATTGGTGCCGGACTCAGCGGCATACTTCTCGCATACCAAATCCAGAAACATTGTGAGAATGTGGAACATGTCATATACGAGAAGAACGCCGATCTTGGAGGTACTTGGCTCGAGAACAGATACCCCGGGTATGTGGTTTATCCAGCGAGCCCGCAAGACACTAGCTAACATCCCAAGATGTGCATGTGATATCCCGAGCCACGCATACACGATGAACTTCGCCCTCAACCCCGACTGGCCACGATTCTTCTCATACGCACCCGACATCCACAAATACCTTTGCAAAGTGTGTGATGTTTTCGATCTCCGCAGATACATGACCTTCAACACCGAGGTAGTGCGTGCAGAGTGGCAGGATGACAGCGGGAATTGGAAGGTCAGCCTTCGGCAGAAGTCACCATCCGGCGAAATCAAAGAGTTCGAAGAGGAGTGCGACCTGCTGCTATACGCCACCGGGATCCTGAACAATTTCAAATGGCCGGACATTCCGGGCCTGAAGAAGTTCAAAGGGCGTGTCGTCCATACTGCGTACTGGCCAGAGGACTACCAAGAAGAGCAGTGGAAGGACGATCGCGTCGCGATTATTGGCTCCGGCGCATCGTCGATCCAGACCGTACCGAAGATGCAGCCGCACGTGAAGCATATGGACATATTCGTGCGTACGGGGGTCTGGTTTGTGCAGATTGCGAACAACTTTGGGCAGAACAAGGAGTACACAGAGGAGGAGCGGGATACCTTTCGTAAAAATCCGGAGGCGCTCGTGGCGCATGCGAGAGACATCGAAGGCCAAGTGAATGGCCTTTGGGGGGTGTTTTACCACGGTAGCGAGGCGCAGAAGGAATCGCAAAAGGTGTTAAGAGCAAGAATGAAAGAGTTCATCAAAGACGAGAGGTTACTGGAAGGCTTTACTCCCAAGTTCGAAATCGGCTGTGAGTTACCTGTAGTATATTGACTTTCGAAGGAATTACTGATGGCTCTAGGCCGCCGCATCACCCCTGGAGACCCCTACATGGAGGCTATTCAGAAAGATAACGTTGATGTGAGTTTCACCGCGGTCGACGCGATCACAGAAAAAGGTGTCGTTGGCGGCGACGGCAAAGAGCGAGAAGTAGATACAATCATCTGCGCGACCGGCTTTGACGTGACATACCGGCCGCGCTTCCCAATCATCGGCAAGAATGGTGTCGATCTATACAAAAAGTGGGAGAAAGAGCCCGAGTCGTATCTCGGACTTGGTTGCCCAGACATGCCTAATTGGCTTATGTACATTGGTCCCACTTGGTACGTCTATTTCTTTTGTTCGAGGTCTTGAACACTGCATGACTAATGCATTTTCAGGCCGGTGGAAAATGGCTCCGTGGCTGGCCCCCTGCTGTCTGTGGTTGAGTACACCATTCAGATCATCAAGAAAATGCAGCGCGAGCACATCAAGTCTTGGGTTCCGCGGCAAGACATTACCGACAGATTCAACGAACATGCGCAAGAATGGATTAAGCACACAGTCTGGAAAGACGATTGTCGGTCGTGGTACCGAAATAATGAGACGGGACGCGTGAATGGTGAGTGAACTGATGTCAAAGCACCGGTCCCATTCTGACAAGAAAACAGCGGTCTGGCCAGGGTCTTCACTACAGTATAGCGAAGTAATCGAGGCACCCCGCTACGAAGACTTTCACATCGAATACTTGCACAAGAATCCTTGGGCGCACATGGGGATGGGCTTTTGCATGGCAAATACGGTCGAAGGCAGCGATCTAAGTCCCTATCTACAGCTGGAGAATATCGATCCGAAATGGTTGAAAGCTGTGGGTTATGAAGGAACCCCAGAAGAATCGCAGAACGGCAGAAAGCATCCGAATCGTCACCGCGAGTTATACTGGTAATGTTTTTGAGCGCGGAGCGATCCCTTCACATGGGGCTAGGTCGACCGAGTCTTCTCAAATTAGCGGATAGGCTGCATGATGCGCCACTAGTATCTATGGCATCCAGTTGCTGTGGGTTAATTGAGCTCTTGACTGCATGACTGTACAAGCTTGTGGCCCACTTGGTCGGGAATGATGGTGAGGTCGTTCGGGCATGATGAGAACCCACAGGTATGTGCGGGGTACAAAGCAGGATCCGGCCCCCGTCGCCGTTGCCTAGCTCGTTCACCCGACAACGTCCTCGATGAGTCAACCGGAACAATGCATGGATAGCGCGGTAAACTCCTGTCGCACAAATGCGCTCGCATGAAAGGCGTGGCCGCTCGTCGGTCGCTCTTTGTGGCAACCTCACCTTCTGGTAACACTACCCGCTACCATTATCACCATGCCGCTTTGCGATGCGGCCATCGGCCCTCGTGTCGACCCGTCTTGCCGTTCCTTTGATTTTACCCTCTATTTCGAGGATGTCTCCTTTTCGATTGCACCAAATGCTATTCTCCTCGTGCTTGTCGCTCTACCGATCGCGCGTCTGCTAAGAGGCCAAAGCATTGTCAAACGCACGAAAGCAGTGACCTTTAAAGCAGTCAGTAAATCGATATCTTCTGCTTGATTGCATGTGAACTGATGATTATATTCAGGCGGTGTATTCCACGCTTTTAACATGTCAAACGATATTTCTCGTCCTCAGAGCTCGGCAGCCCCAGCTGCACACCCCTACTTCCATTGCCGCGGATGCGCTTGCGATAGTGGGCACCATCGCCGCCTTTACCCTCTCCTGGCTCCAGCACCACCGCTCCGAGCAGCCTTCAACTCTACTGGCCATTTTCTTCGCCTTTCTCTCTCTACTTACCGTAGCACGCGTCAGGAGCCTATGGCTCGTATCGCATGCGACAGGACCGGCAGTGCTGCAGACTCTGGTCCTTCTACAACAACTTTGTGTCCTACTCTTGGAGTCGCTTGGGAAACAGAAGGCCCTGAGGTTCCCTGACAAGTTCCACTCTTCTGGCCCAGAGCCGTTCACTGGATTTTGGAATCTTGTCGGCTTCACTTGGTTATTCGGAACCTTACGACATGGATACCGCCACATCCTCTCCGTTGACGATCTCCCTAATCTCGATTGTACGATTCTCCCCGGTATAAATTCGTCATGTTTTAGTCATGGACAACTCATACACAAACCCACATTTATGAGATTGCTAATTTTGTACCCACAAGTATAGACCGCCTCGACTCGGAGGCTCTCCGCGAAAAGCTTGCTAGCACCTGGTCGAAGTGTACGTCAACCACTTGAAGATGAATGGCAGGGTTGCTTACCGGCTAGATAGATAACAAGACCAAGAAACGTAGCCTCCTGTTGGCATGCTTCCACGCCTATGCGCCTTACTTCCTGTCGGCGATTATCCCGCGCCTGATTTTGAGCGCTTGCAAGTTTGCACAACCTTTCATGATTACTAGGCTCATCCATTTTGTGGGTGACAAGAGCGTGCCATCAGAGATTGGAAGAGGATTGATAGGTGCCTATGCACTCATCTATCTGAGCATGGCTGTAAGATGATTTTGTAGCGTTGATTCAATCGTTGAATTGAGCTGACAGATATAGCTCTCTACAGCGCTGCACGGCTACATGACCTTCCGATTCCTTATCCGTCTACGAGGTGGACTTATCGCCCTCATATATCAGCAAACCGTGGACGCGCGAGCCGTTGACCTCGGTGACATTAATGGTCTTACGCTCATGGGTACCGACGTGGAGCGCATCGTCCTCAATTTCTTGACGATACATGAAGTCTGGGCATCACTTATGGATATCATAATTGCAATCTTTCTGCTCCAAAGGCAGATGTTCCTTGCATGCCTTGTCCCTGCATTAGTTACATTCGGTAAGCTCCTCATTTCGTTCCTCCATCTTTCAGGGAACTTAGTTAATGCGCTTCCTTTCAGTGTTCGTGTTATGCACGTTTAAATTTTCGACTTGGGCTAAAGCTGCCCAACGGGTGTGGATTGAGAACGTTGAAAAGCGACTCGGTGTCACCACTGTCGCACTCGAAGCCATGAGGACCGTCAAAATGCTTGGACTTAGTGAGAAGCTGTCTAGCATTATCAGCAACCTCCGGACAGCCGAAATCGATAGCTCGTCGAGATATCGCAAAGTTCTCATCTGCATCATATTTTTTTGTAAGTATGAGGCGAGATCGTCTCGGCACCAGAATCAGAGCAACCATGGCTAATCTATCAATCGCAAAGCCGTGTTGCCTCAGAACCTCGCACCGATGCTTACATTCGCGGTATTCTACGCCATCGCCGTAGCGAAAGGGAACAGCTCAATCCTTGCAGGACAGGCATTCGCATCACTGTCGCTCATCTCTCTTGTCACATTGGCAGGCTTGACCTTTATCAGGGCTATACCTGCACTTATCCAGTGCTTTAGCAGCTTCGACCGGATACAAGAGTACTGCACTCAACCTGTTCGACCACAACATGGATTGGAGGGTCGTGGCCCGCATGGAACACCCTTTGGCAATGTCAACACAGGGTCAGAAGTGGAATTGGCTACAATGCAGCAAGTCTGCTCTGACTCGAGGGAGGAGAATCCCATCGTCCGGTTCCGCGACCAGGACGTTTCATGGGAAGCTGGGGGCCCTGCAATCTTGCGGAACCTCAGAGCTGACATTCATACGCGGCGCTTCACCGTCATACTTGGCCCGACAGGAAGTGGCAAATCGACTCTTTTAGAGAATATACTGGATGAGGCAGTTACATTGAAGGGTGATACCGAACGACGCTTCTCCACAGCGGCCTACTGTGCTCAAGTACCGTGGTTGATTAACGGGAGCGTTCGAGACAATGTCGTAGCCCACTCTCAAAGTCAAATGGACGAAAAGTGGTACAGAACCGTCATTTGGGCCTGCGGACTGGAGAATGATATCGCAACTCTCAGTAATGGGGACCGCACTCCGGTTGGAAATGGTGGGAGCAATTTGAGTGGTGGCCAACGACAGCGCGTCGTAAGTGACTGAAGCTTAACGTGGGATATCCATCATCGAGACCATGATCTAATCGTTTCCGTTTCATACTTAGGCCCTCGCGCGAGCCGTTTATTCGAGACAGAGGCTTGTCCTTCTGGATGATGTATTCAGCGGTGTGGATGCGCGCAACACTGCGCTCATATCTGAACGGCTTCTCGGACGCCAGGGACTCCTCCGCAAACACCATACCACTGTAATCCTCGTCACTCATTCTCGTAAGTGCGGAAAAGCTCTGGCTGGCTGGAGGAGTTTCGAGTAACCAGCATCTAGCATCCCTTATCGCTCTGGCCGATGATGCCATCGTCGTGGAGAACAGTACAATTACAGAGTTCGGTAATGTGAATTTATTGAAGGCCTCGAATGGTTATATCGCCAAGCTCGATTTGAAAGCGCCGCCAGATACAAGTGAAGTCGAGCAGTCACATCAGAAAGAGATATCTTTCCAAGTCGCGGCCGATCGGAACAACGCAGAAGGGCTTTTGGAGCTGAACGATGCGACGCAGGACCTGAGACGCCAGACTGGGGACGTATCCGTCTATATATACTACTCCCGGGCTGGCGGTCATGCTCTCGTTGCTTTGATGCTAGTCACGGTGGCCTTGTGGGTCTTCTGCACTGAATTCTCGGGTACGCTGATCATCCCTATGCGCTTTCAATGGCGATGGCTATATACTTACACCCTCAACACTTATAGTCATCATTGTAGATTGGTGGTCTGCAGCGAGCGAGAAAACTCAAGGTCAGACTAACAACGGATTGTACCTTGGGGTATATATTGGTATCGGAGTCGTTGGAGCAGGCTTTCTACTCACTGAATTGTGGTTCGTTTCCTTTCCCAGCATCTTTCAAAGATCAAGATATAACTGGTATAGGCTCCTGTTTGTCACCATCATATCTAGGACCGCGAAGCATCTCCATGAAGATCTGCTCAAGGCGGCAATCCGGTAAGTCGCGAGACGAAGAATGATAAGCTGTGACTGAAGTCTGACACAACGGATAGCGCTCCCTTACGATTTTTCCAGGAGACTGACGTTGGCTCTATTACCAACCGGTGAGTTGCAAGATTCTAGGAGCATGACACAGAAGCTGACGTCTTAAAGCTTCAGCCAAGACATGGAACTGGTCGGCCTAGATCTCCCCACTATCGCTGCCAATTACATCATTTGTACGTCTGACTGTTCAAGTAATCTTTCGGGAAGTGGAACTTGTCTGACCCATTACGGCAGCTGTGTACGAATGTATTGCCAAAGTGATCCTACTCAGCATCTTCGGCAAATATTTATCAGCAACCATACCCGTGATCGCGGGATGCGTTTTCGTGGTACAGCGGTTCTACTTGCGAACATCTCGTCAGGTACGACTGCTCGATATCGAAGCCAAAGCCCCCGTGTATCTCCATTTTCTCGAAACGGCCAATGGCGCCAAAACGATTCGCGCATTCGGATGGCAACATGACTGCAAGGAGAAACTCCACGCTCTGCTCAACCGATCGCAAAAGCCAGTGTACCTACTCTATTGCATTCAGCAATGGCTTGCCTTGGCATTAGACCTGATTGTGGCAGTACTCGCCGCTGTACTTGTCACAATAATGGTGGTATGGAGGGAATCATTTGAGCCAGGAGCCGTCGGTGTCTCGCTCTTGTCGGTAATGACTTTTAACCTAAATTTAGCCTTGCTTGTAAAATCGTGGACCGCCCTTGAGACCTCAGTCGGTGCCATTGGTAGGGTGAAGTCCTTTGTGGAGGAGACGCCGTCTGAAGAGGTGGACTTGGGAATATGTCGACCTCTGCCTGGGCCCGAAAACTGGCCGACTAGAGGGGACATATCTTTCCGAAACGTCACAGCATCGTATAAGTAAGACTTACGTATGCATTGAAATAGGTGACAAAGGACTGACTGGAACATAGATCCGGCGGCGACCCGGTCCTCAAAGATGTTTGTCTTTCTATCGCCGCTGGGGAGAAAGTAGCTATCTGCGGACGCTCCGGTAGCGGGAAAACCTCCTTCATATTGAGCCTGATGCACATGATACGGTTCGAAGGCACCATCTCGATAGATGGAATCGAGACGCATGATGTGGTTCCGTCCGATCTTCGCTCTCGCTTCAATGTTGTTCCCCAGGAGCCTTTCTTGATGCCCGGATCGATACGGTTCAACATTGACCCGCTGGAGGAAGTCCACGACGAAATCATAACTGCGACTCTGCGAAGACTAAAGATATGGGAGCGAGTGAAGGAATGTGGAGGTCTTGATGCGCAAACATCGCTATCCTCCTGGTCGGTTGGAGAAAGGCAACTGTTGTGTATGGCACGGGCAATGGTTCGCAAGAGTCAGATTCTTATACTTGATGAGGCCACAAGCAGGTAAGTGCATGAGCTTCTTCCCAAGGCTTGGTATCATTCCCGCTAATCTCGCCGCCAGTGTCGATGCTTTGACAGAGTCTGTCATGCAGGAGGTCGTAGACAAAGACTTCTCAGCACAGACCGTTCTCGCTGTCGTACATCGGCTCCGATACATTGAAAGATTTGATAAGGTTGTCGTGCTCGACAAAGGTACACTCATAGAATTCGACAGCCCCGATGCACTTTTGAGGCGCGAGTCGGTTTTAGCCGAAATGTATCGGGCAGGAAGCGCGGCAGAAGAAGCCCTACCCGGCGAGTCGGTACGAGCGTAAGGGCGGCAACATCGCAAGAAAAGAAAAAGAAAAAACGCAGATGAGGTAGCGAACGTTAGGTCTAAATTGTCAATTTTGGGGTCCGGTTCAGGTTTGTAGAAGAGCTTTCTATCCAGTGAAAGAAGCTGGTCGTAGTTGTGTTGGCGGAGACAGTTAGCACACGCTTGGTGGAGGAAACATTGATTTTCTCTAAACACTATGTACGATGATACATCAGTCCCTCTGCCCCGTTGATGTTGTTATCGACACTCAGTCATACCATCAATAAGATGACGGCGGAGCCGGCCACTTATCCAACACCGTCTGATCGCCTGTTAGCTTGAGCTCTAGTGTAGCCTGCACAGGCTCATCGAGCAGAACCGTGTAGGTTCCCGGATAAAGCACGGTGTTTCCACTCTCGTCGTGCCGAGCTACATTCCCCAATGTCCACTGGAGGTTCACCTCCGCGGAAGAGCCCGCGCGGACATCACGGACGCGGCTATACGCCGCCAGTGATTTCAGGGGATAGGGTTTTGGGCCAGCTTCGCCCTTGACGAACGCCAGAGCGACAAAATCGGATGTGCGATTGCCTGTATTAGCTAACTTTACTTGAAGAGGTGGAAGCGCGCATTTGTCCTTGTATTGTTCCGAGCACTTGGAAACGAGGTCTTGGATGGAGTAGGATAGTGGAGATGAAGCGAACGAGGCGTTGATGGAAGTATAGTGAAGCCCGTAGCCGAAAGGTTGGACTGGTGTAGGATACCATCGATAGGTACGACCAGGGCTGTTTGTCCCGGGGCGAAGATTCATATCTGTCATTGGCAGGTTCGTGTAGTTGGTAGGGTATTGAGTGACTGGGAGCCTGCCTGCCACAGACTTTGCGCCAGTAATGACATCCAGCACCGCTGGGCCGCCGTCCTGTCCTGGCCAGCTCGCCCAAAGAATTGACTTGACACCCTTGTTGGAGAGAATGGGCGTGTTGTCAAGCATGTCGCCCATCTGGACAATCACCAGTGGCTTGTTCAACGCGCTCAACTTATTGATCAATGTAATCTGCGCTTCTGGCCATGCCAGGCTAAGGCGATCTTTCCCTTCAGCGGCGGCTGATGTGTCTTGCCCTCCGAAGTAGACAATGTAATCCGATGCACTGGCGGCAGCAAGCGCATTGGTCGTCCAGTTGTCGCGAGCCGAGTTGCTCTCGAGGATAGGTCCCGTAGCAGTCTTGACCGAGACCCCAAGCTGTTGCGCAGCATACACCGGCGAGTGCAAGAATGGAGGTGGTCCGCTGTAACCGCCCCGGAGTTTGCTGGTGTCACTGGCCCAGAAGCCGATCATCGCTACCTTCGAGCTCTTTTGGAGAGATAACGGCAACGTCTGGTCGTTCTTCAGCATCACAATACCGTCGCTGGCAGCTTGACGTGCGAGGTCCTGCGCTGCTTTGGTGTTGACATCTGACGCGCCGAGACCTGCATAAACTGCGGAGGAACCATCGAAATAGCCGGAAAGGATGAGACCGCGGTAAAGTCTGTTCAACGCCTTGTCTACAGTAGTCGCGTTCAAGGCACCGCTCTTCCAGGCCCCAGGTATGTCGGAAGATCCGGAGTACTCACAACTGGTATCCATACCAGAGTTAAATGCTATTGCGGTTCCTGCAGCGTTTGTAGACGTGTAGTGATGGTTTTGGGATATGTCCAACACTGCCTCGCAGTCACTGGTTATGTAATTGTCGTCGCTCCACTTCCAGTGCTCGCGAAGGATTGTCCCCATCAGGTACGTATTTGCGCATGCTGGAACACCATTGACGCTATTGTAAGAGCACATGAAGGAGCCCACATTAGAGTCTCTTGCGCATTGCTGAAACGGCTGAAGGTAGTACTCAGCCAGGTCTTGTGGGGTGATCTTTGCATCGAAGTTGTGCCTGGTCGTGCCTTTCCAATCCTCGAGATCATTCGCCGCGTAATGCTTGCAAGTTGCCACAATACGCCGTTCTTTTGTATTGTCGCCCTCAAGGCCGGAGAGAAGGCTCTGTGCATAGCCCTTGAGTCGAACTGTGTCCTCCCCAGGCGTTTCCGAACCTCGACCCCAACGGGGGTCCTTATAAGGATTAAGATTTGGCGTCCAGAAGTCAAAGGGCGCCTTTCCACCATTGCCAAAGGCTCTCGCCTCAGTTCCAATTATTGTTGCCACCTTATGGATGAGGTCATCGTCGAACGCCGCGGACATCAAAATCGGCATGGGAAATGAAGTCGCCGTTTTGAAATTTCCCGAGAAGTCGATACCGGGTGCACCAGCGACACCATGGAGGGCTTCACCCCACCAATTGTATGCTGGCAGTCCGAGACGCTGAACCCCCGGGGATTTGCTATGGTGGTTTTAGCAGTGTGGCTCACGACAACTGAGGCTGCCTCACCTCACTAGAAGTTTGAGCTTCTCATCTTGGGTCATGGCTGACACAAGCGCTTTAGCGCGCTCCGCTGGAGTGGCTTTGATATCGCATATCTTGTTTGACTTTAAGGGACCATTGACGCAGTCTGGACCCACGGCCCCAAGAGCAATGGGTGCAAGAAGTGCAATCGTCAACCAGCTTGCGACCGTAGATGAGACCATTATCGACAAAAGATGATTGACAAACCTCGTACGCCAGAATTTAGAGAGACATTTCTGCCTTTATCTATCGAGCCCTACGATACACGCCCAAGGATCCGGAGAGAACGGCGATCACCTCCCACTACCATGGCATTAGGCTATCCATTGATGAGACCTGCCTCTATACGGAACACTTGATTCCACGAGTCTCGATATGCATCCGTTTCCTGCTCAAACCAGTAACTAGACAGAGAATGCACTGTCGCCGCCCGTCGCGGCGGGGTCCCCCGACCTGTATTGGGTGCTCGGTTATCGTTGCGATCTACCCGCCCGCATCGTTTGGTTATTACCCGGGTACAAAATGCCGCCAAGGCTCCAATAGCAGCGGGGTAACCTCACTATAGCCATTTTATCAACGGCAATTGAGGCGATGAAAGATACCACTTTCAGCAGAAACCGTTGAGACTAATTTTAAAAGAAGCTTCGACACTGCGCCGGTTACCGGCCCTCTTCGCCGCCCGTAAAATCAAGTGCATCACATCCATGGATGTTGCTCAGTTTTATGTTAATTTCGATCTTGGATAAAATTCGGCTTCGGTGGTGTTATACAGTTCCAAGAGAGAGTTGGATATGAAGAACACTGCGCGAAAAGTGGCATCTGTACGTGGGCTCACAGAAAGACTATAGATCAGCCAGCTGAGGAATAAACACCATTTCTAGAATATCAGTGTACGTGTTTACGGAAATCTATTCCCTGGAGTGCCCCCTGATTTCCCCACTTGAATGTCCTAGCCTCTCTAGGCTGGCACTACGTGTTGATGAACTCACGTTTAATGAACCTGGTGTCGAGAAGAGTACAGGCACTTCCCGTATACTCGGTGTAGGCTTAATAATATCGTTTATGACCTCGCGGGCGTGTTTTGATGGGACGCTGGCGACTGACTTTGTGCACTTGCCCGGCCACAGAAGATTTCCCGCAATTTGAGGCGCCACGCGTGCCGTTTCTACACTGCGGCGTCGCAATGACGCAGGTCATGGTTAGATGCAGCAAACTGAGTCTTTCCATATGCAGGGCTTAGTGTGCAATCTTATTCCGCCGGTGGCATGGTTGCGGGTGGTGAATACAGCCGGTGGCTCGGTGTCGCTCAATCAGCTCAACCACACTCCCATTGCATGCGTGATAGACAAGGTCTGCAATAAGGGTAGGTGCTGGCGGCGGCGCACATGTCATAATAAGCCCATTGACTTCGAAATCCGGCTAATAGAGTGATGAGCGAGCAAAGGATCAGTTTCGCCCTGGCGGCATTTCTGCAGACTCAAGTGGGATGGCGAAGTCGTGTGCACCAAAGTTCCTTATAAGCCAAGGTAGATCCAACGCAGTGATCCAACAACGGATATCGTGGTCGATAATTACGCACGCAGTCTGAAAGATGTTGGTTTCTACCTTAGTATCTCTCGCTGCCCTTGCGGTTGGAGTTGCAGCACACCCAAAACCAAAGGGACCGCAACCATGGGGATACTTCACCAACAACACTATCTATCAGACGACGGGGAACGAATCGGTAACGTACCCTCGATATGTTGAACTCAAGTGCGGCACCATTCTCGCCACCACTTCACTATCCGGGCATTCCCCGAACTACTTCCCGGTTTTCGAGAGCAAAGATGGCGGCGCGACGTGGAAGTACATCTCCAATCTAACGGATCAAGTGAATGGCTGGGGTTTTAGCGCCCAGCCTGCGTTGACCGAGCTGACCGAGCCAATGGCTGGATATGAGGCTGGCACCATCTTGGGGACAGGGAACAGTTGGAGCAACAACGGCACAAGGATCGATCTGTATGCCAGTACCGACGGTGCCAGGACCTGGGAGTTTGTAAGCCACATTGCCCAAGGAGGCCGTCCAAACACGACCAATGGTGCAACTCCGATTTGGGAGCCTTACCTTTTGTAAGTCGTACTGATTCTGGGTCTTCCAGCCGCTGACCCGAGCCACAGACAATACGAGGGCAAGCTGGTTGCATATTACTCGGACCAACGTGATCCTAAGCACGGCCAGAAGCTGGCGCACCAGGAATCGACAGATCTCAAGACTTGGGGCCCTGTCATCAACGATGTTGCATATGATGAGTATATCGCGCGTCCGGGGATGACAGTCGTCACATACATTCCACCTCTTGACAAGTGGATTCTGGTCCACGAGCTTCCCATCGGTAACTCGTCCTCCCATGGAGTCAACTACCCTGTCTACTACGTGATGGCGGACTCTCCACTGGAGTTCGGCAAGGAGAAGGGTCGTCCCATTGTCATCAACAACACCACTGCGCCCAATGCCAGCCCCTACGTGGTGTGGAGTCCTATCGGCGGACCAAACGGTACCATCATTGTGTCAGATGCGGACAGACCACAGGTATACACCAATCGTTTCGGTGGCGATGTCGATAAATGGGAGGAACATGGCACACCTGCTGGTGCCGTCTATTCCAGGGCTATCCAGATCTCGAAGAAATACCCCGACCACCTGACGATCTACGGGGGAGAGACGTTTGATAATATGCGCGCGGGTCTACATACCCCATTCTCTTCCACGGTGGTATCGCTGAAAAAAACCCTCAAGACACCAGTCTAGATATATAATTACAGCGAATGCAATACATGCTTCATGCTCCTCAGCATGAGATGTCGCGCCAAGATGACATGAACCAGAATTCAGTTCCTGCAAGGTTTATTATGCGAAGGTATTGCTGCATGACCCTGATGACGTCCTCGTCCTCCTGGGCTGCGGCTGCATCGATAAATGCCTGGTCTACCTTGATGGGCCAGAACATTACCGCGCGCATTCCTATGTGCGCAGAGCTATAGATCCCCGACTGGAGTGATTCCACGAGTTGTTCTGCGGCCGTAAACGCTATTGATGAGCACAGCCGAGTATCTTCCATTATCATTCGAAGCTGAACCATGCATGACGATAGTAAAGGGGGAAGCGGTCTGGACGGGTCGGGTGTATGTTGGAATATCGAATTGAAGGGCCCATTCCAAATTATGTCTTGATTGTCCTTGAGGATGAGGTTCATGCCGCGTAAAAGCTGGAACACCTCGAGGAGTGCGCCGACGGTATTGCTGGTGCTTTCTGCGAAGGCGGTCAATGTGATGAGGCTCGTTGCAGCGAAGAGGGCGTGGCAATTCAGCGGGGTGATGGCCAACAAGACTTGGTTGATCTCTGCAATGGCAGCGGACTGATGACTAGATGCTTGGATCCGGTGCTTCGATCGCGACTGAGGCTCAATATACGCAAGATGCGAGGCTGAGAATGCAAGGATGCAGTGCATCAGGAACTTGTGTCGAAAGGCCTCTTGGGTGACCATAAAACCCCAAGTCTGTTTCGCTTGATCGTTGCCAGGAACAGTGAGATAGGCATGAGCGGTGTAGTGGTGCATAAGCTCGAGGTCATCCATCCAGCCATCTCTTGGCACAGCAGAATCGCGACATGCTGAGCTTGCTGTCGGGAGCACCGGAACTGCAGCGCCCGAGGATGCAGCAGGACTGGGATTCGAGGATGATGGTCCGGACACTGTACTGCTTGCGCGATCGTCCACTAGCTGGGAACTGGCAGGGTAGGCGAGCAAGCTGCAGTCGACTCCATACCTGCGACAACTTGAACACGGTATCTGTTCGTTGCACTGGGGCTTTTAGTGAGGCTACCAAGAATTAAGAATGCGGCTTGGCTTAACCTTGACGCGTCTCGCTTTGCATTGCCTGCATCCATTCCTGGACTTTTTTGATCCCAAACGTGGCATTGCTGATCAGATCTGGCGGAGAATGTAAGAGCGCGCGAGAGCGAGGATGCGAGAGCGAAGGCAGCCTGGAAGCGGGAGCGAGAGCGACGGACCTATGAATGACGTTTTTCGAACGGAGCTAGTCCGGGTCAGTCGCGCTGAAACGATTTGACCAGAGTTGTGGTCCGGGTGCCAAAACATCCCAGTCCAATCGGAGGTGCGCTCCGCTCGATCTTTTGTTCCGTCGAACGTACGCCCACAAGGCTATTTCACGTTCCGGGACCCGGCCAGGAGCCTCTGAATAAGTCTATGTATCTGTAATCTGATTTCCGCCAAGCTTGATCGAAGCATGCATCTGCTCGGAAAGCTCCGGTGCCGCGACTGAGGCCCTTGCGAAGATCCCGCCGGACGAATGCGGGCAGCGGTCAGGATGAGCAGCTGAGAGACGTTTTGGCCGGTAAGGCTTTGATGCCCAGTATCGTTTCGGGGGAACGGGGACATTAGTAAAGCTTGTGGCCAGCGCGCGCGCTGCATGGTTTTCCTTTTGTTTGTTGTTGCAAACCACGTTCGCGCATTTACGTACGATCTCAATATTCAGGACGGCCATCAAATATTTCTCGATTGGTGCTCTTGGCCTGTGCTTCGAGCATGTAGATACATCTACTTCTGACTAGCTGGTAGCTCCGTATGAAAACCATCGTGAAGGATCTGTTGAGCTTCCAGAGCCGCCTATAGTTGAAGCTCTTATGTCCTGATACACAATGACTACAGGATCCACTGCCTAGTGATAGGATCAACTGTGGTTAAGCGTAGTAGCCGTCACTGCTGCCAGGAGGGTGGTTCGAAGGGCAATTTGAATAGCGAGCAAAACTAATTAAGTCACATCATCTTGCCGTGCCTGCTTGCCAAATGGCAGGAGAAGCGATGACATTTTAACGAGAGCTTCTGCGGAGATTATTGTGGACGCATCTACCGGTAGTATACCGGTCTCATTCTAATCATCGCACGCATACATGTATCATACCTGTTTGGAAGGTTACGCACAACAAGTGAGATACTGCATACCTAGGTACACTAATATCTAAGAGACTTCAACATAAAAATGTCACTCCATGAATATAAGAGGGAGTTTCACAGAAAATAGACGGCATGGACAAAAATATGTGCTGTTGCAGTGATGCTCTTCTTAAAACGCCGCTATGAAACCCATACTAAATACAACAATGCCCAACAATTTAATCTGTTGAACCTATTTCTATAGTCTCCACAATCTAACCCTACTTCTTGAGACATTTTTGCTCGTGCTCGATGTTGATAGTAACGGTAGGATGTACTTTGGTAGCGCCCTATGGGATCTTTATCGCGTGGGGCGCACCTTCGTTTCATACCGCAACTGCGGTACTGCTGGAAGTTCCCCACTGGCTGAGAGATGGTCTCCGCCCCCGAATGGGCGACCGCGGTGCCAGCCTTTTAAGGCCAAGGGACTAGGTCTAGGCTTTGGTGTCTGTCGACCGCAGTGCCACCATTGAGCATGAGCTACCACGTTCGCGATCGGCGTGCGCATCAGTTCCATTTCGCCTGGCCTTGAACTCTCGATATTGACGGATGGCGATGGCCGCAGTATATGACATAGAAATGCTAAACCAACGTTAGATTATCCTCGACCAAGATGACCAGGCTGTGTCAAGACACGATACGTACTTCAGCACGATAGCTAGCCCCACAACCCCCCAGCTCAGGTAGCAGCTTATGCCACTGCATCGTTTCAAATTCGCCTGCATGACTAAAAAGGCTACTGCGCCCCAGAAAACCACTTCGAGACAGTTGATGATGGCATTCGCTTTGAAGCTATGCCAGCGTTGGAACGGTCGTGAGTACTCCGAAAGCAATTGATACATGAGAAGGATGAGAGATTTGCCGCCCTGGTCAGAGATCAGTACAGACATTGCGCGTGGAGAAAGATAGACCATACCATGCCCAAAGCGATTGTATTTGCCCTTGTTCGTGGTTGGTTTTTCATGAAAAGTCGCGGAACGGAGAGGCCCATTGCCACGGATATCAGAAGCAGTTGCACTAGATGTAGTGGAAGCATAAACCGCGGAGAGAAGAAGCTTTTGTTCAGAAAATCGAGTGCAGCCATGATGCAGCAAAGAGGAGGAATATCGAAACGTCGAGTGTAGAGTGCTTAAGAGGTTGAGTTGGTGATGGACATCTGCAACCATTGTTGAAAGAGTACCTTTATAGGAATCATACAGTAGTAGACTGTGTAAGAGGTCGCGCTACCTTTGGACTATGCGTAACACCTCAGCCCCAATGTATGTCTGGGATGTTATGATAGCCGTATTGAGTGCGAGTGCGAGTGCGAGTACGGTGATCGGGCCGATACTGCGCCGCCGCACGATTCCAAAAGGGCCTTCAACAAGTACGCCTTTATTCGCCCTCGCACGTCTCTCAAGGTCTACTAAAAATGGGAACACTTGCGAACATTCGAAAGTACGAACATATTCAGTCGCGACGGTGTCCAATGTCAGGAATCTTGTCACAGCATAACCTTGCATCGGGCATCATGATGCGAGTGCCACGGTATGATCCGCTCTCACCTCGCAACACAACGCATTGCATTATACGGGCGGCGCCAGCCAATTCCGGATGCGGTGGAGAGACGATTTTACAAATCAGCAATTCTGGATCGACATTTCGTTCGTGCGATATACTTCCGGCGTGGTTATGGTATATAACACAGCATGTTTGAGATTTATACACCTGCTCCAGGCAAGAATCCATAAAAAGAATATTCGAACCCAATCTACACGGCGTGTTGAACAAGTGGGATGCATTTAGTGGTGCGAAGACAGCGATTTTCATACTACGAGGGTAGTGACAAAGGCCACAGATCGCAGCTCAAAATTTGAGACATGACCGAACCAGAGCTGGCATGATGCTCTCTCTCAATGAAGAGCCGAACGCCATTACTCGTTCCTGAGACGGGGTAAACCCTCGTCGTCAAAGCCGTTCGCTCATTCACGAAGATCTCTAGGACACTGCAATCATACAGGACGTGGAACCTCAGGTCTTCAAGCACAGTCTTCTCATCGGACTGGTGATCTTTGTCAAGCCTTGCAAACTTGAAGAGGGTATGCGGTGCATGTTCTTGGCAATTACGAGTCCCGGAAATGGTGCTAGATCGACTGCGATCGACAATGATCGACTCGGATGCTGGCTCAAAATAAACTCTTGTGCGCTCGGCTTCGAGGTCGATATCAGCATGGATCTTTAATGTGATGATACATGACTTACAATGTGAGTGCACGATATCGAAGCCCAGCCTTGCCGCATCACCGGAAACGGCGAATGACAACTCCATCTCCCATTGACCCCAAGACTCCGGAAATAGCCTAAATCCAGCAAGCTCTGTCCCTAGAGAAAAACGACGTCCACGCAATTGATGCAGTCGAAGGTCTGGGACCGCGCACAGACTCACAACGGTGAAGCTTGTGCCGTTCGTGTCCTCTGGGAGCAGCTCGACGGACCCAATTGATTCCAGTGAACAGGCGATGGCGCCGGTAACAGATTTTAAGATATGCATCTTGAGCACCCTTGGTAGCGATATGACACCAGCCCAGCCCTGCTTTTTCCGGAGTTGGATGTCAAGGTCATCTTCAAGCAGCCATCCGAAGATGATGTGTTGTCGTGCGATCGGATCCCAGAACGAGTTACCGGCGTAGTAGATGCCGTGATCCAGCTTTCCGCCGAATTGGTAGCTCATTGGCAATACTTTCAGGGGGTCGATCATGCCGCACATCCACATCTGCGCATTTGTAGCACGAAAACTGCCCTTGGTTCGTATGTCATCGGTTGTAGCCAAGCGACCCTCGACGCCACATATGAGGAATTCGCGAGAAATTAGGTTGTCTTCAGTTGATAGTGACACGAAGTTGCTAACTTCCCAATTTACGCCAAAGTCCCCGCTCCACCGCGGTGATGGGCAGAAGTTCAAGCCAACAGTAATGAGGGGCCCTAGGTATTCCCACTTGTCAAGGGCATGTGCGCTGATCCGGTACAGGAAAGCAGTTGGGGTTTCGTCCTTGATGCCTCCCGCTACAATAGCGTACATATGCCCAGAGTTTTGGTACATGGTTCCTTTCGTAATAAGACTATCCATAGCGGGCCAACGTGCAACGAATGGGTCACGCCATCCAGTGACTGCTAATCCCAGAGGAGGCTGCCCTAGGAATACATTTTTTGCCTGTCTCGCCCACGTTCTACCAGAATCGGTGGAAGTAGCCAGAGCCACGGACTCAGAGCCTCGGTGGTATGGCTTCAAGTAGTGAATGGGTAGACGTGAAACTGATGTGTAAATCGCAGTCACGGTACCATCTTCTTTGCCATCAATTGCCGTTGGAACCATGCAGCCAGTGAATACACCACTGGAGTCGTGACAGTCCGTGGGCTTCATAGAAGGTTGGTCTGAGACTTTCCAGGCAAGTAAGTCACGGGACAAAGCTGCGCCCCATGAGATGTTTCCCCATTCTGTGCTGTGTGGATTCCATTGAAAACCAAGATGGTAAGTTTTGTTGGCTGAGTCGTATCCAGGCGCGCATGGATCGTTGATCCACCCACGAGTCGCTGTAAGATGGAGACGCGGGCGCCACCGATAGTTTGGGTCAGTTCTGGCGGCGGCGGCGTCACATTCTGTTCTGATTGGAGTAAGATTGACCACTGCTTCTTTCAGCGAGGCAAGTGTTGAAGTGGATGAAACCGGCGACACGCTGTACGAGCTCATCGCTGCGTGGCTTCGCCTGCACAAATGGCAAGCATGTGGAGAAGAAAGTCAGTTGCAGCTGGAGCTCGCTCCATACACAACTATCAAGCAATACCATATGCCGGAACGACATTCGCAATACGCACGACAGCGCCTGGGGCGTCATGTTCAGACTCCGGGATTCTGCCCGAATTGGTGTAGCGTAATTAGCTGGAAGGCATGAAACCCCGGAGATGATCCTGGAAGCACTGGCGACACGCGCGATGCCACTTTTCCCAAAACGCGGCGTGCGCTTCGCATCTAGCGCATGTGGTGCCCCTTCAGGCAACTGTCTTCGCGAGCAAATGGGGTGTGGTAATGTTGGCAACTGTGGGATAGGCCTGGGACGTTTCGCCGTAGTCTCCTTCTGGACCTCGGGCTTGGCAAGCAACTCCACGTGATGTTCCCGCACTGTGCCCTGTCGCCAACCCCGCAAACTCTGGCCAGGAGTATAGCATCCTGACCCACACTCCACCATCACTACGTATCGATGCGACCACATTCCCATCGCCTATTTGCATATTGCAGGCATGATGGGTGAGCAAGTCATCTTCGATCCGACTCTCAAGAGAATTCTCCAACCGAAGTCCTGCGATCAATGCTTTCTTCGCAAAAACAAAGCAAGTTTTATCTCGCCCAAGCGCAATCCGTTACTAATCCGCATCGGCAGTGCAGTCGGCATGCCCCATGTAGCACGTGCTCTGCTCACCGCAGGAGGTGCACGTACGACCGGCAGTCGCAGTACCGCCGACGCCCTTCCTGCATGCAAGTCGTCCTAGTGAAGCCTTCTCTCTCGGCCTTCCTGCTTACCGTCGTATAGTAATGTTCAATCGTTACCCAATGTTAATCAGCTCTCGAATCCAACCAGAGAAGACATTGTGAGCGCCAATGCCACCGGAGAGAGTAGTCTGGGCTTGGAATTCCAATCCTTTGACGCGGCTGCAATTGGTGATGCAGACCAATTGTCGGGTGGAACCTTCGCTTTGTTGAACGAGGGTACGAATTTCAACGACCTTACGTGGACTAGCCTAGATGTCTCCACCATTGAAGGGTCTTCCAATCGCATGAGTCGAGTCTTTGAGTGTTTCTCACCAACAGATAACGACCTACAGGAATTCACAGGAAGGCCCTGGCCTATCGAAAGGCCGCTTCGTGAGAGATCCACTCAAGGCGACAATCAGCTCTTATCATTGGCTGTTCCTGATGACATATGGCAACTAACCTATCTTTTCTTGGATCGACTACATGCATCGATGCCCTTCTTCAAACGCGAGTATCTCATTGACAACATCTATTCAAAACGTTATCTGTACGACCGGTCATTCAATGCCCTCATACATTCGATTAGTGCTTTGGCCATATTCCAAACCACGCAGAAACTGCCTGGACATGCTCGCCCCCTCAATCAAATTGAGAAGGCTGAGTCTCTGCTTGCTGAAGCTGTGCGATTACATTCGTACAGTGACTTTGGAGAAAACCCTGTTCTTGAGCATGTTCTCACTAGTGTATTCTTATTTGGCTGTCAATTCTGCAAGGGTAATCACTATGCTGCTAGATTCCGCCTAAGGGAAGCAGTCACGCTGGCCGAGACCATGGGTTTAGATGATCCGCAAACGTATCGGCATCTAGATGGGGAAGAAATGGATAGGAGGCTCAGAACATTTCTATGTCTCACAGTGATACATCGGTATGCGCCACGTCTCTGACCTTCCTCTACTTGTCCACTGATACATGTACCAGCGTCTACGCGATTCAAAGAGACCACCCTCTGAATGAATATCTGCTCACCAGCAAACGTCTGCACAGGGTCCAGGAAATGGTGGAACAAGTTTCGATTGGCACAGACCAGCTAGAAGTGAGCGGGATTCGAGGGATTTGCCACATGGTTGACTTGATCGACTTCGTTGACGTTACTTTCGTCAATTGTTGGAGGGGCCGTTGTTGGGATGATGCAGCCGCCCACCATGTTTCATCAGAGACTGTGTCTCGACTTCTGCAGCGATACACAGTATCGGTGAACCCGCAGATCTGGCCAAACGATACACAAAGGGCCGATATTCTCGTGACTCGGCATTGGATCTGCCACATACTCTGGGAACTGGGCAAGCGACACGGCTTTGTGAACGAGGGGAGCTCGGTTGTCCAAATGAGACCAGACTACGCGCTGACCATAGCGCGTGATAGCATCAAGACCAGTGAGTCGTTCAACATGGCCTGTTTGGAATACCATGGAGTCGGAATGGTGAGAATTTAATTATGAAACTGCCTCAACGGGGCACCGCGCTGACGTACAACAGGTAGAAAAACTATACGACATTGCCTCAAATGCGATAAGGGTGGTGAAGAACCACGAGGCGGCGACCTTGGGAGATGTCCCATCAACCAGCCCGGCCGATTTGGGTCTTGCTCCCGAAAGTCCGAGGCTGGATGGTACACAACGAAGTACTGTGGACGGGTCCTGGAACCCAGACTTAGCCTCCACATCAACCGCCTTGTCTCTCGACGATTTTGCGAATCGTTTCCTCGCCATCTTCGCCAAATTTCGCGGTGGCAAACATCCGTATCTGATGCCATACATGCGCATGCTGTGCGAAACCGACTCGAAATGAATGTTCACATCCATCGATGGTCTATTAGAACACGTGGGGGCAAAAGCGTGGGCAACAAAACAGTGAGTCAGTATATTATCCATTGTATTATAGGCAAAGTAGAAGAATTCGGCATTTGGTATGGCCGTAGACACTTCACATCTTCAATTTAGAGACATAGCTTGTCTCTGCATTCCACCGGCTATCTGGTGACGTCGCATACGTGCTGCCAACGTTTCTGCACCAACAAAAGTAAGCCCCGTCATCATTTCTCGACTTCCGTGACAGTCATTTCGGCCTTCTGCTCGTTGATGTAACTCTCGATACTAACGTTACAGACGTAATCTGGGTGGGCTATTGTTAGCATAATGTTACACATAATAGTGTGGATTATCTCACTTTTGAACTGTCTGGCCGGAACGCGAGCCTCAAACATCTCGTCGAGCTCAGCAGGCGTACGCCCTTTCGTTTCAGGAAACCAGAAGAAGGTCACGATGATGCAACCCAACATCCAGCCCGCGAAAATGAGGTATGTTTTGGGACCAAGATTGGCCCTGTGAAGAGTCAGTGAATGTACCAGTAACCTGAGCAACCAAACTGGGGGCTACTTACGGAGCATTCGCAATATACGGCAACACGTACTGAACCACAGTCGAAAAGCAGGCCAATATGAGGAAGGAGAATGCACCTGTCTTGTTACGGAGTCGACCCGTCGGCATTTCTCCCGAAACGACGTATGTCAGCGGCCCAAAACCGGCTGCAAAGAAGAAAGCGAACATGCAGCAGAATCCGGCGATAGTTCGACTGATGCTCTGGTTCTCGAGATAGTTGGTAAAACCCAGCACTCCGATGATAAGGTTGATTACGAAGAGGATGGTGAATGTTGTAAGGGCCAATGGTCGACGACCAACGGCATCCACAACGAAAAGGCCCGCAATGGCGCCGCTGAATGCTAAGATGGCGACAGCGAGAGCCAGAAGAAAGGGGCTGGTATCGCTACCGATTGTTGCGAGGAAGATGGTGACATAGTTCGTGGCGAAGGCGATACCAGAAAGCTGTTGCATGTTGCCGATGCTCAGCGCAAGCAGGGTGCGTCGCAGGTTGACGCCTTTGAAGATGTGCGTCCATGGAACGTCAGTCTCCTCCGCCCTCAGAGCAGCCTGGGATTTCAGGGCGGCAAATTCGGCTTCGATCTCTGCCTCGCTATACCCCTTGCGTACCTTGCGCAGACTCCGTAGCGCGCGTGAGTCTTCGCTACGTGTGAGGTAGAAGGTTGGAGAGTCATCGAGGAAGAAGATGCCGGCGATGAGTACTACGGGGAACGCGATCTGGAGGCCCATGGGAAATCGAAAAGCGAATTGGCTCATGTCAGTGCTCACTGCCCAGTTGATGCCGTTTGAGAGCACTGCAGCCGCGTCGATGGTAACGATGGAAAGTCCGATGAGTACACCACGTAGCTCATCAGGTGCGATTTCAGCCAGAAATGTTGAGCCCATGACGATGAAGAGGAAGATAGCGGCATTAGCGAGCCATCGCCCGACGACCAATTGCGCCATGCCGAAGGACGACGTTTGGATCGCAGCCGCCACAGCACTGAGGGCGCAACCCAAGATCAATGTCTTGCGTCGGCCCCATCGGTCTCCACAGTATGCTGCGAGCGGTAGTCCAAGGAGACAGCCTGTCGTTGGCACCGCCGTCATTACGCTGATGTCGGTCGATGTGAGGGCAGGGCCGGCAGGTGTCGATGCAGTTCCAAACTGTTTGACGAATGGCGGCATAGCGAGGATGCCCCCCATAACGGAGCCATCAAAACCGAAGGTAAAAAAGACGAGCGCAAGGACAATGCTCGAAAAAATCAAACGAGGGTTGTGAATGATGTGCGCTGTCCATGCTCGACGCTGCGGCTCAGCCATTGCTTGTGTCCTCGATGCTTCCATTTTGTCGAGATTGTTTCCAGTGGCTTTGTTGTCGAGGTTCATTCCAGTGAGTGAGTCTGATTCCAGTACGCTGGGACGGTGGATTATATCGAGCGAGACCCCTCGCTAAACTTAGCGTGCATACAAACCTCACCCCAGATTTACCCCGGCCTTGTGGGGAATCGTCCTTGAACCCTCGCCGTAGACCTCAGGGTAATGTACGTTTTGAAGCATTTCCCGGAACCCACCAGCATACCAATGTATTGGCGTGACCGAACGCTGGGTTTTGAGGCTTGCTCTCCGGGGAAATGCCAATTGCAGTATAGGGTGCAATGGAGATTGTCCATATTAGGCATAGTGTGGGGACAGGCTAATACATGATCCATGGGGGGATCAAGTGCCGAACTTCTCTCCGACCAAAATTCAAACCGAAATTCTTTCCGGCTGACAACCGGCCCTTGTTGCTATACTGATACTAAACGTGCGATATTATACTTGTGCAGAATTGAACTATTCGTTATTAAGGCATTCGCACTTTCAATTCAGATCAATTAGAGCGAAAGATGACATCGCCCGCCATCAACTCATTCGACTCTTTCCCGCAATATGCATTCCGACATAGCAAACTTGGAGAGATCATTGGACTTGCCCGAGGAAGCGATGTTGTCCAATTTCGTGGAATCCCGTTTGCTGAGATCCCTGCCCGATTCCGTCAGTCGCGTCTCTTAGAATCGCTACCACGACAGCCATTCGATGCTAGAAAATCTGGGTAAGTCTTACGACCATTGGGTGGTGGCCGTCCGGGTTCATGTATTGACTACAATGAAGCGCGTACTGCCCACAACCGTTGCTGCCGTTCCCACCATACTGGGAAGGTGATGTCCCAGCGGATTGCCCGAAATTGCCAGCAGCGCCACAGGACGAATTCGACTGTCTGAACCTCAACATTACTGTGCCCCGGGATGCTCTCGAGCACTCACCCCTGGAGCGCCTTCCGGTTCTCTTCTTCATTCATGGCGGAGCCTTCATAGGAGGAAGCCAGTCTATTCAACTCACTGGACGTGAAATCTACGATGCGACCAACCTTGTACGCGCAGCCATCGCCCGAAAACAGCCCATCGTGGTTGTCAGCTGCAATTATCGCGTTGGACCGCTAGGCTTCCTTGCATCCAAGGAGCTCGTGGCTTTCAACCAGGCTCACGATGAGCCAGTGGGGAACTACGGTCTCCACGATCAGCGCCAGGCACTTGAATGGTGTGACAAGTTCATCGCAGGATTTGGTGGTGAGCCTAAAAATGTCACTATCCAGGGTACCAGTGCGGGAGGCAGCTCAGCACACTATCAGAGCATTTTCCCGGGGCGCAAATTCAGAAGGGCGATCCTAGCAAGTGGCACACTGACCGGTATTGGGCCTATGTCCTTGGAATATCAGCAGAGAAGCTACGACAAATACGTATCTCGGTGTGCTGAGGCATCAACTGCCTCTGATGTGGATACAGTTGCGCTTCTACAATCGATTACAGTGAATGACATGGTGAAGCCAGTTTCGGACAGCATATGGCATCCATTGATCGACGGCGAGTGGATTCCCGGGGCAACAATGGAGAAGGTATGCAAAGTGTACAGCGACGGTTCTGCTCCTGATCTGATGGTGGGAGCTTGCGATTTCGAGGTGAGTCCTGAATCATCAACTCCTCATATCTCGCTGACCACAAATTGTAGGCCGACCTCACGCAGCTCCTGCTAATGGAAGACATGATCTCCAAGAAGCCGGCATCTGATGCGAAGATGCGCGAAAAAATACACGACCTTACCTCGTCGAATGGCATGATAGTCGCACCGGAGAAATTCCCAGATGCGTATCCCACTATCACGGACCTGTATGATATCACATCTTCCCTAGAACACCCTTCTTCTGCCATGCATAGATGGGCCGATATCTTGGCCGACATTGCGTTCCGCATTCCTGGACTCCATATCGCTGCGCACCATCCCGCCGACGTCCTGGTCTACGAGATTCAATGCAAGAACCCATATCCCTTATGGAACTGGTCGTTCGGCCGCGCCAATCATGCTGTCAACGATCTGTTTCTTTTTGATGTAGCCCCGGACCTCGTGTCTGGAGATTTGCAGGATGCGCATGCCGGGAATGTGGCGCAGATCCGCGCTGCATGGCTTGACTTTTGCTATGGCAAGCTACCCTGGGAGCCATATCGGATGGGTGGCGACGAGCTAGGACCAATGCACATTTTCGATCATGGAACTAAGGGACGAGATGGCCAGACTCTAGAGCAGGCGATAGGTGAGACGTTGGCACGGAAATGGAGAGCCATTCTAGAGGCCAACCAAAGGTTACTGGAAGAAGATGGTTTGGCTACAAACAATATATAGTTTCAATCAAAAACATTGCTCGGACATTACCGAGGTTATCACAGCGGCCCTTTTTTTTTTTTTTTT